CAGCGCCCTTATGAACCTATGCCAAACCTCAGCATGCCTGACGGAAACGATCCATTGACAATCACAGTGACCTATCCCAAAAACTCTGTACAGCCAGCTTGTCCTTGGTTCTGCTAGGTCTAGGTCTTAACAAACAAATCCCCCGCACCGGAGGGTATAATTGCGTACAGTATTCTTGAACTTAACGGGTACAGCTTGAGCGTAGCCATTGTGAAGTGATTATGCTGGATCTGACTATTCGAGCTCGCGACGTTTTTTTTGAATTGCTAGGTAATTTCACCGCCTGAGCTTTCCCTAAAGGGAAATAAATGAATAACCGTCAATAAGCTTTCTAGACCATGGATAGAGCTAGAAAGCAAAAGCATTCCCTTCCACAACTCTCTCCTAGAGAGGCCGACGCTAAGCTAAGCATCGAACAACGGAGAATTACCCGAACAGGCTGATGTGCTAATCATCGGATCTGCTTTAGCGGAGCTTCGGTGGCATTCAATCTGCTTGAGCAGAGGACAGATGAGTTGCGGCTAGACACATGCGGAGCTCTATCATGACCCAGGATCAGGTCGGAGACAAGTGACCCCTATCTCTCGTCTAATATAGAGAAATCGAACCACCGTATCCTTGCTAAATAATCTTTGATAGCATGACCTCAATGATGCCCTGCACACCTTTGCACACCCCGTGATCAGAACCATCTTTCCCGCAAGACTCACCTGCGCCTCGCGTCCATTGAATTCCGTAAAAATATCCTAAACTGAGGAAAAACTTTCTGCGCCGTTCGTGAGGCACCAGTTTCGGCAATTTTTCTCGATTACAAGCTAAAAGTACCTCCACCAGATTAAATTGCTGTTTATTTTGATTGGTGGCCTGAGCAGAAATTCTGAACTCAGAGCACGCAAACCTACGCTGACTTCAATACGCTACACACCCAGATCCTCAGGCTTTCACTGGCGATCTCCATTTTGGTCGCTTTCGTAATCTGACAGCGCGCTAAAAGTGCAAACTAAATAATTTTTCTCCTTTTGTATGTCGTGTCTTGCTTGCCGTTCTCGCAAGATCCAGTGCGATACGACAAAGCCACGGTGTCTCCGTTGTCTCAAGTCAAATGTCCCATGTTACTATAAGCCGCAGCCTACTGATTCTTTAGCCTGTATCCAGTGCAAACGTGGACGACGTCGCTGTTCGCGAACAAAGCCTACATGTGATAGATGCAGACAGTTGGGGAAAGAGTGCGAGTATCCTTCAGCTGCGACTGTCCAGTCGATAGAGGTTCTTGACGCTCTTTATGAGGCTCCAACGTCAGAGCTCGAGACGCTCTGTGAGTCTACAATTCGTAGAGATCCACCCTTCTTTGCAGGCAACTTTCTTGATCAGCGATTCATCTCCAAGCTGCGCGAGGGCCAGGTCTCCATGCCACTGGCCAAGGCTGTTGCGGGACTGTCGCTTGACCTCATTGTTCCTGAGTACCGTTTGGTGAGTTTTTCCAACTACTGGTACGAGAGATTGCTTTCGGACTCTCTACTTTCTGTGCCTTCTCTCGATCATCTTCAAGCGCTCCTCATAACACTCATATGCGCGCGCAGCTCGGTCAAGCATTTTCTTCTTATTCCTGTGCTTTCCCGTATGGCATATGGGCTCATACTGAATCACGAACTTAACTGGGTGAAGGACCCTTTTGAGAAAGAGAGACGTCGGCGCATGGTTTGGAACATTTTTGTTCTGGATAAGATATACGCTGCAGGAGTACCGGAATTTGTCTCGTGCGACGTCAATCTGGTGTGTATCCATCCGCCATCAACGAATCCTACTTCGGAGCCCTCACCGTTTCGCACCCAGCTCCCACGCTACGTTGCACCTTTCAATCTCTTTTCATTGGTTGTGCACCTAGCACAATTGAAATACAACACCTTGAATGCCGTGAAACTTGTTGAGCGTGGGTCCGGATCTCTTCAAGATGTCGCTCACGACATCCATTTGACTTTGGATTTGCTTCCGGATAATCTCCGCTATTCTGCGGCAAATGTTGCGTCGCTGCCAGCAAATCAGAAATCTCTCTTCGTCAACATGCATCTCCTGCTTTTACTTAACCAATGCGATCTGAACCGACTTGACGGCCCAGCAAGATCGCTTGATCTTGCGCTCGCCATTTCCGCGATAGCACGCGACAACATTCATATTCTTGCGAACTCACGCACAACCACCACGTTGGCATTTGCACTATTCGAGGCCTCAAGAATCATGATTCATGCTGGCCTCGAGGTGAAATCAAACATAGACGTCATTACTGCCGCCAAATGGGCAGATCCGGACATTGTTAAGATCTTTTTGCGCGAGCTCTGTGAGGACCGCCTTTTCGGTGGTCTTCTCTCGCTCTCCGAGCTTCACCCGGCCCACAATCTTTCCTGGTGTATTTAGTGGCTCGCATAAGCTTTTGATTCCCACCAGTCAAGTGAATGGCTAGGTTTGAACACAGGCCAGTATCATATATAATTGCTCTACATTCCTTCGTATCTTTTATAAACTTTGCTATCCATACTACTCCTACAAAATATCTTGCTACTTCAAATCACGTATACGATATGCCAAGCAAAATCTCTATTATCTAAAGTATCTAGAATGATGTACCTGCAGATACCATGTGGGATCTTACCTCTGAATTGAAAGCTGCTAAAGTCTTTATGATCTGCTACGACTGTAATCATATGAACGAGGACGCCGAAGCAAGCAAGGGCGGCTACTACGGTGTCAGGAAGAATCAAACCCCGCAGATGAAGTATGACTAGTTTATCTGCTGAAAATACATTTGCCTTTAGCTACTTCGCTGCCCAACGTCTTCCGGACCCAGTTTCTAGAAGCATGGCTTTTGCCTGAAATTACTGATCGGAGATTTTTTCACCGAAGAAACGTTTTGTTGTTTAATCTCATATAAAAACGCTCATTTCTAATAGCTGAGCGACCATCAGACTCGTCGCTCAGTCTCAATCTAGATGTCAATTCTTGTCTCAGGAGCCAATGGGTTCATTGCAACACATATAGTAGACACTCTGCTCGAAGCAGGCTACCCGGTAATTGGTACTGTTAGATCGCTCACAAAAGCCGAGCCTCTGCACAGGGATTTTCTCAAGAAGTACCCAAATGCAAAGCTGAGTTTTGAAGTCGTGGAAGATATCACAGCTGAGGGTGCATTTGATGAGGTACTGCGCAATCATAAGGATGTCAAGTACGTCCTTCATACTGCTTCCCCTGCAACCCTCGAGCTCGACAAACCTTTAAAGGAGGCATACTTGGATCCAGCATTGGCAGGGACTCTCAGTATCTTGAAATCCGTCAAAACGCATGCTCCTCAGGTGAAAAATGTGGTCATCACATCCTCGTTTGCCGCAATTTTTGGTTTCAGCAAGGACTATGTCACGTACACCAACAAGCACTGGAGCCCGTTAGAGTGGGAACAGGTCAACAATGAGGTTCTTGCTTACTGTGTATCCAAAAAGTATGCTGAAAAAGCTGCTTGGGAGTTTGTGGAACAAGAAAAGCCAAACTTCACGTTATCTACGGTTTGTCCACCGTACGTGTTTGGACCTCAGATTTTTGATTGGATGGCTGCTAACAAAGTGAATACTTCCAATGAGCTGATTACTAAATTATTCAAAGCTGCGCAAACCACGGACTTCGTGGAAAAGCCGAGCGGTCTCTTTGTTGACGTGAGAGATGTGGCAAAAATCCACAGGCTGGCACTGGAGAAGGAAGCTTCATATGGAACCAGGTTGTTTATTGGCTCTCAAACCTTTACCGGCCAAACGCTTCTGAATATCTTAAATAAAAACTTTCCAGAAAAAAAGCTTTCTGTTGGAGCTCCAGAGAAGGATAAGCCAAGCAGAGTGTTCGGGTTTGACATTGGCAACGTGCTGGATTCTCTTGGAGGCTACGAGTTCATTTCTCTTGAGCAGTCTGTCGTTGACACGGCATCTCAGTATTGGAAAATGAATCCTTAAGAGAAAGAGCATGAGTACAGGGGTTGGTCAGCGTTGTGAACAATAGGGTGCCTCTAGCCCGCATATTACTACCCCAGATTTGGCTCAATAAACGCGCCTATGCATTGCATGCTAGATGACAAGTTTTTCAAGACAATTCGGGTGTCTCCGACTAATTTAACTAATTCCAGCTTATAAGAATTACATAGCAGATGACGTCATCGAATAGTAATGAAAAATTCACTCTATTCAGATACCCCATCGGGCTTATCTCTTGAAGAGTTCCGACAGTGTGGGGGCGGACAAATTAGTGCCCCGCATGTCGATCAATAGCCGGATGGGCTAAATTTCGCCATCGTGCGGCTTGCGGCTGGTCCCCGCAAATTTCTTATTTCATGCATATAGTAGCTCCACAGTGTGTATATATAGGCTGGATACACCCCTTTTAGCTGACACAGGAATATGAGTTCCCTTGATCTGGAGAAAAAAAATGAGATCGAGCATTTTGAGGGCGACTCCGACTCGGGAATTCGCGTTATTCAAATTGATGCTGGCAAGTATTTGGAAGTCAACGATGCCAAGATTGCCGAGGGCATCGAAACGTTGGAACAAGAGTTACAAGCCTCTGGCAAGAAGCCATTTTTGTCAAGTAGATGGTTGAAAAGACCAGAACGGTTCATTTGGTATCTGGCCAGTTTGGCCTCTGTTGGAGGGCTCTTATTCGGTGTGGACCAGTCTTTAATCAGTGGAGCTGCGCTGTATTTGCCAAAAGATCTCAATTTGTCAGACCCGCAGGAGTCGATGGTGGTTGGATTTACACCGTTGGGCGCCATGGGAGGTGCTCTGGCTTTAATGCCGTTGAACGATATCTTTGGAAGAAAAGGAACGATTATCATTTCCTCAATTGTGTTCACAGTGGGGGCAATATTGGAAGCCGCAGCCATGAATTTTGCTGTCATGTTAGTTGGAAGAATTGTTCTGGGGCTGGCACTTGGTCTTCTATCTGGAACGGTTCCTGCATATATTTCTGAGAACTGTGCTCGCAAATGGCGTGGAGGACTGGTGTCGCTGTACCAGGTGATGGTTGCTTTTGGCGTCATGATGGGATATGTGATTGCAGCAATGTTCAACTCGGTGAAGGGAAATTGGAGATACGTTCTGGGAAGTTCTGTGGTCTTTTCCACAATTTTGTTTTTTGGAATGTTGACCCTGCCTGAGTCGACAAGATGGCTCATGAAACGAGGCCGGAAGCTGGACGCATATCAGGTGTGGAAACACGCACGTGGACTTGATTCCGTGGACGAAAGACAAGAATTTTACATTATGGAGCATGTTTTGCTATACGAAAAGGAAATGGCGCAGGATAGATGGCTCATTTTGGACCTATTCGGCACGAAAAGATGTTTACGGGCAATATCAGTTGCAGTGACTTGCAGTTTGATCTGTCAGCAAATGTCCGGTGTCAACTCGATCGAGTACTACCAAGCTACCCTGGTGCAGGCGGCAGGGCTCACGCCTCAGAATGCCGTCTACACAAGTTTGGTCGGTGGGGGAGTGATGTTCCTTTCCACGATTCCCGCTATTTATCTTATGGACCGCCTTGGAAGACGTACCTTGATGCTGACGCTTATTCCGGGTATCGCAATAGGACTGATAATAACGGGCTGTTCATTTTTGGCTACAAATCTTGGTGTCAAACTAGGTATCTATTTCTGGGGTATCATCACATACACGATCTTCTGGTCCCCGGGACTTGGTCCAGTTCCTTATCTTCTGGCTGCAGAGGTCTATCCAACATACTTGAGAAGTTACGGAATGAGTCTTGCCTCATTTTGTAACTGGACAGGTACCTTTGTGACGACTTATCCTTTCCAATATATGGCCAATTCTATGACTTCTACAGGCGTCTTTGCAGGACTCTACTGTGGTTTGCTTCTATTGGGAGCATTCTACTTAGCTTTGTTTATGCCAGAAACCAAAGGTCTGACTTTGGAAGAAATCAACGAGATTTTCCAGCGGCCGCTGACACATACGATGCATACCAACGTGCGCAATTTGAAAAAAACTTGGAATGCTTTGATTCACTTGAGATTCAGAGAGGTGTGGAAGCTCGACTCCCAGTAGCACCAATTTTTCTCAGTCAGTGACTATTTTTGATATTATTAGTCATCAAGATGCTCCGAATTCCGTGCTCTTTGAACTGTGTAAATGATAACGATCAAAAAATTAGATGTAATCATGACTTTGGTTTTAACCAGTACTATAATCAACGCAGCGCCGGAAACAGTGCGCTCAGTTTTTCTTGACTTCGATAATTATGAGTGGTCTGCTTTTTTGAAGTCTGTCAAGGCCAATCCGCCGAAGCCTTCTGCTTCAATAGCTCCGGGAGACAAACTTGATGTTGTTTTAGAAGGAAGTAGAACAATGAAGATCAACCCTGTTGTTGTTGAAAACTCGCCGTCAGCATTCAGATGGAAGGGAACTCTTGGATTTGATACAATTTTTAGTGGCACTCACAGTTATGAGTTCAATCCCACGGAAGACGGCAAGACAAAGTTTGTTCATAAGGAGGTTTTTGGGGGATTACTCAAAAGCCCGGTGCTTTACTTTTTCGGAGATCTGGCGAAAGATTTCATGCTATTCACTGAAGCCTTGAAGAGCAAGTGCGAAGCTAAATAATTAATATAAGTACTGGAACTCAGGAACGCCATCTGAAGAAACTGGCTGTCTCTTGTTTTGAATGTGTGAGTTAATGGCCATCGCAACAGCAACAGCAACGTTCAAGCAGAAACAAATGACCCAGGATCTGAAAGCATATGTGTATGTTGGGGCATCTTGGCTGCGGAAAAGCTGTGGTCCCGCAATATTACTCGCACAGTAAATCAGGAACATAGAATTGCTGACAACAGTCTTTCTTGTCGAGCCAACAAAATTTGACGAGGCCATGGACAGCAGCAATGGGAAGGTTGCAGTCTGGACTAGCACGAAATAAAATCCAGTCAATTTGGCTCCTAGAGTTTGGCCCTTGTAGATTAGGGAGCCTCCAATGATTGCAAACATACAACACACAGAAATCATCAGGCATCTGAGCCCTTTCTTTCGACTGGCAACCAGTCCAGATCCAGTAATAGCGATCCAAGCAATTATGGATCCTGGCAAGTTGAGCAAGGTGGTGTTTATGGCACTGAATCCGAAGTTGTTCAAAATAATATTTCCGTAACTTTGAACTCCACTGTTAGGCAAGATAGAAAGCACAACAGATCCAAGAAGAAGCCAGAAATTGATGTTTTTCGCACAAGAATAAAATTCGTCCCAACTCCAGTCATTCTCCACCTTTTGGTTTTTCATATTCTCAGCATAGTACTGTTTCTCAGGCTCTGTAAGGAAACTGGCTTTCGATGGAGAGTCGGGGAGGAAAAAGAAGATTGCGAAACTCCACACAAATGTGATGCACCCGTAAACAATAAAAATGTATCTCCATGGGGATAGCTTTCCGGTAATGTGGCCCAGACCAAAGGACAAGAAAGAACCAACAATTGCACCGGCATCGTTACCGGCAAACCAGATCCCCGATCTGGCAGATTGTTGTTCCGGCTTCCACCACATACCAGTAATCAGCACAAATGAAGGACTGACAACACTCTCAAGAAGACCCAAGAAGAACCTGGCAGCAAGAATCCCAGCATAATTTTCACAAGCGCCTGTGCAAGCTAGCGTAATCCCCCACAGACAGACTGCGACGGAGACAAATTTTCCAATTGGCACTAATTGAAGCACCCTGACACTCGCCAAATTTCCAAACATATACCCGAAGTAGAAGATCGATGAAGACCATGAGTAATCCTGGCCCACTAGCCCCAAATCTTTTTTGAGACCGAAAACGGAAGACTGGCCCAAAGCCAGTTTATCCATAAATTGCAATCCGTAAGTGACCATCATTAACGGTAGAATACGAAGATCCACTTTGCGGAAAAGCTTTTCCTTATCAATGTAGACGGATGCTTCAGAGACATGAAGCTCGTCCTTGTCACTCATGGTGTCCTCCTTAATGCAGTTATCCATTAACGAAATATGGATTTTCTAATCACTTAAATACTTTTTTTTGTGAACGCGAGATTTTTATCTGCAAGTCTTATCAGCCTAAATAACGGTAGACCTATTGGGGCCAATTATGGTGATGCAAATTTGGAGATTTCTTGACGTTGAGACAAGTATACTCTTTTGAATATGATGCCACTTTCTCCAGATCTCTAGAGCCCTTCGCCCTCACGAGAAATCAGCAAAATGAACGTCGGCCGAAACTCGTATCGTTCATGGCTGTGCTGATCGGCCGAGGTTTTAGAGTCAAATTGATTAAATGCATTACTTATCTTAACAGGGCTTTTTTTTTCCCTAATGACTAGGAATAAGTCTTCTTTGTATGAGATCTGTCACAACCTTCCCAAGGTTGAGACGCATTGTCACTTGTATGGCACCATCTGCAAGGACACAATCTCCTATTTCAACAACAGGGCAGGCAAGCCTTTCACTGATGAGCAAATAGAGCGTTTCTATATCAGAGGAACCAAACCAGTTGGGGTCCTGGCAATTTTTAGAGCACTCGATTCCGATTTGATCAAGATACCTGAAGATTTGTACAGGATCACCAAAGAGCATCTGGCGGTCGCGAAAAGCCATAATGTTATTTATATAGAGCTTTCGTGGAACCCTACGGGAACAGTTTTGGAATCAAAAATTCCGTTTGCTTTAGCACAGAAGGCAATCCATGACGCTATGATAGATTCGGAGAAAGAGATCGGAATCATGAGCAGGCTCATTTGCGCTATTGACCGACAGGCTGAACCAGAAAGAGCTGCACAAATGCTTGATTGGATGCTCAAGTCTCCGTCGCCAATGACGATTGGTATTGGTATTGATTACAAGGAAGACGGTTTCCCTCCAGAGCTCTTCGAGGATACTTTCAAGCGTGCGAAAAGTGAAGGGTACAAGATCACCGCGCACGCTGGCGAGTTTGGTATGCCATGGAATAATATCGATTTTGTCGCAAACACCATCCACGCTGACCGGGTTGATCACGGATATACAATCATCGACAATCCAGAACTAGTTGACCAATTTTTGGAAGAACAACGATCAATCAGCGTTGTTCCTACGAATTCTTACTATCTCAGACTGTTCGATCCGGAAGAGTGGGCTCAAAAACATCCTATCCGGACGATGATTAAGCTCGGGCTTAATATCTATCCAAATACAGATGATCCCTCGTTCCATTGTGTGGACCCTACGAAAGCTTGGATGATGATGGTGGAATGCTTTGGTGCAACCATTCCAGACCTGAAGAGATTTGCATATAACGCGATTGACAGCGCGTGGGTGGACGAAGATCTAAAATCTAAGTGGAAACACGAGTGCAATAAATATTTCGAGTCATTATAATAACTTTTTCTTATCTATCTAAACCCCATAAACTTATGAAAATCAAGAGCCGGCCATCTCTTGCGTGCATTCCTTGTACTATTCGTAAAGTCAAATGTGACAAGACCATTCCTTGCAAGAACTGCATGAAGCGGAAGACTTCTCATGAGTGTCGGCGCCGAAACTCGATCCCATCGCCTGAACTTCCGAAACCAAATACCGACACCGAGCCAAACCTGTTCAATAATAGACAAATAGTACACTACTTATACTCGCTCAAATTGCTCACATATGGAAGAGCTCAAATTAAGGGCCTAGTGCCTGTGGATGATCTGCTCAAGTACAATAGATGGGACCAGTACATGAATCAATTTCCGACATTTATTAGTAAATTAACTCCTGCGCTTTCTAGGAAAATATGTGAATGTGCATGCAACTACACGACTTTCATCCATCAAGGAGTTGTGAACGAGCTGTTTCTCAAGGACCACGACAACTTCTGGGAAGTTCATGTATCTAAAAATCCAGCTTGCCTGAACCATACAATAAATAATCCCCTAAAGTTAAAGTCATCAAAAGACTACTATTACTGGATGTCACTGCTCTATGCCAACTTGTCCACAGGCATGTACTTTGGAGTCCACGAGATCGAATCTGACCTCACCTACGCAGACACGGAAATCGCTGACTTCTCGGCCGTTTTCTTCCGAGCCTCACTGGATTGTCTTTTCCGGGCTGGGGCACTGGAACATGCCGACGTGCGATGCATACAAGTCTTCTGTGTTCTCTCTATGTGCTTGCATGCATTAGGCAGCACGTATTTGCACAAGTCTCTTCTTCGCATATCTGTCGAGGCAGCAAAGAATCTGGGATTGGACCAACTGCAATCGGACGACGCTCCAGAATATCAAAGCGAGGTCTTGAAACGCCTTTTCTACAGCCTCATGATTATAGACTCGTTGAGCAACTATCCCAAAAGATACATTGCTGACTTTTCAACCCCGTTGCCGTCCATAATATCATCTGACGTGCTTCTCGAAAAGGTGACTCCCACCCCTCTTGCATTTCCCGAAGCCTGCAATAACAACGAAATTGCAGGCATAATGTACGAGCGCATGATGGTGGAACTTGCACAGCTGAAGCACGAAAGCTATGAGAAGCCTACTGCAACCGAACTGGTCTCCTGTCTCGAGAAAATGAAGATCCTAAGGTCCAAATTAGATACCTACTTTGGATCTAAAGAATACTCTGCCAGCGACAAATCAATAGCTCAGTATGCAAAGTACCTTCTATTTTCCTCCATCACTCGTGAGCGGCTGGAAATTGGTATTCGCATGCAATCTCTCGTCGGCACCCAAGACTGGGCCAAGCAGTACCGTCCCCAGTGCCTGGAGTTTGCAACCCAGCTACTTTTCCACAGCACATCTGCCGGGCTACCTGCCTTTTATAACCGCTATTGGATCGTTGCGCAACATTTAATCTACGCATGTCTGTTTGTGCTCTTGGACATGCTGCTCTTCAAAAGTGACGACGACAAATACAAACTTGACTGTGTCAAGCGCACGTTTCCTACCATTAAAAAATTGCAATCTTACTTCACAGTCAAGATTGGCTTTGCCATAATAGAGAAACTCTGCTATCTCGTGTCCAAAGTGCGCTTAGACCATTTAGAAAACGAGACGTTCGAGGCAATATCGCTCCGTGAGTTCTTGAAGGAAATGGAAATTGCAAACCCATACAGCTCCACACTTTCCAAGAAACGCATCGTGCCAGACATCACAGAGTCCCAATATCTACGTTTTGGCAACGAAGCAACGCACTCAAATAGCACAGCCGGGGGTTTTACGTTTGTTGAGAGAGATCCCCTCACAAGTACTGAGAACGGCTCTAGCATCACATCAGCCATGCTGGATGACAAGGGCTGGTACGAATTCCTGGACTTCTTTTTTGGAGGCGAGTCTGCTGCCTCCATGTCGGAAATCTGATAAAAATATGTACTCCTCGCACCGCAAAGATATCCCCAGACGCATATTTTTTTTCATATATGCCACCTTGTATATACAAACCGACATGGGCAGAAAATTCAACGCGGACGGCACAGTGAACAAGTTTCCAGGCAGCACCGTTGTGTGCCACCTGCCTCAGCAGGGCGAGGGTCGGGAGATGTTCAAAAGGTTGCTGGACTTCTACAGAGCATTTCCTATTCTACTGTTCAAAAACAAAATAAGCATGCTGCCGTCCTCGAGTCTTCATGCGACGATGTTTGACTGCATGCACGAGTACAAACGTCAGTCTGATAGCTGGCCGAAGGAGGTGCCACGAGACTTGCCTATGGAGCAATGCAATGCATGGATGGTGAAGAAGCTCACTGAGACGCCGTTCGAGATTGACTTGCCTATCCGGCTTCAGGTCGACAGAAGCTACGTTGAGCAGACGTCGCACGGGGGCATGGACACGTGGAAAGTTGCTCTGCTGCCTGTGGATGAGAAAGAGGAACAGAAGGTCAGGAAGTTGCGCGTAGATATTGCCAACGCATTGAGCATTCCTCTACCGAGCATCGAGTCGTATAGGTTCCACATGACTATCGCATATTTGAACGAGGAGTTCACCGAGGAGGAGTCGGCGCAGTTGAAGAGAATCAACGATGAATTCCATCAGGAGGGGCACGTTGTGGAACTGGGCCTTCCCGAGGTTTGCCGGTTCGATGATATGTTCTACATGGAAAGACTAGCATATCTAGGACAGAAAAAGTAATACCAACTCCGATGTTTCCAATCTAGGAAGAGTTGTAGGACTAACTTGCGTGCGGCGCCCCACGTTTTTAATTTTTGGCCCCGCGCCATGCACAGGTCCGTACTGACGGAATATCTAGCAACGTACAATTGGCCTCATAAGAATTGAAACAACGTGCTTTCACCAGCAGCCTTGTTGTGCTGAAAAGAAAGCTATTAGGAGCCAATTCCCGAAACCGGTTCCCAATTTGCAAATAACTTGCATCTCTAAATATTTATCTGTGCACATGGCACATTAGGCATTAAAGGAACCTGGGCTGGACACAATGTATAAAAGAGCGGCGATGTGCTTGGCGTACCAGACCGTCAAATGAAGCTGATTTTTGCTGCCCTCCTTGCCGCTGTCCAGGCTGTCCGTCTTAGCGAGCTGCAAAACCAACTAGGCAGCTGGCCTGCTACCGACTCTGGACCTTCAGATGATGATTTGATTAGAGTCTCGCTCGACGAGCTCTACTCCATCGGCAACAACACCAAGCTGAGCGATTGCGACAAGTGCAAGCAGCGACTGCTATACGCCAAATCGCTGGCCCTTGTCAAGCCCACGTTGATTCCTTCAATTTTCACCGAATGGTGCATCGGGACCAACGCATTGAAGAAAGATACGTGTTTGCGCATTTTCGGCAGAACGACCGTTGAAAACTCGTATGCAGGCTCCAATTTTGGCGACATGGTGTCCCTGATGGACCCAACTTCCTACGACGGCGACTATTACTGCCACTACTTTGAGTCGGCATGCGATTATGTCTCGCCGCCAGAAATCGACGCGTCGAAACTCTGGGGAGGCAGCAAGCCGGACGAGTACAAAGCTGCTCCCGAGGCCGGAAACGAGACATTCTACGTTCTGCACGTGTCTGATTTCCATATTGAGAACGACTATGTCGTTGGCGGAGAAGGTAACTGTTCTGCCAGTATGTGCTGCACTCCGCATTCGTTCAACAAATACCCGGTTCCTCAGGGTTACGACATCTCGGACAACTCGTTACTAGAGGGTGGTCCTGGAGAAGGCTGGTCGTTCTACAACTCATCGTATGTGGACAACGTTTTCGAGAAGGGCCTGTACGTTGGCTACAACGAGTCTATTTGGTGGCCAGCATCCAGTTTTGGCCACTATAACTGTGATGCTCCGGAGCTGCTGATCAATAACACGTTGAAAGCGGTGACGAGCCTCAACCAGCAGCTGAACTTGAGCTACGAGTTTGCTATTTTCACGGGCGACTTGGTCGACCACGACGAGACGCGATATATCAGCTACGAATCGACTCTACTGGCAGAAGAGTCCACGTTTAGAGACGTCAAATACCAACTCCACGACATTCCGATGTTTCCTGTGCTTGGAAACCACGATACGTTCCCTTACGGACAGATGGCACAGAACAAATACGGCTTCTCCAACAAATTCGACTGGAACAATGAGCTGATGGCCGAGCTGTGGAGAGACTATGGCTGGATCGATTTTGACGTGGAGCAGCAGGTCAGCGAGCACTACACCGGCTTCAGTGTCAAAACCCGGCGCGGCCTCAAGGTCATCGCTCTCAACTCCAACTCGTGGTACATTTCCAACCTTTATGCTTTCATCAACATGACCCAGGACTACGACTCTTTTGGCCAGTTCCAATTTCTGGTCGACGAGCTACTCGACTCCGAGTCAAAGGGCGAGCGAGTCTGGCTGATAATGCACGTGCCGGCCGGCGCAGACATGCTTCCTGTTGCTTCCCAGGTGTTTGCACAGGTGGTTGAGAGATTCTCGCCGCACACGATTGCGGGAATTTTCAACGGACATACACACAGAGACGAGTTTAAGGTTCTGTACTCGGGTTTCAACGGGTCCAACATGGACGCCCAGACGGCAGACAACGCGATTGCACACACGTGGATCGCTCCGTCGGTGACCTCATGGATTGGCCTGAATCCATCCTTTCGGTTCCTTGAGGTGGACTCCAAAACATTTTCCGTGATGAACGCCTACACCTACTACTTCAATCTGAGCGAGACCTTCACCAACAACGGCACGGAACCTGACTGGCAGCTGGAGTACGACGCCAGATCGGCTTACGGTGTGGACTGGCCGGAGTCGGCTCCTTTAAATGCCACGTACTGGCACGAGGTGTCGCAGAAAATTGGCAGCAGCAACTCGTCGCTTCAGCAGTACGAGGATTTTGCAACCAGGTACTCACCGTACACCTACGACTGTTCTGAATCGGACAATTGTGACACTTTCTATTGTTATGTCTCGACGTTCACGATTGACCAGTACGTCAGGTGCTGCGAGCACTTTGGTCTAGATCCGGATGTTTGAAAATTTGACTGCCCTACGGGTATGTTTTAGTAGCAGCCAAAAATTTAATCAAAGTATCTATTATCTGGAGTCAAGCTTTCCTGGCAGAGGTGTCTAGTTAATCAGAGTTTGCTACGGTTCTACCTTCAACTCAAAAAGATACGAAACGGGTGAAGGCTGCCACTGCAATGACGAGGCTTATATATGGCTGTAGCTACTGGACCATCTTGATAAGAAGATGGGAACCACAAAATATATGAGCGTCTCCATATTTCTTTCATTCGACAATTAGTTGCATGGGACGTCTTCATCGACCCTACCTTCACGTATCACCAGCTATGGATGAACAGCGCTGGAGAGCTCAATGGCCGGTTCTGCCACTTCAAAATCAAAATCTTCAGCTACAACCCAGCTTCTTCTACTCGAATCTTCAAACAGGGTGAGAAAACCGCTCTATCCTCTTCTGTGTTGCTCCTTTCTTGGAATGGCGGCGTCTTGATAGATGTTTGATTCATGCCTCAAATCTAATAGCTAGTCACGATCACCAACATGAACTCTCGCATGCAATGGACTTGACAGAGAAAGGGTATCGACCCTGAGGCTTACGAAGTTCAGTCATTAAAATAGATAAACGTGATTTGACTTTTCGTGCTAAACCTCAAAATTAGAGTTCAACATTTGAAGGCCGTGGGCTCGGAAGAGACAAGTTTTTGGAACCTGTGTCTGCATAGTTGTCTACCTCTTCTATCCTACCTTTCTTGCGCTACTTCAGTTGTTGAGCAATAGTGGTTATCTAACATGCTCCGGTAAATCCATAGCTTTGCGCTGCGATATTGAGCTATGCCTAAAAAGAAAGGAGTTTTCGAGTAAATCCAAGATAAAGAAGCTTTGAGGCATGTCAGATATATCCGTTAGCGATGGCTAGCAATGACATCAAGTCTAGGTTGACACAGATCCTCAACTCAGTAAAAGACTCATAGTCCCGGCCAACATGCTTAGAAGAAGAGCTACTCCAAAACTCCTTTTTGGGACAAAGTCCGCCTATCATAAGAAGTCATTTGGCATAGTGCGGACTGCAGTCACACGGCGACTGACAACAATAGAGTCAATTTTTCTGTATTGTAACTGGGCGTTTCCCTATTCGGCAACTGCGCAACAATAGTTTCACTACATTTGAAAATAATCCGAATAGGTTCTAGTTTACTGCTGCAAGTGGGGGAAAACGGAAGTAGAACACACCACGAGGGGCCTCATACATGTACTAAAATAATATTACAGATGTGTTATACTAGTAGTTCATGACTTGGGATGAATAATGGTTTGCAGGTTGAATTCAGGATCGACCCCAATTTCGTCGACCCCACTGGTATGAGCCCTTTCTATCCAGCCCGCACAGTGATGTTCGTGAACCAGCCCAAGGTGTCACGCGTTTTTGCGCCATGTGCGAAGTGTGGCATTTTCTCGTTTTAGCGCAAGAACGGACCGGCTTCGCAACTGCGCCCCTGACAACATTTCCGAATACGGAAGGCGTCCAACTTACAGCTTTACCGGCCGACTATCGGACTTGTTTACTAAAAGTACATTGGTCTATTGAGCTATCGAAGCTGGCTGCTGTAATATATCGTCCCTAGTAGAATCTTGGCGTTCGTTCTGGATCCTCTGTTCCTGTTTCCGTAGGTGTATCTTATGGTGTCTGATCAAGTTTGACCGCACGGAAAACGGTTTTCCACAGCTCTCCCACTGGCATCTAAACGGCTTCTCGCCAGTGTGACTGTACATGTGGATCTTCAGCCCTGAAGGCCTATTGAACACCTTCTGGCAGATGAAACAGCATCGGTTTTTGCGAGACAGCTTCGGTTCCTCTCTTTCACTGCCTGTTGCAGACCGTTCGGAGAACGTATTCCTGCGCTTCACCTTCTGTAAGGCATTCTGATTATACAGTGTTGCTATTGGGAAAGATTGGACTCTTGGAATGTCCTTGTGCTCCGATAGGCCTTCCCTGCCGACGTTGACGGGCGTTTGAAGCAGCGACTGCCCAGCTGCTGGCACCTGGTGCGGTGAAGAAGTGTAAGTAGCGTCGATGGTAGGATGCGGGGTGATTTTCTCGAAGGAAGTGGTTCCTTTGCTTATTGATTGCGGAGGCGTGGGAAGCGGTGGATAATGCTGGGATTCGGTCGATTGGAACGCATAATTCCCCTGTGTCTGGGTCTGGCTGTTATTGTAAGACTCGAGCTGTCCGAGATCAAGCGAAGAAGCCGTGTGTCTTGGCCCCTGCTGGTAATTGATCCGCAGCTGAGGAGCGTTGTAGCTGGTGGGACCTGTGAGGACGAAGTCGTGGTGAGCAGGCTGGGTTGCACTCATATGCTGTGGCACATACTGGCTATATGCGAGCACTTCAATGAACTCGCTATAGGGCAAAGAGGCTGACGGATCCATCGAGCGTTTAGGCTATCATTCAGAGCTGCCGAATAGTACGGGAAATTATCAGTTTATATATGAGCAAATATGCAGGATGTCGATGGTTAACGGTTTTATCCTGCAGGAGACCAGGAAGGTAGTACACAGGTTACGCTGGCTGGCGATTTATCGGGTGGCGCATACATATGCCAAGTCTTGACAATAGACGTCTTCAAATCTTATCAGCCTAATGGTGCTCCACGCGTATTGCCGTGGGCGTCCTTTTGTTGCGCAAACTAATTCTGGTCAGGGGAACTGTATGAAATACCTACTGTGCCGTATCGACGCATCTGAGATTAATCTTTTTCCTAAAAGGGAATTCCCTACATGCTAGCGGTCTGTGGCGGTCACCTCATTTTGGTACAGCTCTTGGCTACTGTGCGGCCCCAACGACTATCTGGGTCCAGCACAGTGCCGCTGCGGTGGATTGGCAGAATTTCCGCTCCTCAACCATGTGGCGCGGTGCAAACGCCACTCCTCGCACCTGCATACAGACCTTAGTAATGCGTCTAGAATCAGGTTTTTGGACAATCTCCAGATTCCGCGCGCACCTGACCCTTGCTTAATTGGGCGATCATCTTTGGTGTACCTGGACTAATACAAACTGCACTCCCCAATTTGGCATTTTTACTGACAGCCTGCAGAAAGTTGTTCCAAGACCCGACTGCTTTCAACTGCCGGTGCACAGGTTACCTATCACCTGTGGGCGAATCGGCAACTTTGAGAGCTCGGTCCGCTCGGCGCCTCGAAATGCAGTCGCAAGCTGTTTTCCCAGCTCTGTTTTCGGATAATCGGTGCCAGACTTGCTTTTCTGTCAAACTTATGTAGCCCAACCTACCTGATCTTCGCCCTGCAAGCAACGGTTTCCCTTTTCCACTGGTGTCAAAGTTTACTCGCTAAATAGGCATTGCAGGCTGGGACAGGACGATCACTGAACAGCCCAAAGATCTAGGCTTGCAACGGGTGCCATTGCGTAATTGATTACGTACGCTGTATGTTTTTTTTTTGTGCCTCCATCCGTGCACCGGCTGGGGAAAAAAAATTTAAAAAATTTTAGAAAATTTTTTTAAATCATATCTCCTATCATGCAACTCACCTGGAAAGACATTCCAGCGGTCCCCACGTCCAACGACATGTTGGACATTGTCCTGAACAGGACTCAAAGAAAGACGCCGACCGTGATCCGTCCAGGATTCAAGATTCAGCGTATCCGTGCGTTCTACATGCGTAAGGTCAAATTTACGGCTGAAGGGTTCACAGAGAAATTTGAGGATGTGTTGAAAGGATTTCCAAACATCAACGACGTCCATCCGTTTCACAGAGACCTGATGGACACCTTGTACGAGAAAAATCACTACAAGATCTCTCTGGCAGCTGTTTCCCGTGCCAAGACGCTGATCGAGCAGGTTTCCAGGGACTACGTGCGACTGCTGAAGTTTGGCCAGTCTCTTTTCCAGTGCAAGCAGCTCAAGCGTGCTGCTCTGGGACGGATGGCCACAATTGTCAAAAAGCTGAAAGATCCGTTTGCGTATCTTGAGCAAGTGAGACAGCATTTAGGCCGTCTGCCGTCGATCGACCCAAACACCAGAACGCTGCTTATCTGCGGATACCCCAACGTTGGTAAGTCCAGTTTCCTCAAATGCATCACCAAGGCCGACGTCGAGGTCCAGCCGTACGCGTTCACCACCAAGTCGCTGTACGTGGGCCATTTCGACTACAAGTACCTGCGGTTCCAGGCCATCGACACCCCTGGTATTCTGGACCGTCCGACAGAGGAAATGAACAACATCGAGATGCAGAGTATCTACGCCATTGCGCACCTGAGATCGTGTGTTTTGTACTTTATGGACCTGTCTGAGCAGTGTGGTTTCAGCATTGAGGCACAGGTCAAGCTGTTCCACTCGATCAAGCCTCTGTTTGCCAACAAGTCTGTGCTTGTTGTTGTGAACAAGACCGACATTATCCGGATCGAGGACCTCGAGGAAAGCCAGGCGCAGCTGGTGCAGAGCGTGATGGACGTTCCGGGCGTCGAGCTGATGCAGACGTCGTGCTACCAGGAGGAAAACGTGATGGAGGTGAGAAACAAGGCCTGTGAGAAGCTGCTCACGTCGAGAATCGAGCAGAAGCTCAAGGGCACTGCGAGAGTGACAAACGTGCTCAACAAGATCCACGTTGCGAGACCGCAGGCCAGAGACGACGTCGAGCGCGTGCCGTTCATCCCCGACGAGGCAAAGAGGCTCGACCGGTACGACCCAATGGACCCAAACAGACGGAAGCTGGCACGTGACATCGAGGCCGAAAACGGCGGTGCTGGTGTGTTCAACATCAACCTGAAGGAGAAGTATCTTCTGGAGGACGAGGAGTGGAAGAACGACGTGATGCCCGAGATTCTGGACGGCCGCAACGTGTACGATTTCCTGGATCCCGAGATCAGTGCCAAACTGCAGGCTCTGGAGGAAGAAGAGGAGAGACTGGAGCAGGAAGGATTTTACGACTCTGACGACGAGATCGAGGACGACGAGGTGGCCGAGCTGCGGGAGAAGGCCGAGTGGATCAGAAACAAGCAGAAGCAGATGATCCAGGCTGCGCGGTCGCGCAAGGCGCTCAACAACAAATCGATCATGCCGCGGAGCAAAATCACCAAGAGCTACTCTGAGCTGGAGAACCACATGTATCACGTGGGCCACGATGTGAGCAAGCTGAGAGAGAAGCGCGAGAAGGCCGGCGGAGCCAGAGAACTGACGGGCTCGGACTATGTGCGTGCGCTGGATGAGGACAGAAAGGCACCGGCTCCTGCCAACCAGAGTGACAGACTGAACAGCGGGCTGAGCGACGGAGCTCTGCGCAGCAAGGCAGAGAGAATGGCCAAGGCAGAGAGAAGAGAGAGAAACAGACAGGCGCGGGCCGGAGAGGCCGACCGCAGAGAGGTGGCCATGATGCCTAAGCACCTGATGAGCGGAAAGAGAGGAGTTGGAAAGACCGACAGAAGATGAGCGCATAATATCGCCAATACAGCTATCTAGTACCCTTATCCAGTACTTGCAGTACTTGCAGTAATATTCCAATGCCCCTAACCTATATTTCCGTGCCTATTCCATTACAAACTGCATCTCCCATAGCTCTCTACCTCCCTTGTCGATCCGGTCGCGGAACTCTCTAAATTCGTTTCTCTCGTTCACGAGCTCGTCTGCCGGCTTGCTGCGCCGTCTCAGCTCCTCTGTCGTGAGCAGCTCGCTCAAAGATCCAGGGACAAAGTCCTCCAGACTATCCATATTCTCGTCCGATTCAACCGCTGTGTCGTCCACCGTGGTGAACGACGCGTACAATGCAGGACCCAGGCCTTTGGGCGAGCCCGTCGTGGAGCACGACCATATAGACTGCGTGAACGGCGAGGCCGACAGACTCAGCCGCGGCCGGCTCCACTCGCTCGTGTCGCTCGACGTGCTGGACGCAGACGTTCTAGGCCGGGCTGGCTTTGTGCTCTTGGAGCTGACACGGCGACCGTCCGGCAGCATGTGGACCAGCGCACACTTGGCCCCAAACCGACAGTTGCCTTTCTGGAAGTACTTGCAAACGTTAGTTTCGCTAGCAGACTCTGTAGAGTGCGAAAACGGGCAGGAGTTGCCAGCCTGACAAGCTCCCTGCTTGAAAAACTTGCAAGGTACGTGGGATAAATCTACACTGTTAGCAGGCCGGGCGTCCACGCATACTCACTCTTGTTGGGAGGACTCTTGTTGATTTCCACCATGAGGACGGATTGTTTTTTAGATAGATTGAGATAAGAGTAATTTTTGGCAGAAAAATCTGTCACTAGAGATAAGTGAAACGGTGTGTATTTTAATCGTCAGAGCCATATCACGTGCGCTGGAAATGCGCATACAACAGAGCCAGAGACACACACCTCCAGCCACAGCCACAAGAGGTGGACTCCTGGGCCAAGAGCCATAGATATGCAATAGCAGGTGTGGACGATGACATAATGGCTGCGCGTGCCGATGAAATTTGACAGAAAATTAGGCTGCTTACATAGACGCAACGTTCATGCTCGCTTACTCGTTGTAGTGGTACACCAGGTAGTTTGGCAGCCCAAACACCTCGTAGCCGAGTCGTTTCGCCATCTTGGCAAACCCTTCTGTCTCTATAAGGTGGTAGAACGGGAAGCTAGGGAACATCGCGCCGTCTCTGTGAACATCGGCCTTCACAAGCAAACACGTTCCTCCCACGCCGTCCAGCTGCATTTCTGTGTTCACGTCTCCGTTCGGGTCGTAGAAATGTCCCATCAGCGGCCTGTACGTGGCCAGCTCCGCGTACGCCTCCACAATGATCTCGTCGTCGCTCATCGTCGAGGCGATCCGCAGCCCCTCCTCGCTCTCGACCCAGTTGTTAAAATCGTACGGCCGAATCGCGTCCTGCTTCTTCTCCTCGTCGTAGTACCGCTGGTAACAGTTGGCAGCAATCACAGGCTTATCGTGCGACACGAGGTCCTGGATCAACGTCGGTGGAGTCTCCACGATGTCGCCGTCCAGCCACAGCACCCACGACGTGTACGGGCCAATCGTGGTGAACAGCAGCGAGTTCCTGGCAACGGCCATCTGCGACCGTCTCTGTTTCTGGACCTGGAACGCGTGTCTGTCCTTCTCCGATTGTGAGTCCAGGGCCTCTGTATCTTGCCGCAAAATGGTCACTTTGGCAAACTTGGCGTCTTTGGTGTTCTTCGGGTTCTGTATCTTCTTGACGGCCGTCTCCAGCTTGCGCAGCGCCGCGTCGCCGTCGGCCGTTCTGGGCACAATGAATCCAAGCTCAATGAGCTCTCTAGGATACGTCAGCTTCAGCAAGTTGTCCCAGTACTGGTCCAGGAACTTCGCCATCGGGGTCAGAATCAGCACCCGTTCTTTGTTGTACGCTGCCATCGGCGTAGAAGCCAACTTGTTAAGATCATAGTGGGAGATATGGTCGGCCGGCAAGTTGCGAGGAATCACGTCGTTTTTCTTGATTTTCTTGTATTTGTAGGGACTATTAGGCTTCGTTTCGTGGCTGGAGCCAAATATCAGCCAGAGAAAGCCGATAACCGCCAGCAGCGGCACCACCAACCGCAACGGTTTATGCACAAACATGACAACAAGAAATATAGAAAAAAACTTGTACACGAGGTGTACGGATTTTTGGAGGGACAAATATTTTGCCGCCGACGAGTGGAGAAAGTGGGTCGACGGGTCGGCCGCTTACCACCACTTGCCAATGCAGCCATTGCGGCCCCCTCTTCCCCTCTTTGGCCCTCTGGCGGTAGCCTATAAGATAGCAAGGTCGTTAGAACGGCAGGACATGTAGTTTCCCAGCGCGGCGGAGCACACTACTTTCGCATCAACGGAGGTTGAGCGTTCTGTAGTTGACGACACGGGCAGGACAATAGGGGGTGCCGACGCATTCTAAAGTGGGGCAACCATGCCGCTGACACTAGTGGAATTCCCTGCGCACGACCGCGTACCCCGTCAGGATCGACTTTTTTGGGGTGCGGCTTTAGCCCAATGCGGCAGAACATTGGTGGAGTCCGAGGGTGCAAAAAGTCTCCTCACCTTTGTCGTTGTATTGCGGAAGTAAAGAGGAGATGGACTCCGGTACCCCTATAAATACTCGCACCTCCCGCTCTGCATCACAACAGACTTGGCCATGTCTAACTCAGATTCCTTTTCTCACGACATCGAAAAACAAACCACGATAGACGCTTTGCAATCAAAGCACAAGCCTTCTACAGCCTCGGCCTTCCGTCACGATGATCAGCACATCTACATCAACGACCAGGCCATCGACAAAAACGACTTCATCTACGCCTTCGGCGGCTCGCTCAACGTCGGCGCCAGAAAACAGACCCCCCATGCCAGACAGCTGAGCGACCCGGTGCCTGCTGGTCTGGCAGCCTTCAGTTGCTCTGCCCTGTCCCTTGGCTTGGTCCAGCTGCACGCACGTTCCGTGCACACGCCCAACGTGCTTCTAGGCGCGTTCCTCACCACTGCAGGACTCGTCGAGATCATTGTTGGTGTGCTCTGTTTCATCATCGGCAACACCTGGGCCTGCTGCACTTTCCTCATGTTTGGAGGTTTCTGGAGCTCCTACTCGTTCCTGCTCATGGACGTTGGTGGCATTGCTGCCAGCTATGCCACCACCGAAGAATACAACCAGGCCATCGCACTCTACTTCCTGCCTTGGGCAATATTCTCGTTTGCTCTGTTTGCCTGCACGTGGAGGTCCACCTACAGTTTGGCCTTCCTGATGTTTTTGATCTGGTTCTTCATTCTTCTCTTCACCATCGGCCAGTTCATCACCTCTGTCGGAACGTTCAAGGCAGGAGGCTACATCTGTATGCTTAGTGGAGTCATGGGCTTCTACAACATGTTTGCAGGGCTTGTGGACGACACCAACAGCTACTTCACCATCAAGCCGTTCTACCTGCCTAATGCCGTTAGACCAGGAAAGACCGAATAAGGGTGCTGTTCTGGCGTCCGGACTTTGTGGTCCTTTCCGTAGTTACGTACATTTTACGACTGCGCTAATACTTAGTTGGAATATACTGTTTTTTTCTCATCCCGATGCCGAAATAATTTTGCCGAGATACTTTTTTCCCGTATTTCAATGAACTCGTCTTCCGTCCACGCCTACCACGCAAAAAACACCGTCAAGCTGCAGCTGAAGGAGTCTACGCCCGGCTCGCAGATCCCGTTTGCAGGCCTCGTCACCTCCACGCCAGAACTCCGGGACAAGCACCGGTTTAGCCTGCATCCGCTGCTCTTTAACAGCGTCCTCCAGAACATGTACATTGGCCAGGCCGACTTCTCGAAAGTGCACACCGTGTACTACGGCCGCCGGATCATCGAGTCGACCTATTTGCCCGGCCAGTTCACGCTCGATTACCACGTGGACCCTGAAGATCCCGAGGTTTTCGCTCAACGGTCTGCGGCCACACAGCCCGAAAATTATCCAAAGCTGCATCCCAGAACCAGATACTACACGGAGCAGGAAATAGACCGGGTGCACAAAAAGTGGCAGGAGAACACGCTTCCGATAGTGCTGGTGTTGCACGGGCTTTCCGGCGGCTCGCACGAGCAGAATATCCGCTCGATCGTGGACCATCTGGAGGGCACCGCCAACGTGGCTGTTCTCAATAGCAGAGGCTGTGCGCGGTCGAAAATCACCACTCCGACGCTGTTTTCGGGCCTGCACACCGACGATCTGCGGCAGACCGTGCAGGATCTGCGCACACGGTTCCCGGACAGACAGCTGCATCTCGTTGGGGTCTCTCTTGGCGGCCTGATTTTGAGCAATTATCTCGCCGAGGAGTCGGAGAAGTCGCTGGTCACGAGCGCGTTCACCGTTGGAGCTCCGTGGAATTTGCAGAGCGACATGGAAGCGCTGACCCGCTCGGTTGCTGGCAAATACATGTTTGAGCCGTACATCAGACAGATCCTGTTGAGAGTGCTCAAGTCGAACATCAAGGGCTTGAAAGCCAACCCGGACTTTGACGAGCAGGAGTTCCTAGACTTATACAAGAACGCCACACACGTGTCCCAGATCGACGACCGCTACACGTGTCGCGAGGCAGGTCTTCCTTCGGCCTCCACGTACTACATGGCAGCGTCTCCGCTGATCAGAATCTTCAAGATCAAGACTCCGATGGTGATTTTGAATTCGCTGGACGACCCGTTCCTCAGCTGCAACTACCCGGTCGCCGAAGTGCAACGCAACCCGTATCTATACATGGCTAGCACCGATAAGGGAGCACACTATGCGTATGTGGACCCCAAGGGAGACATGTGGTACTCGCCGGTCATCAAGAGGTATATCGAGTCCTGGAAGGACATAAAGGACGTTCGTCCGGACGATGGCGGCTTCAATGTGAAACAGACCAAATTTAAAGACGCTATAGATTTATATTGAGCATAGAGATTAAAAAAAATACATTTTATTTTTTATTTTTCATGGAGTTTTCTTGCGGATTGTGCCAGGAGGTATTTGGCGGGTTCCGCAAGGCCCAGAAACACATCAGCACCAGCAACCACTACCGGTTCAAGGCGGGGTCCAATGACGTGGCGTGCGAGAGGTGCGGCATGATGAACGTCGCAGATCTCGTCGTGCTACAGTTTGGAGGCAACAAGCTGGACCTGGTGTGTCGGCGGTGCGCAGGCGGCGTCAAGAGCATGCGTGAGTACGCCCTGGGCAAGACGGACAACTTCATGAAGATAGTTGCAGACTATTATGTCGTCAAGAAGGCCGGCCCTGGCGACGACGACGACTATCTGGTCAAGGTCACCGGAGACGATCAGTATCGTCTGCGAGACCGCAAGAAAGGCAAGGGTCGGTCCTTTGGAAAACCGACCCGTCCTACTGCCAAGCGAGAGACGCCAAGGGGTCCAAAGGGTCCAAAAGATTTTTCCCAGCCTGAAAAAGGCTCACAGACCACACAGGATGAAGCACAGAAAGACGGGCTAAAACCCCAGGCTAAACCGTCCTCAAAGCCTGAAAAACCTGTCAAAAGCAAGAAAGTCTCTGTCAAAGGACCAAAGGGCCCAAAAGGGCCCAAAGAGACGAACGGTAGGAGTGGCAAGAACCAGCCACCAACAGCTAAAGCCAAGGCCACGGAGAGAGGAAAGACCGGCGGAGCTAAGCAGAAACCGTCTCCAACGCCTTCCGTCTCTGCTCCGTCCATCAATTCCCAAATTGTGCTTGTTGAGCAGCTCATCAGGTCCACGGCCACAGAAATTCCCCTCAAATACGAGTCTCTTCCTGAATATTTCCACCACCTCTGCTACGGGCTTTTCCTTGAAGAATTATTTGAGACCCAGTTTTTGACAAGGGTCACAGTGACCTGGTCTCGCGAAAACCCTTACGGAGAGTTCACTGCTGAGGTTGACAAAAGAGAGGCCGAGGAGTACTCGAAAAACGATCCGTTGTCTCACCTGAAAAACGGACCGTTCAGCAGAGGCCAGGCGTTTTTCCTCGTGCGCAAGTCGGCCGTCAAACTCGCAGAGAGGCCGGAGTTCTGGTGCTGTGCGGCACAGTTTTCCAAGATGTCACGCAACTCCAACAAAGTCACCGTTCCGATGGACGTCTACAAGTGGAACCTCGAGCCTATTCCGTCCGGAGCGCCCGTGTCGGGTTTTGCGCTGCTTCCGTGCGGAGCTGTGGTCACGAGAGTGATGCAGGCGATTGAGAGACTGGAAAACACCCACTTCAAAGACATGCTGCTGGGTCAGAAGCCGATCCGGCAGATCTTCTTCAAAAACAGAATTGCCAGCCTCAAAAACACCCTGAACGAGTCGCAGTCTGTTGCTCTGCAGTCGGCTCTAAACAACCAAATCACCATCCTAAAGGGCCCTCCAGGGTCAGGAAAGACGTCCACGATTTACGAGATGATCCTGCAATTGCTGGACCAGCTGCATTACCACCCGATTCTCGTGGTGGCAGCTTCCAACATTGCCGTGGACAATATTGCCGAGAAAATGATGAAGGACCACAAAGACGACATCATCAGAGTGCTCTCCATGGCAAAGGAGAGCGAGTACAACAAAGACCATCCGCTTGCAGACATCTGTCTGCACCACAAAATCAGAGACCGTCTGCCGTCCCATGCTCAGGATACGTTACGTAATCTTGCAACCGGCAAGGCGCACAAGGTGTCCAAGAACCAGTTCAAAAAGTTGATCGAGACCAACAAGGACTTGAGCAGGCTGCTGATTGGCCAGGCCAAGGTGATCTTCTCGACCACCGTGGCCATCGGAGGCCCACATTTGCGCGATCTCGCGCAACTGCCAGTGGTCATCGTCGACGAGGCCACGCAGTCGTCGGAGCCCAGCTCGCTTATTCCACTCGCGGCTCCGAACGTCCAAAAGGTGATTTTCGTTGGAGACGAGGCCCAGCTGAGCTCATACACCCGCGTGAAGTCGCTGGAGATGTCTCTTTTCGAAAGAACGCTCAAAAACGGCACTTACCAGTCTCCGCTCATGTTTGACACACAGTATAGAATGCACCCGGAAATCAGCGAGTTCCCGCGGATGGAGTTCTACGAGGGCAAGCTGAAGGACGGTATCACAGCCGAGGACAGAAAAGTCGCCGGAATCTCGTACCCGGTGTTTTTCTGGGACCATGCTGGTGACGCCAGAGAAAGCAGGGTCCGCTCGCTCAGAGTGGGCGAGGAGACCGGGTACACGTATGTGAACCGCGGCGAGGTGGAGCGCGTTTCGAGGATCGTGGAGACGTTGGTTGTGGACAAGCAGATTGCTCCATCGCGCATCGGCGTGATCACGCCGTACGCCGGCCAGAGAGACCTGATCTCGGCCAGTTTCAAGGACAACCTGCTCATCAACCCGGAGAAACAGGAAGTCCAGGTCCAGGTCGACAAGGAGGACGTCGAGAGCGAGTCCAAGGCGGCCACTGTGCACCAGGTGAACGGCATTCTTGTTGCGTCGATCGACGCGTTCCAAGGACGCGAGAAAGACTTCATCGTCATGTCGTGTGTGCGGTCCAACACCGAGCGCAACATCGGGTTTCTGAGAGACCGCAGACGGCTGAACGTGGCGCTGACCCGTGCCCGATGCAGTCTGCTGTTTGTAGGCGACGCGCACTGTCTGAAGGGTGACCAACTGTGGCGGTCCTACATCGAAGGTTTGGAACGGAAAAATTACGTCCAGCAGAAACTGGTGTACTAATAAATTTATAGACTTTATAGATTAATTATCTAACTTATTTAATTAATTTTTTCTCTGCTACCCAAGAGATGAGGCGCAACTTCCTGCAGCCAGTCGAGCTCAATCATGGAGACCGCCCGTGCGTAGCCCTTGACCGTGTAGACGTACTCGATGTACATGATTGCCGGCTTCCGCTGGCCAAATAGCAGCGACGACGGGTGCACGCTGACCAGGTCGCCCGTGGCCACCGTGCGGTAGCTTCTGTCGGGCATTCCGATGGCTGTGTTGGTGAGAAACCCGGAAAGAAACGCCTTGAGCACAAGCTTCGCATCCAGCGGGCCGTCGCTCTCGTGCATCTTCAGCATGCCCATGTACTCGGCAATTTGTCTGCGCACACGCATAACGTCCTTGAAACCCTTAAAATTAATGCACAGCTGTTTGCACCAGTCCTTGCGCTCTGTGTTGTCTGCGAGTGAGACATACAGGTCGAACAGCTCTTTGAGCATCAGTAGATCGCCGTAGATAGTGCCCAGTTTGCACGTGTCCTTCCTGCGCTCGTTCACCTCATCTCTTCTCTCGCTTGGAGGAGACATGAGCAGATTGTCCACGGAAAGACACGCCACAATATCTATGACGGGGCCTAGACACCCCAGTTCGTGTGCGCGGATCAGAACGGCCGCCAGGTGCGGCGCCACGGGCAAAACCACCATTTTTTCGCCCAGCTCTGTGATCTGGCCCCTGTCGTTCAGAGCATTCAGAGAATAAAGTTGCTGCAACGCTGCCACCAGGCTCTCGCGACCCGGGTTTTCGAGCCAGTGCCACCCCAGAATATCGCTCACGCCCATCTTCTTCAACATGAGCACCGGCGAAATGACGTCGGAGCGCAGAATCTCTGGCTCTGTGTTGTCGCTCAGCTTGAAATAGTCTGTCTCCTTGTACAGTCTGTAGCATTTTCCAGGCGCCTCTCTGCCAGCACGTCCTGCACGCTGGGCCGCCGACGCTTTGGAGATCGGCGCTATGAGCAGCGTCGACAGTCCCAGCTGGTGTCTCCACACTTTCACCTTCCGCAGCCCAGAGTCCACCACGTACCGGATGCCCGGCACAGTAACCGACGTTTCTGCGATATTTGTGGCCAAGATGACCTTTCGCTGGTTCGCCTTGACCGGTCTGAACACCTCCATCTGCACGTGCGATGGCAGCGCGGCATAGAGTGGCATCGGCACCAAGATAGGTGCCTCTTTGGGCAAAATGGGAGCAAGCTTGCCCAGGGTGTCTACCACCCTGTCGATGTCCTCCTGACCGGCCAAAAAACACAGAATGTCGCCTGTCGGCTCTGTCTGGTTTAACTGAACGACAGTCTTGATCACCGTGTCCACTATGTCCTCCACCGGCTGGCCTAAATAAAATCTCTCGACAGGATACATTCGTCCTTCGACGAAGAAAATCGGGGCGTTGTTGAAGAATTGCGAGAACCGCTCTGCGTCCAGAGTGGCCGACATGATAATCACCCTGAACTCGTCGTCGGCACGTTTATTGAACACCAAATCTTTCAGAAAACCTATGAGCAGGTCTGTCAAAATAGTTCTTTCGTGTGCCTCGTCAATGATCACGGTGCTGTATCGAGACAGCAACGGGTCTAGCATCAGCTCTCTCAGCAGCATACCGTCCGTGATATACTTTAGTTTCGTCTGGCGGCTGGAAACATTGTTGAATCTCACCGAGTATCCAACTTCTCGTCCCAGAACACACCCGTACTCCTCGGACACTCTTGTTGCCAGATTGATGGCAGCCACTCGTCTCGGCTGCGTCACGGCAATTCCCTTGTTGTTCTCGTCCATCAGAAACTGCGGGATCTGGGTGGATTTTCCCGATCCAGTCTCTCCAATCAGCACACACACCTTCGCAGAGCGGACCTGCGTCAAAAGCTCGTTTTTCACCTGGTAAACGGGGAGCGACTCGCGTACAGAAAGCAGCTTGGCCGCTTTCTGTTTGATGAGCCGAATATCCACGTGCTTGCGTCCGGTTGCGAGCTTCTCGTTCTCCTCCTCGCTGTCATCCTCGTCTGATCCAAACTCTACCGTCACGGGAGCTTTGCCCACCCGTTCTCTTTGGCGCGCCACAACATTGAAATTCGCCTTTGCTTGCGGTTTCCTGGGCGTCTCGGCCTCCCCACCAGACACATCGTCCCCAAACTTGATCTTCCTGTTCTGTCTATTGGCCATAAAAAATTTCAGAGGCAGTGTAAAATAAATAAAACCAAAATTTATTATTTATGCCCCTATGACATGTTGAAAACGTCGTTCCAGCAAAAGCTGGTCATTGTTCAGTCCAGTCTGCTGCTGCTGTCTTTTCTGTTCCAGCTCATAGCTCTATTATCCGTTCCTCTCACGCAGTCGATCTATCTCTGCAAGTTCGAGGGCTACAAGTTTGGGGTTTTCGGTCTCTGCGACGCAGACTCGTGCACAGAACCCCGTCTGGGCTACAACCCATCCCAGCTCACGAACCTGGGCGGCTTTTCGCTGCCCTCAAACGCAAGACACAGCATCAGCTATCTCCTTGTGGTGCATCCCATCTCGCTCATATTCACCTTTGTCCAAATGACGCTGACGCTGCTGCTCCTCAACCCGCGCTTCTCTAGCTCCTCCAAGTTTTTGCTCGCCGTGCTTCTGTGGTCCCTGCCCACGTTTTTGCTGTCCCTGCTCTCCTTTCTCGTCGACCTCATTTTGTTCATCCCGCACCTCGAATGGTGCGGCTGGACGATCCTGATGTCGGCCCTGTGCACGGCCATCTGCGGCACCATGCTGTGCATCACCCGAAGAACCATCACGTCACGTGAGGAGTACTTGCTGCTCGATAACCGCATGGGCAATATGTACCGACTCGACGACCTCCCCAAGGACCCCAACCAGTCGGCGATCTCCACGCTGGCTCCCACGCTGCTGCGCTCGCGAGCGTCGAGCTCGATGTACACCCAGGACCCCGACATGCTCAGCGACGACGAGCTTATCTCGATCGACTCGGACCGACGCGTCGATTTGCGCTCCAACGTGTCATGACGAAAAATATTCAGCTTGTTTAATATATATACTAATGAGACTGTTCCCGCTTGTTGCGCTCATTTGCTCGTTTCTCCTTGTTGTTAACGCACAGGCCCCCCCACAGAGCTGGGAGAACGTCAAGTACGAGAGAATCATCGACGTGCTCAAGTCTTACGTCAAGGAACGCCATGTCATCCATGCCAGGAACATAGCCCCGGAACCCACCAGCGAGTACTACTTTGCCGTGCCTGGCTTTGTCAGGGACGACGTCGCGCTGTTTGTCGCCACTTTGGAGGTGCCTAGGCAGCAGGAACCGCTGCTCCAGGCCGAACGTGTGCCTGAATTGTCGTCTCCGGACGTGGTCTACTACAAAATCGAGTTGCCGTACCCAATTGCGCCAAAGTCGCAGATCCACATCACAGTGTCGTACGTGCTGACCAATCAGCTCGAGCCGGCTCCAGAAAAGGGCCCAATGGGCGCAGAACAGAGGCTTTTCTTCAAGACTACAAAACTGGCTCTCTCGGCATACAACACTCTGAGCTACGAGCTCAAGATCCTCGGGGCCAACAAGCCTCAGGAAATGGCACTGGAGCTTCCGAGCGACGTCGATCCAGAAGAGTTCAAGGCCTCGGCCAGAGACCCGTTCTTGGTGTATGGACCGTACCAGAAAACATTCAAGCCTTTGAGCAACCTGCCACTGGCACTCATTTTCACCAAGAACCAGCCGTTGCCATTCGTCAACCTGCTCAAAAGAGATTTCTGGGTGTCCCACTGGAGCGACTCGCTGCAACTGGAGGAGTACTACGAGCTCACAAACAAGGGTATCCAGCTGGACAGGGGCTTTTCCAGAGTGGATTGGATGAATGGGAGATACACAATGAGACCTACTCCGGTCATCACGTCGATCCAGATCCCGCTTCCCAAAGTTGAGACGTCGGAGGTGTACTTCGTGGACAAGGTCGGAAACGTGAGCACCTCGCTGTTCCACAACAACGAGCTCGTGCTCAAGCCTAGATTTCCTATTTTTGGAGGCTGGAATTACAATTTCACCGTCGGATGGACGAGTCCGCTGTCCAAGTTTTTAAAGAGCGAGGGCGACCTCCATGTACTTCGTGTGCCGCTCCTGGACGGTCTGAACGACGCTACCTACGACAAAGTCGAGATCTCCTTCTTTTTGCCGGAAGGCGCAAGGTTTGTCGGCTTCGACGACATCCTGAACCTCAAGGAGTGGAAAATCGACCACAAGTTCTCGTATCTCGACATCACGACCGGCCACACGCAGGTCACATTCGTGCTCGAGAACTTGGTGGACGAGATGAGAAACGTGGATATCCTGATCGAATACGAGTACGGGCTTGCCGGTATGCTGCGCAAACCGGTCACCGCGGCCGTCTACATTTTTGGCGCTCTGCTGGGCCTGTTTTTGCTCCGTAAAATCGATCTCTCCATCAAGCCATCTGCATGATGCCATACGCAGAGTGCGAGTTTATAAATGCTATGTAATGATGATGCATCAGTTGTCTTTCCCCTTGCTCGGGCTCAGGGTTTCTGTGATGAGGTATGGAATCATGCTCAGCTTGTCCGGCGAGCCCTGTGTGGACGGCGTCTGCCGCGGCGGCGTGGAGGGCGGCAGCTCGGGCACGTCGTCGAGCCGGGGGAGATTCTGCAATATTTGCAACGCCTTGGCACTGATATCCTGCGTCTCCGCGTGCTCGGGCACCTGTAAAGGCACCGGCGGCGCCCTGGTGGTCGGTTTCTGTGTGCGCAACTGGTCCAGCAGCGATTCTATCAGATTGTCCTGCGGCTGCTCCTGCTCGCACTTGCTTTTCTTGAAATCCTCCATCATGCGCTTCCGTTTTTCGTACGCTCGTTCTTCCTCTTCCAAACGGGCGTTGTCAGCCTGGGCTTTCTTGTAATCGTCCACAAACAGTTTGAACTTGGAAAAGAATGAGCTGCGCGCGCTTTCGTCTCTAACACGTTCTCCGAATTTTTCCATCAGCTCGTCAAAACTGCCGATAACGCTCGTTAGCTTCGTGTCGAATTCTTTTATTTTGGTCTGTGCCACAGCGATCCGCGACTTGGCAAAGCTAACAATTCGGTCGTCTGGGTGCAGCCTTGTGGGGTCGCTCAAACACCCGTCCGTGAGCGCCTTGCTGCAAAACTCGACGCTCCGCATCAGCTCTCTAAATTCGCTCGCAAGAGTATCTATCGAGACGTTATGGGCCTTGTGGACGGCGCCGATCTCGTCTGCAAAATTCGAGTACTCGCTGAAACGCGTTCTGATCACTTTCTCAATGTAGTTGAGCAGAGTGGTGGCATTTTTCGCGTCCTTTAAATATTTGAGTCTTTGAAGCGTGCTGAGCTTAAACCCGTTGGCCGCTTTCGACGCGTCGTTCATAAAATTGCCCAAACCTTTGATGATGTACAGAACCTGAACTAAGGACCTGGACTCACGGACTTCCTCCACGGCAGTCTCCAACACTTGCAGGTCGCGGCCCAGGTCCGCGAGATCGCGTTCGTAGTTGTAGCACACTGAAACGCATTTGGACCTTGCAGTCCAGTAATGGCGCAAATTGAAGCACAGCTCCAGATATATTCTGTCCAGACGGTCAAGCTCTGCTGGGTCCTTCTGGGGCTTGTGGTTCTGGATGTAGTCTGTTGAGTATGGCGCAAAATCACGCATCAGGTTAGGCGAGACCTCCGTCAGCGTGTCGTTGCAAAAAAAGTCCACCAAACTCGAGTTCTGCACCAGGTTGCGATCGCATCGGAGCACTTTGGCCACAAAGTCCATCTCGGAAAGCCCGTTGAACTGGTACAAATTGATTCCAAACTGCTGTTGCAAGTCACGTGACAAAAAACTCCGTTTAGTGTTCTTGGCTACCACAGCTCTGGGCTTGAATGCTTTGGTCTCTACAGCGTAGAACTGGCTCTCCAGATCGTCCAGAATGCCCAGCTCCTCCAGCTTCCACGCCAGAGCCGTGTCATCCACAGTTTTCCAGATCGTGTTGGACACGTCGTCCAGCTTGTCCCAATGCACCTGTTTTAACTTGGACGTTGGTCTTCGTAGCACCGGTTTCGGCGTGTCGTCCTTTCGTTTTCCTAGCTTCTGCGAATCGGAAGTGGCCAATTTAGGAAGCGGCGGCGGCACAGGGGGCCCTGCTGCGGCAGGCTTAAGGAAGGAAGGAGGCGGTGGAGGATCGGGAGCAGGTATCAGGAATGCCGGTGGTGGCGGTGGTGGCGGTGGTGGCGGTGCACCCATGGTAGCAGATCCTTTTTGAAGGAACGGCGGCAATGGGGGAGCAATGCTATCTGGCGGAGTTAGAACAGGATTGGTGTTTGATGGCTGTTCCAGTGCGCTAATTTTGTAATCATCATACGGCTCAAAGTAGCTGCCATTAGAGCTGTTTGCTCTGGAAGGGCTTGAGCTGGAAGCCGTGACGGAGCCATTCGTGGAAGGTGTGAGCAAATTTCCATTTTCCTTTGCTGCGGAGCTTTCTAGTCTTTGGCCAGCTTTGGTGATCTCGCCTTTACCCCGATTTTCCGTCCCATTGATCCTCACCAATGGACGGCGCATTTTGCGCAGCGTCTCTATTTCGTGCTGCAGAGAGCTGATTTCCTTTTTATACTCTCTCAACAGTTTCAAGGCATGGCGCGACTCGGTCGTCGCGCGCATTGCAACTTCGTCTGAGCTGAGGCGATCCAGAACTAGCTGGATCGAAAACGACAGGTTCTCATCGCCAATGCTCTTCATCTGGCTTATGTGGCTCACCAGAAGGCTGATTAGACGGAAATAGCGTTCTGCCTCGTGTGGTGGTTTTGTCTGGCTCAGAAACGACAGCGAGCGCACGATCTCACGAGCGTGACGCTCCAGACTAGGAGTATCAAAATATACAGGCTGCGAAGTGTCGCTAAAATCGTCCTCGTGCTCGAAATAGTTTCGTATTAGGTCGTTGATCGCGTTGTTGTTCAGTTTTCGAGCTTGCTCGAAAAAAGACAGAAGGCCGTGCCGTTCCAAATGGCGTCGCACGTTTTTGGTGGCCGTCACCACAGACAACACCAGAAACGTGGTTAGTAAAGCGTATTCGTTCGCAAGATATGCGGGACTTGACGGAAAAGCAGCCGGTTGGCTGCGATCGGCCCATAGCTCGCTCACCATGGAGCACGCAGCAGATATCCACGATTCAATGCCGATAGTTTTTGCTATTGCGTTCAGAATTTGTTTGGCGCTCGACGCTCGATGCGCAATCACCAGCGTCAGCATGCCAGTCGTCAGGTTCCGCGTTACCACGCTAGAAGAGATCAAAGACGACACTATCAGGGTTATCACGTCGTAATTCATCCTTTCAATAGTGTCGCTGCAACAGGAGACAATATGCTTGATACAAGTCAATGCCAGAAACTCAAGGTCTAGCCACTCGGCCTGGCCGGGTCTGAGTTCGCCCACGTTGATCGCCAGCAGCTCCAGACCTCCTTTTTGCACAAACTCTGAGATCCAGTCCTTGTTCTGCTCAAACTCGGCGAGAATCGACTCAAGAGCCTCATAGTCACGCCGAAGCATAATCTTGTTGCGCAATTTGGATGTGAACTGGCTCACAAGAGGAGCGTGTGGTTTCGAAGGCCTGAAACCCGGATCGAGCCCTGGCTCTAGACCCCGGCCCGCAAGCCCCAGCCCCAGATCCACGACATTCGTCGAGCTCACAGTGGCTCTGGTGGGAGACATCTGCGTGCCCTTCATGGGCTGGGCAACTCGAAAGAGCTCCCAGCAGCGGTCGATGCTCATGATATTGTGCGACTGTTTACTTTTCGATCTGTTTCATGTACTCTTTTATTATTACACATCCGTACACCGCACAATTATGCGGTCTGCAGCTCCTCGTTGAGCGTCTCGTTAGCTCCCAGCCAGCGCGCAAAGTCCGCTGGCGGACGCAGGAACTTCTCGATGTTCTGCACAAACATATTGATTTGTGCCGTGATGCTGGTGTTTTTCGCCTTTACCATTTCCACGGACGCGTGGCCGAAATTGGCGTTCATGTTGCTGATCAGCTTGCCAAAAATCAGCTTCAGGTTCCTGTCTTCGATGGAGTTGATCAGGTTCATGTTGCTGCTGTTGGAAAGATCTATTTCCAATTTTATTCCTCGCTTTTCGTTTAAAACATAATCTTTCGGTATGCTCAGCTTCACAGCGAGTCTCTGGATCACAATGTCCTGGAGATTATCTATCGCGATGGTGAACGCGTCGTCCTCAAACGGCAGCTCAAACTTGTAGATCGAGTTCTGGCTGGTTTCTTTAAACAAACTTATTTGCAGAGACTGCAGTCTGGTGAGAAACTTGTCTATCTCTGCTGCTCGTAGCGAGTTTTCGACAGGCTTCTCTTTTTCCTTCTTTTCCTGTTTTGGCGCCTTCGTCTCTTTCTTTATCGTCTTCACAATCTTGATGGTGTCTTTCTTCTCCATAGACAAGAATCTCTCCAAATATTTGTCCAGAGTCAGCACCATACTCAGCAGGTCGTTGCCAGACACCATCTGGAGCTCGGACTCTACAGGCCTCTTTCTCCTTCGCTCCATCGCCAGCGTGGCAATCTCGCGAAACCCGATCTCCACATTCACGCTGTATCCTCGCGGAATGTCGTCGTTGAGAACCACAAGCGACGGGTTTTTGCCTTTGTAGGGGTACGTGCCAGGAATGCAGAGCGAGAGATTCAAAAAGTCCAGATCGTAGGGAAAGTCTGGGTCTGACGGTTTCAGGAGAAATGAAAGGTACAGATCGTTTGACTTGTCGGCGGTTGCTAGGGTCAGGAACTCGTCCAGGGGCTTGGAAAGCGAATCAACGGGTATTCCATTAACTGTGATCGGCTTGAATTTCTTGGTTAGTTTGTTGATCTCAAGCAGCTGTGGCGAGGTGTGCTTATCTTGGCCGTCTTTCTGCTTTTTTGATGGCCTCTTAGGCCCTCTTCCCCGAGGCTTCGGTTTGGGTTCGTTTTCTGACATGAATAATTAAAAAATCTAAAAAATAATATTAGTAAATGCTACTCCCTAATAAATAGTGCGGCTGCGCCCTGTCCACCAGCAATGCACATACTTGTGACCCCCATCTGGCCAGGCGAGAGCTCGCGCAATAGCGTGCACACCTGACGAGCTCCCGTGGCTCCCAGAGGATGTCCAAGGGCTATTGCTCCGCCGCGAGGATTGACCTTCTCCTCTGGAAGCTCGTTGTACCGGAGACTAAACAGAGCCTGTCCGGCGAACGCCTCGTTGATCTCAAACACAGAGATCTGATCGGCAGTCAGTCCGCAGGCTTTCAGGAGCTTGGGGATCGCATACGCAGGGCCGACACCCATGATGTCCGGACTCACTCCGACAGTGGTGGTGGCAACGTACCTGCCCAAGATCGGCAAGCCCAGCTGCTCGGCCATGTCGCGACGCATGAGCAGCACTGCTGCGGCGCCGTCGCTCACCTGCGACGAGTTGCCCGCGTGCGACGTGCCGTCTTTCTTGAACGCAGGCCGCAGCTTGCTCAGAGACTGTGCCGTGACGTTTGGCCGTGTTCCCTCGTCGGTATCGACTACCACTTTTTCGCGCGTAATTTCATCCTCGTCGTCGTCGTCGTTCTCAATCACAACCTCGATTGGCAGGATCTCGTCCTTGAAAAGCCCCGACTGGACGGCCTTTTCTGCCTTCTGGTACGACGCGGCCGCAAACTCGTCCTGCTCTTTCCTGCTGATACGGTATTTCTCGTTCACGTTCTCGCTCGTGGTGCCCATTGGCAGCAAACAGCTTTTGGCGTCGTAGCTTGCGTCCTGGACACTCTTGCTGATCTTTGGTGCAGCCTGGGGCCCGTAGTTCTTCGACATGCTCTCGACGCCGGCCGCCAGCCCGCATTTGATCTGGCCAACCATGATTTTGTTCGCGATGTCGTTGATCGCCATCAGCCCCGAGGAACACTGTCTGTTGACCGCCAGAAACGAGGAGCTGGCAGGAACTCCGGCCGCCAGCACAGCCGCACGGTGCTCGTTCACTCCGGCGCCCGGATTAAGCACGTTGCCGACTACCACCTCCTCAATCAAGTTAGCGTCGATTTTATCTTTCTTCAAAAGCCCAGAAATGAGCTTCATGAGCAGCTCGTCCGAGTTGACATCCTTGAACTTGCCCTTGCCGCCTCTGGTCAGCGCCGTTCTGTACGCACTCACAATCACCACGTCGCTGGCCTTTTTCTCGTTTGCGGTCGGTTTGGCAAACAAATGGTTGCTGATCTGCTGTAGTCTCTCCATGCTGGCAAAGATGGGCACTTTTGCTACTTATACTGTAAAAGCACATGCTTTGTGGGGAAGACACCCTGCACCGGATTTTTTTTTCCATGATTGGACTGGTGCATTTTAGTGGCAAGAGCCTGGACGCTGTGGATCTGCTGCCGTCGAACGAGGGACGCCAGTCGCTGGTGCAGCAGCTGATGAAGGGGTACGGCCTGCTCAACCACGCTAAAGTGCGGCTTTTGGCGCCAAAACCGGCGTCCGTGGACGACCTCGCGAGATTCCACGACCGCGACTACGCCGTCGAGCTGCTAAAGCCGAGAAACTGGAAACAGCACGAAAGCGAGCTGTCGCGGCTGCAGCAGACGATCCTCAGGCGGCGAGCGACGCGAGAACGCCCCGACGATCGGCGCTTGCTCGACCAGCCTCCCTGCGGCTCGTACGGCCTGGCGTTCGACTGCCCGATATTCCCCCACATGGACGAGTATTGCTCGGGAGTTGCGGGTGGGTCAGTCCAAGCAGCAGAGTTTCTTATGCAAAACCCCACAGTCGCAATTAATTGGGCCGGCGGACGACATCACGCACACAAATCACATGCCGCCGGGTACTGCTACGTCAACGACGCGGTGCTTGCTATTTTGAGACTGCGTCGCAAGTACTCGCGTATCATGTACATCGACTTCGACCTCCACCACGGCGACGGCGTGGCCAATGCGTTCAAACTGAGCAACAATGTGCTCACGGTGTCGGTGCACCGCGCAGATGCCGGGTTTTTTCCCGGGACCGGTTTGAAGCCTGTGGACGGTCGCGGCAGGGGACAGGGGTACGAGATAAATATACCCACCAAAAGAGGATTATGCGACGCGTCACTTGAATGGATCGTCTCGCATATCGTTGTGCCCAAGATTGAGGGGTACAGACCACAGTGTCTTGTGATCCAGTGCGGAGCGGACGGGTTGTGCACAGACTCGGAGTTCAGAGAATGGAATCTGACGGCTTCCCGATACGGGCAAATGGTGTGTGGGCTGGTACGGGGCGCCGGGATACCCACATTGCTTCTCGGCGGTGGGGGCTACAACTCGCTTGAGACTTGCAAGCTGTGGTGCTACATCACCGGATTAATTCTAGACCAAGATTGCCAAGGCTGGGCACAGCTGCCGGACGATCTGGACGACGAGCTGGTGGACTTTCGGGAGCTGGAGTTCTGGACACACGACAGGCCGCGTAATATGGCAGAGCAGAACACGCACGAGTACCTATTGTATCTCCAAGGTGCAATTCTCGGTTGCTAAAAGAAAAGTGTTTCATCCCGGAAGCGGCTCAAACTTCTTCTGCACATACGGCTTTTAGTAAACATTGTATGGGGCGGGGCGGGGGTTTTCCGCATGCTACCAGTTTTGCCCGCGCTGCATCCTTGATCTGTCAACATACATAGCATGGTTGTGCGAGCTGGGAAAGCGAGACGTTTGGCCCCCGACTCGCCAGAAACACCCACCGCTTCGCTGGCTGTTGTCCCATTTTTTTAGCGTCGGCATTTTGCCAGCTACCCATACGTCATGGTTACGTCATAAATCTCTGTTCTGCATGAAAGCAAAACTTTTTATTGTGCACCACCCACCCTAACTTTGCATTTTTAAGCAAAAAAGAAAAGACATGCTTACCATATAAACCCAGACGGCCCCCCACCCCTTTTTTCTCTTTTCCATCTGCCATGTCTCAATCGTCGTCCACAGACAACTATAAAGATACCAACTTGACTGTTGGCTACTACAGTCTCAGAAATAAACACAACACATTCGGTCTTAGTGGCAGAAAGTTGAGATGGACCATTACGCTCACCTCTGTGGTGGGTTTCAGCTTGTTTGGCTACGACCAGGGCCTTATGAGTGGTATCATCACTGCTCCACAGTTCCAGGAGGAGTTCCCAGCCGTCAGCGGCAGCTCTAGACACGCCACTGTCATCCAAGGTATTGTGACTGCTTGCTACGAGATCGGTTGTTTCTTTGGTGCTCTGTTTGCTATGATTTGGGGTGAACGTCTAGGACGACGTTACGTCATCATGCTCGGTGCCGTGATCATTATCGTTGGTACCCTGGTTTCGATTTTCCCATTCAAGCCTCACTGGCAGCTAGGTCACTTCATCATCGCCAGATCTGTCACTGGTATTGGTAACGGTATGAACACTGCCACCATTCCTGTGTGGCAATCCGAGCACTCCAAGCCAGAGAACAGAGGTCGTCTGGTGAACCTGGAAGGCTCTGTTATTGCTGTTGGTACTCTTATTGCCTACTGGGTCGACTTTGGTTTGTCTTACGCAAACAACTCTGTTTCGTGGAGACTGCCAATTGCTTTGCAAATTCTGTTTGCTCTGTGGCTGCTTTTGTTCATGATTGGTCTGCCAGAGTCTCCAAGATGGCTCATCCACAAAGGAAGAATGGAGGAGGCCAGATTCATCTTGGGAGCTATCAACGGCGTCGATGCCCACGACGACAGTGTCATCGCCGAGTCCACCATGATTGCCGACGCTGTCAATAGATTTGACAACGCCCAACTCGGATTCAAAGAGCTTTTCAGTGGAGGAAAGCACCAGTACTTCAGAAGAATGATGTTGGGAGCCAGTGCCCAATTCTTCCAGCAATTCACCGGCTGTAACGCATCTATTTATTACGCCACTGTCCTGTTTGAGAACACCTTGAACTTTGCCAGAAGAAAGGCCCTTATCATGGGAGGTATCTTCTCCATTGTCTATGCCGTCTTCACCATTCCATCCTTTTTCCTGATCGACAGACTCGGAAGAAGACCATTGTTCCTGATTGGTGCCACAGGTCAGGGTATTGCTTTCATCATTGCATTTGGCTGTTTGGTCAAGGAGAACGAGCAGACCGCCAAGGGAGCTGCTGTTGGTCTCTTCTTGTTCATTGCCGTCTTCGCCTTCACCATCTTGCCACTTCCATGGGTGTACCCACCAGAAATCAATGCATTGAGAGCTAGAACAGTGGCCACCTCCATCTCCACGTGTACCAACTGGATCTCCAACTTTGCCGTGGTGATGTTCACCCCAATTTTCATCAACCAGTCCAAATGGGGATGCTACCTGTTCTTTGCCGTCATTAACTTCATTTACATTCCTATCATTTACTTCTTCTACCCAGAGACAGCTGGCAGATCTCTGGAAGAAATCGACATCATCTTTGCCAGATCTTATACCGAGGGTACTCCTGCCTTCATCGTGGCCAACAGACTGGGCAAGCTCTCAGTCAGAGAGGTCGAGGAAGAAGGTAACAAGCTCGGCCTGTTTGACATGGACGAGTCTAAGCCTACCGCTGAGATGAACGAGGGCATCTTGGAGAAGCCTCAAGAACCAGCAGCCTGAACTAATTCCTACTTTTTGCTTTATTGAATAGAGTGTTCATTATATAGTATTAACTATTGTATCAGAATATCTTTGTGTTCCGCCACTCCTGGTCCCATCTCCGTGCGCTTTCGCGCAAAGCCCCCGGTTTCAGGTCCACCTCGTAGAGCAGCCTATACATTTTGTCGCAAAGTTCCGAGGCATCTGAATTATTTTTCATCACAAGACCGTTTTGGTCAGTCACCAATTCATGCAGCGCGGGAAAATCCATCGACACTACAGGCACGCCGCAGCCGAAAAGGTCAACGATTTTCATTGGAAGGTCCAGTCCCGAGGACGAGTAGTGCAGGGAAACCCCCGCATCAGCAACCTGAAGAAGTTTTGGGTAGTCAGAGACCGGTAGCCACACGTTTCGGATAATCAGATTTTCACTCCATTTATTTTGGGCCACTGCATCCAGAAACTTCTTCTGAAGTGGACCCTTCCCTGTAACCACCATGTACACTCTGCTGTCCAGTTTTGAGTCTAGTTTCTTCAGCGCCTCCACTAACACGCCAAAATCCTCGTCCTCGGTGAACGACGTTGCTGACACAATCAATTTGTCAGCGTCCCGGAATCCGTCCAGCACAGCTAGCTCTTTGACAATCGCCCTTTTGTCGCCCTTGAGCGGCACAAACTCGTCGCCCGGACGGTCGTGCACGACGCTGATCCTCGCGCCGTCGATTCCAAAGTCTGTCTGCAAAAACTCTTTCAGCTTTTCAGTCACTGTAAAATGGTAGTCTGCAAGTTTCCCCATATATTTTTCGTAGTTCCGCAGAAGCTGCACAGCAGGGTGATTATCGTTGTGGTATTTGAGGTTTAGGATCGAAAAGTTGAGATTGTGCCAGTCGACGACTATCTTGACGTGCGGACAGATTGTTTTTCGCAAAAAGACGGCAATCGCCAGCACAGGGATGGACGGAGGATTCTGCACGAGCACGTACTCTGTATTTTCGTCGATGACCGTCGAGAGCAAGCTTGTGAGCTTGCAACACTGCGCCACTACTTTGAATGCTGCAAATACCAGATACGGCATCCACATGCGGCGCCGAATCACAGGGATCTCGTAAAGGTCGACGGTGTCGTCGTCGTAAAGGAAGTCCGGCAGTGTGCTCTCCAAGTAGCCGCACAGATGGACAAACCGTCCGCTTTTCACCAGACTGCGCACATGGTACGCCATGCGGGGCGAGTGGCCAAGGTCACCGAGGACGATCACGACAACGTCGTTTCCTGACGGCCCAGCCAAGCGTTTCTGGCGGACCCGCCAGAGATACGTCGCGTGCGCCATGCAAAAATAGAACAGGACTGGCACACTCAGCCACAGCACAATGAGTGTCCACACGGGCCAGCCAAAGTCGAGCTGGCCGGGCTGGAACCCCTTGTAAACTATCCAGCTCATGACAAATGTATATTTACAGTATTTATTTTTCCACTTCTGGCAGTGCAGCGTTTAGTTATCTCCCTTTTCTTTACGATGGACAGCGACAGCGAGGCCAACCAAATCGCCGACCAGGACTCGGTGATCACCCAGGACAGTGAGAATGTCGAGGACGAGGCATTCCACTCCGAAGACCCGCCAATTCCGTCGTACGCCAGCGGAAAGAAGACGGTAGCATTTGACGAGAACAGGAACCAGATCAACGAAAGACCGCTGGACGAGAGCGAGTACAGCGGCTCCTCCAGCTCGTTTGTGGCGGATGCAGAATACCAGAAAGGCGTGCACGCCAGATTGGCGCTCCAGCAGGTGTTCGAGCCAGAGGAGTTCGTGACCTCGTCTCCTATCAAGCAGGAGGATGTCTATTTCGAAAATAGCACGATCTACGACAACCCGATGAACTCGCCGCAAATGTCTCGCCGACTGGAGACAGATTACAGCTACATGGTGCCGTTCTATCAGAACGACGAGTCCAGAGATTCGTCACCGACGAAAACCTACACCAGAGCGTCCCTCGGCGACGATATTCCTGTCCTAGCGCACGGCTCGCGGCGGCCAATGTCCAGAGAGCCTATTCTAGACGACCAGATCCAACAGGAGAACAAGCGCCATCTTCAGCCGTACAATGCCCTGCCTCGTTCCAGAGAGCAGACAGAGCCCACACAGCTTCAGGAAGTCAGCGTTGCCAAATTTGTCAACGGCGCCGTGCGGGTCTCCTCGGGCACTTTGCCAGATCCTAAACCGGCCAAGCCAGACATGGACGCCGTGATCAGCCACTTCAAGCTGGAAAGAGAGCGCGCGCTGGCCGAGCGAGACGCAGCGTTGCAAGAGCTCGACAGAATCAAGTCAGTCCAGACAGAGCTCGAGGACGAAACTATGAGCAACAAGCTTGCCCAGTTCCTCAAGAGTCTGTCGTCGACAATCAACACGCTGGAGTCGCACGTGGAAAAAGATTTGGACGACGAGGTGAGAAAACTGCGCTCAGACATGGCCCAGGCGCAGAAGGACAAAATGGAAGCCATGTTCAACGCAGGCGAATATTTGCGCGAATGCAACAAAAAGGACACTCTTCTGCGGCAGATCAAGCCGCAGCTCATATATCTCTACCAGGAGCTGCTGGTTCCCTTCGTGAATTGCGGAGTTGCCGACAGCCTGGTGGACGGTACGCAGAAACACGAGATACTGAAACTGTACGACTCCTTGGTGATGGGGCCGCACAGCTCGCCACAAACCGTGAGCGGCAGCCATGGTAGCCATGCGTTTGACTACCAGCAATTTTCCGAGCTGAATAGCAAGCTGACGGAATACTTTGCAGACCTCGCGCTGGCTCTCAGGAACCTGGAAATTGTCAAGAGGCCGATCGACGCGCCCATTTAATTTTCACCCAACTTTTTTCCAGGCTCGAGCAGACTAGACAAAAAAATATCGGTGAGTCAAAAGTATAGAAAAAGGGGCATATACACTACTCGCTGGCCATGACGACTCACGTTGAAAAAGTGGAAATTCTGGGTGCGAAAACCATCCATGTCGGGTACCAGATGCGAGAACACGTGTGTGAGGAGATCGTTGGAAACAGGGCCTCCTCCACATATGTGCTCATCACGGACTCGAATATCGTCCGTGCCGGCCATCTGGATGCCTACAAGTCGAGCATGCTGGCAGCCATAAATAGGCTGAGGCCCGAATCGCGGCTGCTAACTTATGTGGTGTCGCCCGGCGAGTCCAACAAAAATCGTGCCACCAAAGCCGCGATCGAAGACTACCTGCTTTCGCAAGGATGTACCAGAGACACCTTCATCATTGCCGTTGGCGGAGGGGTCATTGGCGACATGATTGGGTTTGTGGCGGCAACTTTTATGAGGGGCGTCCGGTTTGCCCAGGTGCCAACCACACTTCTTGCCATGGTGGACTCCTCGATTGGAGGAAAAACTGCCGTGGACACTCCGCTGGGCAAAAACTTCATTGGCTCTTTCTGGCAGCCAGACTACGTTTTCGCAGACATCGCCTTTCTGGAGACGCTACCGGAGCGCGAGTTCATCAACGGTATGGCGGAGGTGATCAAGACTGCTGCTATTTGGGACGAAGCCGAATTTGCAAGACTCGAAAAGCACACAGAGGTTTTTCTGGAGGTTGTGAAAAATAGAAAACCAGACAACACCGTGGACCTAACTCCTATTCTGGATCATATTTTCAAGCTGGTTTTGGGATCTATCAAGGTCAAGGCAGAGGTTGTGTCGCTAGACGAAAGAGAGGGCGGTCTGCGGAATCTTTTAAATTTTGGCCACTCCATTGGGCACGCATACGAGGCGATCCTGACACCGCAGGCCCTCCATGGAGAGTGCGTTGCCATTGGAGCCGTGAAGGAGGCCGAACTAAGCAGATACCTTGGTATATTACCTCCTGTTGGTGTTTCCCGACTCGCGAAATGCTTTGCAGGCTATGGTCTTCCAATATCTCTTGACGACAAAGTTTTACAGAGCAGAATCAACGGGAAGAAGTGTCCCGTGGACGTGTTGCTCAAAAAGATGTCTGTGGATAAGAAGAACGACGGGTCCAAGAAGAAGGTGGTTTTGCTCAAGAGTATTGGCGAATGCTACGAGCCAAAAGCCTCCTATGTCAATGACGAGGACCTGAGAGTGGTTTTGACCGACGAGATTCTCGTGAGGCCATTTGAAAACGTGCACCAGGACGTGGTGGTCACTCCGCCAGGCTCAAAGTCTATTTCCAACAGAGCTCTGGTCATGGCTGCTCTGGGCAAGGGTGTCTGCAAGATCAAGAACCTGCTCCATTCGGACGACACCGCCCACATGCTGACGGCAATGACGGCACTAAAAGCGGCCACTGTGTCGTGGGAGGACAAGGGCGAAACGCTGGTTCTGAACGGAAACGGCGGCCAGCTCGTGGCGTGCGACGAAGAGATTTACCTGGGAAATGCCGGTACCGCTTCGCGGTTCCTCACGTCTGTTGCCTCGCTCGTTGGCGTGAATGGTGACCTCGATCACGTGGTTCTCACTGGCAACAAATGGATGCAGAAACGGCCTATTGGTCCTTTGGTCGACGCTCTTCGGGACAATGGCTCGAATATCGAGTACCAAAACAACGAGGGCTCGCTGCCGCTCAAGATCCGGTGCGGACGAGGACTCAAGGGTGGCAGAATCGAGCTGGAGGCCACCATCTCGTCGCAGTACGTCTCGTCGATCCTGATCTGTGCTCCGTACGCCGACGAGCCGGTCACGCTGGCTCTCGTTGGCGGCAAGCCTATCTCGCAGTTATACATCGACATGACCATCAGAATGATGAGTGCGTTCGGTATTCACGTGACCAAGTCGAGCACGGAAGAGCACACGTACCACATTCCAAAGGGCAGCTATGTGAATCCGCCAGAGTACGTTATTGAGAGCGATGCCTCGTCTGCCACGTACCCGCTGGCGTTTGCTGCCATGAACGGCACCAAGTGCACGATTCCCAACATTGGCTCGTCCTCGTTGCAGGGCGATTCCCGATTTGCTGTCGAGGTGCTCAAACCTATGGGCTGTATTGTGACGCAGACAGAGACGTCCACGACCGTGCAAGGTCCTCCGGTTGGGCAATTGAAGCCTCTGCCGCTGGTTGATATGGAACCTATGACCGACGCGTTCCTGACGGCATCGGTGGTTGCTGCCATTGCGAACGACCCGACCCAGACGACCTCGATTGTGGGTATTGCCAACCAGCGTGTCAAGGAGTGCAACAGAATTGCAGCCATGAGAATCCAGCTGGCCAAGTTTGGCGTCAAGGCCGAGGAGTTGGAGGACGGTATCACGATTCATGGAATCAGCTACAAGGACCTCAAAACTCCTGAGAAGCCGGGGGTTTATCCGTACGACGATCACAGAGTGGCAATGAGTTTCTCGCTGCTTGCTGGTTTCTGCAAAGATCCGGTGATCATCCAGGAGAGACGGTGCACTGCCAAGACGTGGCCCGGCTGGTGGGACGTTCTGCACACCCAGTTCGGGGCCCAGCTGGATGGTCACGAGCCGGAGCAAGCGAAATCTGTTATTGCACAGAGTAACGGCGACAGAAGCATTGTTGTGGTTGGCATGAGAGCTGCTGGCAAGACGTCGATGTCCAATGTGATTGCGCAGAGGATCGGCTTCAAATACGTCGATCTTGACGATGAGTTCGAGAAAGTTGTTGGAATACCAGTCAAGCAGTACGTGCAAGAGACCAGCTGGGAGGAGTTCAGAAAGAAGGAGCTGGAACTTACCAGAAAATACCTGACGGAGCATGGTAGTGGGCACGTGATCGCTACTGGCGGAGGCATTGTTGAGACTCCAGAGGCCCGCGAATTGCTCAAGGAGTATGCCAGGACGGGCATTGTTCTGCATTTGCAAAGGGACATTGGCGAAACCATCTCCTTCCTTTCGGAAAAAGACACCTCTCGGCCAGCGTACCAGGAAGAGATCCAGTCTGTGTGGCAGAGAAGACGCGGGTGGTACGACGAGTGCTCGAACTACCACTTTTTCTCGCCTCATTGCGGCTCCCCGCAGGAGTTTGACATTTTGAAGCGGTCGATGGCGCTCTTCATTGAGGAGATCACCGGAATAAAGTCCGTTGAGGTGCCGCGGAAAACCTCTTTCTTTGTTTGTCTCACATATCCAGACCTGAAGGAGGCTCTTGCCGATCTTGAGGATATCACCACCGGCTGCGACGCGGTCGAGCTCCGAGTCGATCTGCTCAAATCTTACGACGTCACATATGTTTCAGAGCAGGTGGGACTGCTAAGAAATCACACTAGCCTGCCAATTGTGTTCACTGTGAGAAGCGTTTCGCAAGGTGGAAAGTTCCCAGACGGCGACCACGACAAAGTGCAGCAGCTGTGCGAGCTGGCTTTCAAATTGGGCGTCGGATTCCTGGACCTCGAGCTGTCGCTTCCGGAAGGCCTTTTGGACACCCTGAGCTCCAAAAGACGGTTTACCAAGATCATCGGGTCTCATCATGACTTTTCCGGTGCGTTCAAGTGGGACTCTGCCGAATGGGAGAGCAAGTACCTGCTGGCTACACGGTTAAATGTCGACGTGGTGAAGTTTGTTGGCATGGCCAAGGAGTTCAAGGACAATTATCTTCTGGAGCAGTTTAGAGAGTCTCACACAGGAAAACCTCTCATTGCAATCAACATGGGCCAACATGGACAGTACTCGCGTGTGGTGAACCCGGTGCTTACTCCGGTGACTCACGAGCGTCTTCCAAATGCCTCGGCTCCAGGCCAGTTGAGCATCAAGCAGATTTTCCGGGCACGGTCGCTGATTGGACTGGAGACTCCAAAACGCTTCTGCATAGTCGGCGAGCCAATTGGACACTCCAGATCGCCGGCCCTGCACCAAGCAGCCTACGAGGTGTTTGGTCTGCCACATACATTTGGGAAATTCGAAACTTCCGACGCCCAGCTCGTCAAGGACAAAGTGCTGTCTGACCCCAGCTTTGGTGGCTGTGCCATCACCATCCCCCTAAAGGTCGATATGATGAAGTATGCCGACGAGCTATCCGAGTCCGCCAAGACCATTGGTGCTATCAACACTCTCATACCTCTAGGAAACGGAAGGTTCAGGGGAGATAACACCGACTGGCTAGGAATCACGCAGTCGTTTATAAACAGCGGGTGCCCCTCAAAAGTCATCGGCAACGGCCTGGTGATTGGTGCTGGCGGAACCTCACGTGCAGCTGTGTTTGCTTTGCACCAGATGGGTTGCCACAAAGTTTACGTTTTAAACAGAACTGCTTCCAAGGTTGCAGATATCAAGGCCCACTTCCCGGAGTCGTACAATGTCGAGATTCTCGATTCTCTCGAGTCGGTGAAGAAGGTTGATCAGATTTTGCTTGTTGTGTCCACTATTCCAGGCAACAACGAGATCGAGCCGGCTTTCCAGGAGAAGATCGAGACTGCTCTGTCAAAAGGTGGCAGCCCGAAAATGCTATTGGAGGCTGCTTACAAGCCTCTCGAGACCCCGATCATGAAGCTGGCCAGCTCAAGGTACGGATGGAAAGTTATTCCGGGCAGAGATATGCTGGTCAACCAGGGCATCTACCAATTTGCTCGTTTCAACGGACTAAAACCACCTTTTAAACCAGTCTACGAGGCTGTGATTAGATAATCAAGCAATAAATAAAGGGACCTTTTTAAGCTAAAAAAAACAAACTAAATGGATGTACTTGATCAGAACTGAAACAGATCGTTTTCACAAGGAACGGCACGAGCTGCTAACGCGCAGGTCGCTTGAAGAGCAATATGAGGAGGAAGCAAGTAGGCCTCCGTCTGAAGAGGCTGGCGTTCAATTCTTTCCTGATATTACCGGGTGGGATATCATCGAGATCCAGGAATGGGCCGGATGTGTCGACTTGAAACCTGCCTCTGTGTGGTCTGTGGGTGCCATTAATACGTTCTATCATCTGCTCGAGCGCAGGTCCAACGAGAAGCAGAAGTTTGGGCATCTCCGAGGGTTTGCCTTGTTCACGAATGCGCCCATCAATGCGGTTATCGAGATCGCCAACAAGTCGTTTGGCTTCAACCAATGGGAGAGCTCTCTCATGGAGGAAACAGGACGTATTGTGCGATATAGAAAGCACGAGTTCGACGACGAGCGAGGGCACCGGTACGATCTTGAGTATGCTATTGACACATGTCTCATGTTGGCAGACGGGACGGTAGCACGGAAAACAGGGTTTGGAGTGGCGCAATGGATGCCATCAAAAGGGCTGGCATTTTCCTATGCCAAGAAACAGGCCGCCACCGACGGATTGAAGGCTTGCTTTTACGCAATGGTTGCTCTTTTGGAGCAGTATGAAGAGAAACTTATTGAAGGGTATTATGATTGACTTTGTGAACATCACGCTATATTGGCATCCATCGTATGATTACCGCATATAGGGCAATAGAGTTCTTTATAGAAACTGAATGGGATTATTGGGATGAAGAACACGGTGATGAAGTTCCAATTGCGAACATATTCCATCGAGATATTATGACATCTTGGGCAGTAGACCCTTTTACCATCATATTGTTTCAGCTCTTTTCTAAACGATTTGGCTTGTTGTTAGCGGCTGACACTCAAATATACTCACCTCCAAATAGAAAGAAGAAGAACATGTTAAAACTCGAAATGACCGTTACGTAAAAATATTGCTATTTTTTATTTATACCTTAAACTGTCAATCAGATCGTCCCCCGTAATAATTCCCGGGGTAAGGAAAATTACCTGTTTGGCTTTGGTGACAGGGTTTTTTTTTAGCACGAATCGGATAGTCGAGATTTCGCTGTACGTCATTCCGCCCACAACGGTGACAATTATGACATCTTTCCGGTCGGCAAGCTGGCTTGCTTTAGGTGGGATCGATGAATTGAACAAGGGTTTTTTATTTTCTGGAACCAGAAACTCTTGCTGCAACTCTCCATCTAATGCGCTAAGATCCAGATTGTCCCAGCCGTATTTCCTGACCCGCGTGTCACGTGGGGCAGCTAGAAATTCTCGCGAGTAGATTGCTTCGATAAGGCGTGTGATGATAGGAACATATCCAGGAAGCCCAAAGTCTGCGTCGTGGGGGTTTGCTGGGTCCACCTGGTCAGAGACGGGCATAAGATTCAGGTTGTTGCCAATCGACGAAAAATCTCTAATGAGCTGATGCGGACTAGTAAACACCTCGTCGCTCATACTGGTTGGTATAAATGAAAGACTTTCGCGAGGATACACCATTTTCAGTTCTTTCATTCGGAGTAGAATTTTGAATGCATCCATGCCATACATGTGGTAAATCTCTGTCTTCATATGTTCGTATTCCGACTCTCTGACGCCTCTCTTCACGATGCTGGTTAGGATCATCAGACGTAACACCTCCGATAGGGGAGGTTCGAATTGGTACATGTACTGCAAGATAGCAGCACAGTTGCGCTTGTTGTCTAGACTGTCGCTCAAGATTTCCTGCTGTAGCTCCACAAACGCATTGAATTTGCTACTGTTGGGCATCTCCGCCTCCAACCCGGGAATTTGACGCTCCTGGTCACCATCCTTCACAGATTTTAGTATACTTTCCGCGACCACAGTGTGTTTTTGCACCCACTTCTGGCTTTCTTTTAGGTTGTTCAACTCTCCAACAAATTTCTTCATTTCTTCAATGTCCGTAAGGTTGTTGCGTTTATCATACTCGGCTTGCAACGTGCGTGCTTTCGAATTCAGCACCGAGCCCACCATCGAGAAATTGAGATCTCGCACCAGCTGGTAAATTTCGTCATTGAAGTCTCCAAATCTAAGTTTAAGATTCTCTTCTGGTACCGACACCATGCCTAGCTGCACTCCTAGGGACTCGTTGCATAGCCCGGTATACGTGAGTTGCGTAAGCACGGCACTTACCAGGTCGACTGACCGGTCGAGACACACAAAGTCGACATTTCGGTTGAAAAATGAGTGCTGGTCAACAAACAGGGTCTCGTCCTGGTCCTGGATGAGCTTTTTAGTTTTCGGATCGACTTTAGTTAGATGTGTCTGGTACTTGTGTTGGTATATGTTCCAAAGTTTGGCGGAATTCTCGCCCTTGATAAATGTATTCGTAATGCGCACTTTGTAGCCCGAGTTTATCACTAGGTCCAAAAGAGACCCTGCCAATTGGTCCAACGGATCAATTGAGCCTGAAAACAGCTCGCCCAGGCCACCCTTAGGCAAACAGAGGTCTAGGATATCAGACTCCAATGCTATGGGTTTAATGCTCGACCAATGATAGATTTTCACGTCGCCCTTTATTCCAAGGTTCTCAATGGCAAGATCTGTGGAGGAAGGCAGTCGATTGGCCACAATCAAAGAAATCTTCGAGGTCTTGTTGAAAGGAAGGATTTTGCGCTTCAGTATCCCTGCAATGGCATCCAAGATATCAAACCCGCCATCGCACAAAAATACGATGCTGGGCGAGATGCTCTGCATGTGTTCGTGATCAAAATTCTGCTCGTCAATCCATACTACCTTGTTGATTTTGGTCAGTTTCTTCAAATTAGAAAAACTGGTCAGTGAGTCTATCAAACGAGAAAGACTGTGTTGTAACACCAAAAGATGGTCATTGGTGGCCCCTGACACACCAATTGACCGAAAGATGGCGGCGAGATCTCCCAAAGAGGTCTGAGGAACCGTTTTGACATCAAACAAAACACCCATAAGTTTTCAGCTACGCATCCTTACACGTTTTTTACGGCAGTAGGTCGAAGTCCAAGTGATCAGTGTAATGTCATTTAATTGTTCTATACCGAATAGGTTTAAGCAGAATCTTCAATCTCCTTCTTCTTGGCCAGCTCGGCGTAGTATGCTTCTCTCTTAGCAACAGCCGGCTTGTGGTATCCCCACCACCACAGACTTCCAAAGACAAGACCGGTACTGATACCTGACATGTTAGCGAAAGGCCATTTAAGGTAACAAAAAATATAACGACTTACCGATCGTGATGTCTGTGATGATTCTTCTTTTCATGAAACCCTGAATTGGAGCGATAGCCATGTTTGCGATAGACTATAGATGTACTAGTGGTGAAAGTTTGTTTTAATTTTTGCTCGGTAAGTTGATACTAGCCACACCACACCGCCACTGAATGTGCTGGAAAATCGTGCTATTTTTCTGCTGAGCCAATCAAGGGAAGGGAATTTTTAAAAGCAGCTCAGCATAGAGGAAAAAATGCCTGGGAAAAATATAGGGTCGCGGATTCGCGAGCTGGTCCTGCCAGGACATCCGCCTGCCACCAAAACAAATTTCTCGCTGTGGCTAATTTTTATTCTTTCTAACCATGTTTGCCAAAACCATTGCAAGACAGTCCAGACAGAGCACCAGACAGTTCTCGTCCTCCGTGGCCAAGCTTAATGGCCACCACTTCCCAGAGGGTCCATACACCAACTTGCCTTTCAAGGTCCACAACAGAAGAATTCCATACGCCGTCCCACATTTCTTGTTTTTCGGTAAGTTCTCAGCACTCTCCTTCCCCGCCACTAACAACTAGCTATTGGATTCGGTATCCCTGTTTTTGCTGCTTACGTTCAGCTGAAGAGATCTGGAAGCATTTAAACTGATTTTAAATATTATTAATGGATACAACCAACGTTACATTCTAATTATACACTCAGTCCAAATCCTCTTGAAGCTCACCCATCTCATGCAGATTGTCTCCCGTTGAAGATTGCGCTGGCTCGGACTGCTGTGACTCGCTTTGTGCCTGCCCCATGAAAGTCGAAATTCCGCGAGCTATCTGGTCTGCCAGATTTCCTCCTTGAGGCTCGTTTTGGAATTGCGACGTGATGGTGGATGCAAGGCTCCGTGCCAGCGCCATCGGCTGCAGAGGCTGGCCCTGCTGCTGCCTCATGAAGTTTTGGACTCTCTCGTGTATTTGCCGATGAGTAGTCTCCACGTCGGAAATATCCACCTCTGGATCCTCGTCCATTCTGTCCGCTTGATTCTCGTCACGTGACGGCTGCCCAGTCTCGACTCTGATCGAGGTGTTCGCCGCGCGGTTTGGACCCTGGCCGAAAAAGCTGGCCAGCGACATCGGGGTTCCCGTGATCGCCGTCGCAAAACTGCGTCCACGGGGTATGGACGACTCTCCGGATTGGTTTGTAGCATTACTTGACACAGTACTCTGGCCGGCGTCCTCGCTCGCCAAGCCTCTGTAGTTGTCTAGTATTGCTCTCACTGTGGAGGGGATGATGTTGTCGATATAGCTTTGTGGATATCCCTGTTGTTTTGCGCGGCCTTCTGCCAAACGAACTGCTTCTTTCAACCGTCCTTTGAATTTGTCCAGCTGGTGTGGTTCTCTGGCGCACACTTGGACTGCTCTAACATAATTTTCCAATGATTTGATAGTGTTTCCCTCGTACAAATATAGAAACCCAAGTCTGCACAAGCTGGGGACGTAGTCTGGGTTAATTTCAAGAGACTTGATCAGATCCTCTTCTGCTTCTTTCATGCAATCAAGTTTAATCAAGGCCGCCGCCCTATTGCAGTAAATGGCGTAAGCGTTTGGATCGAGGTTCACGCACTCGGTGTAGTGGATCAGGGCTCCTGGATAGTTGCAGTTTGTGAATTTCTCATTGCCTTTTAGTCTTAGTTCCTGTACCGACGACATGGTAAAATATTCTGGAGGATGAAATTCTATAAGCACAGCCTGGTGAGAACGGTCTAAGGGTATCGATGATCCCGATTTGAGAAGGCGCTCTTCAATGATGCTAATAATGACAATACAGAAAGAAGAAGCTTCTGTCTAGTGAAAATGGAAAATCAAATGCGATCGATTTGATGTCAAGTTCGATGGCAACGAAATATAATTTATTCAAAAAATATTCATACTTAAATAATGTGGACCAGAGGCGGAGCCTCAGAGCTAGATATTATTCCTGAGAGAGAGGTTCCTGTGCCCCCAGAAATCAACCGCCAGCTATGTATTGAATCGTCGCGCTCACTACAGGACTTTTTGCGTCTTTCAAGAACGCTTCTTGACGATACACTACGCACCAGACTGAACAGCATTACTAAACATCACGAAGACCGCTCCCGCCACTCCATTTTGCCTCGTAGAGATTCGTGCCAACAGTTTGTGGACGAGCTGCTGATTCCTCAATGGCAGGCGAGAGCTAGTCGAATCAAGTACTGTCTAGGCCAGGCAGACGAAATGGTGAAAGAGGTCGAGACGCAAGAGTTGGCAATGGACGAGGAAGAGAGAAACCGACTTCTGAGGATTGACCCGTACGCACTCAAGGACTTGACGCGAAGTCTCAGAGAGAAAAGGGCTTCTGCCGAACAGATCAGAAACCGATACCAGAACGAGATCGAGGTGGAGGACATAATACGAGAAAGAAGCCAGTCGCTAATCAAAGACGTCTGCGGACAGGACGTTCGTTTTGACAGGTAGAACACGCGCCTGGCACCTGTACATAGTGAAGCAACGGTTATCGATCCGATGAGGCTGTACATGTGGCTATACATGTGGCTTGACACATATATTTCTATTTCGCCCCAATCGGGAAACAGGTAAACAGTCAAGGTAAACAAGAATATTTTATTTTTCCTATTAAGGACGTCCAATTAATACTTAAAAAGAAGCCCATTTCACCCAGCTGCGTCGATCTCGACTCCTTGTACTGATGAGCACCGGAAGAGCCCTGCAGGCGTTGAATAACGTCCAATTGAATACCAAAGCTACACCGTCTAATGGAATCATTAAGACGCCGGTTCGCAGCTCTGTTTCCAAGCCCGAGACAAAGAGCAAAAAGAAGAAGGAGAAACTCAGTTCGCTTTGCAAGACGCCGCCAAGCGTTGTGCGCACCAGAAATGGAAGAGGCTACCACAGAGGTCTGTTTCTCGGGGAAGGTGGCTTTGCTAGATGTTTCCAGATGAAAGATGAGTCTGGCCGGATATTTGCAGCCAAGACTGTGGCCAAGGCGTCTATCAAAAATGAGAAGACCAAAACGAAGCTCCTCAGCGAAATCAAGATCCACAAGAGCATGTCTCACCCTAACATTGTCCAGTTCGTGGACTGCTTCGAAGACGATGTGAATGTGTACATCTTGCTGGAAATCTGCCCTAATCAGTCGTTGATGGACCTGCTAAAAGCCAGGAAAGTTCTCAGCGAGCCAGAGGTGCGCTTGTTCATGGTACAAATTATTGGAGCCATCAAATACCTTCACAGAAGAAGGGTTGTTCACAGAGACCTGAAACTTGGAAACATCTTTTTCGATCCTGACATGAACGTCAAGATTGGCGATTTCGGTCTGGCCACAGTTGTTAGCCCGTCCACCAACAAGAGATACACTATCTGCGGAACCCCAAATTACATTGCTCCCGAGGTTCTAGGTGGTAAAGCCACTGGCCACAGTTTCGAGGTTGACATCTGGGCCATTGGAATCATGATGTTTGCGCTGCTTTTTGGCAAGCCTCCATTCCAGGCCAAAGATGTTCAAGTTATCTACGAGCGGATCAAGAATAATGAGTACAAGTTCCCTCCCGACTCTTCTGCGTCAGCAGAGTCCAAGAACCTGATTACAAAGCTGCTTTCCACCGACCCAACCCTAAGACCTTCGCTAGATGAGATTCTTGAGCATGACTGGTTCAAGTGTGGCCCATTCCCTGCCAAAATCTCAACCGAGTCGCTCAAACAGATCCCAAAGAATCTTGCCTTTATCACCAAGGAAGAATCTCTGATCAATTTTGCTACCTGCAAGCAGCGGGTGGGAATAAACGATTCCTACAAGAGCCCTGTGGAGATCCTCAAAACGGACCTCGAAAGTGAGCAGCCAAAAACGCTTCTTCCTCACTCTCTGTCGCCTAATAATACCAAAAACAAGTACAAGGAGATTCCCCCTGTTGCAGTGAGAAACACAGTTAGAAGTCGGATCACCAACGAGCTGGCCAACGCTCATCCGGAGAACCAGATGATGCGCATTTTAAACGATACCTTATCCGCCACGTTGATGAACATGAAAGAGATAGAAGAGCAGAAACTGAGACCCGATGCGAGAGCCATGAAAAAGCCGATCGTGGTTAGCAAGTGGGTTGATTATTCCAACAAGCATGGGTTCTCGTACCAGCTCTCATCCGGTGCCATTGGGGTCTTGTTCAATGCAGGCCAAACTGTCCTCAAGATGGTCGACACGACGGATGTCTTCTATATTTCGAGCTCAAGCGAGGAAGGCTGGCAAGTTGCGCATTACACTGAAGATACCACGCCCTCTTTGTTGTCTCGTGAAATCGAAGTGGTGGATTTCTTCCGCAAGTACATGACTGCTCACCTTTCCGATGTCTCGTCTGGAGCACGCAAGTCCTCGAGTCGCAGCAAAGACGTCTTTTTGCGCAGATACACTAGAGATGATAATTATATCATGTTTGAATTGAGCAACGGCAGTTATCAATTCAACTTCAAAGATCATCACAAGATGGTCATATCCGAGCTGGGCCAGTACCTAACGCATATTACGCCGTCCAAGGAGATCGAGACGCTTCCCTTGGACTACGTTCTCGGTCACGGCAACTTCTACGAGAGTCCCGACGAATACTTTAGCGTCAAGTACGACTTTATGAAGCACGCTCTGAGAGATAAGATATCGATATGAAAGGCGGAATAGTTAGCATGTATAACAAAATGCGAAAAAAAATACCTTAGAGTAACCAATTTGATTCTGTCTATAGCTAGTGTACATTATATGTCGTCCGACTCGCCCTCGGCAAGTAAGGCCTTCAGCTCCCATTCACGTTTGAATTTGTCGTTGAGAATGCCCAGTTTTGAGATTAGTCTAGTGCATGCGTTCTTAAGAGCAATCCGGGGCTTGTAACCTTCTTCTGTTTGCAATCTCATCACAAAGTTGGCAAACAGAGGATGTTCCACTTTGTAGGCCACAAAGAGCACCTGCGGGTCGTTGGCGAGCTCCTGTTTGAGTAAATTACCTAGGGTGTGGTCTTCTCTTTCGAACTTTATGAGCACACAGCTGGGCACTTTCGAGTCCGGTGTGATCTGAAGCCTGGCTGGTTAGTCTCCAAAAGACAATACGTACTTTGGCACTCCATCGGGAAGGATGAATAGCTCGAACCGATCTGGGGCGTTCATTGGTGAGCAAAAGAAGTGTTGATAAATTTTTGAGCGGGGTGTAGAGATGTCTAAATTCGTCACCGTGAGTCTTAGTGAGCAGCCAGCGTGAAGACACCCGAGCGGCCGACAGTGTCAAGGACTGCGTCCCTGCAAGCTTGCTGTTCATGCTGAAACCGAGCCAAGTCCTGCCGGCTCCGCTACAGCCCTGTAGCTCGACGTCCCTGTCACCCGGCCTATGTTGTCCTTCCTCGGTGGTGCACGACCCTGATAGCTCCCGCTTCACGCACACGCTTTTTCAAACATCTTTTTCTGCTTCAGACTAACACAAGTTTCATTTGAGCGAAAACTAGTTGAAAGCTCGTATACATCTCTAGCTATTCTTGGGGCGTGTCTTGCGTGTACTTTTAGTGTTTTCCAATCAACCAACACTTTTTTGCCCAATGTCAACACAAGATTCGTGGCAAAACAAGGAGTCATCAGACCATCAGCCTGCGAACTTGCAGTCGTATAGGTATGTTGCGCACCCGGAGTACGCCTACTAACATCCGCAGTCGTCAACAAGGGGCCCCTGTTCTTCCTCCTCCGAGCTCGCTCGAAAATGGTGAATACCAGATGGAACACAGACCCATGTCAACGGGCCAACCGCTTTACTCTCTGCCTTCCCTTCCAGGAATCAACAACCTGGGCAGATACTCGGTCCAAAATATGGACAATCAACACGTAAGTGATACTATTCAAAATTGCCATAGCGAACAAAACTAACAGAGCAGCTTTCCGAAAACCTAAATATGGTGTCCCCCTCGACTCAGCACCAGAACCTGGTCTCTACTGCCATTCAGCAGCACACGCAGGAGCAGTCGCAAGCCCAGAGACAGGCAGATCACCAGGCGGCTCAGCAAGTTGCTGCCACTGCCCAGTCGTATCGGCCTTTGAATGTCAAAGACGCGCTGTCCTACCTTGACCAGGTCAAGATTCAATTCCAGAACCAGACAGACGTCTACAACAACTTTCTGGACATAATGAAGGACTTCAAGAGCCAAAAGTAAGTACACCTTGCACCGCTTGTTTTTTTTCTGGTGGGTCCGGTTTGGTGTGGTTTTTTCTTTTCTCTCCCCCCCCTTCCCCATCCCAAACTTGATCTTCCACTCTTTTTCCATTTTTACTAACAATTGTGCAGCATCGATACTCCTGGGGTGATTGAAAGAGTGTCTACACTGTTCAGAGGCCATCCCAAGCTGATTGATGGATTCAATACATTTTTGCCTCAAGGTTTTGCCATCGAGTGTTCTTCTGCCGATCCAAATACCATCATCGTTACAACCCCAATGGGGAAGACTGTGAGACAGGACCCTGGACCGGTTCCTTATGACCCGCAAAATCAACATCCTGTTTCTCAACTGGAGTACCAATATCCTCAGCAGTCCCAGTCGCAATATCACCAGATGTTAGGTAATGGTGGCCAACAACCTCCATACTACCAAGCTCAGCAGCAGCCTCCCTCTCAACCACTTCAGCAGCAGGAGGTGAAGCAGGGGTCTCCTGCTGAGTTTGATCAAGCAATCAACTATGTGAATAAGATCAAACAGAGGTACGCCAACGAGCCAGACATTTACAAGCATTTCCTTGAAAATCTGCAGATGTACCAAAAAGGAATAAAACCGATCGACGAGGTTTACCGAGAGATTTCAGTTTTGTTCAGAGATGCGCCCGACTTGCTTGAAGATTTCAAGCTCTTTATGCCGGATACAACGGCTCCTGGTCTGGATCAACAGGGGAGGATGCAAGGACCGCAGCTGGGTGAATACAACAGCTATGGGCAGGTGTATTACGACGGGAAACAGGCGGGACATCTAGGTCAGCCTCATTCACAAACCCAACCGCAGCAGTCGAGTGTTCAACTACCTCCTGTTGGAAGTTTCCAGCCTCCAACTTTTCGCCAGCCTGTGCCCCAAATGCCTCCTAAAGATAAAAAGAAGAGGTGGGGTTCACAGCACCTATCTCAATCTATTCCCACGCAGAAGTCTTATCAGATGACACAACCCTATGACGAGCCTCCAGTGTCCAACATACGTGCTTCTTTGCAGCCTAGACGGAAGGATGAAACCCCCTCTTTGCTGCCAGGTGTTCCGGAGCCTGTCTATCCAAATGCTGTTGAGTCTGATCTCACGGATGAGATTACTTTTTTCGATAAGGTGAAGAAGGCTATCAACAACAAGCAGACCTACAACGAGTTTCTCAAGTTTCTCAGGCTTTATACCAGCGAAGTTATTGACAAGGACACGCTGGTTGAGAAGGCGGAAGGATTCATCGGTGGCTTCCCTGACTTGTTTGATTGGTTCAAGTCCTTTGTTGGGTGGGAGGAAAAACCTCTTCATATTGAGAATATTGCAATCAAAAAGCAACAGCTGGATCTCATGATGTGCAAAGCGTGTGGCCCGTCTTATAGATTGCTTCCAAAATCACAAACATACATGCCTTGTTCTGGCAGGGATGAAATGTGCTGGGAAGTTTTGAATGACGAATGGGCTGGACACCCAGTTTGGGCTTCTGAGGAATCAGGATTCATCGCGCATCGTAAGAACCAGTATGAGGATATTTTGTTCCGAATTGAAGAGGAACGACACGAATATGACTTCTACATGGAAGCAAACCTTAGAACTATTCAAACGCTTGAGACGATTGCCAACCGACTGGCGAATATGACACCAGATGAAAAGGCCAAGTTCAAGCTTCCACCAGGGCTTGGCCACACATCTGTCACGATATACAAGAAAGTGATCAGAAAAGTGTATGATAAGGATAAGGGTTTCGAAGTTATTGAGGCTCTTCACGAAAATCCTGCTGTTGCTGTCCCGGTTGTGTTGAAAAGACTGAAGCAAAAAGACGAAGAGTGGAAGAGAGCTCATCGTGAGTGGAACAAAGTTTGGAGGGAATTGGAACAGAAAGCTTTCTACAAATCTCTTGACCACCTTGGTTTGACATTCAAGCAGATTGACAAGAAACTCTTGACCAACAAGCAACTAGTTAGTGAGATCTCTACAATCAAGCAAGAGCAAATGCAGAAGAAGTTGCATCCACTGATGCCTATTCCAGCTCCGCAATTGAGTTATCATTACGATGACTTTGAGGTTTTCATGGACATTCTCAAGCTAGTCGACTGCTACTTATCTCACAGCCAGACATATTCCCAGTATGACAAGGAAAAAATCGAAGGGTTCCTCAGATCTTTCATTGCCAAATTTTTCTTCCTTGATTCCAAGTTCATCGATACTGCTATGGCAAGAAGATCTGTCGGTCAGGTGAAGGAAGTACAGAAAGAAGAACCCGATACAAAGGAAACTGTGCCAGCTATTCCTACGCTATCTCAATCTAAAAAGAGGTCGAGAGAAAACGATCTTCTAAGGGACGTCTTGAAGAAGGTCAAGAAACCAAAAAAGAATGATGGTGATGAGGAATCTGACTCCGCGGGCTCTGCTCAGACCGCTTCGCAGGGCGAAGAGAACGATGAAATTGAGAGAGCGCAAACAAACTGGATTACGAATGACAGACCAAATATCTCCTACGGTGACGATCGCGTCGAGTTCAACATGTTCTGTAACACCCAGCTCTATGTGTTCTATCGCTTTCTGAACACTCTTTACGAACGTTTGCTCGAAATTAAGCAGATGACTCCAAGCGTGAACAAAGAAATCAAATCAAGAAAGGTGACACCTTTTGCTAGGGATTTGGGTTTGATCAATGACCAGCTAGAGGAGATGGGTATCAACATTAAGGGTGACGACTCGTACAATGAGGCATTGGACCTCTGTGCAAAGGTCATTGAGGGCTCTTTGGACCAAAACAACTTTGAAGAGACCCTCCGTCAGGGATTCCGCAACAAAGCATTCAAGCTGTTCACTGTTGACAAAGTAGTTTCAGGTCTTTTGAAGCACTGCCACAACATTGTTAGTGATTCGAAATGTACCGAGATTGTTCTGTTGATGGAGAAGGACCGCAACAACTCTAAGACGACCGCAAGGGACCAAATCATCTATAGAATGCAGGTCCGCAACCTGATGGCTTCGGATGAGAATATGTTCAAGATTGTTTTTAACAAGGCTACCAACGACACGACCATCACATTCTTGGCATTGGACGATACCACGATCCGTGATGACTCGAAAACGCCAGAAGAGAAGTGGAACTACTATCTCACCAGTTACGCCATGTCCCATCCTACAGAAGGTATTGATCCTAACGCCATTTTGCTTCCTTTCTTGAAGTCCAACGTTGAAGAGGAAGAGGAAGAGGAGGGAGAGATTGATGGTATCGCAGACTCCAAGCTGAGGGTCAAGATTGATAAGGAGACGTACAGATTGGTGTTTGAGCCGGGCTCTTATGATGTGTTTGTGCGGGACACTGCATTCAGCAAGGACGAAAAGCGTTTGGGCAAAGAAGCCAGGATGAAGAGTTTACAGGACGCCCTAGATGGCGAGTTTGGACTCGGAAAGGAGTTGGATGAAGGCGAGATTGAAGAAGCTAATAAACAATTCAGAGCTTGGATTGAGCAAGGTCCGCAGGCTTACCAACAAGCGGGAAGCAAACTGATCGATTCTGCGGGAGACACGGTGAGCACGGGCCCCGACACTGTGGTCTCTGTGGGTGCCCCTTCCCAAACTGACCACACTAGTGCTGACACCAATAATCAGGCTGAGTGATGGTTTTCTAGCAGTTGTGTATAATATAGTATTTCAGACTATCATTAGATATCTTTTGGTGCTTCGTAAGGTTCTGTGGCCAGGTCGACGCCGAAGTCGTCAAGGGTCTCGCCGAGATCGTTAATCCATGACGACACGGTTATTTCATCAGATGGATCGTTATCGTAATTGGATCCATCCGGAGGCCAAGGAAGATTCAGTTGGTCTTCGTCCTCACTGACCTTTTCAAAGTCAATCCCGTTTTCCCTAGGCTTTCCCCAAGGCCAAAGCCAGAGACGCACTGGTCCAAGAGCCATGCACAGATTCTGAAATGCGGAGCCGGAGTCGTACGGAAAGACCAGGTCATCGTATGAGAAGTTTGGAGGTATCTGCGAGTCGCGTTTCAGCTCTCTGTAGTTGGTTTTCCAGGACGTCAGTTCGGGAAGCGGCTTGCCGTGAATTCTCTGGTGGTTTGCTCTCACCTTGGACCAGAACTTTTCTGTGTAGAATTGTGAATGCACTCTTTCGCGTTCCCAGCTTTCTATCGTGGTTTCGTTGCTGATAAGATTGAAAAGAGTACGCAAGAAGAGGATTCCGACCGTGAACAGGATGAAGGCGCACAGCAGTGCGCACACAATCACAAGAGCAAGCTCTTTCCTGCTGACTAAATAAGCCGGCAGGTTTCTGTTTTTGTAGTATGAGGATAGTTTTCTCACTAAGAACGAGAACGTGTAAGAGACAGCTACGAGGACCCACGTAAGAAATCTCATGAAATGGGGCATGTTTTCGTGGCCAACACAGTTCATTGTCCATGGACAGTGGTGGTCCATTTTCAGAACGCAGCGTCTACATGTTTTGCAATGGTGAGTCCTCTCTGGTTTGTAATGCTTGCACTTGGAGCAGTATTTGTACCACTGCTTTTGCGGCTGCTGGGATTTGTCCACTGTGTAGTCGCTGGGTGGGTGTCCTGGCGATGTATAGATGGCCAGATAGTAGGAGTACCAGACCAACGCGGCGAGAATCAGCAGCTTGGTTTGATCGACTCTGTCTCTGTAGAACAGGTAATGGCCGCACAGCTGGATGGATGCAATGAGCAGACTAGGTATCTAATATGTTAGAAGGCCAATTGTACGCGTACTTACCGCTATGCCCAACCAAGGCCATTTGAACACTATGGCCATTTTTAGATCGGATGAAAATTAAATATGCATTTAAAAAATAGCTTTAAATTTGGCTCTGTCACAATGTCAGATTCTGAGGTTATGCCGTACGATGTTCTGCCAACCTTCGAGACCGACAATGAGCTTCTCAACAGGACACTGACGCAGATCGAGCAGTTTTCACGCGCTGATGGACTGCCAGACTACCATACTGTTGTCAACGAGGATCCTCCTTCGTATAGGCCAAACAACACCGTGCGCAATCAGGAGTTGCTCCATGCGCGAGATAACGAGAGACTGCTGCTGAACAATTTGGACCAGCTGGACAGAATCACGTCGCCTGTCAGGATCACCATCAGAGCCACGAAAACCTTCCCTGAGATGGGGAAGAGCATTGAGCGAGGTAACCCCCTGAAAGAGTTTCATGCTGGAGATATTGTCACTGGCTGTGTCACCGTGCACAACCCGACGAGTACACGAGTTCCCTTTGAGATGTTTTTGGTGTCGCTCGAGGGCTATGTCACCATACCGTCCATAATGACCGGCAAGGTGACCAAACGTACGTTTCTAAAAATGTTCGATTTCGGAGCATGCTACATGGACGGGTTCTATCCGACGGCGAATTTCCCCACGCCCACGCAGTGCACGTACGACCCGTTCGACGAAACCTATTACGGCTTTCCCGAGTCCAAGGTGCTCGAGCCAGGGAGCAAACACAAGAAATTCTTCTATTTCAGACTGCCAGAGACACTACTCGAAAATTCATGCGATCACCACATATACGAGCATTTTGAGAAACTGCCACCTTCGTTTGGGCTCGACCGCGACAGTTTCAGCGGCAGAGCCAGACACATTGCGATCAACGAGTCGCTGGGATATGGCCGACTGCAGGACATTGGTTCGCCAATTCTGCTCAACGACCAGAGCGAAAACGGCCAGTCGGTGTCGTATGCCATCACAGTGCGCATGATCGGCAAGCATCAGGACATTTACAAGAAGGACCCGATGAAAAAGTTCATCATGATCAAGGACGAGCAGCATTTCTTCAGATTCATCCCTGACGAGTCTCTCGACTTACCCTCTTACAAAGATAACCAGAACCTGGCAAAACAGTCCACGAAGCAGCAATTGGAACGGGTTTCCAGGGCTGCCGAGGAGGCAATAGAGAAGCTCACCAAGTTCAAGCTCTTGCGGTCTGCGGGAGTCGAGAACGAGCGCGAAGTCGACGAGCTCAGCTCGACCACAGAAAAGCTCAAGAAAATAAATTTAAAATCGTCTGCAGAGCCAATAATTTCGCACACTACAGACAGGTACCAAAATAGCACCACTTTTCCACTGTACAAGAAAAAGCTATTTGGATTCCCAAATGCCAAATCTTCTGAAAAACCTAACCAACTCAGGTTCGAAGCCTCGATAAGCAGAAATGTGCGACTCGGCTATATTGTGCCCAGCGTGCTCTCCAAGATCTCGTCGACAGAGATCGAGCAGCAGCAGGCGTCGGTCCTTTCGCAGGTACCGCTCCAGTCTCCTATTTTAAGTCCCGTGACGTCTCCGCACGGAGGCGAGCTTGCCCCTGTCAGCTCGCTCACCAGTCTCAAATCGCTAAACGACGAGACACTTAATGCGCTAGTTTCCAAAATGGAGTCTATTCCTTTTTCCAATGAGGTGGAAATCCAGCTGGATTCCGCCTCATCGCACCTTCCGGAGATCGTGTACGTGCGCCCAGCACTAAAGTCGTGCACAATCTCCTCGCCATCGCCGATTCCCGTCACTTTTGATCCGGACTTTCTGCTCCAGGCAGAGACCCCGGCAAACGCTATAATGAACGTGAAAGACGAGTTCTCGAGTTATCTTGCAGAGCTAAAATCGCTCGCCCGAGAGACAGGCCGGGGCATAGATAAGCAGCTGTGCCACGACCTGATCTCTCTCTCAAACATCGGCTTGGCGCAAAAAACTCTACCAGTCTTTGAAGAGATTATTTTGCGGAGCCAGCCGAAATGGGTGAAAACCAGCGAGGGCTACTCAACGAGGTTCAAAATCAAACTCAACTGGGACTACGCTACTATTCGAAAACTGACCCTGCTGCCTAGCTTCAGCATATGCTACCTCACCAAGCTCTACTACCTGACGCTGAAGCTGGGCTTCAAAAAGCACTCAACCAACAGCGCAGTGCTGAACGTGCCCATAGAGGTGGCCAAGATTAGTTTTGGGAAAAACCTGCAATGATCGAAATGTCATTATAGAGCCATTATTATGTATAGGACGCTCAGCTCATTTGAAATCGCCAACTTGCAAGTTTCTTGTCATTGCGGGCAAAGCCACGCGGATGCCATCCAACTCCTTGGTCATATGTACCTGGCACCCCAAACGACTCGTTTCGGTTAGTCCGAAGGCCAGATCGAGCATATCGTTCTCGTCGTCATCTGGTTCGGGGATTAAATCATAATAATCAGGATCGACTATAATATGGCACGTTGAGCAGGCGCACGAGCCTCCACAGGCACCTTCCATATCAATATGGTTCGCCTGGGCGATATCGAGGATCGAGTCGCCCTCGGCAACCTCAAATGTCTTCTGTGATCCGTCTTTGGTGATGAAAGTGATGTGCAGTTCTTCTCCGGGGTTCGGCTTTTTGATATGTCCGTGGAAGGCAGGAGTGGTCGAATGGAGTGGTCGTATCCACTTCGTTTGTGTATACGGAATCGTGCGTATCACAGGCGCCCTGAACAAGGGCCTCGTGCCTCTTAATGCTGCGATTCTCATGAAGGAGTTTTTATGTAGATTACTTTAGTCCTGAAAATTATTGGCTCGGGCCCCGGTTATGGAGCACTCGGAGAAAAGAGGCGTCGATCGGCTTTAAAAAAAATAAGTACAGCATTATCTGGAAGAATTCCTTATGTCCTTGTTTGATAACTACGAGACCGACTTCAAGCTGGCCTACTCGGAGGCCCAGCAGAAACTGAGCCAGATATATGGTCTGGCAGACCAGAATACACGTGTGGATCTCATGAGAGAGGTCGAAAAGCTCATAGACGATGGCTATGACCTTATCGACTCCATGTCTCTAGAAGTGCACCAGCTCGCCACCCATCAAAGATCTTCCTACAACGCCAAGACTAGAACGTATAAACAAGACTTGGAAAGACTCAAGTCCGACCTCAAATCGCTGATGGACGACAACGATAGAGTCAACCTTTTGGGAGTCAGCAGCCAAGACGACTACAACCAACGACAGAAATTACTCAATTCCCATTCCTCAATTGACAGATCCACGCAAAGGCTCAATGAGGCCACGCGAACAGCTCTGGATACCGAAACCGTCGGTACCGGAATTCTAGATAACCTCCGTTCGCAGAGGGAACAGATTTTGAATGCGCGCGAAACCCTAACCGAGGCCGACACCTACGTGGACAGATCGCTCGCCACTTTGAAAACGATGACTCGCCGCCTCGCAACAAACAAGATGATTACCTATGGAATCATCGCTGTTCTTATAATGTTGATCTTCCTTACAATTATCAGCAAATTCCATTAAAATATATGCTCATTTCTTGGTTTCGAATTCCTCACTTGAAACAACAATTTCGTCCTCCACTTTATAATTGGCCATTGCATCACGCACTTGCTTCATCAGATCTTCGTGTTGGTCCATATTGTCGGAGTTCATGGTTTTGATCGATGCTTTACGGCTCAGACCAGGAACTTTGTGTGCAGCCTTCTCGTCCTCTTCAATGTCCAGCTTTTCTGCAGTAAGGTTCAACAGCGACTTACCAGATTTGCGCCGAACAAGAAGCGGAAATGGAGATGGCCGTGGTGTATAATTTTTAATTTCATCCTCGTCGTAATACGACCGTCTGTGCCGAGGCCTGTTGGGAGTTCTACAGGCGACTCCCACATCCTGAATAAACCGAGCAACAAGAGCTGTCCAGCCACATTGCCATTTGGTGCCCAGTCCACGTCCCGTGTCTCCATCGAAATACTCGTAAAAGTTCACAAGCTCTCTAAAGTATTCGCTGGTCAATAGTGGATCTTTGTTTGGACCATGATATGGACGTTCATGCTTTTCATTTGGTAAGAAAAGAAGGATCAGGCGCTGCTGGATTTCTTCAGCAGCCTGAGCCAAGTTCAAAAGCTGTCCGCTGCCCTTGGGAACTTCGACTTTGAGATCAGAACCGTAATATAGATAAAATCTAAGTAACGATTCAATGAGCAAGAAATTTGTAGGGAACCAAATTGGTCCTCTCCAATTGGAGTTACCTCCAAAAAGACCAGAGTCAGACTCTCCAGGCAGATAATTGATGGTGTACTCTTGGCCATTTATATTCATGGACACGGGATTTTTCTCGTGATACTTCGAGAGTGACCGAATACCATAAGGTGCCAGGAATTCGTTCTCATCAAACAGTTTTTCCAGAATTGCAACTAAACGCTCCTTGCTGACTAAGGAAAGCAGCAGTCTATCGCCAGAGCCCTTGGTTTCCATGGATGCAATATTTCTTTCGATCAAGTACTTTTTGTTCTCGATGAGCCAATTCAGTCTCTTTCTGAAATTAGGGAACCTTTCCAACAACTCAGGCTCAAGGGTACAGGTTGCAAACAAAGGAATCAATCCGACCAAAGAACGAACTTTCATGGCAGAGGTTTTGTTGCCTCCCCAATGAATTTTGTCATAAAAGAATTGGTCTTCTTCGTCCCACAAAGATTCTGGGGTAGGGATCAAAGTCTCTTCGTTGGAGACACCCGGAGGCGCTAAGTAGGACATTGCATCAGCAATGAGCAAGTAATGTTCAAAGAATTTCGATGCCACATCTTCATAGACGGGATTCTCTTTTGCAAGCTCCAAAGCAATGTTCATCATGACCAGAGCATACCAGGCCAGCCATCCAGAGGAGTCCGATTGAAACAATTCAACATTTGCAGGAGGCTCAGATCTATTGAAAAGACTGATATTGTCCAAACCCAGAAAACCACCTTCAAAGATACCATTACCATCGGGATCCTTCCTATTCACCCACCATGTGAAGTTGATCAAAAACTTTTGGAACACCCTTTCCAAAAATTGCCTGTCTTGATAGTTGTACATCTTTTTCTCGATCTTGTATATTCTGTAAGCAGCCCACGCCTGAACAGGAGGATTTGAGTCAGAGAAGTTCCATTCATATGCTGGAATTTGCCCCTGAGGAGACATATACCATTCTCTAGTGAGTAAGTCGAGCTGCTTCTTGGCAAAGTCTGGGTCAATCATTGCAAACGGAATTGTATGGAAAGCCGTATCCCAAGAACAGTAGAAAGGATATTCGAAATCATCTGGCATCGATAGGATGTCTTCATTGTACAAGTTTTTCCAATCTTTATTTCTCCCGTTGGCCCTGCCGATCACGGGAGCAATGTCTGAGTTAGGATCTCCTCTGTACCAAAAGTCGTGAATAAAATGGTAAAATTGCTTATTCCAAAGCAGTCCACTGAAAGCCTGTCTCTGCACGTTGCGGAGCTCCTGAGGAAGTGGAAGAGGTGAGATATTCCAGTAAAACTCGTCCGCTTCAGACAAGCGTTCTTCGAACACCATATCAAACTCCTCTTCGTCAAACTCTATCTCCTTGCTTTTCGTCAATTTGTACCTTATGGTGACAAAATCACCAGCAGGAATCCCCCCATTTTCGTCAAACACAAACCAAGCACATGCTTTGGTTCCCTTTCCCTCTGGGTTGACGGCTTCTTCGACCTCGTCAACGATATAGTCATGGAAGCCATCCTTGGTATATTTTGTCTTGTTTTCGACATCGTATAGTCGCTTGAAGTTCGTTTCATTGTCACAGAAAAGAAGTTTTGGCTCAACGTCTTCAGAATTCTCATCCACACCTGGGGCAGGAGCGAAAACAAGACGGCGATCGCCTAACTTAAAATGATCCACCTTGATGGAATACTCAGAGTTCGGGAACTCCTTTGAAAGCACTGGTTTTTCTGCATTTTGCTTTTCTCCCCAAGCCCATGTGTTCCGAAAAAATATTTGTGGCATTATGTGTAGGGGAGCTGCTGCCTGAGATCGGTTATAGGCGGTGATCCTGAAATTAAGCTCTTCAGGATCATCCGCATCCTTTGCCATTTCGAAAAAGATGTCAAAGTAATTGTTGTCCTTGAAAGCATCGGTATCGGTGATCTCATACTCAGGCTCCAATTTTGACCTCTTGGAGTTCTCCTCATAAATCTGCTCGTAGGGGAATTTACCAATTGGGTACTTGTATAGAAACTTGGTATATGAGTGGGTTGGCGTGTTGTCCAGGTAATAGTACATTTCCTTAACATCCTCACCGTGATTTCCACTCTTTGGGGAAACACCTCCAGGAAGTCCAAACAGTTTTTCCTTCAAAATGTCGTCATTTTCATTCCAGAAGGCTAAACTCAAACAGATGTATTGGTGGTTATCGCAGATACCCCCTAACCCGTCTTCTGTCCATCTGTAGACTCTAGACCTAGAAGTCTCAAAGTCAAACTGCCATGCATCTCCATCAGCCGTGTAATCCTCACGAGGCAGCCCCCAAGCCCTCTGAGCCATATAAGTTCCCCATCTCCTCCAGTATTTGGAGTGATCTTTGTCTTCGGCAAGGCGGATCTCCTCCCTTGTCGGTTTCTGACCCAAAGGCATTGATCAACTTGATAATCGAAAGAGTTGGGAACAGGAGAAGTAGCAAATTGTGCTAATTGACCAGATCAATCCACAAATAAAACTAGATCAATTTGCGGAATTACTTGTTACTATACTGCTCCACACCCCTTGCACCGCGAAATTAAATCTTATGTGATAATGCGATTTTTATTTTATTTATCGGCTAGAAAAATGCTTTAAGATATTCATCGTCTCTCAATATTCTCTCCACCAGTGCGTAGATTTCCATTAACATGTTGGGGAACCGACCAGCAAAAAAAGCGTAAAAACCATCCGGAAGAGGGCTCATTTGCTTGGCTAAATTTGGTGGCAAGTCTTGGAAATGATGGTATTTGTTGCGCAGAGCCCGGAGCAAATCCATCAACTTGTCGTCGTTGTACTTTCTGTACTTGCCAAGATTGTCCAGGAATGAAGAATTGAACTTTCTAAACCACCCCTTGCCAATGATGGCCGGTGCTATGCTCTCCAGCTTTAGAAGTAAATCTGACGGAGGATCTCTTCTTTCAATCTCAAAGCGGTCAGAGACGCGAAGCAAAAACTCCAATTTCTTTTCGATGGACCAGAAATAAGGATGTTTCAGAATCAGGCTCATATCGGGCCTATTGGCAGGGTCTTGATCTATCATCGACTCTATCAGATCTCGTATTTCGTAGCGGTCCTCCAACGTGTCCAAAAGATCCAGGTTATACTGGTTTTTGATGATGTTGCTTTCGCGCGAGTAGCGATCACCAAATGGATGCTGTCCGCCGGTCAAAACGTAGTAGAAAACACAACCGGCCGAGAAAATGTCGATCGATCTCGTTAGACGACGATCACTCATCAATGAGAGCTGGCTGAGCTGCGACTCAGTTTCGGCCACATCGTCAACGAGAAGCTCAGGCGCACGCCAGCCAGAAGTTCCAGCAGCATGTGCAGTGGTGGCCCGGAAAGAAGACTGATCGTTTTCGAGCTTCTTGCAAAGCCCAAAGTCAGAGATGAGCAGCCGCAAAGGCATCTCCTTATCGCTGCTGCTTATCTTCTTTGGTGGAACAACCAAGATGTTTTGCGGTTTGATATCTCTGTGAACTATTTTAAGGGAGTGTAGATGGTTCAGCCCGTTGGCTATCTGCCAGAGGACGTTGACTGGTTTCATTTTACCCAGCAACTCGTTGGAATCCTCTTTTTTCAGCTCAATGACGTCCTCGAGTGACGCCCCGCACAATTCCAAGGCAATATACAGGAATCGGTCACTCTGCTGCGAGCAAAAGTAGCGGACCACGTTTGGATGATCGTCACTTTCTTGTAGCAAATTGATTTCGTGGGATGCAACATCGTAGAAGTCCAGCAACATACGCTTAACGGCGACTGGGCGGTTTTCAAAACTTCCTTTAAACACAACTGTTCCATGAGAGCCGTAACCCAGGATTTCGTCTGAAATCGTCATGTTGCTGGTTGAGGTAGGAATAGTGATGGCAGAGTTAGTGAAGCCCTTCTGAGAACCACTTCTGCTCCGCACGGTGTCAGTACCATCTTCCAAGGTAGAGCCTCCTGTCTCCTTCTTCTTGTTCTTCTTTCCTCCACGAGTGCCTCTCTTGCGCCTCCGTGGCTGAGGTTGCTGGCCGTCTTTGTCTTCAGATTGTGCGGCCTCCTCATTGGGCCTGGAAGAATTGTATGAAGACGAAGAAGAGTTCTCGCTCTTATTATCTGTTTCCACAATGATCACCTTCTTTGGCATTTTCTCTGTCTCGATGTCTCCAAACCGCTCCTTCTTTATCAAATTGAAACTCTTTTCCAATTCAACAACATCGTCCTTGAGTAGCATGTCGACGATCTCAACGGCACTTTGGGTGCGTTTGAAAAGCCCGAACCGGCTCAATATTTGCGTCAGGGGCGGTAAAATACCTATTCTCGATAAGAATACCAGTATCATCACGCCGATCATTGTCATGACAACGTTCTCAAAAGCACGGTATACAAGATTGATCAGCGGCGTGCCTCTTCCTGACGAAGAGGGCAATGTTGCGATGTCGTATTGTGAAGGCGGATCTATGGCAAGATACTCCTCTGTTTCGGGGAGCCCCGGGCGGGATTTTCTTGGTCTTCTTTGTTTGCGATTCAAAGGATCTTCAAATATTGTCGAGGAAAGCGATGCCGGTAGTCTTGGACTGGTCAGGTCGATGTGATTTTGCGATTTGTCCATGGACCTGTCATGGACTCCGGAAATGGCGATTCCCAAAAGCTCGGCGTTTGCGAATATCGAAGGTGTTCTCCAACGCTCACTGGAGACGTATTTTGCCAACGGGGCGGATTTCACCAGGGAGGGATAGTTTGTCTCGCTCATGGCAAACCATGACCCGCCCTTGGTTCTGTCCACAAACGTGGAGTCGCCTGTAGTGGTGACATTTTTGTTATTGAGTGGATGTGGAAGCACAATGAAATTGTTATTATCTCCGTCCTCCAAGAAAACGTCAAACACGTTCACAGTGACGAACGGCAGACTCGAAACCCACTTCACCGACTTTGTGCCGGAATCAAGAGCAAGCAGCGAGTTGTCGTGGAACGGCTGGATATACAGATCATCAACGCTGTGAACATTTTCGGCTGCGAGATTGGTGTGCAGATTGTTCAGACCCCACGAAGTGTATGTGATATTCCAGGCGGTGTTATTTTTCGAGTGGATGCTAAGTTCGTAAGTAGTCTTCCCCAGCAGTATGACTGGCTGGACAGGGTCGGTCGGGTCTTCTACCGGACAGATTTGCGCAGACTCGGGTATCCCAAAAGAATCTATCAAATCACCGGTGCGCGCATCGATTCGAACAATTCCCGTCCGTTTGACTCCCGTGTATACGAACTCGTCTCCGATCGAGAACGGCGACTTTGCGACCAGCTGCTGGACAGAGGCGGGCAGCTTCTGCAATCCCGTTTCTTGTGTGAAGTAGTATATGGAGCCCTCCTCAAACGGCTCGACCATCCACGCCGAGAACTGAGATCCCACAGAGGGGTCAGCCCCCGATATATTTGGGTCGATGCTTTCCTTGATGGTCACCAGCGGTGTGTTCCCCACAAAAGTCCACACCACCTCGCCCGTCACTCGGTTGAGAGCGTGCAAGTTTCCCTCGACATCGGAAGCCAACAACAGATTGGTGACAGTGAAGTCTCCGAGAGATTTTTCGAGCGGGTGGTCCGAATAGGGAGAGATCTCATCGCCAGCGGAAACAAGGGTCAGCGTGAACAAGAATGCAAGACCTAGAAGCCAAATTCTTGCCAATACTGAGCGAACCCGCATAGCTTTTTTAGGGTATTATTTTTAAATTGTCCTGAAAATTCCGTCACTTTTCTACGCTTAGTGCTACAAGCCCCATTTTTTAACAGACCCCAAATTAACGATATGCAAATCGTGAAGGATTTGCTGGACGAGCTGTTTCTATGGTTCTGCCATCTTATCATCGATACCTTCTTCCGTGAGGTCCGGGTCCGTGGTTCCTACAATTTGCCCTCCAAAGGGGCGACCCTGGTCGTTATCGCTCCTCATCACAACCAGTTTTTGGACGCCGCGATTGTTACCCATGCCATTCACAAGATAAACGGACGTCGCACGCTTTTCATTGAAGCTGCTGCTTCTGTTAGAAGACCCGTTATAGGCCAGCTCAGTAAGTGGAGTGGAGCAATTCCTGTGGAAAGGGCGCAGGACCTCTTGACCAATAAACAGGGCATAATCCGTTACGAGGACTACAACAACGACGAATTGTCCATTGTTGGGGAAGGGACGAAATTCACCACAGACTGTGAGGTCAAAGGGCTGATAGGGCTCCCCGAAAGTGCGGGAAACCAGAAAATAGCAGAAATTATCAGCGACACTAAACTAAGACTTGCAAAGCCGATGACCAAATCAAAAGGTATCGAGATGCTCATGTGCGGAACCTCCTACAAAAGTGCTCCAAAAGTTGACAACCATGACGTTTTCAAAAAGGTCTTCCAAAGACTCAAGGAAGGTGAGCTCATCGGAATTGCTAGTGAGGGCGGCTCCCACGATCGTACCGAGCTTCTGCCATTGAAGCCCGGCGTCGGGATCATGGCATTGGGCACAGTGGCTGAATACGAAGGCACAGAAGTCAATATTGTTCCGTGTGGCATGAACTATTTCCATCCACACAAATTCCGTTCCAGAGCAGTTTTGGAATTCGGAGAACCAATCAAGGTGGGCCCTGAGGAGGCGAAGGCCTATAAGCAGGATCCAAGAAAGACTGTCGATGCTCTTATGGAAAATATCACTACTGCTTTAAAATCTGTGACCATTCAAAGTCCGGACCTCGAGACGTTGCAGGTTATCCAAGCTGCAAGAAGACTATACTCCAATCCAAGCAGACCGCTTCCATTGCCCGTGGTTGTGGAGATGAATCGCAACCTGCTTATTGGATACAGCAAATTCAAAGATGACCCAAAGATCAGGCATTTGAAGGAGAGTGTGACAAGCTATAACAAACGATTGGCGTACTTGGGAATCAAAGACTACCAGGTGGAAACGGTGACCAAAAACCGTTGGCGTACATTGTTCTTACTTACGACTCGGCTGGCGCGGCTTCTAGTACTGCTGGTGTTGAGTCTCCCTGGCACAGTGCTATTTTCCCCCGTTTTTATTGCATGCAAAGTTATATCAAAGAAAAAACAGAAGGCCGCCTTGGCTAGTTCGAGTGTGAAAATAAAAGCCATCGACGTTTTGGGTTCATGGAAGGTTCTCATTGCTTTAGTGGCTGCACCAATATGCTACTTCATCTATTCTGCAATCGGTACCGTGCTTGTTTTCAAATATGAGTTGCTCAAGTACACTTTCTGGAATGTCGTTGCTACTTTTGCCTCTTGGTGGGCTCTGCTTGTTTCCACCACGTACGCTGCTTTTGTTATGGGAGAAGGTGGTATGGATATTTTCAAGTCCATCAGACCGCTGGTCCTATCCCTCTCTCCAAGATCCACTGATTTGGACGAATTACGTAAGGAAAGGCAACGTCTTTCTGCAGAGATTACAGAGGTGATCAATGAACTGGGGCCTAGAGTCTTTCCAAAGCTGGACAAGCACAGTCTGGCCCGGCTGGAGAAAGAATACGAAGCAGAGGTGGAAGACTTACGCTCGAGATCAAGATCAAGGTCCCAGTCAAGATCGAGATCGGGATCTCGGTCGTTGTCGCGGGCATCAACCCAATCCGGATTTACCGAAAACAGAATGCCAAACCTTTCGGACGTCTCTATCTTTCCCGATGCTTTGCAGCTCAGGGACCAGTCTAGCCCAAGTCCATCATCGAGCAGCTCCAGTTTTGTGCACCTTGACAGCGCTGACAAGATCGCAGCAAGCGGAGTGAATGACCACGATGCTGGTTTATTGTCTAAGGTCAGAAATGCAGTTCTGAAAAAACGCAACGAGGAGGCCAGACTAGAGGGTGAAAAGTCGGATTAAACTTGTCTAAATAATATTGTAACGAAAAAATACTATTACGCTAGTATATATATATGAATGAAGAGAAGAAAATTGCAGGAAACATAACTCGAACCGAACGGATAAAGCTAAAATTCCTTAGCGCAGCGGTAGTCGCAGCGCTTGCGGGCTACTATGTGTGCTCGCACATTTTTCTGATCCTTATAGGGTCGACAATTCCTATGTTGATCTTTGGTTACATGTTATTACGAGTGGGCGGTCACTTGCCAGAATCGATAGGGAGCCTAAACGAAAAGCATCGGACAAGGTTTCCACGTTTGAAGTTTACTGAGTCGCATAATTGGGCAAAAGAAGTTTCAGAGCTGAATCAAGAAGCAGATCCAGACCGCGTTAACCAGCTATATCCTGAAAACTTCATTATCAGTGACACTCTCCACAATCTGATTTTGCTGATAACGCGAGACTTTGTAGAGTCGTGGTATACGCGGATCACCCCCGACAAGAGATTTCTAATTGAGGTCCAGGTGCAAATAGGCAATGTTGTTACTCAATTGCAGCAGAGACTGAGCGAGATAGATTTGACAGAAACACTAGTCTATCGTGTCCTGCCATTGATCACAGACCACTACACGAATTTTGTCACTGCACAAGAGGTTGTGAAGAACAAGAAGCTCGGTACCATTAGATCCTTCACCAATACATGGGACCTTGACAAAATCGTTGCATCTTGCTACAATAAGGGAAAATTGCATCCGGCGATCAAGCTGAAAAGCGTTGACCCCGGAGACGACATACAAAGATGGCTCTCACAACAGATATCCAAGGTTCTCCCGCTGATAGTCGATGAAAAGGAAATAGAGTCTCCTCCAATATTCCTGCTTCTTAGAGAGATCTTGGAGAAATGCGTATTTTTCCAGATCGTGGAGATGCTTTCTGACCCCGACTTCTACAACCAGCTTGTGGAAAAGAGTCTTGGAAATGCTATGAAGGACCGTTTGAACGTTAAGCGGTTTCGTAGCGCGCTCAGTAAACATAGCGTTGAGAATCTCAAAAATTCGCGCTCACTGATTTCAAGAGGAAGATTAAATCCAACAAGCGATGCAGCCAAATTCCAGCGTATATTGCGTGAAATCAACAAGACCCAGTCTGTGGCAGACCTAAAACAGTACAAGTACTACGTGACTCTACAATTGAATAAAGCAAGTCGTGGCGAAAACACCAACAACCAGCAGTACAAAGAGAGACTTGCTACCCTACGCAGCGCGACCGATAAACGTCTCTTATCATTGCTAAAATCATCATCTACTTTTGCAGAACAAGAACCAAATGTCAATGCCAACTTGGACATCACTTTTGCTGAGATACTAAATAGTCCTGCAAAACTGTCCGTGTTCACAGAATTTATGGAACAGAGACGACGCACCCCTTTGCTCAAGTTGTGGCTTGTGGCTGAAGGACTGAGAAATCCATTGGAGGACAATCACGATCTCTCGGACGAAGACAGCGGCGAAAACGAGTCTGACCTAGAATACTCTATGACGATGTCTCAGGGTGACGACATACGTCAAATATTCGAGGAATTCTTTGAAAGTCCGATTTTGAAGATAGACTCTAAATGCTATTTCAACGTTGCTCAATTTGTGAAAACAGAACCTGCGGATCCTATACTTTATTACAAAGCTCGCAAATCTCTATTCAAGCTACAGAACGAGGTATATCAGAGAATGCAGAAAACCGATTACTTGGCTTTCAAGCAATCTGATCTTTACTTGCGACTAATTGCAGCGGAAGAACAACCAAAAAGCGAAGGCATAGAAATCGACGAAGACGAGACCAATGGCGATCCACTGGCAGATTATGAAGAGACTGGGAACGAGGAGCAAAAAGTGAGCGATGCTGTTCTTCGTGCGGTTGAGGATGTACTCGCTGACTTGGCAGATGAAAAGCAAGAAAGACCGAGTTTGTATCAATTCAACTCCGGTTTTTCATCCTCAGAAGACCTGTCGGAGACTCCGTCAGGTACAAGCACTCCTCGCGTGTCGCGGCTTCTGAGCAAGGACGTCCAACGCGACCTTTTCGGGGAGGATGTGGAGACAAATGGATTGTTCGACAACAACGGTGAACTATCAGAGGATAAAGACTCAACAAAATCGATGAAGATTTTTGACGATGACGAGAGCGACACCTTCTTGGACGATGATATGACCATGTCATCATCTCAAGAGCTGCGGCTGGCTGCCCCTGGAAATCTTAATCTGGGCGACGAGATTGAAAAGCTGGGAGCGGAAGTTGATAAACTGGAACAGCAGTTACGCATTATAGAGCCACTTTTAAACAAGGCAGAGCTGACCAACAACGTCTCCGAATTGAAGATCCTGAAAAAGACTCAAGCAGGACTCAAAAAAGAGCTGCAACTGAAGGAGTTGCAGAAGCAACAATACATTGTCCAAGAAAGCGACAACACACTCTATGGGAAGAGTAACGTGCGAATTCAATCATACCTCAATGGATTTGAAGATGGAAAAGAATGCATTATGTACATAATTGAGGTGCAAAAGCTGACAGCTGATAACACCGTGATTGCAGGCTGGATGGTTGCAAGACGATTCAGCCAGTTCTTCAAATTGAATAATTATCTGAGGAGCAAGTACGCTGGAGTTGGAGATCTGGAATTTCCCAAGCGTAAGGTTGTTCTCAAATTTCAGCAGCGATCATTGATCGTTGAGCGACAGCGAAAACTTGAGCGCTACCTGCAATCACTGATTGAAAACCGCGAAGTTTGCCAGGACAGAGTCTTCCGCAGCTTCCTGTCTTCGGAACTATTCGACATCAATCCGGACGACTCGCGTCAGAGACTTGGAAAGCTAGGCAACCCTGGGAAAAGTGCAGTGAATATGGCCTCAAAATTGTACAACAACATATCTAACCAGTGGCAGCTGCAAAACAAGGCCCCTGCGAATGATGTTGACAATAAGCCAACTTTGGAGATGCAAAAAGAGCTATCTAGCTTGGATGACAACCTCGAAGGACAGGAAGCAAAATTCTCCTCATTTGTGAGACCTATCAGCGACTTCCTGATCGCCGTCTTCTGGCTCAAGAACTCTAAGGCCTGGCTACGGGGCCGGGCTATCGTGCTAGTTTTGCAGCAACTGTTAGGCTCCACAATCGAGAAAATGGTGAGAGTCAGCATTGATGGGAGGTTCAAGGACTCTTCAACTGTGGCCGGTATCCTTACCATGTTGCAAGACTCCCTGTGGCCAAATGGGTCGTTCCGAAAGTCAGGAACTCCTAGAACCTTATTGGAGAAATCCAAGACCAAACAGCATGCTAAAAGGATCTTGGAATTTTTCATCATTGATACTTGTTCCAAGATTTTTGGAGCGTCCAACTCCAGATTGGCTGCAGAGACAACGTTTCAAATTCTGCAAAACCAAACACTAAACAGACACCTGGTTCTAACGATCCTACAGGAGGTTTTGGAAACGATATTTCCAGAGATTGAAAGATGATCACTTGATCTTTCTAATAGGTCTCTCTCCGAGATTCTTTTTCGTGTTCCATATTTCAAGTTTGCGGACTTCGAGCTCTGCGCGCTTTCTAATGAGCAGCTTTTTTAGCTCATTCTTTCGTTTACAACGTTCTAGCTCTGCGACCCATTCTTGGTGACGATGCGCCTGCTGTTTTGCGGTTAGTGTCTGGTCAAACACGGGGTTTTCTAGTTTAGGATAGTTCAGACTCATTAGTTTTGCCATTTCCAGATACGCATCGTGATCTTTAGCCTGCTGTGCAACACTCAACCAGTTCAAAGGAGCGGTGTTGTCTGAGCTCAAACACGCTTTCCTTTGCTCAATCAGCTTATCGAAAACGTCGTTGATCTTTGTAAATAGCTCTGTTTTAGCTTCTTGGGGAAGATCTACCGGAGGGTCGAGGACGGGAATATATTTGACTGTGGGAGCATTTTTGTCTCGAATTCGTGCTGCCGCGTTCGAAAGATTGTGAGCATGCACTTTTTTGTATATTTTCTGCTGGAATACTGCTCGCAATTGCAACCCCAATTCTTCTTTAGCGTCTGTAGCAGGCGGTACATACTCCAAAAACTGCTCCTTAGGCTTTTCCTTGTTTTCGTTGCAGATCTCACGATACGGAACTATGTGGCGTTTTTGTGCGTCACCATGTATGTTGGACTCGTCCACATACTCTCTGCTTGCCACGGGAACTGGGACCTGTTTTTTAGGTAATGGCCAGCTACTGAAGCGTCCGTTGGCGATAAAGTAGTCTCGCGAAGCTAGCATTTTCACCATATACAGATGCAACGCGAGGTCTGAACAAAATGACGAGTCCAAGTTGGCGAGTATTTCGTGGAAATCTTTTCTGATTCGGTTCAAGTCCTTGTCATTGCTGTGGCGAATTTCTGGGAAATCCTCGAAATGCTCCTGAGCATCTTCAAAATTGTCCGAGTCTGAATCAGACATAAAAATTACAGATTAAATCTTTTTTCCCAATGCCTAAACTCGAGGATATAGAAGATATCGAAGATGTCGACGATTTGGATATGGACTTGGCCGAGTTCGACCCTGACTTGAGAACTCCTATTGCTCCTGCCAAGCCCAAACCAAGTGTGGTGAGAAGTCAGGACCAGGAGCCTCAAGGTTTCCAGCCTTCGTTCAACAGCGAGGTGTCTGACATTCGCCAGCAAATGAGGACCCATGACCAACTTTCAGAGGAAGAGCTGGCTGAGCTGAAAAGCATGCAACTGATCTACCCGTGCTATTTTGATCTCAACCGTTCAGTGAAGGAGGGGAGACGGGTGTCCTTGGACCACTGTGTTGAAAACCCTCTTGCCAAAACCGTATTGGACGCATGTCGCCACCTGAACCTAACAGCCGTGCTGGAGCCTGAGAAGACACACCCACAAGATTTTGGAAACCCAGGAAGAGTCAGAGTGGGGCTCAAATTCAAAGGCCAACAAGTTAGCCCTGCCATTAAGACTAAAAGAGGTCTTTTACTCAAAATATCTGAATACCTGGAGAATCATCCAACCACTTTGGACACTGTGAAGGAGCTTCCGGGTCCGCCAGAGTTGATGCAGGGGTACGAGCCTATGGAGGTGAGTAAAGTGAAAAAGTTTAAGATGAACACCATCGTTCCACTGCACTCTCCGTTGACGATGAAAAATCCTCAAACGGCCTCGGCATACATCAAGACTCCACAAGCAGAAACGTCTACGCCCAAGATTCCAAAGCCCAAGGTACAGAGAATCAGAGCATAGAGAGCGGTATATTAGAATCTATTTCCCGGTACGATTATTTAGTAGTAGCAGGAACATATTGCTGACGGTAATCTAAAATCATGTCTAGCTGTTCTTTTGTGAGCTGGTCCCTCAGATTCTCAATTATGTCATCAAGACTCACAATAGACAAAACAGGCACGTTGTATCTTTTGGAAACAGCAGCGGTTGCACTTTGGTCGGAGTCCTTGACCACTTCCTGTCTATCCAGAGCGATGATACAACCAATAGCCTGGCCATTTTCGGCCTTGATAATAGCAAATGCCTCGTTGATGGCAGTTCCGGCGGTCATAACGTCGTCGATAATCAGAACTTTCTTGTTTTCCAGCGGACAGCCCACAATCATTCCACCCTCTCCGTGGTCCTTCTTCTCCTTTCTGTTGAACGCGTATCCAACATTGGCATATTTTTCCCCACCCAGTTCGTAAAGCTTCACAACGGTGATAGCAGCAAGTGGGATTCCCTTGTACGCTGGGCCAAACAGGATGTCGAATTCCAGTCCCGACTCAATGATAGTCTGAGCATATGCGGTAGCTACGTTGCTCAAGGCAGCAGCTGTTGAGAACTGGCCCATGTTGAAAAAGTATGGCGACGTTCTGCCAGATTTCAGAGTGAAACTGCCAAACTTCAAAGCCTGCACATCGAGGGCATCTTTCAAGAACTTGAGCTTGTAGGACATATTCAAGATTAAAATATTTTTTTCATAAATTTCGATCAAATAGGGGATGGACGATACGGCTACCACCTCTGCAATCCTGGACATTCTGTCCTCAATATGTCTTTCGCCAGGGTACTCCAATGTCAAGAAGCACGTTTCGCCCTCCTCTTTACGCTCGCATCTTCCGCACGTCTCGTCTCAGTCGACTCCAAAATCTGTGAACAAAAGGAAATTGTCAAACTCATCGGACCCGCTCATTTTTAACAAATCGCCAAAGGTCAGCAGACGCACAACTACGGACCCGTTCAGCAAGAACACGCTCGATGAGCGAATCAATTCATTTAATATCCTCAACTGGTCCATTGAGGACGACAAACTAAATCCCCTCGAATGCGCGGTGAACGGCTGGCACTGCCGCAAGCGAAAGAACGAGCTGCATTGCAACTACTGCCATGCGGTGCTGCTGATTCGCTTGAACGAACACAAAGACAAAAACAACCTCGTTACGAATTTTTTGTTTGTGGAAGACGACGAAGCAGAGGAGCAGTTTCTGAAGGTGCGTGAACAATTGATCAGCTCGTATCTTCGTCGCCTGCGTACAGATCACTATCCGGGATGTATGTGGAGGAACTCCAACCTGGACATAGGGCTAGTTAAAAAGCAATACCATCTCAAGATCAGCGACATGAATGAAATCCTGGAGCAATATCTGAGTAATCTTGATAACTTGATAGATCACCAGGAAATCATCATGCTGAAAAGCTATACTACAGACATCCTTAATAGGTCGCAAATTGAGATTTTGCAGGCGTACAATTCGACAAACCTAATACTATCCATGGTTGCTCTCTTTGGATGGGAGCTGAAACAACAGAGATTTGGGTCCAAAAATTTGGCACTTCTCAAATGTCATAAATGCACAAGGCGAATACTGCTTGGAGAGTCTGGAAATCTAGACCACACCGAGCCGCTCAAATCTGTTAACTATCCAGCCGAAATCAGCAACGAAGACTCAGACATCAACTTGCTTGCAGAACATGAGGACTGGTGTTGCATGGTGACCGAATTCAATAACCAAAAAGGATATGAAGTCGTGTTGACGATCCTGCAAAGCGTGTCTTCGACTGAAGGCTACGAGGGCATGGAGGTCGAGCAAGACCATTCTTACACGTTTGACTCCACGATGGCGCTTCTTCGTGAGTTCAGTTAAAATTATAAACCATAAGCCATAGTCATCATAATAGTATTCAGTTTCTCTTTTGATACACGTCTTCAGGATTCAAAAGGGTGCCAAACACACGATCCCAGAATTTGCTGGTGACACCAAAACCAAGCTCGTAGTTCTTATAGTGGTGCTCCAGATGGTAAGTCTTGAGATCCTGGAGGTATTTTGGAAGCTTGGCATGGTGGAGGATGTAATGAGTGCAGTCGTAAAGAATATAGCCTAAGAATCCTCCAGCGAATCCAGAGCACGCTGCATAGTAAGGCAAAATCGCAAACACAAGCTTATAGAATGGATAGCACAAAAGAACAAACAGTGTTGGTGGCATCACCAATCTTTTCTTGTCCATTGGTAAGTAGTGGTGGACACCGTGCAACAGAAAATGAATCGTAAACGCAAACTGGTGCTCTGGGAGGTAGTTGTCAATATGGAAAAGGAACCGATGCATAAGATATTCGATCAGGGTCCACACGAACAGTCCCAAAGCCCAGAGAGCCAGTGCCAAGAATTTGTTCTGATTAACAAATCCGATGTAGAAAACATAAAAATTGACAGGAAGCCAAATAAGTGGAACCACATACCAAGGTGTCACCGACAGAGGCTCCAGAAAGTTACCGAAAAGAGGGGCCGAGCCCTTTCCGTAGTGTCTTGGTCTGTGAACTTGGTCAAGGTAGAATTCCTTGGTCCAGTTGGCAGTAAGGACCTGGAGGAGCAATGGTTTGTTGAGATCCAGGAATTTATGCTTTCTATAATCTTCGTCGAGGTCTGTTTTAACGCTCAACAGCTGTTCTGAAGGCAGTTCACCAAATTCTGTCAAATCAATTGTGTCTGGAACCACTTCCATGTTCTGATGCTTAGAAAGAAGTTCCTCTTCCTCTTCTGGTGTCGCCAGGTATCCAATAAGCATTTCGTCATTCAGCATCTCGTAGGCGCTCTCGGAGTGAGTGTGACTGCTAGGATCGGAAAGAATTTGGGTGATGTCTTTACCAGCATATTCCAAGATTAATTCACCACCGGCTGGGTGTTCATCGAGGAAGTCAGTAACATCATAGATATTTCTGTTGTATAGGGTCACCCAGCAGGACTTCGCAGTCGTATGGACTTCAAACTGTCTGCGAGACACGAGTGGTAGACGTCTGTTGTTCATTGGGCTATGATGTGAAAAAAAAATCACGCTATTTTTATGAGCGATAGGGAAAAGAGCAGATCAACACCAAAAATGCTGGGATATGGTAAGAGATGTCCGTGTGAGGTGGAAACTAAGAGTGAGTGGGTCGTTTGGAATCAAAGGCAATACCAATTTTGTTCCTTTATAAATAAATTTCTGCTATGTATGTTTCTATTCGCTCAGCCCGGTATTTACAGCGTAATTTTTTTTCTTATATATTTGTAGTCGCGACGATCGGCTTTGCCTTTGTAATTTGAATTCTCGTTACGAAAACTTTGTGAACAATGTTGAGTCAAATCTTTGCGCAAAGCAGACAGCCTTCTCGACGTGCTCTCAGCACCATCTCACAAACGAAGATCAAAAGCTTACCGAGCGGGATCAAGCTGGTGGTAGACGAGACTCCGAGTCATTTTAGTGCTGTGGGATTATATGTCAATGCAGGCTCCAGGTTCGAAGATAGATATAATTTAACAGGGTGTTCGCATCTGATGGATAAAATGGCATATAGAAGCACTACAGAGATGTCTGGAGCGAAGATGGTGGAAAAGCTAAACCATTTGGGTGGCAATTATATGTGTGCTTCATCAAGAGAGACTCTTATTTATCAGGCAAGCGTATTCAACCAGGATGTGGACAAAATGTTCAAGCTGTTGAGTGACACAATTGCCAGACCAGCACTGCTGGACGAGGAGATAAATGAGCAAATCAGCAATGCGCGCTATGAACTTAATGAGCTGTGGCTTCAAAGTGACATGATATTGCCAGAACTTCTGCAACAGACGGCATACAGCGGCAAAAATCTAGGTTGTCCTCTTCTCTGTCCTCAGGAAGAGCTGGATAATGTGACTTCGGCCAAGTTGCGCCAATACAGAGACTTGTTCTATAGGCCAGATCGTCTTGTGGTGGCTATGAGCGGTGTATCATTTGAAAAAGCCGAAGAACTCACGTTGCAAAATTTCGAAAATTTCAAAGCCAGAAGTAGCACAGAAATCATTAAGGATCCAGCAGTGTATACAGGGGGGGAATTCTCGACTCCTTACCCTGAAGAGCTTTCCTATATGGGTCAGGAGTTCCATCACATCCACGTTGGCTTTGAAGGTGTGCCGATCCAAGATGAAGAGGTCTACAAGCTTGCTACTTTGCAAATGCTCATTGGTGGAGGTGGTTCATTTTCTGCTGGTGGGCCTGGAAAAGGGATGTACTCTAGAGCATACACGCGTATCTTGAACCAATATGGATTTGTTGAGTCGTGCAAATCTTTCATTCACAACTTTAGTGACAGTGGATTATTTGGCATCTCTTTGAGTTGCATTCCACAGGCGAATCGTGTGATGGGCGAGCTGATCGGATTCGAACTATCGCTTTTAATGGAGGATAATGTCAGAAATGGCGGAATCACAGATAGTGAAGTCGAACGGTCCAAGAACCAGCTGAAGTCGTCACTAATGATGAATTTGGAAAGCAAGATGGTTCAATTGGAAGATATGGGTCGTCAAGTCCAGATCTACGGTAAACGGGTCGACGTACTCGAGATGTGCGAAAAGATTGATAGAATCACCAGACATGATCTTATAGATATTGCAAAGAAGGTGCTTACCGGAAGCAAACCAACCATTGTTATTCAAGGTGACAGGGACTCCTTTGGAGATGTTGCGGAGACTCTGGCCAAGTCCGGTCTGGGTACTGATAAGAAAACAAAGAAGGGCTGGTTCGTGTAAATAGTTATTTGTCAAGCCATTCAGAATCGTTCAGTGCCTGGTGGAAGTGCTTTTCTGTACTATAATGAGCTTTCCGCCGTTCAGAGCTCTGTTTTTCGTATTTGTGAATTGTGGTCTTTAGACCGGTCTTGAATAAAGAGAATACCTTTTCATCCTTCTCTGACACTTTGGACGTTATTTGTACCATTTGATTCCGTACATGAGCACTTGGGACTCCATGGATCCGTCGGCTCCAGTGTGCCTTATCGTCCTCATTGGATGACATTTCAACAGTCTACTGTAGCATGAGCTAGCCGTCTGTGGCTGTGAGAGATAGAATTTAACTGTGATTCAAAAAAAGTTGACACTAACAGTTAATTACGTAATCGGTTCTTGTGGCAGGGTACGAACCAGGTTACAAGATTTGGTCCACAAAGGGTGACATTGTCGAGCTATGGTATGCGGAAATGGCTGGGTGACTGTGTTAAAAAAACGAATGTTCTTTCACAGATCATTATTGAGGCTCAACTTGGAAAATGATGTCTAATCTGCCTCCTGCTTCGATCTTGACGCACCACCCACCTACACTAAGTACTACAGCTTTCGCTCCTCTGCAACAATACGAAAGATATATTATCCTGATAGAACTCGTCTATGATATTACGCGCCCATGCCCTGGGTTTTCTTCCATTTGGTAATTCTCTTCTTCAGCTCGCCTGCACTGTGCTGATACGGATTCAGTTTTTTGTCCCATTTCATCTTTTCATAATCGTCTCCATACTTTTTGTACAGATCGGCTAACCAATCGACCTCTCTTGCGCTCTGTTTGCGTTCCTTGATCACCTTGTGCTGAGCAAGTTCCTCAAGTTTCTTGACCACTTCCGTGGAAGGCTTCTCCTGTTCAACTTCCTGCGTTATCTTTTTTGTACCATAGATCACTTTGATGACATTTCCCCCATCATCACGCACAAGCTTTGCTGTTCCCTCGGGAATATCTGCTGGATCTAAAGAGTCCTTTGATTCGTCCTTCTTTTCTTCCTCTTCCTCAGTCTCATCAACGACAAACTCATCATCGCTTTCAGGAAACTGCGGGGTGATTTTCTTTTCTACTCCTCCGGTCTGTTGTGACAGCCGCACTTTCAGACCCATTTTCTCATAGTTCTGTGACAGAGACAGCTTTGGATCCCAGTTTGCCGCAATAATGGAGTTTCCAAAGTTTCTCACCTTTCTTTGTCTGTCCTTCATGCGCCTCGTGGCCTTTTTGACCGACGATTTGGCCATCTTACGCTTACGAACGGACACCATGATCAGTAATGAAAAAATAAGCACTTGAATTTTTTTTTTCCCTGCTCCAGTCGCGTCGATCGTCTAGGACGCCGGCTGCTGATAATCTTCTACCCCAGATCATCTTGTGTCCATGTCAGAAGCTGAACAGACTCCACAGCAACCCAGACTGGCTCCTAATCAGCCTAGCAACCAGCAGGAGATCGACTCGCGGTCTGTTTATCTGGGCAATGTGGACTATTCGGCTCTACCCGGGGATCTGAAGGAGTTACTTGATGACTGTGGGGTCATAAACAGAATAACCATTCTGTACGATAAACACACCGGGAAGCCTCGTGGATACGCATTTGTGGAGTTTGAAACGCACGAAGGCGCGCAAAAGGCTGTCGCCATGAACGGCACAGAATTCCGCGGACGTACTTTGACAGTTACCCCAAAACGGACCAATTATCCAGGAATCACCAACGCCAGACGGTATTCGGGTGCGCCCCCACAGAGGGGGAGAGGACGCGGCGGACGCGCTACTGCCTGGAGAGGGCGTACGCACCATCTGAGGGAAGACGATGCTAAAAACGAGGAGCCCCCGGAGACGTCACCCGAATAAATAATGAGCAAGTGGCATGTATTTTCTAAAACAACCAGACCCACAAAAATATCCAAAATATAAGCGTGAAGAACAGGAGCCATATTTTCCAGCTGATACCTGTCTTGTCGGCCATTACTGCCATCCGATTGAGGTTGGCCTTGATGCGGTTTTTGCTCAGTTCCATGTCGCCCCCGAGAGCGGAGAGGTTGAATTTGCTTTTGTTGATTTCGTCGCCCATCATCATGGAGAGATTTTTCAGAGCTGTGATTTTAGAGCCCAGTAGGTCGACTGTCTCATCGTTCTGAGACTCGAGCTGTGACATTAGCGAAGCATTGTAGTCTCGTTTCTTTGTCTCTGCTGTATCGTAGGGGGAAGACGATCTAGCAAAAGGGTCCTCCTGACGGCGTAAATTATCCAGCGACGTGGCCGAAGAAGTGTTGTGAGTTCTTATTGGGGAGTGTGCGGCAGATACCGGTTGGGAAACCGTTGAGAAAAGCGCTGTTCTTCCCTCCCGCTGGTGCACTTTTGAAGAGTATCGACTAGACATTAATTGACAAATATTAGCCCTGAGTTTGTGCTCATAAGAGTATCGTCGCGTCGAGAAAATATTGTTATTTTCTTCTATGAATTTACGTCAACAGCTGGGTTCTGGCCTCAGCATGGCCATGGTCCTGGCCAGCGCCTTTGCGTTTTGGAAGCTATTTTCCATTGTGACCATGTCGAACTCTCCAATTGTGGTTGTTCTTTCTGGGTCGATGGAGCCAGCTTTCCAGCGAGGAGACGTGCTGTTCCTTTGGAATAGAGAAGAGTATGTTGGAGTAGGAGACGTTGTGGTTTACAAATTGCAAGAGAAAGATATCCCAATTGTGCATAGAGTTGTTAGAGAACACAGGGTGGTGGAGAAAGACAAAAAGACCAAGAAAAAGGTGCAAAAGCAGCTGCTTCTGACAAAAGGAGATAACAACGAGCGAGATGATCTACCACTATACGCCTATGGACAGCAGTATCTTGAAAGAAAAAGAGACATTCTCGGGAGGGTGTTTGGATACGTACCTTTGGTTGGATATGTTACCATCCTCATTACAGAAAACGTCTACTTCAAGTATGCCCTGATGGCTTTACTCGGTCTGTCTGCTTTAGTGCAGGATGAATAATAGTACAGTTCTATATATCTCACTAACTTCTTGCCACTCCGTAACCCAGCGTCATTAGTCGTTTTCTGCGGTCTCCTTCGCCCTTCTGTTTTCCTTCTTCCAGGAGCATCTCTCTTATGAGTCGACAGTCGCTTTCCGAGACATTGTCGACTTTCTGCGTAACAACTCGGGTGAACTCTTCGAGAGACATGTTATCGGCAGTGGGAATTATGTGTTTCACCAGATCTCGTTTGGCTTTCAAACTTTGGTTCTCCTTGTCAAGGATATCCCAATAAAAATCGATCGGGAGCGAGCCTTTCCTGCCACAAAGATTGATGAATCGCGGATCGTCTTTTATGTACCGGAGTAGCTCATGCCATCTTAATTTCGCGGTGAATTCGATTTTCTTGCTTACCTCCTCCAGAAGCTGTTTGAACCCGTCTCTGGCCTTCCTATCTGCTCTGTAGTTCTTTTTATCGTGCTCAGAGACCGTAGCCTGAAAGGATCTCTCCAATTCGTTCATGATATTTTCGTAAATCGTGAGGATATCAAGTTTGTTCAGATAGGGCAGCCGTTCCATATCCACTGTTTTGAAAGCATCGTCCACCTGCGACTTCAGCGTGAGCTCCGACCGCAAAATGACCTCCACTTCCTCGAGCTCTTTACGCCTGGCTTCCTTTATCTCTGCCTCGCTTGCGCGCTTCAGCTTACCAACGTACTCTTCAAAGAATTCCCGTTTCATCTTGGGTGGTATAAGTGAATAGATAGGCTCGTCCATGATAAGTTTTGCACATGTGTTCCACCTGGTGTAGTACTTTATATCGTAATTGTCCAGAACCTGGAAAAATGCGTTCCTGTAACTCTCGCGCGAATTCTCCTTCTCTCGAAACTCCTCATCGGCTTTTCGAAGCAAGTAAACCTCAAAACATTCCTTCCTCGAAATAGAGTCCGGTAATGTCCAGTATCGCTTATCCACAATGCAACGTTCCATCACCTGCTGAAACGTCCAGTCTGTTCCCACAGAGTAGTCTTCCAACATTTGCACAAACTGATCTGTTTTTCCATCTGTATTCTTCTCCCATCTGAGCTCCTCGTCGGTAAAGAAACTGCTCAGATCCACGATTTTCGTAGAGTCAAATGCCTTGTCTCCATTTTCCTGTGCCGATTCGGGTTCCTCAACAGCTACCGGGCTTATAAGTTTGCGCACCTCGTCCGGAAGTGTCCAAACACTCTCCTCTGTTTCCTCGTTGTAGTAGTAGACCTCTCCCTCGTCAGTAAGGTATCGCTGCCATTTCGTCTTCTCTAATGCGGCGTCCACCCTGCTCTCCTTCAAGTCCTCCGGCCTCTCCCATTGCGTCTGCTCAGTCTCTGAGTTGTAGTAGTAAACACGGCCTTCCTCGTCTACCACTTCGCTCCACATACTCAAGACTTGGAAATTTAAATTTTTCGTGCAAAACCCATCTCTTCCGAATAACAGCAAATACGTCTTCAACCACCAAATGGTAAGTTTGGGCATTTACTGTGCTAACCTCAGTCCCAATCCCTCAAGCCGTATCTCACAGCAGTTAGACACTCGCTGAATGTGGCACTCTGTCTCGAAAACTTCTCGTCCCAAATCGTTGAGCGTCACAATTATCCAGAAGTGGAAAATAAGAAGACAACAGAGGTGCTGCTGAACCCAATGATGATTTCAAGAAACGAAAACGAGCGCGTGCTCATTGAACCAAGCATCAATTCTGTGAGAGTGTCCATTAAAATCAAACAGAGCGATGAAATAGAGAGTATCCTGGTTGACAAGTTCACCAGGTTCCTTACCAAAAGAGCTGAGAACTTTCTGATTCTCAGAAGAACGCCTATTCCAGATTACGATATCTCGTTCCTGCTCACAAACTACCACAACGAGGTGATGATGAAAAACAAATTGATCGACTTCATCATCGAATTTATGGAAGACGTCGACAAAGAAATCAGCGAGATGAAACTGTTCCTCAATTCCAGAGCGAGGTTCGTCGCAGAAGCATATCTGAGCGTGTTCGATTAGCCATATAACCTCCTTAGAAAATCAAATACAATCAAAACTAAAACATGCAAGAACCGGAGAATAATCCTGAACAGCCTGCAGAGTACGGACTTAGCGTCGCACACCCGGTCCACCTTTTTCATAAGTACCCGCAGGCAAGGGCTTTTAAAGTGCCCTTTTCATTGTAGTCGTAATCCTCTTGACCCGCGTAGCTGCTCACCTCGATTCGTATATTTCCAATCTGTACGTCGTGATCCCACTCTACAAGCTGGACAAACTTGTTGTGGCGATACGTGGTTGTGCCGTTGGTAACCCTGACCTCAAACTGTCCTGGTGGAAAGTGAAGCTCTGGTAAATATATCACGGTGGGAGCCTTTTTGTGCGGTTGAGCACGGGTATCAATTTCCATCACAAATGTGACCTTTTTGAGGTCAAAATCGCTTAATATCACTGTGCCATTCACCAGAACACCATACGGACGCACAACAGCAGCCGCAGCACGGGTCCCGTTCATTAGTGAGATGACTTTGTTTTCGAGCTCGATCTCTTCTTCGTCAGCCTCTGATTTTTTGGATGTGGTATCGAGACTGGACGAGGAATTCGTTATCCACTCTAAATAAGTGCCAATTGTTGTGGTTCCATAAGCTCCAGCCCGCATCCAATACTCATTTTTTCGGTCATCCACGTCGTCCTTGGAGTACAACGAGAAATCCTCCAAGTTCCAATTGTCTCCCCATTTGTGACAATTGCGCGAGTTATAGCACCAATAGGTACTGTTGAGGTTTGTCTGTTCGAGCGCGGACTGTAGTGCATCATTTGCGCTCTCCTGAGAGCTATAGTCTCCATCGGAGTACGCCTTTTTGTAATCCATATCGAACGGCATCCCTGTTTCCGTGACGATCACCGGCACGTTTGGCCCAACCGCTTCGTTGGCCTCTTGCTTGAGCTGTGCAAACTGATTTCTAAGCGATTTGCGGATGTTTCTCTCGCCGAAAACCAGCCCGAAAACAGGATTGACGTATTTGCCCCGTAAAATGCCCAGCGTGTCCACGTTGTATTTTCTGTTCCACGTCTGGAACATAAGCGACATCCCATCGTAATAGTGCTGTGCGATTGCCGTTCTGCTATCGACATGTGACGTTCCTTTCACAGCAGGAGGAATCGCCATGACAGGATGCTGCATTATCACGTACAAATCAGCATCGACTTTCCTTATCATGCTCTTCCATTTGTCCCAAAAGTCAACAAAACGGGTATTGATGAACGTCTTATCATCTAGAGTTTCGCCTGTATTTGGGTCTGTGCTGAAATACTCAGGAATGAGAGCTTGGCCAGAGCTAGGATCCCATACATTGTGCTGTGCAAAAATGCACTCCCCAAGCTTCCAGCCTGGACTTCTTGCAAAGCCATAATGTTTGTCCATTTTATCATCACTGATCCATGCCTTGACTCCGTTTGGGTCGATAAGCCGGGAGCCATTTTTGCGCGGTCCAAACACAGAGAGCGAATAAACATCCACCTCCTGCGGCAGTCCCATTCCTAATCGCATACCCTCAATTGGCTTCGGGCACGTTCCCAGCCTTAGTTCCTGAGATGGGGGGTATTGATCTAGATCGGGATACCCATAGTATCCAGAGTTTGGCTCATTTAACGACTCTACTCCAATTAACGTCTTGTTCAGAAGCTCTGGTGCTTTCTGCTTGATTGAGGTCAATAGGAAAGATATGGCTCCCAAAAAATGGGATTGCAGAAAGTCCTGGATGTTCATGCCGTTGATGATGGCTTTCGGGGCGAACATAGACCCGGCAAAGAAAAGAGTGAACATGACTTGGGTCGCCATCCTGTAGTAGTTTGTCGCCCAGACCATTTTTTGGTAATTTTGAGGATCAGCAGCGAAATTGTGTATAAGAGAGGCCTCAGTAGTAGGGAAATTGCGAGGTTCGAGCCCAGCAGCATACAGAGTCCATAGTGGGGCACCACTTCCGCCAGTGAACCTAGACCAAACATCTTGGTGCGGATCAATAAACACGTAGAGACCGCCAATTTCGTCGATCTTGCGCAGCAGCTCTATAGTGTAGTCAATATAGTCGGTATCGTAGATTCCTGGACCTTCGTGTTCAATTGCTTCCCAGGTGATAATGTAACGGATCGTGTTGTAGCCCCAAAGTTTTATACGTGTCAGGTGTTCGTAGGCTTCTTCCAATGGAAATGGTCTGCCTACAAAAGAGACACGATCTGCCTCTTGCCAAAAACCACATTCATTGGGCCTAGAATAGGAATATTGCAAAGGGTTCTGGGGCATCTTTGCAGAAGAGTCAAGGTTGATCCCGCGTAAAAGCACTCTTCTGCCTGTAGACGCCTCAACAAAGTTGCCGTTGGTGTCATGAGACAGAGACTGGGTCTCCAAAACACTATTGAGGGAAACAATCGAATGTTTGCGCATCAAAATTGGGGGCTCTTTGTCGGGTTGTGATAAATCGGAAGAGCTTGCTAGGGGTATATATCCCTTAGAATGCATAAATTGGCCTCGAAATCTACAATTGAAAGATCGTAGAGCCAAATTCACACTGCAGCTGATGATGGCAATAGATCAGTATTTTAACAATAATCAGAATTCCCTATCTTGCCGCTTCAAAATCGCCGCGTCGATCGGCTTGTACATAATATATCTCTTACTTCTATGCTCAGCCGACGAGTTTTAGCGGTCAGCACCATTTTGGCCCTGGTCTCGGTGGCTAGCGCCAGCGCCGCAAACTCCACATGCCATCTTGTGCACTCGTTGCCAAAAAATGAACAATGCAAATACGCTTTACAGAACTGCGCAGATCACCAAATAGGACAAATCAATTATTTCCAATTGTACTACTGCACGAGCTCTTCAACCGTCATAAGAGCATGGATCGTTCTCCCTGTCATTCTCGCTATATTGATCTATTTGTTTGTGTTTTTGGGGCTCACGGCTGGCGAGTTTCTGTGTCCTAATCTTTCCGTTATCTCCAATTATCTCAATATCCCGGAAAACATATCTGGGCTAACTTTGCTGGCCTTCGGAAATGGGTCTCCAGACATTCTGAGCACCTACAGCTCTTTCCAGACCCATAATGCCTCTCTAGCTATTGGAGAACTAATAGGATCTGCATTTTTCATCACCGGTTTTATTATCGGAGTTATAACAATCGCGGCACCCTTCGACATCCTTCCTCAACTCTCGGTTGCAGATCAAGTCTCAAACAATCTAATAACATCGAGCGCCAAATTCGTCTACGTACGTGATCTGCTTTTTATCCTGCTTTCGATTCTCACGCTGCTGGCTTTCCTATCTAATGGAAATTTATCCAGCACAAAATTGAACATCCTCGTTGCAATCTATGTCTTCTATGTGGCAGTGGTGCTCATTTGGCAATACCAGGTTATGAAGAAAAAGCAGGATCTTGTCCAGGACTATCAGATCAGAAACGTGTACAACGATGAAGCATTTATCACGATGGATGGAGACAATCTGGAATTTGAGGACTCGTATACATTCAACCCAAGAATTCTCAGCAGCATTGAGTTTGGTAGCGTTTTGGAAACACTCAGCAAAAATCAGTCTGTGCCGGTCAATATTTCGCGGCTTGTAAATGACACGCAAAACTACGAGTCAAGGCTTCTGGAGCACGAGATTAATCTGGACGACGAACAAGAGTATTCACCAGATCCACTCAAGACCATATTTGGCTACATTTCATACCCACTGGTTCTCCTACTAAATTATACAATCCCTATGATGTCACTGTCGGACTTTGACCAGACAATTAAACCGTCGTTTACCAGACTAATGAAACTCTTGTGCTCTTTGTCCTGTGCACAATTTATCATCATTTACTCATTTGCTGAAAATGCATCGTGGGGCACGTATGCCATCTTTTTAGTCATCACTATCCTAACGGTTGTTGGCGTCTATTATAATCTCACCAGGGCCGATCCACAGTCCAATTTAGTAAAGCTTCTCATCTGTATCATAGGATTTATTACAGCCATTGCATACATAGCATTTATTGCGGACGAACTGATCAATGTTCTCAAATTCATCAGCGTGCTTACACAGCTGTCAGACGCGATAATGGGGTTGACCCTCTTCGCAATAGGAAACTCTGTCGGAGATCTGATTTCCAACCTGGTCATAGCAAATGTCGGCTATCCACTGATGGCACTCGCAGCATGCTTTGGAGGCCCGTTATTGAACTTACTTCTCGGGATCGGTCTCAACGGGAAGATCGTTGGCGAGGTCGACGTCAACATGAAACCCAGCTTGTATTTGACCTGTCTCTGGATTCTCATTAACCTCGTGTTTATGCTGGTTTACATTCCATATACCGGATGGAGATTCACCAGAGACGCTGGGATTTTCATGGTTTCCGTGTGGGTGATCGGAACCTTCCTGAATATCGTGCTAGAACTTATTTAGAAGAAGTCGTCCTCTTGTAAGTATTGTAGCAACTCCTGTTCACGTTCCTTTGAATCCACATCCGCCTTTACTTCGCTTCTATTTGTGTTCATCGGATAACGCATGGCCCGCACACAGTCGTTATGCAAAGACATGCAAAATTTGATTCTTCTGTCGAACTCTTCCTGTGGTGCCTTGGTGGAGTAAATGTTCAGCATCTCATTCGATTGCATATACCCATCCTTGTGGTCAATCGTGGCATCAACAACACCGTCCTTGATAGCCTTTGCAACAATGTACTCAGCACTCAGTTCGCTATCGAGATGCAGCTTAATGCAGATGTCTTTGAGGGAAATTCTCTTGTAAGACAGAGAAATGATTCTAATACCCGTTTTAATCACGTTCTGTCTCAAACGCAGAACAAGGTTATAATTGTCATCCTTCTTGAGTGCGGACCCAAACTTGCTCAAAGCGTCGCTGAAAAGGTTCAAGTCGCCCAACCTCACGGCCCTGGTTACGGCGAGGTATGGGATAAGACTTTTCTCGAGAGAGAGATTGCGGAATGTGGACAACTCTGGGATCTCACCGGTCAGTAATTGAATCAAAATATTAAGCTTGGTGGCTGCCTGCAAAAATCCAAGAGCGGACTTGGTCTGTGGGCACTTTCTTATGGCAGTGATGGCGCATTCGCCAGCAGCAGAGTAGTCCAGCTGGATAGTTTGTATTCTAGCCAAGTAGTAGTAATATCTGGCAACAACAGAGTTGGAAACATCTTCTGGAAACTCCGTCTTTTCGACAAGGTTGTATGCTTGGTTTATGTCATTCGAGAGAAGATACGATCTCAGCAGCAAGGTGATTGTAACAGCTCTTGTCTCCTTGTCGTATCTCAAAGTGGAAGTTCTCAAGGCAGACTGTAATGCAGGACGGATTGAGACCGTATCTTTAAGAACTTCTTTAGATCTGAAAATGTAAAACCACATCTTCGCAGAAATGTGGTCAAGGGTTCTCTCATTGTGATTGGCTAGCGCAATGATACATTTCTCGTTGAATAGTTCCAACCTATTGAAGTCCTGCTTGTCGTGGAGGAAAATCTGCACCAACAAATGAATGAACAAGTCAATCTCTGGTCTTGGAGCTTCAGTGACGTCTTCCTCAACCATTTCGACATCCTCAAAATCAGACAAAACCTGAATGAGATATCCGTAGTGAGGATGTGAGCTTGGAAATGTCTCCTTGACGATTCTGATCAACGATCCTGCGTCTAGTTCTTTTCTCACTGGAGTGAGCTCACGAAACACCTTCAACACGTATCTCGGATCAAACTTAGCAGCGGACTGCTCGACGAGTGCCAAAAACTGATGAATTTCTACATGTGTCAGCAGAATTGTTGCTGTATTGAAGTACTTACTATCCACGACGTCCATTGAAGGCTCAGTGTTCTGCATAGTTGTGTTTACTGTGAAGATTTATTATTTCAGTGGCGAACTTCGACATTTGGTATGATTTGCACACGACCCAGATTTTTTGATCTTTTATTTACCATGAGCCGGAAAGGGTTGGCGTCGTTTGATCGCACTGCTGACCAGCAAACAAAATTCCAGGATCTGGGGCAGGCGATGTTGAGGCAGCGCGAGGAACAACTGAGGACCCAGCTCCAGGTTTTCCAGAACGCGCTGGTCAGCTTCAAACAGGAGCACAAGAAAGAAATGATGAAGAACCCCCACTTGCGAGCGCAATTCAGCCAGATCTGTGAAAGTTTTGGAGTCGACCCACTCTATATGACTGCCGAAGACGACATCGATCCCGAGGAGAGGAATAATAGACTCGCCATTAGAATATATGAGATATGTCAAGCAACTAGAGACTTGTATGGGGGTATAATATCTGTGGATGAGGTGATACAGCTGATGACCAGCACTATCCAGGATGGCTGGCAATTCAAAATGGACCCCCATGATGTGCAAGTTGCTGTGGAGAGTCTGAAAGTGCTGGGAAATGAGCTGGAGCTGGTCAAAATCGGGTCCAAGATGTATATCAAGTCAGTGCTTCAGGAGTTCAATGCTGACCAAAGCCAAATACTGACGGCCGCAGACAACATTGGGTACGTCACGGTCTCCATTCTGCGCGACAACTTTCATTGGAAAACAGCAAGATGCAAATCAAATCTAGATGACCTACTTTCCATCGGGCTGTTGTGGATTGACGATCAAGCTGAAGAAAGGTGCTATTGGTCAACAACTTGGATCAACAAAAGTCACTAGTGTGAGATATACTCGAACGCAAAGCTGACAGAGTCGTACTGAGATTCATTTTGCATCAAGAAATCATCATTCTGTGCCAGATCGTCATGGTCGATATGATTCCATGTGGTAGCATCTCCATACAACATCGCAGCAGATTTCATTTTCTGCTTTCCGCTTTGGCAACGCTTGCACTTGTAAGTTTCATGGGTTTCGCAGGGCGTTTGATCATTGTACAAAAACAACTGCTTCAAATTTTCGCTGGAGAACTGTCTTTCCACGTCTTCGTTGGAGTCGACCACGCATGTCGAAAGCTCCATTTTGGCTGACTGACGCTGGAAGATTTTCTCCTCTATAGTGCCCGTCGCAATAAATCGGTAAATAAAACAATTCTTCTTCTGGCCATCTCTCCAAACTCTTGCCAAGGCTTGTTGGTCGCTGGCAGGATTCCAGTCGGGATCCAGTAAAATCAGTCTGTTGGCACCAATGAGGTTTATACCACACCCTCCTGCTTTGGAACTCAGCAAGAAAACAAACTCCTCAGCGTTCGGATCGTTGAACCTGTCCACCAGCTTTTGGCGCTTGTTAATTCCCAGTGATCCGTCCAATCTCACCGTTCCAAACCTATGATGTCTGCAAAGTTTCTCTATTAGGTCCAATGTTTGTGTAAAGTTGGAAATAAGGACGATTTTGTCGTCTGTTTCTTTGCGAATCTTGAAAAGGAACCTCTCTAGCATGGCAAACTTGCCACTGTACCATGTTTGAACGTCTTTGTTTCTTCCGTTCCCAAAGTCGTAGTCACTTGGTAGAATATTCTCGGATCCAGAAATGTCGCTCGGTAAATCAAGCAGACGAGGGTGTGTGCACAGTTTTCGAAGCAGGCCAATGGCTTTGAGAGGTTGGGACCCCAAGCCTCTAATCAGCTTGTTGATTTCTGGAGAAGTGACAAAATGGCGATATAGTTTTGATTGGAGCTCGCTCAGGTTGCAAAACACAACGTATTCATATTTAACTGGCAGATATTTCGACAGAATATCGTTTGTTCTTCTGATTATGAAACGTGATACCAGTTCAGTGAGCTCCTGAAGCTTTTCGTCTCCTTTTTTCCGCTCCTCTTCAGTGGCAAGCGAATCTCTGCCACGAAGAATATCCAGCTCGTAGTTCTTTCTGAATTGTGCGCGAGAACCCAAAACCCCTGGATTGGAGAAGTTCAGCAAGGAGAAGTATTCTGACAAGTCGTTTTGGATAGGAGTACCAGACAGAATCACACGGCGTTCACAGTTTAGAGAATTTAAGGCCGTGAATGTGAGGGAGTCTCCATTTTTGAGTCTGTGGCCTTCGTCTGCCAAAATCAAACCAATCTCTGTTCCTTCCAAATTCTCCACGTTTCTACGAAGTGTTTCGTAGCTGATGATCAGGACAGGTCTGACAATGGATCGTCCTTTGGCACGAGCCCATTGCCTCAACACCTCGGCCATATCGCCCGCTCCTTTGGAACCTTTGCCGTCCATTGCGAGAGAATTCAGTGTCCCCTTTCCGAGCCATTTGTCGATCTCGTTGGCCCAGTTCTTCACCAGCGACGATGGACACACAATGACGCATTTTTCGATTGTTTTCTTGCCTCGTGGTCCTTGTCTAAGAAGCGTCCACATCAGGGTTAAGCATTGAAGTGTTTTGCCCAAACCCATTTCGTCAGCCATGATGCACCCTTTGGCTCTTGCATCCACGAGTCCTGCCGTGCAGCGATACAGAAACTTTACTCCCGCCACTTGATGGGGTCTGAGAATTCTGGCGAGCTTCGGATCAATGACAACGGGGACGTTCGGGAACTGTTTCATGACTTCCTCCTCTGGACGGGTACTGATCCCCAAAATCTCGTTCAGCGACTTATGTGCAGACTTTGCAGGTTTCTGTGGCTCTTCCGCAGCAGCTGCCGCCTTTGCTGCCGCCAGAGCAGCCTCTTCTTCTTCTTTCATGCCGGGAATCACGTCCACCGTGGGATCGTACAGAACGATGGCGTACTCTCCGAGCGGATCGTGCAGCGGCTTGGGAGGGAAGTACAAGCGTTTTCTGTTTCCCAGAGGCGGCGGCGGCTGTGCGTTGGTCAGCTCGTACTCGTTGTCGGCACTCGTTTTGACCGGAGCCCTAAACTTGCGCGTCAGAATTTTGTTCGTCTCGTCCATGGAGTTAAAGACATTGCGAGGCAATAGCGCACCCTTTTTCTTGTTCAGTCCATACTGCTCGTCATCGTCTTTCGTGGATCCAAAAGGGATGTTCTCCTGGCCAACTTCTGCGTACGATTGTGGACCGTTGGCGCGGGCTGTGCGGATTTGCCTACCAGCAGCCGAGACAGCTGAAGACACCAGTATCGGGCTCTTGAACGGCTTGCAGAGTTTCTGTGACGGGTCCTCGTACAGACGCTTTCGCTTCAGCGTGGGGGAGATTCCTGCCCCGATGCCGAGCTCGTTGTCGGGCGAGATCTTAAACCTTCTATTATATGTCATGGGATCTGTAAACAAACACGCGAAAAATATCAAATATAATTCTACATCCGTACACCGCGTTCTCGAGAGAGCACAGAGAGCCCGTTCTTGGCAGGCAGGCAGGCATCAGGTTAGGGTCCCTGGGGCGGGCTTGGCTTCACAAGCCGAAAGTGCTCCTGGTTGCCAAGATGGGCAAAAACCGCTCGCTAGTAGGTTTTGGATGCCGGGCCATGTGCCCTGCAACGCGGCTGCCGAGCACACGTGGGCTTGGTTCTGGAAAAAACCAAGAGAAGCCGCTTGGCAAAAGATTCTCGGAGATTGGCGATTACCTGGCACGGGGCACAGTTAGCGAATCAGCTGCGTACGCGTCCATGTGTGGCCCTCTTTACACACATAAGTGCTTTCTGAGATTAATTTCCGCTGCGGTGCATGGCTCAAATAAGCTAAAGCCATGTGGGGTCAATTCAAAATTTCTATGATCGCTGCCTTCCCCGGAAGAATATATAGCATGCAGTCCGCATTCGAAATTTCACTGCAAAATGGAAGACACAAAAGCGGCCGAGGTCCAGGTGGAGACCTTCGACGCGGGCTCTCATGTGATGGCGTACGATAAGGAGGGCAGATCCGCCCGTTTCGCCAAAAAGAAGTCTCTCAGTGACATCTTCACCATTATCTGTGCCGGTGCGGCCCTGTTGTCGGACGGGTACCAGAACAACTGCATGAACATGCTGAACTCTGTGTTTGCCCTCAAGTATCCCGAAACGTACGACAGCACGATGAAAACCCGGGTCTCCAACGCACTGCTCGTTGGAGCTGTGCTTGGACAGGTCGTGGTGGGCGTTACCGGAGACTATCTGGGGAGAAAATGGGCCATTCTGACCACCACCTTGATGATTGTGGTCGGAACCATCCTTGCTACCGCCGCCCACGGAGTCACTACCGAGGGCATGTTCTGGATGATGATCGTTGCCAGAGGTATCACTGGGTTTGGTGTTGGTGGAGAGTACCCTGCCAGCTCCACTGCTGCCTCCGAATCTGCCAACGAGGCTACCAAAAAACGAGGAGGAGTCTTTGTTCTCGTGACTAACTTGCCGCTCTCGCTCGGTGGCCCGTTTGCGCTGATCGTGTTCCTGATTGTCTACCCTGCTACCGGCAGCGGCGCCCATCTGTCCACCACGTGGAGAGTCATGCTTGGAATTGGTTGCATCTGGCCGCTCGCCGTGTTCTACTTCAGATTCAAAATGGCCACCTCCGTGCTCTACAAGAAGGGAGCCATCAAGAAGAACGTGCCCTACTGGCTCACGTTCAAGTACTACTGGCGCAGACTGCTTGGAACCTGCGGCTGCTGGTTTATCTACGACTTTGTCACCTTCCCGAACGGCATCTTCTCGTCCACCATCATCTCGTCGGTGCTGGACGACACGTCTGATTTGGAGAAGGTTGCAGAATGGAACTTGCTGCTTGCCATCATCAGCATCCCTATGCTGTTTGTCGGTGCCTACCTCACGGACAAAATTGGAAGAAAATACACCATGTGCATTGGTTTTGCTGGCTACCTTGTCATTGGTCTGATTATCGGCTGCTCGTACAAAAAAATCACCAAGATCGTGCCGCTCTTTATTATATTCTATGGTATTTTCAACGGTTTCGGCAACCTGGGACCAGGAAACATTATGGGACTCACCTCTGCCGAGTCTTACGCCACGCCTGTCCGTTCCACGTTGTACGGTCTGTCTGCCGCCCTGGGTAAAACCGGTGCTGCCGTCGGAACCCAAGCCTTCACTCCAATCCAAAATAACCTCGGAAAGCAATGGACGTTCATCATTGCTGCGCTCCTGGGCCTTACTGGTGTCGTTCTAGCGTTCCTGTGTATTCCGCATGGTCTCGAGGACGACCTTATGCTGGAAGATATCAGATACTTTAGCTATTTGAGACGCCAGGGCTGGACGGGCGACTTTGGCTCCGAGGGCGAGATCGACAGCTACGAGAAAAAGACGTCTGGCCTGGTTGACAATGCGGTTATCGAGAAAACCGAAACTGTGTCCGAATCTAGTTAATTTGTGAATAGTGTCTAATTAATACTGCACTTTTAAGGCGACGTTGACCATCGGAGTGTAGTTTCTTTCATACTGGAAGTCAGGAATTCCAGGCTTGAATGTTAAACTGCTTAGGTCCAGATAACTGTCGTCTAAAGACGCAACGCTTGGGGCTCCCAGCAGTTTCATGTCTCTGATGATCTCCTCCTTGAGCAGCTGTGACGCTTTTTCAACACCTTTCTGGCCGTACACCTCACTGTATAGCATTGGCCGGCCAATGCCAGGATACGCGCCCAGACACAGCGCCTTGATCACATCCGAGCCCCTAGTGAAGCCCCCCTCGACAAATAGCTGGAATTGGCTCCGATCTATATTTTTCTTCTTCAAGACCTCGTGCACATCAGCAAGGGTCTCAATAGCAGGTTTCGAAAAATCTAACTGGCGTCCACCGGTATTGGAAATCAATGCACCGCGAAATCCCAGCTCGGCAGCTTTCAGAATGTCCTCCTTTCGTTGAAGTCCCTTGATAATGATTGGTAAGTTGGTGCTTTTCCTGAGAGTCTCAAAATCTTCCCACGTAGCAACATACTGCGGTTCCGACGCTGCAAGCCCAGCAAGTTCGACGTCGGACTTTCCTGCTTCCAGTTCCCTAACCTTGTACTCCTTCTCCCTGTATCCCCGTGCAGCGACGTCCACATTCACAAAGATAGCCTTGACTTGTGGCATTGTGGATTCTATATGCTTGAAAAGTTTAGGTGCCTCTCTCAGCTCTTCTTCAGACTCAAACTCATGTTGGTAAAAAAGTGTCTGTCCAGGAGTTGTCTCAGCATGTAGCTGCTCCAATGAGACTGTGCCGCGCTTTGGTACCATATATGCAACCTTCTCCTCGGCAGCAGCACAAACCAGTATTTTTTCTCCTTCGGGCTGGACTAAATTTGATCCCGTGAAAGCACTGATAAAAAATGGAGCAGCGGTGCGGACACCAAGAATTTCTGTCTCGATGGAGGTTTCGCTGACGTCGACGAGACAGCGAGGCCGGAAGAAAATGCGGCCAAGTGCGTATCTGTTCTCGCGCAAAGTAAACTCGTTGTCGGCTCCGGAAGAGATGTATACTAGACTAGCTGGAGAAAGAACGTTTCTCGCAACAACCTCGAAGTCCGAAAGCGAAAAGATTTGGGACAAGGTTGGCGGAACCAATGTCACCACTTGCTCCTCCTGGTCCTCGATCTCTACGACTTTTTGCCTTTTTCGGGTGTTTGTTGTCTTTTTTTTCTTGGTAGGCAGGTCATTTATTTCTCCAACCAGCGAGCCGTCCAGGAACGTCTCCAAATACTGTGGATGGTGCATGGAATGAAACCCTTTCGTGGCGTCATTTCCGGCGTATCTCAGGATCCGTGCGACACCGCCGGGATGCGTCTTTATGAACTCCGTGACGTCGTAAACGTTCTGGTTAATGGCAATCCAGCAGTCCTCGGGCTTGTTATGCTTCTGCAGCTCTTCAAAGCTGACAACTCGCTTCTGGTCGCTGCTGAGTGTCTGACGTAGCTTCCAGGACCAGAACACGCTTGCCGCTCCGAGGAAGCCAACGCTTCTGATTCCGCGAATCATAATAATTTATTAGTCACGAGGACCCAGATTAATTTTATACAATATTAACATCGCTATCGATTTCTTGCAAACTTCTTATCAGAATTTCCAAAACGGGAAAATTCCGTCTATTTTAGATCGGCCTCAGAAACACCACTCTTGTTGCACATCGACCGGAAAATGCCTTTCTGGTCGTAGAGAGTCCGTGGAGTGTCGAACTCGGCGATCTGTCCCTTGTCCATAACCATGATCCGGTCATATTTCACAATTGTCTTTAATCTGTGTGCAATGCACAACACCGTGCAATCACTAAACTCTTCGGTAATGGTTTTTTGAACTTTGGCGTCCGTCTCGTAATCAACGCTCGAAGTGGCCTCATCCAAAACCAGGATTTTAGTGCCCCTGACAAGGGCTCTGGCCAATGCGATCAGCTGCTTCTCACCCAGAGAGAAGTTCGAACCGTCGTCCTCAACAGTCCGACTCAGATGAAACTTGTGCAGATTGGCGTCTCCCTTGCTCTGCTCTTTGACCTGCGGCAGAAGCGCCCTATCGATAAGACCTGCCTTGCCCAGCGAGGTCCACAGTGTCTCGTCGTCGTGCTCGTCAAATGGATCCAGGTTCGAGCGCACGGTGCCCCTAAAGAGAACAGGGTCCTGCGGAATGATGGACAGCCGCGACCTCAGCTTGTGCAGCCCGATCCTCGATATGTCGACCCCGTCAATTAGGATCTGGCCCTCGAATTCGGCTAGCCGGAACAAACAGTACATGATACTCGACTTTCCGGCTCCCGTGCGGCCGCAAATGCCGATTTTCTCGCCGCCCCTGACGTCGATGTTGAGGTGCTTGACGGCCAGCGGAAGCTCTTCCCTGTATCTCATGCTGACATCGACAAACTTCACGGCCCCCACAGCAGGCCAGCTAGGCTCTGGGTCGTTCTCTGGTATCTCGAAAGGCGCCTCCTGTTTGATACTGGTGGCATAGTAATTGACTCTTTCGACGGAGTTCATCTGGTTCTCAACCTCTGTCAGCGATCTCAACATGAAACTCAACAGACCCGCAATGGTCAAGACGTACGTGAGCAGCAGACCGGTGTAAGCTCCGCTGATGTCGAACACGCGGAAACAGCAGAGCAGCGCAACTATCAGACACAGCAGCGTCGCAACGGTGTCCAAACTAATGGCAAGCCATCCCTGAATAGCGACGACAATGTAGTAGCTCTCGTTCATGTTGTCTATTAGCTTTTCGTTGACCTTGAGGAACCGCTCCGTGGAGCCGTGGGCCTTGATGGTGTCCATTCCAGACAACGCCTCGTTGAAGTGCGAGTACACCACCGATCTCTTCACGGCTTCGAGCCGCTTAACCTCTCGCGAGCTGGACAGGTAGAACGAAGACACCAGGAAAAACAGCATTGCCAAGAACGGAATGGCTATGGCGAACCACGGGAGGTAGATGATGCACAGAACGAGCGTGCCGATGATGGTGGCTGCCGGATTGAGGAACATTCTGAGCTGGTCCTGGATCTCGTTGTCCAGGGCGTCGGTGTCTTTGGTGAATCGGTTGAGAACGCGTCCCATAGGAGACGTGTCCATGAACGACATTGGGGCATGCAAAACTCTCTTGAAGGCCATGATGTTGAGTCGCAGCGCTGCTCTGTTGCAGAAGTACACGAGAATCATGAACTGCAGAACGTTGAACACCATAACCAGCATAGTGAACATGATGTAGATGCCCTCGTAGAACTTCTTTGGGCGGTGGAATCTGTCGATGATCCAGAAAGACAGCCAGTTGTTGGTGAAGAGGGTGAGGAAAGTGGTTACCGCAATGATGAGGAAAAAGAGCATCGGGAGCAAGGCCTTGAGCTTGCCGGATCCGGTGCTGATGTACGACTTGTACACCTGCCACGAGATTGCGTTCACCGCCTTTTCTTCGGCCTGGACGAGTCTTCCCTTGTCTTCGTCGTCGAAAAAGCCTTTCTTCTCGTTTTCCAGTGTCTCCTCGTCATCGTCCTTCTCGACGTCGTGACTGAACTCCATAAGTCTCACAAACTCGGCGTTTCTGCTCCTGAGCTCGGCAAACGTTCCGCAGTCGACAGAACCGTCGCCGTTCAGAAACATGATTTTGTCGGCAGAGCCAATCAGCGAAAGCTGGTGCGTGGCAAGGATCCGCGTCTTGTCCTTGAGATATCCAAGAATGCACTCGTCCATGATGAACTTGCCCACCTTGGCGTCCACGGCACTCAGAACGTCGTCCAGCATGATAATGTCTCGGTCAGCATAGACGGCCCGCGCAAGGTTGATCCGCGCCTTCTGGCCTCCAGAGAGAGTAATACCACGCTCGCCCACCTCTGTGAGCTCTCCTCCCGGCAGCTGGTCAAAGTCTCCCTTCAAGGAGCACACTCTCACAACAGTGTCGTACTTCTCCTGGTCAAAAGGCCGGCCAAACGTGATATTGTCCTTCACGGTGGCATTCTGCACCCACGGAACACCACAGAGCATAATGCTACCATTTTTACAGACTCTTCCTTCGGTCTTGGGCATGAAGCCGCACAAGGCGTTCAGAAGCGACGACTTTCCAGACCCAACAGAGCCTGTGACAACCACAAAGTCGCCTTTCTTGATAGACAGGTTCAAGTGGAGCAGCCCGGGGAAATCGGTCTTGGACAGCTCCTCTCGCTCGTGCGACTCCTTCTCGGCAACGTCCTGCTCCTCGGTCATTGTCGAGCTCTTGGTGCTCTTGGTACTCTTCACGCTCTCGTTTTTGTCCTCGGCCACATCTTCCTCAAAAGTGTGCCATTGGAAGCTGGCATTTTCGATCTTCATGGCCAGCTTCTCGTCGTCGAGGTCGTCGAAGAACTTGTCCAGCTCCTTGTCCTCCGGACAGGAAAGCAATTGACAAACACGCTTGAGTCCAATGACCATGTCACTGGACATGGCAAGACTGGCAGGAACCAATAGGAACTGCTGGGTAAGAACCTGGAAAAGAGTCAGAGACGAGAAAATGTCTCCAACAGAGCGGCTGCTCTTCAGGCTGTGCAGAACCAGAAATGCCACCATCGAGGCAGCCAGAGGCATCCAGAGCGAGATTCCGATCAGGACGTTCTTGCCTCCCTGCATCTTGAACAGCGTCGACATCTCCTGGGAACGGATCTTCTGGAAGGAGCGCAGATACGAGTTTTCCCAGCCGTACAGCTTGATCATCTTGAAATTTTTCAAAAGTTCCTTGATCAGGTTGACTCTTTGGTCTGTGAACACGTTGGCCCTCACTCTCAGCTTGAAAAGGTATCTAATGAGGCCCCCTGTGAAAAGCGTGAAGAAAACAAACACGGCAATGCCTGCCAGAGCTGAAACCCCGATATTCACAATCAGCATCACAACGACAATAATAACGGGAACAGGGAAGATGAACAGAAAGGGGAAGAAGCCGATAGCGAGATCGACTCTTGCGAGATCCGTTCCCATGATAGAATTTATCTTGCCCACAGGGAATCTGTGCTTTCCGCGGGCGTCGAGCTTAAAACTTTTTTCCAACAACGCTTTCGTCAAAACGGCCTTCACCTTGGCTCCCGTGGTGATGGCATTATAAAAATAATGATTGATGCAAATGCCAGAGAACAGGATCATGGCACACGCCCCGATAGCGTAGCCGACTCCCTTTCCCGTGCTGGTGTTGGCCCCGTAACCCTTGGTCTCCACGTAGTCAACCAGCTTTTTTTGGAGCAAGGGCATGAGAGTTGAGGAGATATCAGCTAGCACCTTCACAAAGGCTGCTCTTGAATACTGCCAGCCAAAAGTGTAGAACAAATGCTTGCCCAGAACATACACCTTGATCTCGAAGTCGTCTGCGTCCTCTTCTGGCGAGACCGAGGAAGTTTGGGGTGTCTCACCGCGCTCTTGGCATTTCCGAGCAATATGCTTGGCCAAGAGGTCTTCGACTTCCGGCTCGAACGTGCTCTTGAACTTGGTGTACATGTAGTCTATGGTCTGCTGCTCATCCAGAACAAACAAATCTTCCGGCTGGAGCGTCCTCTTGTACCCAACGCGCAGAAGAGGTGTCAAATACCAGAAAAAGCAGCGATAGAGAAGATTGGTTTTATAGTGCGGGAACGTCCTTCGCTCCTCCTGCAACGGTAACGGAGGAACATTCTTGCTCAGCAGAAACGTCAGCGGCCGTCTCTGGAGGGCAAGGTGCTTCTCAAAGGCTTGCTCGGTATTCATAAAATATGAAATATGAAAAATATGGAATTCGGCTTTAAGATTTTAGTGCCGTGCAAATCAGTGAGCCATGATTTTTGAATTTGCTTAACGCGCAGCTGAGTTGCGGACTTCGCGATACAGCATAAAAAGGGGTCATCTCGGACTCGGCACAAACTCGCAGAAGCAAGCAACCGAGGACCGCATATTTGTTGTAGCCACCCGCCGTGTAGCGCAGTGAATGTCTCTGGCAGGAAATCATCCCTTCGGTCACGTCCTCTAGCAGCCTCACCGGGCCGGCTGTTGCTTGCTGAATCAGCCCTACTTTCCGGGACCCGAGCTCTTCTGCCGGATGACGTAAATCCTACGCTAAGCATTTTTTTGGTTTGGAAAAGTTCTGGGTTCTGGCGGTCGATAGAGGTCGATAGTCCGCCAAATAAGTTTGTCTTCATCATGTCATCGTCTGCAACTGCATCAACTGATAACACGAAGCAGCACGATCGGCTGCGCCAGAGGCTGCAACGCCAGCTTCAGGTAGTCAATGATACGCTGGAGACGGCAGAGTACGACTGGTTTCTCCGTGGAGCACCCACAGGTTCTGCGTTATCTCCAATAAAGTCTCCTTCCCTGGCTACTTCAAGCAACAATAAAGCATTGCCCTCCGTTTGTGCCCCTGACACAGATAACGTTGCGTGCCACCACGAGCTACTTCCTCTGCGGAGATCGCGCACAGTTGATGGTACAACATCCAGAACCAAAGAGGAGTTTGGCACTTCTTCGCTGGCCCGGTCGTCCACAAATGTGCTTTCGCCATCATCCTCTTCGGAACCCAAAAAACACGGCGGCTTTTTCCGCAGAATATTCGGCAAGGAGGAACGGCCACGGTCGCGGTCGTCCTCGGTTAGCGTCCAGCCTGTTTCGGCGCCCCCAGCTTCCGAGGTTCCACGTCCAAGAAGACAGTCAGTAGAACAACAACCAAAGGAGGAAGTCAAGCAGCCACAACGGGCTCCTTCAGAGAAACTGTCCAGCAAATACAAGGACCTGGACCCTAAGCTGTACGAGTACCTGAAAGACATTGAGGACACTATGGACTATGTGGATTCGCCCGAGTACAATGTATTTGCTCCAACCATAGAGTCGCACGTCAAATACAGCCCTGAAGAAATTCCGCCGCACCCCGACAAACCGAAACTCCCCTCGGCGTTCTCATTGCACCCAAAATATAACCATCCGGCCGAGGAGGAGGAGTGTCCGTCTTCCAGAGAGTCCAGAGAGGGTGTTTTCGGGTCGTTTCTCAAACTCTCTCGCAACAAAGACTCGAGCCACCTTTCGCCATACCCGTCCAGAAGCTCGTCGCTGTCGATCTCGTATGTGCCTCCGCCACCCAAGGTCGAGAAGACGCCTCCCATCAAGGCCCTCAGAGACGTCAAGCCTATTCGGAAAGTGGCTTTTGCAACCACAACTTTTGTCAACGACCCCCCACAACAAATTCCATCCAGACACCCACGTAAGGGAAATGTCGAGGTTGGCCCTGACGGAGAGCTGATCATCCACAAGCTCAGCCCAGAAGAGCAAAAATGCGCCTCTTCCGGTATCGTGGTGGGTGGATCCGGCCATCTACGACTCGTCCACCAGGAGTCGTCCAAAAGCATGCAGAGAAGTCCGTCAGACCAGACCATAAATCAGCAGGACAAAGTAATGGCAGCAGAGAAGGCCAGAACCACTGCGGACTCGATGGGACCGATCGACGACATCAAGATCGACAAGCCGATGGTCAGAAGAAAAAAGCCGATGGAAAAGCCGGTCGTCACGCTCAAGCTGGACGAGTTGTACACCCGATGCTGCCACCTGCGAGAGATTCTTCCTATTCCCGCCACTCTCAAACAGATCCCCAAAGGCTCGACGGATCCACTGCCTATTCTGCAACTACGCAATCCACATCCGTCGCTGATCGAGGTGCTTTCTTTTGCTGATTTCGTCCGCATTGCGCCCATTCACTGCGTCTCGCTGGACGGAGTCTCGATGACACACGAAATGTTCCGCACGCTGCTGGCGGCGCTCCTAAGCAAGCGGCACCTCGAGAAACTGTCCCTGAGAAACACTCCTATTGACGCTGAAGGCTGGAAGATGCTTTGCTGGTTCTTGTCAATGAATAGAGCTCTCACAAGACTCGACCTCACCCAGTGTCCTTCCCTCGACCTCAATCTCCAGAAGCTCCGAAAACCAGCAGACACCAGAGACCGGATGACTTGTAATATTCAGGACCGTTCCGACATGGACTGGTCTTTGCTGACGGCAACATTAATGGTGCGTCGTGGAATCAACGAAATGGTTTTGAGTGGCTGCAAGATCAACGATCTGGCCGTGTTCAGAGACTTTTTGAAGCTGGGACTGAAAAACACCATGAAGATTGGTCTTGCTTTCAACGATCTCAGTTTGAGCCACATCGAGATCGTGGTTGACTGGATGAAGGAGAGCTCGAACGTTGTTGGGGTGGACCTGGGCTACAATGACCTGTCGACGAAACTGCGTCCGTTTATTGAGTACACAAAACAGGAGAATTTCCGGTCGTCTCTGGCTCTCCTTTCGCTCAACAGCTGCAACCTGCGCGACAACGAGGACACGGTTGCTGTGTTTGATGCGTTCTCCAAGTTCTCGCATCTCAAGTACCTGGATCTTTCCAACAACAAGAAATTGTTCCAGACTTTCATGCATAAATTTGTCACCTACTTGCCTCTTTTCCAGGACCTGCACCGTCTGAATTTGGACGGCAACGATTTCTCACAGGTCGCGCTGATCCAGCTGAGTGAGACGCTCCCGCTCGTCAAGAACCTGAATTACCTGTCCATCAAGCAGAACGTGTTGACAGAAGCCTGCTGCGAGTCACTATGTCAGTCTCTCAAGTACTCGCGGTCGCTATTCAATATTGACTACGACCTTGAAAGCGTTCCTTCTGAGTTCCACCAAAAAGTGGGGTTGCTCACCATGCGCAACATGGAGAGAGCACTGTACGGAGACACGGATGGTAGCTCAGACCTCAACCCGCTGCTGAAAGTGACGCAGAACGGCAAGCCGTTCACCCAAATGGCCATGGACATGCTGCGCAAGTCCGATAGTCTGACTGAACAAGAGGTGAAGGAGTTCTTTGAGTACACGGAGAAGCTGCGCAATGAAATGCATGCTGCTATCAAGGAGCTAGTCAAATTGCAACTACAGCATAGACTTACGATAGAAGGCAAGGAGACCCTAATCCGACTGATCATGGTGGACGAATCTGTCAAGAAGTGCTTGGAACTGCTTGCAAAGATGCACCCTGAAGTCGGTGCTCCTTGCCGTGTTGGAAAGACCTATGACTTTTTCATTGAAAATAAGGAAGAGGCAAAACGGCTCTCTCCCCAGCTGTCGGACACAGAAACCACAGAACTCAAGGCCGAGTTATCACCAATGGTGGCCCACAACTCGGTTTCGAGTCTTAATATGGTTGCTGAGGAGGCGAACACGTTCAAGGCGTCCAGCACTTTCAAAAAGGCCAGCCTTGACGCAGACAAGTTGCAAGAGAAACAGACCTCCCTACTCGCGGCCCTTTCCGGATCAAACGACATCAAGAAATTCCTGGACGCACTAAAGAAATTACAGGATAGCGGGATCACGCTGTCTGACCTGTACTCTCACTCAGATACAGAGAACAACACCCTGATTAATACGAGAAAGGGCCAGACAGACCTGAAGTCGCTTGGGTCGGGGGACGACCAGACGCGATCCCTGCGGGATGCGTTGGACACTGTACTGAACGAACTGGGTAAACGCAGAGACACTGATTAATTGTATATTATTACAGATTCGAGAATTTAAACACACTGGTAATACTTTCAGGGCTTCCTTGACCTGGCTCCGTCCGCGACTTCTGAGGATTATTTTTTTCTTACATAACCATTTTATTTTCGCTACGTATTCTTCATGTTACAACTACAACCGCAGAACTTGCTCGTGGAGGAGGCAATTGGCCAGGCGTTTGCTCCGGATTACACACCGGTGTTTCTGGACAGAATCATCACCGACTTTGACTTCACCACCTACCACTTGTCGACCCCAGAGTCCAAAACAAAACTTCTCCTGTCTATCAGCATCAAGTGCTGGAACGACCTTGTTAACTACGGAGTGAAGGAATTGCTCCTTTCAAAGTACTCCAAGTGCCCGTTCATCCAGCAAGCACAACCCGAGTACGGTTATGACTACAGTCTATACATCGATGTCGAGCAGGCGACATTTTCTGACGAAGAGGAAAAACAGCAGCTGATTGCCGAGCTTTCCCTTCTGAAGCGCAACTGTTTCGCTGCGCCATTCCTTCAGGCGTTCCAGAGATATGAGGTGCTCTCAAAAGAGCAGCCGGTGGACCCAAATAACCTGTATGGAGAGGACTCTCCCAACAACTCGAACGAACAGGTTCTGCAATTACACTACAGAGACATGGAGTCTATCTACATCAAACCGTCGAACGATAGAGTGACTGTGATTTTCTCGACTGTTTTCCAGGACGACACGGACAAGATCTTCTCGAAAGTGTTCTTGCAGGAGTTCAGCGATGCCAGAAAACGCAGCATCCAGAAGGCTCCGCAGGTGATCAACTCGCACCAGGAAATTCCGCTCGAGATCAAACATCTGGAGGCCGCCAACACCCACAACAAAACGTACATCACCTTCGTGCTGTTCCCAAGACACCTGAGCACCGAGGACGTGAAGTGGAACTCCATCACACACATCCAGCTGTTCAGGTCATACTTCCACTACCACATTAAAATTGTCAAGTGCTACCTGCACCAGAGAATGAGATTCAGGGTGAACAGCTTCACCAAAATCCTGAACAGGGCTCGCAGAGACGTGGACGACGAGGAGCACAGGAGCGAGAGAAAGACCGCCAGCGGAAGACGGTTTGAAATGAGAGCGTGAGCCTGGGAATGTGAATAGTGATAATGCACTGATTGTAGACACTAGTAAATAACGGGTCGTGCGTCGAGCCCAAACTCTTCGTCGAAATTTTATGAGGCAAAAACCAGCCAAATAAAACACACTCGGTACCCTATCGAACCATTGTACCATGTCCTTTTTCGGATTCAATGCATCAGGACCTCCCTCCTCTGGAGAGAAGGACCAGAAACTGGACACGCTCGATTTTGAGGAAACCTACGAGGGACTCGGAGAGCAAGATGAGGACGCTTTCAACGACGAGACGTTTGGAGCCGACGTGAAGGAAATAGGGTCCAATTTCGACTTCACAGGCGGTCTCAAGCCTGCCTCGAAACCCCAGACAGTCAATCCGAACTTGTCCTACGCAAAGGCCGCCCAGGTTGACCAGGTGATTGCGCCAATGGCCTCTCTGTGGAATGACGAAGCCAAATCTGCTGAGTCTGCATCTTCGCAGCCAACTTCAGACCAAAAGGTGTTGTCTCTCGAAGAGATCGAAGCTAAGCTCCGTCAACCCCAACAGCAGGTGCCCCAGATGCCTCAGATGAACCCTTACATGTATCAGCAGCAACAGCAACTTCTGGTTGCGGCCATGGCCTCGGGACAGTTTCCTAACCCTGCAGCCGCTGCCCAGGCACTGGCCCAGGGCTATTTTCCTCCGTTCCAGCCAGGAGTTATGCCTTTCATGCCTTTCCAAGTGCAACAGATGATGCAGCAGGGGGCTTTGGGTCAAGGACAACAGCCCCAGCAAGTGCAACCACCAGCATCCGCTCTTCAGGTACCCCAAGTGCCTCAGTCTGCTCCAGTCCAACAACAACAGCAGCAACCGGCACTGCAGACCCCTCAGGCTCCTCAGGCTCCTCCTGGCCAGAATGCTGCTCCACCTCCTCAGCCTGTCCAGCCTGTTCCACAGTCCGCCGAGCAGAAGGCACCATCTTCGACCTCTGCGGCTTCCTCGGCTCCCGCACCAGCTGCTCAGTCTCAACAGTTTGTTTCGAGCGATGCTACGGGAAACTTCCCTCTCCTGGGCTCTGATGAAAAACCGCGGAAGCAAAGACCTCAGAGACAGAATCTGGAGAATTTGTCGCACGAAGAGAAAGAGAAACTTTGGAGAAGACAGAACAAGGTGTCTGCAATTATCAGATGTTCTGGATTTATGAACCCAAGAGATAAGGACTTTGTGACCAGAGTGCAGCTTTCTCAGATTGTCACCGACGATCCATACAATGAAGACTTCTATTGCCAAGTCTACCGAGTGCTGAACTCCTCTGTCGGCGAAGACGATATGAGCTCCATTGCACAGAAATACTTAGATCAGTCCGGACACAGATTGGGAGGCAGGGAGAAGAGAGCCGATGTGGCCCTACAGAGAATGCAACAGCAAGTCTCCAAGGCTGTCACTGTTGCTAAGGAGCGCGGAGAAAGAACCGGAGTGCTTGCCAAGGAAGGTGCTTTGGGTAAAGTGTCTGTTGGTTCCGGGAAACAGCCAAGAAAGCAGCTGGTGATCAATACCACGGGCAATTCCGACGAGGTTGTTGTTCCGCGGGAGAACGTATACTCGAAGTCTTCAAGAGCTTTCCAGCTGTCTGTTATTGAAGATATTTACTCCCAGGTTCTGAAACTCGAGTCTCTGGAGCGTGAAAACCAAGAGCGGGACTCCAAGGACCTTTGGAATGCTCTTCGTCTCAATGACAAGATTGAGACTTCCAATACCGTCGTGTCTCCTTTCATTACTGTGCTGTCCATTGACAAGGCAATGAAAGTGTTCAACAGACTATTCCATTTCCTCAATGCGGAGCAAAAAGTTCAGCTGATGGAGGCGATTTTCGCCAATCTGCACAACATCGACGTGGTCATGAAGGGCTCGTACGCCAACTACGTGAACGAAAACTACGAGATTCCAAAAACAGAGAAGAGCAAAATTGAGCTATTCCAGATGACCGTCATGAAGACGCTAGTGTTATTTGTTAGCGAATCGGACTTTCAGCAGGTTCTACGGTTTGTGGCTTTAATCGTGGAGGGGGGAAACAACAATGTTCTATTTTTGTCTACCACGAAGATCGGGCTCTCGCTGATCACCATACTTGTGTCGAGACTGGAGCTGATCAAGCAGGAGTTTTCTGCAGGACTCAGTCCGCAAGACCTTGCACAATGGCAAACCGTCTACGACCACCTATTCCAAGCACTGGAAGGCAGACTGGCTACTATCTTCCCACCGTACCTTTCGAACGATGACGCGCGCAAGGTGCGCAATTCCGAGTCGAAGAGCGACGATTCTTACATCTGGCAGTTTTTGGCCTCGCTTTCACTTGCAGGTCTACTGAGTCATCAAAGAATAATTGTCGACGAAATCAGGAACGAGATCTTTGGCAGCATGGGTGTGAGCAAGTCTCTTAAAGAGTCTGGCGATTTGCAGGGCGCTGAGAAACATCTCTCTAATCTCAATCTGTTCCTCAATGTGATGGGACTGAAAGCTTCGGATTCAGATATCACTGAACTATAAATGCCAACAATGACGTTACTACACTGCCGCCTCACGATTTAAAAAAAAATTACGGTAACAGCAATTTCGGCCGATCTTTAAGGGGTGGGGGTGCAATTGCTTTCATTTCGTGCACTCGATAAAAAAGAATAATTGTATGCATGAACTTGCCTTCTGCCAACAAAATATACTGTAGTATTATATACTTGTCTTAAAGGCCAGTTAGATAGATTTCCATGGATGGACTATCTTTATTGTAAGTATACGAACATCAAGAGCTAATTCGACAAGCTGTTACGGCCCAACTGTCTCTCCGGACGATTTATTCGAAGTTTTAGATTCAGATCCAGACGGTTCTAATCTTCGGATGTACAAGGCGAGATTGCCTGATCACAAACAGGTAGCTGTCCGGAATGCAAGCTACTCTGCAGTCATACCACAGCAGGGCGACTATGTGGATGGTCTCCTGGTCGTTGGTCTTTCCGAGCAAGACCTCCGGCATATGGACTACTTTGAAGGGTACGAGTTCGCTTCCGTTCCTGTAAAAGTACAGCTTTTTGATCCAATCGACACACGCCACAGCGACCACCACGGCGGAAGATCAGAAACAAGCAATGCAACTTTCAAAGCCGGTCTTTGTTACATATGGAACGACTCTTACGACCGTCTGGAGTTGTAGTCTCCTAAAAGCAAATAATCTGCCTTCCAGATTTAGTAATAATATAATATTAAAAATATCAGCCCCATCCTAGAAACCAGCCATCTATCAATTTTGATCTCCAAGATCAGACAACGTAAAACTTGCTAACTTTTACAACACCTTCATAATGTCGGAACGCTCCAGCGTGTATTCCGAGATGCCTATGCAGAAGCTCACCGTCACCAATCCAGACCTGGATGCAATCTCTTTGAGAACTCCTGAAAAAAAGCAGCTCCAAAGAGACGACAGTCCCCACAGTAGCTCCAGCCACCACAGCTCGTCGCCGGCCATCGCTAAACACACCTTCACTGAGCAGTGGAATAAGAGAGTCTCTAATATTTCCAACGCCCCAGGTAACAGGTCATCGATGATGTCTGAATATTCTGGCATAGTGCAGCATGTTGACATCGATACCGTGAAATACGTGGTGGACAAAGACTCCGACACGTCCACCACCGTTCCTTCAGAAAGACTGTCGGAAGTGAAGAAAATCAGCGGCTCCAAAATTCAGCACTCTTCGGGAGCAAGAGACCTCACTGGCTTCTTGAAAGATACGTCTCCAGTGATCGAAGAAGACGATAAAGAGAGTATCCGAAAACCCCAGGTCATTCCAGTGACTCGCCCATGCGAATTGATCAGCGATGGGTTCCCACGCGTGCCAGATAAAGAACAGTACACCCAATTGAATTTAACAATTCCGGCAAGATCGCCAAGACGGCCTTTATCTGGAGGCTTTCAGCCAATCGATAAGATTACCAACAAACCCGGACGTCCATCGATGGACTCCAGCTCCTCAGGAAGATCCAGTGGCCGCGCTAGTGGGAAATTCGACGACATCATGAAGGAATTTGAAGATCTCCGAAGCGAAATCGAGGCGGAGGCCGATCAAGAACAAAACAGCCTAAAGTTCGGCATTCCTCCTTTCAACGTTCACAAATATTCGCCTTCACAGGCCACCAGTGTTCGTACAGGCGCAGAATCTTTCCACACAGCCAGATCTATCAGCGAAAGCGAGGATGATATCGAGAAAGAAGACACGGAACAATTGAGGAAGGTCAATTCCGGCTCTACCGTCTCTGAAGAGTCTATATTCGACCAGACGGCCAGGGAGCAAAAACTAGACGGCACAGAGGGCATTCCAGAAGGTGAGTATGAGGACGTCGAAGACCCAGAGGACAAGCCTGTGCCACAGGCCTCAACTAAAATGAAGAAGCGCGCAAAAAGACCAAAATCTAGAATTAAGTCGTTTTCCTATGATACACTAGCACGCCTTTTGAATGCAACTGATGGAATTGTTATTGGTCAGGAGTTCGCCGATCTTGATATCCCTGCTGACGAGAAGTATCTCATCGAACAGGTTGTTGATTCCCTGTCCAGACTGACCGCCAACATGATGCTCAACCCAAACCACTACAAACAGGGATGCGAGCGCTTGGAACGTGTCTTGGGAGCTCTCGAAGGTTTTGACTAATTATTTTCTCTTTGGGCCTCTTATTGGAGCTGGTGGTTTAACGTGGTTAGGATCAAACATTGGCGCATGTTTCAGAATCTCGGGCACAGAGAAAAAACGAATCTGAGACCCTCTGATGAACACCTGTGGCTGATACTGGGTGGACCCGTTTGTGTTGGTCATTGTAGCGTCTTTAAGCTGAACGTTCATAGTATCTTCGGACTCAATTAATTTACCTTTGTACGAGACTCCCGACGTCAACTCTACCGTAATGACATGTCCCTGATTGTTAGAGCTGGTAACTCGAAATATTCTGTACTTACCTGAGCTTCATTCAGTAATTTCACTGGTATACTGATCGCCATTATATAAAACAAATGAATAATTTTTTAGTGTAATTATTTGGTGTAATTATCTTTTGGTTATGTGCCAACAAAGAGGACCTAAGACTGATGTTTAATTTCGAAGAGGTCCAGCTACAGTTCCAGATTCAGTCGCCCATACAAAGGCTTCTTGTGAAAGGCAATGTGCTCTATCTGGTGCTTATCAATGGTTTAGTGTACCGGATATATCTAGACAACCCGGAGAAGGTCGATAAGATACAAGTGGACTCCAATAACGTAACCGTTGCGAACGCTTACTTGGACCCCTATGGTTACCATTTAGTGGTCCAGACGACTAAGAACGAGTACTTCTACTTGAACATCCACTCTGTTCAGTTCAAATCACTATCCAAGCTCAAGGGACACTCCGTCTGCTCATTTGTGTTCTTTGGTTCACATGTCAGCAAGAAAAATACGGGTCCACTCCTTGTGGGCACCACCACTGGTACCATCAATGAGTACAAAATAGAGTTGAATAAAGAGAGAAGCTTTAAGCAGCTATGGAGAGGAAAAGACACAATCACGGCCATGTATGCTACGCAAGACGAAAAGGACACAGTATCACTAGTAGTTCAACTGGGCGAACGGAAGCTTGCACGATTTCAAGGTTCTCTTGGAGACTCGTTGTTGAAGAACAATCCTTTGCTGTTGTCTTTTGGTGTTATTTCTGTGTTTACTGCTAATGAGTCGACATTTGCATTCATTGAACAAACAGACGACGGTGTTTCACGTTTGGTGATTGGTGATCTGGCCTTCCAAACTCGTAACGAACTTCAGCGATATGAAATATCTACAGCCGACTACAAATGCCTGCTTCTCACCAAATACCATGTGGTTGCATCTTCTCGAAACGAGATGGTAATTTTTAACCAGCTAAATGGAGGGCAGGTTTCGCAACAACACTTGATTTTCGATGTATCCGATACGACAGCGGACTATCGCATGCAAACTTATTGGGTGTATTCTTCTTGGACTATACACGAATTGGTGGCAGACGAAGAACATTCAGATGTTTGGAAGGTGATGATAGAGAAAAAAATGTATGATAACGCCTTACAATTAGTCGGAAGTGACCAGCTCAAACGCGATATTGTGCTCATAAATAAGGGCTACGAATTGCTTGAGAACGGAGATACAGACGAGGCAGCCAGAGTTCTGGCAAACACCTCCGAGTCCTTCGAGAAAGTGGTACTGAAGTTTATGAAAAGCCCAAGCCTGCTAGTATATCTGGGAGCGAAACTCGATAAGCTACCCAAGTCAATGTACATGCAGCGCGTGATGCTCACCAGCTGGATGGTGGAGCTTTATGTGAAGAAAATCAACTCTGGAGAGTCTCCTGATCTCGAAGGGTTTTTGAAGAAATACCGAGACTCGGTCGACAAAGAAACAGTCTATCAGATATTGCTTTCCCACGACAGGAAAGAAGAGCTTGTGCGGTTTTCTTCATTGATGGAAGATTTCGCATTCTTGTTGAAATATTACCTGAACTTACAACAATGGGACAAAGCACTGGAAATTTTGTCTAAGGAACAAAAACCAGAACTTATCTATAAATGTGCAACAGCATTACTTATCAACTATCCGGCCAAGACAGTGGACTTGTGGCTGCGTTTGGTGGATGACTTGGATTTCAAGAAATTGCTTCCTGCCATATTGACATACAATAAGTCCATAGCCCTGGGCCACGGGATTGCTCCCAAACACAATCATGCGCTCCGATTTTTGAACTTTCTCGTGAAAGAAAAACAAAATAAAGATAAGCTGGTGCACAATACACTTCTCTCGTTGCTGGTCACTTATCCTTCGGACGATGAGAAGCTGGTATTGAACTATTTGGAAAGCAGGTCAAAAACTCTTTTGAACCGTGAAACAAGTTACGAGGTGCTGTTCGATGCAGACTTTGTACTTCGATTGTGTTTCGAGTACAGTAGAATCAAAAGCGCCATTTTCATCTACTCAATGCTAGAAGACTACGAAAGTGCAGTTTCGTTGGCCTTGAAACACGGACTGATCGAGTCTGCTATCCTCGTTGCAGATAAGCCCAATCCATCGTTACAGCGCAAAAATCTGTGGCTTCAGATATCGGCCATACTCATTGAAAAAACGGTTAGCAACCAGCCTGTGAGTTTGGAGCTTGGGGAGGGCAATAAGATTCGCAACCTGTTGAGCTACCTGATGGATAAATGCGATCTTTTGACGATGAAAGACCTGCTCCCTCTATTCCCTGACTTCGTGGTCATTGACGACTTCAAAGACGAGATAGTGCGCTCTCTGGAGTCGCTTTCAAAAGATATGGAGAATTTATCTACAGAAATGACGGCATCGCTAAAGCAATCAGAGAAAATTAGTCGCAAGATGGAAGACTTCCAGCAAGACCGATTCCAGATCATTGAGCCAAACGAGTCGTGCGGTCTTTGTGGCAAGATTCTGGTTATTCGGAAGTTCATCGTATTCCCGTGTCTACATTCGTTCCACCAAGACTGCTTGGTGAGAGAAATATTGGACTCCACCGATTTTAAATCCAAGAATGCTATTTACAAGCTGCAAAAAAGGCTTTTGGCAGCAAAGGGTAACAGATCAATGATGGAAGAGCTGAAACGGGAGATAGACCAGTTATTGTCTACTAAATGCTGTCTGTGCAGTGACATCAAAATCAACAGCATCGAAGAGCCGCTAGTCAAAAGTGCAGATAAAGAGCAGAGCGCATGGCTTTTGTAATAACTATGTACATTTAACGCTCACGCCACCTTTCTTGCATTTGTTTCGCGAAGCTGACATTCATCAACATTTCTGAGATTTTTGTCTCGACCAGGACAACCAGCTTGGTAGCCAGCTCAAGGTGAACAAAATTTTGTGGGAACCGATACGTAAGCCACAAATAAGCGGTCAGTAGTCTGTGAAACTGCTCGAGTCTCATCAGTCTATCCTCTATAGGGTTGAAATCACCAACATATGTCTTCTTGCCAACGAAAGGATTCTCCTTAGTGCGCCTGGCGGCGTATTCAATTTTTTTCTTCATGCGTTCGGGCACGGCTTCCACGCCAAACGACTTTGTGAAGTTCTTGTGGAGCTTAGGCTTTGCTGGATCCAAAGACAAATGGCTCGTTGTGGTCAAGTACAACGGCATGGACTTGTAGTCAAAAACAGAGCGCTTTAGTCTCTGAGCAACGGTGATCATGTAGTTTTGGAAGACGTCGGTGAGAATAGCGTGCATTGGGGAGTCTTTTAGTTTCAATACTGAAGGGCAGGAGATGAAACGAAGCTGATCAGAAATGGCAAAATCGTCCTCCAAATGACGTTCATTGATGAATTTGGCCATCGACATCTGGTCATCCATATGTTGTATGCGGAAGATCGATTCTTTGGGATTAGTGCGCATACTCTTGTCAAGATCAGCCTCAAATTTACGAAACATGGTTATCAGTTTCGTGTTTTTCGGGAACATGGAGTAATAGTGCATCCACTGCGGGTCAGACGGCCAAAGAACAGCTTTGTCGAGATACTCGATAGGTGCCTGCATCACCACCCGTATCTTGTTCAAGTCCGCTTCAGTCAGAGCAGTGATATGACCCACACCTTCCCCAATTCCATACCTTCCTGCACGGCCACCAATCTGTTTGATGCTCGAATTTGATAAAGCTGTCATTCTTCTTCCATCGTATTTTTCCAGGGTGGTGAACACCACGCGGTTGATTTTCAGGTTAAGACCCATTCCAATTGCATCTGAGGCAACAACAACGTCGTACTCACCATCGTTGAACATCCTGGCCTCCTGGGATCGAGTCTCTGGGGGAAGGGCCCCGTATATGACCGCACATTTGAGATTGGTGTCACGTTCGATCTGAGCCTTGATCGTCAGGATTTGCTTCTTGCTGAATGCAACTATACAGTCTCCACGTTGAACCTCGTCCAGCGAAATAGCTTCACTGTCCACCGCAAGCTTCCCAAGACGATTGTAGTTGTTGATCTCAATATCGTCTCCAGTCATGGCCACGAGCTGTTCCACCAGCGGCACGGCAGAAACTTCTCCACACAGATGAATCTCCTTGGCCTGAGCTCCCAGGATCACATTTGTCCACGCAGAGCCCCGGAACGGGTCACCGATCATTTGGATCTCGTCCACAACGACCACGTCGAACGGTTCGCTCATTGGAATCATCTCAATGGTGCCAGAGGTTAGTCCTGCTTTGTTTCCGTACTTGTCAGAGTCCAGCAGAACCTCTTCGCCAGTCATCAAGTTGCATCTTATGCCTTTGTCTTGGAACTTCTCGAAAACCTCTCTAGCCAGCAACCTTAGTGGACCAGCATAGTACCCTTTGGAGCTGGTTTCGAGCCGTTTGAGAGCGTTGTATGTCTTTCCACTGTTGGTGGGTCCAACATGCATAATGATTTTCCTTTTGAGCTTACGAGCTTCTGGGTACCATGCGTAGGGATTGTCGAGATTTAACGAGTTCAAGGTCATATTCTTGTTGTAGTTCTGGGAGTTAGATGAATCTTCGTAAACCTGCTGAGCATAGCGTGGCCTCAGTCTATGATAGGCCATCTGCTCAACAATTCTCTCGATCGTGCAGTGCAGCGTCGAGCGACCGTCTTTACCTTGGATCACGGTGATGGGATATTTTTCTAGCTTGTCCTCATTTTCAACCAGATGGTTGACAAGTATGTTGGCGTTTTCGTAAGTGAATTGTCTAGCAAATAGCGAGCGCTCGTTTGTCACCGGCTCCGACTTTCGAAGAAGCTCAAACTGCGTTTGTGACAAAATAGTTGAAAATAGAGAATCTTTCTTCAAGAAATCAGACGGCATCGATTTCAAAGGCGGATACTGCAGCGGTTTGCCTGCTTCCCAGTCTTTTCTCAAATTCGCTATGACATCCCTAACAACTTCTTTCGTTCTCGATGTCCGTGTGGACAGATGTCGCACAAACAGACGCAGCATTAGGGGACTAATATTTTTTTTCCAGATGCAAGTTTTTATTTATTTTTCCTGCACGTCGATCGACTCAAGTCTTCAAAAATGGCCATTCTCATAGTTGTTGGCGGCCCGTCTGGAACGGGCAAATCCACAGTCGGTGAGCGTCTGAGTCAAGATTTGAACTGTCCGTATGTGGAGGGGGATTCGTACCATCCCCAATCAAATATCGACAAGATGTCGCATGGGATTCCACTGACAGACGACGATCGTTGGGACTGGCTTGAGAAGCTCACCAAGGTGGGGGTTGATGCCACCAGCCAGACGGGAGCTGCTGTGGTGACTTGCTCGATGTTGAAACTGAAGTACCGCGATTACATCAAGAAAATAGCCAGACGGGAGAAGCCGGATATCAAGGTGTTGATGCTATTTCTCTACAACGACTACAATATAATCTACAAGAGAATGAGCCAGAGAGCAGGCCATTTTATGAAAAACAGCATGCTGAAGAGTCAATTCAATGATATGGAAGTTCCAGAGAACGAAGAGGGGGCGTTTGCGATCTACTGCGGCGAGAAGTCGCAGGAAGCTATTGGAAAAGAGGTCCTTCAAGTAGCTAGACAAGTCATGACAGCCCGTGAGTAATATACAGTATTTGGTGTTAGCGTCTTTTTCTTGGGTCATCGTAGGGTCCAAAAGCTCGTTTCCCGTTGTAATACGTCTGAGACGTGCCGCCCAGGATGTCGTTATCGTCCTTTTGAATCTTACGCTGCGGATATTTGAAGGGTGAGTTGGCGAAAATATTCTCGACCGGCTTGGGCGACTCCTGAAACCATTTATGGTCTAGCGACTCCAGTGCGTCTATGCGCTTGGCTGGGTCGTATTCTAGCAAGCTCGCCAGAAGTCGAAGACAGTTTTTGTTGCTTCCTCCGTTTGACTGGTACCATGCTTTCAGGTTCGATGGAAAAGTCGAGATCTTGGACAAATGCGGGTATTCGGGGTAACTGTTCAAACTGGGCCATTTTTCCAGTGTCGGAGTCCCCAGGATCTCGAGGATCTTGATCACTTGGTTCTCCTGGAACGGTACCTGCTTCTTGTTGTCCATTTTGGTCTCTTCACCTTTGAACAGAGGACGTAGCGAAAGGAGCTCCGCCAGAATGCACCCAACAGCCCACAGGTCAATGGCAGGCGTGTAGTGACGAGCGCCGAGCAGCAGTTCCGGCGCTCTATACCAAATAGTGACGACGACCTTGTCTCCGGAGTAGAGACTCTGCAAGGGGTTGCTGAACTTCCTGGCCAAACCAAGGTCTCCGATCTTGACCACTCCATCGTTCGTGACCATGATGTTTGCCGGCTTCAAGTCTCTGTGTAGTACCCAGTTCTGGTGCAGAAATGAAAGTCCCTCCAGTATTTGGTACATGGCCGACTTCAGTGTCTGTTCTGGGATTTGTTTGTGGTCCGGCTGCGAGTGATAATGGATGATCTGCAGAAGATCGTGCTCGGCAAACTCGAAAACCATGTATATACATTTTCGCTCGAGGATGATCTCTATCAGTTTCGAGATATTCCTGTGTTCCAGCTCTTTGCAAAGCGACATCTCTCGTATCGCACTCTGGCTGATTCCTGTGTAGTGAGTGACCTCGTTGTCTTTGGAGTCCGTCTTGAACTTCTTGATGGCGTATAAACCGTTGCCCAGTTCCTTCGTCTTGCCGCGAGCTTTGTACACCTTACCATATGTTCCCGCAGCGATGTACCCCAAAATCTCGTATTTTTGGACAACAGACACTCTGGCCTGGTCTCGCCGTCTTCTGTATGGACCAATGGTAAAGAAGTCCGTCGACGCCACACGCATCGGCTGTCCGGCCGACGCGTATGGGTACTGTCTGTAGTTCTCCATTAATCTATTTTTTTAATCTCAATTTTCTGCATGAAAAATGTACAGGATTATTTAGCACTAGCTTTGTTGGCCGTCCGTTTTGCCTTGGCGCGCACTCTCATTCTTCTCCATGCCATCTGAATAGGCCTGACGCACCATCGGTCGAAAAATGGGGCTAGCGCAAAACAGACCGGCAGTCTCACCGGCAGAAGCAGCTTAGTAGCGGCGTAGGCATTGGCTCCCGCAGTCACGATCTTGGTCTTTTCCACCAGGTCCACGTCCAGATTTATAAGCCCTTTGGAAAGCACCTCGGCTCCTCTGGCAAGTAAATCCTGCGGCACGTCCAACGGAACCCAATTGTAGTGAAGGAAAAACCACCAGAGTCCAAGAAATGGCACTATAGCAGTGATCTCGTGCAGTATTGCAAAACTAATACCAAAACCCAGTGGACGCATGGTCATGCTTCGCGCGTAAGGCTTGAGAATTCTAGGCGTCCATTTGTACCATCTACTCTGCTCAAGTCTGGCCATTCGCTCTTCGTCTTTGGCATCTGCCACTGGGCCACTTGCTTGCTCTGGCTCGACTGCTGGCTTGGGAATTTTTGGCTGCGATTTGTATATGAGCGTTCGCGACACGCTGACAGCAAAGCTCCGTTTCAGGCCCGTCTGCAGAATGTTTGTAATACCGGATCTGCTTCTTATCATTGTGGAGTGGAGTTAATTAGAGAAAATAATATTTCCAGACAATAAATAAATATACCCTTACAAAAAATCGCAACTAGTTGACGCTCACACTGCGAAGGTACTCAGTCCTCGAAAAGCTCGACTCGGCCTGGTCGGTTCCGCGGTCAAGAGCCACCCATTTGGGCTCGTCCTTGAACAATCTCAGAGCCTTGACGTGCTTGGAACTAGACAGGGTGAACCGATGGTAGATGCCTGCAGGAAGAATCAGAAGATCACCTTTGGTCAGCTTTGCACGGATCCATCTGTCGTTGTCATCTCTCACATCGAAATAGCCCTCACCATCCAATATGTACCGGATCTCCTCGTCCTCGTGGAGATGTTCTTTGTAGAAAACCTCCAGCTTGGCTTGCAGCGCTTGTGGTCCGCCAGGAAAAGTCGCTTCTGAAAGGACAATCTCGTCTCTGTTCTTGTAGTTGCGTTCTTTGGCCACAACGTCGACCTCTTCCACAGTCTCGAAATGTCTGTAAAAAACGCCGATTTTTTCCAGTTGCTCCAAGCTAACGGGCTTTCCCGAATTGTGCTCGTCAGTGAAATCGCCCGGCAGCTCGTCGTGGTAGTAGAAGGCGCCCATTCCAAATAAACAGTTCAGTAATTAATGTAGTAAAAAAGAATCTTTCTGAAGCTTTCTAATCCTTTTAGGAAAATTCACGTGCTACTTTTACATACTTTAAAACCTCACTCTTAATGCTCTGGTTGAGCTTCCAAACCTGTTCGTCGTCCACAGCTAAATCGCCCAGCTGGGACGCAAACGCATGGACCTCAGCCTGGAGTCGATTGCTGCTGATCCCACTTATCCTTGACCATCCGTTGTAATCCTGCGGGAGACCGTTCGAAAGCATCATGGAATACAATATCTGCTGAAAGATGCCTTCTGAAGACGTCGACCTTTGTAAAATAGCAATTCCCCTCAAAAATCCAGTCATCCCCATCCCTGAGCGCTCCAAAATGCGTTGTATGAACCTCTGCAGCGAAGCCTGGCTGGTGCCGTGGCGGAGCGAAATGGTCTCGCTCACAATTTGCACAACCAAGTTCAAAATCTGGGTCCGCTCGCTATTGATTTCTGTGTAATTGTGCACGTAGGCACTCTCGTAGGTATAGTTGCTCATATCGTCGTCTGTGTCTGAGTTGTCGCTCACCAGGTCGGGAACCGTATCCATACGCATACGTTTACTGATCTCCCTACCTGCTCTATAACCTGCTGGGTGCATGATTAATTGAAGGTGGACATTGTGGAGCCCATTCTAACCATCCCAAGCCCACTAAAAATCTGTCCAACGCAAAGTGCTTATATATACCAAAGGTGACTAATATTTTTTTTTTGACTCATTCGGAGAAAACAGGCATTTTGAGATTGTTACGTAAGCGCAAAGATGCCGTTGCAGCGCGGCTCTTTGCTGGTTAGTCATAAGACAAGTGGCTCCATCTGTATTTTTCTATACAATAACTAGCATGGCATATACCACCTGACAAAAGATATGCATTCTGTTATGACCATTTCGCGGCCAGTGTGTCATTTGATGCCGTTTCAGCATCAAGTCTCCTTGCCTTTGGTGAAATCGTAGCCAAAGACAATCGCGTCCGTGTATCCGTAGTCTTTCAGATAACCGGCCCCCGGCACCCGGCCGATCCTCTCAAACCCAAGGTTGTCCCAAATCCGCGAGCTGGCCGTGTTTGTCTCGTAAACGAGGTTGAATACGCTGTAACGGTAGCCTAATTTTGGTGCATACTCCAGATAGCTTTTCCCCAGAAGTTTGCCGATTCCCATTCCTCTGTGCTTGTGGGAAACGAGGAATCCTGCATTGCAGTTATGCGAGGATCTGCCCGGGTAATTTGGTTTTATGTAATACGACCCCAGGAACTTTTCACCGAGATCTGTTTCTTTTGATAGCTCGATAGCGTGAGCAGAGGACTCGAATTCTCCTAGGAGCATGATTGCAAGGAATTTGGGGCAGTAGTAATCCAAGAACTCCTGTTCCGTGAGAGGCTCGATCTGGGCCAAAGTGTTTCCTTGCTCGACTTCGTAGTTGTATTCTTGGTGCAGCTTATCGACCAAAGATTTTGGAATTTGGTCGACAGACTCAAAAGGCACGATTGTCGCGCTCTGGCCGTCTCTTAATGCGACGGGTATCACGCCAAACATGATGAATGACCTTAGGGCGGGCACTGATTCCTTAAGTACTCGATTTGCTCTGCCAAGGAGCCAGATGGACCAAGAAGGCAGTTGCGCTTGCAAAAATTACGTACACCAGATTTCTGCTCGAAAAATAACATCTATGGCCCTGCTGATTACATAAAAATCGATAAGGATTTCTTTACCCGATTCAGGAATGCACTTTTCGGTTACAAGAAACATTTCTGGCCCACTCTCGTTCCTTTAGCAACTCTTGTATATGGGCCAGAAGTCTTCACCTGGTATCCTCTTTGATCCCGTGGAGCATCTGGCTTTCTCGAAGTCGAAGATCCCACGCTCGACAAACGTTCGCAGCTTCCATTTGGACCCCACGCTTAACTCCTTGGAGCTTGTTGGCGAAGGCTCTTTTCCACTGTTCTCGCGCGAATGTGTAGAGTTGCTGCGCCAGGAAGTTGAGCAGTATTTTCAAGTTGTCCTTGGCAAAGAAACCCATAACGCTTTCATTTCTCCTAAGCTCAGAGACTGCGAACAAATACTCCCGTTTGTATACCAGGCCTGGACCCATCCTGCCACTGTCCGTGCAATTAGTGTGATTTCTGGTTTTGACATGCGGCTGTGTCTTGACTACGAGATAGCGCACTTTTGTCGTTCTCTCGATTCCAGTCAGGTTCTGGTCCGTCAAAAGAGCGTGGCATACCCTTACATTTGTGTCATGGGCCTGAATTCCGCCAATGTGCAGTCATCAGGGTACGCCACATTGCTGAAGGGAAGGCTTTCGGAAAACCTGGCTACAAAACAGCCCCAGGAAAGAGAGTCCCTGACGGTGGTGCTATGTGCAACGCTGCAACCAGAAAATGTGATATGCTACGAGGACACAATTTTTCTAGAAAAATGCTCGCTGCCCATGGCACAGAAGCTCATCAGTGACAGAGAAACGGTTCCAGTGTCGAATTACACTGATTTCAAAGATTTTGGGATCTACCAGTCCTGGCTCAACGATTATTATGATAAAGAGAACCACAGCATAGATAAATAAATTAGTATTGATATCCGTTGTCCAGTCCGCAGTTGAACTCATTGAGAGCGACGTCTCCTTCAATTCCAAACGGCTTTTGGTCGCTGATAATTTGCCATAACTCATCGAAGTCGTTGACGATCGGAGTATTGAGCGACTCGTTTAGATCCAGCTCCGAGTATTTTTGCTCCTGAAAGAGAGGAAATTCCAGCTCGGACGGCATGTCGAGGACATTTATGCCCCCAATGCGGTAATTCTTTGTCTTGTTGGTTGTCTCTTTCTTTGACATTTGCTCCATGGTTTTGTTCAGCACGCGTTCGTAGGCGTCCCGTAAAAACGATTTCGTGAACGGCATCCGTTCCCCAACCACAAACAGCGCGGTGGAGCACGATTGCAAACACGTCGAGATCTCGACCGTCCATTCCAGCCGTCCAGTAAGAACACAGTATATTAAGGTCATTGCGCTCACAAACAGAGTGTGTATGGCGATGAAGCTGTGGCAGTACCATTCGAGCTGTATAAGACGTTTTGCCAGCAAGCAAATTGTACCGCACGACTTGACGCACTGGTCGACAAAAAACTGCGCTTCGGGCGAGCTCGACACTTCGATGTCTTTCGAAATCAGAGGAACAAGCAGTATCCGCATTGTCTTGTGGTATAGGAGTGTCATGAATAGCTGGTTGTGCTCTTCATCAAAGGCAGGCAGGTCGTTCTTCCATTGCTGCACTCTTTCGTACATCACTCCGATATCTTTCAATAATGTCTCCATATCCTGTTCCTGGTCAACACGGTAGATGCTGTGCTGAATAACGGAGTCTATTCGGCGCAGCTTGATGAGACAGATGCCCACCGTGAGGTCTGTGATGACGGTCGGGCCCATTTTCTCTGGGTGTTTGTTGATGATGTCGTCCAGCTCATGACAGTCCGTAACAGAGTCGTCTATGTTGTACGGTAGCTCAGCATCGATGTCGTAATCAGAGAGACACATAGGCCGTCCAAAGTGCATGCAAATACTTCTCTCAATAACATAGGCGCTCCAAAAGACACGGCGACGCATCACAGACTCGTGCAGCTCTTCGATAGGAACAGGTCCGGTCTCACGGCGGTGCAAGTTCAGGTCCACGCAGAGCCGAATAATTAAACCACACAGATGCCAGATCTGGTGACTGCGCGAGGAGCGGAGCATGAAGTACGCCACCAGAATCAGACACCTCACGGCGTCGATGTCCACGACGGCGGAAATCCGCTCCAGATCCTGTAAGGCATCGGCATATATGTCGTCAGCATTATAGTAGGTGCACCCTTCGAGCGTTTCTGCCTTGATCATCTGGGTTACGCGCAGACCAATAGCGTATATCATCAGCAGGGCAAACCTCTTGATCGCGTCTTGTCTGGTTTCTGGTGTCCGCAACACCTCTTTTCTATTCCGGTGTAATTGATAAGCGTACTCTCTGTGAAGAAAAGGAAAGCGAGAAAACATGAGTTTCATGCACGACTCGATCAGACGTTGGCCCATTTCGTCATCCTCGATCAAACGTGTGTAATCCGGCGGGCCAGTTTTGGAAGACGGGGTGTCCAGGGCCTCTGGCACAAATTTGTCGTGATGCTCGTTCAATGGAGAGCCGTCAAGAGCTCGGTGGAATATGAATGACAGACTGGGGCCAAAGGGTGACTTATCCGCTCGCTCTTCCACGGGAGGAGAGTCGGCTACCAGTTTCAGAGCCGCACCTGCGGTCCCTGAGTGAGCATTCGACTCCAGATAATTAATCTTGGCCTCCAACTGCGCTATATATTTCGCTGTCTGTTCTTGGTGGTGAAGAATTGAACATTCCACGCCAGCCTTGTGACATATCGTACAGCCCCTGACGTCGGGAATTCCGTCACATTTCCGCTTTGAACGCTTGCACCGTTCGCAAGCAAATCGAGATCGGTTAGACATGTACAAAGATAGGAGGATCGCTCAATTTTCAGGCTTTCAGAACATCTTTGCACAGATTGGGGTTTAATTTTCTCAAAAAATTTGAGATTGGAATTATCGGTCCTAGCATATATATGATGGGAAATCCAAGTCGAAATTATTCATTCTTCTTATGAGTTCTCCATCCATAGCTCCCAGGACGAATCAGGCGATCGCACCGTCCACAGGCTCGGAAATGCCTAAGATCACCAAGATCATGACGTCGAAGGATTGGGTTCTCCCTCCTAGGCCCAAGCCAGGACGTAAGCCAAGCGTTGACACGCCAGCAACCAAGCGCAAGGCACAGAACAGGGCAGCTCAGCGCGCGTTCCGTGAGCGCAGGGCCAACCGTGTGAGCGAGCTGGAGACACAGATTTTGGAACTAGAGCGTGAAAAAAGCATAAAAGAAGGTATACTCACCAACACCATCAAGAGATTGGAAGCACAGAACGAGAGTCTGAAAAAAGCGCTGGAGGAGATGCGCGCAGGTCTTCAACATGTGCAGCGGCAGGTCTCGTCTAGCAACGGCCCGTCGCCAGGAATATCGCCGACCAGTGACAGTCCAGCCACTCCGCAGTCGCACTCTGCTCTGTCTACTCGTCGCAAAGTGGCGTCTATTCCGGACGCCGATCTGACCAAAGCAGCCTCAATGATGATAAACTTCAAAAACAGCTCGCGACATAATAGTGTTTCATCTGGATCCTCTGGCAGAAGAGAGCGAGATAGCAGCAGCAGCTTAAGTCTACAACAGATATCGCCTGCTCCGTCTAATCCTTCGGACAGCTCGCGTACATCGGCTTGCGGTATGTGTTTGAAGGATGACTGTCTGTGTGAGACAGTTGGAATCCGCAAAAGAGAGAACTCGATCAACCTCGACGAGTTTGTTCCTGCCCCTGCCGTGCCCCTGAAAAGAGTGAAACAGTCAGAGCAGGAGATCGACTTCACCAATAGTTTCAAGCGCGCAAAGAAACTTCCTGTGCTCAAAACGACGGAACAAAACGATATGCTTTTCAGATCCCCGAATTCTGCGTCGCTGAGCGAGGAAAACCCCGAGTATAGTCGGTCAGCCATTGCACCGGAGGACCAGTGCGGGTTTTGTTCAGACGACACGCCGTGTGTGTGTCGAGAAATTGCCAAACAAAAGGAGATGGTTCAAATGAAAGATAGTCTGATCACCAGCGAATTAAACAAGAACGAGAAGGACGCAGCAAAAGACGTGGACAACGAGTCTGAAGATGAGCAGCCGGCATGCACAGGAAACCCGGGAAACTGCGCCCAATGCCAGCAGGACCCGATGTCAACGCTTTTCTGTACCACGATAGCTCAGCAAGCCAAGCCAGAGCTTCCCACGCCGCCAACTACAGCACCAAAACTTGACCTTCCACGCCGCACAAGCAGTGTCACCTCACTGCCTGCATTAAACGAACTCGAGATAAACCACCCTGGTAAGCATTTTATCCCGTGCGCTGATGCCTACAAAACTCTCTCTAGACATGTGAACTTCCAAACCGCAGGATTCAACAACATCATCAGCAACTTGAACACCAAGGGTATGTATGTCGAGGTGGAGAGTGTTGTGAACTGTCTGAGGGAGATGGACAGAAAGTTTGGTAGCAACTAGCTAAGTAGTTGAATAGATACGAAGAACAGATTCATGTCATTCGATAATTGATTATTGTAATTAAGGAAAACGGAGTCCGGATTGGGTAATATTTGCACCCCACCAATTCGTCAAAAGTCGTCTTGAAAAATGCAATGGTAAAGGAAATCTTTGAAAACAGGGCAAAAAAGTTGGTGTTTTTTTACAGAGGATATTTTTATTTAGAATACCGCCATCCCCATGGACATCACACATGAGTGCAGAGCCACCCGTTCCCGTGCTTGAAGAGACCAACTTCGCTCGCCAAAAAGACCCAGATCCGATGACTGCCTCTGACACCCCGCACCCCGTCCTTGGACATTACCGACTTCGGCTTACAGACAACCAAGTGGTTACAATAGCGGGTGGACTTGCCGGATTCTTGTCTGGCGTCGTCGTCTGTCCATTGGACGTCACAAAAACCCGTCTTCAGGCTCAAGGATCATATCTAAGAAATTTAAAAGACGAGGTCAAGATCAATAATTTTGAGAAACGCAGATACACAGGAATACTAAGAACATTGGGAACCATATGGCACGAGGAAGGAATGCGCGGACTATATAGAGGCCTGGTGCCCATCACGTTTGGCTACTTCCCTACATGGATGATCTATTTCTCGTGCTACGAAAAGTTCAAAGAGATGTATTCATATATTATTAAAGACGACACTATAGGCTATTTTGCCAGTGCGATTTCTTCGGGCGCTATATCGACCACCGTCACCAATCCAATTTGGGTGGTAAAGACAAGATTGATGTTGCAGATGAATAAAGGAAGAACTATATACGACAGGTTCGGTGACACTGTCGGCGCAGCTGCCACGCCAGGCGGCATCAAACGAGAATATTACAACGGGACCATAGACGCATTTGTGAAGATGTACCACAGCGAGGGAGCGCGCTCGTTTTATAGAGGGCTATTGCCGTCGTACTTCGGACTCATTCATGTTGCCATCCAATTCCCATTATACGAGAACTTCAAAAAAGTGCTCCATGTTCATGGCGACACCTTTGACGGGAAAACCATGAATTTTGATCAGTTTTGCAGATTGGTTCTGTCGTCATCATTATCCAAAATTTTGGCGTCCGGCGTCACGTACCCGCACGAGATATTGCGCACAAGACTGCAAATCGTCAATAGCGACTCGACCAAGCCCAGTGCTGGACTGCTGAGAACTCTTTTGTCGATCTACAAAAACGAAGGCATTCCTGGATTCTATTCAGGATTTCTCGTCAATCTCGCAAGAACGCTTCCCGCCAGTGCGGTGACGCTGGTGTCTTTCGAGTTTTTCAAGAGTTACTTGCAAGCAGCTACTAGATAGATAACCTTATAATATTCCTGGTGTACGGATGTGCACTAAATCCTATGTGAGAATAATCTTTTATTTTTGTTTGTCCAGGATGGTTTTGTACCTGGCACTATTAAGGCTGGTGGTGTTCGCGGTCATCGTGACCGCCGAACTGGATGGGTTTTTCCCCGAGCCACTCACGGCTGCCAATTTCGACAACGTGATGTCCAAGGGATTCCATTTTGTCGAGTTTTTCTCCCCACACTGTTCCCATTGCAAAGCCCTGGCACCAATTTGGAAGGAATTCTACGATACATTTCACGCTGAAGCCGAGTCTTACGATGTCTATATCAACCAGGTTGATTGCGTTGCCAGTGGTGATCTTTGTGACCGCGAAAAGATCTTCATGTACCCAATGCTTAGACTTTACGGACCTAACGACAGAGGTAATGGGGGCAAGCTTTTAGCGTCCTTCGGCAAAGGCTACGAGAGAACAGTCGAGGGACTGACAGCTTTTGTGCGTGAACAGGCAATTGATTCCAGAGAGGAACTTCTACAATCGCCAAAAGAGATTACTGATCTGATGAAATCAGCGGACATTGGGGCAATCAGCACTGCCAATATGATCGAGATCATCGCAGGAAATATCGAAAAGCCGCACCTGGTTTCCTTTTGGCCCGGAACGGATGAGGAGCTGAACGTCGAGACTTTCTCTCAAGATGTCAAGGACAACAAGCTGTTCAGCAAATGTCCTCGGTGTTTGGATTTCCGCAATTTGTGGAGCATGGTTGCGCGTCGTCTTTCTCCGCTGATCAAACAAAATGAGCTCTCAGTCGGGTACTTGAATTGCAAGTCTAATGAGAACCTTTGTTTGTCCTTGGGAATGGACGATTTGCTTACAGACAACTATGGCACCTACGATCCCAAAATCTTCATGTTTCTGCCCAGTAATAGAGGTGGAAACAAAATACGGTACAAGTCGTCAACATTGAACGGTAAACAGATTATCAACTGGAGCAAGCGGTTGCTGGATATCGCCAAATTTGAGGACATCACAAAAGCCGATTTAGCCAAGAAAATGAAACTCAGATCCTCACCTTTTAGAAGAGAAGATTTCACAGAGATAGATGTAGATCCGACAATCACATTCATTTATCTCTACTCCAAGGATACCGCTGTCACCGAGGATTTTTGGCTTCTTGATCACTTAGTCCAGCCAGTGATGGATTTACGTTCAAACGTTCGACTTTATAAAAGCTCTGATATGGAATTTATGGATCTTGCCAAAAACCAGGCGGAGACTCTAATCAAGTATGTGAATCAGGAAATCGCTGACACCGCGAATCAACTCCAGTTTGACGAGGAGATGTACACAGCTCGCACATTGACCACATACCCGATGCTTTTGTGTTTCAAAGACGACTCGCTGGTCTCGCACGTTTTTCAGAGTTTTGGATCTCATGACGTTAGAAATTTTGATGCTGTCATGAACTTCATTAAAGTCAATGCCAACCCATTTGTGGAACAGATGACGGATGCAACGCGTGACGCTATAATCCCTAAAAACTATGATCCAAGTATTATGTCAAAAAACGAGAAAGTGGTACTAGTTGTCACCGATGCGAATGACCACACAAAACTACACAGACAAGGGTACGCGCTTTCGCAGATTGGACATAGGTTCCATTTTCTCAAGCTAATGAACCAGTTCGAAAAATTGAAGAAGCTCAGGGGAGAGAAGTACGCCAAAGTTGAAAAACTAAAAGCCAAGGGTAAGGACAATGTGGACATCATTCGCGCACTGAGAGAACAGGTTCCCCATGTGTTTGACTTTAAGGACAATAATGTACATTTAGTTTACGTTGAGCAGGCCAAGCTCAAGTCTGTGTCTGTGAGTCTGGGCTGGTCCAAGCTCAACACGCAAAAATATGAACCCGGAGATATCATAATAGTCTCGAGATTCACCAATAATTATTGGGACACGTCTTTGAAAGGACAAAAGCTAACAAGCGACACGATTTCCGAGGCCGTGGACGTTTTGTGTGCGGCAAGCTTCAAAAATCTTGCGGGTAAAGGACTGCGGTCTGCTCTCTCTGTTTCTGCAGTTTCCACATATTTCGTTTTTTTCATCTTTATCGGAATCTTGATATTGGGATTGTCCAAGACCCGCGCAACGGCCCGTTTTCGCCCTCGGCCAGACAAGCACAGGAGCTTGAGACCCTTTTTTTCCGACGCTGAAGCCAACGCTGGCTCCGGACCTGGACTTGGCAAAGTTGATTGATGGTGTAGAGGTGATACTTCAAAGGAAAAATAAATAGAAAAATCTAATTAATCAGTTGAATAAGCATAAAGACTGTTGGTAGAAGATAACCATTTTTTTGTCAATTTGCTTTTGTAGCGATTCAATTATCGAAACACAGACTTTTCAGACAAGTTGGAGTATCAGCAGTGTCAAGAGTGCTCCGCGATCATGAGTGAAGAAGACAAGACATCGAGCATAGATGTGGCCTCTAGTGCAGGAGTTTTCGAAAAGGCACTGAACTCTTGGGCTGTGATCGACCTTCCGAGTCTACAGAAGGAGATGGATGCAAAGGGATTAGAGATTCAGGCCTCTCAGAAGGAATCCCTTCTTAGTAGAAAAGATCTGGCCACGAAAACAAAAGCTTTTAAAAAGCTACCTGAGGAGGAAAAGCTCGAGCAAATAAATCAATTGGTCAAATCATATCAGAATGAGGTAGACAGCTTGACTAAGAAGAACAAGACCGTCGAGAATGTGTTCTTTCATATTTATAGGGCTCTTGCCGAGGCTCCAGATCCGAAGAGATTGCTCCAGATCAGCTTAGAGGCGGTTCTGAGCATCAGGGACGTAGAGAAGCTGAAGGCTGAAAAGGCGGATCTTGAAGAGAAGCTACTGGGGTATGCTGATTATGAACAATTGAAGTCCAAGATCGCGAAGACTGAGGAGGAAATGGCTCGGGCTGTGGAAACGCAGTTGCAGGCCAAGGATAGCGAGTGGCAAGCTCTGCTAGAGGAAAAAGAATTGAATTGGAGGAAGAAGGAGCTGGAATTGGGAGATTCGCTAGGGAAGCTAAAGAAAGAGGTTGAAGAGCTGAAAGTGAACGACGAGATCATGCGTCTTCGGTTGAAGAGCCATGCGCACACGCTGAATACTGAGGAGGATGGAGATGGCGATACATTAACTGATGGACAAGATTTGAAGGAGCGTGCTGCAGACACTGTTGAGTTGCAAATGCTGAGTCGGGACGCAGAGACGGCCAAGTTGCGTGTGATGGAGTTGGAACGCCGCAACGAGGAGCTGCGGCGGGAAATCAGCTCGGCGCGTAGCGATGTCGAGATTGACAAAGTGAGGCAAATGAACAATAAACGTATCAGCGAGTTGGAGAGCGAAAACGCGTTGCTGGTTGCACGTCTGGAGCACGAACGCAAGAACGCTGACAAGCTCAAATCCGAAATACAGTCGAAGATCGAGGCTTCACAGAGAGAGGTGGCTCAGTTGAACAGCGAAGCTGAGCAATTACGGCAGAGAATCAGCAAGACACAGGACTACGACGAAATCAAGAAGGAGTTGGAGATTTTGAGACAGATAGAGTTGGGTGACGAGGACGAGGTTCCTCAGCTGGACACTGCGATAGTTCAACGTAACAAGAAGCTCAACAATGAGCTGATTGAGTACCGTTCGAAAAACGAGGAGCTGACTAAAAAGTGTGACACTCTCGAGAAACAAGTTTCGGAGCTCACAAAGCAGCTCGAGCGCCTAAGTGAAATGAATTCCAAGCTTGAAAACGACCTCATGAACTTTGAAAGCGGCTCGCCCAACAACGACAGGTGGGAGACCATGTCGATGATTTCCTCGGTTGCACCGTCGGTGGCGGGAGGCTCGATGATATCTGGTGCTCCCTCGCGAGGCGGACGACTATCGCCTGCATCTTCCATTGCGGGAGGCTTCGAGCCGGGTGCTGCTCCGCAGAATAACTCCATCTTGCCTATCATCACACAGCAACGTGACCGTTTCCGTATGCGCAACAAGGAGCTGGAGGAGGAGACGAAGAAACAGTTCTCGAAGATTGTCGAGCTCAGAAGAGAAATCAACGCGCTGAAAAACGACAACAAGGGTCTTTACGAGAGGATACGGTTCCTCCAATTCCACCAGGACGCCAAACAGGCGCAGACTGCTACTCCTTCACGTGATCTGGAGAGCAAGTACAAAGACAGCTACGAGCAAGATTTACATCCGATTGAGCAGTTCCGCATCATGGAAAGCCAGAGAATCAGCTCTCGCATGTCGCCGTTCGAGCGGATCTTCATCCAGGTAACAAGGTTTGTGCTGAGCACCAAGTATTCGCGACTCATGTTTGTTGCCTACTGCTTTGGTCTACACATGCTGGTGATGATGCTTATGGTGTATGTGCTAGGAAGCACAACTGCTGGCGGCAGCGGGCCGGGCATCAGCATGACAACCAGCACAGGTGGCGTTGCAGGCGGCGTTGCAGGAGGTGTGAAGAGTCCACGCTGATGGATGGGTGGATTGTCCATAGCATTTGTAGGTGATGTTAAAGTAATGAGATTTGAGGCATTTGAAGCAGCTGACCGGTGGCCGTGTTTCATTGTGGTTGTCGGGGGTGTTATCCGGGAGGTCTTGCTGGGCTTCCTGCGATGCAAGACTTTTGTGCTGTATTTGCGAGAAAATGCAAGTGCGCAAAGCGAAATTTAACTTAAGAGATTCAAGGTATTCGATCAGTGAGGTTGAAAGAGTTGAGTCTCAAACTGTGGTCGTACTTGTCTCATTAAGCCTACTTTTGGAACGCAACACAAGGGTTGGATAAGTCTTGCGGAAGAAACGAAGTGCTCGCAATGCAGCCTTCGGATTGGCTCAGACCAACGTCGAAGGCGGCGACATAGGCCAGGCAAACCTGTCTTGAGGATATGCCAAACCGAACTCCAGTGGTAACCAGGCATGCTGAGCCGTCAGCTAGATATTCTCCATTCCGCTTTAGCTCACAGCTAGGAAAGCGTCCGCGAAATCAATTAATTTATCGCGATTTCCAAATCAAGAAACTCGATAGCGATATATACTTTTCAGCAGCGAAGAAAAAGTTAACGGTTTAATATACTGAAAATGTCTAAAGCAAAAGTTCTTCTTGTTGGAATGGGCGGCGTGGGGTCCATTGCCGCCTACTCTCTCGAAAAAGCAGGCAAGAGCGAAGTGACTGCTGTCGTCCGGTCTGACTACGACACTTTGATCAAGGAGGGCTTCGAGCTGCAGTCCTGCGACTTTGGCAAGGTCGACGTGTTCCGTCCGACCAACGTCTGCAAGAGCGTTGACGAGGCCGTTTCCAAACACGGTCCGTTCGACTTTGTAGTGTTCACCATGAAAAACACGCCGGACGTGCAGCCGTTGAACCCTTTTATTGAAAAATGTTACCATGACGATCTGGGAATCGTGCTCTTGCAGAACGGATACGGCATCCACAAGGCAGTGCTGCAAAAGTTCCCTTCGGCATACGTGATCTCCGGTGTGTCGATGATCTCGTCGACTTTGTACGGACGCACCGTCAAGCAGGTGGGCCCGGAGTCGGTCAAGATCGGTGTCTGCGACAACGGAAAAACTGACTACGGCAAGCAGGAAAAAAAATGCAAGGAGTTTATCGAGCTGTACTCGACGGATAAGAACGACGTCACGTTCGACGAGAACGTCAACTACACGAGATGGCGTAAACTGGTTTACAACGCCACCATCAATTCCTCCTGCGCACTGACCAACGTTGATATTGGCCGTTTAGAGCTGTTTGGAGGCGTCGACTCGATTGTGCGTCCTGCCATGGCCGAAGTTCTGGCTATCGCCAAGAGCGACGGCGTCGAGCTGCCAGAGTCGATCATGGAGTTCATGATCCGCTCAGACGACGGCGAGTGGTACGCCCCCTCCATGCTCGTGGACATCCGTAAAGGCAACTACACCGAGTACCAGGTCATTTTGGGCAATGCTCTGGACGTGGCCAAGGAAAACGGCATTGCCGCTCCAGTGCTGACTGTTCTGTACAACCTGCTGCACGTGATACAGTGGCGCACCATGGAAGAGAAACATCGGTTCACTCTGCCAGAAAAGAGACCGTTACCGCAGGATAATTTCAAAATAGAATTCAAGTGATAAAATAAATTCCAACCAATTTTCTCCCCTTTTTTTACGTGTTTTTTTGTTTATGTCTCACCGAATAAGAATTTCGCAAAACCCGCCGCTCGACACGCTGGACGCGCGGCTGAGTCTGGTGTCGGCAGACTCGGTGGCGACGAACGAACGGCTTCTGGACAAATTGGGTCTTCCAGATGAGGACTACGAGAGTTTCGAACTAGAGCATGAGGCCAGAAACTACGAACCTGCCAGCCAGTTCCAATCGCTAAAGCCGTTCTGGTACGAGCAAAAACAAAAAGACGTCGACACAACGCTGGACTCGGACTCGCACAGTTTCGACCTGGGCGACGACGTTGTCGAGGACCGTCCAATTCTCAAGCAGCCACAACACAGACGAATAGCTTCGAGGGAAGAATATTACGTGAGCAGCCATTACCTGCAACAGACGCCAATAGACGCCACGCCGACAAGCCAGCGCACGTTCCACTTCCGCTCGGAGTCCAACACGAACGACTCTGCGCGGTTCCGCCCCTTATCGCCTCCTCCATCTGCCGATGCAGCACCAGACGCAATGGCCGAGCCTTTAAGATCGCCATCATTTATCAAGTCACACGGGTCGACAGGCTCAGGGTCGTCGCTGTCATCGCTAATAAAGTCGCCGTTGAAGGCCTTCCGCGGGAAACAGCCCTCCACACCAGACTTGCAAGACCAGGGGCTATCCCAGCATTTCCATTCTCTGGAAAACGCCCAGGAAATGCTTTCTTACGGGCTTGGTCTGCGCAATGGAGACGAGAAGTCTCTTGCCCAAAGCTTCGTCTGGATATGCAAGGCTGGAGCAGTGGACATGAATCACAAATACAGCTTCCACATCGACCCACGGAAGCTTGTTCTTCGTCCGCCAGTGCATCCGCAGTGCATCATATACTATGAGGTTGGCCGTGCGCTCGTACATGGGTGGGGGTGCACAAAAGACCTCAGCCAGGGACTCGAGTTTTTGGAGCTGGCTGCCTCGTTTGGTAGCATCGACGCTATGGAGCTCTCAGCGGATATTACAAAGAAGCAGCGCTCCAAAGCATGGAGGAAGCTCGCAGAAGACGCTAGGCGTCTTGGTCATAGCCTGTGATAAGGATGATGCAGTCCTTGCAACATTGAACTGTGTTGTAATTTGTGTCGTAATTTTAATTGTACATCTTATTAAATATACAAATCACATCAGTCTGTGCTGATGGATATAAATACTTTTCTGCACGTTGAATCCGTCCTTCAGCAATTCCTGCACCTCTTCCAATTGCAATGAGCCCAGCTCAGGGTAAACAAGGAATATGAAAACCCATGAAGCGAACGTTATTCCAGCAAACACGAAAAATGCGCCTGCTGGAGAGAGCCATTGCATTAGAGACAGAAAGCAGGCGGAAACCACCAAGGAGCCGGTCCAGTTGGTGACGGTCGCCAACGAGGTGCCCATTCCACGCACAGACTGGGGAAATAGTTCTGCTTGTTGCCACGGAACATTGCCCAGGCCAACAGCGTAGAATGCAACGAATAGCACCAATCCTAGTAGTATACTCCATTCCCAAATTCCCAGGTCATGCTGTTGCACTTTCACGTCCATATGTAGAAAAGCCACAGCACACAGAACCTGTGCACACATGAGAAGAGGAATCGACACCAAAAGCATCCTTCGTCTACCAACCTTGTCGACAGCTAGAAATGCCACAATGGTGAACAAGAAATTCGTTCCTGCCACAAAGCAGCTGACGGCAGTGCTGTTGGAGTATCCGACCATCTTGAAAATGGTTCCTGAAAAGTACATCAGCGAGTTTATTCCGACGAGCTGCTGTATTGCCTGGAGCCCGCATCCGATGACGAGCGCACGTTGGTTGGAAGGAGTGCTGAGCAGCTGGGATGCAGAGTTTCTCAGACGTTCCAGTTCGGTCTTTCCAGGCACAGCAGCATTGAGCTGGTGGATTTCTGCGATGCTGGCCTCGATCAGCTCCGATGGACACCCCAGATACACTTTGCGGAGCACCTGGTGGGCAGCCTTGTGCTTGCCAATCGAAATGAGATAGCGCGGCGTATCCGGCAGGAAAATGAAGGCAATCAGTTGGATGGTGGACGGAAGCATCGAAATCCCCACAATGGCTCTCCATCCGCCGTGGTAGCCACCCAGTATCGCTCCTATGGCGTAAGCCACAAGCTGACCGCCGGTAATGGCCAGACAATTTATAATGACCATTCGGCCGCGGAACTTGGCGGGAGAGAGCTCACTGATGTACAGTGGAGCTATAAGCGACCCAATCCCCACTCCCAAACCCATGATCAGACGCCCCGCAATCATGGTCACTACTTTGGTAGCCAGCAACTGCAGTAGGGCGCCCAGCACAAAGAGCACGTTGCACAGGATGATGACCAGCTTTCGGCCGTATAGATCGGCAATGTACCCGGCAAACACGCAAGCCACCACGGCGCCAAGTGACGTTCCGCTGGTGATCCACTCTTTTTCCGAGACTAGCAGCTCGCGGCCGTCGAGGTCGCTGCCGATGGTGACCAGAACTGACGAAATATAGCCGGTGTCGTATCCGAACATAAATCCGGATATTGAGGCCAGCACCGTAAGGCCCAAGACGAGCGGGGATGGATGGTGTATAAGCGTATCCAGATGAGTGCTAGCAGACTGGGTGTCCGAGCCGGCCATGCCGCGGTACTCGTTTCGTGTGCGCAGGAACTCGGCGTGCTGTCCTGCAGAGCGCAAGTCAAACGAGTTGATGAGCGGCTCCTCTGTGCTCGGTCGCGAATCCCTAATCGCCATGGTGTAAGATAAATAAATGAATGAATATTTATTTATATATATATAACGGCTGTGCAGCAGATAAAACGGTAGCGCAGCAGATGCAAGTATGCAATTTAGTACCAATCAAATGAGGTACTGATGAGTAGTCTATTAGGTTCCGGTTCCAGTTTTGTTTCGGCAGGCTGATACGTGGACTGCTCCACGTCGTAGATCAGTGTACGCGGAATGTCGGTCTTGGCCAGAGCACAGTCCATGGCAAGGTTCTTACTCGTGAGAACTTCCTTGACTTCTGGCTTCAGAGCACGCAGCTGGGACTCGTCAAAATCTCCGTAAATCACAAACGAGTCCATCAGCCACTTCACAGACAGCTCCTCGGGCAGTTCCGCTGCGAGTTTCTCTGCAGTCATGCCCATAAATGGGTCTTTCACCACTATGGCGTTGAACTCGGCACTCTGCTGCCGCAGCTCTTCGATCTGGACCGCCCGCTCGCGTTTCTTTCTCTCTTTCTCTTTCATTCTTTCCGACACAAACAAGGCCTCCTTGAGCCCGATCTTCGGCAGTCTCGAGCTGGCCTGGAGTCTCACAAAAACGCTCCTCTTGGGCTCCGGGTCCTGGCTCTCGCTGTAGAGCTTGTACGCTTCGGCCAGCTCGTGGATGAATTTCCGCTGCAGCTTTTTCATCGGACGGAAATGGTACGTCTGTCTGCCGAGCTCGCGCGAAACGAGCTTCTGCAGAATCTGCTCTATGCTCTCGCACCACACTTTTTGCTGCGAGTACAGAGACAGAACGTACGGTGTATAGGTTTTTTCGAGAAGCAGGAACCGCGACACGATGTCGCCTTCCATCGACGCGTCGGCCGTGTCTGTGAGCACGCTCAGTAGCTGTCTGTTTCGCTGTTCCAATTCGCACTCCTCGTCGCACTCCAACGGCTCCGTGTTCAACGAGCACAGAACAGTGCGCGAGAGCCGTTTGCAACCGCAGTGGACGGTGACCCGCTCCTGGCACGGAATCGACTCGTTGCACTCTTTCGGGGCGTGGCACACCTGGCGACACGGATGGCCGCACGCGCGCGGCTTCCCGCACTGGCTTGTGCATTTCGTCTGGCACTGTCCTGGCGGATGGCATATTTTAGGGCATCTGTGGCTACCACACGGAAGAAGCTCGTTGCAGACACGGCCGCACGAAACAACCGTCTGGTAGCACATGGCGTTCTTGATCTCGACGCGTTTCGAGCACTGGCAGTGTTTTGTCACGCGCTCCGTGCACCGCGGACACTCCTTGTCGTCCTCGTGGCAGTTGTGGATCTCTGGCCGGTGGCCGCATTTCGTCGGCCGTTGGCACTGGTTCAGACATACGGGGAGCTTGGTTCCGCACCGCACAGGAGCGGCAACGACGGTCTGGCCGCAATGGCACACCAGGTCCTCGGACGAGGACTCCAGACACGGTCGACAGGGCCCAAGATGGCAGGTCATCTGACAGTAATGTTTGCCGCACGAGAGCAGCTTGCCGCACTCGCGCGTGCACACATGCACCGCCTCGATGGTCATCTGGTCGGCCGTGTTGCGCGCGTCGATTGTGTTCTTCCTGATTCCCTTGAGTCTGTTCCGCTCGCGCACGGCAGCCACCGGCTCGTACTCGCAGCAGACTTCCATGCATCTGTGGCGACGGCAGCTCATCAGCGCCTGGCACTTATGGTTGCACGCGGGAACATAGCCCTGCTGCGCCAGTTTACAAGCCACCGAGTACTGGGTGTAGTTGCAACGACACTTGGAGTCCACCACCGCGTAGCACGGCGCACACTCTCCTTCATGGCACGGCCAGTAGCACGTGTGGCCGCAGTCGAGCTTCTTGCCACATGTCTCGCCGCAGGTCGCCACAGGGTCCAAGCAGGACGTCCGTGGGGAAGCGAGTTGGTCCAGCTTGTGCTTTCCGCACGGACAGCGGGTCAGCAGGGCTGGCGACCGCGGACACTTGTGGCCGTTGGGCGTCTTGGAATGACACGGTTCTGTGCACCTGTGGTTCCCGCAGTCCAGCAAGTCGTCGCAGACCTCGTCGCACTGGAAACAGCCCGTCCACTGTGCAGCTGCCGTGTGAGACCGCAGCGGAGCACGCTCGTGGCACTTGAGCGAGGCAGTGTGTTTTCCGCAGTAGCAGCGGCCGGTGATGGGTTTCTCGCAAGGGCCGCACAGCCCGGCGTGGCAGCTGCGGGCGCACCTGTGCAAATTGCAGGGCATCAGGTCGTCGCAGGGCCGGGAGCACGACCAGCCCGTCTTGTACGGAGTCAGCGCGCAGGGGAGCTGCCGCTCGGCCGATCCACAGCTGCATTTCATCACGGGCCCCATGGCTGTGCACTTTTTCATATGCGGGCCCGGGTGGCAAGGAAGCGAGCAGCCGTGGACACAGTTTGGCAGCGGCGAGTTGCAGGTCTGGCCACAGGAATGAGGCTCGAACTCGTTTTCGGGCGGGTTGAGCACCTTGCCACACCAGCACGTGTACTGTTTCGGGAGCTTGAAGTGGGTGTTGTTGCACGCAGGACATCGCCAGGAACGGTCTTTCGCGGTGGATGATCCTCTTTTGGCCCAGTCTCGGATGCAGGGCAGATCGAACGCCCTGTAGCAGTGGTGACACGACCAGATCTTCGAGGACTTGTCCATCTCGCCCGTGCAGACCAGACAGGTGTATTCGCCGCGTCTCAGCTCATTCAGCAGAGACTCTGCGATGTTGTCAGACATTGAATAATTTGAAATATTTTTTTTTTAAATTTATTTTTCGCACCTCTAGATTTTATTATTTTAAGCTAAATTGAGGGGATGGCTCAACCAAACGATCCTTGGACGAAAAGGTAATTATTTTCCCAACAGCTACTGACGCAGAGATGCATGGAGATACGAAGGAGTGTTCCATAAGACACAGCGGCTCAAAGGCGCCCTGCCGGGCCTCGGACTTGGCGTGGCTGCGTTTGTGGTGGTGAGTGTCTACGAGGATTTCGTGGCCCCCAGGTTTGCCAAAGAAAGCCAGGACCACAAGCATTGATGTTTCTGCCATACACTAAGACTTATTTATTATCCACTCAATGTGACTTATTATGACTATTTATCTATCGTGAGGAGATTTGGGAGCCCAGGACCCGCACAGACTTACTTCCGCTCAGGCGACCGGTCTCTGATATTTCCCTTGGTCTCCACCCAGCAGCTATAATGGTACACTCTGCTCTTTTTCTCTATGGCGTTTCGCCAGATCCACTCGCCCATCTCGTCGTCAAACACTCCAACTAATTTTTCTCTACAGATTCCACACACCGTCTCGTTATCGCTCTCTTCCGGAATGGCAACTATCTGCTTGTTGACCTCCTCCTCGGACAGAGCCTCCTTTACCACGACTCGGTTGGTTTCCATAGTGTCCGACGTGTAGCCCACTATCTCGTCCTCTTTAAACTCAATCCATTTTGCATCGTTCAGATACCATGCCCTGTTGTAGAGCTGTTTACTCGTGTCCTTGAGCTTTTTGTTTGTGCGGAAATGCCAGTCCAGGTGCTGCTGGCGCGCTATAGCGCCTTCTGGCGTGTTGGCGAAACGTTTCGGACAGTTTGAGCACTGGTTGGGCTTGGAGGAGTAGATTAGAGATATCTCGTCTGCCGTGGGCTTGTGATTGTTGAGTAGCACCTGGCTCAGCTCGATGGACAGCATCACAAGGCCAGAAGACGCGGGAGCCGGCTGCTGCGAAGACGGCTGGGGCGTGAGAGCTCTTGCTGGGTTGAGACCCAAAAGTTTCTGCAGCTCCGGCGTGGAGAACACGGCGGGACCTGGGGCAGGAGCAGCGGCCGGGGTCGGCGTGGGGATTTTTGGCAGCGACGCTGGCACTGGCGGGATGTTGGGCAGCGACGCTGGGCCCGGTGGGACCGCCGGAATCGGCTGAGCAAACGGCGGTGGCTGGACTCTTCTGTACTCGTCTTCACGGATTCCTGCGAGCTGTCTCCGCACCACTTCGAGCTGCTGGACGGGGATCTGGACCGGCTGCGAGATGATGTTCCGCAGCTGGTCCAGAAGCTCGAAGCGCTGCTTGGTTTTCTGGTCGGTGCCTCTGTTGAGCCGCTGGCCAACCATACGTTTCAGGTCGTCGATGTCCTTGATGAGGACCTCTTTGGAAAGCGGCTCCTCGACCTTGTTGTTGGCGGTGGCGCGAATAAGAAACTTCTCGATGAGGTCCAGCTGGTCGTCGTTGAACAGGGGCATTCCCGTTACTGGGTTAGCCATCTTCCATGTCTTGAATAGCTTGATCATTTTGACGCGGGTCGGGTCGTCGACGAGCGAGTATGTCTGTGTAAACGTCTTATACAGGTTTATGCTAAAGAGCCGAGTATACGGACTGCCAACCACTTTACATATCGAGTCTAGAAGATAAAGGGCGAACAGTTTCTGTGTGGGAATGGCTTTCGAGATCCGCTTCTCTACAGCCTTGACGATTTCCGCCGCGTGCTCCACGTTCTCCTGCGCCAGCTGCGTGTGGCTCTCTATGATGGGCCGCGAATTGAACGTGAGCGTCTGGAGTGAGTCGTAGTAGTCGTTTCCGAACTGAACAGAGGACATGCCGGGTAAAAAAAAAAAAGAACAAAAAAAACATTTCACCAATATTTTCTCAGCCAGAATGTGGGTCAGAGCAGTCAGACAAGGAACAAGAGGATACCGGGGTTTTGCCACCAGCCGTGTGTGGCTGAACGAGGCCAAGAACGGGGCCAAGAAGGAGGCCGCAGAGGCTGCCCAGACGGGCGGCGAAAAGTCGATCGCCTCCCTGGAGTCGGAGCTCGCGTCCACCAAGGAGAAGTTGCTCGCCAAGGACAAGGAGTGTGCCGAGCTTAAGGACAGATATGTGCGTTCGGTGGCTGATTTCAGGAACTTGCAAGAGACCACCAAGAGAGAAATGCAAAAGGCCAAGGACTTTGCTCTGCAACAGTTCGCCAAGGACCTGCTGGAAAGCATCGATAATTTCGGACACGCTCTGAATGCGGTCAAGGAGGAGACTTTGAAGAGCAACCAGGAGGTTGCGCAGCTGTACGAGGGTGTTAAGATGACTAGAGACGTTTTCGAGAAGACGCTGGCCAGACACGGTCTAAGTAAGATCGACCCTGTTGACGAGCCGTTCGACCCGAACCGCCACGAGGCCACTTTCCAGGCCCCTGCGGAGGGAAAGGAGCCGGGCACGGTGTTCCACGTCCAGCAGCCTGGGTTCGAGCTCAACGGAAGAGTTCTCCGTCCTGCCAAGGTTGGCGTTGTTAGAGAGAACTAGCTGTATATAGTCTAATGACCACATGATTGTCTATGATTGTACTACACTATGTACCTGTATCCGTCCTCTTTTTTCTGGGCAAACTCCACCTTGAGCCGTCTGTCTTTCAAAAACAGCGGGCTCTCCTTAATCCCCTTGATCGCCTTGAGTGCCAGCTTGGGGCTCAAAAACCGCACAAACCCGTATCCCAGACACTTGTTGGTGATCGGCGCCTTGGCCAGGCCGCACCGAATCGCATGCAGCGGCGCAAACAGTTTCATCACCTCGTCCTCGGTAGCCTCGTAGGGCAGGTTTCTTACCACCAAAACCTCGTACTTTTTTTCGTCCAGGTAGTTGCGACGCTGTTCCACCTCGCTGCGCAAATCCAGCCGGATCGGCAGGTTCTTGATCACGCGGCCCTGCATCTGCAATTTGGCAGCACGGGCCTGCTCCTCGCTCTCGAACTCAACGTAGCCGTATCCCTTGAACTTGCCCTTTTCCTTGACGAGCCGCACGCTGCGCAGCCCGCCTAGCACCTTGAACACGTCGCCGACCTGCTGCTCCGTCACGTCGAACGGCAGCTTGCTCACCAGCAGCGTCCTGTTGAGACTGTAGAATCGTCGCCACATGGTAAAATTTTCCGGTGCTAAGATGTTTTTTTGAATATTCCGTCCATGTCAGCTCCTCCGCCACCTCCTCCTCCTCCGGCGCCGCCAATGGGCGGGCCGCCCTCGCAGGCGCCGGCAAAGCTGCCAAAGGTGACTCCCGACAGAGACGCGCTGCTTGGCGACATCCGCAAGGGCAAGGCGCTGAGAAAGGCCGTCACCAACGACCGGTCCAAGCCCATGGTCGGAGGGCTTGCAGACTCGTCTGCGTCTTCACCAGCAATCGGCACCCCCAGCGCGCCGGCTGTGCCCTCTGCGCCAGCAGTCTCCGCGGGAGTGCCGCAATTGGGCGACATCTTTGCCGGTGGAATGCCTAAACTCAGACACAGAGGTGACAGCGCAAAGGCACCAGCAGCGCCAGCACTACCGGCCACGCCCGTGCCAGCGGTGCCTGCGGTGCCCTCGGGGCGCCCAAAACGCGACTCCAAGAATATAAGCGCGCCTCCCGTCCCAGGAACCGCGCCGCCAGTGCCAGCAGTGCCAACGTCTTCGGCACCTCCTGTTCCTGGCGCACCGCCGCCAGTGCCTTCGTCTGCAGCGCCGCCGCCGCCTCCGCCTCCCTCTTCGTCTGCCCCGGTGCCTCCCCTGCCGGCCACATCGGCTCCACCTCCACCGTCGTCATCAACAGTCCCCCCTCCACCACCAGTTCCATCTGCCCCGGCATCACGCCCACAGACCACCTCTTTCGGGCCCTCGAAGTTACCCACACCAGCCGCCAACCCTGGCCCTTCGCCGGGCGCTCTCCCGTTCCTAGCACAGATCAACGCCAGAAGAGACGACTCGCACGTCGTCAGCGACGAGGACGTGAAGACAGAAAATCCAGCACAGCCAAAGGTCCCTGCCGTGCCCTCCATGGCCGCTCCGCCGGTGCCTGCGACGAGCGCGCCTGCTGCCCCGCCAACCCCTGCGGCAGCACCCCCAGCGCCGCCAGTGCCTGGCATGGCCAAACCGCCTGCCCCACCCACCCCTTCAGCCCCGGCTCCCCCACAGCCACCTGTTCCGTCCGCTGCTCTGCCCTCTCCACCTCCTCCTCCGGCGCCAGCTCCCTCGCTGCCGGCTACCAAGGCTCCTGCTGCACCGCCTCCGCCTCCAGCCCCGGCTCCGCCTGCGCCGACTCCTCCCTCGCCCACGTACACCCCATCGGTGGCGCCGACAGCCGCGCCGGCACCCCCTAAAGTGTCTGCTCCGGCTGTGCCAGCCACGAAAAAAGCTCCTCCTCCACCACCGCCAGCAGAGTCCAAACACAGATTCACGCTCTCGCGCTCCAAAGCGCCCGACGAGAACAAAATCAACACCCAGCAGGCGGTCGGGTCGGACCTGCGCAAGATCGACGCCTCGATCTACACCATCGGAGCACCAGCCACCTCGACAAAGATCCAGATCGACGAGTCGCGGTTCCACTTCACAAACGAGGCAGACCTGCCCAAACCAAGACGCTTCGAAAACAAACAGAAACTGTATCCGTCCGGAAGGGGCAGCTCTGTGCCGCTCAACCTTTCTCTCTACACCTGATAAATTACTCGATATATTATCTGATATATTATCACCTATGTACAAATAATCATTTCTAATCACATCTACCGTCTTTCCAGCCATCCTTCCACCGCTCTTTCCACAAATTGCAGTCAAACTTCTTCTTGCCCAGCTTCTCGTTCACCTCGTTGTGCGCGTCGCACAGCCACTTGCCGAACTCCTCCTGCGTCCGCACCTTCGGCTTGTCTTTCTCCATGTACTTCCTGAAGTCTTTGGCACAGAACCAGCACGGGTATATGTTGCCGAACACTCGCAGAAACGTCTTCATGTCCTCCTGTTGCTCCTCCGACGCGTGTTCCGGATACCTGGCAGCAACAGAGTGCAGAAACGTCCAGGTGGACCGGCCGAGCTGCTCCACGTCCGGAGGACAGTCGTCGGCCACGGTCTTGGTTGCCGACTTGGTCACCGCCTTGAAGTCCAGCAGCGTGTTGCACGAGCGGCACGGCTTGCCGTTCTCGTCTAAAACAATCTTTCTACCAGAAGGCCCCACTGACATTAAATTTTATTCGACTTACTTAAATTCATTTTTTAGATTCTCCATATACTGCCCTCGCTAGCCATCACAATATTTTCGGCTTCCATCCGGTCGATCGCTCTTTCCGCCTCCTGAACAGTGAACTGGTCCTCCTGCGACAGTTCGGCATTGACCATCTGTAGCAATGCGTCGCTCTTGAACTCCTCGACGCCGGCGTTGGCCATAAACACAGAAGAAACAGTCTTCTTGAATAACTCGTACCGGGCCGGCGAAAGACCCACAGTGTTGACAGCCCGCGAAACCGGAACCTCTCCCAGATGCTGAGACTCGACGTCTCTGGCCAGATCCTCCATCTCGTGCTCGTCCACTTGCTGGTCCTCGTGGATCTGCTGCAACGCCTTCTGTCTCCTCGTCAAGATCTTGTTGCCGATAACCTCGTCGCCCTCGGTCTCTGACCCCAACTCGCTCTCTTCGTCGCTTTCGCTCTCGGCCAGAACGTCGGCGTCGACCTTCCGCTTCTTTTTCTGCGGTGCGTTGCGCTTGCTCATTTTCTCTTTGAACAGAGCGAATCTCAACAGCTCCTGTGCAACCTTCACGTCCTTCAGGTCCACGGTCTGCGACAGACGCACCTTGGCGTGCGCGGTAGACAGTCTGATCAAAGTCTCGAGCGTTCTTGCCGTGATCGGCGTGGTTCTGGCGTTCTTGGTGTTATCGTCGTTCCGCAACTCGGCGTAGATGTCCACAATCATGTTTGTGGCATTCTTGGTCAGAACAGGATGGATTCTTTGCTTGGCGTACTGGATATACTTCTTCAAAAACGGAATCGTCACAATCTGCGGCATCTTGCCCTTCGAGGCCTCGGCAGCTCCCGCGTGAAGTAGCGGATTGAACTTCTCGAAAACATCGGTGTTTTCCTCCTCCGGCTCCAACGGCCGGTCACCAACAGCCAGAGTCACGGCAGGACGCTCTCTGATCGGCTCCCCCTCCGCGTAGCCGTTCGGAAGATACATGTGCATCCGCAGCACGTGCTCGCTGATCTGTCTGTCTCTTTCGTCGGAAATCTCGTCTGTCACCACAAACAGCAAATCGAAACGCGAAAGCAGCGAGTCGGGAAGCGCGATATTCTGCTGCGGCGATTTGAACGTGTCGTACTGGCCGTACACGGGGTTCGCAGCAGCAATCACCGAGCATCTGGCATTCAGCGAGGTGTGGATGCCGGCCTTCGAAATCGTGATGGTCTGTTGCTCCATGACTTCGTGGATCGCCACACGGTCCACGTCACTCATCTTGTCGAACTCGTCGATACACACCACTCCCCTGTCGGCGAGAACCATCGCACCGGCCTCCAGCCGTCTCTCGCCCGTCTCCTTGTCGGTGGTGACCGCAGCAGTCAAACCAACACCAGAAGATCCACGACCGGTGGTGGCAATGGCCAACGAAGCCGTGTTGAGCACAAACCGCAGAATTTGCGACTTGGCCGTGGACGGATCACCCACCAGTAACAGGTTGATGTCTCCACGCAAATGTGTGCCGTTGGGCAGGTTCTTCTCTTCTCCTCCCAGAAGCATCAGTAAGACAGCCTTTTTGATATACTCGTGGCCATAAATCGACGGAGCAAGAGACTGCGACATGATCTCAAAAATATCCTTCTTCTTGGCCAGCTTGTTGATGTCTCTGATATCGTAATCGGTGATTTTCTCAACCGCCTGAACAGACGACGAACGAGCATGTAGTGGGTATAGAGAGTTGCCGAGAATCACCACTTTGAACGCAGAGCTGTTGTTCTGTCCGCCTCCTAGTGACCGGAACACCCCGATCACCTGCACTCTGTCGCCCGGCTTGACTTTGTCGACCAGGTCGTCATCCAAGATGACATCCACCGAACGTGGCAACTGACCAGCAGGCGCAAATTCAGGCAGTTCTTGGATAGCGACCGTTTGGTGGTCTCTGTACTTGGAGTAGCCGTACTCGGTTATGAGCTTGTTCCCGTCCGGATCCTCGGTCGGATAGTTGGCAGAGGTGGTGATTGGGTTGAAGCTGGTGGTTTGGTCGCGGTATTCTCTAGCGTGGAATTTTTCTGTGGCCTCACAGTAGTGCACAGATTTTATAATCTTGGGGCGAATGAGAGAAGCGCGAGTCACAATTCCTTCCACGGAAACCATCTTGGACAGGAAAGACGAGTTGATAGAGCGGGGCGTGAGCTGGTGCGCTCCGAAAGCGCCGCGGAATGCCAGGTAGAAGTCAGAGTCCTGTGTCACCTCCATCTGGGTGTATTCGTACGCGTTGAAAAGCGCCAAAACGGTTTCTCTTAGGGCCGTCTCTGCAGCAGGAAGATAGTCAGCCGGGTGGTTCAGTAGTCCGTTGGCAAAATCGGCATTAAACTCGCGTAACTCGTCGATCGAGACGGCAAGACGACGCTCGCCTTTTTGCAACATGAGCTTGATGGCATCTTTGTAGTCTGTTTGCGAGTCGAGGTCTGCGTCCAGAAACTCCTGGAACACTCTGACACGCTCGCCAAAAACGGCGTCGGCAGCTTCAACGATTCCGTCCATGAGAAGAAAGGAGGGAGAAGATTTTGTTGCAAATTTCGTGCATATTTCCATATTCGGGAAATGAGACGCGTGAGACTCAGAGAGCCCCGACGCGTCGCTGCCACACAGAAAATCCCACACCCGTACACCACAGAGCCAAAATAAAGGCTGACCTTCAATCACCTCTCCAACGTGTGCACCTGACCTGTCACGTTCGCCGTACGGGGTTGTGGAGCAGCACTGTAGCGGTCACGGCAGACACATCGCAAATTGGGGGGTGCTCTGCGATGTCACATTTACATAATCACCAGGCGACACCACACACCCATCCTAGCCAGCCCATACTCTCGCACGCACAGCCCCTAACCTAATTCTCAGGCCTATTCCAGAGCCGCAGACTAGCTTCGGTCCAGGCAGCTAGTCCCAGAAAAAGGTTTAGGCCCCCCTTTTTTCTTCCTGGATTGGCAAAAAATAAACAACATTTGGCGTATGTTTATGTTTTTCCCTACCGAAAAATTTGAAACTATTCCCACCATAACTCCCTCCGTCGATCGTCCTTGATTCACTTTACAACACCTCTTTTTGACTCATAACAACGAAACACTATATCAACCAGGCGAATCGTACCCAACATCTGTAATGAGTGTGCCTCCGACGTCCAGAAGCTCTCGTCTGAGCATGAGTTCTGGGACAAAGAGAAGAACTGCGAAGGAAGTGAGGTTTGGAGCCTATGTTTTGGGATCCACCTTGGGGGAGGGCGAGTTTGGCAAGGTGAAGCTTGGCTGGCGCAAAGACGGCAAGCATCCCTCGCAGGCCGCCATCAAGCTGATTCGCAGAGACTCAATTCCTAAGGGCTCTGAAAAGGAAAACAAGGTCCACCGTGAGATCAATGCCCTCAAACGGCTTGCCCACCCCAACATCGTGAGGCTGGAAGAGGTGCTACAGAACGAGAAGTACATTGGTATTGTGCTTGAATACGCGTCGGGCGGAGAGCTCTTTGACTATATTCTTGAGCATCGTTACCTGAAGGAGTCGATGGCCTGTCGGCTCTTTGCGCAGCTAGTGTCCGGTGTCGATTACATGCACTCGAAAGGTATTGTGCATCGAGACTTGAAGCTGGAGAACCTGCTGTTGGACAAGCACAAAAACATAATCATCACCGATTTCGGGTTTGTCAACACTTTCAGAAACTCGGACCTTATGAAGACGAGCTGCGGGTCGCCGTGTTACGCCGCCCCCGAATTAGTTGTCAGCAGCGAGCCATACGAGGGCCGCAAGGTGGACGTTTGGTCTTGTGGTGTGATTCTATATGCCATGTTGGCCGGGTATCTCCCCTTTGATGACGATCCTCAAAACCCTGATGGTGACAACATCGCGAGACTGTATCATTATATCACTACCACGCCATTGACTTTCCCAGAGTACATTCAGCCAAGTTCAAGAGATCTACTCCGTAAGATCATCGTCCCAAACCCTAACAAGCGGATAGACTTGAAGCAAGTGAGGGCGCACGCGTGGTTAGCTCCACATGCACCGTTCTTGTCCGTGACGCCTTCTGAATGGGACAGAAACTACACAAGGGCAAGACAAGCCGTGCCTCAACAGGATAAGATCAACAGAAGACTCTCCCTCATGGAAAACCCAAGCTCGGCCTCCTTCATGCTTAACAAGCCGCACAGCAGATCCTTCGCACCGAAAACCAACTCATCGCTATTGTATTCGAATCCTGCTGCTCCCCAGACCTCGCATACGGTTGCCATCTCATCGGGATCGGATAACTACCACTCGCCTACCACACCACACGAGTTCTACCGCAGCGGTCGTGAAAAGGCCGGATCGTCGGCCAGCCTGGTACTGCAAGCTGTCGTGGAGGCAGACAAGTTCGAAGTGTCGCGCAGAAACAGCATTCAGAGCGATTTCAAAACGTCGGGGGTGCCAAGATCTATCACGTTTAACGAAGGTACAAGGACGTCGCGCAGCAATAGCATAATTTCAACTAACGTTCCTCTCAATTTCGAGACTATAGCGGAGTCCCCAGCCCAGCAAACGGAAAGAAGCATGTTGCCGCCTTTGCTTCCGTCAATGTCGAGGTCCACTGGATCTCACTGTCCGAACTCAGCCCAAACAACAGCATCCATATCATCCAAACTTCCTTCAAGAGCGAACAGACCACGGCCGACGTCATACCATCCTGCAACAGCATCCTCCGGCTATATGTTCCCATCTCCTGATCTTTCATTCCTTGTTCCTGCAAATTCCTCCGAGACAAGCCTGACGCGTCCGCTATTCGACAGAGCTAGCTCCACTTCTTCGTCTCCAATCAAGGAGCATCGCAACTCATGGTGTCAACCAACCGAGCCTATCTTGGATAAAGCCAGTGCCAGCGGAGTGCTGACAACTCTGTCAGATCACGGAGAGAAGGAGGAGGAAACCGAAACTATGAAAGATTCTGAGAAACGCAAAAGCGCAGCTTTGGACTCGTTATCGAACGCGATCGACATTTTCTCCATTTCGTCGACGACAACGACTCCTAACTCTCCAATAATGTCCTCCGAGTCGACTGCGAAGGTGGAAACGGCCAGAGAACAGAGAGTTGAGCCTGCAGGCGAGGTGAAACAAGTGCAAGCTATTACGGCAGTGCAGGATACTGTGAAAAAAGTTCAGGAGGATGACGAGTTGGCGGAGCTCAAAACAGAAATAATGGCCCCTATCAGCGCCCCTCTCAGCGCCCCTAGTCGCCAATCGAGCATTTCTGAGCGCAGATACGAGAAGGAGAACCGCAACAGTCGCAAGAGCGTTTCTGCATCTGCCACATCTGCTCCAAAATTCAAGCGGTTCAGCATGCTAGGGTTCTACTCGAGTAATAGTCTCTCGCAGGAACTGCAACCATCAGAGTCTATTATTCCGCCGCGCAAAGTGCTGGAGCCAAGCAACAAGAGAGACGATGTTGCCGAAAGGCGCATGACTATGGGTGCTCGTCGCGAAAAGGACTCGACAGCTAAACGAGTGATGGATTTCTTCAAACGGCGGAGTGTGAGAATTTAATTTAAGTTATAATAAATAGGTCTAATGACAATAAATAAGCATTGAGCACACCTCTAGCTCTTCTTCATACCCCTCAAGAAGTCTTCGTTCATAGATTGCAAGTTATTGGACTGTTCTGGGTCGTATCTGCTCATCCATTTGGAAGGAGTGTTGCGCATAATGAAGTGTTTTCTCACCACCCAAGGCTTTTTCTGTTCACTGGCAAAAACCAGCGAGTTTGTCTCGAATGATTCATGTGCTTCTGGCTCAGCTTGCTGGCCTCTAAGAGACCCGGTGAGTCTCAAGTCTCTAATGGCCAGGTACTTGTCCCATTGATCGGTATTGAACCTTGGCTTCACAAATATACGATCGTTATTATCGTCAAGCTGAGGGGACTTTGACGACTCTGTGCTTCTGGTGATGGAATTCACGAAAAGAGCATTCATGGCACCGCCAGACAGCCCAAAGAACGTGAGCATCAGGCCAAAAGGCCATAGGCCTTCCCAAGGAATCATTGCGGGGAAAGAATTAAGGACTACAATTATCGGGTGCAGGGATTTGGCAACATGTGATGGTGTAGAGATGTAAAACAAATTACTGTTACTATACTTCAGGCCCAGGAAAGCGGGCGGCCCGACATGGTCTAACATAAAGACGTGTATTAGTCTTACATATCCTCTTCAACTCTTCGTTGTCTCTGCTTCTAATTATACTTCATAGCTCGCTATCCTTCAGCTGCTTAGATGTTGGATGGGTACAGCATGATTCTGACAGAAGCACCGAAAGTCTTTGCTGGCAAGTTGTTCTTGAATTGTGCTCTCACCAGTCCGTTGTTTCCGTGAGTTCTGGTAACCTTTCCCCAGATACATCTGATCTTGGAACCTCTAACCTCCTTGGTGGCTCTGTAAACGTAAGCGATTCTCTTACCAAGGTAGAACTTGGCCTCGTCAGCGTTGGCAACTCCCTCAATCTTGATGAGCGAGGTGTTTGGGTTGGTGACGTGCTTGGATCTTTGGTAGGAGATGTGCTTTCCCTTGACGTAGAGTCTGTGCGATTCAGCCATCTTGATGTAGAATTATGGTAAATAATTTTTCAATATTTTATTCGAGCAAAAGTTTTCCTAGGGCACAGGTCACATCACGTGAAACCCTCACACACACCTAACACCGACTATAGATATGGTAGCTGAACTGGAAGCCAGCCTCGTGGTTGTCTTGCGAGAACTCGTTTTCCAGCCCTTTGCTGGCCAGATACGACTTCCAGACCTGCGGATCCTGCTTCTTCCAGAGCGTTCCGACGTCGATGAAGGCGTCCATTTCCAGTTCCTTCTCGGTGCGGACTTCCGTCAACAGTAGCCTATCCACCAGCTCAGGCGTGGCTCGAAGCACGTCATTGTAGAGCTCCGCTCCACCTATCACAAACACCTCCTCGATAGTGTCCATGTCCAGCGTCTGGAGCGCGCTTTTCAGAGAATCTGCCACTTTGACGTTATTGCCGTGTTTTGCCACCTCCTCCGAATATTTGCTTGAAAACGCGCTCATATCTCGCGTCAGAACCACATTGACTCTCCCCTTCAACGGACGGAACCGCTCTGGGATCGACTCCCACGTTTTTCTGCCCATTACGACCGCGTTCTTCTTATTTTTATCTGCCGTCTGCGTCGTGATTCTGCGAAAATACCGCATTTCCTCCTTCAGCGCCCATGGCAATTGGCCCTTGTAGCCAATTCCGTACTTGGGAACCAGCGCCGCCACTATCAGCGACACTTTAGTCATGGTGGAATTTACCAACTTTATTTTCCAGATATTCGGCTTACCTAATCAGTGAGTCCAAATACGCACCATTTTATCCTTGCCACCACTCACCACCCTGGCGCCGTCTAAACTCCAATCAACCGCGTAAACCTCATCCGCGTGGCCGGGCAAATCCGAAAGCAATTTTCTGGTGCGCACATCCCAGACCTTGAGGGTGGTGTCCTTGGAGCAACTCACCAGTAGTCTATTATCAGAGGACCACGCTGTTTGGTAGACGGCAGCCACATGGCCGCGGAAAGTGGCCAGAAACTTTCCGTCGCGCCCGTCCCACAGCTTGATTGAGTTGTCAAACGAGGCAGACGTGATGTAGCGGCCGTCTGGCGAGAACGAGACATGGTTGACCAATTTTTGGTGGCCAGTCATGCGACAGATCGGCTTGTTGGACCTTGCCGGCTCCCAAAGGAACATGGTAAAATCGTCACTGGCCGACACCATTCTCTCGACAATTTTCCCGCCGACCTTGGCCACTTTTTCGTAGTTTTTCAGGGCCCTGGCCTGTCTTTCTGCGTCGTCTTTTGGCGTGGTTCCGGTATGGTCAAATGGACCGCTTCTAAGGGCAAAGTCTGTGGAGAGTGCTATGTGGTTGATCCAATGTCCATGTGCCTTAAGAGTCTGAATACATTTGCCCTCCTTGGCGTCCCAAACTTTGATAGTTTTATCGTGAGATCCAGAATATATGAGATTGGTGCCACCCCATTTGACACACGAGACCGACGACGAGTGGCCAGAAAGCGTCATCTCGCAACGTTTCAAAGCCGTGTTCCATACTTTCAATGTCCCGTCTTTGGAGGCAGAAACAAGCCGCGGGCTGTCTCCTGGTTGAACCAAATGTGCTGGCTCCCAGGCTAGGGAAGACACAAATTTTGAGTGGCCAGTAAGCGAAGATCCAATTGGGGCGCCAGTCTTGCCATCCCAGAGCCGCACACTGCCATCCATCGATCCAGTAGCAACAACGTCTCCAAATGGAGAGTACGCAACACAAAGAACCCAGTTTGAATGGCCATTCATAGTGGCCTTGATTGTTTGCGTGTGGCAGTCCCAAAGTCTGGCGGTGGAGTCGCCCGCACCGGTCACGAAGTAGCCGCTGGTGCTTGGTGGGAACTGAGCGGCCAGAATTGTGGCCCCGTGTCCACTGATGGTCCCCGAAGACCTCGTCACGGGACGCACTTTGAAGATGGCCCTGGGAGTGAAAACCAGTGTAAGGGTGTCCTCTGTGGTTTTGATTCCCGGCTTGAGCACTGAGAAGTATATGTTATCTTTCACGTCTATGAGATTGTCTCCATTCTGGATGGCAAACGAGTATGCGACTGGTTCATCCGTGTTGTTCTGGAGTTGGTTCAGTAATTCTTCGAGCTGTCTTTCTGTGATTCCTCCAGGCACTCTGATAGAGCTTCCCACGGTGTCGCCTGAGTCCGACGCCTGGAACTTGATCAGCACATCAGGCAAATCCTTGGGAACAATGTCGACCTCCCGAGGAAGCTGGGCTTCCTTCTTCTGTTTCTTCGAGGGCGGTGGAATTAGCGTAGCCATGCTAGATAAAATAAATCAGAAAAAAATTAAAAAAAATATTTTTATCGCATCCTTGCACCGCAGCACGGACTTGCGAGATGTTGACTCATTCAAAGAATCTATCTCTAAATTGGAACACATCTTCTTGCACTGAAACCATGACTGGCCATGATTTAACACTCTCACATCAACTTGGCTCGGGAGATTCCTCGAAAAGTACTCAGCTCCGTCCTCTGAAGGAAAAAAGACACCGTCTGGATACGCTCACGGCGCAGGAAGCGAGCTCCGATCCCTCGTTAGAAGCTTCTAACCATGACTTTGTCGAAGAAAAGTATCACCCGGACACTCACAATGCAGCCGACCTTGAGAACCTTGGTCTGGAGGAAGCTATCCGACTTGCTACCAACAGGACTGAAAGATCGTCTCAAATCTTGAATCCAAGTGTTTTAGGCCCGCCAAAGGATAAAGGCTACGCATGGGTGGTCTGCGCTACCACTTTGCTGCTTTTTATGGCCACTTGGGGTGCTAACAGCTGCTACGGAGTGTTTTTGGATTACTGGCTACAGAACGGGACGTATCCCGGCGCCAGTTCCACCGATTACGCTTTAGTCGGCAGCATTGCTCTTGGCCTGGCCATGATGCTTGCGCCACTAGCTCAGATGACGGCTGCAGTCATTGGAATGCGACCAACGTTAGTTCTTGGTCTTGGTTTCCAAACATCAGGCTACATATTGGCGTCATTCTCCACCCAGTTGTGGCAGCTGTACCTCACTCAGGGCGTCATGGTTGGGTCTGGGTTTGCGTTTATTTTCAACCCGTCAATCGTCATTCTTCCAGACTGGTTCGATAAGAAGCGGGCAATTTCATTTGGTATCATTGCGTCCTCCAGCGGTATCGGTGGTGTCATATTCTCACTCATGACGCAAAAGATCATAAGCAGAACAGGCGGCGCCCCCTGGGCCCTGCGCACGATTGGAATAGTTACGACATTCATGAACGTTGTTGGAATTGCGCTTATTAAAGAGAGAGTTCCAACAAAAAGACTGAAGACCACACGCGAGATAAAGGTGAGACTCAATATTCTCTTCAATAGAGAGGTGCTGAAAATTCCACAACTATACATTATATCCATCTCTTTCAGCTTGATTGTCTCGTGCTACATTATCGCCATGTTCTCGTTGTCCTCATACGCCACAACCATGGGGATGTCTGCTGCTCAGGGCAGTCAGGTGACCGCAGCATACAACGGGTGCCAGACAATCGGAAGAGTTCTATTTGGGTACGCAGGCGACCGAGCTGGCCGCGTGAATTTGTCTGTGTTTCTTGCTTTTATCATGCTGGTTTTGGTTCTAGCAATGTGGATCAATTCCACAACCGCAGCTTCTATTTTTGCCTATGCAGTGCTTTCTGGCTTAACTTTCGGCTCCTCAGAATCTCTGAACCAGCCGATTTTGGCCGACAGCATCCCTACGGACCTCTTCCCCGCGGGATGGAGTTTCCAGAGCGTCATACAGGGCTGCTTTGCTCTTTTCTGCGAGGTAGCTGCTCTGAAGCTGAGAGACGTCAACATCTCTAAGCCGTTCATCAGGGCACAAGTTTTTAGTGGATGTTTTGCTGCTGGCGGCCTGTTACTGATCATGCTGTTCCGCGAGTGGAGAATTCGACGCGAGTTAGCTAGAAAATTGGAGGAAACTCAAAAGGAAATGGTGGCAAGAGGCCACACAGGTCAGGCCGCAGACCTGGAGCAAGAATACCAGACACTGCTTGGGCAATCACCAAAATTCTACATTCTGAGAATGTTGTATCCTATGAAGGTGTAACTGGAGGTCTCTTTTAGGTTTTGTGAAGGTATTCCTTCGTCTGCAGCTACTTGTGTAGAAAAAAAATAAAGCTAAAGAACTCAGCTCTGCACATGCTACTAAGCTATTGATGACGCATAGAGGAGAGATTTTTCCTACGCAAGGAAAGATGGAACGAAATATGCCTCCGGGGGCAGCGGCAAGATTCTCGGAAGATGATTGCACAGCCATTGCACAGCCATTGCCAATTTCGAGCATCAGCGATTTCGCAGTGCAATGTCATTTCTACACCGCTGAAGTGCGAGCCAACTTTATGCCGTTTTGCGGTATCATCGTATACATAGAGCTAGTAACTAGACCGAGAATGTTGGTTTTGGACCTCAACAGAATGACAGGACGATTCTGACCGAAACCATGCACTGCCCTCGGAGCTCAGAGCCAGGAATAGAACTCGAAATAGGGATAGATCAAGCTTTGTTAGAGAAAGACTTCAAATTCTGCCCTGCATTTTGCCCTAATTTCCGTCCTGAGTTGTGCCACCAAGCTCAATAAACCTATCTTCAAGGCCCAAGTTTTTGGCCACGCGGCAGCCTTTCCCATCCCGCCGCGCGCAAAAAGCAGATCACTGCATAACGTCTAACGCATCCAGTCCAAGATCTGGCAGCAGCACAACCAAATAAATATTCACTCCTATAAAATATCTTCATCCGGCGATATCCGCAGATTGGTGCTCCCGATGAATCTATAGCCGTTCTTGGAAATAGCGAACGACACCTTGCACCGCCGATAAAAAAAAGATTGTTATCGTGACCAACGGTGATGAAAATCCTTCTACATGGATAATAGTTCTCTTTCGTCGCTAGATTCCGACGTGGGGCGGTGCGACTCGCTCGAGCATGTGTCTGGATACGCACAGACACCAACACTAGCGACCCAGGTGAGCAGAACACGCACAGCCGTGTCGCTGGCCTCCAGTGTCTCGCGCAGCGTCCGACAGATTGTTGAGCAGGCCCAGGATGACAACGAGCAGACGGCCTTGGAGCATCTGGAGCACCAGGACGCGTACGACAAGCTGAACATCGAAAACATGGGTATAAGTAGGGCTATTAGAATAGCTACCAATAGAACTGATAAGACTCTGGAGGCCCAGGTTTCGGGGCCCGAGACTCCAGAAAAAGATAAAGGGTATGCGTGGGTGGTTTGCGGGACGATCTTCACTGTGTTTCTGTCTACGTGGGGCGCGAACGGCACGTACGGCGTGTTTCTGAACTACTGGATGCAACACAGCACGTTTCCCGGGGCCAAGTCGACAGACTACGCTCTTGTCGGCAGCATAGTGCTCGGACTGGCCCAGATCCTGGCCCCGCCAGCGCAGATGACCTCCGCCGTCATTGGCATCAAGCCGGCCATGCTGATAGGCCTGGTTTGCCAGACTCTGGGATATATGCTTGCATCTTTCTCCACTAAACTATGGCAGCTCTACCTGACCCAGGGAGTTTTAGTTGGCATAGGTTTTGCATTTCTGTACAACCCGTCCATTGTGACGGTTCCGGACTGGTTCAACAAGAAAAGAGGACTCTCGTTTGGCATCATTGCCTCCGCCAGCGGGATCGGCGGCGTGGTGTTTGCGCTCGCGTCGCAAGGAATAATTGCCAAAACCGGGGGCCCGGCCTGGGCGCTCCGTGCTATGGCCCTCATAACATTTTTTTTGAACGCTGTGAGCATTATTTTGATTAGAGAGCGGATTCCCTCGCAGCGACTCACGACCGTGCACGAGGTCAAGGTCCGGCTCAGCATTCTGTTCAACAAGGACGTGCTGAAATACCTGCAGCTCTACGTTATAGTGTTCTGGTTCGCACTGATTGTCTCCTGCTACGTGGTGGCTCTGTTTTCGCTGTCCGCGTACGCCAGCTTCATGGGCCTGTCCGACGCCCAGGGCAGCCATCTGACTGCGATTTTCAACGCCTGCCAGGCCGTCGGCAGAGTCGCCATCGGGTTCACGGCCGATTACACGGGCCGCGTGAACCTGGCGATCGTGCTGTCGGTGGTGATGGTCGTTCTGGTTCTGGCCATGTGGATCAATGCCACCACAGAGCCGTCTATTTTCGCATACGCCATGCTCTCGGGACTCACGTTCGGCGCGTCGTCGGTGCTCAACCAGCCCATTCTCGCCGACACGCTGCCCCCAGAGCTGTTTCCTGCCGGATGGAGCTTCCAAGGCGTGGTTTTGGGCTGTTTCACCCTGTTCTGCGAGGTGGTGGCCCTCCAGCTCCGGGACGCGACCAAATCCAAGCCGTTCATCAAGGCACAGATTTTCTGCGGCTGTTTCGCAATCGGCGGATTCGTACTGATCACCATTGTGCGCGAGTCAAGGGTCCGGACCCTGCTCACCAAAAGACTCAGCGAAACCGAAGAAACGCTCGAGTTCCAGAAGGAAGACGAGGTGCTGGCCAGAAGACACGCGACGTACCACGAACTCCTCACAAAAAGCCCGCTAGGGTTCCTGCTCCGGCTCATGTACCCAATCAAGGTGTAGCCGTGGCTACCCCGACACACCTGACACCGGGACAAAAAAATTAAATGAAATTCAGGCTTATCACTATTACTAGTTTTGGGAGTAGAAACCAATTTCACCTAATGGACAACAGCTCTTTTTCCTCGCTCGACTCGGAGGTCCGAGACGACCAGCAGTCCGTGCGTCTTCCAGACGTCGTCCACACGTACTCCAATGGGTCCCGGGTGGCCAGAACGAGGACGTCGACGTCGCTGGCCTCGTCGGTTTCTAGAAGCATCCTCAGCGTCCGCCAGATCGTCGAGCAAGCCAGAGAAGACGACCAGAAAATGGCGCGGACCGAAACGCAGGCAGGCGAGACGGTGGATCTCAACGAGGCTATCCGGATCGCCACCAACCGCTCAGAAAGCATACAGCCCCAGGAACCTGAAACGCAGACCCCGCTGCCTGCTCTCGACTCTGGCTATGCGTGGGTGATCTGTGCGTGCGTGTTTTTGATGATGTTGGCAACGTGGGGGGCCAACGGCTGCTACGGCGTGTTTCTGAGCCACTGGCTCCAGGTAGAGAGCTTCCCCGGCTCGTCGGCCACAGATTTCGCTCTGATCGGCAGTATAGTGCTGGCGCTCGCTCAGGCGCTGGCTCCGCTCGCGCAGATGGCGTCTGCGATTCTGGGGATGAAGATGGTCATGCTGCTGGGCGTTGCTCTGCAAACCGCTGGGTATCTGCTGGCATCGTTTTCCACAAAGCTGTGGCAGCTGTACCTGACCCAGGGCGTTCTCGTTGGGCTTGGCTTTGCGTTCATTTTCAACCCGGCCATTGTCATTTTTCCAGAATGGTTCGACAAGAAAAGAGGCCTTGCTTCGGGGATAATCGTGTCTGGTAGCGGTGTGGCTGGAGTTGTCTTCTCTCTGGCCTCACAGGCAATAATCGCCCGCACAGGCAGCCCGGCATGGGCCCAGCGGATGCTGGCATTTTTCTCTGTGCTCGGCAACACGTTTGCCGCGTGCCTGCTCAAACACCGCATCCCAACACAGAGACTCAAGACCCGCCGCGAGATCGTCACCAGATTCAACGTGCTGTTCAACGTCAGGGTCGTCAAACTGCCGCAGGTCCAATTGATCACGCTCTGGTTCGTGCTAATGCTCTCCTGCTACGTCGTTGCGCTCTTCTCGCTCTCCGCGTACAGCACGTTTGTCGGGCTCTCGTCGTTGCAGGGCAGTCACGTGACCGCGATCTTCAACGGGTGCCAGGCCATCGGGCGGTTCATCATTGGTCTGACGGCCGACTACACGGGGCGCGTGAACCTGGCGGTGTTTCTGAGCCTCAACGTGGTGATTCTGATTTTTGCCATGTGGATCAACGCCATGACGGCCGGCGTGGTGTATGCGTATGCTGTGCTCTCGGGGCTCACGTTTGGCGTGGCCTCCACGCTGAACCAGCCCATCGTCGCGGACTCTGTCCCCGTGGAGCTGTTTCCGTCTGCGTGGAGTTACGAGAATTTCTGGGTGGGCGTGTTTTGCATGTTTTGCGAGGTGGTAGCATTGAAGCTCAGAGACTTGACGTTGGCAAAGCCGTTCATCAAGGCGCAGATCTTTTGCGGCTGTTTTGCGTCCGCCGGCGTGCTGTGTATCCTGCCGATCCGCGAGTGGAAAATCCGTCGCATGCTCGTGGCCCGGCGCGAGGCCCTGGAGGCCCTGAAAGAGCACGAAAAACACACCGACGAGTACGAGCGCCGCCAGATGATGTACGACATGCTTCTGCGCGACGGGGTCAAGGCGTACCTGACGAGACTGCTGTATCCTGTGCGTGCCTAAATACACTTATTTTTTCGTGAGCCGTAGTGGTCTTCCCATGCCTAGCCGTTTTTTTCTTGGCTTGGAGATCTTGACTGCTCCGTCGGGCAGTCGCGACACGCCGGTGAGCCGGGACGCCGTCTGGAAGCCCGAGCCGAGCGCCAGCGGGCCCATGTTGAGCTTCATGTTTTGCTGGAACGACGAAAGTAGGTTTGGCGTGCTGGCGACGCCGGTTTCGGCTACCTGGACGAGGCCCTTAGGGAGGTTGAGGAACCGGCTTTTTCTCTTGATAGGGTCGCCAAACCCAAACCCTAGCGTTTCTCTGAAATAGCTGAGATACAGCCGTTCCTTGGCCCGCGTCACGGCAACGTACATGCACCGTCTCTCCTCGTCGAGAGCAGCCTCGTTTTTAGCGGTGTCTCCAACGTCGCTCGTGGCATGCTGCGACGGGAAAATGCCCTCGCACAGCGACGGAACAAACACGATCGGCCATTCGAGCCCCTTGGACCCGTGCACCGTCGTGATGGTCACTTTGGATACCGTTTTTTCGGCGCCCTTTGTCTCCTCGTACAGATACACCGAGTCGAGGAACTGCGTCAGTTTCTCGAGACTCGTGCTGGCTGTGAGGTCGAACGACTGCTCTGCCACCTCCAGCTCGTCCTCCTCGGCGTACGCGTCCTGTAACAGGTCTTCCTCCTGGAGATTGAAGCCGATAAGTTGGTTTTTCAGCTCGTTGAGCGTCGCCTCGATCTCCTCCTGCGAGTCGCCCTTCTTGTCCATGCGCTCCTCGTTGACAACGCTCACGACACGGCTGTGCTGCACAATATGGTCAAACATCTTTTCCAGCTGTTCCTGCTCGTCCGCGTCGCTGAGAAGCAGCTCGCGGGCTTTTTTGATGAGCGCCACAAACTCGCCGATCCCAGCGCGCGCCTTGGCCGTGATGCCCTTCATACCGTCGCGCGCAATGTTCTCCAGTATCACGTAGACGTTGCCCGGCTGACTGCGGGCCCGCTGCGCGGAAAATTGCTCCTCAATCAGCAGCAAACTTTTTGCTCCCAGACCGCTCACCTGGAAATCCAGACACCGACTATACCCCAGCCAGTCCATGTCGGATGCCACGGCACGCAAATAATCCATCACTAGACGTATTTCGCGCCGCTCCCAGAAAGAACGCCCGTGCACCACCTGGTACGGCAAGTTTGCGTGGATCAGCTCCTGCTCGATGACACGGGATAGAAACCCGGACCGCAGCAAAATGGCGATGTCCGAGTACTGCGTGCCGTTTGGCTTGACCGCCTGCTTGATCGTGGCGGCGATCTTGCTCGCCTCGGCCTTGTTGGTGGCGCATGCAAACACCTGCACGGGGATGTCGTCTTTTTTATGGGCGTGCAAATACTTCTGCTCCCGTCGCGCAAACTGCTGGTTCATCAAGTGCTCTGCAAGCGTGAGAATGTTGCTGGTGGAACGGTAGTTCTGTGTGAGGGCGACTTTCAGAACAGCGACGCCCTTATCTCGGTAGTAATCCTCCATCCGGTAGAAGTTCTCCGCCTCAGCGTTACGGAACGCATAGATGCTCTGGTCAGGGTCGCCGACTGCAGTCACGTTGTGCTTGTAGTTTTCGTTGTACCCTGATAGCTGGTACACCAGCTCCAGCTGCACCTTGTTGGTGTCCTGGAACTCGTCCACCAGAACGTGTTTCACACGGCCCATACACGACGGGTGGTGTGCCAGTAGTTTGTGCACCAGCAGCAAGCAGTCGTCGAAATCAATCACGTTATTGCGCGCGAGCTCTTCCTGGTACAGCGTGTACACCTCCAGCTTGGTGCTGAGGTCGCCCGCCTTCTTGGAAACGGGTACCTGGTCTGGTAGCTGGGCTTTATTTTTGCAAGCCGAAATGTACGCTCTGTATTTTTTGACGTCCGAGTCTTTGAGCGAAACGTCGAATCCGCTCTGTGCCATCGCCCGGAGCGCCCTCTTGATCAGCTGCTTGGCGTCTGTCTCGTCTGCGATCTTGAAACCGGCGTTCAGCCCGACGAGTCCGCCGTATTTGCGCAGGATCCGGACGCAGATCGAGTGGAAGGTCCCGATCAGCAGTTTTTTGGCGTCAATCTCCGGATACGGCTGCAGAAGCACGGCGAGACGCTCGACCATCTCGTTGGCCGCCTTTTTCGTGAACGTAGCGACCACAACGTCCTGGGGAGGCAGTTTGTGGTGCAGAAGCAAATACGCGACTCTGGCGGTGATCACCTTGGTTTTGCCGGTTCCGGGGCCAGCAAGCACGAGAACAACGCCGTTGGGAGAGGCGGTCACCGCCGCGCGCTGGTGCTCGTTCAGATCGTCCACGAACTGGTACATGAGATCAGAGGTGTAAGGAGTAGCCGCGTACAAGATATACACTTATTTTTATTTTTATTTTTCGCCAGTTGGTGCACAGATGCGGAAATATTTCGTATCTATCATATTCTGTATTTATCTGACTTGATTTCCATGATTGGTCTGAACCCTGTTCCTCGCGGGCCCGGAACGGACCCGTTAGATCGCACGGCTCCTTTTTCTGGTCCCGCATGGCATATTCCCGACATAGACACTCTCGTTGATCTCCTGGAAACCGAGATTCAGCAAGGCCTCAAGTCGACCGTGACCATGTTGTCCACGCTGACACCCGTTCCGGACTCGCACACACACGGCCGCGTGCTGGTTCTTGACTTGGGCGGCTCGACGTTCCGACTGTGCATTTTGGAGCTTTTTGGTGAAGGCCAGTACGAGATACTGTGCTCGAGAGAATGGCAGCTGGATAACAAGGAGATAAACGTGTCCTTCTTCCAGAGTCTCGTGGACCACGTGAGCACGGCCACTATTGACCGCTACTTCCCGCACACTGTCACCGTCGGTCTCTCGATCTGTTTCCCGTTCAAACAGACGGAACCGAACGACGCGTATTTGGACGTTGTGGGCAAGGGTTTTATTTTGGCAGACGAAATCCGGGGAAAAAATATAGCTGATCTGCTGCAGCGGCAGCTGGAGACGGCGACGCGAAAACGGGTCTGTGTGAAGGCAGTGATCAACGACGCCGTCTCTGTGTATGTTGCTGGCGCGTATTTGTACGGGTGTCGATTGGGGCTTGTTTTGGGCACGGGGCTGAACGTGGCAGCCGGCTACCAGAACCGTGTGCTCAACACTGAGATGTCCTGTTTTGGCAGCAGTCTGGTGGAGCTGCTCACGCCGTGGGACGTGAAAATGCAGCCTGCGTACCGCGAGAGCCGCAAGGCGCACTTGCAACTGCCGCTGTTCCAGCCAATGGAGTATTTGTGCTCCGGCCGCTACATAGGAGAGCTGTTTCGGGTCGGCGTGCTGGACCTGGCGCAGCGGGGGCAGGTGTTCAACGGGCAGCGTGTTCTGCTTGAGAATGCATACGAGCTGACGGGCGAGACCATCTGTCGAATTTACGAGGGCAGCAGCGGCGAAATCGCCCAGATCTTCGCCAAATACAACGTTGCAGTGACAGAGCAGGACGTTGCTGTGTTGCGCCGCGTAATAGAAAGCCTAATTGGCCGTGCGGCAGCCGTGCTGGCGAGCTGGCTGGCGGCGTTCTGCAGAGTACAAGCCCCCAGCACACACGGGCCGGTGCGCATCGGATACATAGGCTCGTTTCTGGAGCATTTTGCGTACTACAGGGAGCAGACACAGCTATTTTTGGACGCGTACAGCGCCAGGCATTCTGGCCTGCATTTTGACATCCGCCTCATCCCGCACAGCACAGCGCTGGGAGCTGCCATTTCCGCAAGCCAGAAAAGCTAAAATAAAAATAGTCGATTCTGAGGCTCAGTTGGTAATATATCGGATCGGGAAATACTTACTCCTTTGAAATTGTTTGGTAAACAATGGATCACGAAAATAACAATCAACTTTAAAGCTGTTTGCGGAAAATTCACAACACGTCTTCAAACAGGGCCAAGTCTAATGCAAGGATTTTCCACCCTATAAAACTTCCTCTGTCGAACGCTCTTGATCTTCCGTTTGCATCCCGTTCGGCACCGCCTCCACTCTCCAGCATTAGTCAATGAACACTCTTGCATTGCTCGTGCTGAGCGCCGTCGCGCAGTCCTTCAGCGTGTCCGTGCCGTCGTTCCCCGACACCAAAGACATATACCCTGTCGACTCGGTCGAAAAGCCGCCACAGGACTTTTTCGCCCAAATCAGCTCGCACACCAAACAGACCGTGCTCGCGTCGAACCAGTCCGCCCAGGACACGCTGGCCTGGCAGCAGGGCATGTCTTTTATCTACGCAGAGTCCTCCAACGAGGCGTACACCGTCAACGTCACTGTTGGCGACGATACGCTGCCCCTGCTTATAGACACGGGCAGCGAGTATCTTTGGGTGTACGGCGCCAACTGCACCGATTCCAGCTGCGCAAACAAAGACCTCTACCAGGAGGGCTCGGGCACAGAGTCCGGGTCCTCGTTCGCGCTGTCATACAGCTCGGGATCGGCCTCGGGGAGCGTGGTGTCTGACTCGTTGCAGCTGGCAGGGCTCACCGCAGACAACTTCTCGTTCGGCGTGGCGTCCCAGGTGCCCGATCTGTTTGAAGGCTACTCGTTCGCGGGCGTTCTGGGCCTGCCAGCTACCAACACGACCGACGGCATGACGAATCTCGTCACGTTTCTGCAGAACCAGGGCTCTCTGGAAAAAGGCGTGTTTGCGCTGTGTCTGGGCGCGTACAACACCACGGACGGCGACTCTAACGCCGGGATGCTGGTGTTCGGCAAGGACGTGGCCGAGCTGTACGACGGGACGATCTACTACGCGTCGGTGGTGGAAAACACCAACAATTACTGGCAGGTTGCTGTCGACTCCGTTTCTGTCGACGGCTACGAGGTGTCTTTCGACGAGGCCACCGTCGACGGAGACGAGTCGTCCACAAAACGGCTCGCCGTCGTCGATAGCGGCACCACCTCGATCGTCACGGCCTCCGCCGACGCCACCAAACTGCACTCGTTTTTCAACGACTCCGTCACCGACGGCAGCAACTTCGCCGTGCCGTGCAACACCACGTACGAGCTCGCGTTCGAGATCGGCGGCCAAAAGTGGACGATTGGCCCAGAGGACTACCTCGGCTCCGCGTACTCATCCAGCTCCCAGTACAGCGGGTACTGCGTGAGCAACATCGTTGGCTCGTCGTCGCTGGACAACGGCACGTGGATCCTGGGCTCGCTGTTCCTGAAAAATTACTACGTCACGTTCGACCTCGACAGCGCGAAAGTCGGGCTCGCCAATAGGACGGCCGTCGAGATAGACACCTCCGTGTCCCAGAAATCTGTCTCCGGCATGCTGCATACCCAGAACACCGTCGCAGCCAGCTCCGCCTACTACAACTCGTCAACCACTCCCTCCTCACACCAGACCCTCACACCTTCAACGCTGAGCATGGCGAGCAGCTCTGTTTCGAGCAACGCGTCGGCCAGCTCCAGCTCCAGCTCGTCTGTTGTGTCCGGCTGGGCCGGCAAACACCGGCTGGCGCCGCCGATGCTGCTGCTGTCGCTACTTTGTCTGCTGTGACATCTTCTTGCCCATAAATATACATTACTTAATGACCGGCCTTGTTCAGGCGCCGCCGCTTCTTCCTCTCGAGCCGCGAGATCTGGATCAGATCGTCCTCGGACGGCTCGTAGATATGCCATATCGTGTAGTGGGGCAGCCCGCCAACGCGGAAGCCCATCTGCTTGCTGAGTTTGCCGAACGCCTCGGTTTCGGCGTGGTTCATGAACGTGAAGGCCGGGAAGTTCGAGCCCTGGCGGAACACCTTGGCCTTGGCGAGAATCGAAACGCCTCCGACGCCGTCCAGGTCGACGATCTCGTCCGGGTTGCCGTTGGGTTCGCGGATATACGCGAGATGGACGCGCCAGGTCGGGTACTCGGCGTATCCTTCGACAATGACGTCGTCCTCGTTGAGCGTCTTGGCGAGCTCGAGCCCCTCTTTAGACTCTATCCACGAGTTGAGGTCGTACGGCTGCTCGTTGCCCAGAAACGTCGGTAGCGGTCTCCAAACATTGGGCACCACGACGTCGAATGCTGGCGAGAATTTCATCATGTGCTCCAGAATGTCGCCCGGCGACGTCTCGATGTCCACGTCTCGCCAGTACACCCACGAGTGGTACGGCTTGAGTGCCGTGCTCAGAAGCCAGTTGCGGGCGCGTCCCATCAGCTTCCGTCGGATTCCCTGCACCTTGACGTCGTGCCGATCGCTGAACCCTTGTCCGATGACTTGCCCGAAGTCTTTCTGGTAGATCTGCACCGATCTGAACGGTTTGGTGTATTCTGAGTGGTATGGCGGCGAGTACGCCTTGCGAACGTTGTCCACGTAGTCCTGTGGCATGTACTGCAAGTACAGGTCGCTGGAGCCGACGATGGCTCCCGACGGCGTGTTGGACTCCTTCTTGTCGAGCAACTCCAACAGCGTGCCCTTCTGCATTGCCTGCGAGTACTCAAAAAGCGTCTCCAGCGTGGTGTCGTCCTCTGAGCAGTCGCTCACCAGAAATGCGATGTCTATCAAACTGTGGTCGTATGTCATGTTCATCATGTTGCGGAACATCAGCGGCAGCACCTTGGCGGCGTTTCTGAGCGGCACCAGCAGCAGAACAATCTCCTTGTTCTCCCGCCCGTTCGCCGTGCCCTGGAACTCTTCCAGGTCGTAAAATTCAACCGTGTCTGGCCACGCGTCGCCGTCTTCTTCGGGTATACTCGTCTCTTTCGGCCACAGCTTGCTTTCCGGCGGCGCCGGCTCTGAGTTCTCAATCTGCGGCACAAATTTCGCCGGCTTGCGGCTGCGGAACAGCAGAAATACCACCACCACGGCTATTGTGATACCTATGACGTTGATCCATTTTCTTCGACCGTGCCGCTTCTTTTTCGGCTTGATTTCGTAATCGCCGGCCCTGTATGTTAGCTGAATTCTAAGATGTAGTTCTTATACTTACAGAGGCAGATCTGTTTTCTTGGGATGCTGTCCGAACCGCAGCATGCTCTGTATTAGCTTGACTACAAACCCTTTTATTTTTATTTTTTTCTCAATATTCAGGATTGGGAGCGGTGCACGACGATGATCAAACACGTTCTATGAGGCCGTGGAGGTCGGGCTTGAACCACTCTGCGCGCAAAAGGGCCCACACCCGGCGCGCAAGCGCGTCCGCCCTGGCCTCGCTCGAGCTCTTGGCCTCGATGTACACCTTGAGCTTTGGCTCCGTGCCCGAGCCGCGCGCCGTAAACCTGATCTCGTCGTCCTCGTGCTGCAGAGAAACAGTGATCATTTGCGACGAAACGTCGACGGGCAACGTTGGTTTTGAGTCGGGCGTCGTCGAGTCGTAGCCAACAGTCAGGTCGCGCCACTTCGTCACTGTAAACTCCTCGATCTGATTGGGATACGGGTTGCCCGTGGCCCTAATATGCTGGAAAATAATTTCCGTCGTACGTGCGTCGGGCACCACGTAGTATCCGTTGCACTCTTTGAAAAAGCCGTACTTTTCATACCCCTGCTGTAGCGTCTGGAGCGCATCGGTGTCTGTGTCAAGCCAATGCTGGTACATCTGCAGGAACATCAACAATGCAGAGATCCCGTCCTTGTCGTGGACCACAGGGAACAGGAACCCGATGGCCTCCTCGAACGCAAACGGGCAGTCGTAGCCGGCGTTCTCCAGCTCGATCACCTTGTTGCCGATCCATTTGAAGCCCGTCAGAGTGTCCTGGAAGTGGAACCCCTCGACGGCGGCCATCGCGGCGATCATTTGCGACGAGACGGTCGAGTTGACGAGATACACGTTGCTGCGGTCTATTTTCTGTGACACCACATACTGCGCGAAAAGATATCCAAGCTCGTTGCCCGACAACTGTCTCCACACGCGGTTGATTTTCACCGCTGCAGAGAATCGGTCTGCGTCCGGGTCGTTGGCCACCACCACAGAAATGCCCTGCTGGTCGGCGTGCTGAATGGCAAGGTCCAATGCTCCTTTTTCCTCCGGGTTCGGGAACTTGACTGTGGAGAAGTCTGGGTCGGGCAGACATTGCTGCCCGACAGGGACGAGCACTCCGTCGGGCACAACATGCCCTACGAACTCGGTGCCCACGCCGTGCATTGCCGTGTAGACGGCTTCAAATGAGAACGACGTGTTCTTGAGAAGTGTGGATTTGACTCTGCGCGAGTACTCGCTAATAATCTCGTCTCTCACAAAAAGCAGCTTGTCGCTGTGCTGCTCAAACACCCGCGCAGTGTCCCAGGTGGGGTCTCTGAAGACGGCGTCGAGGTTGGCCAGGATGCTGTGCTGGATATGCTGGTCGTGCGGCGGGATGATCTGGCAGCCGTTGCTCCAGTACACTTTGTACCCGTTGTCGTTTTTGGGGTTGTGGGAGGCGGTGATCATCACGCCCGCGCTGGCAGAGTACTGGTCCACGGAAAAGGGCACCAGTGGGGTGGCAGCAAACCCCCCACCCAAATAGTAGACCGTGAACCCCTTGATGAGGAACACTGCAGCCGTGAGCTCTGCAAACCGCTGCGAGTTGTGGCGGTGGTCGTGGCCCACAACCACTGACGGCTCATCAGCCACGCTCTTCACGTACTCGGCAAGGCCCTGCGAGGCCTGCACCACGGTAACGTCGTTCATCCTGCTGAAGCCGGCGCCCATCGGGGCACGCAGGCCTGCTGTGCCGAACGTCAGCCGCGATCCCAGCCGGTCCTCCAGCGCAGCGGTGTCATTCTCAGCCACGAGCTGCTCGATCTCGCGCCGAGTTGTCGGGTTGACGTCAATTGTGAGCCATTGGTCTGCTAACGACATAAATTATTATCGAGCAACTTACTAGCCACACCACACCGCCTTGCCACATCACCTGGCCAAAAAAATATTTCTTCCACGCGTTGGAATACTTCCTGTTTGGGAAATATTCCAAAATGGGCTAATATCGTGCATGTCTACGACTGCCTGATTTTTTGCCAATTTTCACTCCCAGATATCGCCCACCTCTTGTCTCTGTCCCACCCATCTCATAGGCACAGGCTGTCCAAACATACTGACCCGCTCTGTCCCGTTTTTCACATCCCTACACAGCACACCGCCACGGCTGCACATCGCCTTTTTGAAACAGACAGCATGTCTGAAACATTTTTTGACGAGTCGCCCACTAAAAAAAGACGCAGAGGAAGACCTCCTACAAAAGCCAAAGCGGACGCTGCCATAGTCGGCGAAAGCACCCTCAGCTTTTCTATCAACCCCAGCATGAATGCCTACAGCAACTCTGCCGCCACGATTCGCCAGGGAGCCGTGTGCTCCACGCCAGTCATGAAGATCAGCCCCAGTCGCCGCAGAGGCGGCGGGGGGTCGCAGTCGCAAACGCCCACGCCGACGCCGCGGCGCAGACAGCCGGTGCCCTCGCTCAAGCCGATCCAGGAAAACAAGGTGGCGAAAGCGCACCAGGAGCTTGTATGTGTGACACAGCCGAAAAACGGGCTCGACTCGTCGCCGGCGTCGTCGTCGCACTCGTCGCCGTCCGACAAGGGCCTGCAGAGCTCTCAGGTACACACGTCGCCGCTCAACGCCGCCGAAAACGTGCCCAAGCCAGACCTGAACCCGTCGCTTTTGCAGCCGACAGACATCTTTGCACCAAAGACGCCGAAAATGCCTGGCACGCCCTTGGCGAGGGTGCCGCCCTCGACGCCCATCTCGCATTTCTCGCACGTCCTGAGCTCGTCGCCGATGTACACCCACTGGTACGCGCAGACCCCGCACGGAAGAGTGGCGTCGACGCCGAACAGCCTGGTGCCCAAACCGCTGCGTTTTGAGGACGTCAGACAGCCTGCGACGCCAGCAACTCCAGCACCGCACAACCCGGGGCTCGGGATCTTGGCGTCGCGCCACCGGTCGCTGCCGCCGAAGCACGATCTCGAAAAAATCACACAGCAACTACAGAGCAAACTGCGCAAGACCCAGTCTCTCGGCGATGCCGAGCAGGGCAAGGAAAAAAAAGGCTTTTCTGCAGACTACCAGGTCACCGTCCAGATCAACAGCGACGGCAAGGCTGCGGTGGTGACCAAACGGCGCAAGCTGGTGCAGCCGCTCACGCCGGCCACTTACGGCCCCCATTTCGCAGACGGGTTCATGTACGCCATGGACCCGCCTCCAGGGCTCAAGATCGGCATCGACCCATACGTGGTGGGCGTTTCGTCGACCGAGTTCGAGATGAAGTCTCCGTACATGCTGGCCGAGGACGCACAAGACGCGGCCAAGACACAGAGCGACGCGCGGTTTGCGTTGCGTGAGCTACTCAACGACCTATAGTCACTAATATACGGTTTCATGTGATGTGGGCGTTGCGGCGCAAGCGAGCGAAAAAAATAATCCGTGTTTCTCCCTTACGCCGCAATTCGCCCCTCCCGGAAATTATCTGCCTTGCTGTCTACCTGCTACTCTATTTCCTCTTTTTGCTCCGCACTGGCGTGCTATTTCCCAGCGTGCGCCCTTGCTGACGTGCTTCCAGGCATAAACTTAGTGCCCGCTCGGGTTTTCGTAGGCTCAGTGCCCGCTCGGGCTCAGACTCTATTGTTCCTGACTGCGTGCTATTCTGCAGCAATATTTCATATGTCATTTCTATTATGCAGCAACGCCAAAGATCTCTCCATGTATAGAACCCGCCAGCCTATGTATAAATATTCCCCACATCCTTTTTTCCTTGTTAATTTTTTTGCACATGGTCTCCCCTTGTCCCAGGCTTGTCCACCAGTTTATGGACGACAACTTTCTCCAGGAGTACGGTCGTGAGTCCTGCACCAAGCTGCCGCTGATCCCCGTGCTGTCGTCCTCGTTCCAGGCCCCGCTGGCGTCGTTGCGAGCAGTGGACTACTTCTCGGCAGAGCTTTCCGACGACCAGTACTTCCGGTGCTGGATCTCCATCACAAACAACCGGTTCATGAAACCGTACGAGCTGTCCAACTTCCACAGTGTGCGCGCCGCCAAGCCAGACTCGCTCGTCGAGGACCTCCAGGTGTTTCTGCCGTGCACCTCGTCTGCCCGCCTTGAGAACGCCTGCTGGCGCGCATGGCAGAAGTCCAGGAACAGGCTGCCGGAGCTGAACCCCGCGGAAATCAACTGGCACAAGGAAAACGACATCACTGCGCTCTACGGCCCGGTGCTCGAGTGCTCGTTGAGGCCGCACCTTGCCGAGCCGTCCGGCGACGAGCTCTCCGACGACGAACTCTTCAGCTGCAGCAGCGGCTCCTCACTGACGTCCGTGTCCTCGCTCCCCACGCGCGGCCGACAGCGCATCGGCAAACGCCCCAAGAGAGTCTCGTTCTGCGACCAGGTCGCGCGCAGAGACATCGTCGGCGACGCCGTTTATGACTGCACTTACGCGATGGACGCTCAATGACCAGATGTAGTATTAGCACGAATTGATGAATCATAATCTATAGCTCCTCCAGATGTAGCTGGATCGTGTTGCGCACAACGTTGGCCAGCTTGTCCGCGGCGGGCTCCTGCTGCTGGCGGAGCTGCCGTCGGAACAGAAATCGCGCCGACTTCAGTGCGATCCCGTACAGCTCTTTGCACTCGTCCTTGCTCAGCTGCGACTGCAGCCCCAGACGGCGCACCTCGCGCGCGGCCAGCCGCTCCACCGTCCTGTTGAATTTTTCCCCCACGTTGTGCTCGCGCGGCGCCCGCGCAAGCCGGGGCACCTGCGGCGGCTGGCTGTTGCGTTTCTCCAGATAAGTGTCCAGAACGCTATTTTCCCGTCGCAGACGCGGCGACTCGATAACTGCGGCGCAATCGCTGGGCACTTCGCAGCTAATTGGCGTGGCCGCAAGCCGTTCGGCCCGCCGCACAAACTCGTTGTCCAGGTCCAGCACCACGCCCTTGATCTCCACGTGATCCTCCTCCAGCCGCGGATACAGCACGACGTACCGCTGGCTCTGGTCGGTTTCCAGCAACAGGCCGACAATCTCGCCGAGCTCAAAGTCACAGCACACCATGATCTCCTGGAACACGGCCTCAGAGTCCTTATCCGCCGTGAACACGCTGAAAACGCCCGTCTTGCTGGCCCCGACGAGCCACACAGGCAGCCGGTGCACGTCGACAAGGTCGACGGCCACGAGCCGGCGAAACTGCGGGAACTCGACCGCGTCGTCGACGTGGAACTCCAGGCCGTGCAGCGGCGCGCGCATGCCGTCGACCTCGCTGCTGACGTCGTAGCGGCCGCCCAGCTTCATCACATGAACGAAACAAGAAAATAATAATTTGCACACCCCTGCACGCTCGAATTTATCGTCCCGACAAATTTTTTAATCCCTTAAGACACCTAGACCTATTGGAATAGCCTGCTGTGTCCGCGAAACCGAGTCTGCAGCACGCCACGATGTCTTCCAAAGTGTACTCCGTCGCGAGGGTGTACGCGGACGCCAACGAAATCCGTCCGAGAGAGTACTGGGACTACGAAAACTACAAAATAGAGTGGGGCAACATTGCCAACTACGAGATCATCTCCAAGATCGGCAGAGGAAAGTACTCGGAGGTGTTCACGGGCGTGAACGTGCTGAACAACGAGCCCTGTGTGATCAAGGTGCTCAAGCCGGTCAAGCTGAAGAAGATCCACCGTGAAATCAAGATCCTCAAGAACCTGACCGGAGGCCCCAACATCATCAAGCTGTACGACCTCATTCAGGACCACAACTCGAAGATCCCGGCGCTCATCTTCGAGAAGATCAACAACGTCGACTTCCGCGTGCTGTACCCGAAATTCACGCTCGACGACATCCGCTACTACTTCACGCAGCTGCTGCGTGCCCTGGACTACTCGCACTCGATGGGCATCATCCACAGAGACGTCAAGCCCCAGAACATCATGATCGACCCTCTGACAAAGACGCTGAAGCTGATCGACTGGGGGCTGGCCGAGTTCTACCACCGGGGAATGGACTTCAACGTGCGGGTCGCCTCCAGATACCACAAGGGTCCGGAGCTGCTCATCAACCTGCAACAGTACGACTACTCGCTGGACCTGTGGTCTGTGGGGGCCATGATTGCGGCCATAGTGTTCAAAAAGGAGCCGTTTTTCAAAGGCGATTCCAACACCGACCAGCTGGTGAAAATCGCCAAGGTGCTGGGCACAGACGACCTACACAAATACTGCAGTCGGTACGGCATCAAGCTGAGCAGCGACTACGACGACATCCTCATGACGTATCCGAGAAAGCCATGGAGACACTTTATTAATGAGAACAACAGGCACCTGAGCGAGAACCCTGCCGTGATCGATCTCATCGACCATCTCGTCAGATACGACCACCAGGAGAGGCTCACCGCGAAGGAGGCCATGGCGCATCCGTTTTTCCGCGGCTCATGAGGCTGGTGCTAATATAATCGTGTAGCCGACGCGTCGACGCAAGGTCGATTCCTAATTTGAAACATGCAAACTATAAAAATCCAAAACGGTAATTTAAATTAAAACAAGCCTCCCAGCTTATTCCTTTCTCCTCATGTCCGACACCCTCATCATCAAGTCCATCTCGTCCCACGACGTGTCGCTCAAGGACTGGATCCAGGTGCAGGAGAAGACGTTTCTGCGCTGGATCAATTCCAAGCTCCAGACCCACAACCACGCTCCTCTACTTTCTCTTACCGATCTTGGATCCGGCGTCGAACTGTACCACCTGCTCAACTCTCTTGATCCCGACTTCAACCTTCGTCCCATCTACCAACGCCCGAACCTCAAGTTCCAGAAGATGGAGAATCTCAATCGCATACTGGACTATCTCAAGCACCGTCAGAACCTCCAGATCCACAATATCGGCGCCGAGGACATTGTGGACGGCAACTCAAAGCTCACGCTCGGGCTGATCTGGCTGCTTCTGCTCAACTACACCGTTTTTGACAGCTCTGACGAGACAGACACGTTCAGCAAAAAGGAGCTTTTGCTCCGATGGTGCAAAAAGGTGACAGACTCATATGCCGACATCAAGATGACCAACTTCACATCGAGCTGGTCCAGCGGCCACGCTTTCTGCGCGCTGCTCAACTACTTCAAGCCAGACCTGCTGGACTACCAGAAGGCTGCGAAAATGACAAACCTGGACAGACTGGAGCTGGCCATGGCGGTGGCAGAGTCCGTGGGGATCTCGCGGCTGCTGGACCCGGAAAACGTCGACTGCGCGAAACCGGACGAGAAGAGCGTTGTGGCGTACGTGAGTCTGTTCTACGACCGGTTCAACAAGGAGCCCGTCAGAGACACCGTCGGCACGAAGACGCGTCTAGAGACGTTTTTGGGCGTGGTGACCGAGATCACAGGGCTCAAAACCGAGTATCTGGAGAGTCTGGTGCGGTTGATTGAGCGCATGCGGGAGACGCTGGACGCGATGCAGCGGCTGGGCGCCGACGTGGCGGCCAAGCAGGCGTTTTTAAAGAGTTTCAGGGCGGGCAAGAAGCTGCAATTCCTGGAGCAGTACTCGAGGCTCGAGTCGATGCGCAGCAAGATCAATTTGATGCTCGTGGAGTTCCACTTCAGCCGGCTGTCGGAGCCGCAGGGCCGCGCGTTGCAGGACGCGTTGGAGCTGCTCAAGAAGATCGTTGCACAGGAGCAGACGCTGAGCGGCGACGTGGCTGCGCAGCTAGCACGGTTGAAAGAGGACTCTTTCCGCAAGCTGCGCCACCTCAGCCACAACGTGAGCGCGGGGCTTGACCTGGTCGAGAACGACGTTGTGCAGCTATCGGACGTGGCCGAGGCGCAGATCAACGAGCTGCCCGAGATCATGGGCGATCTGCAGACCATGGAAAAGCTTTACGAGCGGCTGCGCGGCGCGAAGGAGGAGTTCTGTCGCAAAATGCAGGTGATGGACCAGAGTTTCGATTTCAAGGAGACGGAGCAGCTATACAGGGTGGAGGAATTAGGGTTTCGCATCAAGCTGGTGCGCCACATCATCGTGGACAAGCTGACGTTCATCGAGACGCAGCTCGACAAGAAAGAGCGCATCATCAAGCGGATGAAGACGTCAAGCGAGCTGAGCTCCGTGCAGCTGTGCCAGCTCGAGATGATCTTCGATAAATTCGACCAGGGCGACAAGATGTACCTGAACAAGAGCGAGTTCCGCGAGGCGATGACGTTCATCTACCCGTCTTTGAGCACCAGCGAGGCAGACAACTTATTTGAGTATCTCTATGCGTCCAGCTCCGACATCACACGAGGAGTAAAACTCAAGCAATTTCTGGAGATACCCGGGCTATTTGGCGAAAAGCCCAATAGAGAGAGCGAACTGGTGGACCTGACGAGCCGATTCTACTACGAGGCGTTTGAGGAGGCTAGCGGTGGCCGAGGACTGGTGGGAAAGGCTGATCTGGAGCGACTGCAGCTGGATTCCCGACTGGTGGCAGGCATAGAAGAGGTATTTGAGAGGGAGGACGACAGTTTCAACTACTCGCGGTTTTTCGACGGCGACGACACGCTGTTGGCCGGGCGGCCCGTGCAGCTAGATCGCGTGCTGGAAGGGCTCAGCAGCGTAAATATGGACGAAGGGTCTGTAGCGAATGACAGTTAACGAATAAATATGCATATTTTCATTATATTCCCTTTTGGGCAATCACAAAAATTTTTCCCCGCGGGCGAAAAAAGGCTGGCACGATTTTTATCCTGTGATCTTATTGATGTCTTTTCAGATCAATTGGGAGGCTATCGAAAAGCAGTCTTTCTCGTCGTACACGCGGGAGCTGCTCAACGAAGCCCTTAATTCGGGAAAGAGACCCAATATTCTGTCGTCCGACATCAAAATTGTCGACCTCAACTTTGGGCACATCTCGCCAGAGTTCGAGATCCTTGAAATCGGCGACCTGGCTCCGGACCGGTTCAGGGGCATCTTCAAGTTCAAGTACGACGGCGATGCGTCTGTGACGGTCAACACAAAGGTCAGCGCCAGTCCACTGAAAATATACAACAACAACATCTACGACGACCTGGTGGAGAAAAACAAGACGTATGCGAGAGACTGCAAACAGCTGGCCGAGTTTGTAAGTCCGCGGTTCAACGGTTCCGATTGCAACTTTGATATTCCGTTGAACTTGACACTGGGAAAGTTCAAGTTGAGCTCAATCATCATCATTGTTTTCAACAAAACAAAGGGACTCACGCTGGTGTTCAAGAACGATCCGCTCGAATCCATAGAGGTCAGCTCCACGTTCGACCGGATCAAGCCGATCGCCAAATTCCTGCAGAAGACCATCGAAACGCAGATTAGCGAGCTGTTCAAGGAGTTTCTGCCCAGCTATCTCTACAAGTTTAGTCTCAAGTACACCACACAGTCTCTTCTGCAATTTCACCAGGACTTGCTCAATGAGGAGCAGGATCTCCAGGAGAAGCGCGTTCTGCTGAAGGATGTCGATCCGGAGTTCCCGCTGCGTATTTCTCCGGGCAGTCTGATGCGTCTTACCAGAATCGCCAGCTCGAGACAGACGCTTGCTTTGGGCGGCTTGCTCTCTTGTGACCGCATGAACGACGATGTCGTTACCAAGAGTTTCGCTAACGCCATTCTGGCTGCAAGCAACACCCTGAGCTGGAATCGAATTCATTTGAGCAACACCGACATGCAGTTCGGATCTATGGGCGGCAAACTGGAAGTTATCAAAGACTTCCAGTCCAGGTCCTTCTTCAAGAACTCCCACGACGGCGTGAAACCGAAGAGGAGAGTCATCAAGCTGAACAAGTCCAAACAGTCTCCGCCACCGGAAGAATCGTTAGCAGAATCTACCGAGGAATCCATTCCAATGTCCGAAAGCAGTCCGCCATCTACAGCTTCTACGTTGGTTGAGGAGACTGTGGAGAAACCTCCCGAAACTCCAGCGTTCCCGAACAACAACTATCTGTCATCGCTGCAATTCAAACTGGCCAAGAAGTCAGAGCCGGGACCCCCAACTGCTTTCAAAGTGCCAGAAAAGCCCACGCATCACATCGACCAGCTTGAGCACCTCAAGATCCAGTCTCGCAGGCTCAAGCTGGAAAAACTGCTGGCCAACCACCACACAACGACGCCTTTTTACGACTCGCCGCCTCCATATTCTGTATAGTGAACACATATATTCAACGCGTATTATTTATCACACCCCAAACATTTTCTTTTGCTCGTCCCACTCCTCTTGCGTAAATACCTTTTGGGTGAATGCGTGGATGTTGCTAATCTCCTCTTTTAATGCCCCGTTGACCATTCTATGTCTCATTAGTTTGTTCTTTCCCCTGAACACATCGCTGACAATGATCACCGCAAAAGCCTGTCCGCAGCCGCCTGACATGTCCTGGACCTCCACCTCGGTGGCCTGGAGCCGTTCTTTTATGATTTGCGTCAGTTTATCTGCTGTGAGGTCCATAAAAATAATAAAAAATGTGGCTAAAAAATAATTAAATTAAATCTTATTTTTTCAATGTCTTCTCCCGCAAGATTTCAGCGAGTCGTGGCTGGAATCCAGAAACTGTATCCCATAGCGTATGCAGATAGCTCCTGGGACAACACCGGGCTGCTGGTGGACGCTTCAGGGGTGAATAAGAGCGATAAGTTCCATATTCTCCTGACGGTCGACCTGACCCAGTCTGTGGTTGCGGAAGCGATCAAAGCTCGATCGTGTCTTGTGCTGGCGTACCATCCTTTTATCTTCCGCGGCCTGAAAAGCATCACTCCGAATGATCCCCAGCAGAGCTCGCTGATAAAGCTGATCCACCACGGAATATCCGTGTACTGCCCCCACACGTCTGTGGACGCAGCCAAGGGTGGAGTGAACGACTGGCTGGCGCTCGCGTTGGGCGAGATAAAGGAGAAGTCCGTGATCGAAAAAAACACCGCCGAGGAGGACGTCGGGATGGGCAGACTAGTGACCCTGTCGCGCGCCGCCAGTCTCAATGAGCTGGTGCCAAAAATAAAAAAACACTTAGGAATCAACCATCTCCAATTGGCTACGAAAAAGGACCCGGACACCGCGGCCATCACGACCGTCGCCGTGTGTGCCGGGTCGGGAGGGTCTGTTTTCCGGAACGTGGATGCCGATCTGTATCTGACGGGAGAGCTGTCGCACCACGAAGCTCTGTATTTCAAGGAGAAAGGCTCTAGCGTCGTTATCTGCAACCACTCCAACACAGAAAGGGGGTTTCTTTCCGTGCTGAAGGAGCAGCTGGCCCGCGAGCTTGACGATCCGGAAATAGTCATCGACATCTCTGCCACCGACAAGGACCCGTTTGTAGTCGTGTAGCGCCGCTGTCGGGCCGCACCTATCTATATACGTCTGCTTTGCACCGGCAGAAGCCAAAATATATATAATTTGCCACACCTCACCCCCGCACCAAGCGTACATATCTTGCAAAGAATTACAACTTTTGCAAGACTACACATGTCGGAGCTGCCGTCCGACTCGTCGCAACAAACTGGCCATATTGTGCACACGAGTCTGTCTTCAGCGCCGTCGCCGGAAAGCATTCACAAGGTCAGGAACCCGCTGTCGAAACTCAGCAAGGCCGCATTCCATCGACCTACGACACCACCTGCTCCCTCAGAATCAACAGTCGGCGCATCGAGGGATGCCGACTTTATCCCCATGTCCAAGCAACCGTCACGTCTATTCAAAATCACCAAGAAGGCCGGCAAGCTCGCCACAGAGCTCGCCAGCGACCTTGCCTTTGGCACGTACAAGGACGACCAAGTAGACCCGCGGTTCGAGGAGTACAAGCTCAGGAGACTGCACGAGCGAACCGCAAAGTACAACTCCGACGTCGAGAAGGTCAAACAGGAGATCAACGAGAAGGGCACCGAGGTGTATTTGGATCACCTGAGGTTCTTCCTCAACTACATGGACCAGAGCGAGTTCAACGACCCGATCGACTTTGCCATCACCAGAAGAGACCTCTGGCTCAACTGGTACAAACAGTTCCTCATCAACTTGCGTGACGAGGTCGAGGACTACGAGAAACTTGTCGAGGAGCGCAAGGAGGTGCTCTCGCATCCCGAATCAGCATATCAGCACATCAAGCACGATGCGGACTACCGACTGAAAACCAAGCTCCACGAACTCTCGTCCATTTCGCAGCCGGGACTTATTCAAAGCCTGCAAAGTTCCATGTTCAACGACAAGCGGGTGGTGCTCCTGCTGCTCTGGTTTCTGCAAATCATCAAGAAACTGCTAAATCAGCCCACCATGATCAACAGAGAGGTGCTGGAGGCTCTGAAAAATTTCCAGGACACCGTCGACCCGTCGCTCGAGGCAGAGCTCTGCGAGGTGTGCGTCGTCACGAGCAACAAAATGATATCCAGCAACCTGAAAGACACGCCGACCGAGGAGATCCAATACATAGCAGAAGGCTCGATTCTGGGCGCACACGTCGAGTTTCTCAACGGGTGGCAGGTCAGACACGACAACCCGCAATTCCATACAAACTTTATAAGTGTGACAGACAGTCTTCGAAAGGTCATTGACCGCACAAACAAGGGCCAGCTTCCGGAAATCTACGTCGACCAGTATCCGAATTTCGACCATCCAATTCTTGACGACCAGTTTTACGAATACCATCTGAGCAGAGACGAGAAAAAGTTCGCCGAAGAGTACTCTTCCTTCACCACCATCGCCAGCGACGTGCTGCCCCTGCGCGACGCGTCCCAGTCTTGTGTCTGCTGTCCGGACTTCGCGCTCACCGTGACAGAAAGCAATCTCAAATCGACGTTTGCCGAGTTCAAAAGAGTGCTCAAACCAAACGGGTATCTCCAGCTGTATCTGTGGGACGTTGAGAACGAGCCAAGCGACCCCAAACACCAGACCGACAGCGAAATTCTGCGCCAGTGCGTGTGGAGACAGCTAGCACAGTACAATAAGGCTCGCAACAGCGTGATCAGCAATATCAGCTCCCAGGCCGTTCCCGTGCTGCGGGAGCTGGGATTCAAAAAAATCCGTTTCTGCAACATCGGCTACCCTTTAATATCCACCCTGTCAGAACACACAGACATAGCAAGCATGATGCAAACGTCGGACTCTGACCGCACGGCCTCAACCGCCTCCACGACCCAGCTGGGCTACAAGGACCCGCGTGTCAATGCGTTTTTTGAGTTCTACTCCAACTACATCGAGTTCCTTATGTTTGCCAAAATCCTCTCTGTCTTCCAGCTGGTAGAGACACTCAAGTACCAGGCCGCCAAGGAAAATGTCACCAAGCTGGGCGACCAGGAGACCCTGGACCTGATCAAGCTGTTTATCGACTACAAGCTCAACGGGTGCGGTGGAAAGGTGGTGCAGAAAAAATTCCCATACCTTCCTGCTCGGCAGGAAGCTGTCAGAAGCGAGGGAGTGGGCTACTCTGTGGTTTTAATCGCAGAAAAATAACAGGCTAGGTTTCATTAAACATGTTCTTCGTTTTGCGCTCGAATGCGTCTCAGTAGTCGCTCCTCTTCAGAGTCTTCTTCCGACTCCGGCTCGACCTGCGAGATTTGGCGGATATCGTGCACCACAGGGTCTCTTCTCCTGTCCCCACGGAGAATTGGCCGTGAAACCAACGAGGTTGGAGGCACGATCATCTGTTTCGGACTGTAGATGTACACGTCGTCCGGCAGGTACGCGTTGGAAGCGGTGGCGTGGAGTTCTTTTTCTTTCAGCGACTTCTTGAACTTGACAAATTTCGGCTTGAGATTGAACCGCTTGGAGTATCGCGAGTCTGTCTCCTCAAACAGCTGGCGACCCAGCACTCCCTGTTTCTGGCGGAATTTGTCCAGCTGGTACATTCGGTTGAGCCACTCCCAGGTGACCACGTTGACGAGCAGCGAGCAGGTGATGTTGAATATCTCGGCGAGCCGACTGACCCACGGGTTGGCCAGGTCGGCGATGTAAAATGCGACGGCCGCGTTTGCGCAGAGCTCCATGAGCAACGTCAGGGGCAGCACGGTTGGCTTGAAAGCAAGGTCTTTGCGGGAAATGGCGTACACTTGCAAGAGACAGTCGTATAGCACCGAGAGCGATATTCGCAGCAGATACATCACCACGGGTAAGATCACAAGCGCGATGTTCTCGTCTGCAGAGCTGTTCGCCTTGGACGCCAGCGTTGAGGCTGCCCAGATGATTTGCGAGATGATTGCAAGGCTAACTCCGACCACCAAGATCAGCTGCCGTTCTCTTTTTCGAGAGAACATTTTTTTGATCACCTCGATCTGCGTCAGAAGCAACAGAAAGTAGCTTATAATGTACACGATGTTGAAGCCAAGCGAATTGGTGATGGATTCGACCAGCTCCAAAGCCGAAACGTGTCCTTTGGCGTTCTGTCTGGACAGGTAGATAAGCGAGTAGATGTAGATGGCCATCAGCTGTCCGGTAGCGAGCAGGGTTGATATCTTCATGATCCAGGTCGGCTTCAGAGACCTGATGTGATGCTTGTTGAAAAGAATCGCTGTGAGAAACACCGCGAAAACAGCAGCCGTGCTGATCACAAAGATCGTAGGGTATACGGAGTCGCGAAACACCACAGACGGCGACGTGTTCTGTTCGTCCACGTACTCTTTCCAGCTCTCCTCAAAAATCGGCATTCTTGGAACGCCTATCTTGGTCAGAAACGTGTTTGTAGTGTACAGCACCGGTTGCTCTGAGACGCACAGGTGGTTGAAGTACGAGTCTTCGTCAACGGCAAAGACGCCGCTCTCCGACACTATGTAGCCCTGCCACAGCTCGATACTGTCGCATATCGCGTAATCGGCCGCCTTCTGCGGATTTCTCCAGAGCACTAATTTGCGATGGGCCTGGCCCGTGTCATCTAAAAATCGCATTTATTTAAGGTTTTTTATTTTAATTTTTTCCTTTGTCAAATGGACACGGAAGTCTCATTTTCCACGCCGAACCTGGTGGAGGAGCACTCTGACGCGCTGGCGCGTCACAACTCTGACGGCGGATATAGCTTGATAGATTACTATGCGGAAAACCGCAGGGAGGAGCCGTTCACGCTGGTGAACCCGCCTCATAGAAAGACCTTGACACGAACAGAGTCGATCCAGTCGCTGAAGAAGTCGCGAACGTCGCTGGAGCGGGTCCAGAGCAAGATTGGCGAGTCGATCCACCAGGAGCCAAACCGTTTGAACGCGATTCTCGCCAGCGACAGAGACAGGTACGGGTTTCGCAAAAGCAACCACTATGTCAAGATCGAGGACTACGACGAATGGTGGACGCGGTACTCGCAGTACCTGTCGCGGAGAAAAAAGAAGTGGGAGAAGCTGATGGCGAAAAACGGACTGCTGGTCGCCAAGAAGGGCAGTCCGACCAGGTTTCCGGCCCGGTCTGAGGAGCTGCGACGCTACGTTCGCAAGGGCATTCCGGCAGAGTGGAGGGGCGACGCCTGGTTCTATTTCGCCAAAGGCTACGACAAGCTGAAAGATAATAAGGGCGTTTACGACAAGCTGGTCGACGAGACCATGAACATGATCAACGAAAATACAGAGGCTATTGAGAAAGACCTGCATCGAACGTTCCCGGAGAACGTTCATTTTAACGACATTACGCGCAACGGGGTTACCGAGGAAAGCCCGTTGCTGCAGACCCTGAGACGTGTGCTCAAGTGTTTCTCCAAGTACAGACCCTCGATCGGTTACTGTCAGTCGCTTAATTTTATTGCCGGGTTATTGCTGGTATTCTTGGACGAGGAGCGCGCCTTTTGGATGCTGGTTATTGTGACCGAGAGATACCTCCCTGGGATTCACGAGTTCAATTTGGAAGGAGTCAATGTGCACCAGGGCGTGTTGATGCTGTGTTTGAGACAGTATTTACCGAACGTTTGGGCTCTGATCAACGAGAGTTCGCATTCCAACAACAACTCGTTTCTGTACGAACTGCCCACGCTGTCGTTCTGTACGACCAGCTGGTTCATGAGCATTTTTGTCGGTGTGCTGCCGATCGAAACAACCTTGCGGGTGTGGGATTGTCTGTTTTACGAGGAGTCGAAAGCGATTTTCCAGGTTAGTCTGACGATATTCAAGCTACTGGAGCCCCAAATGCTTGATCTCAGCCACAAGCGGTCGGAGGACGACGGCATTTTGAGCGCAGAGCTTTTCCAGATGATCCAGAACGCGCCGAAGCGGCTATTGGACGCCAATGCGCTGATGGAGGAATGTTTTAGATTCTCGAGCTTCAGCAAGCTTTCGCAGGAGGAGATTCTAAACTGCAAAAAATACGTCATCGAGAGCCGCAGCAGGTACAACGAGCTGATCAAGCGGCGCAGTGCAGTTGGCATGGACGAACAGGAACGTAAGGAGCTGATGCGCACTGCTGTTCTCCTAGAGAACAAGCAGATCGGACTCAAGAGCATGAACTGGAACGGTCGTCTAAACAGCCGTATGCGGCGTATCCAGCAGCGTATCCGCTAGGCTGGTCCACCTGGCCGCGGCACCAGCACGTCCAGACTCAGATACCCGCTTCTTCGAGGACTCACGAATTCGACTGGGATGTCTCGTTTCTTCAGATCAGCATTGATATCCCGGATGTATATTTCTAGTTCGTCTGCATACGTTTTGTCCCATCGTAGTCTTGACAAAATTCCGAACGTAAGGGTGTCCAGTAGCAGGTAGGGGCCCCATTTCCAGGAATACTGGCTCTCCAGTAATTTGTTAACCTTAGCAATGACTTTCTCCGCCTCCTCTCGCTCCAGATACAAGGCCAAGGGTGTTCCGAGGTCTGTGCCGAACCATTGGCCGTCGACCTGCACTTTGGGCTCGAAACGGTCGTATTGGTCGAGTTCGAATTTTGGATGGTCGACCGTCGCGACGCGGGCGATTCTAATTACTCTTAAATTTGTATCGTTCGAATAAACGTTAGGAAAGTGCGTCACTTTTGCGTCCCCAACAGAATATACGTGATAATTGAGCATGAGTGCTGTTTCCGAGCTGGAATTCGCCAATAAATTCCAAAGCTTGATAAAGTTTGTCTGTCCAGAGAGAACAAGCAGGGAAATAAAATACACAAACGTAAGTACATCGCCAGATGGAAAAAATGCTAACTCCAGTGTGGATTCGGACATATAAATACTCCAGTGTTTTACCGTGGCGGCGAGCGGTCCACCGTCAGCGTGACGCTCAAGTCTCTTCGTGCTCCTAAATTCGAGCACGAATTCAAATTCGATTCCACCACTTCAATTTACAAGGTCAAGGAGGAGCTGGCAAAAAAGATTGGCAGCTCTCCGGACTACCTCACATTGATGCTCAAGGCAAAGACCGTCCACGACGAGGACTTGCTAGAAAAATACGCCACGGAAGGAACGCTGAAACTGAATGCCATAGTGAAAGCCAAGCCAGAAACTGCAGAAACGACACACGAAACTGCCAAGCCTACGTCTGGCCTGTCGCCCGAGGCATGGGCTAAGATCTCGCAGATTCTGGAGTCAGAGATTTTCGACGAGACTGCCAGGAACGAGTACCTGCAGAAGCTAAAAAGAGTGAGGTTGTGATCACCGGCTTAATTAGTGAGTATTCAAGGTGTTGCAGACACAATGTTACGTTGAATGAGCCTTAGACGTAGTCCGGTTCTGGGCTCTGGTCTCTTGTCACTCGGTGGTTATGTTCACGCTAGGCCTTCTTTTCTGGTCTTGCCCACGCTACCTAATCCCTGCCAGGTCAGCCAGTGGCTTTTTATTACATAGCTGTGAAAAATTCAGACTCGTTATTTGTAGCTGTGAATACTCCAGGCTTATTATTTGTAGCTGTGAACATTCTGACCGCTATGCGTCGATTCGAAAGAAGACATGAATTAGATGCATAGTCAATTTCTCTCATTGATGAATTTGCAAGTTATGAGGCATGGTCCACGATACCCATTGAGTTTTGGGAAGCAACATCGACACGTGCGATATCATCGGAAGAGCATCTGGTTAGTACTTGTCCAAATCACGCCGCGTATTTTCATGGCTTGCAAAGCCTCAATGGCTACCGAGCTCCTGAAAATCAATATCGGATGTCTTTGGCAATCTCATCTTCGAACGCATATTTTATGTGTCCATTTTATTTTTATATTTTTTGATCTGGACATGGTATGGCCCAATCTAATACACTAACTCTGCTCCATTTCGGCGCAGGTAACCATGCAGAAAATCCCGAAAAATTCAAGCGTTTGTTCAAAAAGGCCCTGAAGTCGAGATGTCCACAGCCGAACGGAACAGACAACGTTGTCTCACAGATTCGCCAACTGATCGCCGTTTCCTCAGTCATAGAGGACAGCTCGCTGACCAACACAGGAGTGACGTCCTCAATTGCTCGAGATGGATCAATCCAGTCCGATTCAAGCATTTTTATCTACGACCGAATAGCTAAAAAACACCATCAATCGTCGCTATTAGCTAACACGGCAGCACGGCCCATTGCTGAATGTGCGAATCAGTACTTTGCGCAGCAGAAAAAAAACGATCTTGGGCTCACACCCCCGGTGACCCTCGTGGGGGTGACCGACCACGATATCAAGATTAGTGACCGCATGAGCCAACTTTATGAAAGGTACAAAAACGAACTTGACCAAATAGATTCAATCGAGAAAAAAATAGCCTCCTCCATAATCACAGACACCATCGGCGTCTCGGTGATTGACAAATACACAGCATCCACTGGAGTCTCGTCGGGCGGCAGTCTGTTCAAAAAACCCGGAAGAATAGGATGTTCGGGCATAATCGGGGCCGGCTGCTACACTGCACAAAAAGACGGTGCCCTGGTTAATGTTCTCTGTTCAGGAAACGGCGAGGACATCATCCAGATGGACCTTGCGCGGTCTGTGTGTCGCCACATTCTTGCCAATTGCCACCGCGGACACCTCGTATGCGATCTTGCAGCAGAGGCGGTTTACGACGCAGCGCAGGAGGTGGATCTGCGGGCCCTGGACGACAATTTTAATCCGAGGCTGTATGTCGGAGTAGTTGGCTACTTTGAGTCGCCGGACCAGTTCCAGACGGTTTTCTATTTCCACACCACGGAGACATTTGTGTTTGGCTACGCCACAGGCCTGTCCAGTGAATTTTGTTTCAGCAGACGCCCGAAATTACAGGCTGCCACCAAAGGTCAAATGTACGTTAAGTAAATAATAGAAATTCCGTGGCTGGTGATATTTGAGGCGAAACTTTTGCACAAAAATATTCTGTGGCTAATAATTGTTTTGCGTCTCTTGATGGACTTGTCCAGACTACTCCCTGACTCTGGACATTTTTCCAGCCTTTTCGAACGTGAAGAGGTGGGACAGGAAACCTACACTCCCGACCAGCGACATCTGATCCGAATATGCTCCATCAGCTCCTCGTCCACCTCCATAGTCTGTGGACTGGTTGCCTTCTACACTCTGGGGATGATACACCCTAAAAGACGAATGTTCCGCCACGTCCTGGTTGCCATACTGATTGCCTTTGACTTTCTCAAAGCCATAATGTTGCTGGTATATCCAGCAAGGTCCGAAAACACCTCCGAAGGGTCTGTGCAAAACACTAAATTCCTCAACGCGATAGGATGGCTAACATGCTTCAGCATCGAGGGCGCCGACCTCATCATCGTCTGTTTTGCTGTGCACATCGCGCTTCTGATTTTCCGTCCAGCTGTTTCCCAGCACTCCAATGGCGAAGGCGGTCTTCACACGGTCCGAAACTATGTCTACATCTTGACGTTTCTTATTCCCGTGATTCTCAGCTCAGTCACGTTCGCGGGACACAAGCGTTACATAGACCAGGTCAGCTGGAGTTACATGGAGCCGCTTTCCGCGGTCTGGTATCTGACCTGGATCATCCGGTATTGTATTGCCATCCTGATCGTCACGATCTACGTCTCCGTCTATTTCTACGTGATGCGCCAATACAGGGCTGTGAGCAGCAATATGGACTTTGTGAGCCATCAGAAACGCGGTTATGTGTCTGAAGTCCTGGGAGACTCGCTCATGTACAAACTGGGCCAGCTGCTACTAATGCTAGTTTTCCCAGACGTGCAAATCAGTGCCAAATTGCATGGGAAGGACCTCAACACCGACACAGACATTGAAAACATGGACAGTCTCCGCCACCACGACCCAGAACTCGCGGATTACCATCTTCCACAGTCTCCACAGCCGCCGAAGCCGGACCGCTCGAGACACGACATGGGATTGGATATCCAGCAATTGCTGCACGAAGAAGCAATGGAACGACTGCGAATACGACAATTGCAAATTATGCGCCAGATGAAGGTGGTGTTCATCTATCCCGTGTCCTATATGCTACTATGGCTGTGGCCGTTTGTGGCCCAGTGCTACCAGCTACAACGAGGCCGTCGAGCATACTACCATTTGTGGGTATTCTGCATCTCCTCCTTCTTCCAGGCGTTCAACTGCACCATCGACACCTTGGTGTTCCTGTTTAGGGAGCACCCATGGGACCTACGAGCCAGCAAAGTGGACCCCTATGCTGAATATAACTACTGCTGGCTCCGACGCAAGCTCTCTTTTCTTCCTGGCTACAGACTCGGCCGCGCCACGACGCTGGACGCCAACAAGACTTCCAGGCCGAACGTTGATCACCACGGCTCGCAGTTCGACGTGCACGCTTCCGACTCCAGATCCAGCTCGATCATGGTCCCCAAAGAAAACTCGCACAATAATCCTGTCAGTCTGGCGGATTTTCTCAACTCCTCTGCCCCGAAAAGCTCGCAAGCAACGGCAAACCCTTCGACACGACGCAGCTCCAAGTTCAGCTGGCGCGCGTTCTCGCACATAGGCTCGTTGACCGAGTCCAACCACTCTGATGAACATAAGGATGCGCCCAAAGAGCAGGACTTGCGCAAAGGCAGCGTAACCAGCGGAAATACGTCCTCCACAGACGACAACGTCGAGATGGACCTGATATATTTCCTCAAAGAAGGGCGCCCATGACGATATATGCAACTTTTTAGCTTTTAATGAACCAATTTTTTTATCTCTACTTAGCTTATCTGGGTATTCCTCTTCCTCTGCCCATCGGCTGTTGAGGCTGAGGCTCGTTAGGCTCATTCTTGATCGTCTCGTCAACGCTCAGCACCAGAACGGCGGCCTCTGTAGCGCTCTGCAATGCATTCATCTTCACCAAAGCTGGCTCCCAAACAAATTTCTCGAAATTATTACTGACGGTCTCGCTCTCAAAGTCCAGTCCGTACCACGCCTCCCCCTTGGAGTGCTGTGCTCTAAGGTTGTTCAAGAGATCAGTTCCGTCGAGACCCGCGTTCTCACACAGCTGTCTAGGAATCACCTCCAAAGCCTTAGCATACGCCGCGATGATAAGCTGCTGTTTTCCAGCAATCTGTCTAGAGTAGTTTCTCAGGTGTTTGGATAGCTCCATCTCTATGGCTCCTCCTCCAGCCACCACGGCGTTGTGCTTCAAAGCCCTCTTCACGATCATGATGGCGTCGTGCAAAGAACGCTCGACCTCGGCAATCACCTGGTCGGCTCCTCCTCTCAGAATTATGGTACAGGTCTTGGCAATCGGACAGCCTTCAAAAAGGTTATATCTTTCTCCACCTATCTGGACTTCCTCGAATGTTTCACATGAGCCCAGATGCTCAGGCTTGATGTCTGAAACCGTCGTCTGGATCGACCCTCCGACGGCATGAACCACTCTTTCCATGTCCTGGGCAGGAATTCTACCGGCACAGAATATGCCTCTATCAGCAAAATACTGGGTCGCCAGGTCACCGATTGGCAGCTTCGAGAGCACGATGTTGGCTCCGGTAGCCACAATCGCGTCCAATTTATTCAGAATAATTTTCCACTCTGCGTCCACAATTTCCTGGTAGTCTGCCACCTTGTCGATCCTGACCTCTGCATTATCTTTTTCTGCCTTCAATTCCAGCTCCACATTCAAGGACAGAATCCTTGGGTTGCTGAACTTCTTTGGCTGCTGCTCGAATCCGGCATACGAAAAGGCCTTCTTGAAAGCGACACCGTGAATCAGTCTGGACTCGTCCACTGATCCACCCGCAACCTTCTTGATTCCAATCAGATCTTCGTCTAGATCGTCTCTGTCCAGCACCAGCACAGCATCAACGGCCATTTTGGTGAACAGCTCTTTGTTGTTCTGGATGATTTTGGAGGACATGGCTGTTTGAGCACATCTTTCCAAGAGTTGTCTCATCTCTGCGTCACTGTGATCGGTCGCCAGTTCCACCTGGAGCTCCCTGATTTTCTCACATGCAAGGTCGCAGGCTTTGCGGAAAGCCTTGATGATCACATGCGAAGGCATACCCTCTTCAATGAACTGCTTACTCTCCTTCAGAAACTCGGCAGCCAACAAGGCCACAGAGGTAGTTCCGTCTCCAACTTCGGCATCCTGCGACCGAGAGATATCCACCAGAATCTTAGCAGCGGGATGGACCACATCCAGGAGTTTCAAGATGGTGGCTCCGTCGTTCGAAATCGTCGTACGTCCGTTGTTCACAATCAGAATATCTGATCCTAACGGACCCAGCGTGGCCTTCAAAGTCTCCTGGATCGCCACGCACGCGTTGATGTTCGAGATAATCTGGCCACGGCCCTGCGAGGTGTCCGTGCCTTCTTTCAGCACAACTATGGTAGGAGTGGACATGAATAAAAATGGCGAATGAAGAAATATTTGAACAAATATTCGAACAAATATTTCGCGTCGACGGCTTTTCTTCATCTGCGTCGCGTCGATCGTCTATATACATTATATCTTCCACACACCTATGCTACCGTTGTCCCGGCCTTCCACCAAATAGCTATCCGTGTAGCGGCAGAAAGTCACTGTTCCAGAGCCCTTGGCCACGTCCGTGTGAGCCTGGTCAATCCGGTCGTACAGCTTCACCGTCTCCTCGCCTGCAGCACATGCCACCCGTTTCTCGTCAAACTGCAACGACCGGATCTCGTGGCCGTACGCGAACGAGTCCATCAACATCCCGGTTCTCAAGTCCCAGATCCGCACCGATCGGTCCCGCGACCCCGTCACAATGCTGTGCTCATCAAACTGCAGGCACGTGACGGCGCTCGTGTGACCAACAAGCTGGCGGATGATCTCTCCGCTACGCAGATCCCACAGGCGAACAACGCCATCGCCCGTTCCGGACGCCAGGGCAGCGTCGTAGCACTGCAGCGCACCGATATGTGGGGTCCCCATTTTGGCCGGCGCCTGCTTCCAGCTCCTCGAAGCCGCCCACATCACGTCGATCGTCTGGATGCACTGGCCGGTAGCCATGTCCCAGTGTCTGATGGTTTTGTCGGCCGAGCCCGACACAATCGCCGAGCCCGACATGCTCACGGCCGTGATCTCGTCCATGTGTCGCTCAAAAGTATGCAATAGCGGCTCTTCCTCGCCTACCTTGGTGTAATCCCAGAGTCGCAAGGACGCATCCAGCGATCCGGTCAAAACAAGGTCCCTTTCCATCGCCAAGCACTCCACGCTCGACAGATGGCCCTCTAGTCTTCCAACGCACTCGTTTCTATTCAGATCCCAGACCTTGACGGTGTTGTCGAGCGAGGCAGACACAAGAGTGCCAAATGGAGCGTCGAACGCAAAACAGGTCACTGCGTCGTCGTGGGCCTCCAATCGCACTATCTCGCTCCCGGGACTGTAGAACTGGTTCAGCGTCGAGGCGTGTTTGCGAATAGGGGCCGGCTCTCGAACGGCCTCGTCCATTGTCTGGGCGCCTTTGTTCTCGAGGCTTTTCTCCACTATCCGGAGCAGTTTCTCCAGATCTGACTCCTCCTTCTCGTACTCTGCCACACGGTCAAACATCTTCTTGCGCAAGCGATACAGCTGCTCGATTTTGGCGTCGAGCTCCTTGATGTCGCTCTCGGCAATGCCTTTTCTGATCTCCAGCAGATCCAGCTTGTAGTTCACGTCGTCCTTGTATTGGTGCAGTTGCGCAACGCTGGTTGTCGACTTGATGGTGTCAGCGTTCAGTCCCGCGGCTAGTCGCTTCGAGGGCGCAACTGCTTGCTCCAGGTCTGGCAAGATTGCACTAAACCCCTGGTATAAGGAGAACACAGTGTCCTCTTCGTCCTGCGTGGGGATCTCTGCCAGCAGCTGGTCGCTCACTATCTCCAGCCCGTCGTTGCGCGTAGTCTTGGACCGCCTGACAAGAGAGACACTGGTCCTTGCGTTCTCAGCATGCCTTTTCACGAGTTTCTGGCTCTTGTGGCCCCCAAAGGTGGACAATGCGTCTTTGTACGTCTTGTTGTTGAGCAAGCCCGCCTGGTCCTTGCTCACCAAAACCGACGCCGTCGTCGTCAAAGACTTGATCTGATCCGACATGGAAAGTACAAGTGAGAATATTTAAAATCTTTTTAAGTTTACGCACTTTTTTCGCTCGCAAACGACAAACTAGGGTATATTACATTTGGCACAGCACTCAGCTCTGGTCCTCCGACAGAGCCGCCAGCTCTGCCTCCTCCTTTTCGATCAGTCCAGCGGCATCCTCGCCGTCCTCGGACGCCACAGCCACCACCATTTCGCCCTGGACTCCTCCCTGGACCCCCAAATGGTTCCATATCACAAGCTCGTCCTGCATGGCCTCCAGCGCAGTTCTGTACTCGTTGAGCGCGGCCACAGCGCTCGTGGCCTCGTTAAGGTTTTCCTGAATCGCGTTTCTTTGCGACTCTTCGATTTTGTAGATAGATGCGTACTGCAGTAGTCGTTGGTACATCAGACTGAGCCGCACCATCGCGTCCTCGTTTGAATCGTCTTTGATCTGCTCCAGAGCGCTCTTCACGGCCGCCAGTTGTGGTACACTGCCCTCCTCCACGTCTAACTGTGCCAGTGATTGACCCTTGAGCAAGATTAGCTCATCTTCCTGGATGTCGCGTATCTGTTGCGTGGTGTCAAGCGATTCCAGCAGAGAGTTACAGAAGATCCCTCCAGCACGGTAGTAAAGCGTCTGGATCGACTGATTTATCTCGTCCATGCGCCGTAAATTTGTTTCCAAAACACTCATAACAAACACGAAGGATCAAAATAGTAAAATAATTTCATGCTCTAAATATTATTTAATCATCTCGCCAGCTCACAAAAACCTCGTCCGTTCTAAACCTTTGAGTACAGACGCTCTGGCCCAACGAGGTTCTTGTGCCCGTTCTGAAGGCAAGAAGCCCGGCATGGGCAATCATGATCCCGTTGTCGATGCAGAAGCGTTCGTCTGTAGCATATATGCTACCATTTCTGTCCTTGGCCATCAAGCCCATCATCTCCTGCAACCTTTCGTTGCACCCAACCCCGCCAACTATCAGCACCTCGCGCGAGCCAACATGGGCCATGGCTCTCTCTGTGATCTCTACCAACATCGCAAAAATGCATTCCTGGAGCGAAAAACACAGATCCTCGACCGTCACCTTGCTGCCGTCCGCGCGGATCAGTTGTTTGTTCTTCTTTCCTTGGAAAAGATCGTGTGCCAGACTGTCAACGTATTCCAAGATCCCACTCATGCTGAGATCCATGCCTTTTACAGTATATGGTAGCTCGACCAGATGGCGGCCTTTCTTCGCCAACTGCTCAATGTTGTATCCGGGGGAGGGAGCATTAGGGATCCGCAGCGTCCTTGCAAACCGATCCAGACAGTTTCCAACGGCAATGTCCAGTGTTTCTCCAAATATCCTGTACCGTTGCCGCGAATACGCAATAACTTGAGTATTTCCTCCGCTCACATACAACACAACGGGATTCGTGGCTCCTGTGATTTCTCTGCCCATTTCTATATGTCCAATACAGTGATTCACTCCCACAAGAGGCAAGTCCCACATCTGAGCAATCGTTCTCGCAGCTATCACAACACTCTGTAACGGAGCACCCATTCCTGGTCCTTGCGTGAAACAGATACAGTTGAGCTGATCAGGACGTATATTTGCCTCTTGCAACGCTTGCTTGATCAGTCTAACCACCCAATTTCGATGGTGTCTAGCAGTGTCCCTGGGAAGAAAGCCTTCTCCCGGAGGCGTCACGTAAGTATCTCGCACATTAGAAAGCACATTAGCATGGTTGTGGGCGGCAATCTTCTCTAGCGGATGTTCAATCACGCCGACCCCCAATTTGTTGGCCGAACCTTCCAGACCCAAGGAATAGTAAGGCATATTTGATTCAAATTTTATTTTTCTTGAATTAATAACTTTTGTGTCTATTTTACAACAAAATATATGTTGTATATATTAATACTAGAACGTGATTGTTCTTTTACACGAGGCCAACGGCCAGAGCCTTGATCTTGCTCTTTTTGAAACTCTCGTCATCCTCCAACACCTCCTGCTGCACCTCCGCTTCTGGCAAACGGTCAATGCCTTTGATTTTGTCCTTAATCTTCAAAACGGTTATCCGAATGGCAGCACAAGCAAATCCAATCAGACAGCCACCAACAGGAGCAATCACAAAAGCACCGAAAGCACCCCAATCTTCATCGGAGTAAATACCGTTCCAGACCAAAAGCAGACGTGCACCTTCTTTAGCGTTGCCGTAATAAATTGTACCATAGATGAAAACTGCAACCAACGCTCCAAGACCACCAACCATCACATCAAGCCCACGCAAAAAGTCAAATCTCTTGGAAAGGCCTAGGAAAATGATTGGAATCACCGACGCAGAAACCAGATCGGCAATCAGATAAATCTGAAGAACATTCGTGGCGGCTTTCACTGCCACAACGATCGAAGGCACCATGACAAGAATGACGATGAATCTCACCCATATGATGTTGACTTTGTTTCTGAAAATGTCATTTGAGATCGAAGATGTGGTGGCACTCTGCAAAGAGTCGAATGTGGCAGTGGAAATGCCAATCGAGAAAATAAGAATCACACCAATGATCCAGTTATCCATCTTGGAGACAAGGATAAAAAACGCGTTGCTTCCATTCTCATCGTACACTTGCATGTCTCCGGTCCACACAGCGAGAATACCAGGAAGACCAACAAGCGTACAGACGACACCTGCCACAACGGCAGCAATGGAAGCACCTATGTACAGATCTTTATCTGTCTTGGCCGCAAACGTTCTGAGCCAGAATCCAGAGAGGAAACAGTCATTGGTAATGATGGCAACCGGAAGAATATACAGAAGCATCCATCCCAACTTGTTTGCATGCAGTAGTTCGCCTTCCGTGGCATGCTTGAGGTCCATGTCGATGTGGATACTGGTGGCATAGCCGATAACACCAATAACCAATAAGACTAGGACAAACGCCGCCTGGAAGGAGTCCGTGATGAAAGACACGTGAAAACCTCCCAAGAAGGTATATATCGTAGTGACCACACACTGAACCACCATGGCCGGCGTGGCATCAAGACCAGTTAATGCCTCGATGGCGTACTCAATAGCCGTCAGTTCAGACAACATAAAGAGGAACATGGTGAAAATAGTGAATGCCGACAGATACAAAGCAGTGACAGGTCCGAATCTTTGGAAAACCCATTCGGTAAGCACGAACCCTTCAGGACACCGTCTTCTGATCATAGGACCAAAAAGAGAAAACAAGAAGATAGGAATGGCTCCAGAAACGGTGTAGACCAAAAGACCGTGAATCCCGGCAATGTTGGCAATCTGGGTATATGTGGTCAAGATTCCACATCCCATAGCTAAAAGAGTTAGTACTAGGAACAATAGTTCGCTCCTATTTAACAAATTCCATCAATATCAAATAATCCTCACGCAAGTATTAACTTGTTCGAGTTTGACGGTATGTTCTCAGCCTGGCATTGCACAAGCACCCGTATATCAATATTGTGGAATAGAGTAGTTTGAAGATGTGATATATTTGAGTGGAAATGTTAAACTTTAGCTGCTAGCATACTAACCGCTTGCAATGAAGTTCAGCGCCAACGGAAGACCCGTTCTTGTACCATTGGAGGACAAGAATGTCTTTTTGTCATTATGGTAGACTGCTATCGCAACTCCAGTCACTAACATGAACCCGTAGGTCAAATAAGTAATGGCATTTGCTGCTTGAAAAGAGAGCATTATTTTTTTTGTTGGGGTAAAAAAAATCTTCCCTGCCCGGTTATTTATATTGAAATCTATAATTAATTGCATTATTTTTTTTTTGCCGCATCAACGCACCCCGAGACAATCGTAGGACTGAAAATTTTTGCGTGGTGCTGCGATTTACTCAATCCTCGTCCGAAACGAGAACAATTGCTGACGTGTCCCCCACTTCATCCTCGCTTTCTTCTTTCACTGGGAGTGTGGCCGCTGGCTTTTCATCCTCCGAATCTGAAAACGAGTGGCTTCTCTTTTTTTTCTTCGTCTGTTTTGACTTGCTCGATGCCGCTTTGACTTTCTTGCCTATCAGTCCTCCATCCTCACTCTTCACACGCTTCTTGTGCCTAGGTTTTTTGATTTCTGAGTCGCCAGCCTTCTTCTTAGGCTCTGTCCCCTCATCTGGAGGAGATGCAGCTCTGACTTTTTTTGTTTTCTTGGCAGATTTTCTCGAATTGGGCTTTGAAAATTTCTTTGCTTCTTCCTGCGTTTCAAGAGTAGATACTTCGCGTGATGCAGGGCGCTTCTGCTCAGAAACGGAGTCTGTGACCGGTTCCAGAGCTGGCTCCTCAGAAAGTTCTTTCGCAGAACCAGCTGGTATTTCGAAAGCTGGCTCCTCAATTTTTTCTTCCTCTTTTTCCTCTGCCTCAATTTCCTTATTCTGCTGTTCCCTGTTTTGTTCATCGTTTTTCTCGGCTTGTCCACCTGCTTTTTCTAAACACTCGAGTACATATTCCTTGAATCTGTTGTACGCGTTCCTAGATGTTTGATCCTTCAAAGGCTTTTCCAACACGCCTTCTAGCTGCTCCATACAAGTGTATAGCTGTTCCAGCTTCGCAAGATCGCATTGTTCCGTAAATGTGAGCCGTGGAAGCGAGGTCATTATAGCCTTGAAAAATGGCCTGGTTGCTCCGGAGTACTCTAGTTTTTCCAGCAAAGACAGAAGTTGGAGCCCCATTTCGACTTGGACCGAGCTGCTGGCAGCTTCACCAGGAGCCTTGTTGACAACTCGGTAAGGATCGGTCCAGTACATCAGTTGCTGAACAATGGATTGCGGTGTTATTGAGGAAGTGCCATCGGCTTGTGTCATCTCGTCCCAGCCACTGAATAATCTGAATAATGTGTCGCAAGTGACACGAGCAATTCTCTCCTGATGCGATTCGTGAGAGAAAGCATAGACAGGGATACAGAACGAAAAACACTGTTTCAGCTGCTCATTGTCGTTGATTGCAGGGTTGAAATAAGACAGCAGTGTAGTTTCAAATAGTTCGTCATCAGTGATAACTCCACACAAAAACAGCTTGTACAGGGCCTCCCCTGAAGTGGCTTGGGCCTCTTTGCGGCTGGTGTCTCTCAAAGTACGGTAGAACAGCCGCGCTATCGCAATGGCATCCACGCTGTTTGCAGTTTCTGCTTCTAAAACAGAAATTCCATGAACCGCGAGCAAATCAGAAATGACCTTGATACCGGTGACAACAAGCGACTCCTCATTGCTTTTCGTGACGAAAATCGCACAAATGAAGATGCTGTCAGCAGCCAATTCTTTGTCAAGAATACAGCAGAGGCCTAAGCATATAAGACCCAGTTTTCTGATTTCGGTCTCAGATCGACGAATAGAAGGCCGAATCAGACTATCGAGAATGGACATCAAAGTGATGTTGTCCCTCAAAGGCTCGTTCACAAGCTCAAGCATTCGGCGAGCAATGGAGAGACATTCAACCAAGTTTTCGGGACTCAGTTCTGCGACCTGTTTCAGTTCTTGTTGCATCGATCTATTGGCGCTCGCAATCGATGATCTGGACAGATCTCTTGCAGAATGGAAACTATTTTCATCGTCGTCTTCGTCATCATCATCGTTGTCATCCAGATTGTCTTCCACCCGGGAACTCTCTCCCGCAATGCCTTCCTCTAGCGAGTTGTGTTTTTCGTAAGCGGAGTCTTTGAGGTCATTAATAATCTCCACAATCATTTGTGTGAAATCGCGCTCGCTGATGGACAGTTTATGTATACAAAGCATGAGGACCTCAATCAAGGTGTCTGACAAATGGTCACTCGTGAGCACGGATCTTAGGGTGTTTAACATTCTGCTTCGTCCGAACTCATCGCTATAGTCATACTCAGAAGCCACAATTAGCAATTGTTGCAAGATGAAGTCCAGCTCTTCGAGCTCTGTCATGTCAATCGAGCTCTCTGCCTCTAATATTGGTTTTCGTTGCGTCAAAACAATCAGGATATCTTTCCGTTTTGCAAAATAGCCACTCAATATATTGGCAAACTGAGCGGCTTCCGGAAAGTACTTTTCGATCTGCGTGATCTTGTTCGTATCATTGCAATGCTGATAGTAAACCCTTAGCAAAAGAGAAGTCTCTGGTGTCAATGTGCGCATGATCTGCTCGTCAAAAGTTATCTTGGCCACAACATCCTGCCTATTATCTAGGAAAATACGGACAGCGGTTTCCGCAATATCGCTTTTAGTAACTTTCAGACGTTCAAGCAGCTCCATCACATCGTTGTTTAGAGTTTGCATCCAATTTTCCGTAAGCCACTTGATTGCGGCCTTCTTGACGGACTCTTCTCGATCTTTCAAACCCCATTTGAGCAACTGTTCTCGAGCCTTGTAGTCTATACGTCTGAAATCTTTAAAGTCAGGCAGCACTTTAGAGTACAGCAATCTTCTGTTGACGGAGTTTGTATCTCTTGCCCTTTCAAATATGTACGGCTCGGTATGCTTGGTTTTCTCGATCTGGCGCAAACATGCTCGCCTGACCTCTGGATTTGTGTCATTTTGCATCACATAGCGGATTTTCATTGCTGCGTTGCTCAGCTCATGACTTCCATCTGGCTCCTGGAAGCTTGCCAGAGTTGTGATGGCCTTGATTCGAATATGCGGTTCCTTGTCATATATTCTGGCAAGCAGCCCCTCGCTCAGGGCTTCGTACAGATCGCTGTCAATCGAGGTCATATTGTTCATTAGATGTGAGAGGATGTGACACGCTCTGTATCGAACGTTCTTATTACTAGCTTCCAAGCCATTTAACAGATGACGAGCAAGTCTGTCTATGAACTTGTTGTACATTCTCTCGTCCTGCTGGTCCACCTTGGCATTATCGTCCTCCGATTCAGGGTTGATCGAGCTCACAAATGATGAAATAAACTTGACTATACGGTCACCCACAGGCTCGTTGCGTTTGATTGGAAGAATCTTGTTAACCAGCTTGCAAAATAGCTCGTTGAACTTTGACTGCAGCTTCTGTTCGCGACATTTCAGCTGGAGGGCTTTAAGAATGGCAATCTGCTTCCCATGAGAGGACACGGACAGCTGGGATTCCTGGAAGCATTTGCGGATGGCAAGTTCAACTTGCTCTGGCTCAGAAATCTCGTGTACTGATTTTAGGTACGACCGAGCCCCTGACGTGGTATTTTTAGCGACTTCGGTCATGATCTGGAGATGATCTTTTGTTTCAGTTTGTTTACAAATCCTAAAATAATATCAGAGACGGCGCGCGTCGTTATCGTCGCGTCGCTAGAAAAAAATATTCAGATAAACCATACACTCTTGCCTGAACATGTCTCTCAATCCAGACTTGTTTCTGTACAATCTGACTATCAGGCCTTCAGTGACGGCTGTGAAGTGTTGTATAGGCAATTTCATCGGCAATAGAAGACAACAAGAGGTTGTGAGGGCCACAGCCACGACTCTTGAGCTATGGAAACTGAATAGAAATAATGGTGACTTCTACAAAGTGGTGGCCCAGAACACCTTCAGCCACATTAGATCGGTTGAGGCGTTGAAGAGTAGTGGGTCAGAAAAAGATCTGCTGATTGTCACCTCGGATAGTGGGAATTTGACCGTATTAGAGATGAATACTGAGAAAGGACGATTCGAGAGCGTATCCAACGAACCGTACTTCAAGACCGGATTGCGAAGAATCTCTCCCGGAGAATACATTGCTGTGGACGGGCGCGGCAGAGCCGCCATGATCAGCGCCATCGAGAAGAACAAATTCGTCTACAAGTTCACCTCAGATCACAGAAATAGACTCCAGGTCTCGTCTCCGTTGGAAGCGAACAAGTCCAAGGTGTTGACATTTGGCGTTTGCGGAATGGACGTTGGGTTTGAGAATCCGCAGTTTGCGGCCTTGGAGTGCGATTATTCGGATTATGAGGAGAAGCTCGATAAAAAGATGCATAAGACTTTATGCTATTACGAGCTCGACATTGGGCTCAATCACGTGGTGAAGAAGTACAGCGAGGAGGTCAGCTTTTCCTCTAACTTTCTGCTTCCTCTTCCAGGAGGCACTAGGGGTCCTTCAGGGGTTTTGCTGTGCTCGGAAGGAATAATTCAGTATAAGTGTCTGTCCAAAATGACGCACACTATTCCTATTCCGAGACGATCACGGGACCAGAAACGTTCGCGGATCGTCTGTGGAGTTGTGCATACGCTGAAGAACAGCTTTTTTGCGCTCTTGCAGAGCGAGCTCGGCGACCTGTTCAAAATCACTCTTGACTACGTTGTGCAGGACAGTGACGAGTCTCGGGGCGAGGCCGGCATGGTGAACTCGGTAGAAATACAGTATTTCGACACCATGCCCGTGTGCACGTCGCTGCTGATTTTTAGGGCTGGATTCCTCTACGCTAACTGCGAGTCTGGCGACCAGTATCTCTACCAGTTCGACAAGCTGGGAGACGAAAACCAGAGGAAATTCAGCTCCCAGGACTATCCAGACGACATTGCTGTTCTAGACGACGAGACAACTCTGTTTGAGCCACGGCCGTTCGATAATCTGAATCTGGTGAACATAGTGGAGAACATCAACCCGCTGATAGATGCAAAATTATACAATTCCAACGAGACCACCAGTTTGCCCGTGATATACTCTCTCTGCGGCACGGGGCCCCGTTCCGCGCTCAAGGTGCTCAACCACGAGCTGCCGTATAGCGAGGTCGTCACGCAAGAGCTGCCGTCGGTGGTGCAAAGGGTGTTTGCTTCGAAACTCAACAGAGACGACGAGTACGACAAATACATTGTTCTCTCGTTCGTGGATGGAACATTGGTCCTGCGTATTGGCGAGGATGTCGAGGAAGTGGAAAATAGCGGTCTGGTGCTCGATACAAACACGCTGGGCGTTTTCCAGGTTGGCAGCACCTCGCTGGTCCAGGTGCATCCAAACGGCGTGAGACAGGTGTTCTACGTGGACGAGACGCCTCAGAAAACCATCGACTGGGCTCCTCCTGCCGGGATCCGTGTCCTTCACTGCTCTGCAACCAATTCGCAGCTTGCCATCGCGCTGTCGAACCGCGAGATCGTGTACTTCGAGCTGGACGATCTGGATAAATTAATAGAGTACAACGAGCACAAAGAGCTCGCTGCCCAGATCACGGCGCTCACTCTGGGAGAGGTGCAGGCGGGTGCCGCCAGGTTCCCGTATCTGCTGGTTGCCTGTCAGGATAAAACACTGACGGTTTTTTCTACGGACCCAGAGTCCACCCTCGAAATTATTGGCGAAGAAATATTGAGCTCGGCAGCTTCTTCTCTAATGGCGTTTTACATGAAAGACACCGCTATTGTGCTCAACACAGATGCTGGCGACGACGACGACGACGAGCCCGAGCTGGCCACCTCGCTTCTCTACGTACACATCGGCATGGAGAGCGGTGTGTATGCCCGGTTGCAGATGGACTCGCAAACGGGCGAGCTGTCGAATCCGCGAAACAAATACACGGGTCCGCGCGCAGTGCACCTGTCCAGGCTTGAGGCCGTAGGCCAGAACGCAGTCTGCATCTTCTCGGCCCGTAGTTATTTGGGGTATACTCGTCCTTCCGAGTTCAAAATCACTCCGTTGATGAAGCCAGTGTTCCAGCACGCGTGCTCGTTCCGAAGCGAGGACATTCCAGAAAATGGAGTGCTGGCTATCTATGGCAACAGTCTGATGATCATGACCATCGACCAGCTGGAGAACGACACCATTATCGAAAACATCGCGCTCAGAAACACTCCTAAATACATGTGCGACTGCACGGACAAGAACGGGATGATGTATGTTCTGGAGGGCGACGTTGACACGAAGCGCGACATTGACGCGGAGCGCATTGAGGAGTATCAGCAGTTTGGCTACCCCAAAGCGCCCGGCGAGTGGGCCAGCTGTATTCAGGCGGTCGTGGTGGCAGAAAAGTCTGTGTTGCAGACGATCGATCTGGGCGACGAGACTGCGTTCAGAGCGTGCTGGGTGAACTTTGAGAGCCGTCCAGGGGAGCCATTTTTGGCGGTTTCAGCAGCCAAGAACCAGCAGCTGAGCCCGCCTCGCAACGACGGAACGTACATCCATCTCTATCGCATCTCCTCAAATGGCACTCTGGAGCTGTTCCAGACGACGAAGACAGAACATCTCTCGCTGGCTCTTGTTGCGTTCCAAGGGAAGCTGCTTGTTGGCACCAAGAATGAGCTGATTCTCTACGACATCGGCCAGAAACAGCTGGTCAAACGGTCCAGCACCAGACTCGACTGTTTTGAAATCATCGACCTGAAAACACAGGGATTCCGGGTCATAGTCAGCGACGTGCGCGACAGCGTTCGGTACACCGTCTACAAGCCGCTGGAAAACTCCTTTGTCGACTTCATCGACGACACCATGCAGCGGCACGTGACCCGCGCCTTGCTACTCGACTACGACACGGTCGTTGTTGGCGACAAGTTCGGCAACATTTCGATTCTGCGGTGTCCCGAGCAGATCTCGGAGATGAGCGACGAGGACAACCACGGCTTTTTGGTGAAGATGCGCAGGACAAAGCTCGACAATCCTGTGAACTACTACGTTGGAGACATGCCGACGTTTTTCCAGAAAGGCTCGCTCACCATTGGAGGCGCCGAGTCCATCGTTTACGGCTGTCTGCAGGGACAGATGGGGTGTCTGTATCCGATGAAGAGCCTGTCCGAAATCAATTTCTTCAAAGAGTTGCAGAAGCTGATCATACACGAGTTCACGTCTTTGACAGACCGCGAGTATCTGAAATTCAAAGGCTACTACAACCCGCCGAAAAACAGCATCGACGGAGACCTGGTCGAGGAATATTATCGCCTCGGGCCCGACAAACGGATCCGCATAGCAACCAAGATGGACAGGCTGCCGCGGGACATCGATCGCCGCATAAGCGACATGCGATCGCGGATCGTGTACTGAAGATGGCGGTGTGAGGTGTTACTATGTATAGATGTGAAAAATACCGATAACGAAGAAAAAAAAACTTGTACACAGGTATATGTCCGCGCAGAGAAAACACAACGAGAGAAACCAGCAGATCCTCAAGACGTTGCTGAGAGAGCCTGCAAACAAGAACTGCGCCGACTGCAAGATCTCCAAGAACCCGCGCTGGGCGTCGTGGAACTTGGGCATCTTTGTCTGCATCAGGTGTTCCGGTATACACAGAAGCATGGGGACGCACATCTCGCGGGTGAAATCTGTTGATTTGGACTCGTGGACGGACGAGCAGGTCAAGAGCATGGTGATGTGGGGGAACGAACGGGCCAATTTGTTCTGGGAGGACAAGCTGCCGGACAATTACGTGCCTGACGAGAGCAAGATTGAGAATTTTATTCGCACCAAGTACGAGATGAAGAAATGGAAGAGCGACAAGGAACCGGGCGCGCTGGCTGCTTCCAAAAAGACATCCGAGCAGCGCGAGTCTCGAGCACAGCTTCCACAACAGACAGAGTCCACGCCTTCTCTGCTGGACGGTCTCAGCACGCCTGTCAGCACTTCGACGGCCAAACCGACTCCAGCCCCGGCAACGACGGCACCGCAAGACTTGTTCTCATCCGACCTGTTTGGATCGGCCCCTTCGCAGCCACCACAGCCGCAAACGGCCCAGAATAGCAGACCGGATCTCAAGAAATCGATTCTCAGCCTTTACTCGAAACCGTCGCCGCAGACCCAGCAACAGCCGCTCTACTCGCAACCTTTTACACAGCCGGTGCAGCCTGTCCAGCCTCAGTTCAACTACTCGTCCGAAGACCCATTTAAAAATGTGTGGAGTTGATTACCGCTCATCTGTAGAGGATATATTTAGAAAGGAGTGTGCAATGGAGAAAACAGGTTCTTGCCCTTGAAGAATTCGTAGGTCTGCTCACCCCTCTTGGCAACACCCTCTGGAGTGAAGTCGAAGAACTTGTACACGTCGGCAGTCTTACCGGAGGCACCAAATCTGTTGAGGCCGAATTGGGCGTGGGCGTACTTGGCCCATCCAGAGGTGGCCATCACCTCGACAGACAGAATAGGAACGCCGTCTGGCAGCACAGACAGCTTGTAGTCAGCTGGCTGCTGGTCGAAAGTGAAGAAGTCTGGAATGGAAACAACAGCAGTTGGGATGCCCTTCTCAGTCAGGAGCTTGGCAGCATCAATGGAAAGAGAGACCTCAGAACCGGTAGCAGCCAAGATCAGCTTGGCGTTGTCAACCTCATGAACAGTGTAACCACCCTTCAAGGCCTTCTCAACAGAAGAGCCAGGCAGTTGAGGCAGGTTTTGTCTAGAAAGAGCCAGCACCGATGGAGTCTTGGTGCTCGAGATGGCCTTGATGTAAGCAGCAGAGGTCTCGTTACCATCAGCTGGTCTCCAGACCATCAAGTTAGGAATAGCTCTGAAGTGAGCAAGAGTCTCGATAGGCTGGTGGGTTGGTCCGTCCTCACCAAGACCAATGGAGTCGTGGGTAGCAACCCAGATGACAGGGTGGTGCGAGAGAGCAGACAGTCTCAGGGCACCAGAGGCGTAGGACACAAAGTTGAGGAAAGTGGCACCGAAAGACTTGTAGTTGGCACCGAAGGCAGAAATACCGTTGATGATGGCGCCCATACCGTGCTCTCTAACACCGAATCTCAGGTACTTACCAGAGTAGTCACCCAGACCCGTGGACTGTGGCTGGAAGTCGATGGCACCGGACCATCTGGTCAAGTTGGATGGGGTCAAGTCGGCAGAACCACCGACTAACTCTGGAAGAACAGCTTGCAGCTTACCCAGGCAAACTTCAGAAAGCTTTCTGGAGGCAACCGCAGCGTCGCCTGGTTGGTAAGTTGGGAGAACGTTTTGCCAGCCTTCTGGAAGCTCACCCCTGAGTCTTCTGGCGAGCTCGGCACCCTCCTTAGGGAACTCCTTCTGGTAGGCCTCGAACAGCTTGTTCCACTCGGCCTCGGCAGCAGCACCAGCCTCAGAAATCTTGTGGTAGTAGTCGTACACCTCTTGTGGAACAACGAAGAACTTTTCTGGGTCGAAGCCCCATTTCTCCTTCAATTGGATAATGTCGTCTTTCTTGAGAGGAGCACCGTGGACGGAGTGAGAGCCAGCGTTGAGCGAACCGAAACCAATTGTGGTTCTGATTCTGATACATGAAGGCTTGTTGGTCTTCTTAGCCTTGGCAATGGCCTCGGAAATGGCGGCAACGTTGGTGTCAGCGTCAGGGACCTCGAAGATGTCCCATCCGTACTTCTCGAGTCTTCCGCAAACGTCCTCGGTGAAAGCAACCTCGGTGCTTCCGTCGATGGAGATCTTGTTGTCGTCGTAGAAAGTGATCAGGTTGCCCAATTGCAGGTGGCCAGCAAGAGACATGGCCTCGGAGGCAACGCCCTCCATCATACATCCGTCACCGAAGAAACAGTAGGTGTAGTTGTCGGAGAGAGTGTAACCTGGCTTGTTGTAGGTGGCAGCAAAGTTAGCCTGAGCAATGGCCAAACCAACCGCGTTGGAGATACCCTGACCAAGCGGACCGGTGGTGACCTCGACACCTGGGATGCCCACCTCAGGGTGGCCCGGAGTCTTGGAGTTGATCTGTCTGAACGACTTGAGGTCGTCCATGGTGAGGTCGTAGCCGAACAGGTGCAGCAAGGTGTACAGGAGAGCACATGCGTGACCGTTCGAGAGGACAAATCTATCTCTGTTGATCCAGTGTGGGTTCTTTGGGTTGAATTTCATCTGGGTGTAGACGGCGTGGGCGGCCGGGGCCATTCCCATTGGGGCACCAGGGTGTCCAGAATTTGCCTTGGCGACGATGTCGGCAGCCAGGACTCTGATTGTATTAATGGCTTTTGTTTGGATATCTTGGGACATTTCGGAAAGAGAACAAAAGTATACGTTGCTACGAAAAAACTCCCACGGTGGATTTTAGAATTTATACATCTGGGATGTAGGGGTGCGCGAAGTCGGACTTTGCGCGGAGGCCCTGGCACAGGGCATTCACACGGTTTTTTTTGGCGTGGACGTGTGTGGGGGCCACTGGGGACTCCGATTCGAGGTCCACGATGCAGCCAATCGGCGGCCGCAGAAAACCGTGTGTTTTGCCTTGGGCTAGACGTTTGTTACGGGGTGTACTGGGCCGGGCGAGAACCTTGAAGAATGCGGACAACAGCTCTCCCAAGCCGGGTAACCTTGCCCTTGGGTTCTGCCCTGCTGGGAAAAGAAAAAAAAAATAACGGAGGCTGGCTGGTCGATGCTGGTCTAAAAATTTTTCCGGTGTCTGGATGTGCCCCACAATTGGACGGATTAAACCGTTGGACTAAAGAGAAATGCGGGGACACGGTGATTTGTAGCAAACCACTCCAGGCGGCGCAGGCACGTAGCTCCAGCGTAGACAGACCCTCTTTGTGCACCACTGCCGCGCACTTTTAGCCCCGTCTTTGACAGCATGCCGCTGGACCGTTTCCCCATTACCCCATATTCCCTGGGTGAAAAAAATTTATCTACATGTCTTCCAAAATTCCTCCCGAGTCTCAAACTACTTTTAGAATGGCAACAAGTGTCGGCTCGGTGGCGGCCCCCGACCGCGTGGGCGACGCCAAGATAAAAAGAGAGGCTTCTGCGGAACCCCGTCCAGACACCGACAGGGCCAGCACGAACGGCTCTGCCGTGACCCCGGCAACACAGAACCCCAGTGCCAACGCAAACATCAAGAAGAAAGTGCCGCCCAGCGACCTGCCGCGACCGTACAAGTGCCCCATGTGCGAGAAGGCGTTCCACCGGCTCGAGCATCAGACCAGGCACATCAGAACGCACACCGGCGAAAAGCCTCACCAGTGCAACTTCCCCGGCTGTTTCAAGCGGTTCTCGCGGTCCGACGAGCTCACCAGGCACTCCAGAATACACACGAACCCCAACTCGCGCAGGAAAAACGCACACAACCCGGACTGGGAGCTCACCGACGCCATCAACCAGAGCTCGAGGCCCGCATACATGAAAAAATCGAGTTCCACGTCGCGGATCCCGAAACACGCCGCGGCGAGCGAGTCGAAGCCGGCCGCGAAACAGAAAAAGGACGAGTTTGCGCTCGAGCAGCCCCTCCCGCAGAAACCGCCGCTGCAGACCGCCAAGTCGCTGCTCGACATCAACGTGCTGGCCACGGCCGCCTCGCAGGAGCTCCAGAACCTCCAGCAGCAGAAACAGCAGGCCCACCAGGCGCAACTGGCGGCCGCGGCGCTGGTCTCGGGCCCGTCAGAGCTCCAGTACGTCAAGTCGCTGCCCTCGCTCAGCGAGTACTTCCAGAACAGCCACCAGCAGCCGCAGCCTCAGCCGCAGCAGCAGCAGCCGGCAGTGCCCAGCGGCGCGCACGCCCGGCCGCCGCCGCTCAACTCGCTCTCGACGCTGCGCCTCACGCCGCTCAGAACACCATCCACGGGCTCGCTGCCCCAGCTGCAGTCCTCGGGCTCTGGCTCCGCCGCGGTCTACAACAACTCCGCGTCGTCCAGCAACCTGTCCAGCCTGGCCCGCTCGTTCTCCAGCACAGACCTCTCGTCGACCGACCACCGGCTCCCGCAGCCGCAGCTCAAGAAATCCAGGCCAAACTCCCCGGCCATTCCGACGTCGCCAACGGCCACCATGATCGCCAGCAAGGACTCCTCCGCCGCGCTGCACCTGCTGGGCCTCAGCAGCATGCCGCAGGCGCCATCCTTGCACCAGCGCCAGGCCACGCCGGACGGCACGCCGCTCCAGACACCGTCTGTGTCGCCCAAGCTGTATCCGTCCGCGTCGCTGAACTCGGTCCCGTCCGGCGTCAATCTCAACAGCCCGCTGCCGACGGTTTCGTCGCTGATGAGCAGCTCGCTCAACTCCAAGTCCACCGTCCAGCTGCCGTCGCTGCGGTCGCTCAAGCTGGACCTGCCCGAGGACATGCTCTCCGAGGAGAAGCCTTAATATCCGTCTAATTAGTCGTGTTCAGTTCCGTAATGCTATTCTAGAGTACTCCGGGATGCTCTCTGCGGCGCCTTTGCGCTGGATCACCACCGACGCGGCCGCCGTTGCAAACTCGACCGCCCGGGCCAGGTCTGCGCCAAAATACAGCTGCGACACCACGGCGCCCAGAAACGTGTCGCCGGCGCCGGTGGTGTCCACCACGTTGCGAACCTTGACGCCTGCCACGCTCTCGACCGCTCCGCCGCTCTGGAAAATGCACCCGCGGGCCCCCAGCGTGATGATCAGCGTCGGACGCGGCAGCAGCTGGTGCAACGCGGCAAGCAGGTCTTTCTCGCCACCAGAACGGCCCGTGATCTGCTCCGCCTCTCCCTCGTTCACCACCAGGTACGCCACCTTGTTGAGCAGCTCCGGGTCCAGCAATTCGTCCCGCACCGGCGACGGATTGTACACCACGGAAACGTCTGGCTTGTTGGCGTGCAGCCACTCAATCACCTTGCGGACGCCGGGAAACTCGTTCTGCAGCACGACAAAGTCGCCCGGCTGGGAGTCTTTGAAATTCGCCGCCAACTGCTCGTCGCTCGGCTTGAGTTCTCCGTTGGCCCCGGGAATAATAATAATTCTATTTTCGCCGGACTCGGTCTCCACAATGATGGTTGCACTGCCCGAGCTGACGCCGGGCAGCACAGAAACCAGTCCGGTGTCGACGCCGGCCTCCGTGAGAGCGGCCACCATTTTTCTCCCGTGCTCGTCGTCGCCGACGTTGCCCCACATGCGAACATGGCCCTTGGCAACAGACAGTCTTGCCGTGGCAATCGCCTCGTTCAGGCCCTTCCCGCCAAGGTGCTCCTCGAGCTGCTCGCCCTGCAGCGTCTCGCCTGCGCGCGGACAGCGCGGGGAGAACGTCACGAGGTCGTAATTGAGAGATCCAATAACGGTGATCATTATAAATCCAGTATGCACAAATATTCGCTAATATCAAATAAATAATCACAATATTAAATAAATACTCACTAATGTCAAATAAATAGGAAGAGCCACTCATCCACCTGACTCAAGTACGCTGTGTGTTCTGCTGCGCAGATCGAGACCTGAACCTCCCCGCGGTTCTAGAACGCAAAAATGCCCTGTCTAGACCACGGCCTGATTGTCTGGCCGATGTATCACATCTGTCTCAAACATTTACCAGACACACCGGGGGTATATAATAACATGCGCGCTGTTTTGCCGCCATGGCCTTCGAGATAACAGACTACAGCCTCGTCGCCGACGACGACATCACCACCATCACAACGACCGTCGTGGCTACGTACACGGTGTTTTCCAGCTCTGTGGCCGGCATAGGCCATCAGAGACAGACACAGGCGAAACGATCGCAGTTGTCGCTCACGCTCGGGCTGGTGCTGCCCCTTGCAGTAGTTGCAGCGGCCATTGCTGGCCTCTACATGTGGCGTCTGCTCCGGAAGCAGAGCAGACAAAGCACACCAATACACAGCTACACGGCCCCCATGCTGGCTATTTCGCGGGCGTCGACAGTCAGCAGCACAGACTCGTCAGTCTCAAAGCTCTCAGCCTACAGCTCAGAACACACCGTGGTCGAGTCGCCGCAGGTGGTGCGGTTTGGCCCGCTGGAGACGCAGTGGATCAGCACGCCGATCGCCGCATTCAAGGGCATGGTGCGCAAGAGCACGTACGCGATCGTGGACAGGGCCGGGGCGGCGGCCGAAAGCTCTCCCGTGTTTCTGAAATCGTTCAACCTCAAGGCCAGAGACGCCGCGGCCACGCAGCCAGAGACACCACCCGTGAGTGCCCCGTTGAAAAATACGCAGCTGCTGAAAATCGCGCGCCTCTCAGCCGCACGCTGCTAGCAGCCATTCCAGCATTCTGGGGAGCCAGCACACAGCATACTCTGTTTATACACTCGATATACACGCTACCCAAATGGTCTTGGCCAAGACACGGCTCTCTGGTTGCGCCTCGTGTCCAACTCTTGGCTTATTGCGCCTCTCTAAATTCTGTAGCGACGAGCGTCGCGTCGCCGTGGAGTTTTTTCTATCGTCGAAAAAATAAACATCCTTATTTATCCCCATGAACAAGCTTCGGACCTTCTCTCGCAAAGAGGCGGCGTCGCCGCCGAAGGAAAAGTCGTCGCTCCCCAAACGCGTGGAGACGGCGGAGTCCAGGGGCGAGCTGAGCCCGGCGCTGTCGCCCATCGCCACGCTGCTGTCTGCGCAGGCCCATCGCAGATACCACGAGGGAGTGTTTATGATTTTGAAGGATTTGGACTCGGAGGGCCAGCCCGCCGAGCGCAAATGGGAGGAGGTGTACGGTGTTCTCACGGGCAACCAGCTAGCGGTTTACAGAGTCGAGGAGATGGAAGAGGTGCCGTCGGTCGATTCGGCTAGCAAGCCCTCATACATAAATTTCACGGACGCCACATTCAAGGCGATCGACCAGCTGCCCTCGTCAGCGGGCAACCTGAACAACGTCATCATCGTGTCGACCACGCTGAAAAATAGGTATCTGATTCAGATCTCGTCCACCGAGCAGTTCCGACGGTGGCACGCGGCCTTTCGACTCGCAGCGGCAGAATACCGCCTGTTGCAAGAGGCGTACACGGGAGCGCTGTTGAGCGCGCGCGGGTCGCTGCTGTCGGACATCAAGGTCATTTTGGCAGAGACGAAGTTCGAGCACGAGGAGTGGACGAGCGTCAGATTCGGCGCCGGCATGCCCTGGAAGCGGTGTTTCACGGTGATCGAGCCTCCAGCGAAAAAGAGCAAAAAGAAGTTTGTGCCTGGCCGCGTCGTTTTCTACGAGTCGGAGAAAAAGGGCAAGAAGCTGGCCATGGCCACCATCACCGACGCCAACTCCATCTATGCCGTGTATCCGCAGAACTACGCCGTCATCGACCACAGCACGATGATCAAGCTGGACGGCTCTATTGTGTTCTCCAAGTCGGAAGGCACGAAGGACTGCTCCATCTTCTTGATGCCCGACCAGCACTCGTCGGTGCCCGGTTACGACACGCTGATCCGGTTCCTCATCCCGCTGCTGGACGCTTTCCATCTGTACGGACGACCAAAAGCCCTGAATGCCAATAAGCTCGATCCGAATTCGCTGCTCTTTGCGCTGCCGGTGCTGCCCAAGGTGCACTACCTTGAGGTGGACGATCTGATGCAGCTTACAGCCAGTGCCACCACGAGCTCCTGGACCTCGTACCAATGGCAGCAGGGCGTGAAGGACATTTTGATACCAAAGGTGGCCAAGGGCTACGACGGCTGCGGCTCAGTCGAGGGCACAGCTGGAGCCCTGGGGATGCTGGAGTTTTCAAGAGACCTTGCTGCTGGCAAAGTGCGGTCTTTCTCGAACCCACAGTCTCCTACGATGACTCCAAAGCCGCAGTTTGGATTCGACAGGGAGAGACACTCGTCGGGCCTGGCAAAAGAGACTCCAAAGGCAGAGGAAAGGAACCTGTCTGAGAGCATTGTGGACGTGAAAGCCAACGAGGACAGCGGCTCGTTGTACTCTGAACTGCGATTCAGACAGCGCGATGAGCAAATGCAGACCCCTGAACTGCAGCCAGCTAGAGAACCGCACAAGAAACAGTCTTCACCGGGCGGTCTGGCAAAGATCTACTCCAAGTACGCCCAGCTGCCTGACTACGACCAGCTGAACGACTCGCTGGCCAACCTGGACGTGAACGAAGACGCAATCGAGGACCTGTATCCTAAGGAGGAATCGGAGGACGAGGAAGACGACGACGACGACTACGACATCCAGATCATCAACCCAAGGACCAAGACCCCAGCGATAGTCAAGTCGTCTCCGTCGCCAGGACCCGATACCACCCCAACAGCGAGACCGCACGCGCCATACGGCCAGCCGAACCCGCGGTACGGCAGCACGTCCTCGCTGGCGTCGTCGACGGACTCTGGTGACCGCTCCGACAGAAGAGCTCTTTCTCAGGAGCGAGTCGTTTCTCCGTTCACGGCGTTCAACAAGTCGTACCAAGAAGCCATCCAGCCCAGCTTTGCGTACCAGGCGCCGCCTGAGCCGCAGAACTCGACGGTTCTCGAAGTGCCGAGACAGAGAGCGACTAGACAGGACCCAGGAAGCGAAAGCTCGTATGCTTCGGCCGTACAGCTGGAGGACCCGCCCCAAAGACCGTCCCAGCCATACTACGAACCACAGAGGTCCGGCTCGTCCGGCTCTGTCGAGTACAGACCGGCACAGCAAAAACCACATTTCCAGCGAGCTCCTCCAAACAACATAGTCTCGCAGCAGGTGGCGTACGGCGGGTACCAGAACACCCAGCTGCAGCCTGTGCCGGGCCAAAAGCTACAGTCTCCATACAATCCGCAGGGCCCCTCCGTGTACGAATACCAGGCTGCTCCTCGGCCTGCGCCGCCGTCTGCAGGGTACGTGAACGGCTATGTCGCTCCGCAGGCGCCAGCGGCCAACATGTCGTCTCCGCGCCGCAGACCGCCGCCGCCGCTGAATCACTCGCAGCAGTACTATCCACAGTCGCCAAACGTGAACCCGCACGGCTTCTATCCGCAGCAGTACGCCAGACCGTACGCAGAGCCGGCGATCCAGCCGCAGCAGCCGCAGCAGCCGCGCAGAGACAAGAACAACCCGTACGCGCTGGCCAAGAGCGCGCACGAGACCACCGTCTCGTACCACAAGAACCCGTACTCCAGCTAAATATCAATTACTTCTCTATCTCGTTCACTATACTCAGGACCTTTTTGATCTGGCCGATCTCCGGGTCCGGGTCGTTTTCGACGCTCAGCAGCAGGCTGCCGAGCAGCTTTTCGTCGATCTCGTCGACCGAGCTGCCGATGCACAGCCCGATCACGCGCTTGAACTGCTGCTCGAGCTCCTGGCTCGAGGAGCGGCGGTTCTTGGTGCGCTCGATCAGCATCGCGTTGTTCTTTGTGTAGGCGTTGATGCGGGCCTCCAGGATGACGGCCGGCGGAAGGTCCTCGAGCTGGCCGGACGCCAGCAGCGTGGCCGGGTCCAGCTGGCTGATGAAGTCGGCCACAGACACCGACGGGTCTTTTGTCTCCTGCAGCCGTCTCTCCACCTCGTTGTACACGGACCACACGGTGAACGGCTCGTCGGCGTCGAAGTCGCCGTCGAACGTCTTGGAGTTGATCGGCAGCTCTTTTGTCTCCTCGACAAACCGCTGCTCCTCCTCGCGGATCGCGTTGTTCAGGTTGATGATCTTGGTTTTGTAGTCGCCGATCTTGCGCACGAGCTTGTCGAGCTCCTCGTACTGTTTGCGTTTCTCGGACAGCTGGTACGTTTTTTCGCGCAGCTTGGGGTGGATCTCGTCCACCTGCTTCGTTTTCGACTCCAGCTCCTCCTTGAAGTCTCTGCCCAGCTGGCTCACAAACGTCTGCAGCGACTCCAGAATCTTCATGCTGCTCAGCTTGGGGGTCTCCGGCACGCTCTGCGCCGCGGCCGGCTGCGGCAGCCGCGTCCGTGCCGACGCCACGTCGATCCCGCAGTCCACAGGCTTCACGCCCGCCTTGTTGGCCTTGTTCGGGTCTGCGCCCACCTCCAGCAGCTGCTGGATGATCTGCTTGTTGCCCACCATCGCCGCGATGTTCAGGCACGTGTCGCCGTTGCGGTCCGGAATGTTGACCACCTCCTGCATGAACGAGGCCAGGCTCATCTGCTGTCCCGGAGGCAGGCGCGGGCCCCGTTTCACCACCCACTCCAGCAGCGTCTCCAGGTAGTAGTTGCACGCCTCGTTGCGGCCCTTGCGGCCACACGTGTACGCGATGTGGTGCAGAACAGAACGGCCCTTGTGGTCGAGCACCGTGATGGCCGGATACAGGTAGTCGAGCAGCTGGTCGAAGCACGAGTGTTCGAGACAGTTTGTGGCGTGGACGGCGCGGATCAGGGCTGTCTGGCCGTCGTTGTCGCCGCGCAGCCGGTTGGCGCCGCGCGAAACCAGCTCCTTGACCAGTGAGATGCGGCCCAGCGTGGCTGCCAGATGCAGCGCTGTCTGGCCGTTGTCGTCGATCGGCGCGTCGATAGCAACTCCTTCGAGCGAGAACTCCTTCTGGTTCGGCAGAAACAGCGACGACAGCACGACTTTGCTCTTCTCGTCGGCCTCGTCGTCGCCGAGCGGGCCCAGCGCGTAGGGGGCGTTCGGGTTCGGCACTCGGGTGTCGTGGTCGAAGGTCTGCAGACTAGGCAGCTCGGGCGCAACTTTGGCCTTCTTAGTGGGCGACGCCGGCTCGTCCGCCTCCGTCAGCGTCGAAATCGTGCGCGCGAGGTCCTTGGGGGTTTTGTAGTTGAATAGCGGCGACAGCACGCCGTGAATGTCGTACTCTTTGCAGAGCGATTCCGCACGCTCAATCGACACCCAGACGCCCTTGAGCTGGTCGGGAGCGTCCTGGACAATCTCGTGCGCGCCCTGTTTCGCCTGGGCCTCCAGCGACCCGCTAATCTTGGGTCTGACAACAGAAACCAGCCGTGCCAGCTGCGTCGCGTTGACCCACGAATCCTGTGTCCGGCGCATCACCGTGCACCCTTCCACGTCAAATTCCACGACGTTGACATCGCCGTACGCCACGAGCCGCGGCACAGGGTCGGGTTTGGCCAATTCCATGTTTTTGGGCTCGTTGGGTTCCATTTATAAAAACCGAAGTTCGCGTCCCAAAAGAGAAAATTAATCAAAACTTCTTGCCTATTGCATTTTAATTTTATTTTATTTTATCTATGACAGTCCCAGACGGGTTGAAAATAATCGAGCCGTTTGTGAAGCGCGCGGGCGAGCTCGCAGGCGTGCAGCCCAGCATCGCGTACCTGTGCAAGCTGTACGCGGCAGAACTGATCCTCGACAACCAATTGCACCAGACTTCAAAGGAGATCGAACAGTACGCTTTGCAGCTGCTGGACGAGATCGAGCAGGAAAAGGCGGCGATCAAGGAGTCGTCGTCGAAGTCGTTCGAGATCATCAACGACCCGGCGTCCAGCTTCAAGCTTGTGTGGGGGTTTGCCACCGCCATTTTCGACCGCTCGTTCAAAGAAATTGCCAACCATACAGCCACCAAGAAAACCGTGGAAAATTTCAAAGCTGCTCTGGACTTCTACCAAGTTCTCAACCTGTGGCCAGAACAACTCAAGGACAAACGGCAGCAGCTCGACAAGTACCAAAAATACGCCAAATTCCACGCAACACGGATCCTCAAGGCCATCAAGAACGGAGAAGACCCGAACGACTACGTGACGCCCGAGGAGGAACGAGAAGTCGCCGGCTGGGACGACGCTGACAGCCAGAAGCCGGAATCGCCATCCCTGGCACTTCCCAACCCACCCTCGGAAATCAACTCGCCCGAAAAGTCGCCAAAAGACACCCCGGTGGAAACGTCCCCGCCAGCTCTACCGTCCGCCCCAGATTCGCTGGAAGACACGCTCAACTTGCCGGCCGCGCCAGCAATCATCAAGGAAGAACCCAACAAGCTCGGGCTGCCCAAAACTCCTGCAAAAGTGCCAGATCTGCCTGCTCCAAAGCCAGAGCCCAAGCCAGAGCCCAAGTCTCAGCCAAAAACACCAGCAAAACCTGCCCTGTCCAAGGAAGATATCCAGCAGATGATGCAGACGGACGAGATCATCGCCCAGGCACAGAAACGCGCAAGATTCGCCATCTCGGCGCTAAACTACGAGGACATCGAGACCGCCATCAAGGAGCTCCAGCTCGCTCTCGAGCTACTCAGGGGAAAATAGAATCACGTATATGTATTCACTGTTCGCTGGCGTCCTGGAACTCGTCCGGAGACTCGAGCGTTTCGGACGCCTCGTCATGCACAGAACCGTTAATAAATTTGTCGTCGACCTTGTCCTCCTTTTCGGCCTCCTCTTCCTCCTCCTTATCCTCGATCAGCGGATTGGGCGACATGGCACTAGCTTCCTGCTCTGCCAACGGGTTGCTGAGCGCCTGGCTCGCCAGGTCCAGCCGCGAACGGCTGGTCTTGAAAGACTCGGACCGCGAAACGGAGTCAAAGTCGAGCGACGTGATGGAAGACGTGCGCGAGCTCTGTTGTAACCGTTTCTTCATCTTGTCGCTCAGCTTGAGCTCAGACCCGTTTCCCGAGTTTATGTTCACGCCCGACGACGAGCTCGACAGCGGCGGACTGGCATCCTCGCCAGACTGCTGCGTCAGCTTCATCAGAAGATCGTGGGTCTTCGACCGTAGATCGTCCTCGTCGTCCTGCTCAGACATCTTGGTCGGCGAGTCCAGAGTGGAAGCAGACTGTGCAGTGTGTTTTTTTGCCCATTGCTTGATTTTCGCAGACGTAGGCTCCGTCCGCAACGGGCCCGTCTGCCGCAATTGCTGGAGGAACTTGTCCATGTCGGAATTAATTTTCGGCGCCTCCTGCTGCTTCTCCTTCTCCTTCTTGCTTTCCTCAAACCGTTTCTTGCTCATCTCGTACTTCTTGTTGCGCTCCTCGAGCTCCTTGTTTTCCTTTGAGGCTCGCTCGAAGTTCTCGGCAAACTCGCTGAATTTCTTGAGGAACGAGTTGCGCACAAACTCGTCGCTGTTTGGATCCTCGCCAAAATAGCGCATCATCGAGTCGAATTTCTCCATCACAAGTTTCGAGCGGTCGCTTAGCAGCTCGGCCTTGGTGCGTGCGTTCGGCAGGCCGCGGAATACAACATGCAAAAACTTGTCCATTGGGTGGAATTTCGACGGATCGCTCAAGTTCCCGTCTTGTAACGAAGCGTCGATGTTGCGAATAGATTGAGAAAACATTTGACAATCGTTCTTCAGCTGCTCCACAGAAATGTTGGCTGCGTCGATCGTGGGCTTCAGATCGTCCACAAACGAGATCAACTCGGGGTAGTTTTCTCTGATCACTTTTTCCACATAGTGCAGGAACGAAATTAGGTTTTTGTGGTCCTTTAGGAAACCGAGTCGCTGCAATGTACTCAGCTTGAACCCATGTGCCTGCTTCGACTTGTCGTTCATGTAATTACCGACAATCAAAATGATGTCAAAGACTTTCCGCAGAGTCTTGGAGTTCTCGAGACTCTCCAGAGCCTTTTCAAGCATCTCCAGCTTCTTGACGTACTCCTCGTAGTCCTTTTCGTAGTTCAGAATGGCGTTGAGCGCGCGCATTCTTGACTTCCAGTAGTGCTGCAGATTGTAGATCAGCTCCAGGTATATTCTGTCTGCCCTGGCGAGCTCGTTCGGGTCCTTGTCGTGTTTGGCCTCCTTGTCATTCTGCCAGTCTGTCGAGTACGGCTCAAAGTTCTTGGCCAGCGTGTTGGATATCTCGTTCAATTCCGGCTTGGCAAGGAAGTCGAGCAGCGCGCTCTTGTCTAGAACGTCCTTGTCACACCGCAAAATCTTTGCCACCACCTGTTCGTCATCAAGCCCCGAAAATGAGTGGAGACAAATTCCAAACTGCTGCGAAACATCTGTGCTCAAGAAAGAAACCTTTTTCGCGTCTTCTTTCTTCTTGCGTGCAATCCGCTTGGCCTCTTTGGCAGCAAAGATCACCTCTATCTCGTCAAATATACCGTTTTCCAAAAGCTGTTTTGCCATATCCTCTGAACCCATGTTGGCCCAGAAGGAGCCAACAGGGTCGTCGATTTTCTCCCAATGCAGCTGCTTGAGCTTCTTTTTGGGCCGAGGAAGCATATCGAACGGCCCTGGAGCAAGGAACGGCGAGTTCTCTGGCACCGAAACTGGCTTCTGTCCTGCGGAAGGAAGTGGGGGCGGTGGAGGTGGCATGCTTGTGCCCGCAGATGGAAGAGGAGGAGGAGGCGGAGGAGGTGGTGGTGGTGGTGGAGCTCCCTGCGAGCCTGCAGAGTTAGGGAGCGGTGGTGGTGGTGGCGGCGGAACGGCAGACTCGACAGGTGCTGGAGTCTCCTTCTTAGGCGACTCTTCCTTCCTTTCCTTTTTCTCCACTGGCTTCTCAGCGGGCGTCTCAACAGGCTTCTCGTTCGGCTCCGTATTCTCCTTCTCGTCAAGAGCGGGCGACTTGCCCACGGTTCTCTCCAGCTCTCCCAAAAATGGCCTCATCGAGCTAGTATCGATTTTTTTCACTGAGTTGCCAACCATCACCGGCGGAGCAGAGCTGGCAAACGTCGCCTTTGGCACCTCTTTCTTGCCTCTGGAGTACTGGTCCTCGAACTTTTGCAGAAGAGCGTCCTTGTCGACCTGCTCGTTGTTCAGACTCAGCTGGAACCGTAAGTTGTTGCACAGTGTCTCCAGCTCGTCCAGCTCGCTCTTCAACTTCTCAGCCCGCTCGCTCTTAACGGCGCGTTGCTTCGGATCTAGTGTGCGACGGTCGGCCGAGTCGACCTCCTCCAACTCCTTGATCTTCAGCTCCTGCATGGTTTTCTCTAGCCGTTGCAGTCTGTCCAGGGCCTCCATCTTGCGTCTTTCAAGCTTTTCCTGCGTGCTCAAGCTGGCCTGCACCTTGATCACCTTGTTTGCGTCGTTCTGCAACGACTCGAGTCTGGCCCGCAGCTCGCCGAGGGTCTTGACGTCGTCGACCTTGTTTGTGTCGCGCTTCTCCGCCAAAATGTCCTCGAACTCGGTGTTTTCCAGGTCCCTGGCCTCTCTTTCCAGTAAGTCCATCTTGAAGCGCAAATCACGCAGCCGAGCGTTCGGCTCCACTCCCGATTGGCCAATTCTCTTCACCTCCACCTTGTTTTTGTCGACCTGCGACTTGAGACGCTTGCGGAGCTCCTCCACAGTAGACGATCCTTCGGTCTTGATCGACGAAGACGCCGTTCCCGAGGAGTCCGGCGGACTGGAGAGCAGCCGCTGGCTGTGCAGCAGAAGCAGCATCTCGCGCATCTCAGTTTCCTGCTGGTGCTTGTCCAGAACCCGCAGTCTGCGCAGCTCACTGACCTCGTTGTCCTTGGCCTCGAGCTTCTCACGCAGCCGTTCCAGAATTTCGTCCCTTTCTGCAATGTCTCTGTAGAGATTCTCGATAACACCTTTCGAGCCCTCGTTGAGCTTCTGCAACGCATTGTCGCGCTCGGCCTCGGCCTCCTCCGCGCGTTTCTTGGCCTCGCGCGCCTCGAGCATCGCCTTCCGCGCAATCTCGTCCGTCCGGTACGACGCTATCAGCCGGTTGATCGATATATTCATGTCTGTGTCGTCTTCGCCGGACGCCATGGTGATATTTGAAACAAACGTGTCCATGAGCTTCAAGTTCCTGTGCACCTGCTGCGGATCCAAGGTGTGCAAGTTGGACGACTGGCTGATGAACATATTCTGAATCATCGACGTCAAATACGCCTCAGCCTCGGTGCCCTTGGCTTTGTTCAGCATCGCCTGGAACAGCGACAACGGATCATTGAAGTTGATGTTGTTGTTCTGAAACTCCTCCATCTGCTTCAGCTCCTGCAAGTCGGCCCGCTCCGAGCTCTCGATGTTGGCGATGCTGTGCTCTATGTCTACGTTTTCCAACGGACGCAAATGCTCAAACAGCTCGGTCATTCCAGCGACCTGGAACAGTCTGCGCAGCTTGGTTCTGTCGCCAAGGTCTTTGGAGTACTGAAGAAGCGTGTTGATCAGCAGGAGCGTCGAAAGTCCATATTCGATGAGAAAGTTGTTCGAGATCGGCCCGCTGAGCTTGAACTCGTCGTAGGAGCCAACACGGCTGCCCATCTTGCCGCGGCCTTCGAACAGCCTGATGACGGCCCAAAACCACGCCTCGTACTTCTTGACCCGCTCGGCGTTCGACAGGATGTACTGCGACTTGCGGTCGAGCAGATTGGGCCGCGAGATGTAGAGCTCCTTGATGTACGCGAGATGGACGTTGTCGTTGACGGGCTTATGAATGGTCTTGTATATTAGCGGACTGCAATTGGTCTTGTGGTAGAAATATGTGATGATGTCGGTGGCCCACTTGCGGACCTGCGGCCGCGTCGAGTAGAGGCCGCCCAGTATGGCGGGAATGAAAATGTCTATTTTGCGCAGATGGTCGATTCCAACAGTGAGGTCGGCTATCACCTTGATGCAACGGAACAGCTTGGTTTCCTTGTCGAGCACGGTCTCGTAGTCCTCTGCAGGGTTTGTGAACAGGACCTGGGCGGGCGACGGCGGCTGGTGGCGGCTGGGCACGCCCTGTGCCCTGATAAGCGGCTTGGTCTTGTACAGCTGCATGAGCACGTTGCAAAGAGCCACTGCTCCCTGCAGATTGAGGAACTGCTCGGTCCAGTGCAACTCCTCTGAGCTCAGACAGATGTCGAGCTCCTTGAGCTGGTCGTTGGTGATCTTGTTTCCGATCAATTGCACCACATAAAACTGCGCGTCAAATGCCTTTCCAGCAGAGGGAGTGGACCGTTCTGTCACGGCGGTGCTGGCCGTGGAGGCGCTCCGGCTCGGCACGGCCGAGTGCGTCGGCTGCTGCTGCATCATGCGCTGTTTCTTGTATTCGGCCAGCTTGTGCTGTCGGATAAGCATCCACTTTCGGTCCGCAGGGTAGTTTTCCATCTCTTTGCGGGCCTTTTCCGGCAGACTGTTGAAGTCTCTGGAGATCATCACCTCCTTGAACATGATCTCGATCTCGTCCTCGGATTCCGGCGGCTCGAGCTCGAAGTCGTCCGAAATGGTATGTCGGTGAGTTTTCTTGAAATTTGCACTGCTGAGCTTTTTGGTATGGGATGAGGGCAAAGAGTACACAGAGGTGGTGGACGGCCCGCCAATGCTGGAGTTGGTCGTCATCCGCGACAGCGGCGACTCGATGCTGCTGGAGTCGGACGCCTGGTGGGTCTTTGCGCGCGAAAATAGCCCGTTCTTCGTGGGCGACTCGTTGATAGAGTACATGGACGCGTTGGTGTTCATCCGCGACAGCGTGCCTGTTGGCGAGCTGACAGAGCCCTGGTCCACCGTCTTGGACCCTCTGCGCAGCCCCATGAAGGAGCTCACGCGCGAGGCGGGGCCGTCGGTCTGCTTCTTGGCCGGTTTCATAATTAAAGAGAAATAGGAAACAAAGTGATTTGCGCTGGAAAACGGTGCGAGGCGGGATAAATAAATACATATTTATACAATTAAAGTAAATTATCTTGTCATGCCACAGGACCCGGGCGAGCTGGGCGACCAGCGCGAGCAGCTGCTGCTTGAGGACGCCGCTGGCCAACAGGACACCGCGCTGCACCACCTCGTGACGGAGCACGGCAAAAGCGACCTGCAGGCCGCCTTTTTCAACATGTCCAACTCGATCCTCGGAGCGGGCATCGTGGGCATACCGCGGGCGTTCCGCAACGCAGGGCTGCTGACGGGGCTGGTTTTGCTTGCCCTGCTGGCCGTCGTCAACGACTGGACGCTCCGCATGATCATCGTCAACACCAAGCTGTCTGGAGCGAAGACGTACACTGGCTTTGTGAGCCATGCGTACGGCGACCTGGGGAAAACCGCGGTCCTGCTGGCTCAGGGTCTGTTTGGGTTTGGCGGCAACGTCGGGTTTGCCGTGATCATCGGCGACACGATCCCGCACGTTCTGCGGTCTGTGTTTGCGCGCCAGGTCGCGTCGTCCAAGGTGGTGGACTTCCTGCTCGCTAGAAACACGCTGATCGTGTTTTGCATCATGGGCATCTCGTTCCCGCTGTCGCTGACCAAGGACATTGGCCGGCTCGCCAAGGCCAGCGGCATTGCGCTCGTCAGCATGTCTGTGATCCTGCTGATTGTGGTTTTCCGCGGGCCGGCCATGCCGGCCGACGTCCGGGGCCAGGTGTCTGGTGTCGGCTGGTTTGTCGAGCCGGGCATTTTCCAGAGCATCAGCGTGATCTCGTTTGCGCTCGTGTGCCACCACAACACCACGTTCATCTACGACTCGATCAGAAAGCCGACGCTGGACCGCTTCAACCGCGTGACCCATATCGCGTGCGCGCTCTCCGGCATCGTGTGCGGCGTCATGGGCGTCTCGGGCTACCTCGCGTTCGGGCCCAAGACCAAGGGAAACGTGCTCAACAACTTCCCCACGGACGACTGGGTCGTCAACGTTGCGCGGCTCTGCTTCGGCCTCAACATGCTCACCACGTACCCGCTCGAGCTGTACGTGGTGCGCGCGGTGGTGCGCGACCTGCTCGAGATCTACCACAGACGCGAGATTCCAGAACTGTCCACGGCGCAGCACCTGCTGATCACGACCGTGCTCGCGGGCGTGCCGATGCTCGTCGCGCTGTTCACGTGCAACCTGGGAGCCATATTGGAACTCGTCGGCGCCACGTCCGCGTCGCTGCTCGCGTTCATCCTGCCCCCGCTGTGTTTTCTCAAATTGACCAAGATGAAGCCGCTTAAAGAGAAAATACCGCTGTACATGTGCATAGCGTTCGGTCTCTGTGTCATGGTGCTGTCGTCCACGCAGACAATACTAAGCGCACTGCGCAGCACCGACGACGACCACTGTGTCGTATAGATTTTTCACGTGCTACTAAATAGACACTGCTAATTTATTACTCATCCTCGTCAATCACGGCGCGGGACCGGCGGGCGGGCACAATCGACTCCTGCGTGCTGCTCAGCGCACGGCTCTGCAAACTGTCGTCGCTCTCGCTTCCGCTCTGCAAGCTCGCCTCATTTTCGCTCAGGTCGACCATCCTCCGCTTTGGCGCAGCACCGCCCAAGAACCGCTGGAACTGCTCCGGGCTGATCACGCCGCCGTTCGCCTGGATCAGTGCCTGCAGCTGCTCCTCCCGCCGGAAGAACTCGGCCTCCTTCTCTGCGTCCGACGCGTCGTCGTCCGAGTCGACGTACTTGGACGACAGATGCTGCTTCGGCTCGTCGTGCTTCGGCGCACTCTTGCGCCGCTTCGTCCTGGAAACACGGCCCTTGCGCTTGCGCCGGACAGCCGCAAACCGCGCCTCGTCCGCCTCGGGGTCGCGCCGCCGCCTGCCTGTGTTTTTCTCCAGCGCCGCCTCCAACACGTCCAGCCGGTCTATGCTCTCCGAAACACGGTTGAGCGTCTCGAGGTCGTTGTCCGAGCCGAGGTCGTCAAACTGCGCGGAGGCCGCCTCGCGCTCCTCGCGCGTCTCCCGCGCCTCCTCCACCAGCTCGGCCTCCACCTCGTCGCTCTCCAGCGGCTGCTCGCGAGCCTGCTCCAGCACCGCCAGGGTCGCGGTCACGTGACCCGCGTCGACGTCGCGCGGGAGCACGGCGCGGGCGGCCGCGAGGCGGAAGCCGACTGTCGCGAGCAGCAGCCGGAACACGCCGCTGCGCAGCGCCGCGCGGTCGTCCAGCACGAGCTCGTCGTCGCCGCGCGTCCGCAGCAGCGCCGTCAGCGTCTCCAGCAGGCCGCCGTGGTCGCGGTACACGAGCGCGCTCGCCAGCACGCTCACCTTGTGCGAGTACGACAGGCCCGGGGTCGCGAACGCCACGTCGGCGCCGCGCTGTGCGTGCTCGCGCGCGCGCCATTCGTCCAGGTCGCCCGTCTCCAGGTACGCGCGCACGCCGCGGTCGTAGTCCTGGCCGAGCGTGAGCAGGTCGAGCAGCACGGCGTCGGTCTGGGCCCATTTTTTCTCGAGCGTGTGCATGTAGTAGCCGAGCAGACGGGCAAGGTCGCGCATGACGGCGGGCCCGAACACGGCGTCTTTGACGTCGTGCAGCGTCAGCATGAAGTCGAGCCGTAGCAGCTTGAAAAAGTGCTCGTCTTTTTTCAGCAGGATGCGGTTGAAATAGGAGATGCATCTGCGCATTTGCGGCTCGCTCAGCTCGGCAAACTTGGCGAAGACAGACACGTAGCAGCCCACGACGCGCTCGTGCAGCAGCTTGCGCTCGTACACCTCGTAGCGCGCGCGGTCGAACTGCAGATACCGTTTCAGCCGCGCGTCGTCCATGCTGTCGGACTCGGACTCGTGTTGCTCCTGCGCGCGGCCGCGGCGCTTTCTGTCCATCGCGAGCGGCGTGGGCAGGTCTGCGAGGTACTGCAGCACCTTGAGCAGCACGTGGGTGTACTCGATCATGTCGAGCGCGTGCGCCAGCGACACCTTGTGTGCGTCGTGGACGACGTGGAACAGCACCTCGATGTCGTCTTCGGCGGAGAATGTCAGCCGCAGCAGCTGCTCGGCAGCGGCCGTGTACGTGTCGAGCTCGTCCCGCTGCTCTGGCGAGAGCCGCGGATAGTCCTCGGGCCGCAGCCGGTGCATGTCCACGACGGTGAGCAGCATCTCGCGGAAACAGCCCACGGCGACGCGCAAAAGGCTGTGCTCGCGGTTCTGCAGGTACAGCGGCAGGCTGTTCTTGACCACGAGCCGCAGCACGTCGTGGCTCAGCGCGTCCTGGACGTAGCCGAGCCGGAACACGTGATCGGCGCGGTGCTCCCGTAGCAGCCGCTCGAACTTCAGCACCCACGCAACGACGTAGAAGAAGTGGAACTCCAGAAACGCGGCGAACGAGGTGCGCTCGCCCAGCACGATGCGCCGCACCGCGCGCAACAGCGGGCCGAACCCGGCCTCCACGAAGTCGGTGCAAAACTCACAGACCACGCTTTGCGCGTCGCGCGAGAGCTGTTTGGCGCGCTCGGCGCCCAGCCGCCGGTCAAAGTCCGACCGCGTGCTCTCGTTCTTGTTGGCCGTCTGCCGCGCCGCCACGGCCTTCTTGGAAACGCCGGCATCGAGCTGCTCCAGCAGGTCGGCGTGGATCAGCCGTTTCTGGCCAGACACCGTCAGCACGGGCTCGTCGCCCTGCCGAATGCTCAGCAGCGTGCCGAAGTTGGCGTGGCGCGTCACGTTGTTGCTCAGCAGCTTTTTCTTGAGCACCTTCTCGTGCTCCAGAGCAGAGCCCAGCGTCAGCGCGGTGGCTGCACCGCCACACGCGTCCACGGCCGTCGGCGGCACCGCCACAGTGGCTGGGTCGAGCCCGTAGAGCAGGTAGAAGTAGGTGTCGAGACACACGTTCCCCAGCACGCGCTCGTCGAACTCGCGCCCGAGCCCCGCCGTGATCGTCTGCACAAACCGCAGCACCTTGTTTTCGCGGAAAACGCACACCGTGTGCGAGAAACTGATGTCCTCTCTGCTGACGCCGTGCGGCATGTTGTCGTTGAGCTGCTGCGTCTTGGACGTGCTGCGCCGCGGACCCACCGTCGTGTCCGCCGGCTCGATGCGCAGCACGTTGCGGAACAGGTTCAGACACAGGTTTAGGATCACCGTGTCCTTGGGGCTCCGCTGGTCTCTGGGCGTGCTCAGGATGGGAATTGTCAGCCCAACAACGCTTTTCAGACACCGTCCGCCCTCGTAGTTGAGAATGCGGTCTTTGTACCGGACGTGCGATTTTTTCAGCTTGATGTAGAGGTCGATCTTCGCCGCAGACGCCCGCTCCGTGTCCAGGACCAGCGGCCGTGTCAGCGCCACCAGAAGCTCCAGGGCGGCCAGAAGAATGTTGTGGTAAAACGCTTTGTTCGAGTCGGCGGCCCTGGCCGGCAGTTGCACCAAGATCGGGATCAGATCGTTCACCACCAGGCCGTTGTCGTCGCACGCAGACGCGACGTTCCAGCTGTCCGACGCGTCGTCCACAACCTTGATCCAGCGCTTGATGTCCTTGAGACATGCCAGCGCGTCGACGCCGAGCACGTACTTGCCGCTATCGTCGGCTCCGCCCAGCGCAGAACACAGGATGAGAATCTGGGACTTGAGCGCCTGCTGGGCCTCGAGCTCGAATTTCGCCGCGTCGAACGCGGCAGACTCCTTCGCAGCCTCGCCGGCCTCGTAGTCCGACAACGGCGTGTGCTGGAAGTCGTTGTCAAACTCCAAATCGTCCTCTAGGCCGCGGTCTGAAGATGAATCCATTACGCGTAATTTTTTTGTAGCACAGCCAGATATCGGAAATAATTATTTTTAAATTACAGTACTGCGGCAGAGTCGTGGCTGACAACGACGGGCTCGTCCGGCTCGAACCGGCTCTCGGTCTCGGAAACGTGGATCTCCTCAAACGTCTCGTTCGCGCGGTCCGGGTCCTTCTCGAGAATCGAGGCGTCCTTGTCGAAATGGATCGACGCGTCGATCTCCTCGGGCTCCTCGGGCTCCTCAGGGTCCATGGCCACCAGCACAGGATGCGAGAACGCGCGCTCCTTGCGCAGCAGCGCATTGCACACACCGGTGTCGCCGGACTCGTCGCAGTCGTCGATCGCGTCGTACTCATTCATCGACAGAACGCCCAGGTCCACAAACTCGCTCTCCTCGAGCCCGCCAGAGCTCTTGGCTGCAAGCACGGGCCGCGAGTCGTAGACGTTGAGAAACCGCGAGCTCTGGTCGTGCGTGCTGATATCGCGCTTGAGCGCGTCGTAGCTAGCCCGGTTCTCCACCAGCAGCCCCACCAGCATCGACGGGTCCATCTGGTCCAAATGCAGCTTGCGGATCTTGTTTGTGTGGACCGAGTCCAGGTCCAGCCCGGACTCTACCTCCACGTAGTGGTTCGGGTCGGGGCTCTCGTGTGGGGCCTCGGATGCTATTAACAGTGCTTTTTGCGGAACGTGCGGGTCCAGGTAGAACAGGTAGTCGCCCTGGAACCCAAAGAAGTAGTGCGACGAAGACGGCCTACCGCCTGCGATGCCCACCGACTGCGGCCAGCTGAGCGTTTTTTTGAGAAAATCCCAGTACAGAGGGTTGACGTTTTTCACTCCGAGCCGGATCCCGGCAAGGATCAGCACGGGCCGCAGCTCGGCGCCCTCCTGCGCCAGCTCAAACAGCTCGTCCTCGTAGATGTCTCCACTCGCGGTAAAGTACACCTTGAGGCCTATTTTGTCGTAGTTTGCCTCGCACAACACCTGGATGCTGCGCGCGGCAGCAGACGGGCCAAACCACTCGCCGGGCTTTTTTCCAGCGCAATTGGCGCCCTGCTCGACAAAGTTGTGGATCGAGAACGGCGCCGTGGGGATGTCGACGAACCACGACACGATCTCGGCGTGCTTGGGGCACTCGCGGGTCCGGTCGTATCTCCAGTCTCTGCCGAGCCGCAGCTGGAGCAGGCTGTTGGCCAGCAGCGACTGCGACGTGCGGATCATGCACCCCCAGCCTGCGTCTGTGGTGAACCCTTTGGTCACCGTGGCGAGATCGACGGTGCCCCTGATAAGCGAGCCAAAGCTGAGGGGGCTCGGGCCGTCCTCTGCGCGCCTGATGAGCGGGAAACCCGACCGGTACGTGAGCCACACTCTCGTATGCACGTCGCCGAGGAACTCGCGCGGCCAGCTGGCCTCTGTCTCGGCGGCTTGGTCCTGTTTGAGCTTATGGAACAGCGTCCTCAGGTCGGGGGTCCTCTCCTGATGCGGGGGCTGGCCGGGCGCGTATGTCCTGCCCAGCACGGTGAGCGTGTTTGTGAAGTCGTCATTGGGCAGCTCGCGATCCCAAATGTATTCAAACACGGTGTGAAGGGTGTTCAAGCTATGGGATGCCATAAGAAAGGAAAAGCATAGACAAGAGAAATATTTCCTTCTTTGCCCTTGCTTTTTGTCACGAAAATTACTTGACAGTATGGCGAAGAAAGGACACCGAGCGCAACGCGGCAGAGTGAAGAGAGGCCGTGGCGGGCGTGGCGGCCGGCAGGGCACCCGTCAGGCGCCTGCGGCGCGCAGAGGGCGTTTGCACGGCGAGTTTGGCGAGCTGATGGATTTGCAGGCCGGCCACATGGCCAGGGAGGTCGAGTTCACGGGCCGCCACCGGGAAGAGACGCTGAAACGGCCGCTGCGCAAGCTGCCGATGGAGTTTGTGAAGGCGGCTGAGGTGTACGATCCGCGGCAGCTGCTGCGGGGCGTGAGAGGAATGCGCTTGGAGGGGGAGGAGCACACAGAAGGGGAGGGAAGCGAAGGGGAGGAACGTGGAGATAAGGAATGGGGAGAGGAGAGGGAAGATGAACAGCTGGAGGAGGAGGAGGAAGAAGAAGAAGAAGAAGAAGAAGAAGAAGAAGAAGAAGAAGAAGAAGAAGAAGAGGAGCAATTAGAGGAAGAACTTGTGGAAGAGTTAGAGCACAAGTTAGAGCAAATACAAGGATCAGAAGAGCCAGAAGAATCTGAAGACGAAAGTGAAACAGAGCAAGACTACATTCCCCAGTACTCCCACGGAGAGCTGCCCGAGTCCGACGACGAGGGAGAGGAAATATACAATATAGACAACGACGAGGGCTCGTTCATAGAGCCGGAGACCAGTGCGTCAGACGCCTCCTCTGGTGACGGCCCCCTGCCGTTCGGCTACGACGCCGACGATTACGCTTTCAACGTGAATCTCCTGCGCATCGACAATGTCCGCTACGGCGCGGCTTCCACGCAGTACTACGCCCACTGCGCTTTTCTGGACGACGAGACACAGTGGGTCGACAGAGAAGACCTTGCCGACCTGCTGGTGGACCACGGGCTGCCGGAACATCGCGTGGATGCGTTTTTTGAGTACGCAACAGAGCATCTTCGCGAGCCTGAGCAGCCGTCAGCGCCGGACTCGAGCGCCGACGACTCTGACGGGTCTGGCGTCGACGACATGGTGGCGTTCTACTCGGCGCGCGTGATCAACGACCCGATCGAGCTCGAGGTGCCGACGGCGTCGCTGCAGACCACCGGCAAGGGCCGCAAGAAACGGCTGGTGCTGGACGAGGATATGGACGAGGACCTGCGGCAGACGCTGCTGGAGAGCTTTTCGAAGCGGCACCGGTCGAAAGAGAAGCCGCGCAGCGTCTCGAACGGCACCGGCGAGCTGCTGGCCAAGTACCCGTTTGAGGTGCACGTGCGCGACATGAAACACGAGTACGATCTTTTCTACCACGACGCGAGCCGCGAGACGCTGCAGTGGCCGCCGCTGGACCCGCACGGGCTGCGCACGCTGCGCAAACTGGCCGAGTGCTACAACCTCAAGCCGCGCAGTCTGGGAAACGGGCCAAAGACGCACCTAGTGGCCATCAAGACGAAACACACGTACAAGCGGGTGCCGAACTACTCGCAGGTGGCTCGGATCCTAAAACAGCGGCCGATTTTCCGGCGCACAGACGTGCACCTGTCGAAAGACGAGATCATGGAGCTGAAAAATAAGCGCAAAAAGAGCAGCAAGGAGCACGGCCAGGGCCGCAAGTGGGCGCCGCGCGAGGGCGACGTGGTGGCGGCGGCGGCGCCCGAGATCAGCGCGGACAACGTGGGGCGGCAGCTGCTGGAGAAGATGGGGTGGCAGAAGGGCAGCGCGCTGGGCAAGACCAACAGGGGCATCATCGAGCCGATCCAGGCGACGGTGAAGCTGACGAAACAGGGAATCGGCAGCGCGAGCGCGCAAAAATAGCAAGTAACGGTGTGTTTCGGTATCTATATAGAATTAAGGGACTATCTCTGTTTGTTGACGAGATTCTCGATGGTGAGGATGCCCGAACTGCTGGAGTTGTCCTTGGAGAGCACGGGCCGCGGCGGAGCAGGGGCTCTGTTGAGGACGTCTTTGGCGCGCTCTTCGGGGCTGTTGAGGAGCTTTCTGTGGAACAGTTCCTCGTCGAGCTCGGCGATGCCACGCACCATGGAGCTGATGGGCGGGAGGTGAATGTTCTGGGAGCTGGCGGCGGGTTTGAGGGTGGGCGAGTGCATCGGCGTTGTGAGCGGCGTTTCTGAGGGCGAGGTGATGTTGAAGATGGCCATGGAGCGGTCGATGGACTCTGCCGAGTTGAAGCTGCTGCTGTTGCTGAGTAGCGTGGGGGAGCTGGGCCGCGATTTTTTCTTGGCTGGGGTGTCGTCGTGGACGAGCGTCGAGAGCGACGCAGACGACACAGAGCGCGACAGCATCGACGACACGCGCGGCACAGAGCCCGAGGACGACATGCGGATCGGCGTCATGCGCTGCAGCGACGACAGCGACGACAGCGGCGGCACAGCGCCCTTGGCGCCCGAGGTGCCAGAGGCGAGCGTGGAGGAGGACGAGTCCAGCGAGCGGAGCGAGTTCGACGAGCTGGTGCGCGACGACAGCGCCGACTGCGGCGGCGTGAAGTCTGCTGCGTGGCTGCCGAAATACGACTGCAGCGACGGCGTCGACTTGACCCCCGTCAGCGGCCGCAGCTCGCCAGGGTGGTGCAGCCCCGGACTGGTCGGGGTGCTCTGTGCGGTCTGGAACTGGCCTGGCGACGACCCGTTGACCACGATCTGCGGCGACCCGTTGCTGTTCTGGTACGCAGACAGCGGGATGGCAGTGCCCTGCGGAATAATATAGATGGGAACGGGCTGCGGGTAGATAGGCTGCCCCATCATATCGTAGCCCATGGGCATGAGGATCTGGGGCTGCTGCTGCTGCTGGGGCATCTGGACGCCGTTTTTCATGTTCTTGTTCTGCGAGCGTCTCTTGCGCACCGTTGGGTTGGTGTGTATACGCAGATGGCGGGTGAGCTCATCCGACCTAGAAAATTTTTTGGTGCAGCCAGGGAAGGTGCAATGGTGGGGTCTTTCGCCGGTGTGCGTTCTGATGTGGCGGGTTTGGTGCTCTAGCCGGTGGAACGCCTTGTCGCACATCGGACACTTGTAGGGCCGGTCGTTCTCTTTCTTGTGTTCTTCCATAGCGAAAAGAAATAAAATTTACAACGGAGGGCAAGACGCATCTTATTTAACCCTTGTCCCGGAATTTTAGGAATTGTAGGCCCAGAGTGAACCCACATTTCCCACCGCGCGGATTTCGTGGGGGAAGAGGCGGGCGCGGAACTGGTCTCACCACGAAAAAAAGTTTTTCCGGTGGCAACAATAGGAAAATTTTCCGTGTGCTGGCGTTTCCACCTTTCTTTTGCGCATCCTCCTGCTCCGATTGGGCTGCCGCTCGTAAATCTTTTAATACGATGTGCATATCCCAGGCGCGCCGCATGACAATCCACCGTTCATCTTGTTACCCCATACCCCGGCTTCCTGCAGTATACCTCTTCCCGGCCGTAGGCAACACTGTGCAGCCAACAAGAGAGATATATCTAGAGACGCATTCCCCTTCGGCAGCTCCTTTTGCACTCCCTCTTGCGTTCGCTCTTTTTCGCCCGCTTGGCGTTCCTGTCGGCATCGCTCCAGCGGATGCTCCGCTTGCCGTCAGCCGAACCGCCCCTCCCTCCAGTCAACAGAATACTCAACACAAACCTTTTTTGTGTCGTGCTTACGTAAGCACGGTTCAAACCCAAATATCCAACAAAATAAAAGCCTGCTCTGGATAATTTCGGACAGAAAACTTTTCCTCGAACCCCTGTTTACTTTGCTCTCTTGCGGGCCCCAGCACACATTCTTCCATGGACGTTATCGAGCAGACACTGCCGTACAGGCTGATCTCGTGGAATTGGCTGCCCAATTCCGAGGTGTTCCATCTCCCGAGCATCGCGAGCTCCCCGATTAAGGAGTTCCCTATGGACACATCCAACGTGTTTCTGAAGGACAAGTTCTACCCGGCGTCGTTGCACTACCTGACTCCCGTCACGGTGGCGTTTGTGTACTTCATTGCTGTCCATCTGGTCAACAAGATCGTTGTTCGCAGACAGCTACAGCAGTTCCAGAGCAACCACCCGGGACAGGCCGTTCCGAAACATCTTCCGCCGGCTCCGTATGCCATTGCCAAGCACCGCTACTTCAAGCTGTTTGTGCTGCTCCACAACGTGGCGCTGTGTGTCTACTCTGTGTGGACTTTCCTCGGCATGACCACGACGATCTACTATTATTCGCACGAGCTGATCCCAGACCTGATTGGCCGCTATTACTCGCTCTCCAGCGAGCTTTCTCCGGTCGACCTGTTCTGGCAGAGCGTCTGCGACGTGGACCACGGCATCTGGTACAACCAGGGCGACTCGATCAAGGGCCTGGCTTTCTACTCGTACGTGTTCTACCTGTCCAAATACTACGAGATTCTGGACACGGTGATCATCCTTTTGAAAGGCAGGCCGGCGTCGCTGCTGCAGAGCTACCACCACTCGGGCGCCATCCTGTCGATGTGGGCCGGCACGCGTTTTGCGTCGCCGCCGATCTGGATCTTTGTGGTGTTCAACTCGTTCATCCACTCGATCATGTACTTTTACTACACGTTGGCGTGTGTGGGCGTGCGTCTGGGCGGCTTCTTCAAGCAGACCCTCACGTCGCTGCAGATCTGCCAGTTTGTGTTTGGCGGCTCGCTCGCGGTGGTGCACCTGTTTGTGCGCTACCTGGACGTGCTGAGCGGCACGTACCGCAGCTGCATCTCGACGAGCGAGGAGGCTCTGGCACTCTTCATCAACGTGTTCTACCTGACCCCGCTGACGATGCTGTTTGCAGCCTTCTACATCGACAGCTACAAGAAAAAGGACAAGCTAAAGAAATCGTAATATAGCCATAACAAATTTCCAGCCACAGGACGTAAATTATATTTCACCCACCTCTAATTGGCCTGAGGTGTGAAAATTTAATTCATTTTTATTTATTTATTCGTCCGCATGGTGCTCTACTTCCACAACTCCCACACCTTCCCGCACACCTTCGAGACCGCCACGCTGGCGTACTTCAACCGGTACCCGAACCCGTACGCGTCGCACGTGCTCTCCATCGACACCATCGACCGCCACATCGACGCCGAGGGCCGTCTCCACCAGACAAAGCTCATCATGAAGACCGGCCGGCTGCCCAAGTGGGTCAAGCCGTTCCTGGGCAAGATCTCCACGTCCTGGATCATCGAGCGCACCGTCGTCGACCCAGGCAGCCAGACAATGCAAACGTACACGCGCAACCTCGACCACACCAAGATCATCCAGATCCAGGAGTACAACCAGTACACCTTCGACCGCGAGCTGAACCAGACAACTAACAACACCACGGTCACTTTCTCGTCCGGGTTCCAGGGCCTCGGCATCAAGAACCGCATCGAGCGGTGGTCGCAGTCGAAGTTCGACGAAAACCTGAAAAAGTCCCGCCAGGGCCTGCGCTACGTGATGGACTCTATCCGGGATAGACTCCATCTTCTCCAAAAAGCGTGAGTCACTCTATTCAGGCAAAACTCAAGTCCCAGCCCAGCCGGCGCACAATCTCGTACCAGTCGACCCACCGCTCGCCGTTCGAGTTCACCTTCCACACCTCTCTCATCACCAGCCGGCACCGCACAATGTTCTTCCACCGGTACCGCTTCACCACGTCGTCGATGCGCGCCTCCATCTGCTCGCGGTCCGCGTACACAGAGTTCATCCCGGCTATGAACACCGGGAAGCAGATGCACGCCTCCAGCCGCGTCCCCACCAGGATGTCCAGCGACGCCGCCAGCTGGTCCACCAGGTACTGGATCTCCATCGACGCCGGGTTCATGCGCAGCACCGACTGCCGCAGATGGATTTTCGCCGCCAGCTGGAACGCCTCGAACATGGTCAGCTGCAGCTCGAAGTCCGCCGGGTCCATGTCGTTCATCAGTATATAGTTTGGCGAAGCCTCGTTCAGTTTGGAGTCCAGAGCGTAGCACTCGTGCATGAACTTGTCGTAGACCTCCGCCATGCGGTGCGGCCGTTTTTGCGCACCGCAGCAGTCCTCGCTCAGCGGCACCTCGGGGTCGTGGTACTGTTTCAGAGTCTGCCGCGATTTCACCGCCAGCTGGTTGATCTCCGCCAGAATCTTGAACACCGGCGACGACAGCCCGTGCAGCGGGTCCAGAAACCGGATCCGGTTCGAGGCTATCCACATATCCTCGTACTCCTCGAGCGCAAAGTGCAGCTGGCGGTCCTCGACGATCGCCGCAGACATCATGTCGTGGTACGCGTAGTTGGTCACCAGAAAATGCTCGTCTTTGCACCCGTTGAAGGAGCGGATCCCGCCCTTTTTCTTGATCAGACTCGCGCCGTAGGGCAGGTACTTGGCCCACTTGCTCACGTCACCCTTGCAGATTTCCACTCCGCACAGGATCATTAGCGCAGCCAGGCGCAAATTGATCATGTCCGAGAAACCCAGCGTCGACAACGCCACCGAGTCGTCGAACTCGTCCGTCTCCTTCGTCACCAGCTCCTCGTCCTCCACGTCCTCCGCCAAAGCCCTGTAATTTTCGCGCGACTCGTTCGGCAGCAGCGGCCGCTCGCCAATCACCTCGATCGCCCGGTTGATGTAGTACTGGCCCTGTTGCTCCATCCTGGTGCCACCCAGATGGAACGCGCTCCAGGCCAGTATCCCGTACAAAACGCTCTTGTCCATGTGTGCCATGGGCAGAAACGTCCGCAGGTACATGTTTTCGTTCTTGTGCACCACCGACACCACGTGACACAGGTTGTCGCGGTAGTACTCGTACAGCTGCTTGCCGACGCTGGACAGCGACGCGAGCGGCGAGTTCGTCACGATCGACGGGCTCGCGTACAGCGGGCTCGCCACGGAGGGAGGAGTCTCCAGATACAGCGGCGTGATGTTGCCGCCAACAGGCGTCCGCCGGCCCTCGTCCAGGGGCAGCTCGTTCAGGAACTTGGCGAAAGACGGCGAGAAATTGGCCGCAAGCGACAACGGGCTGAACTGCGTGCTCGCCAACTGGCCCGGCTCGTCATTTTGCCTCAGGTCCGGCTCTTCCGTGCTGTCAAAGGCGTTCCACACGGAAAAGGCCGCCGCGTGCGGGCCGGAAACGGTACTCACCACCGACAACGGGTTGAATACGACCTTGTTCCCGCCCAAGGGCTCGTCCACAGGCTCTGTCTTGATTCTGGGCTGCTGCGGCTTGCGACGGCGACATTTGCGCTCGGCGTCCAGGATCTTGCACTCCCGCCGCAGCTGCCGCACCTCCTCCTTGGTCATCTCCTCGCTCACGTACTTGCAATCCTTCTTGAGCCGGATACACGCCCCACAGCTGGGCCGCTGTTCGTCGCACCGTTTCTTGCGGATCTTGCACGTCATGCACCCGTTTTTCGATCTCTTGCGGCCCTTTCGATCCACAAAGCCGGACCCCGCGTGCGACAGACTCAGCTGTATAATCTCCGTCATCAAGCCCAAAATTATCTCACCAGATAAAGCTACAATATTTTTATTATCTTTCCACTGCAGGTCGTGCACATGTAAGATAAATAATATACACTATATGATGGACTGGTAGTACAGCACAAAGTCCTTGGTGACGTATTCCCAGGAAGTCGGATCGAAAAACACGTAGGTGCCGTTCTCGGAGCCCGGCCCGTTGACCGTCGGCTCGACGCTCGAGTCCTTGGTCAGCCACACCTGCAAGTCCTTGTGGTATCTCCAGTTTCTATTGTTGAGCTCCCTGGCCACCAGCTCCTGGAGCACGTCTCTGGGCTTGGAGTAGAAGATGAAAAACAGCGTCTCGTCGTTGAACGAGCTGATCCTGCTCTCCACAGAAACGAGCTCCTCGCTATTAATCTGGAACGACTGCGGCACAGAAAAAACAGGCTCCACCTCCGACCGGCTCGTCTCGAGCCACGGAGACGCAAACGTCTTGGATATCTGCACATGGTCGTTTTTCCGCGTCACGTCCAGCCCAAGCATGTTGAGGTCCAGCCCGGTGGTTATCGTGTTGAGCTCGTTGTTCTGCATTTTCAGGACCGGCAACAGGCCCTTCAGCCCGTACTTGTCGATATCGGCCATCTCCTGCTCGCTCTTCGCCGTGCCGTTGATCGAAGAGCCCAGCCCTGACAACAAGGACGCCTTGTTTCTGCTGGCCTGTTCAATGGCGTTCAAAACCGCCTGTGTCTGGCTGATCTGTTGCTGGATGTCCGTCACGTCAGGTCGCTGGTGGTGGTTGTTCTGTGTTTGTGGTGGAATTGCCCCGAGAACCGGGAATTTATCGTTGTTGCCAGCATTATTCGTACCATGATCGGTACCGCTATTATTTCCCCAAGCAGCTGGCGCTGTTAGTATTTTGCGGCTAAAATGCCGTGAGCGGGCTACTTACACATTTGCAAGCTGTCTGATGCAAATTCCAAGGCCAATCTTGTGTGTACTGCGTGCTGAAATCCACCCCAAAGACTGTTTCTTGTAAGCTGTGGTGATGAAGCTTTTGCTGAAAATAGACTGTGCCGGGTAACAAGGAAAGTGTCTGGAAACAAAAAAATATACAAAAATATATAAAAAAATATAAAAAATCCAGCTAGATTATGCCTCGAAAACTGCCCAATATCATCATCACAGGGACACCCGGCTGCGGCAAAACGTCACACGCAGAGGCGCTGTGTGAGCAGGTGAAGGGCCTGAAACATATCAATGTCAGCGAGTACGCCAAGACGAATGGCTGTATCGACGGCTACGACAAGGAGAGAGACTCCGCTATTGTTGACGAGGACAAGCTGCTGGACTCGCTGGAGCCCGAGGCTGCCAAGGGCGGACTGGTGATTGACTGGCACTGCTGTGAGATTTTTCCAGAGCGCTGGATCGACCTCGTTGTGGTACTGCGGTGCAACAATACCCTGTTGTACGACAGACTGGCCAAGAGAGGGTACAAGGAGGACAAAATCCGCGAAAACATCGAGGTGGAAATCATGGAGGTGCTTCTCACAGAGGCCAGAGACAACTACGATGAGCAGATCGTGGTAGAGCTGCACAGCGAGAACGTCGACTCGCTGGACGAGAACGTGACGAGACTGGCACAGTGGGTTTCGAACTGGGTCGATGACCATCCGGAGGGCGTCGACACGGAGCTGTGATGTTGTATAGTAGGGACTGGTTGAGAGTATGTACATTTATTTACCGATCTTGATTCTGAGAGCTCTTTGGGCCTTTCTTCTCTTTCTGAGCTTGTGTTTTTTCATTTTCAGTCTTCTTTTGCGGAGCACCGACGAGAGCACGAGCTCGCGGGATTCTGTGAGACCGGCAACAATGGGAGTGATGAACTTGAAGCCTGCAAGCGAGAGGTTTTGAGGACGGGCGATCATGGCCGGCATCGCGAGCGTCGACGCGAGACGAGTGTGTATGCGCGGGAATGCTGAGCCGAGAAGTCTGAACATGGCGAGGGGCGGGCAGTGTCGCACTGTGATTGGATTCCGGTGGGCTTTCGACTACGGCTAAATGTTGAATATGGAAATTTTTTTCAGAGTACTAGCAAGCAGAGCGACGCGTCGATCGGCCGTAGCAGAAAGCCATACTACAGCAAGCTCCAGCTCTGCGCGGTATATATTCGTAGCAACAGTTTCGTAAGTCATGGAATGCGGGAGAACAAAGAACTCTAATAGTCGACCGGGAAGATGCTGTCGTCGTCGCAGACGGCCTCGTGCGACTCCTGACGGCCTTTCGTCTCGCGACCCGACTCTTTCAGCGACCCGGCCCGGTTTTCGGTGTCTGTGTCGTCTTCCAGAATGATGTCTACCACCTCGACGCTTTTGGAGCCCTCCTGGAACTCGTCCGGGTTGAGACCAGCTCTGACCTGCTGGTACGACGACGCAAACAGGTCCTGGTTCCAGATGAAACCCTGTGACTGGGTGAGGTTGATTGAGAACGAAGGGATTCTGGCCCGCGAGCCGTTCTCCTCCGACACGAAGCACGCCGACGGCGCAGAAGAGGACAACTCATATATCTGGAAGTTGTCGTTTTCAAGCATGGATTTGGACAGAAACGAGCGTCTGCGAGCGTACGGCGAGGATGAGGTGGTAAAGGAGGACTTGCGTCTGCGCGAAGGGGGAGAGTGGGAAGATACCGGCTGTTTGTGGCCGAAGCTCAGGGTCTGTTTTTCGTGGGGGCTGGACCCGGACGTCTCCATAGTGTAGCTTTGTTTGAACATTGTTGGTGAGGACATGATATAAGACAAGGTATATTTGGCAGGATAGAAAGTCGGGTAAAGCAGCAATAATGAGTCACTAGTAAATTCTAAGAAACAGGCAAACTCAGCAAAGACCAGTGTCGGCAACTTGGAGCAAACTGTGGTCGGTCGTTTAGGAAAAAATAGGCTGTTCAAAATTCAGTCACCAACTCAAGTGGTTATAGATAAGAACAAAACCGTATTTATTTTCGTACCCTTTTGTGACACAATTTCACGTTTATGACATAATCGATGGAAAATTCAATTTATCTACGTTGCTCTACCTAATCAGTCTTTGGACTTCTTCTTCTTCTTTTTCTTCTTCTCGTCCTCGTCGCCGTCCTCAGCGTGTCTCTTCTTCTCCTTTTTATCCTTCTTGTCTTTCTTCTCCTTCTTCTCTTCCTTCTCCTTCTTCTCTTTCTTCTCCTTCTTCTCCTTTTTCTCCTTCTTCTCCTTCTTTGGCTCCTCAATCAGATCAGCCACACCAACGCTCTTGCCCGAAAGCTCAAGAGCCTCCTGGATGGCCTCCGAGTTCTTCATTGGCGACTTTCCGGTGTCGTAGAACTCGAGTCTCTGCTCGACCTGCTTCTTCAGAATCTGGCCAAAAACGTTATTTGGCTCGTCAGAATAATTATCTATTCGAGAAGCGATAGAGCACTTGTTGGCCAGGTATCGGGAAATTCTTCCCTTGTTCTTGGCAGACGCCTTGCCGATGAACGAAGAGTGGTAGATCAGGCCGTACTTAGGCGTGTTTCCCTTGGTCTTCAGAGCTCTGAACAGCGCCTTCTCTGCTCCCAGAATTTGCACCGTGGAAGCAGCCTGTTTGGACAAGTTGGTAAGCGAACCGGCGTGCGAAATGAGTCTGGCTCCAACAACCTCCCCAATCAGCTCGGACAGGTTTGGCGCAACAGTGTGCATCTTATCGGTCAGGTATCTGTACAGATTCTTGCGGTATTCGGAGATGGAGACCGTTCTCTCTGCAAAAGTGAGCACGTTGGCCATATCCTGCTCAGAAATGTCCTGACCCATCGAGATCCGCGCAGCGTCGATGATCTGCTGCGCAACACCAGCGTCCTCGTTCACAATGGCCGCCAGGTCGTGCAGGCTGTCCTCGGTCAGCGAGGTTTTGTCCTTGATGTACAGAACAAGCTGCGCATATTGGTGGTTGTCGTTGCAGATCTTGGCAAGCTCTGGGAAGTGCCAGCCGTACCACTCCTTGACTCTCATCGAGTAGGTGTTGATGTCCTTGTCCAGCTGGTCGAGCAGAGCGATCGCCTGGATGATGTGGTTGTCGTTTTTCTGGACAGAAAACTTGACCTTGGCTCTGGAATAAGCGTGGCCCAGACCAAGCTGTGCTCTCTCAAGGTCTCCTTCTTGCAGTCCCTTGAGCAATTTGGCTCCGAAAACACGGATTCCTCTCAAAAGGTCCTGCACAACCTCGTTGGAGTAGCACTCGATGTACGGAAACACCTCCTTGATCGACGGACCCAGAGCCTTGTCGGAAATACCAAGAGCGACCTTGTTCTTTTTGGAGCCCTTAGGGATGTTCAGCTCAAGCACAGACTTCAGATAGTCGGAAACAAGACCCTCGCTAATTTCATTGGCATTCTCCAAAGCTTGCGCAGCGCCCTGGAATGGCGCAAACGACACCAGCTCCACCAGCTTGGAAAATGCTGCCAAATCGTTACATGCCGCCTGGACCTCCTTGAGACGCGAGCCGATCTCGTCCTGCTGAAGTTTCACCTTGAAGATGGCGTATCCGGTGGCCTCCTCAAAAAGAAGGTAATCTAGTCCTGCCATGCTGGTTGTGAGTATTAAAGCCAGGATACGAAGATTAGCTCCTAATTCTGAACTTGAAAAAATTACTGGGAAAATTTTTTTAATCCTTAGGCAGTGTACAAAGTAGGGTAATCGCTTCTGATCCGGCTGCTATATATACAGCGCGTTGCTGCCACTGCCTGCTTTTTTCACCTTTGCGAGCTCCTTGACGATCTGGACGTAGTCTCCTCCCAGACCCAGGTAGTCATCCACCACGGCGGCCAGGTCCACAAGCCCAGCAATGTCGAACTTCTCCATATCGAGCTGGAACGCGCCCTCTGCAGAGACTGCAATGGCTGCCACCTCCACGTTGTAGATGTTTGCGTGCGACACCAGCGCTCCGGGAGCGCCTGTGATGAAGTTTGGCGGCCGCATGTCAGGCACCTGTTTCAAAAGCAGCTCTTTTTCCGGCAGCTTGTAATTTTGAGACACAAGTTTGTTGAGCGTGTGCAGTCCGCTGAGCTCGCTGGTTGCAAAACACAGCAGCTTCGAAATAACGAAATGCTGGAACATCGTGGACACCACAAGGTTGTAGATGAGCTTGTTTTTGAACACCGGAACAAGCAGGAAAGTTATGTCCTGGTTGTTGAGCGTGGTTTGGCGCACTTGGATCGTCTTGGAGTCCTGCTGAGCCAGCACCGCTGTCGACGATTTGTAGAGCTGCTCCTCGTCGTCAAACTCCTCGGCCTCCTCGTGCTCTTCCAGCGCTGGGAAGCTGACTTTAATAGAGGAAACCACTTTGGAAGGCGCCAATTGCAACAGCGCGTCGTAAGCTGTCCTGAGCACCTCGGGAATGACGATGAAGTATGTGTTCTTGGTGTGTATATGGTGATCCACTGTGATGGTGGGTATTATGGGCTCTTTCTCCAGCAACAGGTCCTCATCCTGGACAATGTGTCTGGGAGCGGGCAGGTCCTGGAACGGTCTCAGCTAAGTATTAGTTTGGCGGAATTGTCTAACATACCATGAAAGGCAAATAAAATAATGAAAAAAAATACTAAATAATTTTGGATCGTGATTTTTTCCAATGTCCACAAATATCAATATGGAAGACCTGTCCAAACAGTACACCAAACTGCAGGCCGAGCTCACCGAGCTTGTGCGAGCCAGACAAAAACTCGAGACGCAGTTCCAGGAGAACAAGATCGTCAAACAGGAGTTCGACACTCTCGACGACGACGCCAAAATCTACAAGCTTGTGGGGCCGGTGTTGCTGCCGCAGGACAACGCAGAGGCCAATTTAAACGTTGACAAGCGAATTGAGTTCATCAACAGCGACATCAAACGTGTTGAGGAGAAAATTCAGCAGCACCAGCAGGATCTCTCCAAATTACAAGGCGTTATAATGAGTGCTCCAAGTGCATAATATGCCTATATATCATTGAATAAGTTCATCCCCGCGCAAGCTGACTCTTGATTAGGTTGACAAGACTGATCCCGTTGAAAATCGCCCACTCCTCCACCGAATTGTACGCATACCCAAGGGTGTCGATGTCGGAGACTCTATCGTTCATGAAACTGATGGTAGCGGAATAGTCTGGCGTGGTGTCGCCAAGCATAAACAGCTCTGATTGTACAAAAGCGCCCGATAGAGCAAACCGCTTCGAGTACCACGCAAAGTCGTTCGATTGGTCGCCAGAGTAGTAGGTGATGTCGTCCGAAAGATCGTGTAGCTCTGTCAGGAAGGTGCCCAGATTTGTCGGCAAAATCATGCGCCCGAGCGCCTGGTGGTAATACTTGATGATCGGCACGTTGTCCAGCAGCCTCTTCTGCATGTAGAACCGCACTTTCGCTCCCTCGGTGGCCAGTTTGCCGGCCTCGTCGTGGTACTTGCTCAAATTGGCTCTAGTGTGCTTTAGATGGTACATTATCAGCTCGTTGACCACGTCAGAGACCTGTAGTCCTATTCCAAACAGCCCGCCAAGATTCTCTGGCCTCAATTGCAAATCGGCAATGGCCAGGTCCACAGACTGCCTCGTGAAGCCGTGCTCGGGGACAAACTTGGTGTATGCGCGGCCCAAAATCTGGTTTTCAAGTTTAGACTCGTCTATAGTCGGGGTCTCCACATGGTACACGGACTGGAACCCTCTGACCGCCGCGGCGGGCTTGAAAACTGGCCGCACACACGCCCGTCCTATCGGTCCTCTAAAAAGCATTTTGTATTTGCCGCAGCTAATCACGAGATATTTTTTACCAATGTCTCCTTGCTTACGTAATCACGGTTTCACGGTGACGAGTTTGGGGTACTGGAACTCAGAGACCCCCCAGTGCGAGTTGAACCTGCCGAAGCCGGACTTGTTGGTGCCGCCATGGGGAAGGTGCGGCTCGTCGAGCACGGTTGGTCTGTTCACGTGGACAGATCCGCAGTCTATCTGGCCAGCCAGTTTGTATGCTGCGAGGCCCTGGCTGGTCCAGATAGAGCACTTTAGCCCGTAATCCAGCGCGTTGACCTGGTCAGCAACCGTCGCCACGTCTTTATATTTCACCAGGCACACAACCGGGGCAAAAGTCTCCGTGGTATACACCTTCATTTCCGGCCTCACATCTGTGAGAACGACTGGGGCGAACTGGTTGGTAGCAGAGAGGTCCAGGCTGCCGGCGAGCAACTTTGCGCCCTGTTGCAGTGCTTCGCTGACGAGTTTTTTCCCTGTCTCTGCGTGTGCGGCCGTTCTTTGCGACATCGCTAGCGATTCGTCGTTGGCGATGGTTTGAGTTGCAATTTTCTGGAGCATCTGGGCAGCCTGTGAATAGTTTTTTTCTGACACGAAAATCAGGTCCGTGCACATACAGATCTGTCCCTTGTGTGCCCAGCTGGCCCACAGACTGGTCCGTAGAGCATTTTCGAGGTCGTCGACGTCGTCCAGTATGATGGAGCAATTTTTTCCGCCGAGTTCCAGCAGCACGGGCTTGAGATGTTTTCCTGCCACCGCTGCTATTTCGGAGCCCACGCGGGTGGACCCGGTGAAATTCACCTTTTTGACGTTTCTGTTCGCAATGAGCGCATCGACTACCTCTTTTGATTTTGCCGACTCGCAATGCACCAGCGTGACCACGTCTTTAGGGACTCCAGCGTCCAGCAACGCCTGGACGGTCAGATACGAGATCCTGGCCGAAAGGTCACTGGACTTGACGATTACAGAGCAGCCCGCTGTGAGCGGGGCAAATATTGCGCGCGTGGCAAGAATCAGCGGCGCGTTCCACGCGGCTATGCTCAGCACAGGGCCGAACGGCTCGTTGACCACCATAGAGATTTCATCAGCGTCACCTGAGTTGACGTTTCGAACAGGCATTGTTCCGGCAGGTCTAGTGTCCAGAATTGACCGGTAGTGGCGGATATTATCCAGCGTTCCGTAGTAGTTGAATTCCGCCATGTACATCGGGTTTCCAATCTCTACATGGGCGTCGATCAGCTCGTTTTTCTGGGCCTCGAATTGGCGAAGGATATTGTCGTAAATGCCGAGCTTCTCCTTCACGCTCGTAGCTTTCCACAACCGAAACGCTTTCGTCGCCCGCTCGCACAGCTCTGCCACGGGCCGCGTGTCTTTCAGAGCTAGCACCTTGTGCAGGGGTTCTCCAGCGGGGGACGTAGGAATGAAGTGGTGGTCCGTGGGGGCGCCTTCAAAAATCATGGGCACGGTGGACACGCGTCGAAGATGCGCTCGCGCCACGGCAGACGCTCTCAGCGGTAAGACACAGTTCATGTGCGGGAGTACCAGAATTTGAACTTTTTTGAGCACAGCCTGAATAAAAGCAAGGGTCTGGGCAGGCGGCGAGTCCGGCGAGAACGTGGCGAGAACGCGGCGGGAATGGTGCGGAGTGCAGCTGCCGGGTGTTTAGCGCTTGTGAGAAGACTCCTTTCCCGGCAAACGTCCTAACCACCGCAGCCAGCGTGCTCCCAGACATAATTCACCCTGGCCCTTATGTAAGCTACTTTTCAAAAATTGTCTACTATTTTTCATGGTCAAAAGAACAGAACAGGAACAGCGGCTGCTGGAAATGCTGAACACGCGCGGCAACCGCAACAAGTGCGGCGAGTGCGGCGCGCAGTATCCAACGTGGGCGTCCTGGAACCTCGGCGTGTTCCTGTGCGGCCGGTGTGCCTCGATCCACCGGAGTCTCGGCCCAGACGTCTCGCAGGTTAAGTCTCTGAGTTTGGACGTTTGGACGGCAGACGAGCTGGACGCGCTGGAGTCGATGGGCAACAAGGAGAACCAGCGGCTGTGGAACAGCCGGAAGGAGCCGTTTCCGTTCGACGACGACGACAAGGGCGCAATTACGCTCTATTTGCGTAACAAGTACATAAAGGGCCTGTTCCGGACCACTCCCATCGAGCCGGAAGACTACAGGTTGCGCAAGGGCGACAGACGGCGCAGTCGGCGCGCAAGGGACGAGTACGGCTCTCGCAGAGGCGCGCGGCCGGGCAGTTCGAGCCGTCACCAGTACGCCGATCTCTCGCGCAAGCTGAGATACGACTATGGGTTTGAAGACGAGGAACGCAACCTGGACGCTCTGGAACGCAGTAACGGCGACATCAAGCGCGCGCTGCGCATTCTGGCCAAGGAGAAGGACGAGACTCCGCCGCCGCTTCCTAGACGCAGACCCACGGCTGGCGCTCTTCTGGACTCGACCAAGACCGGTGCGGCCGATTTCGATTGGCTGAGCGGCGACGGCCAGGCACAGCAGGCACAGCAGGCACAGCAGGCCCAACAGACCCAGACCGGCGCCCCAGAGGTCCAGATTTACCAGTACATCGACCCAAATACTGGGCAGGTGTACTATATCGACTCGAACGGACAGCAGTATATGGACCAGAACCAGGCGCAGATGGAGGCGCAAATGCAGATGCAGATGCAGATGCAGCAGATGCAACAGCAACAAATGTTGCAACAAAGACAGCTGGCCAACGCCCAGGTGTTGTCGGCGTATAACCAGCCGACCGGCCAGCCGGGACAGATGGGAATGGGCCAGGGTTTCTTCTGACTCACTCCTCCACGAGCACCAGGTATGTGTGCGGCCGCACGTACAGCCAGCGTTGGTAGAAGTATAGTATATCAAATAAAACCGTTCCGCTGCTACCAAGGATGTAGGGCAGCTCTGTCCTGAGAAACGGTTCTCTTTCGCCAGCCGCGAGGGCCCCTGCGTTGCACACGATCGAGAGCGAGTACGTGAGGTTGCCCATGAGCGCAAACGCAAACAGCAGAGGAGAGATGCCCTGGACCGACTTTCTATGGTAATTCTTTATCAGTTGCGGTACGCGGGACGAGAGGTAGATAAAGATACAGCCCCACGCAACAGCGGTGCCGATTGACGAGTGCTCAGTGGCTGAGGCGGTGTCGGCGGCCCGCACAGGGACAAATCTCGACCATAGCACAAGCAGCATGGCTGCCATGGAATGGGCCCTCAAACGGCCCCCATAGTGCAAAAACTGATACAGCAGCACCAGGTCGTTGAACAGAAAGTACGACGAGAGGTAGAGCTGGAACGGGAGCTGATTGGTCAGATAGCAGCCGACAAAGCTGGTGAGATCGCCGAAAAACCAGAGAACAAGAAACTGAACACTGATCCCGTCGGTGCTCTTGTTTCTGTAGTTCTCATACTGCTGCGGCACCTGTGCCATGATCCAGGAGACCGTCGATATCACCGATAAGACGGTCGCCAGCACGTCGAGGGAGATCATGTAGCCTGTTTTATCTGATAAGGAGTGACAGAAAAAAAACACAAATTGGGGAAATTTTATTTTGCTTACCTAAGCAGGATTAGCCCGTTAACCCTCTTATCAAGGGCAAAACAATTTAGTCACACCTTGTTAGTCTTTATTCTTGGTACACAGATTTATCGCGTTGGGGACTGGATTTGGTGCAGAATCTAGGCTGGAGAACGCGGCAGATCTATCGACACGCTTAATTGGCATCTTGAACACACAGAACACGATACATTACGGCACGAATCAGACACCCAGGGCACCTTGTAAGGCTTAGTCGACCCGATGTCCAAACATCAAGCACAGGTCGTTGGCGACTTTACGATAGGTCCCGAGATCGGTCGGGGTTCCTTTGCCAACGTCTACAAGGGCTACGACAACAGGACAAAAGCCCCAGTTGCGGTTAAGTCTGTGTTTAGGAGCCGTCTCAAGAACCAGAAGCTGGTGGAGAATTTGGAGATCGAGATATCCATTCTCAAAAATCTCAAGAACCCTCACATTGTGGCTCTGCTGGACTGCGTCAAGACAGACCAGTACTTCCATCTGTTTATGGAGTACTGCTCGCTGGGGGACTTGTCGTACTTTATCCGCCGGAGGGACCAGCTGGTGCAGACACACCCGCTGATCAGCTCAATTCTCGAGAGGTACCCCTCGCCTCCCAACAGCCACGGTCTGAACAAGGTCCTGGTGGTGAACTTCCTGAAGCAGCTGGCCTCTGCGCTGGAGTTTCTGAGGGACCAAAATCTAGTGCACAGAGACATCAAGCCGCAGAATTTACTACTATCGCCGCCGGTGCATTCCAAGGACGAGTTCAAGAGGAAAGGCTACTCTGGACTGTGGGAGCTTCCCGTCCTGAAAATAGCGGATTTTGGGTTTGCTCGGTTCCTGCCATCAACATCCATGGCTGAGACCCTGTGTGGCTCGCCGTTGTATATGGCTCCTGAAATTCTGCGGTACGAGAAGTACAACGCGAAGGCGGATCTTTGGTCTGTGGGAGCGGTAATCTACGAAATGTCCGTTGGCAAACCACCGTTCAGGGCGTCAAATCACGTGGAATTGCTTAGGAAGATCGAAAAATCCAAAGACGAAATCACCTTCCCAGTGTCGGCAGAGGTCCCCGACGACCTTGTGAGGCTCATCTGCGGCCTTTTAAAAGCCAATCCAACAGAGAGAATGGGCTTCCAGGAGTTCTTCAATGACCCGCTCATTGTATACGATGTCCAATGCGCAGACGAGCCTTTGGAGTGCTCGAACGTGGACGAACAGTTGTTCATCAGCGAATACCTGCCTCACCCGAAGAACTCCCCTCCTGCAAAGCCTGCTCCGGAAACCATAAAGGAAGAGTCGGAGGAAGAAGAGAGGGCAGAAAAGGCTCCTACAGATTCACTTTTGATTGGTAAGGCGGCCGACTTGAGAACACCCAAACCGATGGAAGGCTCTGGCAAGGACGAGGTGATCAAAAAGCTTATCATCAAAAGCAGCCCGCCTCCAGATACCGTCAAGGACGGGCAGCTCAAGAAAGGTGCAAGAAGAGATAAGGACGATTTTGTTTACGAGAAGGACTACGTTGTCGTTGAGAAACGCACTGTGGAAGTCAATGCCATTGCCGACGAGCTCGCCAAAGCCGGCGCGGGCGCAGTTGCCATTCCATCGCCTCATTCGGGATCCAACGAACACAGCACGGCCAACCCGCCAGGTGCGACGGGAGCGCAGAGCCAGCGCCGTTTCTCTCCCTCGAGTCGCACATCTTCAATGGGGTCGAACCGAAGACCTAGTTGGGGCGACCGCAAGATGCCTATATCCATCAGTCCTACCAATGCCTTGACGAAGGCGTTAGGTTACACCTCGAACAGATTATTTGGACAACAACAGCAACAACAGCAACAACAGCAACCTCAACAATCGCAACAGGCCGCTATCGAATCCGCAATAACGAATGTCACCACGAACTTACTTGCTACTAAGACGCTCAGGCCTCTGAAGCCAAGCCGAGAGGCCTCGCTTGAAGACACAGAGGTAATCAATCAGTTGGAGCTTCTGGCTACCATGGCACATGCTATCTCCCTGTTTGCCGAAGTGAAATTCAGCCAGCTCATTCCGTTGCCGCCATCGTCCTCGTCGCCAGGATCGGCGGATTACGACGAGATGTACCAAAACGACGCGTTCCCGCCCTCAATGGTGAAGTCGATCAGCAGCGAAGGGGTGGCTTTGTATGTCGAGACTCTGTCTCTTCTGGCCAAGGCTATGTCCATTGCCAGTGATTGGTGGCATCAAAACTCGTCGAAACCGTCTACCTCTCCGAGACTGAACGACTTGGTTCAGTGGATACGGTCGCGGTTCAATGAGTCGCTTGAGAAGGCTGAGTTTCTGCGGTTGAGGCTGGCTGAAGCGAACGAGCAGCTCGTCGGCGAGTCTGGCTCGAGCCTGAACAAGCCTGTGGTTGCTGAGAAGCTGATTTTTGATCGAGCTCTGGAAATGAGCCGTACCGCGGCGATGAACGAGCTTAAGAATGAGGATCTGCTCGGATGTGAGCTCAGCTACTCGACAGCAATATGGATGCTTGAGGCGTTGTTGAGCAACGACCAGGAGCCGGTCACGGGCAACGAGAAGCTCGATGCAGAGGACAAGAAGATCATCGAGCTGTTCATCAACAGCATTGGAAATAGATTGAAGGTTTTGCGGCAGAAGATCGATAAACAGGGAGCGAGAAATTAGGTTTGGTTTGCATCTTTTGGCTTTATTTTTTTGCATTTTGGAGGCTACATATGGGTTCCTAAGGATATACTATGCTACAATAATGGAACGTTTTCAGATTTGGGACGACTTTCGGTTGGATGGACTAGGGGCGGCTGTGCCAGTCGGGTCGTCACTGGAGGCGAGTTTATAGTCCATGCAATAATGAAATGTTGTACATAAAAAATCCATTTTAGGTAAAAGATAAATAACTTATTTTTCCATTATATCCAATCTGCTAAGTTTTCCCATGAGCATGCTGGTTCTTCTTGTGCTGGCGATGCTGGCCAGCGCAGACTCCATCTATAACTATCATAACCGAACGGCCTATATACAGCATGATGACTCGCTGATATTGCTTCCTTTTAATTCCAAGTTCAAGACCGGCCAGACAGTGACGGACCTTTGGAAACTGCCGGCTGACGACTGTAAAGTGATATCGGTCTCCAACAATCTGTACGCTTTTTACGAAACCAACACAACAGACTCGTCCGTTTTGACGGTATCCCACTTCAACGAGACAACTCAAGAATGGAAAGAGCTGGACTTCGAGTCGCCGCTGGAGTACCTTTCGGGCAGCGCCTACATGGCGACGCCCGACTCTCCGGGCTCGGTTTATGTGTATGGAGGCTACAACTCGTCGTCCGGCTCGATTTCTGGACGGCTGGTGCAAATAGACCTCAATTCGCTGGAAATAGCAAATACCCAGTCTTCACTGCAACCGACCAGTTTCTACGACTCCTCGTCGCTCCTGATCAACCACAATACTCTTGTTCTGGTTGGAGGAAAAACCGGAAGCGGCTGGGTGAGTCTGAAACAGCTGGCGGTGTGGCAGTACGAGTCGTGGGGCTTTAAAAGCGTATCTGTGGATAAATCAGACACCATCAACTCCAGGGCCGGGGCGCTGCTGCTGCCTGTTTTTTCGAGCAATATGATCACCCAGGAGTACCTCAGCAGCAACTACAGCGATTTCTCGGTCGACTCCGTGCTGATGGTGGGAGGAGGGCTCTCTTCTGGATCGTACAGCTCGCCAAACTTCGCCAGATTGAACGTGGGATCTTCCTGGTCATGGACCTCGCTGGACACCACGGTGAGTCTTGCAAACTCGAAAACCAACAACGCCAACAACAGCCAGCTGAGCGTGGACGACATGGTCGGCGCTGCGGTGATCTACGACACGCTGGTTGTGGTGAACGGAGACGGTGCCAATTACACCCTGACACTGTACAACACGACGAGTTTCGAGGTGCTCGAGTCGGTAGACTACTCGGACTTGACGAAAAAGACGTCGGGCAAGTCCAACAAGAGCCTCGTGATCGCGCTGTCTGTGCTGATCCCCGCGCTCGCAGCAACGATCATCGCCCTGGTGGCAGTCTGGCTCTACAAAAAATACAAGTCACGTGAGGCAGAAAAGCAGAAGGAAAAAGACTTGAAGGATATCATGGAGTTCTACCGGGCTGGAAACTCGTCGTCGACGACGTTTGCCTCGCATGGCGCGGAGAAGGAGAACACATACTTTGGGAACCATGTCAAGGTCAATAATTACGACGACGGCGATAATCTGTCCATCAGCTCGTGGAAACGCAAAAGATGGCAGCTGGAGTCCGAAATACACAACCACGACCAGGACACAGACCCGGAGCTAGACCCGGACCCGGTGGACAGAAGCCCCGTGTCGCCCCTCAAACGGTCACTGTCCACTTTCTCGTACTCGCTGGGACGCTCGCTCAGACGCAGCTTTTCGTACCAGTCCAGTATCCGTACTTTCTTCACAGCAGAGACCACGCTAGACAATTCCAGCCAGAGTCCACAGCTCACCAATATCCCTGTCTTGCGGCCCGTCGACGCGTCCAACTCAACGCTCCATCTGATTCCCGAAGACTCGTCTCTCAACTCTTTCAAACTGAAGGCCGCAGCAGACTCGCACTCCTTGACCTCCAACTCGACCATCTGCGGAAATAGCGAGAGCTCGGGCTCGCCGCCAGCTTCGCCGCCGCCAGCAGCACGCACCACGTCGCTGGTGTTCCACAACAGAGCTCCCATCATGGCGATGCCCGGCCGGTCCAGAGATTTCTTGCCACCTCCAGAGTCGGACCTGGAAAATCTGGACGTGCAGATTCTGGTGAGCTCCAAACGACGGTCCAAACTCAGAGTCACCAACCCCGACCCGGACGGACCGCGAAAACGCACAGCCAGCAACGAACACGACGAAGAACAGTAAATAAAGTAACGCTTATTTTTTAGTACACAGAACCAAACGTAGACTCGCGCGACTTCTGGATCAGATACGAGTCGGCAAGAACCAGGGCAGCCATGGCCTCGACGATCGGAATGGCACGAGGAACAACGTTGGGATCGTGTCTTCCGCGAGACTTGAGCACGCCGTCGTCTCCCTCGTAGCTGGCGGTCTGTTGTTCCTGTGAAATGGTAGCCGGAGGCTTGAAAGCAACGCTGAAGTAGATGTTTTCGCCGTTCGTGATGCCGCCCTGGATTCCTCCCGAGTTGTTCGTGGCGGTGCCAAGCTTGCCGCCCTTCTTCACAAACGGATCGTTGTGCTCCGACCCTCTCATCTTGGTTCCCTCGAAACCAGAGCCGATTTCGAAACCCTTGGTGGCAGGGATCGAGAGCATCGCGTGAGCAAGCATGGCCTCCAGCTTGTCGAAAGCTGGCTCTCCCAGACCGATCGGCACGTTTCGTATAACGCACGTCACAATCCCGCCCACGGAATCGTTGCGCTCCTTGCAGTCCACGACCAGACGGGTCATTTCGTCGGCTTTTTCGAGAATAGGACAGCGAATCGGACCCGACTGGTCGACTCTCTCTCTGGTGATGGTCGACAAAAGCTCCATAAACTCGGGGTTCTGAACAGAACGGTCAATCTGGCACTCTCCAACACCAGAAACAAACGCCACGATCTCAACGTCGTTCACCTGTTTGAGGAACTTCTCGGCAATGGCTCCTGCAGCAACACGACCAATAGTCTCTCTGGCCGACGATCTGCCTCCGCCAGACGACGCCTTCACTCCATACTTGGAAAGGTATGTGAAATCAGCATGCGAAGGTCTAGGAAAAACATCCATCTCTGTGTAGTCCTTTGGTCTCTGGTCCTCGTTCTTGACAACCATGGCAATGGGGGTTCCTAGCGTTTTGCCAAACTCGGTTCCAGACTGGATCTCAACTCTATCCTTCTCGTTTCTAGGCGTGGTCAGCTTGGACTGGCCAGGACGTCTTCTAGACAACTGTGGTTGGATGTCGTCCTCGGTCAGACTCATGTTAGGCGGCACGCCGTCCACGATACACCCCACGGAACGGCAGTGCGACTCTCCGTAGGTGGTCACTCTGAAAATTGTTCCGAATGAAGACATGATGGATAAAATCGAAACACTTAAATGTTTTTCAGATCTTGGTACGCCAGAAAAAATTTCGACCAGAACCAAAATTGACTAACACTTGTTTCGAAAGTGGCATCCTTGCACCAGCTGGTTTCAGATGGTGGCTATCCACTCCCAAACTTTGAACATCTCGCCTCGCACCTCCGTCATGTACGTTTTCACGTTTGAGTTGGTCTCCACATGCTTGCTGACCTCGTTCCAAACCTTAGTTTTCTGTTTTGCGCTCAAGGATGCGTCTATTAGATAGTAATCGCGAAGCTGGATTTTGCCGATGTAAGGCTGCGGCGACTGGCCTAGTCGATACAGCTCGGCCTGTTTGCGTAACTTTTCGATGGTTTTCGTCGTGAGATCGTTCACCAGAATCCGTTTGTTCCTGTACTGGGTGAACTTGACACTGACGTATTTTATCAAGGTAGCAAATAACACCAGTGCAAGCAAGTGCCATTTGAGGCGGACAAACACGTCCATGAACATCCTGATGAGCCTGCACTTGATCGACAATTTCGATAGCGAATTTGAACGAATGAAATTCTCTCCAGTCACGAGCTCCGGACGCTGTTTGAGAATGGCAAACGTCTTCTCCCACAAGTAGTCGAAATCGTCGTCTTTCAGATCGAAAGTCTCGATAATGTAATTTTGCAAATGCGGTATGGTCATTCCAACCTCGTGGTCTTCGCCCCTACCGCACTTGTACTCGGCGTTTCGGCGATTCAGCAGGTCCGTTGCGACTTTGACCATCTTGTCGATTTTTTTCACCTTCACGGAGTCCAGGACACAGGTCTGGTATGTCGGTAACACTCCAAATAGCGACTTTAGCGGCTTATGGATGGTGTAGTCGGGATCGCAGTAAAGTCTAGAATAGGGGAAGCATTGTCCGTGTTCGGGACACGGAACGCAAGACAGAGTGAATATGCTTTCGATCCTGTCCAAGTAATGAGAAATTATCGGATGGGCTCTTCTATCGTACTCAAACAGCGGACTGTACACCTCAGAACCACAGAAACCGACCCTTATCCGCTGTTCGCGGTACGACGTAAACGCGTACATTAGACTCAGCGTCAAAAGCCAAGCAGTCACGAGTCTGTAGATGAGATTCGATGGCGGAGCTGCCCCGATCGATTTGAGAGCCTGCTTTGATTTCTCCTCTATCTGCTCTTGAGTGACATCAATTTCGTGTTGCAACTGGGTCAGCATCTCCTCGTCATTGGTGCTGTCTGGCGACTGCGGCCTTGACAACTTCTTTTCCTCTGATTTATCCAGGGAAATCGGCTTTGTTGGGCCAGACAGTTTTTCGAGCTGCGCAGCAAAATCGGAGACATCGAGCGAAGGGATTGGTTTTCGCGGACTGTTAAACACCATCGGCGTCGAAGAGGGCAGAGTAGGTACCACAAACGATTCGTCGAGGTGCGTATCTGCAGGGGGCGGTGTTTGAGACACTTCGTTCTTGGCGTGGATAATCACAGTACTTTCTTCTTGCTTGTCTTCCGTAGGCGAAATATTGCGCTCGTCTTTCAGGCCTGATATCTGGTCTGCCCGCGGACTCGATTCCTCCTTGATATCGGTCTGTTTCTTAGGAGACACAATTGTTGAGTTATTAGGCGTCGTTGGTGCCGAGGAAGAAAAAACACGCTTGTGATTCGTCTGTTTCTTCAGAATCTTGGAGTACTCTTTGTGCACCGTAGCGTCGGCATCGTCGTTACCGTCCTCCAGGCCGCGTTTCTGGGGAATGCTTTGGCCGACCAGGTCCTTGAGCTTTCCCTTGCCAGGAGGACTGGCTATCGCAGGCGGCAAATTCGAGACACGCTTCGGCTTGGGGATCTTGGCCCGCGGCTTGGTCACTTTTGGCGGGGGTATTTTCGAGCTGGAAACATGAACAGTGGCTTGTTTCTGTTCCGGCTTGGAAAGCTCTGTATCCGCCTTTTTGCGCTCCTCCTCTGCGCCAGAGCTTAGCTCGGTCTCGTCCTCGCTACCTTCACTGTCCTCCGCCGTATTCTCCTTTTTTTCGCTCTCAGAGGCCCTTGTTTGGGCTTTAAGCAGCTCGATAAGATCTGCCTTACGCGCACTCCTGGGTATGGACACGCCGCGTTTGTGCAGGATCTTTTTCAGATCGACCACACGCAGCGAATTGAGGTCAAACTCTGGCGTTAGAACGCGGTGCCGCTGAACTTACCCGTCTCACTCGGTGCACTCATAAACAAGACAATAAAGTAAATAAAGGTTTGAATTTTTTGGGTGGATTAGGTAAGCGGGCCGGACTGGAGCGGCACAGCCCAGAAAAGCTCTGTTGTTTCTTCTGACTCGGATGTTTACGTAAGCCCGCAGAAAATGGTGTGACGGCAAAAAACGGTACGGACCCATACTATCCATCGGTCGTGGGAGGACCTGCGGGATAGGAGCAATAGAGACCGAAAACGCCTTGGGGGCAAAAACAGGTTTCTATGCTCGCGCTGTCGCGCAAGCTCGCTCCTTCCGCACAGCATCTCACTCTGCCCGCTCTCCGGCCCCGATCTGAGGTCATGCTCCTTCCCCTCACTTGCCCTACAAACAGCTGTCTTTTTCACAATTTCTGCCACCCGTGCGGCTTTCGTGCATATGGGTGGCATGGTGTAATTTATTTGCTGCATAGGTTGATCCGAAAATCATATAAAAGGTGTAGCAACCACCCCTTACAGCCATTGCAAAATGACTGAATCCCAACTACCTTCTCAAATTCCCTTTGGCCGCTACGTGTTTGAGCGTATCAAGCAAGTCGGAGTGAACACCATCTTCGGTGTTCCTGGTGACTTCAACCTGTCTCTGCTCGACCACGTCTACACAGTGGACGGCCTGAGATGGGCCGGTAACGCCAACGAGCTCAATGCGGGCTACTCTGCCGATGGTTACTCGCGCATCAACGGCATGTCCTGTCTGGTGACCACCTTTGGTGTCGGAGACTTATCGGCGGTCAACGCCGTTGCCGGTATGATGGCCGAGCACGTTGGATGTCTGCACATTGTCGGCACGCCTTCGCTGTCGAGTATCTCGAACAGACTGTTGTTGCACCACACGCTGGGTAACGGCCGTTTTGACATTTTCGAGGAGATGTCTAAGCACATCACCCAGAAGACCGCCAGCATCGATGATATTAGAACCGCACAGGCCGTCTTGGACGACCTGATCGAGACCGCCTACACCACCAAGAGACCGGTGTATTTGGGGCTGCCTTCGAACTTTGTGGACCAGCTGGTCGACGCCGAGCGGCTGAAGACGCCATTGAAGCTGACGCTGCCTCCTAATAACAAGCTTGCCGAGGACGAGATTGTCGAGGGCATCTTCAACAAGATTATTGAGGCCAAGGACCCAATTCTGCTCGTGGACGCTTGTGCCTCGAGACACGACGTGCAGGACCTTGTGGCGCAATTCGCCGAGGCCACGAAATTCCCCGTCTACACAACGCCTATGGGCAAGTCGGCCTTCAGCGAGGACCATTCCAGATTTGGCGGTGTCTACATCGGAGTCCTGTCGAACCCGGACGTGAAGGAGGCTGTCGAGTCGTCTGACCTGATTTTGAGTGTCGGCGGCCTGCTGTCGGACTTCAACACCGGCTCGTTCTCGTACAACTACCACACCACCAACGTGATCGAGTTCCACTCGGACTTCTGCAAAGTCCGCGCCGCCACGTACGCGGACGTCAAGATGAAGTACGTGCTCGAGAGACTGTGCCGCAAGATCAAGGACGCCAAACTGGACTACGTGCCAAAGCCGCTGCCAGAGTCGGTCAACGACTACAAGCAGGTGGCCAACATCAAGTCGGGCAAGCTGACGCAGGACTACCTGTGGAAGAAACTGTCCTTCTTCCTGCGCTCCGGCGACGTTCTGGTCACCGAGACAGGCACGTCCTCGTTCGGTGTGACACAGACGCATTTCCCAGGCAACATCACGGCCATCTCCCAGGTGCTGTGGGGCTCGATCGGCTACTCGCTTCCTTCTGCCACCGGCGCGCAGTTCGCGCTCGAGGAGATCGACCCTAGCCGCAGATGCATTCTGTTCATTGGTGACGGCTCTCTGCAGCTGACCGTCCAGTCCATCTCCGACATCTGCCGCTGGAACCTCAAGCCATACCTGTTTGTGCTCAACAACAACGGGTACACGATCGAGAAGCTGATCCACGGTCCTCAGGCACAGTACAACATGATCCAGAAATGGGACCACTTCAAGATCTTGGAGCTGTTCCACGACAAGGTCGACTACGAGAACCACCGCGTGTCGACGATCGAGGAGCTGAACGCGCTGTTTGCCGACAAGGCGTTCAACAAGAACGACAAGGTCAGACTGATCGAGATCATGCTCGACGAGATGGACGCCCCAGAGAACCTGGTCAAGCAGGCCAAGATCTCGGAGCAGATCAATGCTGCCTAATGAATACAGATTTATAATGTTTATAGACTTTATCTAAAACAGGCCCTCGATCTGGCCGTCCACAACCTCGACGTTCATGTAGCCCGCGTGCGTGGCGAGGCCTGGGATCGTCATGATCTCGGCGGCCAGAGCGTACAGATAGCCCGCGCCGGCGCTCAGCCGCACCTCTCTGATCGGAACGGTGAACCCGTGCGGAACACCCTTGAGTTTCGGATCGTGCGACAGCGAGTACTGCGTCTTGGCGATGCAGATCGGCAGCCGGCCAAACCCTTGCGCCTCGTACGTGGCGATCTGCTCTCTGGCCAGCGCCGACAGCTCGACGCCGTCGGCGCCGTACATTTTGCGCGCAATCGCGCTCAGCTTGTCCTCCACCGAGCCGTCCAGCTCGTACAGAAAGTTGCCCGCGTTCGGCTGTTTGGCAGCCTCCACCACGGCCCGCGCAAGCTCCACCGCGCCGGCTCCGCCCTGCGCCCAGTGGTTCGACGGCACGGCCGCCGTGGCGCCCGCCTTTATAGCCTCCTCCTGGATCGCAGCTATCTCCGCAGCCGTGTCCGTGACAAACTGGTTGATGGCCACCACGACCGGCGCGCCGTAGCTCTTGGCGTTGGCGATCTGCTTCGCCAGGTTGGCGCACCCGCGGCGCACGAGCTCCACGTTCTCCTGCGTGTACGCCTCGGGCAACGTCTGGCCCGGCTTCACGTCAGGGGCACCGCCGTGCAGCTTGAGCGCGCGCGACGTGGCCACCAGCACCACAACGTTCGGCTTCAGCCCGGACGCGCGGCACTTGATGTTGAAAAACCGCTCGCCGCCCATCGTGAAGTCGAACCCAGCCTCCGTCACGACGAAGCCCTTGGTGGCGGCGGCAGAGCCGGCGGGAGCACCCTTGTGCGACCCCACAAGCTTGAGCGCCAGCCGGTCAGCAATGACCGACGACGCGCCGATCGAGATGTTGGCGAACGGCCCCGCGTGCACAAACACGGGCGTGCCCTCCAGCGTCTGCATCAGGTTCGGCTTGACCGCGTCCTTGAGCAGCGCCGTGATGGCCCCCGCACACCCCACGTCCTCCGCCGTGACCGGCTCGCCGCCCCGGCTCGAGCCCACCACCATGCGGCCCACGCGGTCTCTCAGGTCCTCCAAGTCCCGCGATAGCGCCAAAATCGCCATGATTTCTGAGGCGACCGTGATGTCAAAGCCTGTCTTGCGCGTGAAGCCTTTTTCGGTCGGAGCCTGCCCCACGGTAACCTGTCTGAGGAACCGGTCGTTCACGTCCACCACGCGTTTAATCTGAATCGATTCCGGGTCGAGATCGAGTCTTGCAAACCGCGCAGCGTCCGCCTCGCACAGCTTGTCCGGGTCGGTCTCCGCAATGCCCAGTTTTTGCAACCGCTTCAGCATAGATGGGGTGAACTTTCTCTGGCCCTTCTTAACCGGAACAAGCCGCTTGTACAGCGCCTTGTCGCTCTGCGTGCTCTCGTGAAACATCCGTGTGTCAATGGCCGCCGCCAGCAGATTGTTGGCGGCGCCAATTGCGTGGATGTCGCCCGTCAAGTGCATGTTGAACTCGTCCATTGGGATCACCTGCGCATAGCCACCTCCGGCAGCTCCGCCCTTGACACCAAACGTGGGGCCCATCGACGGCTGTCTCACGTTGGCCACCGCAGGGACGCCCAAGTGGGCGCCCAGAGCCTGCACCAGCCCCATCGTCGTGGTCGACTTGCCCTCACCCAGCGGCGTGGGGGTGATGCCCGCCACCAGCACGTAGTTGCCGTTGTCGCGGTCCTCCTTCAGCCGGTCGTACACCGCCAGCGACACCTTGGCCTTGTAGTGGCCGAACTGCTCGAGCTCGGACTCCTTGATGCCCAGCTCCTCGGCGACCTCGGTGATGTGCTTTGGCTGCTGCGCCCGCGAGATGTCGATGTCGGACGGCACCGGGTCGACACATTCAAGTGGGAGTGGCACGCACTCGACGGGGCGCGATTCGCGCTCCATTTGGCGCTTCGCTGCCTGCACAACGTTGTCCACAAGCATGGCCACCGTCATGGGGCCGACTCCGCCAGGGACAGGCGTCAGGAACGAGGCCCTGTCGACACACGAGTCGTAGTCGACGTCCCCCACAAGCTTGCGCCCACTCTTGGTGCCCGGGGCGTCCACGTAGTTGATCCCGACGTCGATCACCACGGCGCCCGGCTTGAGCCAGTCGCCCTTGACGAATTTCGGCTTTCCGAGCGCAGCAACCACAATGTCGGCCTGGCGCACCAGCTCCGGGATGTTTGCCGTGCGGCTGTGGCACATGGTGACCGTGCAGTTGGCCTTCTTGAGCAGCGCAGCAACAGGCGTCCCCACGATGTCGGAGCGGCCAATCACGACGGCGTGCTTGCCGGCCAGCTCGACGCCGGTCTGCTCCAGCAGCCGCATGCACCCGTTCGGCGTGCACGGCAGAAACAGCGGCTCTCCGTCCTTCTTGGCCAGCTCCCCCACGTTGTATCTGTCGAAACCGTCCACGTCCTTCTCCGTGGCCACGCTGTTGGTGACCTTGACCTCCGTGATATGTTTTGGTAGCGGGAGCTGCACCAGAACTCCGTGCACCTTGGAGTCCTCGTTCAATTCGCGGATCTTGTTCAAAAGAGTCACCTCTGCTGTGTCTTCTGGCATTTTGATGACGTTGCACTCGATGCCCGACTCTGTCGATGCCTTCAGCTTCATTCTCACGTACGCCGAGGAGTCTGGTCTGCTGCCGACCTGGATGATTGTCAGTGACGGCTTGAAGTTGGGGTTGGCCTGCTGCACTTGCGAGATCGCCTTTCTTGCATTTGCACGGATCTCGGCGGCCAGCTTGGTGCCCGAGAGAATTTGCGCGGCCAGCGACCGCACAGAGGCGCTGAACCGTCTGAGTTGCATAGATTTGAACGAGCTTGCTCTGAGCATGGTGTATCTAGAGCAGGGTCTACTATGCGGATGAGTGAAAGAATTTATTAAATCAATTTTTCAAGTCAAAAAAAAAAAAAAATCGTGGATGCACCTGCACAAAAAATAAAACTAATATAAATAGCCAAAACGGGGGCAGCACAGGAGAACAGTATAGCGTGGTGGCTGTTGCTGGTGCGCCTCTCGCAGACTCTTATGGCCGTCGATCAGTCCCAGCACCTGTAGTATTGTCTCTGAATGTTTCCAGATTCCCCCACCCCTCCAATTTTAAATCTCAGCTATTTAATTTAACCTCAAATTAATTTTCACATCTCACAACATTTATATTGTCGCACTATATACATCACACCTGCTTTCCACGCGGCCGGTCCTTCACCTTGTTCTTGTTGACGTGCTTGCCCGTTCTGGTCTTGAACCCACCCTTGGCAAGAACACCCCAAGGAGACATAGGCGGCTTGTTACTCTTCGACTTACCACGGCCTCCTCCGAGCGGGTGGTCCACCTTGTTCATGGCCACTCCTCTCACGGTCGGCCTGATACCCTTGTTTCTGTTTCTTCCGGCCTTACCCAGACTCTCGTTGTGGTGCGCCGCGTTCGACGTCACGCCAAGCGTGGCACACGCTTCCAGACTCACATACCGCTGCTCGCCGCTCTGCAATTGCACCACGGCGCGCTTTTTTTCTGGGTCTTTCGCTACCACACGCGCGTACGTGCCCGCAGCACGGCAGTACTTGGCCGGCCCGTTCTTGTGCTCGCCCACATTGTACACAATCGTGCCCACGGGAATCAGAGAGATGGGAAGACAGTTGCCCTTTCTGGAGATCCGCACAGCGAGAATCGCAGGGTCGATCTTGCCCCCCATCTCCTGCATGATCCTCTCAGGGATCCCAGACCGGAAAGACTCCACCTCGTCGCCTTCTCGGAGCCCCTCGCACGCGATTATGTACGAGAGCTCGCCCGTCTCGTTGTGCTTGATCAGAGCAATGTGTGCCGTTCTGTTCGGGTCGTACTCGATTCTCACCACCGTCTGCGGCCCGCCAGCCTGTCTGGTGTAGTCTATCAGCCGGATCCGGCGCTTGTGCCCGCCTCCGCGGTGTCTCACAACGATTCGTCCCGTGTTGTTACGTCCGGACCTCGGCACCCTTGTCACGGTCAGCGGCTTGTGGGGCTTGCCTTTCCACAGATAAGGGTACACCGGCCGCCGCCACCACCTCAGACTCGGCGAAACAGGCTTCATGCGCTTGAGCTGGACTCTTTCCTTCGACAGCTCGAGCTGTCTTCTCGTCATGGTGTCCTGCTTCTCAAGCTCGGTCTGCTCAATGCTTCGCTGGCCGAGAAACACCTGGCTCGCCGGCCTGGCCGCAAACAGCGGGCCGAACCACGGCGCAGCCACGGCTCTTCTCGAAACCTGGAATAGAAAAGACATGGATGGGTCTTGTATTTTTTTTCATCCGTATTATTTTGAACGCAGGGCGCATAACTGTCGCGCACAGGGGCCGCTAATGCCCAACGAATGAAAAAATTCAGTCCTCCAAAAACACTCTGTTAATCAGATTCCGAGCCATGTTTGCGTCCCGTCAATTCGTGAGAAGATTGGCATCTGCCGCCCCAATCAAGCCTCCAGTCCAGCTGTTCGGTCTGGACGGCACCTACGCCACCGCATTGTTCTCCGCTTCAGCCAAGGACTCCTCCATCGACAAGACGTTCCAGTCTGTCCAGAAACTCTCCTCCACCATCAGCAAGGACGCCAAGGTCGCCCAGGTGCTGTCGAATCCGGCTCTGTCGCTGAACTCCAGAAAGGAGGTTGTTTCCATCCTGTCCAAGGAGCTGAAATTGGAGCCTGTTGTGTCCAACCTGTTGACCGTGTTGGCCGAGAACAACAGACTGTCCTTGTTCGACTCCATTGCCAAGCAGTTTGGCGTTCTGAACGACGCGTACAACGGCGTGGTCGAGGCCACCGTTGTTTCCGCCAAGCCACTGGACAGCAAAATCCTCAACAGACTGACCAAGTCCATCACCAACTCCAAGTACGTTGGCTCGGGCAAGACCCTGAAGATCAAGAACGAGGTCAACCCAGAGATTCTGGGCGGTCTGATTGTTGAGGTGGCCGACAAGTCGGTCGACCTGTCGCTCGCCACCAAGGTCAACAAGCTCAACAAGGTTTTATCGGAGACTATTTGAGGATATAGCAATGAGATTCTAGACGTACTGTACCGGTAGGTGTAGTGGGGTGGGTGGTGTTTTAATGCTTTGTCCACCCCCCCTCGCAAGAGTTCTTAGCTCCCCCCCCCACACAGCAGGCTTTGCATAAATTCGTCTCGAGCTGGCCTGTATTTTTTTTTTTTATGGACGTTGGACAGCAACTCAGCCGTCTGAATATCCGCGACTATGAGGACATAACCAGCGAGTTCTTCGCCATAACGTCAGCCATCGAGTACGGCTCCATCGTCAAGTCGAAGCAATTCAAGCTTCTGGAAGGCACTCACGCTCTGGAGGTGTTGAATCCCAAGCTGGACACAGCGCTGCTGGAGCCTGGCATTCTACATCCAGTCGTCGAGACGCTCGACCAGGCTGCGTGGGTGATGGTGCGTCTGCTCGGCAGCGTGTGTGCGTGGCTCGAGAACAACTCGCTGAGCGTAAGCGTTTTAAGCTGCTATTTTGTCGAGCAGCTTATTCAGCGCAAACCCGTCACCGGCGAGCTTGTGGAGCGGTGCGTGGCTCCCTTCGTGAAGGGCGTGATCAGTTTTGTCAGCAGCGTGCTGAAACTCGGCGTCGCGGGCGTCATTTACGAGGAAGAGGACCTTAATACACAGACGATGGATCTTGACTTTTCCGTGTGCGACGGGGAGCAAACGGTGCTGGAGCTGCGAAATGCCGTTACGTGGGTGCGCAGCCAGCCAGAGTCTAGACCGCAGCAGCTTTGCGTGGACCTGCTGTCCCTGGTCGAGCACAGCCTGCACATTTGCGAAATTACACAGGTCTCCGTCGAGCTGTACGAAACCAGTCCGCAGTCGGTGTCGTCGGTGTCGTTTGCCGACAGTGCACTGGAAACCCTGGCGCGGCTGGCTGAGTCAGAGACCGTTGCGTTCGCCGCCGCGCTGCCGGAGGTGGCCTGCTTTTCCGCAAACGTGCAAAAAACGCTCAACAACCGATCGCCGCCCAAACCGTTGGCACATTCAGATTTCGCCAGCTCGCTCGAAAACTTCACCAAGCTGTTCACGGACTTCCAGTTCATGCTCAACGTGCTGGCTGTGCGCGACTCTGTGGAGCTGTACGAGTTTTTAAACTTATTTATGACGCGACGCCAATTCACAACCGATCCGGACGAGATACTCGGGAACCACGTTGTTGTGCGTGCGTTGATGCAGCTTTTCCTCATCAGAGACGACCGGTCGATACTGGGGTCGCGCCGATGGAACATCTCGACGCTTTTGATGGACGTTTTTTCAAAGATCTCGTTCCAAAACTCCAGGCTCCAGAGCAGCACCGACGACGAGCTCCGCAACGGCCTCGAAAAAATGATCATCCAGATAGAGCCGGCGTTCTACAACTTTCTCACGTGCATCTCGCAGAACCCGTCGCGCCAGCGCCAGTTCGTCAATAAGGAGCTGATCATTTGGGACTCGATCCAGGTCGAGGCCGAGAATTTCGAGCTCGAGAGCCACGCCAAGCTCCACGACACTTTTGCGAACTCCGAGCTGCCAGTGATGCCAGTCTCGTCCTTTGTCTACTACCTGAAGCTCACCAAGATGGCAGAGCTGCTGTTCAAGTCCATAGAGCTGTGTCTGTTCAAGGACTGTCGCGAACTGCATCTCGGCTACTGGCTGCTCGCAAACCAGCTCGACTATTTGGTGCAGCACATAAAACGGCTGCTGGACATCAACCAGCTGCGACAGACGCAGCTGGCGGCGTTCTCGAAGAAAATCAAGAAGGCCAAGGGCGACAAGAAGGCCAAGCTGCGCGAGGAGTACGAAATAAAAAAACAGTCTCTACCGCAGCTACAAAAAATGGAGCTTTATTTTAATATGCTGCTGACAAAGTACCAGATCCACAAAAGTCTCGCCGAAAACCGCGCCACCGTGCTGCGGATGCTCGGAAAACAGGGCTTCATGGACCTTCCGAAGCTCTGCAAGGCCTCAGAAGAGACCCTGTACAATCTGCAGTTCAAGTCCTTCCAGTCAATAGGAGTTCCTCAACTGCCCTCATTCAAAGAGTACAAGGAGATGATGAAACAGGAAAAATGGCTGGCCAGCCAGCTGTCCCCCGAGGCCAACGCCAGCTACCAGAAGGGCGTCCTGAAACAGAAATCAGACGAAATAAATGCCAACATCCGACGTCTGGAGGCACTGGTAGCAGAAATGCAGCTCCCGCAATTTATCAGCGAACGGCTCATACAGGACACTAAACTGCTGAAAAAAGCCAACGTGGCATGTCTGCTGACGTTCAGCCAGGCGCTCAAGGTGGCAGACCTGCCGAAATCGCACGTCGCAGTGGTGTTCGAAAAGTACGACCACCACCTGTACTATCCGAATATAAAAGTGGCAGCAAAATAAATACCAGCCAGCACTAAACAACCAGTCGGACGGTGGCTTCGGCATCCGCTAAGGAAGAAGGGATTCTCACCGACATGGCGTAGCAGAGCAGCAGTAGGGAGAGCCGCGGGCTCCCGCCCCGAGCCCTCGTCTGAAGTCACGTGACTTCACACGGAAGCCGGGGCCAGGGTTTCGACTGTGCCAGTTTTTGAAAAATTCAGGCAAAAAAAATTTACCACACCTTTTAACCATGCCTCCAAAGTTCGACCCTAATGAAGTGAAGTACATCTACCTGAGAGCCGTTGGTGGTGAAGTGGGAGCATCCTCCGCTCTTGCCCCAAAGATCGGTCCTCTTGGTCTGTCCCCAAAGAAGGTCGGTGAAGACATTGCCAAGGCCACCACCAAGTTCAAGGGTATCAAGGTGACTGTGCAGCTGAAGATCCAGAACAGACAGGCCCAGGCCTCTGTTGTTCCATCTGCCTCCTCGCTGGTCATCACCGCTTTGAAGGAGCCACCTAGAGACAGAAAGAAGGACAAGAACGTCAAGCACTCCGGAAACATTCAGCTCGAGGAGATCTGGGAGATTGCTAGAACCATGAGAGAAAAGTCTTTCGGTAAGACTCTTGCTTCCGTTGCCAAGGAGGTCCTTGGTACTGCCCAGTCTGTGGGATGCAGAGTTGCCGGTAAGAACCCTCACGACATCATTGAGGCCATCGACGCTGGCGAGATTGATGTCCCAGAAAACTGATCAGATATGTACACGGCGGAATATATCATAATACAGAAAGAAAAGTCCTTCTATCCAGTTTGCCAACACTCTGGTGCCAAGTGTCTGCCATATTTGGTTCCTATTTTGGTGCAAACGAGATCAATCTGTTTCCTACTCACCATGGATGAACATAGTGATTCCACTGGTCCATTTCAGATCCAGACATAGTTAACTGTAGCTATTTTGTAGTATATTTTCCCCTGCACGACCTCTGTAGATAGGCTATGTAAACAAAAAATAATAATTTCTCTTCTTCATGTCTGATTCCATCGACAGGGTCTTTGTCAAGGCCATAGCCACCATCCGGACGCTGTCCACGCGGTCGCCCAAGAGCTCGCTGCCGCGGCCGCCGCTCGCCAACCGCGTCAAGCTATACGGGCTCTACAAGCAGGCGACCGAGGGGGACGTCACAGGACTCATGGAAAGACCCATAGGGTCGCGGCCAGAAGATGAGGCAGCCAAGCGCAAGTGGGACGCGTGGAAGCTGGAGGAAGGACTCTCCAAAACAGACGCCAAAAAACAGTACATTTCATATCTAATAGACACCATGAGAAGCCATGCCAACGAGTCTGTGGAGGCCCGTGAGCTGCTGAGCGAGCTGGAGTATCTGTGGGACCAGGTCAAGGACCAGCAGGTGTCGCCGACGCTGGGCGAGTTCCACCACGAAGTCCCGCTGTCCACACGCGCGCAGAGCCCTGCTCTGTCGTTGTACCGTCTCACGTCGTTGGGCTCGCATGCGAATCTTGTGCGGCCTGTTTCGCGGCTCTCGATGGCCAGCACCCCTGCAGCGGAAAAACAGTTTGCGCAGGGCGCTGGCCAGCGGGCCGTCAGCAGCAACGCGACTATATCGCAGATCACAGGGTCCGGGGCCACGACGAGCGGACCAAACAGCCAGGGCATCAACACAACGACGAATCTCGATTTCGTGAGGTGGCAGAGCGACATCAACGCGACGCTGACTCGTCTCAGCTACGAGATATCGAGTCTGAAGACGATTGGACTAAATGCCCAGCTACACGAGTCTCCGCCCACCAGAAACGCGCCGAGAAAAGACAAGAAAAAGAGAACGCTTTATACTCGCATCAGGGCCCTCGTTGTTGCCCTGCTGGGCAAAATATTCAAACTTTTCAGGACAGTGCTGAAACACGCGGCACTAGACTCGGTGGTGGCTCTGGTTTTTCTGGGGCTCTTACGTAAGATAAGCACGGTGCAAGGGTGGGACACCGGTTTGGGCCAGGCCGTTGGGTCCAATGCTGAGGCTGTTTTGCACGGTGTGCGAGAGTTCTACCAGAGAATATTCAACGGCAAGTGGACTTTTTGGGGCAGCGAGCGCTCGCAGAATGCGTTGATACGAGTTTAATGGGAATGCCACATTCTGTAAAAACTCCATTTTCTAGAGTTTTTTTATTTATTCTGGCTGGGAAATCCCATGCTTACTAATCTGGGCTTCGCGAAATAGGAAGGACCAACGGCAAATTAATTAATCTTGTTATAATTTGCAAAAGAAGGGAGTATTGAGTCATACCTGGTGAAATCTCCACTGTTTTGTGCTCTAAACTAGACTTTTTGTACTTTCTATTGCAACAGCAGGCTCTTCCATATAATACGCAACCTTATAATGTCCACAGCAACTCCAGGCAGCTTGACCGATGAGAGCGCGCACTCAAAGCCCGGTCGCAAACCCATTAACACAGAGCCTTCCAACAAAAGAACGGCGCAGAACAGAGCAGCACAGCGGGCTTTCAGGGAACGGAAGGAGAAGAAAATGAAGGAGCTGGAGATGAAGGTCCAGATGCTTGAGAACGAGAAGATGCAGATTGCTAATGAAACAGAGTTGCTCAGAATCCAGGTGAACACACTCATGAACAGGCTCATGAACCGTGGAGAGGGAGATATTCTGAAGGAACTCCCCACTCTTGCCGATTTAAAGCAACAAAACACCAACACCGCTACCGCACTCACGTCAACAGACTCGGAAAAATCCACATCTAATACCTCATCCCCAAATAACTCGACTCACACGCCCGCCTCATCGTACTCCTCAGCAGCAGAGAAAAGTACGGAGTTTTTGTTCCCTTGGACCGAAAAGCGAAAACAGACCAACCACACCGATGTGTCGAAGGACTCGTCTCCAAGAACAGACCTACACGACCTCAACCAAAAAAACTACAAAGGAGATTTTGAGGAGGAGAGCTTCTGCAACAGTTTAGGAACTGTGTGCGGCGATAAAAACTGTCCTGTTCCAAAAGAAAAACGTCCTTCCACAGTCACCGGTGGTTCTACTCTTCCGTCGTCGCGTGGGCTGGGGTCGGATTATTCCGCGTCTCCTTTCCAAATGCTTGCAGAGTTTGGATCCGAGAAGGCAGACAACAACGAGCTGCCTTTCTTGTTCGACACGCCAACTTATGACACCTCTTTGGTGTTCGACCAGGTGAATCCTTCTGCCTTTTCCCCGTCTGACTTTGTCTTTTCGTCCATCGAAAATGAGTTCCCTGTGACAACAGAGGCAGACCCACTGCAGGGATTAATAAGTGAGGAGTCGAAGGACGACCCACTAAGCGAATTCTTTGGCAACGCACAGCAGCAGCAACTGACGGTAAACAATTTGAATTCGCTCAACGGAACTGTTCCTCGGATCACCCCAGGAGTTTCTGTCGACGACAACGACAAGGACGAGGCTGTGCCGGACACAACTACGAACCTGATGAAGTGCTCGCAGATCTGGGAGCGCATCACGACGCATCCGAAGTTTAGCGAGCTGGACATTGACGGTTTGTGTTCTGAGCTCAAGATGAAGGCAAAGTGCAGCGAGAAGGGCGTCGTGGTGGACGGATCAGACGTCGGAGAAGTGTTGACACGTGCGATGAATCGCTGAATCACGGGTCTTGTTAATATTGGTTTTATACGGTAAATTTACTGTAACGGATAACATTAATGCGAATTTGGATTAGATGGGTTTTTGCAAACTAGCTGGGACAACGTCCTTATACTCAGCGGTGAGTTTAGATCAAGTTGAAGCGGTTGAAACTTCTGGGTAACTGCTACGATGCTACATATTGCTTCCTTCGCCAACTTATCCAGTAGCTTATAATTACCAACTCTAGCTAGAGCGCTTCTACCTGGAAGAAACTCACTGAGCATGTCTCGTATGGCTGAGTCTGAGCACCCTGAGAGAGTAGTATACTTGAACCATGTATCTGAGATCTGCTCCCTGGTGTATGGGTGTGCTGCCAAAATGCTAGCGCAGATTCTCGTTACCCTATTTCAAGATCGAATGAAAAAAAAGACAACAACGAAACAAAAGGGCAAATCTTGTGGAGCGAAATTATACTTTCCAGTGCATAAAACAAGCTTTTAACCCTTCAAATAGAAACTTGCATTTGTGTGTGTTGATTCGCTCTTTTTCCGCCCTTACCTGCGAAATATAAACCTTAATTGAACATGGCGGACATTTACGAGATCGAAGACATCGATGGAGTTCGTTTCAACTGGAACGCCTTTCCTGTGACCAGGCAGGAGGCTGAGAACATGGCAGCACCTGTTGGGTGTCTGTACACTCCACTTCTTCCGAGAGAGGACTTGCCTGTGGCAGCTTACGACCCACAATTGTGCAGAAGATGTCGAGCAGTCTTGAACGTGTTCTCTCAGATTGATTTGGGATCCAAAACCTGGACATGTACTTGCTGCTTGTCCAGAAACCCTCTTCCGGTGCATTATTCCAATATTTCAGCCGAAAACCTGCCAATTGAGCTGACTCCACAGGCATCGACCATAGAATATGTGTTGACAAAAACTCCTTCGCCTCCTCCGCCGGCTTTCATCTATGTCATTGACTTGTGTCAGGAGCCCGAAGATCTGCAAGCACTCAAAGACCTGCTGATCACCTCTTTGTCTCTGCACCCACCAGGATCTCTGATTGGTCTGATCACTTTTGACTCGGTGGTAAATGTGCACGAACTCAATTTCGACTCCTGCTTCAAAAAATATGTCTTCAGTGGAAACAAGGAGTACGAATCTGTGGAAGTGCAGAAACAACTTGGCATTTCTGGGAACGGTGCCAAGAACTGGATACAACAGTTCGAAACAGGCGGAACCATCAACAAATTCCTGTTGCCGCTAAGTGATCCAGAAGCCGAGTTCCAAATCACCAGAACCATCGAGTCGCTCGAAGTCTCGAAATGGACAGTCGAACCGGGCCACAGAGCGATCAGAGTGACGGGTTCAGCCCTCAGCATCGCCTCCTGCCTTGTTGAAGGCTCATTTTTACAATGCGCAGCAAAAGTGACACTATTCGTCGGCGGCCCATGTACATTTGGACCGGGGAAGATTGTGGGTACGGAGCTGAAGGAGCCTATTAGATCCCACAGCGACATTGACAAAGGTACTGCCAAGCATTACAAGAAGGCTGTTGCATTTTACAAGAAGCTGGCTACCAAAGCGGCTCTGGTGAAGAAAGACGTGAAAGACAAATTTTTCGATCCCCAATCTTCTGCTACATTCAGTGTTGATATTTTTGCCGGATGCTACGACCAAACCGGTATTTACGAGATGAGATCGTTGAGCAACCAAACCGGAGGCACAATCGTGGTGACCGACTCTTTCCAAACCTCCATCTTCAAAAACTCATTTTTTGCATGCTTCAACAAGGACGAGGAAGGATATCCTTTCTCCTACTTCGACGGCTCTCTGGAGGTGTTCACCTCCCAAAGGCTGAAGGTCGCAGGTGTGGTGGGTCTGGCCACCTCTTTGAAGCAAGAGGGAAAGAATGTGGCCGATGTTGAAGTTGGTAACGGGTTCACTAACAAATGGGCCCTTCCATCTGTGTCTCCACGACACACATACGGAATATTCTTCGACATGCAAACTGTCGGCGCTGCTGACCAACGCAACTCCTCGGTCCCAGAGGTCCATATCCAGTTCCAGACTACCTATAGACACACCAACGGTACTGTCCGGATGAGAGTGACAACTTTGAGCAGATTGACGTCCAACTCCACTGAGCTATCGAACACGTTTGACCAGGAGGCGGCGGCCGTGCTGTATGCAAGATTGATTGTCCACAAGCTGGAGAACGGCGGCGAGTATTCCGATCTTTTGAGATGGATTGACAAGTCTCTGGTTAAACTGTGTACGGTTTTTGGAGACTACTCCAGAAACGACCCAAACTCGTTCAGACTGTCGTCCAAGTTCAGTCTGCTTCCGCAATTCATCTACCATTTGAGAAGATCCCAATTCCTGCAAGTTTTCAACTGTTCTCCTGACGAGACCGCGTTCTACCACCACACGCTGCTCAGGACCGACGTGAGAGACTCGCTGGTGATGATCCAGCCTACTCTTGTGAGATTCATGGCCGACGGATCGGAGCCAGAGCCTGTTCTGCTGGACTCCGCGTCGCTCAAGCCGGACGCCGTGCTGCTGCTGGACGCCTTCTTCTACACTGTCATCTACTTCGGCAGCATCGCAGCCGAGTGGAGAGACGCAAACTACCCTAGAGACGAGTATCCTGGAGTTTATGATATGATTGAGAGATCGAGAGAGGAAGCTGCGTCGCTGATTGCCGACCGGTTCCCGCTGCCTAGATACGTTACGTGTGATGAGGGCAAGTCGCAGGCCAGATTCCTGTATTCAAAGCTGAATCCATCCGAGAACGACAACAACAACATCGGCACTGGCGGCGGCATGAGCGGCTACGTTGCCGACAGCGACCCAGCCAGCACGGTTGTGCACACGGAGGACGTCAGCTTGAAGACGTTCTTCCAGCATCTGGCCAAGCTGGTGGTCAACAATTCTGTTGCCTAAGCTTGCCTATTAGAACGAGCTCCATGTCCAGTCGTTAGGGACTGCGGACTTGCTTGAATCGGAGTTCATGCGGTCTCTATTGGTGTTCTGTGTCTCTTTGGGGGTGTCCAGCTGGACTTCCGACTCGTAGTCGCTGTCGTTTTGGAGGAACAGGAGCCAGTCTCTAAAACATCGGTCGCACACTTTACTGAACTTGCAGTACGTTGCGTTTTTCACGACGCCGCCTCCGGAATCGAGGATTTTGCCGTGGTCGAGTTCCGGCTTTTCGAACTTGGCCAGCACGTTGAGGTTTGCGCTGTTCTGGACGCAGCGGTAGCAGAAAATTTCTCCGCAGTGGCGACAGTGGTGCTTGCGGCGCACCAGCGAAAAATAGATATTGCAGCCCGTGCACCTGTTTGTGGAGTGGTTGGGTTTCCAATGCGAATGCGAGGGCTCCACCCCCTTGGACGTGATCGAAGAGTTGGACAACACCTTGTGGAGAGCTATATCTGATTTGGACGATTCGACGTTTTCCGACGGGCTCGAGTCCTGGCTGGGCTCGCTTGGCTCCGAGGCCGAGCGCACGCCCGCGTCGCTCACGAGCGTCTGCCGCAGCACCGGCGGAACATACTTTATTTTGGGTTCACTGTGTAATTTAAGTCTCAACTCGCCTAACGGTGGCACACTAGTTCTGTCGTCTGACGACTCCGAGTACTGTCGGGTGGGCTTCGACAGGTCGAAGCTGGCCGGCTGGTACTCCGTGTTCGAGTCCGACGTGACGTAGTCGTTGTTTTCCGCCTTGAGATCGAGTTGTTGCGGCTCCTTGTCGTGGGGCTCTGGCTTGAAGTTTGAATTGATAAGCGACACCCGCGGCGCCCTTATCTTCTCGTCGTAGTTGTACTCGAACTCCGGGTTATGCAGAACCTCCTCCGGTGGCTCGTCCTTGTCCTTCAGTACGCCCCTGTACTTGGAATAGAACCTCTGGTGGTCCGGGTCGTAGGACGCCTCGTCGTACTGCTGCGACGGGTAGTGGTCGAGCACGGGGATCTGGGACTGCGAGCTGTTGCGGAAGATCGGTCTTTTGCGGAACGAGAACTGTGAGTTGTCCATCGGTACCGGCTGGAGGAAGGGGACGGTATTGGCAATACTAGCAGCAGCGTGAATATGTCCGTGTTTATCTTTGGAGATAAGACAGGGAAAAGCGAGCGTATTGTGCCGAGACAATGGGCGAACACCGGCACACAATGGACGGGGTCTGCTATTGGCCAGTGGCGAGCGCACCGAAGGGTCACGTGACACACGGGGCGGGCTTGGAGCACTCTTGCTGCCGCACGGAATTGGCTTCCGAATCAGGAAGGAGAATTACATGGCCACCACCAACACGAGCCCTCCGCTTGCCCCAAAACCTACAATAAGTACGCCCATTTGGCGCCGCTGTGCATTGTCTCGCACCGCAGATAAGATAAGTGTGCTTCGGACTCGATAACGCAGCTGCAGACTGACATATTTGATATATCTGTTATCTTACAGACTGGATCCCCGAGGCAACGCTGCTCGAATGCCAGCCGTGGCCCTGTGAAACTTATACTAATCCGGCAGTTATTTGATCTCTCTCTCGTGGATTCCCTAGTGTCCCCGATTTAATATTAATGCAGCTCCCGACGTAAAAATTTTCCTACAAATACCTCTGTCCTTCTTCTGCTCGAAGATTCCAAACATGACCAAAGACCTGGAAAAAGCCAATTTGCACGCAACAGTGTCTCCACGAGTGACTCTGGACTCCGACGCCGCCAAGCTGGCCCATCTCGGCTACAAGCAGGAGTTCAACAGAAGCTACTCTTTCTTGGCAACGTTTTCGTTCGCCCTGTCGATCTCTGGGCTCATGGGAACCGTCGCCATCACCTATCTGTATCCGCTGTGGGCCGGCGGCCCGGCCGCTGCGTCGTGGTCGTGGTTCATCGGCATGTTTGGCTGCCTGGCCATTGCTTACTCGGTCTCCCATATCACCTCGTGTTTCCCGACCTGCGGTGGAATGTACTATGTGATCACCCACGTCGTGCCGAAAAAACACGTGCCTCTTGTCTGCTGGATTGACGGATGGCTGTACTTCATCGGGGCCATGGCTGGAGCGTGCTCGACCGATTTCGGAGCTGCCACGCTGCTGCTGCAGACCGTTTCCATGGCTTCCGACTACAAGTACGTGCCGACGGCCGGCCACATCACCGGCGCGTCGATCGCTGTGATCATCACGCACGGCCTCATCAACTCGCTGCCGTCGTCCGTGCTCGCCAGAATCACCAAGTACTACTGTTTTGTGAACATCGGCTCTGTCATCGCGCTCATGATCACCATGCTGGTCAAGTGCCCAAAAATTAATTCCAAGGAGTACGTCTTCACCAAGGTCATCAACGGCACGGGCTGGTCGCACGACGGCTGGGCATTCCTGTTTGGCTTTTTGAACGTGTCGTGGGTCATGACGTGCTACGACGCCACGTCCAGAATGTCCGAGGAGATCAGCAACGCCGCGTACACCACGCCGCTGGCCATTGCGTCCGCCTTGACCGTGACCGCGCTTCTTGGCTGGATCCTCAACATCGTCTACACGCTGTGCATGGGCGACGACCTCGACGCGATTCTCAACACCTCGTCCGGCCAGCCGATCGTCCAGGTGTTTGACTACGCGATGGGCAGACAGGCTGCCACCGCGTACCTGGCGCTATGCTTCGTCGTGCTCTGGTTCTGCGGCGCCGTCGCCGTCTGCTCCATCAGCAGATCGTTCTGGTCGTTCTCCAGAGACCGCGGCGTTCCGTTCGCGTCGTTCTGGTACAACGTCGACAAGACCACCGGTGTGCCGCTCAGATGTCTGTGGATGATCACTCTCATCAACTCGCTGCTGACCCTGATCAACCTCGGCTCCTCGATCGCCATGAACGCTATTTTCTCCGTCTGCGCCATCGCCACCGACTGGTCGTACGTGCTGGTGATTTTCTTCTTCATGGTCAACGCGGAAAAAATGGGTGTGTCGCCTGGTCCGTTCAGCCTGGGCAAGTTCGCCAAGCCTATCATGTTCTACGCCTGTGTGTGGACCGTCTTCGTTTCTGTCGTCTTCGTCTTCCCTAACTACATGCCGGTCACCAAGGAAAACATGAACTACACCGTTTTGATGATGGGAGCCGTGCTGCTCTTCTCGCTCGTCTGGTACGCCCTGGACGCCAGAAGATGGTACAAGGGACCGGTCGCCAACGTCGACGAGGAGTACGAGGGCATTCTGGAGACCGTGGGCGACAACGGGACCAGCGAGGAGTTCATCCAGGACAGCGAGCCGAAAGATAAACAGGAGACTTCCTAGAGAATAAATAGACAATATATATCTTATATTTAATTATTTTTTTCGCACCATATTTTTCATCCTACCATGTTTGAAGTGGCCCCTCCCGATTACCAGAAATTCATTGTGTCGTTGCTGCTGGCGCTGGCCGTGCTTGTGGTGACGTCGGTGCTGTTCAACCGCAAACGCATTTTCCACTCGTCCAAGCCCGTTTTTGTTATCTCGGGGCCCAAATCTAGCGGCAAAACCAACCTGTTCGAGCTGCTCACAAAGGGCGACCTGCCGGTGCTGACTGTGAGCTCTGTCGAGCCCAACAGTGCCACGCTCAACCTCGGCGCCAAGATCGGATCCTACGACGTGTACGATTTTCCGGGAAACGAGAAACTCAAGTCGCTGTATCTGTATCCGTTCCTCAAGGAAAAACTCTCTTCCGTGAAGGGAATCATCTACATGATCGACGCGTCGCAGTTTTCCAGCGAGTACTGCACAGAGGTGGCCCAGGATCTGATCAGACTGTACGAGATCACGGAATCTGTGCCGAACGGCGTCGATTTCCAGCTGTTCTGCAACAAATGCGACCTGTTCACGTCGAAAAAATGGACCACCATAAAATCGCTGCTGGAGTCCGAAATCGCGCAGATCTGCAAACGCCAGATCCTCAACCTGTCGCAGATATCTGCCAAAGACGGCCAATCCGACGAGGCCATCGCCCAACAGCTGGCGTCGAGCTTCAGAGACGGGAAATTCCAGTTCGAGCTGCTCGAGGGCAACACAGAGTTCGGCCAGGGCAACGTGCACAAAAAGAAGATAGAGATGGTCACCAATTGGCTGCACGAAAAGGCCATCAATTGAACACTGGCTGTGCAGCGGGCGGACTGGAGTAAATTTTTCTTCCGGCTGTGCTCGCTTTTTACTACCTGTTCAAAATATGTGGAAAGAGGTATTGGGCGTCTGTCTTTTGGTCGTTGTCCATGCGATGAACTTCCAGGTGGCAGAACGGCTCGTCCACAGAATCGTGCTCCCCTACATTTGCTCTTCAACCGGCATTTTCCAGTCCTCGCAGTCCTTACAAGAGACCCTGAGCAAAGACCTGGAAAAGATCCTCCAGAAACCCGTCCAGTTGAACCCCAACGTCGAACAGACATTCATCAAGCCCCTGTTGGACCCCAAAACGGTCAGTGCGGAGAACAAGGTCATTAAAAAAGCAGCACAGGTGCTCTTCAATGTGTCCATCTCGTTCTCTCTGCAGATCATTGGCCTGGTACTGTTCGAGATTATCGATTTCGGAAACTCTGCAGCTCGCGTGTGGGACTGGGAGTTCACGCTGTCGGTGCTGATTTTTCTGCTAACGTACGTGAACCCGAGTTTGCTGCTTTTCATGGCTGTCTCCCGTCTGCCCCTCATATCTCGCGTGGCCCGATTATTGAGCACTAAACACCAGGGACTGGTTTTCCTGCTTGTGTTCATAGCGTGGGCTCTAGTTTTTCGCACGTTCAACGTTCTAGCCACGGCTGCGTCCCAAATGGAAAACTACTCGCTGTTTTTCTCAAACTCACTGATAGAAGTCACCATGCTCGGTGTGACGTGTCTGGCGGCTCTGAACGGCATTGGATCCGTGTCGTCTTTGTACTACTCTTTCATCAAAAAGCACAAACGTGTGCGAAAAACAGACATCGCTAGAAGCGTCGAGACGCTGCGCACGACTACAGAACTGATCCACATTAGAACCACCGAGCTAGCACAGTCGCCAACAAACTCGGACCTGAAAAACGAGCTTGGAGCCCTGAACCAGATGAAGCACGAGCTACTGCAAGATCTCTCATACTTGGTCGCCAATTACCACTCCCAGCAGTATGTGACCACCCTCCGAGGCAAGGTCTCCAAATGGGCCAATGTCTTCTTCTCGCTCTACTGTCTGTACAAAATTGTGAACATCATGGTTATCCGGCTGCCAATAATATATTTCGAGGAATTCGGACTCAAGTCTCCGAAACCGGACGCTCAGTCTGCCGATACGCTTTCTGTTACCATCGCACGAATTATTGCTAGTTACTACGATATCGGTAACTATGAGGACCAGCTGGCCACTAACGTGAGCTTTGTTTTCTCATTCTTCGTGTTTTGCTGCTCATTCCAAAGCGTGGTGACCACTTTTCACAAGCTAGGCAAATTGCTACCGTCTGCAAAACAACAGTCAGCTGTGTCTGACTCGTCGTTCTTTTTCGACCTCCTTGTCTGCGAATTGACAGGCGTGTATTTACTGTCGACAACCCTGCTGCTTCACACACATCTACTCTCTAGCAGTCTCACGCTGTTCGATCACGATATTTCCTTTATCGACGTTTGGTTTGATAAGTGTTTTGGGTTTGGGTGTACGGTAAGCATCGTGGGACTGTTTATTTCCGAGCAGTTGGAGCGGTTCTACAAAGATGAAGACGATCAGTTCGATCATCCCACGATTTACGACGAGGAGGCCCTCGTGGAAGGACGGGGCAAAATAAATTAGAGCATGTACAAATGATACGAGATCGACGCGTCGACGTCAGCCACTGAAATTTTAGTGGTGCGTTTATTATTTTTTTTAAAAATTTATTATAAATATAAAGCCCGGGCCAGAATCAGTACATTTTCTCTTCAAAATGTTTTCTTTAGTGGACCCAAACGATCTCAAGATAGTCGAAGGTCCCTTGAGGCCTCCATATGTTCAAATACCGAAGGCCAGTTTAATAGAAGGGCTTCCAGACGGCATACTAGCAGCAATAGCCCCGGTCGTGGCGTACTGGGTGTACTCGACTTTTTACCACATAATCGATGTCTACGAGCTTGCCGAGAGGTATAGAATCCACCCGTCGGAAGAGATGCTGCGGAAAAACACCGTGTCTCTCGCCACTGTGATTCGAGACGTTATTTTGCAACATGTCATCCAGACCATTGCGGCTTTAATTTTCTACCAGTTTGATCCCAAACCCACGACCGGCTACGAAAACCACACTCTCTGGGGATGGCGACAGGTGGTGCCCGACGCTGTTCCAACGTGGGCGCTCTATCTGATATACTGGTATGGCCTTTCGCTTCTCAAGATCACAATAGCATTTTTCATCATTGATAGCTGGCAGTACATGCTCCATCGCGCCATGCATCTGAACAAATGGTTGTACAGACGCTTCCACTCTCGCCACCACAGACTCTACGTTCCATATGCATTTGGTGCTCTTTTTAATGATCCAGTTGAGGGTTTCCTGCTCGACACGGTAGGCACTGGAATCGCCAGTTTGGTGACCGGACTAAGTCCCCGCGAGCAGATTTTCCTTTACACGTTTTCCACGCTGAAAACCGTTGACGACCACTGTGGATACGCGTTTCCATTCGACCCGTTCCAGATCGTGTTCCCGAACAACTCGATTTACCACGATATCCACCACCAGCATTTCGGAGTGAAGTTTAATTTTTCGCAGCCTTTCTTCACCATCTGGGACAAGCTGTTTGATACTACCTACCACGGCGTTGATGAGTACTCGGATAAGCAGAAGAAAATCACGCTAGAGAAGTACAAATTATTTTTGGAGGAGCGCAGAAAAAAGAATGAAAAGAGAAAACTGCAGGAGCAAGACAAGCTGAAGCGCAAAGACGAGAAACAAGAGTAATAAGAGACGACTAATGACGTATAAGAATAATCAGCCTATAATTTAGGTTTATAATAATATAGTGAGTAATGGTTTAGACGTTGCTACTCGTTCTATTTACACGGCAGGTTGTGGCTGTTGTTCGGCCTCAGCAGCTTGCTGTTCTTCTTTCCATTTTTGCTCGACTTCGCTCAGCGCAACGAATTTCTCTCTTGGACTTACCTTGTCCAGCTCGTCGTGCTCCACTTGCAAATCTTTCCAGTACTTGTCGTCTCCTTTACGCCATAGAGAGTCCCAGTAAATTTTCGAGGATAGTCTTAATTCGTCTAGCACGGTGGTGAGATCGCTCACGGACTCCTGAGCCCAGGTCGGACGGTACTGGCCGAAGTACCAAATTTGCTGGAACTGGTTTCTTTTCCTCAAAGCCTCTGCCTCCTTCCGTTTTGACACTTGACGCATGTACTTGAGCTCAACTAGCGCGTTGTAGGCCGTGACCGCCTTTTCGTGTGAGTCGAACTGCGCGACGGCCATCGGACGCCACAGATCGCGTCTTTTTGAGGGCTTTCTGTTCTCCCAGTTGGGTCTAAAACTCTGTTGTTCGATCTGGTATTTGGTGATGTGGGGTGTTTGGGAGTACAGGACTTGGCCTGACTCGATGTTGCGGAACAGATAGACGTGTGGCGCAAACCCGTTGCTCTTTAGCCACTGCGGCTGTCTGAATTTAGAGGCCATCCTGTGCAAATGAGTAGTCAAGTTTGTGTAATTTTCCAAGGTTTTTTCTATCACTATTTCTACAGCCGGGTAATTCAACGACTATTAGACATACTTAAACAACATCTATCATCTATCTTACAGTAACCCAGCATATTCCCAACCCAATCATTCAGTCATAAGGATTCATTTCACAGCAGAAACATTGCCCTGCGAGATCTTCATTCCTGTGTGCGGATTCACAATTTCGAGCACCTTTTTAGTCCGAGGCGTGCTTGGCCGTGGAGAAGAACCGCTTGGGGTTCCTGGCGTGGCCTGCGCAGATCTAGAGTACAGAGATTGTACGCCCTGCGTGCCCGGGCTCAGGGGAGAGGTCTGAGCGTGAGCCGCGGCCTCTGGCGAGGTGTTTGGGCTGAAAGTCTGCGAAGTGTATGGATTGAACTTGCTCTTTCCCGTGTAGACAATCTCCGGACAGAACTCCATATCGTCCTCAAAATCGAAGCCCTTAGACGACATAAAGCGAGCTCTCTGGGTCGAGTAAAGAGAGGCCACAGACGTTTGAGGGGACGAAAGAAGCAAGGACTGGTACGTCGACGAGCCTGTCGACGAGTTGGAGGTTGACAGGGCCGTGTAGTTACCAGCCGAGGAGCCAGAAGGGGCCAGATTAGTGGCCATATGATTGTAAATCTGGCTAGGAGACTGCATCTTCTGGTTAGCTAGTAAATTTGCAGCCTGCGGGTTTTGTCCTGCTGGATTTTGCTGGGCCTGCTGGGCAGCAGCAGAGGCCAACAAAGAGGCCAGCGACGTCTGCTGTTGAGGGTTGAGAGACATCTGGGATGGAGTCTGGGTATCATTGTTGTAATTGGAAGCTGTATAATAACTCATCTTGAACCGTGGAAAAGAGTGGCAAAATAGATTATACTGAGCTTTGGTATGACAAGGTGTCAGAGTCTTGGCTTGTGCGGGATATCGCTAGTCTTTAGTATCAGATTAAATGGGGTAACGACAAATTTGCTGTAAATTAATTATCTATTTCTAATTTCCAGCCTCCAGGGAATGTGTGCAGCACACGCCCCACAAAACAGGGATTATATAATCATGCACAATGTTGGACATGGTTGTCAACTTGTTGAATGTTCGTGAGTTCGGCTCTTAACAGGCAGACTCAAGAGGTGTGTCAAACCTTGGAGATCAAACTACATGCTGCATTGGTGATAGTGAGTCTGGGCGGAAATATGCCTCGTATTCGGCAGTTCGAGCAGCATGCAACCCGAGGCAGCTCGCGGTGTATGGGGGCGAGAGTGCAAAGTGCTGGGTAGGGGATCTCCATGATCAGCACAGAAACAGAACTAGCTGGATTTAAATTTGCGTGTAAAATGCACTGTAAAATGTCCAGCATATATTTCCAGCAGAAGTGGTTGCAAGTATGGTGGCTGCTCAAATCATGGAAGTCGAGTCCATTTCATTATAATAGGGACGAAACTTCATGTTTCAAACTGGCCTTTGATACATCCGAGGGCGAGTAGAGCCGTTCCTTCAGACATTCTCGAGCGTAACTGCTGGATTGCAAAAATCTGCCACCATTTTGAGTGGCATTTGAATATTTTTGGAAGAATGCCGAAAAAGGGTGGACTCATCAACAAAAGCCGATGTCATGCAGGTCTCTTAAATGATCAATGGTATTGATTTCAAAGATAACATCTCAGTAGAGCTTATGAGGGTTTTGATGCAAACAACCTCAGGGACGCCGCAGAACTCAGCACTTTTTTATATCAAGTCTCGACCCTCAACACAAGACATTTAATCAAACTTGTAGTGAATGAATGATACGCACAGTCCTATTCAGCGGTTAATTTCTTGTTCTTAGTGGTGTCCCTGTGAATGTATGTTAAATGCAGTAAAACGTATGGAACACAAATCGTAGCAGATTTGCAACTCGAGTTTAACACCAATATAAAGAGGATGAGAGGATGACCGATCCTTTTGGTATTCAAAATGGATCAAGACTTGACGCATCCACGGATGTCACAGTTTGATCCTTCGAAAGCTCGATCAATTTTTATGAGTGATAACGTTGCAATATAATCTTGGCTGATGTATTCAAGTAAATTAAATAACTGCCTCAAACTCAACTACATAGAGAAGAACCTACTAAACAACATAAGGGAAGAAAGAATCCAGGAAAGAATTCAGCAACTACACTGTCAGCCTTCAGCACGGGAATTGGAGTAAGAGCCATCCCTGCTATGCTGCCTCCACCGTAAGAAAGAGCTGCAACAGCATTGCAGCAGATAACGCTCTTATGTTACACAACATACGATAGCTCCCAACGGTATTCACAGAGCTTGTTTACGCAGTTCAATGATTTCCATACTGACTTGGTTACTTTTTTATTCGTCTCATAAATACCAATAAATAATATAATCATCATGCTTTGTTGATACTCTCTACCAGCTGCTTGTACTTCTCGGTGGAGAAGGACTTTGGTCTCTCGATTGGCATTCCAAGACCTCTGTCGATGATGAGCTGTGGCAGAACACCAAAGGCTCTGGAGACACCAAACAGCACGGTGTAGAAGGACTCCTCGGTGAAGCCGTAGTATTGCAGAAGAACACCAGAGTGAGAGTCGACGTTTGGCCATGGGTTCTTGGTCTTTCCGTGCTCGGTCAGCACCTTTGGAGCGACTTCGTAGATGTTAGAGACAAGCTTGAACAGGTCGTAGTCTGGCATGTGCTTCAGAGCAAACTCTCTCTGGGCAGTGTATCTTGGGTCGGTCTTTCTCAAAACGGCGTGGCCGTAACCCGGAACCACACGGCCGGAATTCAAGGTGTTCCACAAGTACTTTTCAATGTTCTCCTTGGAGATGTCACCCTTCAGCTCGGATTGCATAGCCTTGAGCCACTCCAGCACCTCCTGGTTGGCTCTTCCGTGCAATGGGCCAGCTAATCCGTTCAAACCGGCAGCCAGGGAAAGGAACGGCGAGGAAAGTGCGGATCCAACCAGGTGCGTGGTGTGTGCAGAAACGTTACCTCCCTCGTGGTCGGAGTGGATGGACAAGTACAGTCTCATGAGCTCGAGGAACTCTGGGTTGGAGCCGTAACCGAGCATGTGGGCGAAGTTGGCACTGTAGTCCAGGCTGGAGTCCACAGCAGCGACCTTACCGTCCTTGAACACGTTTCTGTAGATTCTGGCGGCGATGACTGGCAGCTTTGCCAGGAGCTCAATCGAGTCTTCGTAGGTGTACTTCCAGTACTCTTTTTTGTTGACACCTGCGGCGTATGCCTTGGCGAACTGGGATTCGGACTCCAGAGCGGTCACAGCAATGGAGAACTGGGCCATAGGGTGCAAAGTGGCTGGAGATCTGTCGATGATCTCTTCAACATGCTTTGGCAGTTTCGATCTGGCAGCGAGTTCCTCCGAGAAAGCCTTGGTCTGGGCTGCCGTAGGGACCTCGCCGGTCAGCAGGAGCCAGAAAAGGGCCTCTGGAAGTGGCTGTTCACCGCCCTCGGCCTTAGGGAGCTCTTTCTGGATGTCCGGAATGGTTCTTCCTCTGAACCGAATTCCTTCCATGGGGTCCAAAACAGAGCCTTCCCAGACCAGACCCTTGATACCTCTCATACCACCGTAGGCCTGTTCCAACAAAACCTCACCAATCACCTAACAAATATTAGTGCTGTCCAATTTCGACGCAAATAAAATTACTCCGGCCCCGAAACGCATATTCGGTCCCGCAATAATTTCAGTGTTTTTAGATACTCACAGTTTTACCGTATTTGGCCTTGAGCTCCTTCACTTGAGCTTGCTTCTCTGGCAAAAGCTCAGCGAATCTCTCCTTCAAAGTCGACTCCTTGGTAGAGTAGGCACGAATGGCATGGTACAGCGTGGATTTTCTTGAGGCTGTTCTTGTAACGGTTCTCAATGCAGACATTTTCTATACACAGTTCAGATGTCTTTGAAGAAAGCAAAATAACAAAAAAAGTGCTTCTTGTACATTCAATTTATATCCCAACGTCTGCCGGTCATCAGTTACATAAACTCTATTGTGTGCCACATAGTAAATAATCGGGACACCCCATAGTGTCAGGGAGGGAGCCCGAAAAACAAGGCTGTGCAGAAGGTAGCTTGGCACAGAAATGGGGAATAACTCCGCTTCCAGACGCGATGGCGACGGCTGAAGAGGCAGAGCGAGCTTGCGACCGCCGGAGTGGCAGCCTGAGCTTTTCAGCGGCAGCCAACTACCGCAATTGAGCTCCCTAACGCCCGTTTGGATCGGTAACTTTGTCGCTTGCGACCTCGATCTCTTGCATAAACAGCCAATTATATCCGTGCATTTATGGTCATGAATTTTTTTTATGCCCCGTACGAAAACTTATCTTTCGTCCGGATCGCCTCCTGACCTCGCGCACTCAGACCCTATTACCCCACAACGCACCCCTGGCCGATTTTACCCAGGAAAACGTCCAGCTGGTCCTGGGATCTCACTACTGCCCTCCAAACGCTCCATGTCGCAATTACGTTTCTATGCGTGATATTACATTACAGCCCGCTGCGATTCGCTGGAATTTTAGCTCCACCCGTACACCAACAGTGTCGGAGTCCTGCGAAAACGGCCCCGATTTGAGGTCAACCCCACTCACTAGCTTCTCACCCCTGGGGATCATCCCCACCTCCACATCCTGCACATATCGGTCCTAAGTCGGGAGCAGCTCCTGGCCCTTGTCGTAAAGCTCCAGGTTCAGCGCATTGAAAAAGCAGCACGGTTGCTGCTTCTCCAGGACCCAGAACCGAATTAGGTTATTGACGTCGACTTTTTGGAATCCCGCCTCGGCCGGAAGTTTCACTCGGATTCCGTCCCCGTCCAGAAGTTGGCCCTTCTTGCTGCCGTGCCGACTCAGATCAACCTGTATGAAACTGTCTCTGTTGAACTTGGGATACATTTTGAGCTTTGTCTCACTGAGAAGCTCGATTTTGTATCCAAGCAGCAGAAACACAATCTCGTTGAACCGCGCTGCTTTCGAGCTGAACATCTCGCGTAGCCGGGTCATCCGCTTGTTCAATGATTTGATCTCCTCCTGTAGCTGGTCCTGCTCCAGACAGACACGCTCGTACACCGTTTTGGGGATCATTTGGTCCGTCGCTAGCTTGTCATCGACCAGCTGCTGATTCTCCTCTCGTAGTTTCTCCAGCATCTTCCTCGTCACACGTTCGTGTCTCGTGGCCGGATTGTCGCGCAATTCCAGCACCCGGAAGCCATTGTCATTGCTGCTGCCCAGCTTCTTCACCTCCAGCTCCAGTTGGACCAGCCGCTTGTTTTTTTCCTCAATGGTTCTCAGCAGGTCGTTGTTTTCGTCGATCTTTCTCTTCAGTTCCTCGGCCAGTTGTGCAGCCATGTTCGGCTGTTCCTGCTCGCTTCTGCGCCGTTTCTGTCCCGTCTCCTGGCTCTGTAGACTCTGCAGCTGCTGTTTATACGACTCAAGAAGCGCAACAAGCCCTTCAAACTTCTGCGTATTCTCTGCTTCCACGCCTTTATTTTTCAGCAGCATCGTGTTCTCCTCTGTCACGTTGTCGATTCTGTCTTTCAAGAACTGGATCTCCTGCGTCAGCAACTTGACGTTGTTGCCAAGCTTCGTGTTCTCTGTGTCTTTCTCGGACAACTTGGTTTTGAGCGCCGTTTGTCTGTCGTTCGACTCCAGCAGCTTCGATTGCAGATCGACCACCTCCTGCTGAGTGCGCGCAAGCTCGTTGCGCAGATTTTCGTGCTTCTGCAAAAGCTGGCTGTTTGTGGACTCCAACGCCGAGCACTTATTGAGAATGGTGGCAGGAGAGTCGGAAATAGGCCAGTCCCCCATTTTCTGCTCCATCGCGGCATACCTCAGTTTCAGGTCCTCATAATCCGTCTCAAGAGCCTCATACGTGGCCAATCTCTGTGCCAACGTCGTCTTTTCCTCCTTCAGTACCTGGACATAGTCCTGTTTTGACTGCAACGCACGCAATTTGTTGCTCAATTCCAAATTCCTCTTCTCCAGCTCGCGAATGTATTCCAACTGGTTGCTGCACTCTTTCTCGTACAACTCGCGGGCCTTGGTCTCGTCCATGTGCACGTTGCGCTCGCGCAGCTCCACTATCTGTGAATCCTTGATGCGCAGCTGGTTTACGAGCTCTTCGATTCTGCTACTCTTGAGAGCCAACTCCTCGCGCATTGCATCCCTTAAGCGGAGCAGTTCCGAGTCCTTGTGCCGCAATTCGACGTCCTTGAGCGCAATGACATCTTCTAGACGCTTTTCGATCTCCTGGAACTCGCCCAGATGTCTATCCAGCTTGCACGTCTTTGCATCGAGCTCTGTCCTGAGCGACCTGTTCTCGCCGGCCGTCTGCTCGAAATTGCCGGCCAAGTCTCTCAGTTCACGCTTCAGCTTGTTGTTCTCGTCGAACAGCAGCTTCGAATCGCTCACAGCGGCCTCGTACTCCCTTGATCTGTGCTCCAGATCCCTCTCCAGCCTCTTCACCATCGCCTGGCTCTTGACCTTGTCTATCTCGTAGCTGTCCTTCAGCTGGTTATACTGGTACTCCAGAGTAGCCAGCCGTTTCCGCAGATCGCGATCGCCCGGCAAATCGTGCGGATGCGCTATAAATGGCGAGCTCGGTGTGCTTTGTCCAGACATGTAACGCGAATAATTATTAAATCGATTTGTGGCTGTGTCAAACGGCAAATGAGAGGCTCCTAAATAAATAAACCTCACACCCTTTCTTTAGCTTCCATGTCTAAAATGTAAGTGTTTCAATTTGTGCCGCCGCTAACAACCAGTCCGAGAAACTTCAAGCTGCTGGAGGAGCTCGAAAAGGGCGAGAAGGGCCTGGGCGCAGAGTCCTGCTCGTACGGTTTACAGGACCTGGACGATATCACCATGACCCATTGGAACGGGACGATCCTGGGACCGCCAAACTCGTCACACGAAAACAGAATCTACTCGCTCACCATAGAATGCGGCCCAGAGTACCCAGAAAAGCCGCCCATCGTCAGATTCATATCGAAGATCAACCTGCCATGTGTCGACCAAAATACAGGACTCGTGCTAGCCAGCAAGTTCCCTACACTGAACTCCTGGAAAAGAACGTACAGCATGGAGATCCTGCTGCTGGAGCTCAGAAAAGAGATGGCCAGCGGACCAAACAGGAAACTGCCGCAGCCTCCAGAGGGCGAGACGTTCCAACTCCATTAATGTACCTATTTACTAATTCTCCGACTCTCTGATGATATTCTCGTAATACTGGTTCATTTTTTGGTGCAGCACCTTGTCTGCGCGCAAAAAGTCCACCAGCAGCGGGTCCTGGGCGCTGTAAGGGTTATCTTTCTCTGTGGTGATCTCGATGTTGCGATAAGTTTCCGTCTCCTTCTCGCCCCTCTGCTCAGGAAGCAACTTAAACCCGCTCAGCTCTTTTCGGGAGTAGTACTCCGTGTCTTTGCACCGTGCGAAAACACGTTTGAACGGCACACATATTGTCCTGTCTCCGTCAAACGTGCACTGGTGCTGCGTGAGAGACCACAGCTTGCAGTTGTCCAAATTCAATTTCTCCCTGCCCTGTTCGTCCACTATTCGCTCTGGGAATAGATGCGGGTAGTGGTCGCGTAGTTCCTCTCTGGAATAGACGGGCAACGACGGAGCCATCAAATATGGAAATATTGACAAATATTACCTAATGAGATATAAATTTATTTTATTTTATTTATCTGTTTACATGTTCACAGACACTCTGTCTGCCGCCAGTGTGCGCCATCCAAAGCCACCAAACACCACGTTTGCATATGGAACAGCCGGGTTCCGTACTATTGGCTCTCTGTTGGACTCAACCGTTTTCAGGGTAGGCGTGCTGGCGTCTCTGCGATCCGCTAAGGTGGGAGGGAAAACCATCGGCGTCATGATCACTGCGTCCCACAATCCGCCCGAAGACAACGGTGTCAAGGTTGTGGACCCGCTGGGAGAAATGCTGCCGCAACAATGGGAGCCCTATGCCACCCAGCTGGCCAATAGCGACAACCTCGAGGACGACGTTCGGGATATAGTCTCGAGAGAGAATATCGATGTCGCGCAGGCTGGGCTTGTTGTCGTTGGCATGGACACGCGGGAGACGGGTCCACAGCTGCTCAGGGCTGCGATTGATGGAATTGAGGTGTTCGGACGAGCCAAAAGCTTTGGAGAGCTCACCACGCCCCAGCTACACTATCTAGTTAGATCGCACAATGATCCAGGCTTTGGAGAGTCTTCAGAGGATGGATACAATAAAAAAATAGTCGGTGCGGTCGAGGAAATCTTGCGTTTGTGGAATATCCAAGAGCCGCTGGAAATAACCGTGGATGCTGCAAACGGAGTTGGTGCTCCAAAACTGCGCAACTTGAGCAGCAATTCAATCATTATCACCATTGTGAACAGCAACACGCAGGATAAGAGTGCACTGAACGTTGAGTGTGGCGCAGATTACGTCAAGACGAACCAGAAACTGCCTTCTAACCTGCAACCGAGAGACCACCAGCTGTACTCGTCCTTTGACGGTGACGCCGATAGAGTGGTATTTTATTACGCGGACGGACCACGTTTTCAGCTTTTGGACGGAGACCGCATCGCCACGCTTTTGGCGAGCTTCCTCAACAAATTGCTTCAGCAAGCCAAGGTCGAAGCTAAAATGGGAATCATACAAACTGCATATGCCAACGGCAACTCGACTAGATATATTCAGGAGACACTTCAAATCCCCGTTGATTTCACACCGACAGGAGTCAAGCATCTTCACCACAAGGCCCAGGAGTACGACATTGGGTTGTACTTTGAGGCCAACGGACATGGCACAGTTCTTTTCTCTGACGACTTCATAGATTCACTCAAATCTGCGCACAGCAGTTTGCCAGAAGGGAAACGGGCCCTCAAGACACTCATTCTGCTCACAGAGCTCATCAATCAGACAGTCGGCGACTCCATATCTGACCTCTTTGCAGTTTTGCTTGCGTTAAGAATTCAGGACAAAACCTGTGTCGAGTGGGGCAGAGACTACACCGAACTCCCGAACAAGCTCTTCAAAGTTCTTGTGAAGGACCGGTTTGCTTTCAAGACCACCGACGCAGAAAGAAGACTCGTGGAGCCGGCTGGTGTGCAGGCCCAGATCGACGCTCTCGTGGCTGCATATGCGCAAGGACGCTCGTTTGTGAGGGCGAGCGGCACAGAAAACGCCGTGCGAGTGTACTCGGAAGCGGCATCTGCAGCCGACTGTGCTGAGCTGGGCGCTCGCGTGTGCCAGCTGCTCGAGCCATACTGATTACGTAAAATTAGCCAAATGTCGCTACTTTTGGTGGAAAAAAAAAAAAAACACGAATCGTGTGAAATTCAGAGCGTTTCGCGTATATACACTTTGTTTGAACAATTGACAATATTACGCGTTTGAGATGTCGGTCATCACGCCAGACGACGAGAACGACGACATTCGGTTCACATTTGAAGCGCGTCCCGTGAACAAAAGTAAGTACAGAAGTTTAGCGACGCGTCTGCAGGTCACTAACCTATCCCATAGATATTGTCTTGACGCCAATGACGAACAACAACCAAATTTTCGACAGTCCAGACACCAAGGCGACGTCACCACTGAAACTAGGCCGTCATAGCACGGCGCAGCAGCCCAAAAGCGAGGCATCAGAGACTCCTAAAGACAGACAAGACTTCAATTATCTTTTGGAGCAGCTATCACCGATGCCAGGCACCTGGGTGGATGAGGATGACAAGAAGGAGCCGGACTTTAATGAGTACGTGGGGTCTGTTGGCAGTTCGCCCCATAGCGTGAAAGATTTTGCCATGAGCCCGTTTCAGGGAGAACTGGACGGACAGGGCCATGTTTCGAGTCCTGTTCCCCACGCTCCTGAGTCCAAAGACAGCGATCGACTGAGTGCGTTTGGCAAGGTCCCGATTTTGGGCAGTATTCTCACGGAGTCACTGGGAATCACACACAAGTCCGGGGCTGACGAGCAGTATGACCAGACCTCCAACACCATCCAGACAAACGAATTTCTCAACAACACGATGGACGTGTCGATCAGCAGCACAAGTACGTCGCACAGTGAGGACGACTCGTCTGTGTCGGAAAGTAATTTTATCGATCTCGACAAACAGGGATACACGTCTCCGGTGGTTGACCAGGACAAGACGCCTGTGGTGTCGTCGTTTGGGTTCACCGAGGGAGACAAGACGCCAAACGGTGAGGACGCTAAGCGGTTCACGAATCCTCTGAGCTCTTCTGACGTCAGACTCTCAAGTTTCCGCAGAGCTGGCTCTCCACTGGTGGAGACTCCGATCTTGGAGGAGGAAGAGGAAGATGGCGAACCTTTGGCATCAGTTTTTGATCAGCGCGTCGAGCGGTCGCCGCAGGTGCCACTACGCCACGCAAAGTTCTCGGAAATACCGAAACACCAGAGCTACTCGTCGAGCATTTATTCTGAGGTGCCGGAGTCGAACGTTGGATCGGCTGCAAAACCTCTGACGGCGATTCCGGAATTCTCAGCGGAGCCTGTGGTTCCCGAGAGGTCGTCTTTGCGCGCAACTCCAGAGCCAGCAGAATCTGCTGCTCCCGTGGCCCCGTTCGCCAAAAAAGCCTCCGTTCCCCGTGCAAGCACGTCGTCGAGCGTGTACGAGCCGGCACGCCCGTCTGGCGCAGCGGCTGACGAGGAGCAGCCCGATAAAATGGCGCAGCTGCCCGAGTTCTCGTCGACACCTAAGAAAACGCGCGTCTCGGTGAGACAGCAGTCGCTGTACCAGGATACGTACAGCAAAAAGTCGGCCGTCTCGAGCAACAGAGACCTTACGAATTTCGAGTCGTCGCACCAGCTGCACGAGCTCAGCACGGACGCGAGCTCGGTGGTGGACGACGAAGCGGAAGAGGACGACGCGTCGGCACTGTTTGTGACGGCGTTGTACCCGTTCGACGCCAGCACGCTCGAGTCGAAAAACGACGCGTCGATCTGTCTCTCCTTCAACGAGAACGACATCGCCTTTACGTACTCGCTCGACGATTCGGGCTGGGGCGAGGTGACGCTGCTTAACACGCTGAAGCGCGGCTGGGTGCCAATGAACTATTTCCGGGCCACGCTGTCGGAGGACCTCGAGGACGAGCCACATCTGAGCAAGTACGCGAGACTGGCTGCGTCGCGCCGGCCGCTGCGAAAATTGTTCCGCCACGCCGGCATGTTCCTGCTCAATCCGCAGAACAAGATGCTTTACATCAAGAACGAGTTCAAGGGATATACTTTCGACATCCGCTACATCAACGGTATCACGCAGGGCGTGAGAACGCTGCTCAAGGAGACAGACTGCATCTCGCGAACAAGCGACATTGTGCAACGCAAGCCGATTGTGCGCCGATTGCGCAAGAAACTGCTGCGTGACTGGTCGGACCTGATCTACAAGGCCAAGGACTTCCTCAACACCATGGACGTGAAAAAAATCGAGTATCTCCAGCTGCTCGCATACCAGGTGCTGCAGAAGGCCATCACGTTTTTGGACGTGTGGGGTCTTGAAAGCGACGACCTGGTCAACCGAGACAAACAGCTCATCAGCTCGTCGCAGCTCGTGCCCGTGCGCTACCTGTCTGCACCGCCACGTGCTGCGCCACGCGTGAACGAGCTGTACAACCATCTGATGGGGTACTTTGCGCTCATTTCAGGGCGGCTGGATCTTGTTGAGCACAACGTCAAGGGCAGCCAGCTGCTGGAGAACATTGTCAACCAGATCAACCTGCAGGTTCGCGAGCTGCAATTCATTGGCTCGCTGATCAAGACCGTCATTCCTCCTGGCTACAAGCTGCCGGCTGTCGCGCGTTCAAACCTCTCGACGGCCGACCAACTCAGACTGCTTGAGACCAACAGCACGGAGCTGACCGCTGCTCTCGAAAAGTTCAACCACAATGTGCGTGTTCTGGTAGACGTTGCTACCAACAAGACGAAAAACTCTCCGATGCTGACGCGCTCGGGCACCGCCACGTCGCGCAGCACCGCCCCAACGAAGGACATGTACTTCTACTCGAGAGAGGGCGGAGCCGTGATCAACACCGCGTGTCGGCTGGTTTATCTGGTGAGCACGTCGTACAAGGTGCTCAAGACGTTCCTGGCGGCCACGAAGGACTTCGAGCTGCCAAACACACGCGAGTACCCAGACTTCCTCGAGATGAACGTTTCGCCAAAATCGTTCATCAAAATCTGCTCCACGGGGCTGATTTCCGACAAGGAGATCACCAGACAGCTGAAACAGCACAAGACTGCGCGGGGCGACAAGCGCGCGTCGAAACGGTTCTCGATGTTCCGTGCGGGCGATGCGGCCAACATGGAGCTCACGGCGGACGGGCTGGACTTTCTCGCAGAGGTGACTCCCGGCGACGGCACGCCGTTCATCCAGAACGACGGCACGTTCGACCAGCTGCTGGACGAGCCCGCCGGCGACGTGAGCCACGAGGACGAGGTGCTCCGCGGGCCGGACAACGAGATCCTGGGCGCGTCGTTCCGCGCGCTCGTGTGTCTGCTGACCGACGAGAACAATCCGCCCGAGTACTTTTTCGTGTCGACGTTTTTCCTCACGTTCCGGATTTTCTCGCACGGCTCGGTGCTTCTGGAGGAGCTGGTGGCGCGTTTCGACGTCAACAACACGATTATCGAAAACGAGAAGAAGAACGGCGCCGGCGGCCTGCACATGCACTCGTCGCTCGAGTCCAAGATCAAGCACAGACGCCAGCTCGTGTGCAAGACGTTTATGCTGTGGCTCGAGAGCTACTGGAAGCCAAGGACAGACTACAACCTGCTGCCGCCGCTGCTGAACTTCTTCAACGAGGCCGTCAAGGAGTACCTGCCGCTGGAGGCGCTCCGGCTGATCGAGACGGCGTCGAAGCTGATCGGCATGCCACCCGTCGAGACCATCAAGGACAGGCTCAACTACTACAACAACATCGACAACGACTCGCAGCTGGTGCCGCGCAAAATCTCGCCAAAGCAGCAGCACAAACACATCTCGCGGCACATCTCTACCTTCTCGTTCTCAGACCCTGCCGGCATCATGAACGATCTCGACACGTACAACTCGCTGCTGGACGACCTCGACACCTACGACCTGGAGAGGACGGCCACCAGAGGCAGTCGCCAGTCGATCAACCTCGGCCTGGCGATCGACCTCAAGAACACCGACTCCAACGTGGTGCTGCTCAGCGACAAGCAGCTCGAGTCGATCCAGAAAGTCATTCTGTCGTACAGAAACATGCTGCGCGAGCACTGGCAGCGCGGGAACATGCGGCTCGACAAGTTTGTGCCGCTAGACACGCAGACGCTGCTTGACTCGTGGTGGAAAACCGCCCAGGAGAGCTGGAAGATCCTCAACCAGGACCTGGCCCTGCTCAACTTCAACGGGCTCGAGATCGCCAAACAGCTGACCCTGATCGAGTCCAAGATGTTCTGCTCCATCAAGGCAGAGGAGCTGCTCAACCAAAACTTCACCTCCAAGAAATTGCACCTCAACCTCTCGCCAAACATCCAGCGCTCGGTGCTCTTCACCAACCTGCTGAGCGATTACGTCATCGAGAGCATTCTGCAACCGAAACTCACCATGAAGCAGCGCGTGCACGCGGTCAAGTGCTGGCTCAAGATCGCGATCTCGTGTCTGTACCTGCGGAACTTCAACTCACTTGCGTCGATCATGACGTCGCTGCAGAGCTTCCTGATCACGCGGATCACGCGCATCTGGGACGGTCTGTCCGACAAGTACAGGGAGCTGTTCCAGTATCTGGCGTCGATCATCCATCCCGACAAGAACTACCACGTGTACCGCGGCAAGATCCGCGACTTTTTGCTCTCCAATCTCGAGGAAAACCTCGACATTCCTACGGTGCCGTATCTGTCGCTCTTTCTGCAGGACCTGACGTTTATCGTGGACGGTAATCCAAATTACAGAGACAACACCAAGTCGTTCCTGAACCAGAAGCTGATTAATGTCGACAAGTACACCAAGATCACCAAGATTATCCTTGATCTGCAGACGCTGCAAATCCCCTACAAAGACACGGGCGAGCTGGGCAAGGTGTACAACAAGGACCAGAAGATCGACCTGATCCGAAGCGCCACCATCAGGAACCTGCGGCTGCAGTTGCAGGACGAGTCGCAGAGTTTCGACGATATGTTTGACATTGCTGGCGTGCCGTGCTTGCAGGAGCTGATTTTGCTCGAGATCTGGAAGGTGAAGCAGATCAACATGAAAGAGGACGACCGGAGCTGGAAGCTGAGCTGCGAGATCCAGCCGCGAGACGAGTAGTCTTACCGAGTTTTATACGTTCTATTTCTTCCCTCTATTTAGTTCAGTTTTTTTTGCTCACCGATGTAATTAATAGCAGAGCCAGCCTTGAAGAATTCCACCTGGTCCTCACTCATGGTGTGCTTGCAGTCGATCACAAACTCCTCGCCGTTGCGTTTTGTCACCTTGACCTTCAAAATGCCGCCGTTGTTGCCGCCCTTGGAGACCAGGTCAGGCAGGCCGACGGTGGTGAGCAGGTCGGTCGAGCCGATTCTGTCGTAGTCGTTCTCGTCGGCAAACGTCAACGGCAGCATGCCCTGTTTTTTAAGGTTGGTCTCGTGGATTCTCGCAAACGACTTGACCAAAATGATCTTTCCGCCAAGGAATCGCGGAGACAGTGCAGCGTGCTCTCTGGCAGACCCTTCTCCGTAGTTGTGCTCTGCAACCACACACCACGGCACGTTCTCGGCCTTCCACTTCATCATGAGCTCTGGAATGCCGAACGGCTTGCCGTCGAAGTCGTATGCAACGTTCACCTCGCCCGTCTCCTTGTTCTGGGCGCCGATCAGAGTGTTGTACGAGATATTTTCCAGATGGCCCTTGTACTTGAGCCACACACCAGCGGCAGAGATGTGATCCGTCGTGCACTTGCCTTCCACCTTGATCAGCACTCGAGTCTGCAGTTCTCTGCCGTCCCACGGCTCGAACGGTTCCAGAAGCTGTAGTCTGTCGGATTCGGGCGAAACGTTGACCGCCACCTCTGGTCTAGGCTTAGGCTCCAATGGAGGATAGAACTCTTTTCTTCCAGCGACAAATCCCTCGGACGGGAGCTCTTCTCCGTGAGGAGGAGCAAATTTGAACGTCTCGCCGTTCTCGAGCTGGATGCTGTCCTTCATAGGGTTGAAGTTCATGTCTCCGGAATAGATCATGGCCGTAACAATATCCGGCGACGTGAGGAAATTCATGGTGTTTCTGTTGCCGTCGTTTCTCGCACGGAAGTTTCTGTTGAAAGAGGTGAAGATCACATTGGTGTCTTTCGGAGCAGTCTCTCCTCTGTCCCATTGGCCAATACATGGACCGCACGCGTTCGCCAGCACAATTGCGCCGTTCTCCTCGAAAGTGCTAATTAGCCCGTCTCTCTCGATGGTAGCACGGATCTGCTCAGACCCAGGCGTCACAAAAAACGGGATCTTAGGCTTCAAGCCGGCCTTCGCCGCCTGTCTGATGATCGAGGCAGCACGAGACATGTCCTGGTACGACGAGTTGGTGCACGAGCCAATCAGGCCGGCAGTGATGTTCTCTGGCCACTCGTTCTCCTTGGTGGTCTCCTTGAGCTTTGAGATCGGCGTGGACAGATCTGGAGTGAACGGCCCGTTCACGCTAGGCTCCAGCGTGCTGAGGTCGATCTCGATTATTTGGTCGTATTCACAGCCTGGGTCGGCCGTCATGTACTGGTAGTTCTGGTTGACAGACTTCGCCAGATCTGCGATTGGGCCTCTGTTCGTGGCATACAGGTACCTGACATGGGCCTCCTGCATTGGGAAGGTCGACGTGGTGGCTCCGATCTCAGCACCCATGTTGCAAATGGTGGCCATGCCGGTACAGCTCAAGCTTTCGACACCTTCGCCAAAATATTCAACAATGTAACCTGTTCCTCCTCTAACAGTCAGTATGCCGGCCAAGTGGGTGATAACGTCCTTTGGCGAGGTCCAGCCGTTCATTCTTCCTGTCAGCTTGACACCCAGCACCTTTGGGGCCTTCAGCTCCCATGGAGTTCCCGTCAGAGCGTCCACGGCGTCGGCTCCTCCAACACCAATGGCAATGGCTCCCAGGCCACCAGCATTTGGCGTGTGCGAGTCGGTTCCAAGCATCATCAGACCGGGAACAGAAAAGTTCTCCAGCACGATCTGGTGGATGATACCGGATCCTGGCCCCCAGAACTGAATACCGTATTTTTCACCACAGCTCTGCAAAAAGTCGAAAACTTCCTGGTTGGTAGCAATGGCAGACTTGAGATCGACGTCGGCTCCCTCCTTGCCCACGATCAAGTGGTCGCAGTGGATGGACGCAGGGACGGCGGTGGACGCCATGCCACAGGTCATGAACTGCAGAAGCGCCATCTGAGCAGATGCGTCCTGCATGGCGACTCTATCTGGGTTCAGCTTCAAGTACTTGTTTCCACGGATGTCCCTGGACGAAGCCGATCCAGAAAGCTCTTCTGGCTCGACCAGGTGCGCGTACAGGATTTTTTCTGCCAGGGTGAGCGGCTGGTTGTTCAGAATGTGTTTGACCTTGAATAATTTATCGATTAATTTTTCGTATGGGGGAGTTCTGGACTCGAACCCGGCTGGAGCCTTGATCTGGCCCAACGTGGTAGCCAGATGACGGCTCAGCTTTCTGCTATGGCGCACGCTGGCTCTCGAAACTAACATGATGGGGCCAAACGTCCTAGTTCCTGATCCAATAATAAATTGTGTGTTTTTCTTTAGTCATCTGGAGAAAATTTTTCCACTATTTTTTTTACAGATCTCGCGTCGATCGACGCGTCAGAAGAGCTTATCAAAGTAGTCAACTGGGTCCAGATCAAACAGCCTCCTGCCCCCGAGTTGGATTCGCATCATCTCTCTGCGCGCCATTTCTTTGATAAACGGCTGGACCTCTGTCGAAAACACGCTCCTGCTCACGCGATTGAAGACACAGCCTGGGTTCTGCTCCAGATACTCTTCTCCATCCAGATATCTCGTAGCACGAGATCTAGATCCGGTTTTATACAGTTTGGACGAGTAGAAGTCAATGGTCTGTCGACGAGCAATGTACACGTCGGATGTTATATCTTCCTGATCCAAAGACTCGGTGCAGTATCTCATTTCATGGTCGTGCTCCAGCTGTTGCAACGAAGTCAGTTGCGCAGCTTCCGGACAGTCTTCTTTGCTGATCTCCACCAAACCGTGTTCTTTCCGATCGCAGCAGCTTCCCAGAAGTTGGAGTTGCATCAGAGAGCGACGCAAGTCGTAGCCACACAGTTGCTGTAATATATTATCGTCAAGTTTCATGCCCATTTGGAGCCCAATCAGGTCCAAATACTGGGCATGTACATTCTGATTCGGCTGCGTAAAACAGTAGACCGTGCTCTGGTTCACGATGTTCGGCGGTATCTTCGAGAGATCCTGCGTAGTGAACACCACCGGCCGGTACGAGTACGTCAGTAGCTCGGTCACTGCCTGCCAGAAGTCTTTATCGTCTTCGTCGTCGATCAGGTCGACGTCGTCAAATAGAATAAGCCCGTAATCCTGGCCGTTGTTCACGTTCTTTGTGGTGCCAATCTGTCTCAGGTGAAAATTAATGCTCTTACGAGCTCTGTTCTGGCCGGAGTTGAGCTCAAAAACGTGACCCTGCAATTGTTCTTTTACGATAGAATAAATCGCAGACGTCTTGCCACACCCAGTCGGGCCCTCAATTATCAGACACGGCACAAATACCTCGTCTTCGGTTTCGTTTCCGGACTCGCAACCGTCGTCCACTAGGAAATCATCCATTTCCGCCTGCACCCGTCTCTTGCGGAGCAGTTTGGTTCTTTTTTCTGTGTCGACCTTGCGTAGCTTCACAAACATGTTTTTTAGCCACAGATACAAATCTGTGTTCAAGGTCTGCGGTTGCAGAATATGCTCATAGTTAGAGGGCCTGAACAGATCGCACCACTGAGCACTGGGGTCGCGAAATTGCTCTATGCAAAGTCTCTCAAAGCGCGCACATTGCACCGCATGGTATTTGCGGCGCACAACGTCTTCCATAGTCTCCTGCAGATGTCTAGATGTATAGTGAGAACTTTTTGGTTGGCTGTTCTTGATGAAACAGGTCATGAACTTTGCGTGTTCTTCTTGCGAAAAAGAAAACTCGTGTGCCGTGTTCTGTGCAGTTTTTCTATGTTGTAGCCGTAAAGACGAATGCTGAGGTATGTCATTTTTGTCGTAAATCATAAAATCTAGTTTTCCAAGGACGGGAATGTCCATGCTTTTGGGTTTGTCTCTCCTTACCAGTTCGCCCGAGTCCGCTCGTTTCGCACGCTCGGCAACAGCACGAAAAAACGAATTCATAAATTGCGGTTTTTCTTGCTTTATAGTAGCCTCCTCCTGTTCTAGATCTACCACATGCACTTGTTTGGGCTGCAGTACGGTACGAAGCTTCTCTGAGTCCATTTTCAAGGTAACGTTGAATCTCTCCGGCCTCACCCGGGGAGACTGGATTGTGAACTTGCCATTTTCCAGCAACGAGTCACCAGACACTCTTGGCCGTTTGGGAAGTTTTAGTATGACATTACGGGGATCTATGGCTCCGCCTTCTTGCCGTGGTTCTGGCAGACACTTCTTGCGTGGGGGCATTAGAATTGAAGTAATGGAAACACCAGGACTCGCTGTCTCCGATGCGTTCTCTTGGGTATTTTGAGGTGGTAGTTGCGATTCCAGTTCATCAGTTTGAGAAGAGCCGCGACGAGCCTTGTCCTTGAGCCGAAACGACCTGAATATTTCGGTTGGGGTGTTCATCTTCCTGCCGCCGTCGGATTCTAGACGAGACCGAGCGTCCACTATGTTCATCAGAGACGGCAAGACAAAAAGAGTGCTTAAACACGGTCAAAAAAATGAGCGCGTTGAGTCGATCGACTTATCTGATGGTCACGCCTCCATATCATAAAGTGTACGAAAATCATGGTGTGTTCCATCCTTATTAGCTCAGTTGGTAGAGCGTTCGGCTTTTAAGGATTCCAATTCGGAAGTCGACCGAAATGTCCAGGGTTCGAGCCCCTGATGAGGAGCGCACCACTTTTTTTTGAAATTCTGTTCTCTACCTGCAATTTTTCAAATTTGGAAACAAATGTTATTTTTGGTACAGCCTTCCTCGCGACTACAACAATCAGGCTCTACATTTTTGTGCGTTGTGCGTGGAATTACCGGGAGATTTGGGAGGAAAAGGGAAGAAAACAATGGGCTTGGCACCCGTCTACATACAATGTGGCTGAGGCCTTTTTCTCCTTCCCGTCAAAAAATACCAAGAAATTTTGGCCAAAGCACTATTCGAAATAAAACCATATTTGAGCAAATTTCGCACTAAGATAGGTACTATTTGAGTTGCATATAAGTAGCACCAAATGTGCTCCCAAAAACCTAGAAAAGCAGGTTGACCTCCACGATGCTCTTTCTCTACTAAGACCAGCTGGTCCAGACGGAGTTTTCGCCTCTTATTGGGTGTCGGTAGTTTTGTTCACCGCCACACGCAGAGCTGCATATTATCAAAAAAATCAGTGCATTTCTAGTCAGCCAATAGCGTCCAGCTTAGGACTCCTGAAAACCCCTATAAGTACGATGTAATATCCTAGGCTTCTTCTCCATCACACATATACTAATTTCGTTCTGGGGAGAATGAGATTGTCAGTTCTTTCTTCCGCCTTTTTTGCGGCTGCTGCTCTGGCCGAAACTCATGTTTTCAACTGGACCACCGGCTGGGGCACTGCGAACCCAGACGGCACCTTCGAAAGGCCTGTGATTACCTGTAACGGTGAATTTCCCTGGCCTGATATCAAAGTCAAGAAGGGAGACCGGGTCGAGCTCTATTTGACAAATGGTTTTGACAATACTAATACTAGTCTTCACTTCCACGGCTTGTTCCAGCGCGGGTCCACCCAGATGGACGGTCCGCCGCTTATTAGTCAGTGTCTAATTGTTCCGGGTGACACGATGTTGTACAACTTCTCTGTTCCTGACCAGGTTGGTTCTTTCTGGTACCACTCTCACTCGGAAGGTCAGTATATGGACGGTATGAGGGGTGCTTTTATCATTGAGGACCCGGATATGCCCTACGACTACGACGAGGAGGTCATCATTACTGTTACTGAATGGTATCACGATCTTGTTGACACTCTGACGGACAAATTCCTGGACCTCTACAACCCAACTGGTGCAGAGCCAATTCCTCAGAATCTGCTAATGAATAACACCAGAAATAACACCTGGAACGTGGAACCAAATAAGACGTACTACGTTCGTCTGATCAACATCGGCGGTTTTGTCTCGCAGTACCTGTACATGGAGGACCACACGTTCACTGTCGTGGCAGTCGACGGTGTCTATGTGGAGCCGAACGAGACGAGTATGATCTACATCACCGTCGCTCAGCGTTACGATGTTCTGATCACAACCAAGAACGACACTTCGAAGAACTATGCCTTCATGCAGAAGTTCGACTCGACGATGCTCGATACCATTCCTAAAGATCTGGTGCTGAATGCTACCAATTATATTGTCTACGATGAAAATGCTGATCTGCCAGGACAATATATGGTCGACTCAATCGACGACTATCTTGACGACTTCTACCTGGCTCCATTGGAGAAAGAAGAGCTGTACGAGAACTACGATTACCAGATCACCGTCGATGTCTTGATGAACAACCTGAACGACGGTGTCAACTATGCTTTCTTCAACAACATCACCTACGTTGCTCCAAAGGTCCCAACTCTCGGTACCGTCATGTCTGCCGGCGAGAACGCTACCAATGCCTACATCTACGGTACCAACACCAACACTTTTGTCTTACAGAAGGACGAAATCGTCGAAATCGTGCTCAACAATCAGGATACAGGTAAGCACCCGTTCCACTTGCACGGTCACGTGTTCCAGGTCATCGAGAGAGGTCCAACGTTCCCGGACGCGTCGCCTCAGTCTTACAACGAGTCTGCTCCGTACACTCCGCCTGAGCACCCAATGAGAAGAGACGTTATCTACGTGAACCCAAACTCGTACTTTGTGATCAGATTCAAGGCCGACAATCCAGGCGTCTGGTTTTTCCACTGCCACATCGAATGGCACTTGGTCCAAGGTCTGGCTCTCACGTTGGTGGAGGATCCTCTTGGAATCCAGGCCAACGAGACTCTGACCGACAACTGGAAGCAGGTCTGTGAAAACGCCGGCTTGACCTACACCGGTAACGCTGCTGCCAATGATAAGGACTTCTTTGACCTGACCGGCCAAAACGTCCAGGTCAAAGCCCTTCCAGCTGGGTTCACTGCCAGAGGCATTGTTGCCCTGGTTTTCTCCTGTATCAGTGGTATTCTGGGCTGTGTTGTCATTTTCTGGTACGGTATGGCTGATATTCCAGACATGGAAAAAAGAGTGCTTGCTGACCTTAATATTGACGAAAGGGCCTTCTTGGCTGCGGAGGACGACGAGGAAGCCGAGTCTGCTGATGCCATGGGCTCTACCGTGAACGCCCTTTCCAAAGAAGGGACTGCCCACGAGATTACTACTTCTCACTAGGTCCGGTCCAAACGACAAAGCCAGTCTCTAATTTGTGTGTGTGTTTAGAGACGGCTGATCTCGTTCCAGTCGCGGGCCGTTTGTTCCCCATCGAAAGATGTGTATGTGTGTGTGTGTGTGTTTTTTCCATTGAGGGTGACTTTAATTAGTTAACTCTCTTCCCCTATCTAGTTTAACTGTGTGTGAGTTAAAAATGGTAGCTCGTAGCTTATTATTTTTAAATATTTGAATCTAGACACGGTCCTAGCGAAATAACCACCCATCTCCCCCACCCTGCTTCCTCCACCGAGGTTGCAAAATGGTGTGATTCTCTTCTATCAACAGACGCCATGCTTCACGGATGTGGTCGGGCGTGAGCTGGTCTCTGTCGTCCGGAACCTTGACCCGGTAGCTACTGAACGTGGCAGCCGGGCCGTCAGGACGAGGGATGTCGGTCAGCTCAGGCAAGTCGTCAGTGCTTTCCTTGTTTAGTTTGCGTCTCTTGGTCTCGTTATCGAGCTCTGCCAGTTCGTTCTCGTATCGTTTCAATTTGCGCTTGTACTCCAGCTGTTCCTCGACACGGGCGCTGTTCTGCCGTTTCTGCACTTCTTTTGCCTTCTCAACAACCTCTCCAACAAACACTTTCCCGACACCGGCGAGAATTTTCGCAAAATCCGTTCCCACATTGTAGCCAATCGCCATGTTGACCAGTTTTTTAATACCTCCTGTGTTCAGGTTGGTTCTTCGGAAATATTCATATCGATTGATCTGCTCGGCGTCCATATTCTCCAGCAGTAATTGTTGTCGCTGGTTCAAGTTCATATTTATCGAGATTTCCTCAGCGTCGATTCCAAACATGTCTAGCAGGTCCTCAAAGTCTTCGCCGTCGCTTTCGCCTCGGATTCCTTCGTCCTCCTCGCGTTTCTTCTTAAGCAGCTTTTCTGCCAATTCCACCTCCTTGTACTCTTCTAGCGGCTCCTGCAGGTATTCCATGCCCTTTTTCATGTCCAGCGGCACGCCGTCCTCGTCAACGGCCTGCGGTATCGCCTCCTGGGGAGCGGGTTGATTGGCCTGCGAAAAGGCTCGCAGTTGTGCTCTTATCTTGGTGCGTTCCTCAGCAAGTCGCTGCATCTCATCTGCGCTCATCTGACGGTTGGTGACAGGCGGTGAAACGTCTTTCACCTCCTCGACGTCGCTGTTGCTCTCGTTGTCAGACATAAACACCGTTATCAAATTGTTGCACTTTTTTCAACGGCGCACGCCGATCGACGCGGCCGGCACTAATTGATAAAAAAATCGTTCAGAAAGTCTTTCTCCAGAGATATCCACTGCACATCATGTCGTCGCAAGATTTCGAGCTTCGCGAGCAAGACAGATGGCTTCCAATTGCCAACGTCGCGCGATTAATGAAGAACACGTTGCCGACCACGGCAAAGGTATCCAAAGATGCGAAAGAGTGTATGCAGGAGTGTGTCTCCGAATTCATCTCGTTCATCACCAGTGAGGCCAGCGACAAGTGTTTGATGGAAAAGCGCAAGACTATCAATGGAGAGGATATTCTGTATTCGATGACGAATCTGGGTTTTGAAAACTACAGCGAGGTGCTTAAGATTTATTTGGCAAAGTATAGAGAACAGCAAGCTCTCAAACAGGAACGTGGGGAAATTAAAAGGAAGAAAGTGAGCAAGAAAAACGGCTCGATGGGCGACATGGGCGATCAGGAAGATGACGCGGAGGACGATGGGGACAACAGCATCAAGAAGGACGAAGACGATTTTTTGGAATACCCCGTTGACGACTCAGAGAGCAAAGAACAACACAAATCGCAGTTTGAGGAAAACGAGTATATGCAGCAGCTATACGAACAGGACTACGGAGATCATTCACACTACCCTCATAACCCTCAATACCATAACACGCACGAGGACGACGATGCAATAGGAGTTTCACCTTTGAAAAATGCTCGGTCGGCAGAAATCGGTTCTTCCGGCGTTGCCAAACACAGTGATCATATCAAACTCGAAGGCACAGAGAAGGTGGTTGCCACCACAGACGACGCCACTCTGTCTTTGAACCTGAACGACAATGTGCCTGAAGCAGTATCGGAGACTGAGGAGCTGGCGTCTTTAGCGAACGGCCATCATGGAGAAAATGTTTTGTATCGCTACCAGGGAGGCTTCTAAGAGTCTGATTGTAATCTAGGGAGATTATCTCCAGCTGTTATATACTTCTCTATTTATCGTTCCTGTATAGTTAAGCTATTTTTTTTCGGCTGTGCAAGTAAAATATGGGGCTCCCAGTGGAAAAGAAATTATTAACAGATAAACACAAACTTGATCTGGTTCAAACTCTGCGGTAGCAGCTTTTTCCGCCCCTGTACCCAATTCCGTCACTTTTGATGGCTGCCAACATTTAAGCTGATCAAGACCTGCTATGAATACCAAGACCAATCCAGAGAGCCCCGACAGTTCGAGGTCTTCGAAAAAGGGAGAGTCTGTTGCTGGTTTTGACTTGACCCGTGCAGCCTGTATATTGATCGCAGGTCAGACGGTAATTAAGCTCATGACCTTTGCGATGAACCAAATGCTGATTCAGCATGTCACACCCACAGGTCTAGGGCTTTGCAGCCTGATCGAGTTTGTGATCAACAGTGTGCTTTTTATCAGCAGAGAACCGGTCAGGCTATCTGTGCAGGCTATGAATACTGAATTAAAGGATTACAACCAGCTCTTGGTGAACTTTTCCTACTTGCCGTTGCTTTTCTGTACCATTATTGTTGGCCCCTTCGTCTACTGGCAACTGGGCTTTGGCGGCCTATTTTTGCACTCGTGGCACTATCAGCTCTGTCTGGTCGCTATTATAGCTTCATTGGTGCTAGAGATCCTTAGCGAGCCTTACTACAATGCTAACCAGACACAATTGAATGTCGCGAAAAGAGCGAAGATTGAAAGTTTCGCCTCCTTTGTCAAATGTGTGATTCAGTTTACAATCGTGATGAACATTCGTATGAAAGCCGGCAAAGACGCCACATTCGTGGTTGCTTATATCCTTGCACAGTTCTTTTACTCCTTCACTGTTTTTGTTTGCTATTCAAGATTCAGGATCGCTTGGCCCCGGTTCTCAACTACAGGCGCCTTCCTCGAGCCGTCCACATGGAAATATCTGTGCTCGCTTTTCCTTCAACAGATATTCAAGCAATTCCTCACCGAGGGAGACAGGTTCGTGCTCAATCAGTTCTTTCCTATTGTTGATCAGGGATACTATGCTATCGTGCTCAACTATGGGTCGTTAATGGCACGTTTGCTGTTTCAGCCAATTGAGGAGACCATCAGAATGAACACTGCAAAGCTTTTTGCATCAAATCAGTCAGAAACATGCAAGAGGTCAAGTCTCAACAGCAATTTTTACAAAGTGGCAACCGTTTACATCTACATATTGACTCTGCTACTTTTATTTGCTCCTCGAAATACCTCATTCCTCATTCATCAGGCATTTCCAAACATGGCAGACCCCGAAAAGCTTGTCGAGGTTTTCAAGATCTATTGGTATTACCTTCCTCTACTATCCATGAATGGTATACTCGAAGCGCTCTTCAACTCTGTCTATACAGATCCGCATCACGTGAGTCTGTACTCGCGACTAATGTTCGTCAATTCCGCGTGTTTCTATCTGACTTCTGCCTTCTTCATCAAACGACTACAGCTCGGGCTTGTAGGTCTGATTTTGGCAAACTCCATCAACATGCTCATTCGGATTCTCTTTTGCGCGTTTGAAGTCAAACCGTTTCTCAGCTTCAAACACCAAAATTACACCAGGTTCCTCTACTTCTGGGCATTTTGTGCCGTTATAGTCGCCGCTCAAAACAAAATCGTTGCAGGAGATACGTCCACTGCGATTCAGTTCGGTCAGAACTTTGCACTCGGACTTGCTGCCTTGGCCTTCATCGTTATCATCGAAAGCAAAAATTTATTGTCTAGCATATGATTATTAGCGAACCCTGCTCCGACAGTACGGACAGCTGTCGCAGCGATTATACCACATTCCGAAACATTCCTGGTGAAACACGTGCTGACAGGCCAATAGCACTGTGTCCTGCGTTATCAAGTCATCCAAACAAATGAGGCATTTGTTATTGACAATTGTCGCGGCCCTGTAATTAAAAGTTGGCAGCCTCACCAACATTGACTGGAACTGGCGCATTCTTATACATCTTCTCATACTTTGGATTGCAAGCTTGGCAACGTTTATGAATGCGGACGTTTGATATCTTGTACGTGAGTAATAAATAAAAAGAATCACGCATATATTGAAGAACGCTGCCTTAGAAAACATCTTGGAGAACGCCGTTTCCACAAACTGCGGCGATATGTAGTATAGTGATCCAGAAGTAGCAGCACCAAGCCCTAGCTTCTTGAAGTTAGAGTAGGGCACTTGGTCTGGCCTGCTTCCTATCATTAGAGCGATTTGTATATGTGGAACAAGCTAGATTATTTTTATAAATATTCTAAGAAAATGTGCACAAGACGTAAAAAAAATGTAGCATGTGCAACTTAAAAGCTAAACTCTAGTTTTGAATCCCTATTAATTTTCAACGCCGAATAATCTATACAGTAGCTCGTGGGTCTCGTGTTTGTTGACCATCAAGTTGAAATTGGAGCGTCCTTTCCAGAGAGGCAAATACATATCCTCTTTGTCCTCTCCTCTTTTCACTCTCACGAAAAAGCATCCTTCAGGAAAGTCGGTAATCTTCTCGATAAATTCAGGATCCACCTTGTCCTCTCTGATCTTATTCACGTTAGGGAACGTCTCGCTTAAAAGAATCCTCAAAAGGTCTAGATTGATCTCAAAAGTTCTGCTGCTTCCCAAATGATCCTTCAAAATAGGCATGGCCTCGTATTGGACTCTCCAGGGACATGCTTGTTGCGAGTATTCTGCTCTTTGCGAAACAAACACTTTGACTCCTGCATAAATTAACTTCAGCTTGGCTTCGTTCGTTTGAATGACGTTCTTCACTATTGGAGAGGCAAAATACATGGATCTAAGTGGCTCACCAGTGCCGTTTCTGACCAGCATGCTGTCCTTCGGGAAAGTGTCCTTCACTTCATAGAAGTCCCAGCATTTTTTAAGCTCTTCATTGTCCTTATCCAAGAACACAAATGGCTCTTCGTTGGCGTCCCTCGGTAGTCTTTCTTTCTTCACAGGCTCAATCTTTTTCTCGCCCTCGTTGCTGCTCTCCAATTTAGGTTTCTTCGCAGCAGGCTCTTCATCGCCGTCTCTCTTATCCTCATCTGGGTTCACTTTCTCTAAGACAGTAATGAAGAAGCCTCCAGTGTTCTGATCATGTGGGTACACTCTCATACAGCTCTGTAAATTAAACTCCTTCACCTCCTCAGCAGATGGAGGAAATACGCTGTTTGGAAGACTTTCATTGTTGTCTTCTTTATTTTTCTCTTCCCAATCCTTACCAAATACTTTCCAGTCTGACACCCCCGGACGTCTTTTGAGCCCTATCAGCATGTTATCACAATTGACGACTTTCACTTTACCGCCCCATTTGCGCAAAGCAGCGGAAACAACGGCCTCGTTCTCGATAGGACTTAAGGAGCAGGTAGAATAAACAAGTCTGCCCCCCTTTTTGAGAAGCTGCAGTCCTCTCATCAAAATATTGAGTTGCAGTGAGTGCAGTCCTAAGGCATTTCCTATTCTCCAATCTTTCCAAACAGTCAAATTCTTTCTCATGGTACCATCTCCAGTACAAGGGACATCACACAGTATTCTGTCAAATTTGACATAGTCGCCTTCCGGAGTCAGCTTCATTTTAGGGAATAGTTGGGCATCATGGTTGACAACCACCAGATTTGGGGAATTGAGACGCTTCACTTGATGAACAAGCATGTGAGACCGTTTGTAATCCGAATCATTTGCAACGATGAGCCCAGGCACGTGAACTCCCTCGCTATGTAGACCTTCAATTAGTTGAGCTGTCTTGGAACCAGGAGCCGCACACATGTCCAACACGTAATGGTGAGGTTGCACATCCAAAAACAGAGGAGGAATCATCGAGACGGCCTCCTGTCTGGAGATGTTACCAACCTCTGTCTCCACCACAAGAAATCTCTGAGTTGATGCGTACAATGGGTTTTTTTTCACCACAGATTTGGGCAAATCTATTTGAAAGCCCAACTTTCCAGGGTACCAAGGGAACGGAAATGGGGGCTTGGAGTTTTCGTCATCTGCGTTGGTCAGATTTGGCATATGTCTAGTGGTGAATAGCTCGGAAATCTCGTTCGCATGTTTTTTGAAACCTGTGATTCTGAAGGTGAGCGGGAGATCTTGCTGGCAGGTCGTTTTGAACTGTTCAAACTCTTCCTCTGGGATCAGACCCTGGGCCTTATAATATCTCTCCCATTGATCATTCTTACGCTCTATCTCCTTCCAGTAACCTCTATTTTCGCGCTTGCCATTCTGATTACCGTTTTTATTGCCCTTTCTTTTGCCCATTATTGTACTGTATAGACGAGCTCTCTGAAATATTTTTTTCATAAAAATTTTAGGACCAGACGTCGCTCACGTCGATCGACTTAGATCAGGTTCAGGATGTCTTCTTAGTCTCTTCCTTCGATAGTAATCCAAACGTCTTTTCCGCTTCAAAACATCTGTCAAGTCTTCCACCTCGTCTAGCTCCATGAAATGTTTGTGGCTCTCCTTTTGCTGTCCCACAAGGTCGTCGATCCATTTTTCAACCAGGACACCCATTGCCAGCAAAGCAGAACCGTCACAAAAGCGTGTGAAGAGCGTGTTCTTCTGGCTATCAGGGATAGTTCTGTCGTTCTGGATACGTTCAACGAAATAGTAATGCAGAGATTTCAGTAACTCGGACGATGGAAGATCAACACTAGTGTGTTTCTTGATTTCCTCTCGCGTCAAGTACTTTAAATCATCGGGACTTACTTTGAACACACCGTGCAAAAGCTCGTCGGGAGCAATGGCTCGCCCTTTGGAAATATAACCCACCGGAGTCTTGTATCTATCCTTATCGACGCCGTCTTTCAGACGAGGCAGGCCGTCCAGATCTACCAGTGCCTCGGGGTCATTCAATTTATATTTAAGTGACCTTCCCGTTGTATAGTATCCTGCGCTGGACTCGTATATATTGAACGCTCGTGCTTGTTTGGTATTCAAATTGACATTCATGTGATGAAAATATTAGATTAAGAAATACGTAATTTTTGGGCCATCATATGAATAATCAAGCTGATCAGCTGGCGACGGTAAATGAAGCAATAAGAGCACTTGCAGATAAAATAGCACACAAGGAACGCGAGCTTGACCAGCTGAAGGCGACCTATAACGAGAAAATAGGCGACCTGGATCGATATCTCGAAAAGCTAAAAAATCTTGAAATCATTCAGGGTGGACAGAACGTTGCTGAAGAGGTGGTCAAGGTTGAGGAGTTTCGTTGTCCAGAATGCAGATCTTTGCTGTATGACAAATTGAAAGAGACAGACTATATTCTTCTGCCAAACAAGGTCAAACTCCAATCTTCAAAACATAGTCAATGCAATATACCTGCTACGCCAACTGTGGTCGCAAAGAGGACAACAGTGGCTCCAAACAAAAACAAAAAGATTACCTGCTCCTACTGCATGAAACAGGGACACAAGAGAGCGCAATGCCCTGAAATTTTGTATGGAAAATCCGGTTAATAATGTACATAAATAGTAACGGCAAGTCCGTGTTTTAGCACTTATCTGTCTCTATCCGCACCCTTCATTTTCCTCCAATCTTGTCACCTGCGCTAGCCATGGCTTCCCTTCTACTGGCATCTTGCAAGAGGTTGGTATCAACCAAACTTGGATTTATGTGGATGTATCTGATGTTGGAGCCTCGGATGAACAAATTGCGCACTGCTATTAAATGAGGGTATTTCGTTGTGTTGGCAGAGATGTTATCCAGCTTCAGGTTAAGGTATTGATCTATGGATTTGAGAGTACCTTTTATTTCAACGTCGTTCTTGAGCTAGAAAAAGTTAGTAGCCAATATTGTCCCACTTACCTCAACAGTAATCTAGCTGTTAGTCTCTCCAATATTTACCGGGTATAACTTACCTCCTGGTCCACCAGGGTCTTGAAGAATGAGAAAAATAACATTCTTTAGTCTCTTGTGTATATCGCACAATCTTTTCGATGTTGAATTTCTATAGTAATTTCTCGCTCGCTGAGGCCAATATTTAAAATGACAGACAGAATTAGTTTGTATGTACAAGCTCCAACGTATAATATACACATGTTTATTTCAAAACCGCACTGTTAGTCTTTGCCTTATGGAGGAAGTTCTTGAGCAACATTAGGTTTGTTTTATTTGGCTTCTTCAAGTGGCACACGGTCATCAAAATACCGGTGAGAAGGGCCAGAGCACCTCCTTGGTGCGCTGCTGCCAACTCGGTTGGAACCAACCATAATAGTGTACAAATTCCAAGTGCCACTTGTAGCGAGACTAGTCCCATTGAAATGTTAAGCCATTTGTAGGCATGCCTTGGCATGATTGTTTTGATTCTGTGAGAGTACATGTGAAGAGCAAGCACAGAACAGAAAGTGGTGATGGCGAGTATACGGTGATTTAATTGCACGGTAGCTGGATTCTCAAACATGTTTCTCCAGAACAAATCAGATTGGTCAGCAAGTCTGGAAAACACTGGAGACATAAGCTCATTCATTGATGGAAGGTAGTCGTCTCCCATGTGGGGGAAAGTATTGTAAATCAGACCTGCATCCAACCCAGCGACCATGGCTCCCGACATGGCTGTTAAGAAGACTAAACCGAGCAAGCCTTTACTCAGCCGGCGAAACAATTTGAGCGATGGTGACTGAATTTTTTGGAAGGTCTCGAGGTAAGTTTGTGGGTCTTTCATGATAGCATGGTCTCTCAATATTCCAAAACCTGTAGATATCATAGTGCAATAAACCAAAAATGCAGCAGCCAAATGCGCCGTGAGTCTATACTGCGAGACAGTTGGTTTCGATCTGCGCTCCTCAAGAAGTTTCTCGTCGATTCCCGAGTACACCATCCACCATCCAATAGCACCTTGAAGGCCGATAAGAGCACAAATGCCCAAAAGTTTAAATGCAACGGGCGGTGAAACTTGTCTGCGGGCTATGAAATAAAGAGTTGGAAGAACAAACACCGTTCCAATAATCCTTCCCAACAGCCTATGAGACCACTCCATTAAGAAAATGAATTTGAATTCCTCTAGCGTAATGTGAGAGTTCAGCAATTTGAACTCGGGAGAGTCCTGGTATTTGCGAAACTCTTCTTCCCAGTCCTCATGAGACATCGGAGGAATGGCTCCTGTCACCGGCTTCCATTCAGTAATCGATAAACCGGACTCGGTCAACCTTGTAAGCCCTCCAAGAATAACGATTGCAAAAACCAGGACTGAAGTCCCGATACACAAGTATCCCAGCTTTATATTGGAATTGGCAGGCCATTTAGATTTCTTAACTACTCTGGCTTCTTCGAAAATGGTCTTCGAGGTGCTGAACTGTCTCTTTTGGTCGAACAAAGACTGGCCATTTGTGCGCTTCATACCGTAAACCTTTGATGCAATCGAAGGAGGAGATGTCTTGAAAAAACTTGACCCCAACACTCTAATCTTTGGCTTAGGCTGACTTTTGTATAAGAGTCGCGACAGTTGCTTGCCTGGGCCTCCCTTAAGCCCCACACTAAGCAAAGAAGTGTTTTTCACAAAGAAAAACTGACTTCGACACAATGACATCAGAAATGTGAATTATTGATTATAAATTGAAACGATTCTAAAGGTTTTCAAAAATCAACCGATCTTTTTTTAATTATATCTACACAGCCGTATTTCAATTCTCTTCCTCCAAGTCGCGCAGCCGCCCATTTTTTTGTCTAATTTTTTATCACTCTTGCATTTCCTTTAGGCGGTACGATAATCTTTTGTTCTTGGCAGTGTAAATCTCCCGAATTTGGATACGCTACAAAAATTGTGACAAAGAAACCCCTTTAATTGCTTATAATTTGGAGTGTAAAATTGAAAGAGCTGCCGCGCTCCGCATTTTAGGGAATCTATTGCACTTTGGACTGAAGCACTTACTTACAAGCAATTATTTGAAACGTTTGCTTGGTTTCATTACATGTGTCCAAAGTAGCCATGTCTCAAACACCGCCCTATACCCCGGTATGTGAGGTATCGTCGGCTACCTTTGAGGACACAAAATCGTCATCCAGCACTACCATGTCATGTCTTGGAACGGATTCAATCACAGTTGATACCACGAACGCCAGTACGACGGGAACAACGGAGCCGTATTACAATTCGCCAACTTCACCTTCATCTCAGAAATTTGATAGCTCACATGTTCTTTCAAATATTCTGGATACCAGGCCCCAGATCCCAAAGCACTGTATTGGGGTACCGAAAACGCCATCGGGTACGAAACTCCTCACCCCGTATAAATTAAAATCCAAATCGCTAGAAAACTTTGTCCTTTCCTCGGCGGTCTTCGAAATCAAGCTTGATAGACTTCTTGGTAAGGGATCCAACTCATATGTGCATTTGGCCACTCTTTCAACAAGAGAAGCTAAGAACATGGCTATGCAATTTGCTATCAAGATCCCAACCGCAAAAAATAAAGTCAAGCTCATAGAGAAGGAGACAGAGTTCTTGCTTCTCCTAAAAAACTATAGAGACAACATGTGGTATAGGAAATATGGTGATAAGCCATTTCCATTCGTCGACGCATATGGTTTGTATTATCTGGACAAAACACAGTTCCCTATGATCAAGAAAACAGATTTGTTACCTTGCCTCCTATTGAAGAACTCCGATACGGACCTATTCAAATTCATTAACGAAAGGCGCGAGATAACCGATGCTTCTGAACCGGCGATCGGCCTAACAAATTGGTTTTGTTTGTTCACCTTCTTACTGAACGTGCTCCAAGTCCTGCGAGACCTTGAGGCCGTTCATTGTGATATTAAGACTGATAATATTTTGGTGGAGAATGCCTCTACTTCTGAACCAGTTTTCAAGCTCATTGATTTTACATCGTCAGCCAAAATCACAGAAATACACGAGCAACCGGAAATGACTCTGCAGTTTACTCCACCGGAACTGCTCAAGGATCAGAACAAACTTCCAAGTTTCAGCACAGATCTTTATAGTGCAGGCTTGGTCTTATTGCATGCCGCTACGGGTAGCGCTCCATACCACGGTTATGACTACGATCCCTACTATCTCATCACGTTAGTCAAGGAAGGAAAAGTACTCGAATTATTGACTAGAGAGGAATCGAACAGGATGACGGGGAATCCTCAAGTGCACAAGATTCTGAGGCTTATTCTGGTGAAAAGGTGCACTCTAGAGGAGCTTCTTTCACTAAATACATGAATAACGTTATCAATGAATCTAATCTTGAAGTCGCGTCGATCGGCGAACAGTAGATATGAAAATTTTGAATTGAGGAAAAAAAATTAAATACCTTGTCACAAGTGTTGTTTGCATCTCGCGTTCTTTACCAAGAGTTCACAGCTCGTTGATCAACAAACTAACTACACGATTACACGCGCTTTTGTGTTTTTGTGTTTTTTTGAGATCAAGATTTATAGAAGCCGGTCGATGGAACTATAGAATTATAAACAAGGATATTCCGAAAAATGACATCGACGCTTTCAGGAGATGATCCGTTGAGCGATTGCAATGAATCTACCGCTTCATCAGCGAAACAGGTACATGGTACAGATTCCAGTTTACAGCTTCCCATGGCAATGCAGTCTTCCAAGGGTAAATCTTTTGAACACGGGGAGGGATCTGATCATATCCAAGCGTACGCTATGCTGGATTTTGAAAATTTCACTTTCTACGTACAAACCATGCAGATCTTACTTGGAAGGCTGGTTGAGGGTGACACGAGTACCGATTCTCTCGATATACATCTTGGCCAGCAGAAAGCTATTTCCAGAAGGCATGCAAAAATATTTTACAATTTTGGCAATCAGAGATTCGAGCTGTCCGTTGTTGGTAGAAATGGCGCTTTTGTCGACGACATATTTGTTGAGAACGGGGTAACGCTACCACTCAAAGACAAGACTCGAATACAAATAGGCGAAACAAGGTTTATGTTTATCCTTCCAACAGACGAAACTGTTACCGATTCCAATGGAAAACAAATCAAGCCTATTAATCCTTCAGATGCAGTCAGCTTGAAGACTTCATTCTCTAATAACCATGCCACTAGCAGCGGAAGTTCGCGAGAAGGCTCGTCGACTCCGCAACGGCCAAAGGTGATTGACAGCAAATCCTCAACGGTCCCCAAATTGGGTGATGACTTTGTCAATGAGTTAAGAGCTAGTGCGGAGGCTTCTGTAGTCAAACGGGAGGAAGCGGCAGCTGCTGCTGCCGCCGCGAGAAATGGAAGCCAGCTTTCTATGGTGGATGGTGTGAACGCCTTATCTGCGGCCGGACGCGCACAACAATCTCTTCAGTCGGCAAAGGATAAGCTGAAAAAACCATTGAAAACAGTCAAGAAAGTTTACAAGCCCGAGGAAATTCCAGAAGAATACCGAACAAAACCCAACTTTTCCTATTCAACGCTTATTGCCGAATGTTTGCGACAGAAAGGAACCGAACGGGGCATGTCTCTCTCGGAAATCTACAAAGGAATCCAGGAATTATATCCTTACTATTATTACTGTCCAGATGGCTGGCAAAGCTCTGTCAGACACAACCTGTCTTTGAACAAATCCTTCCGCAAGGTGTGCAAAGAAGGAAAAGGCTGGTTATGGGGTCTCGATGAAGAGTACTTTGCTGAAAAAGAACGCCTGAAACGAAAACAAATAGAGCTCGCCAATATCAAGGCCACACAGCACTTACAGACTCTGTCACAGCAGTTCCAACAACATCCAACTCGTCCCGAGTCGCAGTCGTCGAGCTCCCCTGCCCCGGAATCAAACAGCTCTGAGTCTTCGAACTCGAAACTGTCTGGAGACACAAAGAAAGCGCTCTCGTATTTACAGCAGGAACTTATCAGACTCACCAAGGACCGCAAAATGTACGATAAAGAAACAACTACTCAGATTCTCACCCAGGCTCTTGCGATGACCATTGCCCAGGTGAACCAAGCCGCCAAAAATGCTGGAATTCAGGGTTTCCCGTTGGTCACGCTAATTGACAAAAACCCTGCACATATTACTAAGATTCTCTCCGCCGCTTTGAACGCTGCTACCATTCAAGTGACCAAGAAAAAGGGTCTCCCGCCTCCTAGCAGCTCGCCAGCTCCGCCCGTTTCCAAGCCTGTTGAACCAGCACCTGCTCGCTCTAACATCCAGCAGTTTGCAAGGCCTACTCCTCCTGTCCCCAAACCATTAGCCACTTCAGGATCGATCAAGTCCATTTCCTCAGCTCAAGCGGGAATAGCAAGCACGACTCCCAGTCCCTCCTCCTCGTCTCCAATCCCTTCAATTCGAAAACCTCAATACTACGGTAAGCCATCATCAGTGGCACCTTCCAGCTCGAGATCAATTAATAAACCAGTTCAGCAAAAGCAATCTCAATACGATAACGAAAGCATACAACTACAGTTCCAGAAGTTCTCACAGCCAACTCCTCCTGCTGCTCCCGTTGCAAAACCTAAGTCCGAGCTAGAAGATTTGGATATGAAACTAATGCTTGATGGCATGGATCATGATAAAGACACTTCGAAGGAATTGGATTTGGACAAGTTTCTCGCTCAACACTCGGGTGAAGTAGAGCTTGACTCAAAGAAAAGAACGCTGGACTCGTTGGACTCGACTAAGGACCAAGAGCCAGACCCCAAATCCTCTAAAATTGAATAGTACATCCATATAATTGTATATGCGCATATGCGTTGTATTCGTAAATCAATATACAATGATTTATGCCTCGACATTGTTGAACGACTTCTCCTTCTCTTTGATTTCCCAGAAAAGAGGACCAACATCGTGATTGCCGTGGAAAACCCATCCATTTTCGGTGACGTGGTATAGATTGATAGATCCACCAGAGTATGCATCTCTGTGTGCGGCAGCAAGGATAGCTCTTTTTCCCAAGTAAAGAGCGTCCTCAACGGACAGGTCCCACTTGTAATTAGTGTCAAGCACACCGTAGGCAAATGTCTGGCCAGAACCGACGCAAAACATATCGCCCTTCAATCTCGTTCCGTCAGAATCCACGTAGTAGATGGTAGGGCCCTCTTTTGGTGTGTATCCGCAAATCATGGTACCCATTCCGAGACCCATGCCTTTGTAACTGTAGACGAGATTGCACAAGATCTTAGATGCAGCACAAACCGAGATCCGCTCTTTGTTTCTAAGCTCATGAAGTCTGCATTGAGTTCCCAACCAGGTTTCCCAATACTGACAGTCGCAGGCTGTACCAGCCATAGTTCCCAATAACATTGGGTTGATTTCAATGACTTTCTTCACGGTTTGAGACGCAATCCAATTGCCAGCGGTGGCTCTAGAATCGACGGCCACGATAATTCCTCCTTGGAACCGGAACGCCAGCGTGGTGGTTCCGTGAGCCATCTTGATTTTACAATCGGGATTCGAGTCATGATCGGTGTGTGCTCTAAGGAAGGCTGTTGGCTGTGATATTGGAGGAACTGATATACTTGGGGCGAGGGAATTGAGTGACGGCTGTATTCTTTGATAGTCTGCAGCGGCCTCTTCCAATTCTGCTTCGAATTGGGTTTTGAAGGTAAATCTTTTCCCAATCTCTGTGATGGACATGTTGGTTAAATTTATTTGCCACTGTAATGATGCTAAAAGCGAGTCTGTCTCGCAGGTTCACGGGTGTGCAGTTGAGCTCAACTTTTTTACATCCATGCACCAGTAAGGGTTTTTCAGAAACCAAAGAAGTCACATGATCTTTTATTGCCCGTGCACTCTGCCAATTCTGAGATGGTGTGCGGATGGATGAAAAATTTTTGTATCAACTCTTGAATTAACTATCAATATCGACATGTCGAGCCAAAACCCTATGAGAGAACTCAAGATTGAGAAGTTGGTTCTCAACATTTGTGTTGGTGAGTCTGGTGACAGATTGACCAGAGCTTCCAAGGTGCTGGAGCAACTGTCTGGTCAGACCCCAGTGCAGAGCAAAGCCAGATACACCGTCAGAACTTTTGGTATCAGAAGAAACGAGAAGATCGCTGTTCACGTTACCGTTAGAGGACCAAAGGCAGAGGAGATTTTGGAGAGAGGATTGAAGGTGAAGGAATACCAACTCAGAGAGAAGAACTTCTCCGAGACTGGTAACTTCGGTTTCGGTATTCAAGAACACATCGACTTGGGTATCAAGTACGACCCAGGTATTGGAATCTACGGTATGGACTTCTACGTCGTGATGGGCAGAGCTGGTTTCAGAGTTGCCAGAAGAAAGAGAGCTAAGGGTAAGGTTGGTGTTTCTCACAAGTGCTCCAAGGAGGACACCATTGCTTGGTTCAAGGCCAAGTACGATGCTGATGTTCTTGCTTAGATACATACTCGATAATTGTCATAAGATATTAATGCGAGCGTAGCAATAATGCCTTCCCCGTCGTTATTCGTATGCCCCTAATCAGTCCTCCAGTTCCTGAAGAGCGGTCTCGACGCCAATGTCGATCAGCTCTTCCATTTTCTCGGTCCATCTTGTTCCCAAATACTCGTTCATAGGCTCGAATTCTGTGCATTGCCGTTTGCGTTCCTCGTTAATTTCGTCCTTGTGTCGTCTCTTTCGTTCAATAGCGCGCTCTAGTGCCTCTTGGTGCTGCTTCAAATTATCCAAATGCGTCATCCACTTGTTCTTGTTGATCTCCTGTGCGTTCTCCTGGCCGTTGAGGAGAAGAGTCCGGTACCGTAGCTGAGCATATGACAACGCCGTCTTCATCTTCTTGATGTCTGGTTCGTTCTGCTCGTTCAGTAGGTTGCTGTAGCTTGATATACTGATTCCTCCAATTCCCTCATTGGTAACTGGCAGGCTCCGCGACTCGTTGTCCAAGTCCACAGTTCCGCTACGCAATTTCGGATGCAATTGATGCAAATTAAAGTTCATCAGTTCTTCCTGAATCAAATCGTCCACCACTGCTAGAACGTCGTTAGACGGCTCCTGATCGATATACGGAAGATAGTCAAACACTATCTCCTCATGAGGCGAGGCCGATGATTCTGTCGTAGACGACATATTGTGTTTGGGGTATATGCAACTGATGTTTTTTTTCTAAAATATTACTTTGGGATGTCCGGATCAAAATACTTACTCCTTACACCTATAAGATTTTATGTCGCTATAAGGGACCTCGAAGAGCAGGCTGCCTGCCAAGCATGCAAGCACCATCAAAATCCCAAAAACCGCATAAATCGTGCCGACCACTCTGAACGCTTCTATGTGAAAGATGGTGTAAAATTCGGTAATCCCCAGGCTCAGGGCGCACACCGGGAACGGAACAATCCAATAAGTGCGGTTGAAAGCTGGAAGTCCGTATACAATCCACATTGCCAGACCGAGAAAGGTGAAAAAAAATCCAACTGAGATCAAAAATAATGCCACCATTCCTGTCACGTACTGGATCCCAAGCCCCAGGAGCTGCGTATCAACCGATAACTTAACATCCTCGCTCTCAAGATAGAGCCTGAGATTGCTACCGTTGAGTAAAATACCCCAGACTCCATGACCGATCAGACCAATTGGGGCAAAAGGGGTAAATATGAGCTGCTTTGGAGGGAGCTTGTACACAAGCATCTTCCAGAAGAATATTGCGATCAGACTGAACCCAAGCATCATGGAGTTGGCCCAAAGCAGGTATGTCAAAATGATGAGAATCAGCTGAATCCGGCTGGAGTAGCCTGTAAAGGCTTCACAGATAAATGCACCACTCGATCCGCACACTGTCAGTGGTAATACTGGTAGTATAAGCTGAGGGTTTAGTTGAAACTGCTCGATTTTACTTTTCCAAAGCAGTACGAAGACTAGCATCCAGCCACACAACAGAGCCATGGTAAAATTAATAAACCACATGATCACTAGCCCGACTTTAAAGCTCTTGTTATAGTGTTCTGTTATCATGTGAATCATGTTGATGATCGTGCTAAATCCCATGGAATAAGGCCCCAAAAATAAATTCAGCTGGATATCGGTAGCCAGTTGATAAGTAAATTCCCGAAACCAGTACATTTTCAATAATAGAAACGAATTGACCATTATGAACAAGGAGAGAGAAACGGCCCACATAATAAGCCCAAAAATGCGAAAAACGCCAATCTCATAGGGAAAGCGGAATAGAACTCCCGAGCATATTCCTGTTGACATGAAAGCCACGTTCCATATCGGATGGTAATTTTTGATCACTACATCCTTGAACACAGACCTGTTCCTATGTACACCATTGTCCTCCAGATCGGCCTCTTTCATGTCAAAACAGAAGAAATACGGAAGTCGGCTATATTATTTAGTCATGTTAATGTTTAGTTACCTAAAATGCGGGTTACATACATCCTTACACGGAGTGTTTATCATTTTAGCGTTCTATCAAAATGTCATCAATGATATCGATCAAACGGTCTTTTTGAGCGTCACTGGGTCCACTTCCCTTCAGTAGTTCGTCCCGCAAATCCTGAAAGGCCGGCTGGAACTCTCGGAGCACAAAGCTCTGCGGCTTGCGACTGTATAAGACCTGGAAAAGCTGGAGAACCAACAGAGGATCGACTAGTTCCGGCTGCGATAGCCGTTCAAATAACGAGTTCAAAATCTCCTCGGAAGAGCACATATAGTTGTAAATGCTGAATGACTGAGTGTGTTTTCTGTTCGAATGAACCCACTTGTCACGGTGTTTCTCGAGCACTTTAGTAAACTCCATGAGAAATTGATCGAGGTCGTTATCGAGTTTAAAAGCTGCCACGATCTTGTTAAGAAGCACTGGCTTTCTTTTCAGTGCTTCATCAAGGATGTCACCCTCTGTCTCCACGAGGCATCTTATGTTGCGAGTTGCCAAAAGTCGGTATTGGGGGTAGTCAAGAATGTTAATCAGAATCTCGATTGCACCGTATCGCCTGCACACCTGGGATAGCTCAGGATTGCCGACCGCAGCTGCAAAAATATCAACTACCTGGTTTCTGATTATCTCGTTCCGTTTTGAGTTGGCAAAGAGCTTAAGCAAGTGGTTGAAAAGCTCGATGCTGCTCGTGGACAATAAATCCACATGTCGGCTAGAATCCAAAGTGCATAGCTTTTGAAGAATAGGTATTGCACATTTCACAAATCTTTCGTATGCTTTAGAACAGTCCTCCGAGGAGAGGTCCTCCAGAAGCTGATCGAAGATCTGCTGAATCTGTGAATTATCTAAATCTTCCAAAGCGCCATCCAGAAACATTTCGCACTTATTCACTATCCTCACCATCTCGAGTTTCGACTCAAGAGGCAGTTTTGCGAATCTCCTAAATAGGCATGTGAAGAAATCGCCAGTAAAGAATCTGCCTCGAAGATTATCGGAACAGTAGTGCGCCACTTTAGCCAGAAGCTTGACGGTCCTAGCAGCCACTGCTAGTTGTGCTTCACTCATGTGGCCCCTAATGTTGCTCAAACTGGTGGCAAGCAATCTCGGAACAGAATGCGTAACTAGAATTGCAGACATCCCCTGCTTCTCAATTTTCTCGTTTCTGAAAAGTTCAAGCAGCAGCTCAACGCATGAATTTTGTCTCATTGAGTCTCCAGTTTTCAGCGTCAAGACCAGCACTTCACAGATATCTGTTGATATAAGAGACAGAGTCGGCAAATTGGACTTCACAAGCATGGACAAATATGTAAAGACGCTTTCCTCCTCGTAGTAAGCCTTGATGAGTCTCGAGGTACATCCGCAATGGTAGAATGTCACCATACTTTGAGTGTCATGTAGGAAGAGCTGGACTGCAATTTTCATGAGCTCAATTTTGCAATCGTCAGAAGTTTCTGTCAACAGCCTTGACGTAAGCTTATACACAAATTTCTGTTCAATAAGGCATTTTATCACGAAGTTCAGCCCTGCGTGAAACTTTTCACCGTCCTGGCCACAGTCGTCGTCTTCGGTCACAAACTTGTAAATCAGCTGCAACTCTTCCAAATCTGCTTGCTCGGTGCGGTCAATCATATCCCGAATGTATGCTCTTTTTTGTTCTCTTATGTCGGTTTCCTTTTGACTTCCAATGTCTAGATCTTTGAAATCTTCGATCTCGAAAACGTCCATGAAATCGTCCTCGCTTTCTCCTGACATAGACTCTTTGTAGATTTCAAGCCTTTGTTTTTTATTCATGGTATTGATAGTCATCAACAGATTTATGGATCGCTCTTCAAAATCATTATCGTAATTGTCCTGGAACGTCTCGTTATATTGTTTTAGAAATCCAGTTCTGTTCTCGCGATTGAGGCTGGATTTATGTGATTCATCTTGTTTAATTTCTCCTTGAGTCCATGGATGTCGCAGGAGCTGTTCTGCACTGAGTCTAGCTTTCCTGTCCTGTTGGAAACACCCAGCTGTTAGAAACTGGAAACACTCTTGAGAAATTCCCGATGGTATATTTGGAGGCTCTCCCGATCCGATCGCGTGACACGCAGGGAACGGATCATGCTGGTAGAAGGGCGGCTGAGTGGTGAGTAGTTCCACTACCGTAGCTCCCAAACTCCAAATGTCAGAAGCTGTTGAGACTCCTTGTAGTCTAATAACCTCTGGTGCCATCCAATAAGGCGATCCGTTTGCTTCCTTTTTCTTGTTTTTCAACGTTTCCATATCGTCCTTAGCGTCAAATTTGATACTGACACCAAAATCTGCAAGCTTTATAACGCCATTTTTAAGCAGAATGTTCGCTGCTTTAATGTCACTGTGAATGAAGCGTTTCTTGTGCAAATAAACTAGTCCCTCTAACGTCTGTTTGATATATCCTATAACCTCATGTTCAGGCAAAGGTCCCTTGGCTCTGTAACGGTCTCTCAAAGAGCCACTCTCGCAGTATTCTAGTATCAGATTCATAGACATCTCGTTTAAATGATAATGGAACAATTTCACAACGTTGACGTGGTCGAACTGCTTCATGATGAGGATTTCATTCATCAAGTGCTGATTATCATTTGCTGCCACGCCGTTTCTTGAGGAGGAGTCAGAGTGCGTGTGATCAAGCTCAATAACCTTCATCGCATATATTTCTCCTGTGTCAGCATGTTTGGCCTGGTAGACTCCACCATATGCGCCTCTTCCGACATGTCTGAGCTTTGTGTACTTTGCAAACTCCTCGGGAGAGAGATCAGTCATAGCATAGGTATTGGGGTGTGAATAGCTTGGGCGATTAGGCTGATTCGCCCGCTGAATTACATCAGGAGATGAGTAAGCGTTGCGATGACACTGCGAATTTGTTGAACGGATACCCATTTTTTGTTCTTTAGTGCCAGTTTGTTGCCCAAGTGTAGAAGAACGCCGGTTGTTGTGGTGCACATTGTTAGGATTTAGGACTTTTAGGGCGTTATCAATTTCGTACTGCTGCACCAAAAACTTTCTCGTTGTTGTGATGAGCTCTGCGGTTTCGAACTCGTTGGTATAGTTATCATTGTCATCATCCGTTTCCCGGAACAACTCTAGTACAGGTTTTCCTTTATTGTGAGACATCGCGCAGATGGTTTCCAGGCTCACTACCGTTGGTCTTGACAACAAATATTAGCAATTTTGGAAAAGCATATCAACCAGAGAAATACCGTGGTGACGACTTTAACGCTAAATCTGTTTCCAGTTACCAATGTTTATTTGTTTATGTATCATAATTTTTTTATTTTAAATTCATGCACCTAACCGCCATTATTCTTTATTCCATGACAACAGGGTCAAATCGCCTGATCTCCGTGGATGAACAACATTCACAATTAAAAAGATGAGGGAAAGAATAAAACAGATACCTCCTGCCACAATCCAGCTGATTCCCAAAAAGGAGTTCTTGCCTCCAATCACGCTCCTCGTCGAGAGGTACAGATACTTTTTACCATTGTAAGGAGTAACCGGGAAGTGGTAGCCCACATCAACCTGATAGGTACCCTCTGGAAGCACATCGTTGTCGTTTCTCGAAATCATTTTGGAAAATAGTGAGAGAGCCGACGGTTGCATCCAGTTCTGAAATTCGTACCACTCGCTTATGTCTGGCAGGTTGGTATCGTTGTAGCCCTCTGGATACGCCTTATACCAATTTGGAGGAGGAACGACGTCTGAGGCCTTATATTTCGTCTTCTTGAAACGGTTTTTGTTGGTAGACCAGGCGATGCCTTCTCTGTAAAGCATGTAGTCGTTCGTGGTATCATTAACTGCGGAAAAAGTGGAAAACGTGTCGTTAAACAAGGAATTAGCAATCAGTCCACAAGGATAGTACTTTTTACCTTCCTCGTTAACCGACAAGGGCTCGCAATTTTGTCCCACAGTGTCTTTGATAGTGGAAACTGAAGCAGCTTTGCCATTGAGCTGGTCTTCACTGAAACTTTTCACGTATCTTCTGTGGTTCGCATGGAAGTTGTTCAAACGGTAGAAAAAGTAGACATGAGGGCCGATTTCGTTTGGTATTTGAAACTGTATCTGACATATGTCGCGTTCTTCGTCGAACCCATTCCAGTAAGAAGAGTCGTTGGTAGCCAGTTTCCACTGTGGCTTGATCGTGATAGCTTTCTTAAATTGAAATTTGTAATTTTCCTCAGGAATTTCGCTGAAGTAGTCAGGACTTGCCAACGTCTTGCAGTCACTGTAATCAATTACAAATTCTTGCACCTGATATGATCCGTACAGCATTCCAGCGCCGATCGGAACAAATATTACGGCGATCACAAGAAGCAAGGGAATCACGGTTTTGGGCGTGAGAATAGGATGGTATGCTTTGAGCTTCTGTTGTGTGAAAGCGTTTTCTTTCGGTCTTCTGCTCTTTTTCTTCTCTTGTTCCTCCGATTGGGAGTCACTCAACTCGTCGTCATCTTCCTCCATTGCATCCACTACCGGAGTTTGCCGGTTGTTCAGATCGTCTTCCGACTGGTCCTCTTTGCGCCTTCTGAGTCCTGAAAGCATAATCAAATATCAAGCACAGTTGTTGATTATGAATTAAAGTTTATAAAAATAAATGGTGCAAGGTAGTCATACTTGGTAGCCGAGTTGAAGATATATATGTACATCATTATTTACTCAGTCTTCTCGGCTTCTTCGGTCTCTGCTGCCGATTGTGTCTTCCGTTCAAACTTGAGTGCCTCCAACTTCTCGAGCTGAGTTTCCTTCTTACCGATTTTTTGCTGCAAAGCCTCTGCTTCCGAGATAAATGCCTCGTTCAGTTTCACAAGCTCAGAATACTTGGATGAATATGGTAACTCTGGAGCTTTGGCAACGCAATGCGACAAATATTTTGTGATAGTATAAATATGCTCTAGACCGTAGTACATTTTGATCAAGTTGGATTTTTCGAAGTCTGCAATATTGTATCCAGCAAAACCTTGCAATCTATCAAACGTCTTCTCAACAGCCTTATTGACCAAAGCATCTGGCTCTCCAAATGTCTCCACCTGGGCCCTCTGGAGATTGATAAACCCACAAAGCTCAGTCAATAAGGAGCTTGGTTCGTTCACGTTCTTCCGGTGTTTGCGGTCAGGTCTTCTAACAAATCTGGTTTTCACGTTGAACCATTGTAAAGAAGTGATCTTATTCTTTTCAACTTCGAGATCTCGCAAAAGAATAACAGCCTCGGAAACGGTCTGATTGAATTTAAGACTGGACTTGTAAGTTTTTAGCTGGAACACAAGACTCAAAGCATCTGCCAACCTGTTGAACTCTGCTGCTTTGTACAAAAAAGACTTTATCACCATCTCGTTGAGAAGTTCAGGAGCATGCAAATCGAGCTTTGTTATCACAGGGAACAGATCGTCGAGCTCAGCAGGCAGCAACAGTCCATCAATGAAAAACGAGAATCTCAATCTTGATGGTGTCCCAGGGACAGGTTTTGGAGTCAGCGGTCTTCCTTCGAGGTCTAGTGCGTTTCTGTTCAGCAAAGTCGACTGGTTCTGTTTCTTGTACACGATATCTCTCACTCTGGGGGTCAGCGACTTGTAGTAAAGGTAATCGTCCACATTGTCCTTAATCTCATAATATCTATCGCCTGGAATCCGATTCGCCAATTGTGCAGTTGTAACAAGTCTTATGAATGGCTGGAACGGAAGCCGACGAGCCATCAAAGGTCGGCACAGATTTTGCATGCTGATCGATGTTGGTAAATTTTTCAGCTTTTTTTTGACTATTCAGACTTCATATGTCTGATGACGTAAGCTGGTTTTGTACTTTTCTCGAATAAAAGATGGCAAATAGTCACATCAAAATTATTTCGGTTGAACATGTCTGATTGGGATTCTGTTACTGTCATTGGAAGAAAAGCCAGAATCGGTGGTTCTGGACCAAAGGAGAGAGTTGTCAAATCTGAGTCGCAGTTGAATGCTGCGAGAAGATCGGGTGCGGTTGTCGCGGTTGAGAAGAAATATGGAGGTGCCAACGCTAAGGGTGATCCGGAAGGACAAAGATTGACTAAAATCGACAGAACTGACGAGATTGTTGCTCCTAAGAAGTTAGATCTTAGTGTCGGTAAAGCCATTCAACAAGCCAGACAAGACAAGAAGATGACGCAAAAGGACTTGGCCACCAAGGTGAACGAGAAGCAAAATGTGATCAACGACTACGAGGCTGGCAGAGCTATTCCTAACCAACAAGTGTTGGCCAAGTTGGAGAGAGCTCTGGGTGTGAAGTTGAGAGGAAAGGACATAGGAGCCCCTCTTTTCGGAAAGAAGAAATAGTCAGTCGACGTTAGCATGTAGATTTAATTTAATGGATGAATGGGCCATGAAATATTTTTTTCCATCCAAATATCATTAATATGACGACCATCCACAAGATCGATTTGGGCATCACTCCTGAAGAGAGCTTTTCGCTGGCCAACAAGGGAATCAAGTTCGACTCTTTGAAGGACATCCAGCCATATTTGGATGAACTGTCCTCCAAGAAAAACCTCAAATTGATCGATATCTCGGGAAACACCATTTCGCCAGAATGCTCCAAATACCTCGCTGCTGAGATTAAAAAGTTTTCTTCAACGTTACTCCATCTCAACTTGCAAGATATCTACACGTCTCGTGACAAGAATGAGATTCCAGCCTCTTTGAAGGAATTCTTTCCAGTGATTTTAGAGTGCTCGTCCCTGAAGGTGCTAAATCTAAGTGATAATGCTTTGGGTCAGGACACCATCGACATTCTTGAAGACTTTTTATCCTCTGCTAAATCTGTGGAACACCTCATCTTGACAAACAACGGTTTGGGACCCTTTTCTGGTGCCAGAGTCGGAAAAGCACTTTACAGATTGGCCAAGTTGAAGGAGAAGGAAAACGCGCCTTCTCTCAAGACTTTCTGGTGTGGCCGCAACAGACTTGAAAATGGCTCGGTTGACTATCTTGCAATTGGTTTTAAGGCAAACTCTGATTTACAAGAGATTAGACTATATCAAAATGGTATTAGACCGCAAGGTATTGCAAAATTAATTAATCAGGGTTTAGCACATCTCAACAATCTTAAGGTTCTTGACTTGCAAGACAACACATTCACTGTTTCTGGATCTTTGGCTTTAGCATCTGCCTTGCCAAAGTGGCCTGAACTGACTGAGTTGAATGTCAACGACTGTCTTCTAAAGAGCGCAGGATGTCTTAAGGTCATCCAAGGATTGGCAGACCTAAAAGACTCTAAGCTTGAATCCCTCAAGCTTCAGTACAACGAGCTTGAGTCTGATTCCTTAGAAGTTCTGACTAGGGTTGTTCCATCTTTGAGCGCGCTAAAACTATTGGAGTTGAACGGTAATCGTTTCGAAGAAGACTCTGAGCTGATCGAGAAAATCACCGAGACGTTTGAGAACAGAGGGTTGGGTGAGCTGGATGAGCTGGATGATTTGGAAGAGCCAGATTCTGAAGAGGAAGAAGACGAGGATGAGGATGAAGAAGAAGAGGTCCAAGAGGATACTGATCTATCCAAATTGGAGGCAGAGTTGGCATCCACTCACATCTAAGAGCTTTGTAAGTGCTCTCTTGCTACTTCATCCTTAAGCTTCGTGATAAGCCGGTCTTTTTTGATCCATTTCCTTTCGAGCCATTTTTCTAGTTTGTTTCTCTTTAGTGGAATTCTGCTCATCATTTTAGCATGAACATGGACCTTGATGGTGATTTTCCCTTCATATAGACCAAATGCTTCAAGAAGGTTCGGTGCGTCAAACGATATATTCCCCTGTGGTGTTTGTCTGTAGTATATTATGGATGTATCGTATAGTCTTGTAAATTGAGTTTTGTGGAGCCCAGACACGGCATTCGCAAAGCTTGAGTATCTAGGATATAGCAGGTTGTTCAGGACTGGCAGATAGAATTTTTCGGACATGCCTTGTTGCAATTTGGCATCTTTCCTGGTGAAAATGTTGACCTCAGGGAACGTAACGAGCCATTCGACTACCTCTGAGTCTAGTATGTCTTTGAATACAAATCCCAAAGTTTCGTCATTGAGTTCCCAGTTCTCGTCTGCCTGGAATACATTTCTGAACACCCTAAAACTCGGTATAAACCAAATGGCATACCAGGTAAAGAAACTGATTCGAGGGAGCAAGATCGAAGAGAGATCTTGTGCGAATATTTTCTCCGGCTCCCCTTTCTTTTCACTTTTTCGAGCCGCCTCCAACTCTGATGGTTTTCGAGTAGATTTGAGTACTAAGTAAGGGTAGATGATATAATCAATCAGTGATGCGTGGTTGCTGATGAAAAGTGCATTCTCGGTTTCCAGCTCGTCTCCTGTGATCTCGACATTAACGTTGTTTAGCTCGAGGATATAAATGCAAAGAGTCCAAAACCCTGCAGCAAAGTATCTCTTATAGGAGAATCTTGTTTGCGGTATCAGGTATTTGACGCCAATTGTCGCCACTGAGAAGATTTCATAGACCACAAAATATGATAATAACATGGTCACAAAACAAAGGCACCTGGTGACTCTCATGTAGTTCGATGTCGATGACAATTGCTGCTTTAGTGTTTGGACTCCAATGTGGTCTAGAAGCTCGCTCTTCATTGTATATCTGGTGGGGACAAATCCTTTTTCGATTATGTTGATTAAAAGTCCCTTAAAATGGGGAAAAAGGGGTACAAAAATATTTACGCTAGGGTTGAGTTGTTTCTCTTCCACCAGAAAGAATAATTTTACATTTGACATTTTGTTAGCTTCAGCTGTTGGGCACTTAGCTTGTTGCTGGCTTCTTGGGGATCTTCCAGGCAAGTCGCCTGGTTTGTGCGATGCGATCTGGCTGAGGACTGATTTGGATCACACCCTTACACTTGATAGTACAGATATAAAAAAAATTCCAAAAAAATTTGATCGGAAGATAAAATAGTACATATCCCAGCATGTCGAGAATCATAGTCAAGGGGTTGCCTCTCTACTACACTGAGGAGAAGCTGAAGTCCCATTTTCAGGAAAAAGGAGTGGTGACGGATGTGAAGTTGGTCAGAAATAGACAAGGTGAATCGAGGCGATTTGCATTCATAGGTTATAGGTCCCAGCAGGATGCTGAAAATGCAGTCAAATATTTCGACAGAACGTTCATTGACACCGCCAGGATATCTGTCCAGCCAGCCAAAACCTTCAGCGATCCAACTGTTCCCCTTCCGTGGAGAGAAAAGCGGTTGCAAGCCAAAAGACAGTTGCAGGAAACCGAAGAAAAACTGAAGAAACTTGAAGAAATACAAAACAAGCGCAGGGACAAGAATAGAAAGAAGGGGATTGATGCTTTTATTGAAGACCAGGTGAGCTCCAATCCTAAGCTTCAGGAGTTTTTAGAGGTTTCCAAGCCTAGTGTTCAGCAAAAATCATGGAAAAACGAGGATCTCGTGAGCGCCCAACCAGAGAAATCAACAGACTCACAAATACAATCTTTAACTGCACAAAATGCTAGTGATGACGAATACGAGGATTTCAGCGGATTGCAGAGAGACGAAGAGGAATCCGAAAAAATGATTACATTGGATGAAGCCCAAGACGGACAAACAGATGACGAACCTGCACAAAATGATAATAAAGATGGTGTGAAACAGGGCACAGAAATGGATGATCTGGAATGGTTCAAATCCAGAAGGAAAAGAATCAAGGAGGGTGAAGTTACTGAGGAGCCAGAAAGACCACAAGAACATGAAAAAGCTAATAGTGTTCAGATCAAGGAGGTGGAACAGGATATGTCACAGCAATCAGAGGATGAAAAGGAGCCTCAGCTCAACGATCAGGATAAAGCCATACAGCGTATATCACAGACAGGAAGATTATTCTTGCGGAATATTCTTTATTCGGCTACCGAAGATGACTTTCGCCAACTTTTCAGTCCATATGGTTCTCTGGATGAAGTTCACATTGCTGTGGACACAAGAACTGGTAACTCGAAAGGTTTTGCGTATGTCAAGTTTACTTCTCCCGACGACGCTGTCAAAGCATATTTGGAATTGGACAAACAAATTTTCCAAGGCAGACTACTTCACATTCTTCCTGCCGAAGCTAAAAAAGATCACACATTGACTGACTTCGACCTTGCCAATCTTCCTCTCAAGAAGCAGAGGGAGCTGAAGAAAAAGTATGAGGCTTCCAAAGCACAGTTTAGCTGGAACTCTCTCTATATGAACAACGACGCTGTTCTTGAGAGTGTGGCTAGCAAGATGGGCATTTCAAAAGGAGAGCTGATCGATCCAACAAACAGCAGTTCCGCTGTGAAACAGGCTTTGGCCGAGGCCCATGTTATTGGAGATGTCAGAAAGTACTTTGAGGATAAAGGAGTTGATTTGACCAGCTTCAACACTAAAGAGCGTGATGACAAGGTGATCTTGGTGAAAAATTTCCAGCATGGTACCACCAAAGAAGAGATTGGGGAGCTTTTCTCTGCCTACGGACAACTTAATAGACTACTAATGCCTCCTGCCGGAACAATCGCCATTGTTGAGTTCCGTGACGCTCCCGCAGCAAGATCTGCATTTTCAAAGCTCGCATTTAGGCGTCTCGGAAAGTCAATTCTGTATCTTGAGAAAGGCCCCAAGAACCTATTCACTCAAGAAGCTTCGACCGAGGATCTCGAGAGTGTTTCTAGAACCGAATCAAAAGCCGACACCACGGAGATTATGGATATTGACAACGAAGAGGACGTCGAAATATCTGGCCCTACTGTCTCTGTGTTCGTGAAAAACTTGAACTTCAGCACCACAACAAAGGAGTTAACTGCAACTTTCAAAAGCCTACCTGGTTTTGTCGTTGCAGTTGTTAGGACGCGCCCGGACCCAAAGCACATTGGCAAGACGCAGAGTATGGGATTTGGTTTTGTCGAGTTCAAGACCAAAGAGCAGGCAGAGAATGCTATCAAGATAATGAATGGACATCTTCTAGACGGCCACCAGCTGCAATTGAAGCTTTCAAACAGAGTCAGTCAAGGAAAATCGGAAAACGCGTCTGCCAAGAAGGGGAAGAAGTCACCAAAGATCATTGTCAAGAACTTGGCTTTCGAATCTACCAGGAACGATATTTTCGAGCTGTTCAGTCCATTCGGCAACCTCAAATCTGTCAGAGTGCCTAAGAAGTTCGACAAGTCCGCCAGAGGATTTGCTTTTGTTGAGTTCAGTACGCTTAAGGAGGCTGAAAGCGCTATGGATCAATTACAGGGAGTCCACTTGCTTGGCCGTAGGTTGGTAATGGACTTCGCCGATGCTGAGAGCAAGGACGCGGAAGAAGAGATCGAGAGGATGACAAAGAAGGCCAAGTTCCAAACGGGCGTCAGAAAAATGGCCCAGCTTCGTGAAAGTCATTCCGGCAAACGAAAACTCGACTTGGAAGACGAGTCCGAGATGTAATATAGATGTTTTTTTATTGCTTATTTTGTTTAATGAGGCCTTCGTTCACGACAAAATAGTCGTCTTGGTGCTGAGATGCCAAGCTGAGCGGATTCCACGATTCTTCCGGTTCGCCTTTTTCGAGTTCCGCGCGGCTATTTTCAATTTCAGAGATTATATCATCGAACGTGAGCTCCTTAGGTTCCTCAACCAATCTTTTGAGCTCACCAGAACTTGTAGCATCCTTCAGCTGAGAAACAAATTTCAAATGGTCATTTAGCGAGAGAATGAGTTCTTGCTTTTCCTGATCTGAAATGTCTTGCGATAGGCCTGATAGATTTAGCAGTTTGCTGAGTATGTAGGGGTCCACTTTGGCATGCGAGGTACTGATTGCTGGTGCTGCGGGCTTGGAAAAGATGTCCTCTATGTCCGACTCATTTCTTAGCTTTCTGAGTATGGAATACTGGCGGCGAATCGCTGTATTTTGCAAGAAGCTTGTCGGGAAACGGTTTAATCGAAGCATCTCCAATAACTGTGATAATTTATCAACTTTATCTGTTGTGTACCAACCAATCTGAAAAAATTTATTTCAATTTTTTTTCTCCCTAATATCTATTCTGAATAAAAGTTTCATCGCTAATCATGGCAAAGGTCAAAAAGAAGGGTACATCCGGAAACGCCAAGAACTTCATCACCAGAACACAGGCGATCAAGAAACTCCAGGTTTCGCTGGCGGATTTCCGTCGCTTGTGTATCTTTAAGGGTATTTATCCTAGAGAACCAAGAAACAAGAAGAAAGCCAATAAGGGATCAACAGCTCCTGTGACATTCTATTACACTAAAGATATTCAATATCTCATGCACGAGCCAGTTTTGGCCAAGTTCAGAGAACACAAGACATTCTCGAAGAAACTCACCAAGGCTCTTGGTAGGGGTGAAGTCAGTGATGCCAAAAGGCTTGAGGAGAACAAGCCGAAGTACAAGCTGGATAGAATTGTCAAGGAAAGATACCCCTCATTCCTTGATGCTCTGAGGGACTTGGACGACTGTTTGAATATGCTCTTCTTGTTTAGTAATATGCCTGCTACTGATAAGGTGAGCGCTAGAATCACCTCGGAGGCTTCGAAACTAACCAACCAATGGATGGCCTATATTGCCAGAGAGCGCCTTTTGAAAAAGGTTTTTGTTTCTATCAAGGGAGTCTACTACTCTGCAAATGTCAAAGGACAGGAGGTGATTTGGCTGGTTCCTTTCAAATTCCCACAGAATATCCCTACAGACATTGATTTCAGGATCATGCTGACGTTCCTGGAATTCTACTCGACTTTACTGCATTTTGTGCTTTATAAGCTTTACACTGACGCCGAACTTGTTTATCCACCAAAAATTGACGATACCAAGATAAAGGGAATTGGTGGACTTTCAGCATACATATTGGAGACCAAGGGCAGCGAGCCCGTGCTTCCGAGCGAGAAGCCGGAAGAAATTGAGGAGACTGAGCTCCCAAAAGAAGAGATTAACAAAGCTCTGGCTGCTGACAGCGAGAATAAGACTGAGGAGACTCAGGACGTGGATGAGGAAGAGGAGAAGGAGGTTGAGCTGGACGAGTTCAAGGATGTGAACAAGAACTCTGGAGATGTTTTGGCACAGCCTTCCAAATACGCAAACAGTACAAGCACCTTGCTGTCGAAGTTTGTGTTCTTCGTTGGAAGAGAGGTTCCGCTGGATATTCTCGAGTTTGTGATTCTCTCAGCAGGAGGTAAAGTGATCAGCGAGGCTGCCCTGGATGAGGCCAAGTTGAACGGCTGCAAGGTTGCTTTCGACTTGAGCGCCGTGACCCATCAGATTGTCGACAGGCCAAAGGTTGCTAACAAAGTCCAAGGGCGCACTTACATCCAGCCCCAATGGGTCTTTGACTGCATCAATAAGGGAGAGCTCTTGAATGTGAATGATTATGCACCGGGTGAGACGCTGCCACCACATTTGTCTCCATGGGGAGATGGCGGAATCTACAACCCAGATGCCACGGCCAAGGAGGTCGAGGAGGAAGCCGAAGCAGAGGAAGAAGATGTTGAAGAGGAGGACGCAGAAGCTGAAGAAGAAGAAGACGTGGAAGACGAAGATGAGGAAGACGAAGAGCTTGCTGAGCAAAGAGAATTGGAGCTTGAGGCCAAGGGTGTCAAGTATTCTGAGGCAGAAAACAAGAAGAAGAGAACCATCTCGGAAGCAGAGAAGCAAGCTAAGGAAGCCAAGGAAGAGAAGGAGCTCAAGATGATCATGATGTCCAACAAGCAAAAGAAGCTTTACAAGAAGATGCAGTACGGCATTGATAAGCAAGAGGCTCGTAAGGAGGAGCTGAAAGCGAAGAAACAAAAACTCGACAATACTAAGAAAAAGCTCGACAAGATCAACAAGAAGAGTAAATAGATTACGTTAATCGATTGAGAAAATTTAGTCTGAAATTTAAGCTCGGGATTTTTTCATGAGCACGCACACCGCCGTCCTAATCAACCCCAGTGAAAGGAAAAACTGACAATAAATTTCGAGTCAGTTTTAGGTAATATTAATAATATTATGGCTTTTAGTGTGCCAAACATTGATTAATTCTACACCGTTGGCTACAGAAGACACTGAAACTTAAGTGGTTACTAGAGACTTGTGTGCAGTTCACAGAAAGGTTTGATCCATGAACAACGGTTCAACTAACGGAGGCTCACCATCTCGGTCTCATCCCAGGCAACAAAATGGGCAAAATCAACAGGTGCAATATATCAATATGGGTATACCGGCGCAGTATGGTCCTAACCAAATGGGAACTCAGGTAGGTCATCCCCAGATGATGTCTGCTGGTGCGGATGTTGGATTGAATGCGTCAAGCTCTCATCCGTCCACCCCTAATGGGCTCCCACAAGGAGCATCTCTCGCCGCGATGCATAAACAACATGGCTCCACAGATAACAAGAGGCCTCAGCAGCAGACTCAACAACAATGGAAGCAGATCCAGGGGTTGCATAACGGTGGCATAAGCACGAACACAATGGCCGCTGCTGCGGCGTCCGCAATGATGGGAAGACCAGGCGTCATGTCTCAGCAGCAACTTTCCGCATTACAACAGCTTCAGGCCACCTACGGCCATCTACAAAATTCCTTGTATCGGCCGCTGGAGGATCAGCCCAAGCCTGTCCCTGGTATACCGATGCAGCCAGGAGCTGTCAAGGGACAAACTCGAGATCAAAGTGCTTCCTACCCTGCGCAGGGACAGGCGCCGTCTACTGGCTATGGGGCCCAGATGACTCACTCGGGGTTCAACAACTCCAACGATATCAAAAAAAATATTGCAAATATAGCGATCATTCGCCTTTTCGAATTGACGGAGAAACTTTGCGTGCGAGCCGACTCAGAAAACTTGGAATACTGGAGGAGAGTCATGGAGGAGTACTTCAGTGAGTCGGCGATGGCTACCTTGACTCTGAAACACGGCAACGAAGGAAGATTCTATACGTTCACTTTTTCGCTTTTTGCCCGGATCATCTACACCATAGCGCTGTCCGGGGTGGGCTTTTTCGAAATTTCTCACAATCTCATACGGGCTAACGTATTGCCCAACGGATCGACTCATCTGGAATGCTCGCGGCTAATTTTGAGAAACTGGTATTTGGACGGATCCTACGTTACGCTTTATGGAGTGACCAAAATACAATTTAGCAGACAGCTCAAAATTGAAAAGATTGACATATCGATTTACCGTACTTCTGCAGGTCTGGAGCTGGGGACTATCGACAAATTTTTGGCAAAGAACGAATTCATTGACTCAAAAAGCATCAGGCAAAACTTTTCTGCTTTCAAAGGATTGAGCAACTTTGGTCTCCAGGAGAACGTCATGAGAGTCATGCAGGTTGGAGATGTCATGACCCTCGTGAAACCTCTGATGCACTTCCATGCTTTATCGAGGTCGAACTCGCCAATATCGTCCCTTGAAGCGTTCAATAAGTCGACTTCGAACGAATTGAGTGCACTCGAGAAGATGACAAGTCAGTTCCAGCAAGCTCAATTGCGCTCACAACAACAGGCGGGATTGAAAAGGCAGAAGTTTCAGCAGCACCAATTCCAGGACTCATCGGCTCAAATGCATAAAGGTGCATTTACACAGGCTAATAAAGCAGCTGCTCAAAAGCCACCTTCCCCTAATCGGCTATCGAAGAAAAAGCTTGATGAAGTGGGATTGAACAAACTGGATTTGGCAAATTCGACTTTGAACAAACGCAGAAAAATGGTGAATGGTCCTGCTTCCAACTCGCAAACTCCTAATGGACAGTCTGGAACAGCCGGTGAAAGTGCGCTCAACAGTGGAGACGTGAGCCCCAAGACCGTGGAAAGTGAGAAATAGATATTAATTGTGTAATCTTAGTGTGATATTACTTGTTCCAATCGAATTGCATGCGCATGCTCGATAATTCAATTCAAGAAAAAAATAAAATCTGAGGCCAACAGGAATCGAACCTGCAACCCTTCGATTGCACGAATCCGTAGATTTGACTGGAGTCGAAAGCTCTACCATTGAGCCATAGCCCCCGATTTCCAAAATTTTAAGGCCCTGGTAGTGATGTAGGATAAGGCCCTGGTAGTGATGTAGGAGAATTACCTTGGTGACTTGAAACTGAGTATTTCAACACTCAAGTCGAAATTCACACTAGCTCTTGATACTAATGACGTACTATTGATGACAATTAGAGTAGCTCAATTCAGGAGATATCATGGGAGATTAAATTTTACCGAAAGTTAAATGTGGAATTATCTTGATTGTATGCTATGGACTTATAGAGAGAACTGAAGATGAGTCCACTAATGGCTATGGTGATCGGGTACCCAAGAATCAGCTCAATGTATCATTACTCCATATTTTTAGACAGCTATGTGCGAATTCGCTGAAAACCATAGTTTGCCAGTCACTCATGATATCGCACAGTTTTTGAACCACGTTGGCTAATTGATGGTTAACATTCTTCTCCACTTCGAGGCTGATGAATTTCACATCAAGCATCAGGTTTGTGAAACACGGAGTGAGCTTTTCGCTGAGCTCAAGACGCGCTGTAGATATCTCGGAACCTAATTCGTCAGGGGTTAATTTTGAGACAGATTTGTGGCTAGAAGAGATTCTCGTATGAAGTTTGGTTGATGAGGCAGATGATGATGTTCCTGCGATGGCTGTCTTCCAATTTCCCTGACTGCCTTTGCTCAGTGTAGAATTGTTATCGTGATCTCTGATGAAGCTTTCGTCGTCGTCGTCTTTGTGCAGCTGCTCGTTAATTATGATGAGAGACGACTCGTCCAACTGTTTACGTTTTCGCTTCTTCATCTTCAGCTCATTTATTGCTCTGTTCAGACTTGGAGAATCGACTAAATTATTTTGCAATACTTGGTTCAGTTTGAACTCCGATGTCACTCGCTCCATCAAACTCTTGAGTCGGATCTGCTTTTTGACGATAATTTCCTGCAAATACGATAGCTGCAACTCTTTAAGTTTTCTATAATGAAGGAGATGTAAAGTGGCAACTAACGTGAGTCGCAAAATAATCAATGGTTCATAGATCTTGACTGTGATGGACTTTGTTAGCATTTCAATATTCAAAAAGGTTAGATCAATTCTATTTCCAAACTCTTCGATAGGTTTCTGTTGATCTTCCAGGATACTAAAAATGTTGAAGAATCCACCAAGCTCAACCATGGTTAAGCGGTCTCTTTCGAAATCCTTAATGAGTTTTTTGCTTGTTTGTTCTAGACCTTGGACTCTTTGCAACAAAAGCTTTGTCTTTCTCTCCAATGGCACAAATATTCGTGAATTGAGACTTGAGTCGTACTTTTTGGCCAGTCCAAGAGGTGGGACAGGTAGATAGACTAGATAAGGATTGGGTATGGTCGGGTTTCTCGGTGAGGTTAATAGCACAGATTTCGAAGATAAGCTCGCAACGTGCCCAGACTTTACCATCTGATGCCAACTTCTTTGTGACGGATCCAGAAATTTGACAAGGACTTCTGCCTGTCTAATTTCAGGATCAGATATCACCTCAGAGAGAAAATATTGTAGTAGTCGAATTCGTCTGTGTATTATTTTTGTGTCTGATTTGTAGGTGAACGGATTCTTGATTAGTCGCCCTAAAGAGTGTTTTTCCGGAATAGGCGGTATCACTTTCGTTTGAAAGAGTTTTGTGAGGTAAGAGCGAAGGAAAACGAAATCTGTGTAGCGGCGCAATACACTGTTGGACATGTATTCTATTTTGTAAAAAACCGTGGTGATGTTCTTAAAATCTCTCAATACTTCATAGTTAGTTATTCGAACGATTGTGCTGTCCGAAAACTGAGCTGGAGTGTGATTGACAAGAGGCTGGCTATCCATAGATTGGACTCCTAAGCAAGCTACACTCGTGTCGCTGTCTTGTGGCTCTCCGGATTCAGTGGTGGTGCTTATTCCGTTAGAGTAAAAATGATTGGAGCCTGCGAATGGGTTGTTGTCATTGCTAAACTCATCGTAATCCATTGAGAGTTGTGAACAGGTCCATAAATTTTATTTTGCCTTCGCGGGGGAAAATATAGGGTATATCAAAAAAATATATTATTTATCATTTTTGGAATGAGCGATCTCGAAGAAACAAAGAAAGTGGACCGTAAGTTACAGAAGACATATAACTAACAAACCAGCGATCCTCAAATCTTCGGACATGGTAAGTGATAGTTGCAATGTCTAACAGCCCAGTCCATGGACATGCAAGAATTCGTTTTCAGTTTGACTGAGAAGGCCTTGCAATCGTACAAGAAAAATGCAGAATTATCAGCATACCTCAAAAAAGAGATGGACAAGCAGTACGGAACTACCTGGCATTGCATAGTGGGGAAAAACTTCGGATCATTTGTCTCTCACGAAGCCGGAAACTTCATCTATTTTTACATTGGAGATAGAGCTTTTCAACTGTTTAAGACGAGCTAGGAGTATGTATTCGATCAGCGACCAAAAATACTGCTTTTCAGATTCTCATTACGTCGCTTCAGAGGACTGATCAATGTAGTTGCTGGAGCTTTGAATGAGACAGAATTGCGCTCTTGAGTCTGTTTGATCCGTTTGTAAATAGGCGAGGTGAACTCATCGTCCGTTTGTTTTGACGGAGACGAGTCATGTGCAGATGTTTCCGTGTTTTTACGTTTTAGTTGAATTTTTGGGCGGACCACTGTTTTAAAATCGGGCAACGCGTCTTCCTCGTTTTCGTCGTTGTCCTCGAAAATAGACCGTGTCTTAGCCGATAGACTTTGAGGCGTCTTGATAGCTTGAAGTAGCGTCTTGCGCACGCTCGATGGTGTTGTAACACGTGTTGAAACGGGGGTACTTGTTTTCGATGGATACGCTTTGATTGGGGTATTTGTTGGCAGGCTATATTTGACGGCTGTTTTCCCGGCACGAACAGCAAGGGGAGTAAGCCCGGCCCTTTTCGATGAAGAAAGAGGCGTTTGTTTTTGTTTCGATGTTCGCCGCAAATTGTTCAGCTCTTTGAGCGTTTGGTCGTGTTGTTGTTCCGCGTTGTTGATAATCTGTATGACGTTAATAAGGTGCGAGATAGTTTTGATCCAGTCGAGTCGACGCGTGTTTAGCGCCTCTAATTCCCAAAGCTTGCTACAAGCGGCATGATAAGCTTGAAAATCTGCCAAGAGATCCATCTTTATGTCAGTGGGATCTTTAGACATGTTGTCCATATTCTCACAATCAAAGATAAACAAAAAAAAAAAATATTAACCACTGTCTAAATAAAAGTCATCGTTCGATAGCGATCTCCAATATGAGGGCGGTCGATTTGAACATGGGGTAAGCAACATACGAGAAAACTCATGCACGAATATTAGCCTAGAACGAGGTTCACAATAGTTTAGGCTTAGGCCGGGCCCTGCTATTGTACCCTTATCTTCACTCACCTACTATCATGTCTTGTGCATAACTGCACCAGGCACTTTTGATTTCATAATTCGTAGGTGTGCGCTAGCTAATAAAAAACTCCTGAGAAAAGAAGATCTAAATTGATTCCCCACTTTTCGCTCAAAAACTTGAGGGGATAAATTCTTTTCTCTTCATGTTTAGAACATTAAGATACAAGTGGCCAACTCCAAAGTCACTCCTATTTGGTGCGGGAGTCAGGGGACTCCACTCAACCAAGCCATTGCTGACTTTCAACCTCTCTGCTGAGCAGAAATGTCGGGAATTATTGGACTCGTTCAAGGATTATGACCATATATTCCAGAATGAAGATGGGTCGAGCCGAAAGCCTCCGGAAGAAGAGCTCAAGAAGATTGCATATCTGAACAGTTATGCAGGCAGACGGAATTTAGGAATTGTTGAGGCATTCAGCTTGCCAAAGGAGCACGAAAGGCTATATTCAGCAAACGACAGGGACCTAGCCAAACTGAAGGCATCATCGGGACTCATCATCGACAAAATCCCGTACGAAGACACTGCTACGGGAGAAATAAAATGGAAGATAGTGAGAGAGGGTGACCAGAAAGAAGGGTGGGAAAATATTGCCCATTACTTATTTGTTCCTGGATGCATCGCTTTGCTCGTTGCAATTATTTGGAGAGACGATATGGATGTTTCAGAATGGGCCAGACGCGAGCTGTTGTACCGGGTGCGCAGCAAGGCGGAAAAAGATAATGACACTGCTGTTTTGGATACCTTTGAAAAATATGGCAATCCAGAATCGTACGAGTTTGATTATGTTGGCTTCCAAAAAGACGACCAAGTTATTGTCGAAAGAATTCTAAGCGGCGAATACGATCGCCTCGCCAAATTGAGACGCAGAGCCCACCAGGACTAGTGGCGGATCCTTATTTATTTTAACCTTATTTATTATTTCAACTCAACGGTATATTGTTAGTATAGATTATACTAGAATGCAATTCGAATAAATTGTATTAGAGGGGTTTACCCGTTTCGGACTTTGCTTCCCAGACGCCTGATGTTTTCTGTAGTACACCCATGTGAAAGGAGCTACGGAGCTAACAGGTCGGCGTTAATAGCTCGGTAATTTGTTCGGATAGCAACCCTGCTATACCAAATGTAGATACGATGAAAAAAATAAGTACCCTATTCGTCACCCTGATTATGTCCCTAATTGTTGGGTCACATATTAATCTCCACAGGTGAAAAAAAGAACTTTCGTTAGTAATTAAAATAAGCAAAAAGAAAGAAAACGACTTTTAATAAAAGAGACAAAAAATAGTCCCAGAGTTTTTCATAATAGGTGCCCATGTTTTCTTCGGATACAAGAACGTCGAACGGGGAACCCGTGAGCATTTCCGTTAAAACTGAAAGTGCATGGGTGCCGTCTATGATGCAAACCGGAGAACCACAATCTGACCAACTAAGCTTTGCCATGAACATAATTGACCAAACACAGCCTGAACTAAGTGTATCCACAACTACAGAGATCACAGACAGCACGTCGCAAGACAGCGGAATACCCAGTACCTCCACCACTACCACCGCCACATCGGAAGACTCCTCTTACCAAACTGCAGCTCCTTTACTCAACTCAAACGTCAAGTCCGAGAAAGTCAGTCGAAGAAGCTTTGAGAACTTCCACTTGGATCCTAATGATTTTCAAAACCTACTCATGACCAACCCTCCCATCTTGGAATACCCATATCCATACCCTCCGAATCAACAAGCTCCTCCAGAAAATTGGTCGCCCTCTCTTTCTTTACCGCAGGCCGGTGTTTTACCCCACGAAGTGGCTCCACCATACGCTTCCAACTATATCCCTGCTAATGTGATGACTGACCCAGAATCACAGACCGCCACGCCTGTATCCGCTTCCCATCATGTTCCGCTTCGTAGAAGAGTCTCTATTTCTAATGGTCAAATAGGCCAAATCAGTATGATGTGCCACAGGAATGAAGACAGAAAAGTTAAAACCGAGGAAGAGAACGACCTGCATGTCAATGAACAAGGAGTGCCGCAGCAGCAGCTGTTTTATAATAATGAGGTTATTTTCAATCCAAATGCAGGGCCAATACACGGGACGTCAGCATGGAAGAAACAACGGATATTGGAAAGAAACAGGATCGCTGCTTTCAAGTGTCGGCAGAAGAAGAAAGTTCAACAAGAGAAGCTGCAACAGGACAATGACATATTAGCTCAGAAAAACGCTGCACTTCTTGAGAAAAATAGACAACTGGAGAATTTGCTGCTGAGACTCAAAGAGGAGTTGAGTAAGTGTTCGGTCACAGACACAGTCACCGACCTTCTAGCGCAGATCAGTCTCCAGGAATCCCAACCTTAACTATCGCTTAACCTTTTCTATATGGTGCAAGGGTGCGCCACTCTTAAAAGTCGAAATCACTACTAATTTATTTCTTATAGTGTAGAATAATCACCAATATAATGAGCTCGTTTGACGCTATTACGTTAGAAGAACAGCCTTTGTATCGGGACGTTCCCGAATTTGACGACATCAACCGCCAGATTAGCAACACGCTTCTCGATGTCAACAATGGTTTAAGCAATCTTAACAAGAACCTCAATTTTCTCCAGGATGCCATCAACAAAGATCAGAATGTGCAAAAATACCATCAAAATGCTTCCAAGCTTATATCACGGCTTTTTGAGCTGTTCAAAAGCGTCTCCGATGGCACGCGAAGACTGAACCAACTAGACGCTTCGCTACTCAATAAATCGCAGACTTTTGTGAAAGATAAGCTGAACACAAGTTTGAAGAGGGCCTTACAGGATTTCAACGATCTGCAATCACTGTACACCTCGCTGGAAAAAAAGATGAATGAGAAGAGCGCTAGTCTCATTTCGCACGAAACAGAGGGTGAATCAGAGCCACCGTCACGGGAGCAGCAACAGGTTGTCATTGAGTACGAACCTTTGAATGCAGAGGAGGTTGAGTATCAACGGGCTTTAATCGAGGAAAGAGAAAGAGACATCGAGAACATCTCGCAGGGAATAGAAGAACTTAACCAGATATTTCACGATTTGTCCAATATAGTGGTCGAACAGGGCGGATTGATAGATAACATCGAGTCCAATCTATACAGTACATTACATGATACCCAGCGCGCGTCGAAACACCTTCATAAAGCAGACCGCTACCAAAGGAACAAGCGGAGACTTTGTTTTTGGCTCTTGGTAATTGTGAGTGTGGTATTCCTATTTCTAGTGCTCATCGTTGTGGCATAAATAATTATACGTTGAATGTCCACATGTTGACTGCTCCATCGTCGCCCGCGGTCAGGAGCGTGTTTTCGTTCCACCACTTTATACAATTGACTTCAAACACGCCATGTCCCAGCTCCTGTACAGCACGGACCTTCCATTCGCCTTCCGATTCCGAATATACGACTATTCGGCCGTCCGATCCACAACTAGCGAGCAACCCATTCGTATTCCATGCAATCCCGTACACAGGCATCGTGTGAACTTTTGGCAAAGTGGCCTCTAAAACCCACTCCTCCTCTGACTTCAAAGTGGAAGGTAGTTTGCCGTTGGGGGTTGCCTCCTGGTCCGAACTAGTCTTCTTCCATATTCTCACTAGTAAATCGTCGCTGCAGTTGGCAAATCTAAACGTATCTTTTTTCTCCCAGTCGGAACACCACACTGTTCCATTGGCGCCTTGGCAATTAGCCACGCACACCCATTCATCCTCATCGTAGTCGTCTTGCCTGAAAACTCGACAAGTATCGTCATACGAGCTGGAGCACAAAATATTTTTGGTCGGATGCCACGAGACGTTCTTGACGTCCTGTTCATGCTCTTGGATGACGCTGATACACTCAAACTCCTCGTTACTATCGTCTGCTTCCCAAATCCAAATCGATTTATCTCTGGAACAAGAGGCCAAGTAGACTCCATCGTGCGACCAGTCGACGCTCTTGACCTCGTTCTCATGACCTTCAATTATTGCCATCAGAACCCAGTCCTCCTCCTCCTTGCTCCAGATCGAGATCGTCGAGTCAAAAGAGCCTATTGCTAACGATGGAACAGGTCCTGTTGGCCTGAACTTCACGCTTCTCATGGTTTTTGTATGTGTGTTATCGTCAAGCACACCGACTAGTCGTTTGGTATTCAGGTTGTAGATACGACATGTTTTATCTGAAGACACAGTCGCAAGCAGAGAGCGAGGTCGGTCGATGTCGATCGACCAGCATTTATCAGTGTGTCCCGTGAAAGTGTGCACTTTGGAAAGAGACATGGAAAATAATTTGATTACATCTTTTCAAATTCTTGCCGTTTATTATGTTGAGAAGGGTGAGGCCTTTATGTCAGATTCGCCTCAATTCAAACGTTCCGAGACGACCAGATGAACCGGGAGATCTGGAAAATATCCCAAAGCACTCGAATGTAAGCTCGTCCGGCTCCATCCCTCCAATAAAGTCGAGCATATCCAATATGCTAGCGGAAAAAAAAGTGGAGTATAACCCCGAGGACAACAAGGAGGGTGTCACATATGAGTTCCACGCTCCCCAGTCACCACTGGAGGCCCGCAACGAGCAGATCCGTAAATCTCACCAAACGTCGAAATGGAGGAAAATGCTTCCCTCTTTGGCAGTTGGAGGTGCTCTGATCTGGGGATTCTACGCATACAACTATTTCACCGCCGACAAAAAGGAAACTATTCCGGACCTGCTTCTACCAGACCGGTTTCTTCCTTACCTGGTATCTTTTAAGTATCAGATAGACCAGGATCATTATTTAATTGAGCTCACAAGGAAGAATAGAGGAAGCATATTGGCTCCCCATCAACAATTGTTTAACGGAAAAAGACTATGGAGCGTTGAGATCAAACAACCTGAAATTAACATTGTTCGCAACTACACGCCGTTGCCCCTATATGTTGCGGGAATCGATCCAGACACACACGAGCCTCATCTTCGACTAGTGACCAAACCAGAGGAGGAAGGTAAGTTTGTGCTTTTGGTCAAACGTTACGACAATGGTGAGTTTTCACGCTGGTTGACTAGCCGCAATCTGCTAGACGAGGTGGAATTGCGCGGCCCAGTTGTGGAGTATAAGGTCCCCTACCACCCGTTGGATAAATTCCCCGCAAGGCCTCAATTGCAACCACTGTTATCAAAAATTCAGCCAGACCCTGAGTATCCTGAAAACATCCCAAAGCCGGAGACTTGGACATTTTATGCGGCAGGAACTGGGGTTTTGCCTCTGCTACAGATGCTATACTCGCCGAACCCGCCAAAGGGCTTCATCAAGGCCTATGTTTCGCTGCGTAACGAATCCAATCTTCCAAGCCAGCTGAAAACTCTCAACTACTTTGCTGAAAAATGCGGACGCGCAAAGTTCACCTATCTCATAAGCGATAACGGAGACAAGCTTCAGGCAAAGCATGTGTCGAGGCCCACGCTACCTAATTTTTCGGGCCTGATGGATGTGAAGATCAGCGAAGAAGTTTACAGACTGAAGCTGCTTGCACAGAAAAGACAGGAAGTCAAGAACCAAATTCAAGGAGCGAGAATCGAGGAACAGCCATTGCAAAAAGAGGATGTCATTCCAAAGCTGGATATTCGTCTGCAACCCCAAAACGCATTCCAGCAGTTCAACTTCTTCAGGAAACAGCCTCCGCAAGTGTATCCGTCGTTTGCATTTATTTGCGGGCCGGAGAGTTATATCAGCTACGTGAGTGGCCGTGCGAACCTTAATAATTTAGAGCAGAAGGACACAGGAGACATTGGCGGCCTACTCAAGGACAAAGGCTGGACATTAAGTAACATTAAAAGGCTTATCTAGAGTAATTCCACGTCCACTAAATAACCGTCCTCCAGCTCCGTATGCTCGACATTGGTGTTCGGATCCAGCTCCTCGTAGTCGAAAATCAATCGAATCTCGGTGTTTGGATCTAGGCCAACCTTGTTAAGATAAAATTCTGCAATCGCTTTAATTTTGGTTTTCGGGTTTACCTGAGCTCTGACCTCCTTTTGATCCTTTCCTTTCAATTTGATAGAGAAATAGTTTGACTTTTCAGGCTCCATAACGTCCTCATCGCTAACCACGGTGACTTCATGCTCCCCAAAGGATTCCAAGTCCTCCAAGTTGTACACCACCTCAACTATATCATTATTTTTCAGCTGAAAATCCACCGAAACTGTTTTGTCAAGCACCAGACCGTCGCGCTGAAGCTCGATGTTTAAGCTATCCGGATAATTCATGCGCACTAAAAAAATATCCAGAAGCTCTTTCACCGTGGTTCCCTTTTCTGCAGAGAGCGATGTTCTTTCGTAATCTCTCTGTGGGTCCAAAATGATTATAATCAGCTCATCTTCGTCCAAATCTTCCGTTTGATCTTGGGACTGAGCCAGTTTCTCCAGCGAGGCCTCTCTTCTTTGTCTACGAGCCATAACTTCCTGAGTCAGAACAGCAGTGATCGCAAACGCATCTCCAGCGTCGCTTAGGGGTAGCTGTGCACCAGAGAGCAGCAGAGACCCGACCCGCAAATCCTGAGTCAAAATTATATCGTGATCCTGCACATAGAATACTAGCGACTCAATGTCTTCTGTCCAACCTGGAGGAAGTTTCCTGTTATGTAGCTCAAGTTGTTTTAGTATCTCGCGCAGGATTGTTTTGAACTGTGCATTGCTACGCACACGAAGATGAAACCCGATTTGTTCGTCGTCCTCCAAAGAGACTTCCACGGTGAGAGCAAAAAGTGCTTGTTTGATGGGTATCTGTCGTCCGTTCAACATTACCATCTGCTCTGAAGAACTGTATTTTTGTAATATCTCATCCAGCTCCCCGTCGGGCTGCGTCAGCTCAATGTTCTTATCGAGCTCCTTGAGGAATTGATCGTCGTTGTTTGTCTCAGTAGTCCTGATTTTTCTCGTCTTCACACTCACGCTCTTCTTGGCATTTTCCTCAACTTCCTGAAGACCTAGTTCCTCTATCAAGTTGTCATACTGTGCCTTGTTCATGGGCGACTCGGATTTTGTGGATTCTTCTTTGACGAACTCCTTGACCCCCTTTTCCGGCTCTTGCACTACTATGTCAACACTGGAACTCTCAGACTTGGGCCTCTTGTCCTTCTTCTTCCGTTTTTTCTTTGGAGGAGCTATAGGCTCATCTGAAAAAGCAAAGAAGTCGTCTTCCGCTCGGCTCGCTAGATGAGACATGAATATATATATAATGAAAAAAATAATACAATAAATATAAGCGAATTTATCATAGAAATCAACCACTACATGTTTCGCAGGTTTGTCTCTACAGTATCTGTGGAATATGTCAACTCTCCCGCGTTTAGATTGCCTCAGGGCTCGATGCTGGTAAGCGGCATTCAGCCAACGGGGGCGTTCCATCTCGGGAATTATCTCGGGGCTACAAAGACCTGGCACACGATAGCACAAAAGCTGGACTCTTCCTCCCAGATGATTCTCTTCATTGCCGATTTGCACTCCCTGACTGTGCCCCAGAACTACTCTCTTTTGAAGAGGCAAAGATTCGAGGCTTATGCGTCCCTGTTGGCGTGCGGCCTAGATCCTGCGAAAGTTACAATATATCATCAGGCTGCCGTGCCCGAACACACCCAGCTGCAATGGGCATTGACCTGTTTTGCTGGTATGGGGCTTCTCAACCGGATGACACAATGGAAAGCCAAGGCAGATTTGAAAGGCGATGCCCAGATACAGAATGAACTGGGAGCCGTCAAACTCGGCCTATTTGCATACCCGGTGCTGATGGCCGCGGATGTGCTGCTATTCAATGCTACACATGTTCCTGTAGGCCAGGATCAGGCGCAGCACCTGGAGCTCACGAGAGATCTTGTGTCTGCGTTCAACAAACAGACCAAGACGAAGTTTTTCAACCTTCCAAAAACCCTGATGGCACCTTCCAACAAGATTTTGAATCTGAGAGATCCGTCTAAAAAAATGTCTAAGTCCGACCCCGACGAGCTGACAAAGATAACCATCACAGAGGACCCGAAATCCATGAGACTGAAAATCATGAAGGCGACTACAGATTCCATAGATGGACCTTTGACATTCGACCCGGAGCAAAGACCAGGAATCTCTAATCTAATTACCATCTACTCGGCTATTGCGAATCAAACGATAGAGGAGACCGTGCCTCGGATCAAAGATCTTTCCAAACGAGAGTTGAAAGAGCTTGTGGCCGACGCAGTGGTGAGAGAGCTGCAAGAGCCTAATAGGATCTACAAAGAGCTGATAGCCTCACCAGAGCTGCTCCACAAACTGAGTTTGGAAGGTGCCGAAAAAGCACGAGCGGTGGCCAGCAAGAATTTGAAACAGGTGTATGAAATCCTTGGCTTGGATATGGAGAAATGAATCTTGTATATATACATAATCATCTAGTCGTTACAGTATGTCATCTTCCAAAAGACCGGTGTTCTCTCCGTACACCACCAGTATTCTCTGCACCTCTCTGTATTTGGAGCAACTGAGTATAAGCGTTTTCAGAAGCTCTGCTCTATCCAAACCGCATATCTTCTCCTCTTTGCTAAAATAGAGCTCCTGGAACAGCTCGATCAGGCGATTTTTGAGGTTGAGCTCGCAAAGTCTTTTCACGTACAGAATCAAGTAACTTTTGAAACTCTTTGAATCCTGTAGCTGTTGGTACACTAATATTTTGTTCTCTAGATGGTTGAGTGAAATAACCGTCTCCAGGTTCTCGTATCCCTCTTTCATCAACATGACTTTCGATATTTTATTCAGGAGACGGCCTTTGCCCCTGCGCAGAAGCTCTTCATTCGTGCGACTTTCCAAAGCACCAACAATGGACTCGTCCTCCACCTGCGACCGGGTGAAGTCCCAATACTGTGAGCCAAACGCCCACCATGAGTCGCTGATCAGAGACCACGAGCTCATGTTTTTGTCGTATAGATACCCGTTACCGTTGCTGAGAGTGACTATAGGCACTCCCGTGCTCGAAATCGAGCACATGGTGAGGTTTTCGGACCGTGTGAGAAGATCTCCGTTCACAAACACCAGTCCGTTGGCCTCCGTGACTGTCTCGTACTGATTGGCACGATATATCGGCTGCAGCAACGGGTACAGAGACGTTGGTCTAAAAAGAGCCTTGGGAACGTCCAAGTCCCAAGCATACATCTCTCCAACGCTGGTGACGGCCAGCAGATACTGGTTTTTCATTTCCATAAATGAAAGTGGCGACCCCAAAATCAAGGGAGGCAGTACTCGGCGTCCCGAGCTGCCGTAAACTATTATCTGTCCGTTGGTTGTCGATACAGCCCAATGCTTTTCAGTGGCTGCCACCAAATGCACCTTTGACGGAATAAAGTCCACAAATAGCTGCTTTCTGTTTTCTTCTGATAGCTTCTTCATTAAGGCTATTCTGGTTGGCGAAGACTCAAAGCCTGTGCCGTTCTTCACCTCCAAATACAAGGACTCGTCCTCAGGCAAGGTGTAGAAGAAATTGAGCCGCACTTTGGCGATGGAAATCCTCACATTACTAAAGGAAAGCTGCGGATTCAGGACGACAGAACCAATAAAATCCAACGGTTCCAGCTCTCTCTTTTTCTTGCCGTTCTGAGCGCTGTCGTCCTTCTTGATGATTTTGTTTGCTTTTTGCGAGAATTCCCTAGGAACAGACGTTGACGGCGCATCGAAATCGGCAGCCGATGCAGGCCGTTTCTTGAGATCCACCGGGACCGTGGACACCTCTGGAACGGCGGGCCCGTTAGATTCTTTTTTGATTGTCGTTTTCTTTGGGTCGGTGACGGGGGCCGCAACGGGCTCCTTGGCTGATCCGTTTTCCTTGAGCCACGTGTCTCGTCTCTCCAGTTGTCCCGGAAGCTTTTCAGCCACAGTCTGTTCCAGCTGCTCCTTCTTGTCCACTGGAATGACTACGGCTCCCAGCTCGCTCTCCCCAAACACACCAATCAACAGCTCGCCTGCGGCTGTCGATATGAAGAGTAGACGGCCGTCTGCGCTCCAGCACATATCCTGAATCGCACTGAGACTGACCTCGTTTGCAATAATGAGCGGCGCGCTCGAAGCGGTGTTCCAAATTGCGACGGTGCTCTCTGCCGACGCAGTGGCCAGAATGTAGTACTGTTTGGCCGTTGCCGGGTTCATGTCGGAGGGGTCTTTGTTAGCAGGGTTCGCGAAAACGGCTGGAGAAAATGCCGTCATGATGCATCGAAAATCAGTGGCCATTAGACTGCACCAGCTATTCCAGCTTGATCCATCTGGGTTGTTGAGCAGAGCCACCAACGAAGACTTGCCCTTGCCCATGTTTGGACAGGCAAGCACCTTGTCGTCTGCAGACCAAGCCACTTTCCGCAAATTGGCCTTTACCTTGAGGTTGCTTGACAAATTTGAAAGCTGCTGGGCAATTTTGTACTTGAACACCCTGCCGTGTTCCTGGTCCTCTTGTAATGAATACTCGACAATATTAGCCAGCTTGTCATCTCCCTGGGTGAACAAGTACTTGTTAGCGCAGTGGTCAAACGTGATTCCCTTCACAGCGATGGTGTCGTCGTTGCTGTGTATGTGCAAGCTCGTGAGCTGTTTTCTATAGAGTGTATCGTAGATGACGACCTCGTTGTTCATCGAGGAGAAAGCCAGCAGCTGGTCATCTGCGGACCAGCTGCAGTCTATCAATTGGCCTTTTTTTTGGCGGTACAACAATGTGGTCTCGCACAATTCTGGATTTTCTGGATGCTCGACAAGGAAAACCTCGCCGTTTTTGCACAGTGCCACGAGAAGATGGCTGTTCTGGCGCAGGTTTGCGAACTTCAAGCACGAAATCTTGCTTCGCGTCTTGAGCGTGACGACGTTGTCCGCCTGCTGCGCCTCGGTGAACTTTGCCTTGTCGATGGCGGGCGTTGTTTGCACTTGCGACGGACTCTTGGTCTCCAACGTCTCAACATCAGGCACCATCCCAATAAACTTGGACATAGATCGCACCATGATCGTGGCGTCATTTCCTGCGGTGGCCACATACTCGTTTGTGGAGTTGACGGAAACGAAATAGGCCGCAGTGCTCGAAAACGACCCGCTCAGAAAGTACATGGTGTTGATACAAGAAAAAAAACTTAATTTTTTTCTTGATATTACACAGTCCTGATGGCCTCTGCAGAATATATGAGCGACTCGGGCTCCGAGTACACGGAATACTGGATTGACTGGTTCTTGGGAAGTCGTGGCAACGAGTACTTCTGCGACGTCGACGTCGAATACATCACCGACAGATTCAACCTGACAGGCCTCAATCAGTATGTGGACAGAATCTCGCTGCTGGTGGACATTATCACGGATCGAACGCAAATCAGCGAAAACGAGTCGGAGCAGACCCGTGCGCGGCTGGAGGACAACGCCAAGTTCTTGTATGCTCTCATCCACGCCCGCTACATCATCACTCAGAGAGGTCTTAACAAGATGATGGAAAAATATAAGAACGCCGATTTCGGATACTGTCCGCGTGTTTTCTGCAAACTGACGCCTTTGCTCCCCGTTGGACTTAGCGATACCCCCAAGGTCGCTTCTGTGAAGCTGTACTGCCCAAATTGCGAGGATATCTACAACCCCAAATCATCGAGACACTCATCGCTGGACGGCGCCTTCTTTGGTACCTCATTCCCTGCCATGTTCTTCCAGGCATTCCCAGAACTCATACCAAGCCACAGCGTGGATATATACACGCCGAAGATCTTTGGGTTTCAAATTCACGACTACGCAAAACTCACAAGGTGGCGATTGCTCCAAAAAGACAAGCTCATTGCTCGTCTGGACGAGCAGGGCATCCCTCACGACAGAGACACCCGTGGAGGCTTTGTGGAACCCCGCAAAGACCCGGACGACTCTTCTAAGAAAGGCCGTAGATAGCAGCGTACATGCCTTTTTACACAGCCATGAAAATTTTAATGTAAATGGAGTTCAACTATTGTAAAAACCTGTATTTTAGATAACCATGGGCTCTCCTGCGGCCGCCGACAATCTGGTCACAGAAAACCCGGACCATGTCCACATCATGCCTCCCGACGACGCTCACGTGATATGCCCTACGGACTACTTCTCTGGGTCGGGCAAGAAGGTGCTTCTTTTGCTCAACCAGGAGATCAAGCTCTCGGTCACTGCTATACAGCAGGTGTGGGATGCTTCGCAATTGAGGATCTGCGCCGACGGGGGTGCAAACCAGCTTTACGAATATAGCCTGAAACACGGTCTGGACTGGCTACCGGACTTTGTGATAGGTGATCTCGACTCCTTGCGGCCCGAAGTGAGCCTCTTCTATAAATCCAAGGGGGTCAAGGTCAAACAGCAGGCTTCGCAATATTATTCAGATTTGGACAAGGCCATCACGCTTTCAAACCTGGTGCTGCTCGATCCGACAATTAATCTCGACGATTACGATGACTACGACGGAGTCAGCAAGTATGAAGAAAGCATCACCGATAGCATTGACGATAAGGTTTCTGTGTTCATGATGGGCTCAATTGGCGGCAGATTTGACCACACGGTCTCTACAATTAGCAAGCTGATCAAATTGTACCATACACGGCCCAATTTCCAATTCATTGTGAGGAATAACGAATACAGCGAGTATATTCTGTTTATTCCTAGAGGACGCAGTTTTGTCACGCTGCTGCAAGAAAAGGACTACCACCGGGGTGAGGAACTGGTGAAGGGAAAACTGCCGCTTGTCGGGCTGTTACCACTAGCATGCCCTGTGCGATTGAGCACTAGCGGTCTTAAATGGGACGTTACCAACTGGGACTCCTCTATCGAAGGAAAAGTGAGTGCCAATAACCTGCTAGTCGGCGACAACGGGTTTCTCGTCGACACCACAGGCCCGATATTCGTCAACATTGAAATCTGATTTACTAAAAAACGTATATACAGCGAACAATCAATTAGAAAACATCGAGTCTTTGGAAAATTGGGAGATGAAATCTTGCAGGTTAATGCTCTTTTCGCCAGGTACCTCCTGGTCCATTGTGCTGATCTGGCTGGCGTACGTATCGAAGGGACTCACAATATCGGGCGCTCCGAACGACATGACGTTGACCTTGCTAGGATCTTCAAAGGTAACATTTCCAACAGACCCGCTCGATTTCGTGGACGGGTGGTCCGTGGAGTTCGAATGGCTGAAAGAATCTGTTTCAGAGTGACGGTTGACCGAGCTGGAATCCGTCGTCTGGAATGATCCAGGGTCTGCCAGAGCGTTGTAGTCGGAAATGTTGAAGAAAGAGTACATACGTGCCGATGGACGGTGGGTTTCGTCCTCTTTGATCAAGGCATCCAGATACTCTTCCCCATTGTCGTAAAGGATCTGGTCGAATCCCTTGGTGGTCAGTCGCGTAGGCTCAGATTCCAGCGGAGTAGGCATATCCGGCAAAGAGAACCCGTTCTTCAGTTTCTGAGGGTCGGAGTTCATAATCTTGGCCTCGGCATACGTGAAATCCTTTCTTAAATTCTGGTTTTCACTTGCAAGCTCGTAATGAGTTAAAACCTTTTCGAATCTCTCCTGCTTGGTGTTCTTGAAGAAGTTGAAGAAAATCTTGATAATCATCGAAACCCGCCAGCAACAGAAAAAGTCTGCCTTCAGACCAATACTGTTGAGATAGTATTCCTTCAGATAGTGGAACATGATAATGAGGAACTGGTCGTTGGTGTTCCTGTCGAGGTCAATGTTAAGCCAGTTCAGAACAACAACAGAATCCACAGAATTGCCAAACTTCTTCAAAAGAGTCTCAAATTTCAAATGGTCAGACGTGAAGTTTTGCAGGAAAATCGACATTGTCCACAGAATACCTCTGCTGAAGCAGGCCTGAACTTTGCTTGCAAAAGAAATCTCCAAACCATTGAAAAAACGCTTGAAGTTCTGGTGTGACTTGCTGGCCCCGTGGATCGTGGATGACTCGGTCAGGTATTTTACGAAGTCGTAAGTGAATTTGAATAGAATCAAGGCCGGTTCGGTCGCCTTCATTGCATGTTCCAGTTTTTCCTCCTTCTGATCTTCTGAGGCATAGAGGAAGAGCAAGTAGTGTAGGCAATTCAACAAGGAAAGGAGAACCAGTCTCATTTCAAGTTTCTTGATCTTTGAGATGTTGAAAATTCGTTCAATAGGATCATCAATTTTGAAACTACCTGCTAGCTCCCCGCTGTCCAGCATCTCATAGATTGAGCTTAGCCGACTGTTAAGGAAAAGCTCAATTTTCTGGATATGTGAAAGGAACTCGGACCTCTTCGCACCGTCGTCGTAGTTACGACACAGCTGGATGGCTCTGCGGATCAGTGTGGCAACTTCAAACTCAAGACTGATATCCTTGTTGATGGCGTTTTCGTTAATGATGGACTTGAGTTGCTTTCCAGTGATACTGATAGACATTCCGCGCTTGAAGTCGTCCAAAATGGCCTTTTCCTTGGCGCTGATTTTTGGCAAGATGACATCGTACTCGTCTGAATGAATCACGACTGGTGTTCCCAGATCGAAGGCGCTCAGCGTGTCCATGTAAAAGAGCTTGTAAAAGATTCGTCTTCTCAGGCTCTTCACCTTTTCGTCTCGGAAGACCTCAGAAAAGTGGTCGGGGTCTCTGTTCATACCCAGCACACGACACATCTGGATGATCAAGCTCAGTGAAATCGAAGCTTCGTAGTAGTCCTCACTCAGCTCGGGTGAGTAGCTCTGGTACCATCTGAGGAACATCAGCACCTGTATATTGCGAATCGTCACCTTTCTGAAAATGCTCTCCTCGGGAGGCATGCTCAACAGAACGTTCTTTGCCAATTCAATATACTGCGGACCAATGGTGACTCCCATCCTCAACATAGTTGCTAGGCTCTCGTCTTCTATCGACCGAGGGTTTTCGTCAAACTCCTTCACGTTGATCGTCATATAGGCGTATCGCAGGATAATCAGTAGCAGCGAGACAATAGACGTGTTTTGATGATGTGCGACCTTGAAGCTGGGGTTTCCCTTCTCATCTGACAATAGAACATACGTTAGCTCCTCACGGAAAATTTCTTCATCCACAAAAGGAACCAAATAGTAGGCATGCGTGAAAAAGCGGTCGATAAGAGCCTCAATGGCAAACATCGGAGGAAGTTTGCTGCTTGCTAGTGCGAAAATATCCTGACTTTTCAAAAGCCCTGGAGCGGTGAGCGTGGTGGTGGTCATGCCGCTCAGAATGGAGTCCATACAAAGATCCTTGTCTTGGTACGCATGTTTCCGCGCAATCTTGCTGCTATCAAACATCTTAGAGTCGTGCTGGACCTTGATCTTCTGTGCGTTCATATACTCTTCGTATTCCTGCTCGTGGCGTTTATTCAGAGCCTCAAAGAGCAAGCTCAGCTGCTTATCTGCCTTGATAAATGTCACGTAGGAAGTAGCACCTGTAAGCAAAATCCTATTCTCCTTGAAAACCATGCGATCAAATTTCTCCGATAAATCAAGCACCGGGTCCTCCTGGTCCTCGCTCATTCTGCTAATTGACTCATTGAAGACAAAGGATAAATCGCTATACTCGCTAGCGTTGATATTATTAGCTTGCAGAATTCTCTCCAGTTTGTTGACTTTCATCTTCAAATTGATGATCTCGGTCGTGAGCTGCATCTTGTTCATGTTGTCCAGGTTTTGATTGGCATATTTACACGAATACTGGGTCTTGTTCTTAACGCAACTAGAACATGGCTTTGTGCGGTCGCACTTCAGCTTCTTTTTCCGGCATGGCTCACACGAAATGGGGACCCTATTGCGGCTCTTCTTGACTCTCGCGTCTGTTCCTGACGACATTGGGAAGCAATAAAAAGTATTAAATATTAGCTTAAAAGATATTTCATATATTATTACCCACGGAGATAGAGACTGGTAATTCCAGTAGATTAGGTAAAATAAAAATTGCCATCGAATAAACCGACGCAAATCGACACACAAATCGACGCTTGGTAGGGGTATATAATATTCAAAGAAATACAAATAACATGTCAGGATCCTCACATTGAGCAGCAAAATTAGTCGACAAGATACCAGAGCAGCTTGTTTAGTATTCTTCCTCCTCATCTGGGAAGGTGTCTGCTCCCAACTCAACATAGTCTCTCTCCAAGGCAGCAAGATCCTCTCTAGCCTCAGCAAACTCTCCTTCCTCCATTCCTTCACTGACATACCAGTGGACAAAAGCTCTCTTCTTGTACATCAGGTCAAACTTCCTGTCAACCTTCTGCCAAGCATCCGCAATGGCAGTGGTGTTGGAAAGCATACACACGGCTCTGCTGACGTCTGCGAGCTCAGATTCCGGAGTCTGGGTTGGCTTCTGATAGCAAATACCGATCTTGAATCCAGTAGGACACCAGTCGACCAACTGGACGGTCTTCTTCGACTTGATCACGGAAACGGCGTTCTGGACGTCTCTGTTGACAACGTCACCTCTGTACAGCAGACAGGTGGCCATGTACTTGCCCAATCTAGGGTCGCACTTGACCATCTGGTTACCTGGCTCAAAACAGGCGGCAGTGATTTCAGCAACTGAGTTAGCCTCGTGTGTAATTCTAGACTTGGACATGACCGGAGCGTAAGAAACTAATGGGAAATGAATTCTTGGGTATGGCACCAGATTAGTTTGGAATTCGTTCAAGTCGACATTCAAAGACCCATCGAACCTCAAAGAGGCTGTCACAGATGATACGACTTGTGCAATTAGGTTGTTGAGGTTGTTGAAGTTTGGTCTGGCAATGTTCAGATTCTTGCGGCACATCTCGTAAATGGCCTCGTTGTCAACCATAAAGGTACAGTCGGCGTTCTCCAAAGTGGTGTGCGTGGTCAACACAGTGTTGTAAGGCTCAACAACAGAGGTGGAAACCTGCGGAGCAGGATAAACGGCAAACTCCAGCTTGGACTTCTTACCGTAGTCGTTGGAGAACTGTTCCAAAAGCAGCGACCCAAGACCGGAACCGGTACCTCCACCGAGCGAGTGGGTAAACAAGAAACCTTGCAATCCATCGCACTGATCGGTCATTTTTCTCAGTCTGTCGCTGATGTCGTCCAGCAGTTCTCTTCCCACCGTGTAATGTCCTCTGGCATAGTTGTTTGCAGCATCCTCCTTACCACTGATGAGCTGTTCTGGGTGGAACAGGTTCTTGTATTTTCCAGTACGCACCTCGTCGATGACGTTGGGCTCCAGATCAACATACAGAGCTCTTGGCACGTATTTTCCCGAGCCGGTCTCTGCAAAGAACGTGGAAAATCCCTCCTCGCCACCCTTAGGTCTGGTGAGGCCTTCTTGCAGGTATCCGTCTGGGGTGATTCCGTGCTCCATCGAGTAGAGCTCCCAGCAGGCATTACCAATTTGGCAACCGGCTTGACCAACTAGAAAGGGTTAGAGATGCGCGTGACAGATGCGTTCTACTTACCGTTGACACTGATAACTTCTCTCATATCTGCGGATGATTCACGTGTATATCAAAACAGGACTACCTCGAATGTGTTTGTGGCGGGTGAAAAGCTAAAAGTAAGTACTTTTCGCGCAACAAATAGGTCGGTTGAGTGTTTTGTTTGCAAACTTTATCACATTTGTTTACACTTTTTGGCGTATGCCGGTTTTGTGCCCTGCTGTTGTTATATTTCCGTTTGGGGACTTTTTTTCGCTTTTATGATTCCTCGGCGCGTCGATCGTCTGCACCTGTCCTATTATCTGCACCAGTGCCAAATCTGACCCGTTGCAGATTCCCCCGCAAATTCCATATAATTCTACCTCCCGGATACTGCCGTCCCTGCAGCCGCAGTTCTCGGACCCTTGCTGTATAAACAGTGTCTTTTTCGCCCAACTGGCCTCTGCTTTTTTCTGCACCGCCCAAATATCTCTAGCGCTTCTTCCTCGGCTGGCATTGTACTCTTCCCATGCGTTTTGGCTTCCCGCTCCTGTTTCTGGGCCTTGCACTGGCCCAGCCAGACTACTTTGACGACCAAACGGAGTCGTACTATCTCCAGGACGACAGAGTCCTTGGGACATCCAAGTTCAACCAGCTCAATAAATACACCTACCAGCCGTACGTTTCTAACGGTTACATCGGCTCACGGATCCCCAACCTTGGGTTTGGCTTCAGCTACGACCAAAACGAGAACGTCACGAGCTCGGACCTCTCGAACGGCTGGCCGCTGTTCAACCCCCGCTATGCTGGCAGCTTCATTGCCGGCTTCTTCGACGCTCAGCCAAACACCACGGGCGTCAACTTCCCCGAGCTGCGCGAAAACGGCTACGAGAGCATCATCAGCGCGGTGCCGCAGTGGACGGGGCTCCAGCTTGCCGCCACGCTCGACGGCACAACCTACGTGCTCGACCCAAGCACCGCCAACACCAGCTCTGCTCACGTGACCAACTACCGCCAGGAGCTGCGAATGGCCACCGGTACGGTTTCGACGGCGTACACGTGGCTGGGCACCGTAGCTGTGAACGTGACTGTGCTAGCGCACCGCGACATTGAGACGCTCGGGCTCGTGCAAGTCGAGGTGGCCCTGGTATCTGGTGCGGCGCCGTTGCAGCTGGACGTGGTGGACGTGCTTGATTTTGCCTCCACGCAACGCTGTGTGCTCAAGAATATCGGCTACGACGACTCGGGCATCTTTATCACGGTGCAACCGGAAGGTGTTGAATACAAGCACGCGACACTGTACTCGCGGCTGAACGTGAACGCATCCTGTGTCAACGAGACACTGGCGGCCGCGTTCCATAAAGTAACCAACACTGTTTCCGTGGTGTTGGAGCACCCACTTAGTGTGACCAAGTACGTGGGGGTGGTTTCGGACGACCTGCTCGGGACCAGCTCTAGCGACGCTACGTTTGCAGCAGCCAAAAGAACAGCCCTCGACGCGGCCAGATACTCATGGCCCAGTCTGCGCACCATGCACGACAACGCCTGGGCCGCTGTGTGGGGCGACGTTGCTGTCGAGGTGGAAAACGAGCCCTATTTGACTCTGGCCGCAGAGGCGAGCATCTACTACCTGTTTGCCAACACGCGATCCTCAGCACGCAACCTGACGGCCGCACTGGGCGTGGGCGGGCTCAGCTCGGACTCGTACGGCGGAATGGTCTTCTGGGACGCGGATCTGTGGATGATTCCTGCGCTGCTGCCAATTGCTCCCGAGACAAGCGTTGCACTCAATTCGTACCGGTACTATTTGCACGAGCAGGCCACGCGCAACGCGGCCGCAAACGGCTATTCGGGGGCGGTGTACCCGTGGACGTCTGGCCGGTTTGGCAACTGCACGGGCACGGGGCCCTGTGTCAACTACGAGTACCATCTGAACGGGGCCATCTGCTACTCGGTCTGGAAGGCGTATTTGAGTGGGGCGATCAACGACGAGCATCTGGAGCAGTACGGCTGGCCGGTGCTGCGGGACGCGGCAGAGTTTTTTGCGGGCTACGTGAAATATAACGACACGCTGCAAAAATACACCACGCACAATCTCACGGACCCAGACGAGTATGCCAATTTCAAGGACAACGCCGCGTACACGGCGGTGATCATCAGCCAGGTGATGAAGTGGGCGGACCGCGTGGCGCAGCATCTCGGCAAGCCGTCCAACTCCACGCAGCTAAACATAATGCAGAACATGTATCTGCCGCAGTCCAGCGACAACATCACGCTCGAGTACGACACGATGAATTCGTCGGTCTCGATCAAACAGGCCGATGTGGTGCTGATCCCGTACATCGACGACGAGGACGGCGCGCTGGAGCAGAATTTCGGCTACGACGAGGTCCGTGCCACCAACGACCTGTCCTACTACTCGCTGCACCAGTCGTCGCAGGGCCCAGCCATGACGTTCCCCGTGTTTGCCGCCGTGAGCCAGAAGCTCAACGAATACGGTTGCGGCAGCCAGACGTACCACTACAAGTCTGTGGCGCCATTTCTGCGGTTCCCGTTTGCGCAGATGAGCGAGCAGAATAACGACAACTACGACGCCAACGGTGGCACGCACGCGGCGTTTCCCTTTAACACGGCGCACGGTGGGCTCGTGCAGAGCTATTTCTTTGGACTCACTGGGATCCGGTTCTCGTACGCGATGACAGCAGAGCACCGACTCGAACGCGTGCTCCATTTCGACCCGGTCGAGCTACCACTTTTTGGCGGCGACTTGAAAATATCCGGGTTCAAGTACCTGAACCAGTCGCTTGAGATTGTTATTGGCGAGACAAACGCGACGATCCGCCACCGTGGCACGGCCGAGCCTGTCCTTGTGTACGTGGACGACAGAAACGCGGCCGCTGGCTACCACACGCTGGAGCCCGGCACAGAGCTGACGGTACCGGTGCATGTGAACGAGTTCAACACACCGGGCTCGCTCACAGAGTGCCAGGCGCTTGCTCACAGCCTGACGCCGGGCCGCGACGGCGACGTGGTCATGTCGATCGTCGACGGAGACAACTCCACCACCTGGCAGGCCCAAAACAAGAACGACAACGCGGCGGTGCTGCTTGAGCTCGAAACGAGCGAAACGTTTAACGCGGGGGCCATTGTGTGGGGGAGCCGGCCAGCAGCCAACTTCTCGCTCAGTCTCGTGACAGAGCCTCTGGACACCACGGGAACAGATATTGTTATCGACGAGTCGAAGCTCGTGCGGGTGCTCACCGACCACCCCGTCTTCGTAGCCTCGCCCTACAACGCGTCCGACACAGAGGTACGCATCGTGGAGCCAAACAGCACGACTTTTGCACTGTCACAGGACTACGCCGCGCAGTTCGTGCTGCTAGAGGTTTATGGCACGGTGGACGTCGATGACAGCAGCTACGGCGCATCGGTGGCGGAGCTGGGGCTCTTCTATCATTAGATACATAGATGTTAGCGTAACGCGACCTCGGCAATTATACACAGGTGGTCGCTCGGGTACTCGCCCTCGCGTGGCTGGCCCTTATCCATTTCCGTGGGGTGTGGCAGTTTCAGCAGGCTTTTCAGAATGACGCCGTGCTGGGCCTCAAAATCCTCGAGTTTGTCAGGGGCAGTGCAGTCCGAGCCGTCCCACTCGGTCACGAAGAAGATGTAGTCGAGCAGGCCGCGCCACGTGTGCGCCCAGTTGGAGAAAAACGGCTCGTTGCGATCGTTGTCCAGCCCGGCGTTTTTTGGGTCGACCAGATGGTAGCCCAGCGAGTACAGAGAGATGGCGCGCGCAGGGAGCGAGTTGTGCAGCTTCTCCATATCGTGGACCATCTTGCGCTGCTGCTCATTGGGCTCAAACTCGTCTGGAACAGGCGTCTCGTGCTCGTTATCGTCCTGGTTGGAGTAGTCGTACGAGGCCGAGCACGAAATAACGTTCAGACAGCGTGCATTATAGACGATTGGTTTCTGGACGATCGACAGATACGGCGAGTCGTAAGGCTGCGAGTTGAAATCTCCGGCAAAAAACTTGTACGTTTTGGCAAAGTTTGGGTGCAAAAGCTTGACCCGTTGTTCAAACTCCAGCATCGACTGCAAAACCACATATGTCTGGCGCGTTCTCTCGTACGTGCCGTACGGATGCCAAAACAGATGCGTGGTCCCCACCACGAGGACGCTGTCGGGCTGGTTTTTCGCTTGCAAGGCGACCAGCAGGCCCACATTCTGTGTGGCAGTGCGCGGAACAATGCCTTCGGTGGCCACCTTGTCGTAATCTATGAACGAGGAGTCGACAAGAGCAAACTTGGACGCCTTGTAGAATACAGCCACGCCGTGGTTTTTTGTGCCGGATCTATAGTACTTGTTTTCGTAGCCCAAGAGGGCTAGTTTGGGGCTCCAGTAGCTGTTGTACTGGATATAGTCCATCTCCTGCAGACACATGATATCTGCGGCGTAGTACTTCAATTCGGCCAGCAGAGCCTCGGACCGCTTATTCCATTTGAGAATTGCGCCGTTGTCGGGAAAGAGACTGCGTCGGATCAGGGCTTGAGCGAGCACGTTGTAGGACATGATGGTGAACGTGTTTTGCACGGGCTCAGCACGAGGAAGTTCGAGCAGGGGGCGACGAATGAAGAGCTGTTTTGGTTTCCCTTCCGCATTTTGCTGCTCGAGCCGTTTTTGCTCTTTTTTTAGAGCACGTAGTCTTCTCTTCTCGTCGTCCGAAATCATATCGAAAAAAAAAATAGGTCATATTTCTGATCCATGGAACTTTCGGAAGTCATCAAGACCAGGAACGAGATCGCGCTGCTGCTGGAGCTGATCCAGAAAAAGCAGCGCCAGTGCAAAGAGCTGGAGAACGAGAACAAGTATTTGCAGAGCTACGTGGGTGCCATTATGGCGAAGACCACGCAGTGATGCAGCTGACGGCGGCTAACAAATAAATAGATCGAACGGTTGCATATTTTATTTATCTCAAGATATGGAGAACGAGAACACAGATCTGACAGCTCGGCGGAAACCAATGGCAGCCAACTCGCTGCTTTCTGTGTACGAGCAGAAGTTCGAGGCGTTCAAGACGCTCAAATCAAAGAGAACAGAGCGGTATGGCCACAACAACAGTGCTGCGCAGCTTATTATGTCCCAGAGAGACCCCAATCGCATGGTCGACAGCAGAGAGGACACGATCGAGACCTCGTCGTACGTCCTGGGCGACAGCAATGGCGATTTCAGCGACAGCGAGGACGAGCAGAAAAGCGGGCTGTTGTCGAAGGAGCTGCCTGTCAAGACGCGGGAGCCCGTTCTGAGCGGTCTCTCTGGCTCGCTTCAGTACAGCGCTCCGTCCGTAAGAGCTGCAGAGGCTCCTGAGTCGGGGCCGGCCGACCACAGTGACGACGACGACGAGCAGAACGAGGGGGGTGGGGATGGCGATGATGATGAGCAGGAAGAGGACGATGAAGATGAGGACGATGAAGATGAGGACGACAATGAAGAGGATGAGGGAGACGAGCTGGAGTCGCGCATGGACGAGTATTCGCCGAGTATCATGCCGTCTGGCGTTCAGCCGCTCACAGAAGCCACGTCTGGTGTTCCAAACTGGGAGCTGAACCTGATTTCGCCCAATATCCCAGACCTCAGGTACAATGACTGCAAGAAGGCGGGACAACTTAGAAAAGTGTCGGAGGAGTCTGCAAGGTCGGTAGCCTCGAACTCTACATCGGCAACCAGATATACCAAAGTGGCCTTCAAGCCCCATGGAGAGCCTCTAGCTCCAAAAAACACTCCCCTGATGTTGCAGAATATTGCTCCGTCGCCAGTCTCCTATGCCTGTCCTTTCTACAATACCATGGAATACAACCCCAACTGTCCTACCAACGAGTCGCTATTGATGACAATTCTAAACCACGAGATGGACAATTTAGATCTCGAGCCAGCTGGTGTGCCTCTCAAAGAGCAGCTGCGCCGCTTTCTTTATCGTGTGTGGCATCTGGGCGACATGAGCGCCAAAGAGTATCTGGAAAGGTATCCATGGGAGCGATATTACGATCTTTCTGGCGAATTTGTAGACGATACCGACGACAAAGAAGAGTTCAATTTCGACATGATGCCTCTGAGTGCCAATATCAACCCTTTCATTGCCAAGTCCGATTCTATGAGAAATAAGAAATCGCACGCGTTTGTTGCCAAGAGCGGTGACGAGTATTAAGATCAAGGTGTATAATAATTATCACGTTTTATTCTGCCCATCGAGTTCCAATTGCCGTCCTTTGAAAGCACGTTGTCTGTGTATATGCTGGCGCCCGCCCATGCGCCTAACGAGACCACCGGCGAGGCGTGGATGTTTTCTGCCTTCAACTCATGCAAAATTGTTTGAATCAGCTGCTCGTTTTGGGCCAGCCCGCCGGCAAAGATGATGGTTTCGTAAAGCGGTTTGCGCAGATCGATCGGTAGCTCGCGGTACAGCTCGATCAACAGCTGCGACGGTGTTTTTTCGTCGTTTTCGTATATGTCGTCGTTCGAGTCAAACAGCAGGTCCACGTCAGCATTGTTCAAGCTCAGCCACTTTGCTGCCCTTTTGGACCACTTCGAGTGGTTCTTCAGTACCCGAAGATCGTACACGGGCTCGACCAGCGCGAAATGCCAACCTACATCTACCACTAGCGCCGATCTTGTTCCTGCGGCCAGAGTGGCCATCAATGGCTCTTCAAGAAAAACGGTGCTTTTCGCATGCAACTTCTCCAGCAGTTGGTATCGCAGAATGTCTCTATACTTTTGGTTGAGCATGCTGTTAGCCACGAGGACAACGTTGGCATTGACCGCGTTGATTCGAACCTTTTTAAACATGTAATGGAGAATATCGAATATATGGAGATTCATTGTGTATTCAAATGAGTATAGGCCATTCTCTAGCTCGAAATCCAGAATGTTGGGGTGGAACAGGTATTCCAGCTTCGAGATGGCTCTGTTTTCCTCTGGAGAGTATTCGTTGGGGAGGAGGCCTATATGTCGTCTGTGGGCGAAGTCACTGGTCTCCCATGTGCACAAGGGCCTGGACTCGCCGGCGAGTCCAAACCGGAAAATGCGAGATCCAACTTGGATCACAACAGGGGGCATGAAGGTTTAAGTATTTGAAATGTTAAAAAATCTCAGTAATTAAATGATATCAATGGGACACCGATACTTTCATTCAACATAACTGCGGAATTGGCTCTAAACCAGCAACCATATAGCTCGAGCATCGCAGTTCTCTAGTCTGCCCAAATGGGCTGTACCCTTACGCGAGTAAATCTTGCAGCTGCCTCTCTATAGTATTGCGGCTGTGCACCTTAATCTTTATTAATCTTTTATTACATTCTTTTTGTTGTACCATGGGCGCTGTTGTGTCTCTGCCACTTGCGTCGGTCAGCATGGCCGGAAGCTGGCTGGCCTCCTGCTTCGGGGCCTCTTTGTGCTCCTGCTGTATGAATTCGCAGCTAAACCCGCTTGCCGGGACATTCAAGTCGTCCGTTGCCACTAGAGTGACGTACGCCATCATCTTTCTACTGAATTCCCTCCTATCCTGGGTCAGCCAAACGCATTCTCTGACCTCCATGGTGGAAAAATGGACATGGGGACTGTTCAAGTACGGAAACGAGTACTGCAAAGAGCACAACTGCGTGGGATTTACCAACGTCCAGAGACTGGGCTTTTCGCTCGGACTGCTGCACTTGGTGCTTGCGAGTCTGCTAGTTGGCGTGAGATCGACATCTAATCCGCGCGCAGTCATCCAGAACGGCTACTGGATGGTCAAACTGTTTGCGCTTGCCGTTATCATGCTCATAACGTACTGGATTCCAGACAAGTTTTTCTTGTTCTGGGGTAATTTCAGCTCGGTCTTCTTCAGCACCTGCTTTATTATGATCAGCTTGATTTTGCTGGTGGACTTTGCGCACGAGTGGGCTGAAACATGCATGGAACGCATAGAGGAGGGCGAGATATATCTGGACGACGCAGAAACCGAAAATAGCTGTATGGAGGGCCCCTCGTTCTGGAGAACGCTGCTCGTCGGAGGCACCTTGGGCATGTATTTGGGAGTGGTTGTTCTCACGATAGTGATGTACATCTACTTCTCGCACTCGGGCTGTGCTCTCAACACGACGGCGATCTCACTGAACCTGGTTTTCGTGCTCCTCGCCACTGCTCTCTCCGTCTCGCCAACCGTGCAGGAGTATAACCCAAACGCAGGACTCGCACAGTCGTCCATGTGCTGCATCTACTGCACGTATCTGATTTTCAGTGCCTGTTTGAGCGAGCCGGATGACAAGCTCTGCAACCCGCTCGTCAGATATTCGGGCACAAGAACGCTGTCGGTGGTGTTGGGCGCATTTTTCACGTTTGGAGCCGTGGCTTACACAACGACGCGGGCGGCAGCAAACTCGGTCTTTAGCCACAGTGCAAACTCCAACTACTCGACAAACGCAGAAACCGTTCTGGGAGCGGTGTCGCAGCAGCCAACTCGCAGAGAAATGAGACTCCAGGCTATACAACAGGCAGTGAACGAGGGGTCCTTGCCGGAATCTGCCCTCGAGGATTCATCGTATTTTGACGACTCTGAGACTGACTTGGGCGAGGAAGAGACCCTGACAAAGTACAACTACGCGCTATTCCACTGTCTTTTCTTCCTGGCTACACAATACATCGCCGCGCTGCTTACAATCAACGTGGTGTACGAGCCGGACTCCACGAGCTTCGTCCCGGTCGGTCGCACGTACTTTAACTTTGGCATGAAGGTGGCGAGCTCGCTTATGTGCTACCTTCTGTACATCTGGACGCTGGTGGCTCCGGTCCTGTTCCCTGACAGATTTATCTAAAAAACGGATTCAATCAAGGCTGTGCAGTGGGAGGGCGAGAAAAAAAAACGTTGCAGGCACTTTGTCTTTCGCGGGAAAAAATTATATAAAGACTGCAAAATTCCCTGCTTATTGGATCAAAACGGGGCCTTACGTAATCATGACCGAGAGCGAGGCACCTGCCACTTACGCTAACATCAAGACACATTTCCCTGCCGCGCGGATCAAGAAGCTGATGCAGACCGATGAGGATATTGGGAAGGTGGCGCAGGCGACGCCTGTGGCCGTGGGGCGCGCGTTGGAGCTTTTTTTGTGCTCGCTGGTGGAGAAGTCTGTTGAGACGGCTACCAACGACCAGAGCAAGAAGATTACGATCCAAATCTTGAACAAGACGATCCAGGAAAACGAGCAGTTTGACTTTGTGGTCGGCGTGTGCGATAAGTACTTAAACAAGAACTCGAATGCCTCGTCGACGTCGTCGTCTGCCTCCGCCCAGCAAGAATGATCTGTATAATAATATTTTGTTTTAGTGTATAATAAGATGACGTCGTGCGCATACGGAGTTCCATTCTAGAAATTTGCAGTACTGCCATATTGTGGGGTGTGTACTAGCCACCAAAAGCAAGGATTTATATATATTAGTTCCCAGCAGAACTAATTTGTGTTCCTATCAATTATAGCGTATTTCCTATGGCGTCGCACATTCACTCTGCTAAGTCATTTACCAATCCCTTTCACTTGTCGTTGCGAAACTTGCAATTAGCCGACAAACAGGGCGACCCGATCTATTACGTGGGTGTTGATGTTGGCACGGGATCTGCGAGGGCTGCGGTTGTTGACCAGACTGGAGCCATCCTCGGTCTTGCCGAGCGGCCAATCACAAGAAACGAGTTGAAGGCCAACTTTATCACGCAGTCGTCCACGGAGATCTGGGATGCTATCTGTTACTGTGTGAAGACAGCAATATCGCAATCCCATGTTGATCCGGCCGACGTGCTGGGTATTGGTTTTGATGCCACCTGTTCGCTGGTGGCCATAAACGAGAAGACCGACGAGCCAATGGCTGTGGGTCCTGATTTCGCAGACCACCTGGAAAATATTATTCTGTGGATGGACCATAGAGCAGAGGTCGAGGTCAACGAGATCAACGCCACGCACGACGAGTGCCTCAAGTACGTGGGCGGCAAAATGTCGATTGAGATGGAACTGCCAAAGATGAAATGGCTGAAAAACCACATGCCCAAGGACTCGAACGGTGAGTCGCTGTTCAAACAGTGCAAATTCTACGATCTTGCCGATTTCCTCACCCACAAGGCGACTGGCTCTGAGACCAGGTCATTCTGCAGCACTGTGTGCAAGCAGGGTTACATTCCGGAAGGAATCACAGACAGAAACGGCTGGTCTTCGGAATTTTTGAACAAGATCGATCTTCCCGAGCTGGTGGAGGACAATTTCAGAAGACTAGGCGGAGTGGACGGCGTGAACGGCAAGTTCCTGTCTGCAGGAGAAACAGTCGGAAGTCTTACAGAGAAAGCTGCCGAGCAATTGGGACTGACAACGGATTGTTATGTTGGTTCAGGTGTGATCGACGCTTACGCTGGGTGGATCGGAACTGTTGCCGCACAGACGGAGACGCCGATCGCGGATCTCGTGGAGCAGGATAAGAACAACAAGGGAATGGCCAAGGCGAAGGGCAGACTCGCTGCTGTTGCTGGAACGTCGACCTGCCACATCTGTCTTGACGAAAAGCCGATTTTTGTGGACGGTGTCTGGGGTCCGTACAGAGACGTGATGGCCAAAGGGTTCTGGCTCGCAGAGGGCGGCCAATCGTGTACGGGTGCGCTGCTAGCACACGTGCTGTCTACCCATCCTGCCTACATGGAGCTTGGCGTGGCTTCTGAGGCTTCTGGAACGTCGAGATTTGACTTTTTAAATTCTAGACTTGAGCAGCTCAAAAAGAGTACCAAGGAGAGATCTGTGGTGGCACTGGCCAAAAACCTCTTCTTTTACGGAGACTTCCACGGAAACAGATCGCCAATTGCGGACCCACAGATGAGAGCCTCGATCATTGGCCAGAGTATGGATACCTCTCTGGACTCACTGGCTGTCGAGTACCTCGCTGCATGTGAGTTCATTGGCCAGCAAACCAGACACATCATCGAGAAGATGGAAGTTGCCGGCTACGACATCAAGGCCATTTTCATGAGCGGTGGCCAGTGTCGTAATGGATTGCTTATGAGACTGCTGGCAGACTGCACCGGGCTGCCTATTGTGATTCCTAGATACATCGATGCGTCTGTTGTGTTTGGTTCTGCCATGCTGGGTGCCGTGGCAGCAGAGGACGCGCTGAAAAACCGCAAGGGACCAAATGCCAAGTCTAGAAGAAACTCTGCTGTGTCCAACACTGATAACCAACAGAACCACCCAGACCAGCCTCCTTCTCCATACACTGCTCCATCTGCCACGGCCTCGATGACGTCGATCAGCGCTCTGGCTGCTGGAAACGCGCAGTCGGCATATCCATTCCCTACTATGACACCAATTGAGGACGAGTCGAAGCAGCTGGGAGCCAATTTCGACGCGTCGGATGAGGACGAGGACGCACAGTTGTCGTTCGGCTCCAAGAGCCGTGCACAGGCCACCGCCACGAGAAACTTCATCTCAAAGAAGACCGGAACCGAGCCAGGCGACAAGCTGTGGAAGATAATGACCGAGCTGTCGGGCGTGGGCCGCATTATCTATCCATCCAGCGAAAATGACCCAGACAGAAAGCTTTTGAACACCAAGTACAAGATTTTCCTGGACCAGATCGAGACGCAGCAGAGGTACCGGGCCATGGTCGCGAAGACCGAGGATGCCATTAAAGCTTACTTGAATATATAGATCTAGAATGATTTCATTGAGATTTTTCTTTTGCCAAGAGTGCGGCGGTTATTCAAATGTATGCGTTTCTTGCACTGCCCTGAGCAAGCAAATATTTAAGCCCAGTAATTTAACCAATCCCTCCTCATGACACTCTCCTCCCACATAAACTCCGACGAACTCGAAGGCAAGATCCTGGAGACCAAGTCTCCAGCCAATAAGCTTGTCAACAAGTATATCAGTGCCAAGAAGGAATTCCACAATGCTCGTGCCGAGGAAGAGCCTGCCAGCAAGATCGTGTCCAAGTTCCGGGGTATTTCGGAGAAGTACAGGATCCAGGAGAACGGAATGGAGCCAAGACAGGCGTACGAGATTCTGCACGACGAATTGACCCTGGATGGCACCACGACGCTCAACCTGGCCTCGTTTGTCAACACCCACATGGAAACCGAAGCCGAACAGCTGATCATTGAAAACCTCACCAAAAACCTTGCCGATAACGACGAGTACCCAATGCTGCTGGAGATGCAGCAACGGTGCATCTCAATTCTGGCAAACATGTGGAATGCCCCTGTAGACCTAAAAAACGGGGCGCTCGGAACCGCCTGCACCGGCTCTTCCGAAGCCATCATGTTGGGAGGCCTAGCCATGAAGAAAAATTGGCAGGCCAAGCGCAAAGCAGCAGGGAAAGACTACCACCATCCTAACATTCTGATGGCATCCTGCTGCCAGGTGGCCCTTGAGAAATTTGCCAGATACTTTGACGTCGAAGCACGCATAATCCCGGTGTCCAACACCGACTTTTTGCTCGACTACGAGCTGGTCAGACGCAACCTGGACGAAAACACGATCGGCGTTTTTGTTATCCTGGGATCCACGTACACGGGAGGCTTTGAAAGTGTTGAGAAAGTCAACGATATCCTGCAGGAATACGAGGACGAGACCAGCCACTTCATCCCTATCCATGTAGACGCTGCGTCCGCCGGGTTCCTTGCGTCGTTCGTGTACCCAGACCTTGTGTGGGACTTCCGAATTCCCCGCGTGGTGTCGATCAATACTTCTGGCCACAAGTTTGGTCTTGCTACCGCCGGACTCGGTTGGGTCGTTTTCCGTAGCAGGGACTGGCTGCCAGAAGAGCTCAAGTTCCAACTACAGTATCTCGGTGGTCTCGAGGAGTCCTTCACCATCAACTTCTCCAGACCAGGCTATCAGGTCATTCATCAGTACTTCAATTTCCTTCACCTGGGCCAAAAAGGATACTATGAGATTTTCGACAACTGCCTAACAAACGCGCGTATCTTGTCAAGATTCCTCGAGGAAACTGGAATTTTTGTCTGCATCTCGAATCTGCACCTGCCTAACGGTCACACAGCGCGCGGAGCACCCCAGGAGGCCCCAAGTCCCGTCAGCCACCATGCCTATCTATCGGACCACAAATACTATAACCCTGCACTGCCCGTTGTTTCGTTCCAGCTTTCAGAGGAGTTCACCAAAGAGTACCCAGAAATTCCACAATCTCTGGTGTCTTCTTTGCTGAGAAACCGCAAATGGATCATTCCAAACTATGGTCTTCCAAAGACGTCCAAGCCAGACGAGGACAAGAACAACGAGATTCTCAGAGTCGTGGCCAAGTACAACTTGACGTCCCAGCTGTTGGACAAGCTGATGCACGACATCGTCGAGGTTATGGAGGTGCTCATGAAGTCCGTCACACTGGTCAGGAAGAATGTCGAGAAGCTGAAAACCGGATCAGAAGAAACAAATAACGACATGGTGTACAACATGCTTCTCTCTATTGCTAATGATGGCAACGAGAAGCTGATTAAATTGAAGAACACACCGCCAGAGTCTAAACACAACTCGTTCAGAGGACCCTGCTAGAGGATCCGGCCAATCTTCTTTTTTGCGGAGTTCATTTTCTGCTGCGAGCTGTCGACTTGGTTGTCCAAGCCCTGCAGTAATTCATTTTGTACACTGAGTTCCTCGTTGATAGTCAATCCAATCTGCTTTTGCCTATTGAGTATGCCGCGTAGCTCATCCAGATCTGTGTCTTGTTTGCTCATCAGTAGCTGCTGTTGCTGGTACAGTTGCTCGTTGTCCAGCGGCTTCGTGACCTCTGTTTCCTTGGCTTTGCCCAGGCTTCTTTTGAATGTAGGTTTTTCGGTAGCAGTAGCCACGCCCCTTGACAAAACACGCAGTTCGTTGCATTCATGACGCTGCTGGTCCACAATAGCCTTGCGCCGCTTGATTTCGCCTGCTCCGAGCTCATCGTTGTGCACATATCTGTTCAACTGGTCGATTTTAGCCTCGCAGGTGTCCAGGGTGCGCTTGCACTCAAGAACGTTGGCCTGTTTTGCGAAGAGCTTCGACCGCACACTTTGTAGCAGTGCTTTTACTTCCTTCGACACCTCCAGCCACTCGATTTGCGACAGAATTTGTTCTTCCTTTTCCTGAGTGAATGTGTTTTCTGGTAGATAAAGAAACTCCCCTACCAGCTTGTGAGTTCTGAGCTGCTCGTCATTTAAGAGCCCGTTCAGAAACTCCGCCAGCCCAACCCGCCGCTGCTCTATAGTTGACGCGCGGCTCTGGTACAACGCAGTGAATTTGGAAGGCAAGCTATAAGGAATGGTCTTGTGCAGAGAGTCCTCCAATTCCTTCTTGAACTCCACGAAATCGCTGAAACGCTTACTCAACTTATGCACATGAACACCAGGCCTGAACTGTATTTCAATGTTGTAGAGATGGTAGTCGTTCAGCACCATGGTGCTAGGGATTCTGACCTCCACCATAATGAATGTACATATGCTAAATTATTTTTTTTATCATTAGTGTAAAGGTGTGTCAAATAGATGATTTAGCTAGCTTTTAACAATTTTTCCTATGGGAAAACAATATATATCCACTGCCATCGTGGGAGATGCGCACAAGTCCGACATTCTGGATGTCTGCGTCTCCAAAAAATACACAGTCACCTGTTCGGCCGACGGATCGCTGAAACTTTGGTCCAACTCCTCTTCTGACCGGCCACTGGAAACAGAGGTGTTTGTCGACAAGTTTGGGCTACACCACGTTTCCCTTTTTGAAACTAGCGACTTCTTGTTAATTGGCACGGTGTCGTTCTCGGGAAAATTCTACTTGTACAAAATGGGCGATCAGCTGGCCGCCGTCGACGACATTCCTGCGGAGCTCAAGAATGAAAAATGCTCTTTCTGGGCACTAAAATTCATGAAGGACCTCGAAGAGGACAACAACGTGTTGGCAATTACGACGGCTGCCGGAGAAACACAAATATACAATTTGCAAGGTGAAACATTGACGTACTCGGCCACAACGTCCTCAACAGACACATCGTTCGCAACGAGCGTTGATTTGGACCCTACATTTAAGAGAATGGCCGTTGGCCACCAGAACGGCAACGTGTACATTTACGACCTGGAGTATCTCAAGCCGCTCTACGAGTTTCAGTCCTACGGCCTCAAGAAGGCTACATCCTCGAGCTCACTGTCGACGGTGCGATGTGTGCGATTCTCGCCCGGGGGCACGCTTTTGGCTGTGGCGCGCGACTCGGGCGCGTACGGGACGATTTTCTTGTACGACGTGAAGTACGGTGAGGTCATTGGCACGCTGACGAACGCTTCGCACTCGTCGAATGTCGGGATCGGGGGCTTTGCGCACAACAGCTGGTGCATGTCGGTTTCGTTCAACGAGGATGGGACGCTGCTGGCCAGTGGGGGTTTGGACGACACGATCCGGGTCTGGAGCACAAGCACGCGGACCAAAGAGGCCAGTCTGGTGGTGAGCAAGTCAGACGTTGACGACGAGGCTCTGAGCCACACAAACCAGCTGGACCATGCCACGTGCTGTGCTCTATCGTTCATTCCCAAAGGTCTGGTCGCGGGCGAGGGCGACAACGACGGGCTGGTGATAGTAGGGTTTGACAGGGTGATCAGATGGTTTAGAGAGGCTGGAGGAGTGTAAAGCTTAATATATAATTGCTAGCAGTCTATTCTATAAACTAAATATACCGGTATTTTTCTTGCCAAACGGATACACCAGCATTGTGCTGAAAAACAGTCCGACACTGATTCCGATCGCAATTTCGATCATTGAGATGCCAAAGCTCAGGGTACTGGTGCTAATGGCCGCAGCAGCAGACGTGATAGTCCCGCTGCCCCCGTTGGTCTGGTTGCTCAATTGCGAGATTCCTGCTGCCAAAACGTTGCGCGAGGCAACTCCGCCGGGAACCTGGTCAAAAATGCCCGTGAGCATCGAGGTAAAAGCGGAGTTGCAGTAGCCAATACGGCGGAACGACGTGCCTGTGCGGGAGTACAGGTTACTCAGCAGACCGATGGTGAAGGAGCCGAGGGCTGAGTTGAACTCTGTGATGCTGAAGTGTCGAGACGAAAAATACGACACTACATAGCCGCCGCACGCGATGATGGTCATGACAGAAAGCTGGTGCCATTGCGCCTGCGACGCCATCGACAGCGCGAGACTAAACATGGGCACAAACACAAAGTTCCACCACGGCGAAATGTTGGAGGTGCAAGTGGTGTTTGTTGTTGCGCGGTGGTCCATCCAGCCGTACAGCGCCGACCCAAGAGTGAGGCCGAATCCGAGGAAAAGCGAGTAAATGATTGCGTAGAACATGCGCACGGAGCCTGCTACGAGGGACCGGCTCTGGATCTCGAGCGCTCCGCTCAGGATGATGTAGCCCGGCAGAATCATGCACATGCCGCCCTGGACGATCGCAGCAAAGCAGAAGTACTTGCCGCCTCCGATGGTGCCGATCGCGCGGCCGATAAAACTCAGACACACTGTGCTGCTGACTTCGAACACGGACGAGTAGATCGACGATTTTGGCGCAACGACGAGCTGCAAAAAGCCGAGCAGACAGCCAAGAACGAAAGTGGGCGGAATATCCAGCCACGAGCCGCCAAAAGCCCAGCTGATCACGGAGCAGCTCGAGATCCCGTACAGCAGAATACTCCACCATGTGTTGAAGTAATTTGGCCGCTGCAGCAGCTCCTCGAGCCGCGCAGACGCCTCCTCGACGCCGATCCGGTCGTGAACCACGCTCTTGTACAGCTCGTGAGCCTCGTCCAGTTTGCCCAGGTTGAGGCCCTGCGAAACGCGCACGAGCTTCACCTCGGACGTTCTCGTGGACGGGTCGCCAAACGAGACGATCATCACGCCGGGGAGGTAGATGAACGAGCTGTCAATCTCCAGAACGCGTGATGCGGCAGATAGGTACTCCTCGAGCCGGTGGTTAGGCGCACCATACATCATGAACGCCTTGCACAGCGTGAGAATGAACTTTTGGCGTTGCAGCACGTCTGCGATGTGCACGGTAATGCGTGCCGCCGTCTCGCGCTTGCGCTTCTTCTTGAGCTTGAGTATGTCCTTGAGTTTCTTGTCCCTGTGCTCGAATTGCGGCAGGTCGACTTTTTCTGCCTGGCTGCTGCTCTCTCTGCTACCAAAAATACTGGCGAGTGAACTGCCTGAAGCCTCACGTTTGTGGAGCAGTTTCTTGTCATCTGTAGACAACACCTCATTGATGGAGCTGGAAGATGACCGATTGAGCAACGACAGCCTTTTCCATTTCTTTGCGCGAGACATTTCGTCTTTGTCGCCGTCCTGGGCAGAAGCAACGTTAGACAAACTTGAATTGTACAGCCGCATGATATTGGAAAAAATGCCTTTTTTGTACCGCTGCTGCTCTGCCGGCTCGTGCGGGGCCATCTCATCGTAGTCATCCAGCAGAGGCGCCATGAAATACTCGTTGGAGTCGGTGTCTCTCAAAACCCCACGGTCGAGCGACATTTCGGACGAAACAGAGCGCAAGTTCTCCAGTGGAACATGTGTCTCAACGATCCCCTTCGCCTCATCATAATGGCCCATTTCCTCGTCTACAGGACGCTCTTTTGGCGCGCCAAAGTGGAAGAACTTCGACTTCATCGTCCCGTGCAACGGGTCAAGACTGTCCATCTCGGTGCCCTCTGAGGAGTCCTGTCCTAGCTTCGGCGGCTGTGAAGCATGTGTAGTAAACCGACGGATCCAACTGCGCACCTTCCCCGGCTTTGCAGGCTCAACTTCTGGGGTTTCCTCGATAGTCTGTTCGCTCTCATCTGTCGACTCGTCGAGGCTGGAGTCCGGGTCGCCCAAATCGACCTGCTGCGGGAGCAGCGGCTTATTCTGCAAAGAGGGCAAACCCGCAGAGTCCCGGTAGAACTCCCTGTCAAAATCTCCCTCGATCTCCTGCTCGATGCGGCGTTTCTTATTATCCACGCTCCGGGCTTCCTTCGGTATGCCTTTTTCTTCGTCGACGCTGAAGACGGGCATCATCGGAAGGCCCTCATCGTCGCTGCCGGCCTCGCCCTCTTCGAGAATCGGGAAAGAATCCACGTTCCGTTGCTTGCGAGGAAAACTGCGTATCGAGCCAGACTCTCGTGACATGCAAAAATTATGGATTTTTCGAGATAAGATAAGCGAGACTGATCAAAGTTCGCACTGGGCTGGTGGTGGTGATAGTTGGGAGAAACCTTACGCACTGCTTTTTGCGCCCGAACAGATAGAATGCGATTCGAACGAGGCTAGTGCAAAAGTAGCCGAGCTGAGCCGGACGAGCGAGGTTGGAGAACCATCCAGTTTCGGCTGTCCCAGGCTCATAACCAGATCCGGCTGAAAAAAACCCAAGAAAAAACAGTAAAATAAAAAATTAATTGTTTACAAAAATACACTTAACACCAACACCCTCCTCACACAAACCTAATTCCCGATAATCACACTCGCAGCACCATGGATAGCATGCTGCACCAACAGATTGCCCAGTACCCCGGTGCAGGGCCGGCACAATCCGACGTGTTTATCGACGCTACAGGAAAGCCCATGAAGTTTTATCTCTACCCGCCTCTTGACAGAAACCAGCAGCTGGTCAATCTTATCGAAAATAACGGCGGCCATGTGGTTGCCGGCGTCAGCAAGGACACCGTGATATTGTCATCGGAAGAATTCCTCATGAGCGAGGATCTCAAGCGATTCCACGTTTACAGATACGAATTTGTGCAAAAATCGATTACTCACGGCATCCAGAATTTGTCAGATTACGAAATCAACAACCCGGCGGAGCCCTCAGCGCCCAGTCCATTGACCAATATCAGCAGTCCTGCCACAATGAGATACTTCACTCAGGAGGAGGACAACGTGTTGTTTGAGGAAATCAGAAAACGGCCGTGGATGGGCTACAAGGGCCACCAAATCTACAAGGATATTGCCGAGTTGGACTTCTTCAAGGAAAGAAACCGTAGTGCTGCGTCCTTGAGAGAGCGGATCCGTACGCTGAAATACGACATTGAGTATGTTTACAAGGCTGGACCGAACAAGGAGCTGCTGAGAGACGCCAATGGTAATTATATTCGTGACTACGATATCAAGAAGAAAACCACCAATTTTTCGGCTTGGGAGGATTTCGAGATGTGCAGGACTATCTACATGAAGCTAAGACCGACGACAGACGAAAAGGGCTTTGAGATTATCAATTTTCCGACCGGATTCTTCGACAATTACGCCAGTTCTCACCCTAGACATACCTCCGAGTCCTGGAGACAGAGATACAAAAACTTTTTGAGTCTTTTTGGTATTGCCAACTATCTCAAGTACTGTATTATGCAGATAAGACAGGACAAGGAGCCCCAGCCAGCAAATTCTGCGAACAAGGACTGGCTGAACGCGAGAAAACACCTGAAAAGGGCTTCTGGTCCAAAGTTATATTTCCCCAACATACCCGAAGGAAATGAGTTTTTGGACGCCAACCTGGAGACAATGGAGGCGTCGGACCTTGTGGAGCCGGAATTTGTGCCCACTCCGCGGCCAGAAAACCAGTTTTTGCGCCCTACGCCGCAGGAGCAGATTGAGCAGTCGATCGCCATGGCAGCGCAGCAGGCCAGCCAGGATCTGGTCACGGCATTCAAGAACTTTAGGCAAGAGGAGCCGGACGGGCCTCCGGCTAAAAGAACGAAACGCGACCAGCAGAGCAGCTCTGCAAACATCGACCCGGCGATCGAGGGCATGCAGCAGCCTTTGGAGTTTGTCGACGAGCCTACGACGTACTTCTCGGATCCACGCTTTGCGCTGTCGTTAAAGAACGAGGGTCCGCCGATAGATCTTGCCGACGTGCTCCCACGCAAAGAGTCGTTTTTAGAGCAGCTCGAAAAGACCCTTGATCCGCAGGTCACAGTCACGACGAAAACGCTATTTTCTCAATTGGCAAGCCTGGGTATCAAGGAGTACTACGTCATCTTCCTCTTCCACAGATGCAACTCCAGACGCAATCTCGTTCTTGATTGTATCAGGAACTATCTCGACACTGAAGGCAAAGAGCTGCTTGTTCAAAAACCCGGTGTCTGGTCCAACAAGGCATTGGATTGGTTGGGCAAAAACGACAGCCATCTCAACTCGCTGCTGGAGTCGTACCACGGGGAACACGACTACAAGACGCAGCTAGAGAATATGCGCAAGATAAAGCAGTGATTATTTGCTACTATGTATTTGAGTTTGTGAATTATACTTTCCGTTCGTCCTCGTCTAGGTCGACGACCGCGTCCCATTGGTCAGCGTCGTCAGATTTAGAATCCAGTTGTTTATATTTAGACTTGGTCTTCCTTTTGGCCCGCTCTTTCACCATCTTCTTGCGCAGAGCCACAATTGCAGCCCGACTGTTCTCGCCGTTGCGCATTTCGTCGATTTTGGCTGCCAGCAGCTCGCGCGCAATTTTACGGTTCTGCTCGCGCGACCGCGTGGCCTGAGACGTGACCACCAACCCCGTGGGAATGTGTGTTAGTTGCACTTTGGAGTTGGTCTTGTTGATTTTTTGGCCGCCCTTGCCGGAACCGCCCTTTATGAATTTCTCTGCAATCTCGTCCTCGCTGAGCTTTGGCCGCGGCGGCAGCTTGTTCGCTCGAGGTATTTTCGTCGCCAGCTGCCGCGCGGCCTGGACACACTGACAGAATGGTCTGAACATATTTATGAAAAATGCACCAGCCACCAGACTTCGCCACAGCGAGCTGAAAAATTATTTGAAGAAATCATCGAACACTAATCTTTCTCCATGTCCCGCCATTTCCACACGACTGCGCTAGTAGCAGCCAGAAAGCGGATCCCGCCTACCGTCAAGCTGAGACCGCCTATTCTGCCGACCATCAATAACATCACTGTAAAGGAAGATCATCCGCTGTGGCAGTTTTTCCACGACAAAAAGTTCGTCAGAGACCAGTCAGAAGTCGCCTTTACCGGCAGGGCCTGGTCTGTGCAGGAGCTCAGACGGAAGTCGTGGGAAGATTTGCATGGTCTCTGGCACGTCTGCTTGAAAGAGCGCAATAAATTGGAGAGAGAGATCCACATCTTCCGCCAGCAGGGAGACAACCCGGTGGGCGGCGATTACCAGAAGTTAAACGAGGAAATTCACAAGTCCATGTGGAGAATCAAGCAGGTGCTGACGGAGCGCGATCATGCGCTCAAAAACGCCCAGAATGAGTTTAAAGTCAACGGAGACCAGTATTTGCAGGAGTTCAGAGAAAAGTACCTTACGGCGGAAAATGTCGAGACAGACGAATGGTACGACAAGCTGGAAAGATTGCAGCAGGCAATTTTCGGCATTCCCGAGCTTTTGGACGCGGATTTCAAGGTTGATCTCAGATTTGTCGAAGGTGTCAAGTATATTGGTCAGCTCAAGTTCGACAGGTTTGCCGAGCAAATCGGCCGCACAGAGCTGGCGCCCCTAAGAGATGTGGCTGAGCTGTACACTCTGTTTGAAGAGAGCGCGAGCGCAGAAGGTGTGGCGGAAGCATGTGCCAAGATCGAGGAGTATAGAGAGAACGACATTGTGATTCCTGCCTCCAAAGAGGTCCAAGTGGTCCAGGGCTTTGTGGAGGACAAGCTGGAGTCGCTTGAGGCTGAGTAGATGTACATAGTTAGAATTCATATCTCTATATGCTGTATCTGTGTGAGGATCTCGGAGAGCTTGGAAGCCAGAGCTTCCCATTTGCGCTTGCTCTCCTCGATCTGCGTCCTGAAATTGTCGCACTCAGCAATCTTGGCGTCTATCTGGGCCGTCAGCTGCTGGAAACTCTGCTGGAATGAGGCGCTGCTGAGCTGGAACTCGTACACGTTATTTCTGACCTCGCGACCATTTTTCACGATCGACGCAGCGTCGATCTCGTCGCCAAAAAGCGTCTCTATCTCTTCTCTGGTCAGGGTGATAGTGCGCGAGCGACGCAGATACCGCTGGACAACAGAGTTGATTTTGCGACGGTTCTTCAGCAGCTCCTTGGCATTTTCGATTTTCTTCGTGAGCTGCTTGCTTTCCTCCACTTCTTTGTCGATGTACGCAAGCAGCTTGGCGTTGATGGACGTTTCCATCGCCTCGGCGTCCTTGCTTGCATTTGTGTACTTGAGCGAGTCCACCATGAGGTTCAGGTTCGTCCTGAACCGCGCCAGATCCAGCTCGGCCTGTGCTTTGCTCAGCTCTTCGGAGTCCACAGAAACCAGTCTGTTCTCGCGAGCAGCAGTAAGATACCCAAGTAGCCTGCTCTTGAGCTTCACATAGGTGTCGATCTCCAAGTCGAGCACGCGCCGCCTGTTTTTCATTGCAATCTGCTGCTCATACAACGCAGACATGATGATCTTTGTATATTCCAGTCTCAGCTAAATATTGAAAAATGCCGGGGCTTACCTAAATTTCGAGTACTTGGTCACGTGAAGGAGATCATCAAATTCATCAGTTTTATCTTCTTGCGGGACCCTCATCTGTGAGATGATGACGCACCAGGGTGGACTGCCCATGTGAGGAAGAAAGTGAACCACAGGTTTTAAAGCATACTTGTCAAGTCAGGCTTTCGTGCGGCATTGATATGACTATGGGATAAAGTGGTGATGAACAAAATTCAATGGGGGGTTATCGAGCTATAATCTTTTCGTCACATGATCTACATTTGGCGGCAGGGTCCACATGGAATTCATCGGTTGTCCTCACTCGAACATCTTATAGAAAAATCATTACTGATATTTCCTCTCACCCTTCTGTCGTCTGGTCATCTTTCTACGGACTGGAAAGATCAAGCAAATAAATCGCCTAATATATTAACTATAAAACAAGTTCAGTAGAATCTATTCTCAAATAATCAGAAACTGAATTCCTCGGTGTGGAGATACACCTCGCGGACGTTGCCCACTTGGGACTGCAGTCTGGCAGCCGCATTTCCAACTTGGTTCTTCAAACTTTTCGACCCAGAACAGATAATACAGTTGGTGCTACCAAGCTGGAAAGACTTCACGATATCGGCCACCACAGGCTTGTAGTTGTGGTATTCGAAGCTGGAAATGGCCAATTTCTCGTTCTCACCCGAACAGCAGTAAATGTGGATATCTACAGCGCCACTCTTCAGCAAAGCCCCATACTCCTCCTTGATGAAATCCAGCTCCTGTTCGATCCAACACACGTCGTCAGCGTGTCTCACAGTCCAGTCCAGTCGGATCTTCTGTAACGGCACAGCCGGCATGCCGATCAACTTTGCATAAGCCATGATAAATGGCAGACACGACGTGATACCGGATCCGGAGCACAGCATATAAATATTCGAGAAGCTGCGCACGTCTCGCGCAACACCGCCATAAGGTCCGTCCACTAGCACACTGAGGTCACGTGGAGATTCCAGAGACTCGTAAAGGTGTTTGGTGAACCCATCGTAGGCGCGGATGATCAGTTTGATACCATTGGGAGAAGGAATTGCAGAGAACGGATGCAGTTCTGCAACTTTTCTATCCAGCGTTCTCAGGAAAATATGCTGGCCAGGTATACACTTGATAGGGGTATCAACAAGAACCTCCATGCATTTTTGGTCGGCTGTGCCGATTCTGCGAGCTCTGGCTGCGGCACTTCTCATAAATCTGGACGGTCTCAAGTAGCCCTTGACGAACCATCTGTACAGCAGCTGAGCGCACCAAATCACAATGGTGGCCACCATGTACTTGTCGGCGTTGAGCAGGCCATAAACATGGTAAAACAAGCTGATGTAGAACCCGATCGCAAGCACCCAGTGCAACGACACAAACGCCTCGTACCAGAACCGCCGCACGATTTGGAGCGAGCCCACCCATAGTAGTGTCAAAAAGATGATTGGGGGAATTCCTGACACATAGATTGGCGTCGAGTACATTTTCTCGTGCAATCTGGCCGTTCCGCCCTCCTTAGTATTTTGCAAGTAGAAAGGAATGGTGTGGACCCAACCAAAGAACAAGCACAAGATGGATGCAGTCTGATGGTACTTGTTGAGCTTTTCGTGCGAAATGCCTGTCAGAGAGCCGACGACGTTGGTTTTTCCCGACATTATAAATATAAATGGGACAAAGGCCAGCGACACAAAGCCAGCACGAACTCCCAGCGGTGGCGAGCCAAAACCCAAACAGGCGCGGTAGTAAGGGTGGGGAACAAAGCACCAGAGCAAGCTGTAAAGGGTGACGACACCGATCAACAATAAACTGCCCACAGAGGACGGCAGACCGAAAAGGTGGCAGATCTTGGAGGGTAGCTGACGATAGACAATGAATCGGCTGTAGGCGGTCAATTTCTCCATGACACGTGCAGGTCCACCTCTCACACGGTCCACGTCGTAATTGGAAAAAACATAGTGTTTTATTGTGCCCGCAAACACGAGTCCGGCCAGCAGATAGGTGACGTACTTGCCGTACTCTGCCATATCTGCCCATGGAGTAGCTGCCTGGGACATCATTTTCAGCATCGAATAATGCTCTGTGCCCATATCGGCTAGACAGTGCACACCATCGTACACTTCCAAATCTCTGGCAACCATTAGACAGAGGAAAGGGCGAGGAGATGCATTTTATATACTCGAGACGTAATTTGCTCGTTTTACCCTAAAAAAATATAATGCAAAGTGCACAGCCTGAGCAAATTAATTAAGCGAAAAATGCAACGCTCCAGGGCCCTAGATAATGCCGCAAAACAGTGTTTCTGACGGTTCGGGAAGGTGAATCGAATGCGGAGACGGGAATTTCGACGCGGCTGGCCTTCAGGATGCACAGTTCCGCGGCCTCGTTGTCCCCCAGCTCAGAATACATGGTAGCAAGATTTTGGTAGCCGACTTTGGCGATCTTTGCGCTGTTTGCATTGTCTCGGGAGAACAAGTCTGCCTGGCATGCTGATTCTTTGGCAAACTCTAGCGCAGGTCCGTGCTGTCCCTTGTACCATAGTATTTCGCTGAGTTGCAGCTTGAGGAGCGGGATTTTGTCTGACTTGATGTTTTTAGCGTCTGGCTGCGACCTCTTCGCGAGTGCGCGCGACTCGTTTTCAAGATTTGTCAGCAGCGACAGCAGCAGCTTAAATGATTTGTTCATGTAGGTCGGTTCGCGCGTCGAAGCGTACAGAACGCACAGCTCGATGATTGAGGAAACTAGTTGCGTTGAGCAAGTTTCTGTAGGTGGAACCTCGTCTGGTTCTGGCGAATGAGAGAACTCGTGTTTCTGCATCACTTGAATGGCCTCATTGAGCAGATTTACAGCCGTATCCATACGCTGGTTCTCTTTCTCTACGTCTGCAAGGTAGCGTAGACCCAGATTTCGGAGCGAGTACGCCCCAACTTCTCTTTGTGCTTTGCGTCCGTATACATTCTGTATTTCGAGCGCATAACGGATGCAATCCACGGCCCGGTCCCGGCTCTTGGAGCCCAGCGTCAGGGCATAACGTAGAACGAGATCGCTATAGCTTGAGATGTACGAAATATCTTTTTGTTGTGAATGCCTGTCGAGTTGCTTGTAGCCAAGCAGCTCGTCTTCTCCTAACCCATTTGCCTTGCTGACGAGCTTCAGAGCGTTAGTGTAGTGCTGGTTGGCCTTTTTCGGATCGTTCACGATCATCTCGTTGGCAAGGCCGTTCTTAAACTCGCTATTAGCCCGAAAACCAAAGTCCCATGATATGGTCTCGAGCTCGTTCATGTACATGTTGGTGAGCACGAAAAGCATGGAATTGAATGCCAGGTTGAGGCCAGCTGCGATTCCGCCCAGATACAGCAGCCGCACGGCGAGCGACGGCGAGTCCGAATTCTTCATCGCGTGACGGAAATGCTTGATGTTTGCCCCAACGTTCCAGTAGGAAATGGGTCGTCTGGGCTTGACGGCTGCGAAAAGCAGTCTGGGACGAGATCTAAACATAGTGGGGTAAAAATATACAGGGCACAGCCAGACTATTATATAAATTAGATTATTTTCTCCAGCAGACGCAGAAGCGTAGCTTTTGCTTGTGCAAGCTCGGATGCCATTTCTGGCGACGTGACGAGCACGATGTCGACGCCGGTCTCTGCCCCGATGACGTTGATGCCGAAATACGGGCCGGTTAGCCCCAACGGCTGTGCAAAGGTGAGGCGCAGCAGTTTGACAGGCGAGGTACTGGAGACAGTGCCAAGGTTGGAGATCTCCATCGTGGTAGTGCGCGGCGAGTTCAGCCTCGATTCCAAATAATCACGAGGACTGAAATGTTTCAGCATCCCGATCGGCTTCATGCAGGTGGGGAGGTACTGGCTGAGCTGATCTTGCACCGCCACTGCGAGCGGCCAGTTACACTCGTCTGCCACCACGCCGTAGTCCGCCGCCGGACACAGCTTGACATTGACCTCGGCCATAAACAGGCCAAGCTCGGGCGGGCCTGGCTTTGCAAACATGTATCGCCTCAGATCCACCGGAATGGAGGTGTCCGTGTATTTGTCCCCCACGACTGGCAGCAATGACACATGCATCAGCATGGTGAGCAGCGCAGTGAATTTTACGCCGTGACTGCGAGCCAAGGAAACAAGCCGCGCCACCTGTTCCTGTGACAGCTGTACGAGCTCGAACACATCATTTGACACACCTGGCTCGCACGCAAGGTCCGTTCGTTCAAACAGGTCCATAACCAAGGGGAGTTTCGATAAAGGCTGGAGCAACCGCTTGAGCCACCTGGGCGCAAACTCGTTAAACACCATGCACGCAGAAAATGCCATAGACGGCTGGTAATCCACAAATGCCATCTGTTCGGGGTTGGTTGCCGGAAGAACATCGTGCGAACGTTCGAATAGCGGCGCAGCAGCATCGACAACGTCCTTTTCAGCCAGTGTCTCGGCCAGCGCGTCCCGCAGCAGTATGTGGAAGTTTTTGCCCGAAGTTCCATCCAACAGCAGGTGCTCGTAGTAAAAGATCAGGCGATTTTTGCCCACGAGAACGAGCCTCCACAACGGAGACTGAACGTTGAGGCTGAAATAGCGGTTGTTGAGCTCTCTAATGAGGTCCAGCAGGTCGCAATCGTCGCGGACCTCCAGCACGTCGTCCATTGTGTAGCCGTCTAGCGGCCCGATCTCCCAGCGGCCCCCGTTCGCAAACACTTGCAACGACAGCTGCGAATACCGCAGAACAAGCTTGCGCAGAGCGCTCCACAGCAGCTCTCGCGTGAGGTCCACCGAGTAGACGCCTGCGACCTGGCAGCACGAGTAACAGCGGGCCTCATTTCGTAGACGATACAGGTCTTCCAAATACGAGATCGGCCGAGACATGGAAAATAATAATTTATTCAAGGCGTTTTTAAACCGTGAAGACCGTTGTATTTCACAGGCTGCGGCTCGGCCCACTTTTGCAAAACCGAGTCATCGGTAATTTTATAGACTTCAACACCAAGCGGTCTGCAGCACTCGGTCATGTCCACGCCCGCACCATCTTCAGACTCACCCCAGTCCCATTGCGACAGATCGCCGCCGGGACAGGTCGACAGAGCACAGAGCAGATCTGTCTCTGCGAAAAATTCAAAGTAGTCACCTTTCTTCGCAGGACAGGTCTCCATGAAATATTGGTCGTGCTCGTTCAGCCCGGTGAGTTGGAACACGTTCAGGACATCGTGGACGTCAAACTCTGTCAGTCCGTAAGGCAGAACCGCGCGTGTCAAGTTTGAATGGCAGTGGAAATCGTTATCTTCCCCGGATAATAACTTATCGACGTATGGGTCGCAGCGGGTGCCAAGCAGATCGTGGCATCTTCCACCCCACTCATCCTGACCATACGCAATCGAATCACCCGTGATGGTGCAAAGTGGTCTCAAGTATGGCAAATTCGACCACAGACGGTCGTACACAGAAACGTGCGCAGAATGCAACTGTCTGGTACGAGAAGCCCACAATCTCTCTCTTGGATTGTTGGCGTTCCATATGTTGAGGTCGCCCACTTGCGGGCCCTCCAAGGCCACGATCCGGCACACGTGTCCCTTGGGAACTTTCCAGGCACGGCCCGAGCGAACAGGAACAGTGACATTCTCAATGAGCTCGCGTTTGCCAGCTTCGTGCGTGGCGGCAATCGCATCATACAGCTCTCTGTTGGCATACAGCGGAGAGTCCTTGCTGGTAGGAAGGTATGCAGCTTTAGGTTTCGGCAAGTTTCTGATAGTCTTGTCAGGAGCTTGCGACGACATGCTGAGTCGGTGAATGTTTTATCAACGTTGAAACGAAACTAGCAAATAGCCGACACCTAACACCACACTCCACACCGAAACTTGACACCGGATGCGCTTTCGTTGGACTTTTAGTAAACCTCCCGAGCAAGCCCGTGAGAAGTATAAGACGGGTCTTGCGTGCTGAGCGAGGCTGTCCGTTGTTCTTTCTTGAAACAAAGCAGATTCCCCACCTTGGCCAGCTGCGATCCAACAATTAATTATAGATCTGCCCCACGTTCCACCCCAATTCCTGCCCCTTACGTCAGCAAAGATCCTGTGCTCCCAATCAGCTCTATCCACCCAAACCGCGCAGCTTTCACATGCTGTTGCTAGATCCCCCGTGGCCTTTGTTGGACTGGACAGGGGGCTGCTTATAAGAAGATTGTTGTCCTGTTTCACCCGCCAATGATAGTTATCTACTTTGCCGAGGACATGGTCCTCTATGCTACCTACGCTTTTGTTGGTGCAGCTGTTGCGAGTGCGCTGCTCTCCATCTACAGCAAGAAGTTCAGAGTCGTGGTGCAGTTCTGCTACCACTGTTTTGTCAAACCGTTCACCCCATCGTCGAAAATCGCCAGGAGCACCGGCGCTCAGCAGCAGGCGCTCGAGTCGTTCTACCAGGCCCAGGCCAAGATCTACGACATGACCAGGTCAACCCTTCTCCAGGGAAGAGAAACCTCCTTAAAGTGGGCAGCCAGTCACCTTTCGAAGACCTCCGATCTTGTGTGGATCGACGTAGGTGGTGGCACAGGCTACAACGTGGAGCACATGAATTCCGTTTTGCCGTTGAGAAAACACTTCAAAGCCGTCTACGTGGTTGACCTATCGCCGTCTTTGCTTGAAGTTGCACAACAGCGTTTTGAGGCCAAAGGGTGGAAAAATGTCCACTGTGTGCTGGCCGACGCGTGCAACTTCTCTGTTGCCAACCTGCCTGCAGACCTGATCACGTTTTCGTACTCGTTGTCGATGATTCCAACTTTCCACTGTGCCGTGGATCATGTTGCTTCCATGCTGCACAAGAACGGAGTGGTCTGCTGTGTGGACTTCGGGGTCCAAACAATTGCCACCTCGGTAGCCAGAGTCAACACCCTTGGAGGAATGACAAACAGACACAGCCCATGGGTTTTCCGCACGTTCTGGCGCACGTGGTTTGAGGCAGACAGGGTGTTTTTGGACCCGGCCAGAAGAGACTATCTTGAGTACAAATTCGGAACACTCAAGTCACTCAACCTGTACAACAAGAAATTGGGCAATATCCCATATTACATCTGGCTCGGCTGCGACAAAGACCGTTCGCCGGCCCTGCTGCATAGGATCAACGCTCTAGCTACCGAGTCTCCGTACCTGGCTCCCCAGGATGAGTCGGTAGAAATTGCCAGGAGCAAGGGCCACGAAGCCGCTCTTGAGTCGCAGGCCAAAAACCTGCCTTATCCTTCCATATACTATCAGAACGACGCCTACAGGGTCTACTACGACGAGCTGAGACCAGAATATGCGCAGTTCAGCGACCAGTACATTTATGCATTTACCTGGGAGGACCCAAGAGAGGATGCCAGAATCCTCAAGCTCTCGTCCAAGGACACTGTTCTGGCCATCACTTCGGCCGGCGACAATATATTGGCGTATGCTGCTTTGCCTGACCCGCCGCGACGTATCCACGGGGTTGATCTCAACCCCTGCCAGGGCCATTTGATGGAGCTGAAGCTTGCAGCTTTCAAGTCTCTGAAAAGGGAGGAGGTTTGGAAGATGTTTGGGCTGGGCAAGATCGAGGGGTTCCGTGAGCTGCTGGTCACCAAAATGGCCCCGCACATGTCTTCCAATGCGTTCCAGTACTGGTATGCCAACGGCGAGAAAACGTTTGACGTGAACGGCCGCGGCCTGTACGATACAGGGTTCTCAAAATGGGCCCTGAGAATGGCACGCTACGTGTTCAAGATCTGCGGCGTAACGTCCGAGGTGGAAGATCTGTGTGCGGCCACAACGATTGAAGAGCAAAAACGCATTTGGGACGAAGATATCAAGCCTACGCTGTTCAACCCGATCGTCTCGAAGCTGCTGGTTGGAAACCCGATTTTTCTGTGGAAGGCGCTCGGTGTGCCGGCCAACCAGGCCGCCATGATGGGTCCGTCTGTGGTGAAGTACGTGACTGACACGCTGGACCCTGTAGTTTCCCGCTCTCTCATCTCCAGCGACAACTATTTCTACTACCTGGCTCTCATGGGCAGATACTCGGAGCAAAACTGTCCAGACTACCTGACTCGGTCTGCGTACAAAACATTCTCAGCCAAGAACTCGCCATTGGACAACATCCGTCTTCACACAGACTATTTGAACGACGTCTTCGCTAGATTGACAAAAAAGTCTCTGACGGTTGCTGTGATCATGGACCATATGGACTGGTTCGACCCGGTCGGAACAGAAGCGGAAGAGGAGATCGCCGCGCTGGATGAGGCCCTGGCGCCCGGTGGCCGTGTCTTGCTGCGATCTGCCTCCACGCAGCCATGGTACATAAAAAACTTCGAGAACAGAGGCTACATCTGCGAAGCGGCTGCCATGCGCGAGTCGGGACTCAGCATCGACAGAATCAACATGTACGCGTCCACGTGGCTGTGCATCAAGCCAGCCAAGCGGCACATGAGCACGATCAGGATCTGAAAATAAATAGACGCAGTAGAGTAATTATTTGCACGTGGTGAATCCGATTTTGGCTACCGAAAATTGAGCCACAAGTAGCATAAGTATTAGGGCCTTGCCATGCCTGCTGCTTAATGAAGTTTACCACTGTCGCGGCTTTTCTCTCGCTTATCCCCGCCAGCTTTGCTGCCAACTCCGTTTTCATCGGCCACGACGAGTACATCAACTATGGGCTGTCTGGCTACGGTTTCGTCCCCGGTGACGCTGTTGACAAGTACAAGGACACCATCTCGTTCGGGTCGTCTATCTCGCTGCACAAGCCATCGTTGTCGGTCTCCAAAGGCGTGTACAGCTTTGTCACGTACAATCTGCCAGACAGAGGCTGGAACACCAATGGCACGCTAAACTATGCTCCTAGAATCCACAAGTACGGTGTCACCTTCACCCCGAAAAATAGCTCCGACTCTGCCAATTTGGTTTGGAACTACCAGGACACCATTCTGCTCAAAGACTTCAACGGCCAGCTCATGACGGGACTCGACTGCAACACCACCTTGCACCAAAACGGCCACACGCTGCCGGCTACCCAATTTGTTGGAGACGGTTTTGGCGGCGGCCTAAACACGAACTCTACCACTACGCGGGTCTGTCTGGACCCTGAGGCTCTGAGAATTGTCAAGAATGACATTTCCAACGGGTTCTGGATCACGGACGAGTACGGACCTGGAATTTTCAAATTTGACTCCAACGGCACTCTGATCGATTACACCCTCCCGCCAGACGCCATCATCCCTTTCAGAAATGACACAGTGTCTTTCAGCGCCAACTCGCCTCCGCTGTATGAGGATTACGACCTTGGCGACCCAGACTCTGGCCGTGGTAACAACCAGGGCTTCGAAGGGGCCGCCGTGTCACCTGACGGAAAGCACGTGTACGCCTTGCTCCAGTCTGCAGCCATTCAAGAGGGTGGCTCCGAGAAGTACACGAGCGAGTATGTGCGGATGGTCAAGTACGACGTTTCTGGCTCTTCTCCTTTGTTGGAGGCAGAATACGTGCTTAGACTGCCTACCTACGAGGACCCTGAAAAAGAAGCCGCAAAGAATCCTCGCGTTGCTGCGCAGTCTGAGCTCGTGTACCTGAGTGACGAAATTTTTATGGTTCTGGCCAGAGACAGCGGGCGCGGAAGAGCACAGGACAACACCACGTCAATCTACAGACATGCAGACCTGTACTCCATTGCCAACGCAACGAACATTGCCGGCAAGTATGACAACATGGGAGACAAGATCGCCTCAAAGAAAGGCAAACTAGAAGACGGAATCACAACTGCTACCTACTACTCATTCCTTGATTACAACAATCAAACCGAGCTGAGCAAATTTGGACTGCACAACGGCGGCAACGACGACTCCATGCTGCTGAATGAGAAGTGGGAAGGAATCACTCTCATTCCAGTGGAGTGCACTACCGACGAATACTTCCTGCTAACAGTATCCGATGACGACTTTATTACGCAAAACGGTTTCATGAATTTTGGAAAGTTTCCGTACTCTGACTTGTCTGGGGCCAATCTCGACAACCAGGCTCTCGTGTTCCACGTCAAGCTACCGGCTCTCACCCACGAGAACACGTGCACTGCCCTGAGCTCGCAGCCGGCAAACTCCACAAACGGAGCTGCTACATCCAGTGCCGTGCAAGCCTTGCTCGAGACCCGGACAACCACGGCACACGGGTCTACATCTTTGGCAGTGTCAATTGCGAGCGATGCGGGAAGTGGCCTGAGATTTAGTGCTTTTGGCCTACTGCCGCTCGTGCTTGCCCTGCTGTAGTTTATATAGCTGCTACCAAAACATTCTAGATTAGGGTACGAGGGTTGAATCATCAATCACGTGACACAATATATTATAGGAAAAATATTTGCATTTTTTTTCACCAAGGAAATAGTCTGCCCTCAGTGCTTAAATTGATTATTCCAACCAAGATGTCCACCGAATCTGCCCTTTCATACGCTGCCATCATCCTTGCTGACTCTGATGTCGAAATCAACCCTGAAAACCTTCTGAAACTGACCTCTGGTGCCAACATCGAGATCGACAACATCTGGGCTTCCATCTACGCTAAGGCTCTTGATGGCCAGGACTTGAAGTCTCTCTTGACCAACTTCAACATCAGCGCCGCTCCTGCTGCTGCTGCTGCTCCAGGTGCTACTAGTGGTGGTGCCGCTGACGCTGCTGCTGAGGAGGAGAAGGAGGCCTCTGCTGCTGAGGAAGAGGAAGACGACGACATGGGATTCGGTTTGTTTGACTAAGTATAGATAATAAACTGATTAGTGTTGAACTGCAAATAAAAATCGTATGGGGATTCTTGTTGTCTACACGAATTACAATGTAATACCTTACTTCTTCAATTAACCTATTTCTTCTTCTCAGCCTCAGCCTCAGCCTTGTCCTTGGCTCTCTTCTCTTTGATACCCTTGTATTTCTTCTCGGATCTGGCCAGTCTCAGAGTTCTGAATGCGGTCTGCTCAGGCACAACAACAGCTCTTGGCTCGGTCTCAGCAGCTGGTTGCTCAACAGGGAAGGTGGCACCGATAGAAACTTGCTCACCAGAAGGCTTGGTGTTCTTGTCAAAGATGATCAAGGAGTCCTTGTATTTCTGGAGTCTAGCGACGTTAGTCTCGAAAATCTCGGTGGATCTGTTCACTCTTCTGTGGTCAACGGAAATTCCAATGGTTCTGGCGTATTTAGGAGTCAATCCAACGGCCTTCAACTCAGCAAGAGAGAATCCCTTTCCGGCTCTGACTTTTCTGTTGTATCTGATGGTTGGGCATCTCACAGTTGGTCTAAGAGAGTCGATTGGCTTTGGGGCCAATTTGGCAGCCTTGGCAGCTCTGGCTTGTCTTCTTGACACCTTCTTGCCGGCCTGGTCCAAGTGGACTCTGACTCTTTCCTGCCAGTGCTTTCTGAAGTGGTTCTTAAGGATTGGGAGGTTCTTTGCGATAGCCATTTGTGATTAACCTTAAGATTATTTTTTGCTTCACAGGAAAATTTTCAATTTTTAAAAATTCGCACCGGCACGTACGACCAGAGGAAAGAAAAAGCAGTCACAATCTCAAAAACACAAACCCCGTGTAAGGGTGCCTAAAATTTTTCACACACAAAAGTTAGCGAAATAATTAGTTATTCATTCAACATTATCACCATGTCTACCCAGCCTACCAAGTCCGTTCAGGTAAGTCAAATAACATCCAATCCATGATCTTGCTAACAACCTAGACCTTTGGTAAGAAGAAGAACGCAACTGCTGTGGCCCACGTCAAATCTGGAAAGGGTCTGATCAAGGTCAACGGTGTTCCAATCACCCTTGTGGAACCAGAAATCCTCAGACACAAAGTTTACGAGCCTCTGCTTATTGTCGGTCTTGACAAGTTTGCCGGCTTGGACATCAGAATCAAGGTCACCGGTGGTGGTCACGTTTCCCAGGTTTACGCTATTAGACAGGCCATTGCTAAAGGTTTGATTGCCTACACAGCCAAGTACGTCGACGAGTCAAGCAAGAACGAGCTGAAGAAGATTTTCACCTCTTACGACAGAACCCTGTTGATTGCTGACGCTAGAAGAATGGAGCCAAAGAAGTTCGGTGGTCGTGGTGCAAGAGCCAGATTCCAGAAATCCTACCGTTAATCGGATTTATGTGGTAATAAAGAAAGAACTAGTGACTGTAAAAGATGAAATCAGTAACTGTAAGCCTACTTTAAATCGGTTGACCCACCCCCCACCTTTTTTTATTATGTCCTGTGCTCTTCTATTTCCTGTCACCCTAATTAATTATTTTTCATATTAATTATTTCACCTTTTCTTATGTCGTACGCCCTTTCCCCCTCCCACAGACAACTGGTCGAAGGCCACTTGAAGGATGTTGATCCTGAAGTCGCCTCTATTATCCAGGACGAGATCGAGAGACAAAGACACTCTATTGTTTTGATTGCCTCAGAGAACTTCACTTCTACCGCTGTTTTCGACGCCTTGGGATCTCCAATGAGCAACAAGTACTCAGAGGGTTACCCAGGTGCCAGATACTACGGAGGAAATGAGCACATCGACAGAATGGAGCTTTTGTGTCAGGCCAGAGCTTTGAAGGCTTTCAACTTGGATGCAGACAAATGGGGTGTCAACGTGCAGGCTCTTTCTGGCTCGCCAGCCAACTTGCAAGTCTACCAGGCTATTATGAAGCCTCACGAGAGATTGATGGGACTGGATCTGCCTCACGGAGGTCATCTGTCGCACGGTTATCAAACCGACACTAGAAAGATCTCTGCTGTTTCCACCTACTTTGAGACCATGCCATACAGAGTCAATTTGGAGACAGGAATCATCGACTACGACATGCTGGAGAAGACCGCCGTTTTGTACAGACCAAAAGTTCTGGTTGCAGGAACCTCTGCCTACTGTAGGCTGATTGACTACAAGAGAATGAGAGAGATCGCCGACAAGGTTGGAGCCTACCTGGTTGTGGACATGGCTCACATTTCTGGTCTGATTGCTGCTGGTGTGATTCCATCGCCTTTTGAGTACGCCGACATTGTGACCACCACCACCCACAAGTCTCTGAGAGGACCTAGAGGTGCCATGATCTTCTTCAGAAAGGGTGTCAGATCGGTGAACCCAAAGACCGGAAAGGAAATCTACTACGACCTGGAAAACCCGATTAACTTTTCGGTCTTCCCTGGTCACCAGGGTGGTCCTCACAACCACACCATCTCGGCTTTGGCCACTGCTTTAAAACAAGCTGCCACTCCAGAGTACAAGGAGTACCAGCAGCAGGTTTTGAAGAACGCCAAAACTCTGGAGACTGAGTTCAAAAGACTTGGCTACAAACTTGTTTCTGACGGAACTGACTCGCACATGGTTCTCGTCAACCTGAGAGACAAGGGCATTGACGGAGCCAGAATCGAGTCTGTTTGTGAGCAGATCAACATCGCCTTGAACAAGAACTCCATTCCAGGGGACAAGTCTGCCCTGGTTCCAGGCGGTGTCAGAATCGGTGCTCCAGCCATGACCAGTAGAGGCCTTTCTGAGGAGGACTTTGTCAAAATTGTTGGATACATCGACAGAGCCATCAAGATTGCCAAAAACGTCCAAAGCAGTCTTCCTATCGAGGCCAATAAGTTGAAGGACTTCAAGGCCAAGATCGGCCAAGGCTCTGAAGAGCTCGCCGCGTTGAAACAAGAGATTTCTGACTGGGCTGGCCAGTTCCCGTTGTCTGTTTAATAATTATAGAAAAATAAAAATGAATATATAAATAGTTCTATCTAGACTCTCTAAGGGCCTTAGCAATAGCCTCAAAACATTGATCTAGTTCCTGTTTCCGCTCCCCCACAGCACTGACTCCCATCTGTCCCACTCTAAAATACTTATCTTTGTAGTCTTTATAGATTCCGGTAGCCAAGGTGAAGCCGTTGTCTCTAACTTTGCTGAGGAAGGTAGGTCCGTCGACACCGTCTGGATAGTAGGCAGTTGTGAGCCCGTGCGCGGCCACGTCGCGCGAAACGGTCACCAGCTTCACGCCCAGACTTTCCAAGTTGTTCTTGAACTTGGTGGAGGCCTCGGCATGGGCTTTGATTCTTTCTTCCAGCGATGGAGCTAGAACTTCCTTCAGAGCAACGTTGTACGCATGGACCAGCTGGACGGCCGGGGTAGCGAAATAGGCCGGGCTTCCATTCTCAAAGGCGCGCATGACTGGCAGCCACCGTGGAATGGACGCATAATACGAAGCCGGCTTGTGCTTCAAAGCCTTGTCCAAGGCACGTTTGGATGCATACGAGATGGACAGGCCAGAAGGACAGCCCAACGCCTTCTGCGAGCCGGTGAGAACAAAGTCGATCCCCCATGCGTCGAATTCCAGTTCCTCGCATGCTGTGGCGCAAACGGCATCCACCACAATTAGGGTATTCGGTGACACCTTCTTGACCAGGGCAGCAATCTCCTTGACATTCGACAAAACCCCTGAAGACGTGTCTGTTTGGGTGACGGTGATCACGCCGTAAGACTTGGCTTTCAACTTAGCCTCTATAGCCGGCAATTTAACCGCATCGCCAAACACCTCCGCACCGACAATGTCGACGTTATCTGTGTAAACCTGCAGAGCCTCGGCAAAATGCTCTGAGAAGAAGCCCGTGGACACCACAAGCACGGCCTCCGAGCGTGAGACCAGATTGGCGCCAACGAGCTCCCAGCCGAGCGTACCAGATCCAGACAGAACAAAAGGCTGGGTCTCTGGGTCGGTGGACTTGAACACCTTTCTGGTGTTCTTGAGCGCCTCCTGGAACACCTGCGTGAACTCGGGGGAGCTGTGTGACTGCGACGGAGTAGACATGGCGTTCAAGACGGCATCGCTGAACTCGACAGGGCCAGGGATGAAAGTAAGCTTACGGGACATGATAAAAGGTGGAGAGAATTTTTACCCCGGGTTTGATTTAAATAAACTATCGGTGCGGTCGATCGTCGAGTCGACAAGATGCCACGCAAAAAAACCTAGCCAAACAATTTTAGCGTGAAGGCCACGGACCGCGACCAGAGTGCGATATAGAACTTGGAGACAGAGATGATCACGGACACGGAGCTGAACACTATTGCCATCACGTTTGGTATCATCTCAATGGTGCTGATTCTATGGTACTCGCTGATTGAAAATAACGTGAAAGACACGGGAAAAGAAGAATAAACTACCCTTTGTTCGCATTAATGGTCCATTACAACTATAAACTTGTCGCCGTGATGGTTTCATAGCTGTTCACCAAAAAATCCGCTCAACAGCTCTTTGCTCTTCTCATAGTTATCTAGCGCATTTTTAAATGCGGCCTGAATACAATCAATCCAATCGTTCACTGTGCTGGCCTTAGCCGCTGGCTCGTAATCGTCAAAATTGATCTTGTTGCCGTAGTTCTGAATTCTCTCGCACTCCTGTTGCACTATATGTAATCCCAAAGCTGCGGCTGAACCTTTTAAATAGTGGCCCAGCGACGCAAGACGTTTGAGGTCGTCCTCGGAAGGGTCCTGTTTTTGAATAAGGGCCTCAATTTCCTTGAAGATGCCCGACGCCTGATCCACAAACGTCTGGACCAACGAAAGGGCAAAACCTTCTTCGTCTTCGTCCATGAGCAACAGTTCCTGGAAAATCGTCCAGTTGATCAGCTCGGAATTTTCGAGCGTTTCTTGAGTAACGGACATTATGCACTACCTGCCAATATGTTTACGAGCTGAAATGTCGATCCTATGTTAGCCACGGTGTCTAGTAAGTATGACGGTGATATTGCTCTAAAACCAAAAAAATGAAGCGTCCGGCGCGTCGATCGGCGGGCGGCCCCTGTCATAACATTTTTCTGTTTAAGTCGCTATATAAAGTCTATTGCAACAGTTCGTACAAATCGCCCAGCTTATCGGCAAAGTACGTGGGCTGCTCATCCTTGCTGAGCTCTTTCAAAGTCTCAACGGTCTCAATTCCCGTCAGCACAAGCAATGTTGCGAGTCCTCCCTCTCTACCAAATCTCATGTCGGTGTTCAGTCTATCGCCGACCATCACTGTTCTGCTCTTGTCCAGTTTGTGCGCCTTGTCAATGGCATCCATCATACCCTTGCTTGGCTTACCGCAGCTGGTAATTGGCTGTCTTCCGCTGGCACACACCACTGACTCAACGCACGAACCTGCTCCCGGGAGTTTCATGCCTTTTGACGGATAAGTCGAGTCGATGTTTGTGGCAATGAACGGAACCTTTGGATCTTTGAGGTATTGCATGGTGACAGCAAGCTTGTAGTAATTGAGCTTGGTATCGAGCCCAACAACCACCGCTCCGACCTCTGGATCGATCTTGTAAATCATTGACTCTGGATCGTTCATGTCTAGAAGACCGTCGTATCTAGGATCAACACCTCCCAGAGACTCGTAGCCAAACAATTTTAGCTCATCAACAATACCAGATCCCCCCAAAACCCAGACCTTCTTGTCTTTGGGCAGCTGCAAGATACTGTCCACATAGACTGCCGTGGCGTAGGAGCTGCCAAAAATCTCCTCAGTGGTGGCAACAATGCCGAACTTTTTGAACTTCTTCACGTAGTCAGCTCTGGACTTAGACGAGTTGTTGGTCACAAAGATCACCTTCTTACCCTTGGAACGAAGGAGGTCCAATGTCTCGGGAATTTTTGGCAGCAAATGATCGCCGAGCCACAGCACGCCATCACAGTCAAATAGGAACGTGTCGTACTTGGCCAGAAGGTCTTCGACCTGTGATTTGTATTCGATCTTTGTAGACATGCCGGATGATAGAAGAGCGAAAGATTTGAGATATCTTTGGGCCGATCGACGCATGGCGTCGCCACGATAATTATTTCTCGCTTATTTAAAATTTCCCCTCAATGGCTACTCAAGATCTGCCTCCAGTTGGGGGCTACGAGAAGATCCAATGGAAAAGAAACCTGCCTTCGAGAGGATTTAGACCTCTTGTCTGGTTTGGATTGCTGGTTGCCACCACGTCGTATGGCTTCTATAGGGTCATCCAGGGCAACAGGGAGAACGTGGAGCTGAAAAGAGAAAAAATATGGTCTCGTATCCATCTGCTGCCTCTTTTGCAAGCCGAGCAGGACAGAGATATAGTCCGCAGAACCATCGCATACTACAACAGAGAAGCAGAGATCATGAAGGACGTTCCTTGGTGGGAGGTGAAGTCCACCTACTCCAACAAGAAGGACTTCCATCCTCCACATACAGTGCTTGTGGGCAAACAGCTTGACAAAGACTCGTCGATTTTCAATCAAACCACCAAGGACAGAAAGTAGCTGGCTCGTCCCTATTTATTTATATATTTATTTGGAATATTTATTTACTTTACTTGTTATGCCCTCCTTAATACCAATACTTATACTGTTGTGCTCCAGGACTTTGGAAGCCTTTTACGGCATAATATCCGATTGTGATGAAGTATACAACTATTGGGAACCCTTGAATCTGATTACAAGGCTGTTTGGCAAGCAAACATGGGAATACTCGCCCGAGTATGCCATCCGGTCGTACGCTTATCTGCTGCCTTTCACGGTGTTTAACAAGCCGCTGAGGATTCTCGCAGCATTGGTACCAAGTGTACAGATTCCACCTTACCTACAATTTTATCTTGTGAGGCTCGCAATTGCTCTTTCAACAGCATCTGCAGAAATACATCTGGCAAACACTTTGGCATACATCTCGACTGATGTGGCGAACTGGTTTCTGATCTTGCAGGCAGTTAACCCTGGCATGTCCCACGCATCCATAAGTCTTCTTCCTAGCTCATTCAGCATGCTTTTGACGCTTGTAGCCACTGCATCTATTGTCAACTATCTGAAATATGACAGGTTCATTTTGAAAATTCAAAACAGCATTAACGAGAAGCTGCGGTCTTTGGTCAAAGCAAAAACCCCAGATTACGATGAAAGTCTTAAACTACTCAATCATATGTACACGGAATCCATTATTGCAAGAAAGAGACATTTCACTATGGCCATTCTTTCTGCTGTGGTTGGCGGTCTTCTAGGATGGCCATTTTCCCTGGCACTGATCATTCCTTTCGGCCTCTACGTTGCATTCACACTGATATCCAGAAAATCTTGCTCCCAGCTGCTCACTTTTGGTGCGCTAGGGTTTGCAGCAATCTTATTCATCTCTATCACCATTTTGCAAATTGATACTTTGTTTTATAGAGAAACAAGTTTTGTGCCATTGAACATCGTGCTGTACAATGTGCTATATTCGGATGAGAAGACAGGACCCAACATATTTGGAACCGAGCCGTTGACTTACTACATCTACAACCTCCTGCTCAACTTCAATTTCGTGTTGCCTTTGGCCGTATTGGGAATTCTGTCTCCAGTCGCATTTGAGAAATTCAACTTGAAGCAGATAAAAACAGTTCAGGCCCCAATTCTTCTGTGGTGTGCCATTTTCTTTTCTCAACCTCACAAAGAAGAACGCTTCCTATACCCAATCTATCCTTTGATCACGCTGTCTGCTTCCTTCTCCATTTCTCAAATTAGCCAAATCTTTGGCAAGACATACTTCTTCGCTAGAGCCTACACATTTCTATGCAAACTGGTCGTGTTCTTGACCATTTGCTCTGTCTCAATTCTGCGAATTGTGTCCTTGGTGTCGAATTATAGCTCACCGCTAACGGTTTTCCGAAGCCTGCCTGCATCAAACTCCAATGTCACTACAAATGTGTGCGTTGGCAGAGAATGGTACCATTATCCTTCATCATTCTTCTTGCATCCCAACCAGCGGTTGAGATTTGTTGAAAGCGGTTTTAGGGGTATGCTTCCAGGAGACTTTATAGAGCCAGCATCCGATTCTTGGTCTGCTCTTTTCAATTCCACATCAGCAAAACCTCAGGGATTCAACAATGAAAATCGGTACAGTCCAGATTCAGTTATTCCATTCAGCCAATGCGATTACTACGTTGACCTGGATATGCCTGTCAACCCCGAAATGGGTGAGGTTCAAGTGTTCGACAAGGCAAAGACGGTAGGGGACTGGGAGCTTCTCGTATGTGAAAAGTTCATCGACACGGAAAACAGTCATGGTGTCGACAAAATCCTTTATGTCCCGGCTAAGGAGATCTCTCTTTTGACTGAATGGTTGGAGTCCTTGTACACGAGTGCTCAGGATAATCCTCTCGTGCAAAATTCTTTGTCATGGGTGCAAAAGAGATATAATCTCATCAACAGATTACTTGAGGCCAAATACGAAACCCTGAAGACGCACCCATACGCACAGAAAATTGCCAATCACCAACAGATTATCCTCCTACAGACGCTAGGAGGGCAACTAAAGGATTCAGTTATCGATAAAGTCTCACAATTACAAATACCGCAGCCTGCGATCGAGTTTTTCACAAACGGACAGCTAAAATATCATCATCTGTGTCTGGCAAAGCACAAATAATTCATCGATTAGCCAAAAGTCTTCAGCTTAATGTGTGAGAACTCTTCTAGTACAGTTTCTGTTTCAATCTCTGGAGCGGTTGCTAGCTTGACCAGCCTCTCAAGTTTCTGTTTTTGATCTTCAGAACACGAATCAACAAATGTCTTGAAGTGAGCTGGTGAGTGTTGAATGAGGTCAAGAAGCTTGTGGTGGAGATAACTCTCGTACTTCTGTGAAGTGAACTCATCAAACCAGAGAATGATTGGAACGCAAATCTTTAGGCACCCCTCAACTTTGTCCGACGAGACGGATCTAGTCAACACGATTAATATCTCGAGAACCAGTCTTGGCTCTTTCAGCTTAGACTGGTATACCTGATCCACTAACTGAGGAATCAATTTTTCCAGGATGAGACCCGTCTTCTCGTTATTTCTTATCAGCGTTTTGATCGTTTGTGTAGAGATCGTATTCAAGCTAGTCTCTTCGGAAAGCAAGCCACTAATGATAAAGTCTGAAACCTTGCCTGCTTCTTCTTCCGTTAAGTGCAACTCGTCAGTTGTAGTGATCACGATGAAAACAGTGAGAATCGAGTTTTTGTTGGAAACGTGCAAATGTTTTTTGATTGAATGGAAGAAACGAGATGTGCTGGAGTTTTTAGAGTCGATATGTGCGATACTGGAAATGATCTTTTTGAGCGTTGGCAGAAGTATTGCAATGATATCTGAATTATTCAGCTCGTAAATCAGGGTGAAGGCGTAGAGAAAACAAGTGTGCAAGTCCAGCTGGATCACTTCAGGAAGGTATGCAATCATATTCAGCGACAGGTCAAACGCTTTCTTCAAAAGAATCAAATCTTGACTCTCAATTTCTTTGAGCGGAGTCTTTCCCAACTCCCGATCTCTGATAAATGGAAGGATTTGAGTAATTGCCAGCATATTAATTCTGAGCAGCTCAAACAGTTTGTCCACATCACTATGAAGCTCTTCCGGACTCTTGGAGCTCGAAGAGGTCATGAAATAAGACTCGAACACCCCAGAGGCCAACTCCAGTATCTTCATTTTGAACGAGGGTTTAGAGATCAGAACGAGCCTGTCTAGCAGATCAATGAACTCGACAAAAATAGAGTCATCAAAAACCAGTTGCAGCCCCGATTTGAGTTTCAAGATTCCTGCCAAAGCATCCAAAACGCGGATATCATATGCTGTTATAGTCTGTTTTGTTTTGGATGAGACCTTGATCAAATGCTCAATGCATTGGCCAAAAAGAACCAAAAAAAAGTTCGATCCGTCATCGCGCAAGAGCTCGTTCAGATGCGTGGGGTTTTCGATTGCAATCACACCAATGACCTCAACAAAATCTACCCAACACTGCTCATATGTATGGATGTCCACATCGTCGGCATTGGTGACCAAGAACTGACTACCGTACTTCATCATCGCAAAATCGCGCAGGGAATACAACCAGAGAGGGGTCAAAATGTTGATGTACTTGTCCACCATCTGGCTTGTCTCTGAGTTGTCCGCAGCATTCACCTTGATTCTCGACCAGGCTTGTAAAATGTACACCAGCAGCTTGTTCTGAGATTTGGTGGTAAGAACAGAGACTTCACCAATCTTCAAGTTCACAGGTGCACCGTGGGACATCTCGTTGCCAGAGCCCTTTGCGTGTGCGAACTCTTCTAGGGATGTGGTCAAAACGTTGACGATACGATGCATACGACTCACTTGGCCAATATTACTGCTCAGCAGCTTCGAGGCCAAAACGACGGCAGTACATGCGAGTCCAATGTTGGAATCTCTGCTGAATGCTGGAACAATTGCCGTCGTGATTTGAGCTGACTGCTGTCCAAGCAGAGAGACCTCTGGGTACACGGGGTCGCTCATGTTGCCATATATGTCAATAATATCCCCTATCAATTCTAAGGAGGAAACTCGAAGCTGATTCAGACTCGAAGTTGAGCAAATGAAGGCGATCTCAACGAGCTCAGATATCTTGGTAGAAATATATTTCTGCAGTCTAGAGTCATCTCTTGCGCCTGAAACAACGACAGTGAGCAGCTGAAGAATGTACTTTTTGAATTTCCACTTCGTGGTCTCATTTTCTAGCACCATCGACTGAATCATCGTGGCATGCGCAAGAGGTTGCTTAGTCTCATTTCGTGAAGAATCTATAGTATCTTCACGCTTGACAGACGACTCATCTTCAGAATGAGCAAACGTCTCGCCTTCGTCCTCCATCTCCAAATCTGAATGCTCGGGTTTCAAGGTAGGAGCAGGAACGGGGGTGCTCGATTTTGACTTAGGCTTTGGTTTGGTAGAGATGGGCTTCTTGAATCTCATAGGATTAAAAAGTGCACCAGAATGGTTGATTCTCTTCCTGTATATGGAGAGCAACGGCTCGTAGAGTACTTGCTTTTTCAAATTGAATAGCTTCACGAGTTTCTCAAACCATTGCATTTTCTCTGCAACCGAAGAAAACTCCAAAAGGTTACCAAATACCTCTTTGACTGTGGAGCTATCAGCATACTCCAACGCTATCCATAGTAATTGCTCCATCTCGGAATCAATGGTATTTCCTAACTTCAATAACTGGCTATAAGACTCTAGCGCGAGCTTCCAGTTGATATCACTCGTTGTGACAGGGTATATCTCCCTCGACTCCTCACTGTCGATGTAATGCCCGTCGGAGACGCCCACTTTGATATTGTTGATGATCGTGAATTTCACAAATCTGATATATGCTTCCATCGAAATCAGCGATTTGTCAAAAATCAGCAGTTCCTCCAAAGCCTTGAGTAACTCTCTTGATATTGCCTCGAACTCCTTCTTTTCAAGGTTGACCAGCCCAAAAAGTATATTCTTTAGTTTCTGCTTCTGTGAAATGTCCCAAAGACCGATGGCAGGGCCTGTGCTGTTGATCACAACACGAACTAGTCTGGCCAATAGCACAACAGAGTTTTGCCCTGTATGGTAATTAAAGTTCGAGGACACAGTGACAGGTGAGCTAAATCCAAAGTCATCAGAGTTCAGTACTTTTTCCATCGCCACAAATACATCTGTCAGCAAAGGCCCAATAAGCTCACTCTGCCGCTGACACGAAATAACGGTTGTGAGTGAGTCCAATGCGGATGCATGAACCAGGGGGTGAGGATCCAATATCAAGGTCAACAATACGCTGAAAATATTTGAGATGTTCATCAGATTAGAGTATTCCGAGATCTTGGACAGCGTGAGCGAGTCGAACGAGCGTGAGTTGGGTTCTGCATTTTGCACAATCGATTTGATGAAAATAGCAATCTGGTCTAACAATAGACTCTCCTTTGATGCCGTCAACGAGCAAATAAGGCCTATCGCATCCGAGTTTAATTCTGCGAGTCCGACAATCTCAAAATAATCAGCGTGAATTCTTTTCAACAAGTCGATTAGCAACATGCTTACCGAGTTAGAAAGCTCCACCTTCGAATAGGAACCTGACTGCTCGAGAGCCTCATTATGATTGTGCATATAACTGGCAACGCTATGAATAGAGACGCAGATATTTTGTACAGTGCTGATGGACGCATGTCCCGAGTTGGGAAACAAAATGTCTTGAATGTTCTCCAAGATCGAAACTTGCACCTTGCTAGAGAGAAAGCCGAACGACAGTGCCAGTATTTCCACAGAGATATCCACAAGCATCGTGTCGACGTCAGGAGGGGACAAGCAGAAGTCAGTGTATCCAAAATTTGAAGAGCCCTGATATAGATACATCAGGTAGTCGTTCACGAATGACGATTGGCTGATACCAATAGTGTCAAACACTGTCAGCGGCGCTAAATGACTCCTGACTCTGTTCGATTCAACTGTGTAGAGACTTTGGAATGGTAGCTCGTCGAGTGTTTTAATCTCATTTGATGGTTTCTGTTTCCGCAGGGTGGTCGACTTGATTCGCAGCTCATCAACCTTGAAAGTATTGAGTTTTTTGGTCTTGATACCCGACCTGCACACGTTATCCACAACATCTAGCAGAAGATTGGAGTTCGAGTCGGATTTGGGCAGAAACGGATGCAGCTTAATGTGATTCTGATAGACACGAAGTTTATGAAGCTTAATGGTTCTCTCAAGCATTGGCGGCACAGACAAGTTTGAAATCTGCATTTTGAGGTTTGAAATAAACACAAAGCTTTTATTGATGATCTGGCTGAGTGACAGGGCAATCTCGGGTGTCAGCAAGCTTGATCTAGAAGAACTTTCAATGGAAGTTTTAGTTGACGACAAATAGTTAATATAGCTCAAGAGACACACCAAAGACTGGTTTTTTATTTCCACCAGCTTCATTATCTCGTTCAAATTGGTAATCCTAGTGAATCCGTCAACAGTTGACGTCTGAACAAAGTCGGAAGGCATGGAATGGGTGAGAAGGTTTTTCCAAATTGTGATGAATTGCGAACTCTCCAAGAGGAAAAAATTACTCCCCGAGCTGCCATCGTTCTCAGTAGCGTAATTGAAAAGGCCCATAAGGATGATCCAACTGACAAGCTGCTTCTCGTAGTTGACGTTTGAGACATAGTTTCCCGAACCTGATCCAAAGAGATTACCCATGATGACGGTTGAGTTGAATTTTTTCAGGAAGCTGGTTGAGATAGAAAATACTTGAAGAACAAAATCGGCATTGATATGCTCCTTCGGACAAGTAGAAAGAATAGAAGCGATCAGGAACGCAAGCCCATGGTTCTCGTTGAACAAGAAGTTCATGTCACCTTTATTTTCGTCAAAGGACGCCAAGAGAATGGATAGTGCTTCGTTCAAAATATCGAAAGACAGTTCAGGCTTGATGGAGATAAGCCTCGTGATAGAGTCCACCGCAACGACTCTGATCTTGAAGTTCTTATGTTTGCAAAGCTCAAACAATGTACTGCAAAGCTGTGATGCGAACGAGTCGTGAGAGTCTGAGATACCATCTTGCTGAGAAAGAACGTACTCGTCAAGCTGATCAATAAGCAACTGAGATAGTTTGAGCAGCGACAGTACATAATACTGATTATCGACTTCGTGATCTGGGGCAGGAACCGCTTCTATCAGAGAAGGAAACCTCACCGCCTTGATTTCTGGTGTACCTCCGTACACAATTTTGGAAAGAATGATGAGTCTATTAATGTCCGAGTCCACCTCTCTCAGGAAAAAGGAGTAAAGACAATCAATTTGGTTAAGGATCTCTATTGGATTATCGAGTGTATCTGTAACTCTGAAAAACTTGTCGTCTTTCGAGAATTTCAGCTGACTAGTGGCCACGCCTTTGCCGAAAATGTGGTAATAGATAATATTCAAAGTGTCGAGGAATTTGAGGCTCATGTAATTAGTACCATTTTTGTAGCCAATGCGAACGCTATTCGTGGTGTAATACAGATTCATTTTCGACATGAACTGAATTATGGCTTCAATTAGGCCAATGCGGATCTCTTCAGTCTGAGATTCTTTTGTGTAATTGGCAACCAAATAACTTAAAGTATACTCAAAACACTTTTCCTCCTCACCAAGATTCACACCGAAAACAATGACATTAAAGACGAGAAGGTCAGCTATGTTTTTGGATATTGAGATTCGAAGCTTGTGTTTTTGAGTGGAGAGGGCAGTTATTAGTTCACTTAAATAGGACGTAATCGACGCGAGGTAACTGGTGACGGAAGGTGTGTTTTTCTTGCCTATGATCGAGATTACATATCTGTCCGATTTCAGTAGGTGGACCAGAATGTTGTATGCATATGATACACTGAGCAATGGGTAAATGTATATGTTAGATGAGTTCTTCTGTGTGAGATATTTCGTAAGCTTCAAGAGTCTTCCCAAGAGTTTATCGTCCAAAGTATTGGAGCTGTTGTCGTTACTCAAAATTATATCTATGGCCAGCACCATATCTGTGAAATAGTTCGCTTTGAAGATTCCCGAGTCGATTGCCGTATTGTAATTGTCATGACATTTAGTGAGATATTTGTAGAGAGTGGTTAGCATCAGACTTTTGTATGAATTAAGGAATCCGCCGAATTGCGCAAATGCCAACTGTAGAAAAGCCAATGCCATATGTTTCAGCGAGGAGTACCATGTTGACTTGATGGAGAGCTTTTTCACGTCTGCTAATAGATTAACCATTTTATTAGTGACATCAATAAGTTTGATGTTGAATTTGTCGTGTGCATTCTTCAACATCTGTGATAACACCAATGTGTAAGTCTTCGCCATAAGCGTGTTTATCCGTGTAGACAAATGATGAATTTCGGGGACGTCATTGAATGTGGTCGTAAAATGGTCGATGAACAGATCCAGCTGTTCGATCGCAAACGTCAAACTCGGGTTGTCAAGGTCCTCGGACTCCAAATGTGTATGGAGATTGGTTAAAAACGTTGCAATACCAGCCTGGACGGCGTGGCCAGACTCTTTGTCATTGTTCTGCAACAAAATTGGTTGCAATTGGGTGAAAGCAAACTTGTCCATAATCTGATCGTCAACTTTACGTGGAACAAAGAAAAGTCAAAACCTAAAAAATATTTTATTTTTGTGCATCTAGACATGGTTCTCTCGACCGCTGAAAAATCGTACATCTACGATTCTCTGGCTGGAGAAAACTCAACCAGAACAGACTCGAGGAAAAATAACGAGTTTCGGCCCTTGAAAGCTGTGTGCTCGTTTGTGCCAAACTGTAATGGCTCCTCTAGAGTGTACAACCCGGACGGAATAGAGTGCATCACCAGTGTCAAAGCAAAAGTGATTAGAACAAAAGAACTATCTGATCTAATAAACGTGGACGTTGATGTGGAGGGTCAACGTGACAACTCGACTTTATGTCTGAGTTTATCAGCAATGATACAGCGTGCGCTGGTGAACAATTTTGACTTTGAGGTGCTTCGACTGACAGATAAATATTACTTCCAATTGTATGTGGACATCCTTGTTCTTTCTGTTCCAGGAGACTTTAAGAACTCGTCTTACACGCTATACTCGCTTCTCTCTCTCATATCTATGGGTACTTACCTGGCCTTGAAATCTGCCAAACTGCCGTTACTCACATCGACCACCAACGATCGCGAGATCGAGGAAGAGCCTTCTTTCGCAGACGACTGGGAGCTTGCCACAGATCTGATACCTGCAGAATCGAAATTTCAGCCAATGCTGATATTTGTGGTTGGGTTGGTTGGATCGAACGTTTTAGTTGATCCTTCTTTGGACGAGGAAGAAGTACTAGAAAGCGGTCTATGCATAGGGTACTGCCAAGGGAATATTGTTGCTCCAATTCAATCAGTGGCACTGTCCACAGCGGATGGGAAGGCATTTAATTGCAAACTCCTCACCAAAGCGCTCGAAACGGTGAAGCAAATTGGCCAGCCTGTGGTAGAGGCCCTTGAAAGCATTCTCAACACTGAGGTGGATGAGTACGGAAGTTTCTTCTAACTTTCGGAATTCAAGGATTTGTCGCTACGAGAAAGCGCCTCGTTCGCATCATTCAGCACCTCTGCCTCCTGCTTGACCCGTTTCATCCAACGTTCGATCAGAGACTCGTTCTCTTGCTTCAGTTTAGCCATCCTGTCATTCAGCAAGTTATTTTCAATGTTCAACGACAATATATCATCATTTAATGACTCTAGATTTTGGAACTTGATTTTGCTCTCTTCCTGTAACCGCAGATGGCGCTCCTGTAGTTTCTTGTATCCATCTGTCAATATATTGAAATTATTTTTGATGGTATTCAACTCCTTGACAAGCTCTTTGTTTTTCGTCATTTCGTGCTTCAGACTGTCTTCTGTCAAGCCTAGTTTCTGTTTCAGTTGGTCAACTTCTCCCAGAAGGTCTAACACCGTTTTTTTGCCATCATCACGCTGTACCGTATCTAATTGTCGTTCCAGAGACGCAATCCTGGTACTTAGAAATTGAACTAGATGTAAGTAAATAAATCTCTATACTTACACGACAAGAACACGTCCTTCTGAGTCTCCATTGACTTATCTCGCTCTGCCAGTTTTGCCAGTAAATCATTTTTCCAGGACATGAGACACAAAGTTAAAATATATAGAATCAATTAGTACACAATTTATCTTGTCCCACAAATTATGGGAAAGCCTGAATCCCCCCAGAAATCATTAGTGGAGAGGTCACAATCGACGAATTCGATATCATCGTTGCTGAAAAGTCGTTTTAAAAAGAATCCACAAGATGATAACAAGCAACAAAAGAGCCCACATACAGATATCGTAGAGACACCAGAACAAGATGGTGACATTGCTCGGACCACTGAGGAACAAGACCTGACGCTCGAGCAGTACCGCAGTCAAATAAAAGAACAGTCAACAACATCCGAAGAAGATCTTGGTCATGAGCAGGACGGGTTTCTCAACAGATGGGGATTGTGGGGCCAAGAGCAACAGTCGTCTTGGTCTAGCTGGATAGGGCCTTTTAAACATCATGCCGAGACACAGCCACAAAATAATGCTGCTAGTAATGTAACAGGAAGAGAAGCCCGCGGATGGTGGGGGTGGCCGTGGTCAGCAGCCGCGAATGAGAATTCAAAAGATCAAGTATCAGTGCGAACGAGTGAGAATGAACGAGTGAAAGCAGCAATTGATCAATTGTCTGTACTGGGCCCGCAAATACAGCGAACAACATCATGGGCGTACGAAAGTCATTATGGAGAAAAGGGCGGCGAGCTAAGCATCTTTGGTACATCGACTTCAAATTCGCCTGTCCATTGTGAATCGCTACCAAAAACACTGTATGAAAATCAAGAAGCTTCAATCGACAGGCTCGAGGAGTCATTCTGCGATGTGGTACCGAGTCTAACATACAATTACCGGGACTTAACAAGAAGGACAAAATTGCGACTTTTCCTATCGAAAATATGCCCGATTCCATTGGTGCCTCCAGAAACGCACCTTTATCACGATCCGACGTTCAATGAACCATTGTTGGACAAAAATGAGACGAAGAAGGCTCTTGTGATATCTATTCATGGGTTCCTTCCCTTCAAAATGACCAAATCGCTTATCGGCCAGCCTACAGGATCTGCTGATATAATGACGGAAAAGACGACGGAATGCTTGCGTGAGTGGGCAAGAAATCACGGAATCAATATTGAGATCGAAACCATATCGATGGATGGCTCGGGAAGAATTCTTGAAAGAGTCAACAATTGTCTTTTTTTGCTGCTAGACAACTGGCTAGACTCGATTTTGAACTGTGATTATCTATTTGTGTCTTCGCACTCACAAACAGTGCCCGTGGCAATCCACATAATATCACGATTGATAACTGCAGGGTACCTTGACAATGTCGAAAAGGCAGGACTAATAAACATTTCAGGGGTGTGTCTTGGTCCTTACAAAGGGCTCGACTCGAAGCTTTCCGTCAGAGCCTACACTCCTTTCGAAAACAATATTCTAATGGAGCTCTTTGACTTCCAAGACGACGAAACTGCCCAAAGCAAGGAGCTCGTTCGACATATTGAGATTATTTTGCGCAAAAACGTCAAGCTGACTTTTGTTGGCTCGATTGATGACCAATTTGTCCCGCTTTATTCGTCTATGTGCGCTCATCTCAATCATCCGAACATATACAGATGTGTCTATTTGAAGGACGATACTCCTGCATTTTTGAGACAGCTTGTGACTCTGGTGATGGTTGTGCGAAATTTGAACTACGACGATCACGAATTGTTAGTTGAAATCAACAGCTATCTACAGGGCTCTTTGGGAGCAGGAAGTCATGGCGATATAATAACTAACAAAAATGTTTACCGGGTGGGTATCGCCAATACACTAGAAACGTCAAACCCGGTTGTTCAGCATCGCTTAAATGTGAAACCGATCAATGTGAAAAAGTTCTGTTTCAACCAGTATCATCTGCCCTGGTGCCTGCGAGGATTTTTGCAAGAGGCATTGAAATTACGCAATTTTCCCACCAGAGAGCTGCTGCAAAATTTGTTTGACGCCTACAGACAATGGGATCCCCAGTCAAAACAGCACAAGGACCTCAAGTATACAATCGAAGTTTTAGGCAAGTCACCCATTGGGGAACTGTGTATGGATTAATATATGCTTTCTGTAGGATTGAAAGCACACCCTAACACCGATGCCTGATACAGTAATTTGCGAGGAAAAAAAATAGAAGAATCGAATTTATGTATTGAATTAATTAGACAACAAGTCTTTGGGTACGCTAAGAATATCGATACTGGTTATTTATTGCACGGAAATCACTGGAGTTTCTACATCAGATCATAAGGCGTGATTTTCATTGTTAGTCATGGCTTTCCCCAGCATATCAGGCACGAGTTCAGGCAGATCGTCCATCAGTCTTGAAAACCCTCGCTCGACTCAAGTCAGACGTAAGCCAAGTGTGGGAAACGTGTTTTCTAGCATTATGAACACAGTCCGCACCTCTGTGATTAACAGCACGAACACCAACTCACAGCCGACCGGCGAAGAATCGCCAAACCCGACACGGGCAGCCTCTGCTGGTCAATCTTCTATTTCCCTGCCTTCATTGTCTGCTGATGACAGCTCTGGTCCCAGCTCCGTACGCTATGAGCATGATCAGACACAGTACAATCAACACAATAGGTTCGATCGCCACCTCTACAACCTGAACTTAGCGAATAGTCCTACAGTGGCTAATTTGAGTGCATACGTTGAGAATCCGCAATCGCGGTCAGTTGTGGAGGCGCCTGTTCCAGCAACGAGGCTACGCGAGACGAACAGTACACCACCAGAGAGTCCTTCAACCGACGCACCGGCAGATTTGAGCGCAATAACATCCGAGGCCGTTGAGGGGGATAGTGATATCAATATGGAAGATTTGGTGGATTCCATGAGCGAGGGTATCACAACACCTCTCGAAGCCTCTGGAGCAGGGACCGAAGCACCGAAGTGCGACGAGAATGGATACTATGCAATCCGTCTCACGCCATTCATCGACCACTCCTCGTCGACGCCGTTTATGTATTTCGGGCCTCTGATTCGCAAAATCAAGCCCGGAATGTCAATTATGGTGGGAAGATACACAGAAAAATGCAAAAGTGCCGCTACGGCTCCACAAGGGTCCTCAGCAGCCGTGGTGTTCAAGAGCAAAGTCGTGTCGCGGCAGCATGCCGAGATATCTGTGGATCACAACGGTACTTGGTACTTGAAGGACGTGTGCTCTTCTTCAGGCACGTTTCTGAATCATGTCAGACTCTCTCCAGCGAACACGGAAAGCAGGAAGTACGTCCTTAAGGACTCCGACATTTTGCAGCTGGGAATGGATTACCGTGGAGGGTCGGAAGATATATATCGATGCGTCAAAGTGACGGTGGAGCTGAATTCCTCATGGTGCAGGAAAACGCAGAAATTTAACGAGCAAGCGCACGAACGTCTAAAGAACCTTACGCTCATGACATCAGAAGAGGAAATCTCGCCATGTGCCATCTGCTTGAGTGCCATAAAGCCGTGCCAAGCGGTTTTCGTCTCCAGCTGTTCGCATTCGTGGCACTACAAATGCATCAGGCCAATAGTGGTCAAGACATACCCGCAATTTTTATGCCCAAATTGTAAAGCGGTCTGCGATATGGAAGCTGATTTTGACGAGGACGAATAAACGTGGAAACAAAAGCCAAATTGTTGCGGGCACGAACACGCATCACAGGAAAATGCACAACAGGTTGTACTGCCGACAAAACAGTGCAGATACGGAAGTGTTTGAGTGTATTGTAATTGTCTGGCAGTGAAAAATTCTGTCCCAATAAGGAACGCGAAATATCCGAAATAATAGGGAGGTGACCGCACGCCGCATAATTTCAGCACCTTTATCTAAAAAATCTATCGCATTGTCTTTTTTCTTGGTATTTTTAGCACCTCCTTCCTCCTATAAAAAGCCCTTCATCTCCTCCTAAAAGTACTGCTTTTACTGCGAACGGTTTATACTCTCTCCCCCGTTCATAAATAAAACAGCTGATAATTTTTATTAATGGCTAACAAAGTTTTTACGGTCCAGATCTTCTTCATTGTTTTGAGAGAGACCTTGGAGGCCGTCGTCGTTGTTGCGGTTCTTCTTGCTTTCTTGAAACAGAGTTTGGGCAATAAGAGCCCTGCTGTGTACAAGCGGCTCCGGAAGCAAGTTTGGCTGGGTGCTCTTTTTGGTATTCTTATCTGTTTGATCTTGGGAGGTGCATTTATTGGTGCTTACTACTCTCTCAAGAACGATATCTGGAACAAATCCGAAGACTTGTGGGAAGGTATTTTCTCCCTTATTGCTACCATCTTGATTTCTCTCATGGGTATTGCCATGTTGAGAGTCAACAAGATGCAGGCCAAGTGGAGAGTCAAGATCGCCAGAGCCCTAGTGACACCACCTGCCACCAGAGCTGAACGGTTCAAGTTTGGCTACCTTGTCAAGAAATACTCCATGTTCCTTCTCCCATTCATCACGTGTTTGAGAGAAGGCTTGGAAGCCGTTGTTTTTGTCGGTGGTGTCGGTATCGGTACCCCAGCATCTTCCTTCCCATTGCCAGTTTTTTGTGGTCTGATTGCTGGTATCGGCATCGGGGTCTGCCTTTTCTACGGAGGTGCCACGGTTTCACTGCAGTTATTCTTGTGCATCTCAACTGCTATCCTTTATCTGATCTCTGCTGGTCTCTTTTCCAGAGCAGTTTGGGACTTCGAGACTTACATCTTTAACAAACAGACTGGTGGTGATGCCTCCGAAAACGGTTCCGGACCAGGTACCTACAACATCAAAAAGTCTGTGTGGCACGTCAACTGCTGCAACCCAGAGAAAGATAACGGTTGGGATGTCTTCAATGCTTTGCTGGGATGGCAGAACTCTGCCACCTACGGTTCCGTTTTGTCGTACAACATCTACTGGATTGCCGTCATGGTGACTCTGGTTTTGATGTATTACGAGGAAAGACACGGTCACCTTCCATTAACCAAGAACCTGACCCTCAGAAAGCTGAACCCAATGTGGCACATCAAAAAGAAGGGCAAGAACGAATTATCTGCCGAGGAAGAGGCCCGTCTTTTCAAGGAGGCCAACAAGAAGCTTGCTGAGCAAGCTCAAAATCTTGACGGTTTGAGTGAATCAGGAGCTGCCAAGGTCGAGAGAGTCGCTGACGATGAAACAACTTCTTTCAAATGATAGCCGATTGAAAACAACACTGACTATGTGAGATCATCCAACACACACACACACACACTCGTGATGATTGATCAGAATCAGTCGCGTTGAAAATGCTGTTCAATTCTTATAATATTACACTCACACACAGGGGAACTAGAATGGGGGAGAGAGTCCGTTCAATGGCCCTTGATGGAAATACACACACACACACACACACCCACTGTATCTTTAAATTGTTTGGTTAAATTTGTCCTTGAATGGTTCGAGATTTGACGTTACGGTATCTGATTTGATAATTAATATAATAGTCGTTTTTATGCTTTTGTAATCACGCGTATGCAAAATCGTTTCGATTTGAGCTTCTCAATCCTTTAAACTTCTTCGTAGGACTTGGAGTGGGATCAAGAGCAACAGAGCATTTGCGCTTGTTCTCCGCAGGCTTTCTCAGAAATATCTGCCCCTGAAGACTGTTTTCATTACCCACATGGCAGCAGATCATGTCCCAAACAAGTCTCATTTCAGAAACCTTCCAGTTTTCTGGAAGCCGCGAAAGCAACGGTTTGATCTTTTCAGAGACAGCATCAAATAAATACGAGTCGCAGCTAAGGGCTTGTAGGTTCTTGAGCAAAACCAACTTCAGCAGTTCTAGCTCCACCTCGTAATTTGGGGCGTCTTTATCAAACCAAAAATCAAATCCTTCAATGAAATCTTCTATTGCCACAGCTCCCAGCGTAGCATACAACGTTTTCACACCGCAGCTATAAGTTCGATTCTCGGACGCCAATCTCGTGGCACCAAAGATGCAGTTTATGAGCAGTGCAAAGCGGTCAAGATCCAATGAATTGTCGGTTTCATAAGTGATAAGGTCTTTCACAAATTTGAACATTAGTTGTTTGAACTGAGGATTAGGCGTAGTCTGAATAAGATAGCAAATAGATGGAGTATGTGCAACAATAGCCGGACGAATGGACTCGCCCACATCTTCCAGAGACATGAGCTTTCTAAGATTATCGATATCCTCAAACTTATTGCATTCCTGGTCGGTGAGATGGTAATCTAAGGTAAGGACATCGAGATTGGGCTTCAGTTCTAAATAATCGACCTCTTCTTGATCTGCCCCTTCTTCTTGATCATCAAACTCACCGTAACATACACTAAGGTACTGGTCAATGTCAACAGGCTCTTTCAGTAGATACTTGGTGGTAAGGGCCACAGTGTTTTCTTCAATGCTTTCCCTATCGAAGATGTAGGCATGAAGATTATCTGATTCTACCTTCTCGACAATAACTCTTAAATCATCCGACACTGTGGCGCTGGTGAGAATATCAGGCGAATCAAATAGGTGGTCGGTAGTTGAAGATAAAGTCTCTGGCTCCAATCTGACCAAATCGCCAGTAACCTCGTCCATACAGTATTGAAGTTGATACGAGTCGTCCTCGTAGTATTGATCTATTATGGCGTCGTTGTAATATCTGTCCTGTTCTTCGCAGTAACCAAACTTTATTGCCTCTGTGACACTTATTCTTACATTTAGAAGCATGTTGACCATTGCTTGTCGAAGTGTTTGTGGACGCAGATGTTGGGGATCTTGACGGGAATTATCCTTGTGATGTTGTTTCAGGTTGTAGTGTAAGATGACAGCCAACATTCCCACAATACTGGTGACTAAAGCAAATTTGAAGTAGTATATATGAGCCTGAAGCTGATGTAGTCTCTGGTCGCAGATATGTTCATAATATTCGTTCGAAAAATGGCCGCCCTCTGAAAGGTAGCATTTTGTTGTTTGCAAGTCCACTGGCTCTGTTAAAGATGGGTTATCTGATGTTAGTCAATGACACGGCCTACTTACTGTAACGCGCTGGTGTTAACCATGTCAGCCATTGGTCTACTATGGAAGACATTAATTATGATGGGAAAAAAGGGGATAAAAAAAATATACGCGGGACTACCTTAGCTATATTGAAGGAAATTAATATTTCGATCTTGGATCAATAAATAGATGGTAGAATAATAAATAAGAATGAGCATCATACATGCATGTTAGAGGTCGTTGCTGTATGGCACAGGACCTGAAGAGTATCTTGGAGGGGCATTTCTGTCGTACATGATACCTCCTGGTCTTTGAGGGGGGATGATTGGGTCTGGGTGCTTGAATTTGTTGAGCATCAACTCAGTTTTGTCAATAATAGCCTGTAACGTTAGAATTGACACTCTAGAGTGACTTACCTTTAGCTCTTGTGGGTCCGAGATGTTGCGGTTCTGCTCGAAGCGGAGCCTGATCTCTGCTGCCTTTGCACGGTAGAAATCACGTCTGTTGATCCAGTCAGCAGCGGTTCTTAAGGACCGTCTATACAATGAGGCAACGGTCTTTATATTTTCAGGCGAAAACGGCACAGGAGTCTTGGACATGAAGAATAAAGATTTGGGGAGAAATATTAAGGATTGAAAATGGTCCAACTACCCCACATCTGGTCAGACGTCGATCGGCCGGGACGATTTTTAAATTCTGTAAATACAGCATGTAGCAACAAAAAACTAAAAATTCAGTTGTACCCGTTTCATTCTATACCATGACCCAAGAAAAAAACTCGGATTCCACAGCAACAGGAGAATCTCCAAAAGTCAAGAATGGATCGCCGGGACCATCTTCGGATCAGCAAGGAGCGCCAATTGGTAGCTTGCAGCACTTAAAACCGGACTTTGTGCTGAAGGTTCTGTACCTGGCTGATCCGAAGACTCTGGAGCCTCAAACCGAGTCCGATACCAATCTTCAAAGGCTGATCAAGACACTGGATCTCAATGGATTCCAGATAAGCATTAGGCCCCACTCCGATTCCAACCATCTGCTTGTTTTCATAAAGCTAAAGGACGATCTATTTGAGAAGCTAGCAAAGAAAACCAAAGACATTGAAGGCTTCTACGGAGTTGTGGCATCTTCAGACATTTCCACAGCAGATAGAATCAGACTGGTGTACACTAAGCTGACAGGAGGGAAAACCGAAGGTAACGCAGAAATCACTCCTGGAGCAGGCAACTGGAAGTTCGTCGAGACCTGTGTTCCTGTTGCCAACCACGAGGCTATACAGAAAGAAGCTCGGAGCTTAAAGAGCAACTTGCTGAAATTCTTCAGCGAGCCATTCTCCTCAAAGCAGTCCGATTTTCTGCTTCAAAACTTCGGCTCTCCAACTGCTTTCTATTTCCAGCTGAGCAACTTGTACATCTACTGGCTCGCGTTTCTATCCTTAATTGGAGTGGTTTGCAACCGTGTGTACGGCAGGTATTCCAAGGCATTTACTGTTCTCAACCTGCTGAGTGGTCTTGGGTTTTACCTGAGCTGGTACTTCAAGGAGAAACAGCTCTCTATAAAGTGGAACCTGACCAACGTGTCGAAGTTGGAGTTCAGGACATCTGGCTCAAAAATTCTGCCACACCAGGTGCTTCTGCGCAAGCTTATGTTCACTCCAATAGCTGTCGGCGCCGGCTTGACTTTGGTGTTTTACCAACTGGGCTGTTTTGTCATAGAAATTCTCTTGACAGAGATTTACCAAGGCCCGCTCAAAAGCTACCTCTCGTTGGTCCCTACCATCTTGATTTGCTCCATAGTCCCTGTATGCACTGCTGTCTACACAGTGGTGGTCAATGGTTACCTCTCGTTTGAGGACAATGCCAGCAGGAGCACCAAGAGGAAATCGTTTTTGATCAAGATGTTCGTGTTCAACTTTCTAGCCAGTTACATGGCTCTATTCATCACGTCATTTATTTACCTTCCATTCGGATACAAGCTCAACGAATATCTGCCTCACATTGGATCTTACGCTGAGAAGGTGTCCAGCTCTAAATCATACATTCCGAAGATCGCTCTGCTACAATCTGATTACGAAATCAACAAGCTGAGACTCAATACACAGTACACATATTTCATTCTGACTAACCAGATTGTGGGATTGCTGCTGGAGTTCGTGCTTCCTCAAGTGCTAACCAGGGTCTTTGCACTGCCAGCTGTGAAATCGCTCATGGGTGGTGCCAAGCTGCTACCGGTCAAGCTCACCGATCCTCCTGAGGAGAAGGAGTACCTCGACAGCATTCGCAAGATGATCGAGCTACCAGAGTTCTCAGCAGACGACGAGTTCAGACAGCTTGTGATCCAATTCGGATTTCTTATGCTTTTTGGACCAGTCTCGTCGCTCGGCCCAGTCATATCCTTGGTTATAGAGCTATTTCAGGACAAGGCAGATTACTTCAAGCTTCTCAACCTCACCAGGGCCCCTCTTCCAGAGCGCGCTGAAAACGCTTTCCCATGGACTGTCTTCATCAAGGTTCTACTGACCATTGGCACCCTCACCTCAACTTCTATATCTTTGATGTATAATGGAGGAGACATTGTTGCATCGACGTCTCGCACGTCAGTGAAAAACAGCTGGTACTTGATTCTCCCATTTATTGTCACTGGAGGAATTCTCGTGCACTTCGTTTCGCTCTTTGGCGAGATGATCATCAACGAGTATTATGTCGAAGCGTCGCCAGAAACTGCCAAAAAAGAAGAGGCACTGGCCATACTACTAGAAAGAGAGGAAGAAGAAAAACCTTCGACTTATATTAACAACGTCGACGAGCTGCTTAAGTTTGCCTCCGTTCTACCAAGGAGAGTCATAGTGGAGGATAAAAAGACTAAATAGTCCGGAAATTATACATGTGTACCCTCGTTAACTTTATGTTCGTCTAACATCGACCCGTGCTCTTTTCCACACGGTGTGCAGGTATAAATCGCCCGCTTTTTCGAGCTCATCAAGTTTCGGTGCTTTGACATTCACCTCGCAGTACGAGCCTGCTGAATTCTGGCGCATGAAAGTGCCAGGGTTGACCACTAGCACATTCTGCACAATCTTGCTGAACGCCTTGAGCTCTGAGGGAATCACCAGAATATCCGGCAAAGACGTATTGAACTCAGCTAGTCCCATATAGCTAACATGCAGGTCCGCGCCGCTGATGTGCAGAGACTGCTCGTCCTCCTTGAGACTCCGTTTCTGCTTCAATCCACCAGGAAACACCGGGTAGTACCGCCGCTGCTCGATCACGTGACTAGATATTCTGTCGAAGCGCGAATCTTTCAAGGGGTCGCCTGCGGCCACGTCCTTGAGGTCTTTGAAAATGTCGTTGTTGGAGCAGCCGATGAGGAATTCATTGAGCTGAAACGTGGCTGGGTTCGGGAAACATTTGACGTTTTTCGGCATGCCCAGGTGTTTTCTGTCAAACGAGTCCTGCGGATACGCGGCGTGCTTGGTGGTTGCATCTTTCGTGGAAGGCACCAAGATCACCAGGCATTCGAGTTTTCGCAGGATCGGAGCCACCACAGCACGAAATACGTCGTCTAGCGTCGCCGGTTGTTTTTCGAGTCCGTCGAAGTGCAGCGTTCCGTCTGCTACTTGTGCGTGATTCACGTCCACAAAGGGCCCAAACATCACCACTGTGTCGGGACGCACCTCGTTATTCATTTTCTCCACGAAGTCCGCCAGAAAGCTGTAATTCAGCTCTCTCTGCGGTGTGTACGGTCCCGCAGTAAAGACCACCTTCATATTCCCTGCTCCGTACTCATACGACTGCAACTCCTCGGCGGACGAGACAGGTGATTCGAGAAATGGTATTTGGTACATTTCGGTGACTTTGAAGAACTCTCCTGTGAGATTTTGGCCGCGGAAGCAAACGATCTGGCCAGGGAAGAACGAGTAGTTGTGCAGCGAGGACAGGTCCAGCTTGATTCTCTGGCCTATTCCGCCGAGTCGCGACGTTTCCAGGAACAGAGAATTGGCATTCAGGTCGGCGTCGGACGCTGTCGATGGCGAGTCTGGCACGATCCGCCCCACAGTGAGGATCTCGTTCTGCGACTGGATATTCGGGTTGCCAAACTCCTCGCTGTCGAATTTGTAGTGCTCGAGCACAACTTTGGCCATGCTGTCGATTTGCTCGTCCAAGTAGTCCGCCACTTCCAGCAGTTTCTGATTCATGGTGCGAAACTTGTATTTTTGAGGATTGAAGTTGGCCAACAGCTTGGGCCTGATCCCGCTACCAGGAAGAACGTTCAAGTGGCCGTTCAACGTCTCGATGATTTCACCCGAGACGGCAGATCTCGTAGGAGAGGACCTCAGTGGCGACGACCCTACGCCCGCAAAACTGGCATCGGTACTCCGTGGAGTATCTCTTCTGCGCTTTTTCGCGGACGGGGTCGAGGGTATTAGGTTGATGTTCGGCGTTCTCATCATGGGACGCTTGACTGCAGAGAGTGGCGTCTTCTGCTGGCTTTTCACAAGCTTTTTCTGGAGATGCTCCTGAAGCCTCCCCAGATTCTCAATATTCAACTGCAGCGGATCATCTGCTGCGCTCGCGTTCATCACGTAAGTCTCCCATTGGACAAACAGGTCCTCTGCGCTAAGACCAAATATGGCCATGAGCTCCTCGCATCTGGAGCCCACCTCGGAATCCTCAGGCTTCAAATTGAACTGAAGCAGCACGCTTTGGGACGCCATATCTCGGTAGCTTTTTATATCGCGTCGCGTCTCAGAAAAATAAGTTGAAAAATGTCACCGTTTTGCATTATGTAAGCACATTCAGTCTAGATACATAGTATACATTACTCTTCCTTCTTGTCGTCCTTTGGCTTTTTTTCCTCCTTCGTGTCGTTTCTGTCTTCCTTTTCGCCCTTCTCCTCTCTCTTTGGAGACTCTTCTCTCTTACGGTCCTTCTGGTCGTCTTTTCTGTATTTTTCCTTTCTGCCACGGCCGCCTCTTCTCTCGCCAAACTTCTGGGCCTTATATTCGTCGTAGCTGACCTTGCTGATCACATTAAGCTCCTTGTCGTTGTACTTTGGCTTCTCCTCCGCAGACACAAATTTTTGAGCGTCCTCCTCCTTCTTGAACTCGACGAAAACAGATCCAACAAACTTCTTGTCCCTTTTCTTCATTCTGACCTGGTTCACAGGGGCAAACTTTCCGAAAAACTCAATGAGCTCGTCCAAAGTGGCATCCTCCGGTAAGTGCTCGACAAAAACGCTCCTCTTGTTGATTGCAACCTGGACCTCGTTCTGGTTTGCTGGCAGTGGAGTCTTTCTTCTCACCATCTCGCCGTTCTCAGACACCTCCAAAAGGCTCTCGGACTGTCTTAGGGCCTCGACAATGGTCTCGATCGGTCTGTACTTCTTCATACGCTCGAACTGCGAAATGACGCTAATTGGGACCCAACCGTCGTTGGCTTGCTGAGTAGTGAAAAGGAACTTATCGTTCAGAAGGTTGGAGTCCGAGAAGTAGAACTCGACCTGCGAAAGAATCTTTGGTTTGAGGTCTTCGGTGGCCATTCTGTCCAGATGATTTGTCTTGATCTGTCTGTCGCTTCTAAAAATTTTTTTATTCATCACCTAGAATGGTGGTGTACGGGTGGATGTCAGAGGCATAGGTTATTCAAAAAGACTTCTGCTCGACACCACGTAGCACCCGAGTCTCGATGACAATTGCCTGCATATGCGATGGAGCTCGGCAAGATCGTCGAAATTCTCCATATCGCGGAGATTCCAATAGAAAATCGACGTGTTTGAGATAAGAATGCAATTTAGAGGTCGATCCTGGAATTGCGTCGGTATCACCTCCAGAATGGTGTTCAGCAGCTTATTCACGTCCCCAAGGTTCTCGAAATCGTCAAAAACAACTACCCGCTCCAGCAGGTCGCGTATTTCCGTATCTGAATGATTTTTTTGAAGCTTTTTCTTGATCTGATGAAGACCAGAGTTCACTATATTAGGAGAACCGAACTGGTACGCGCAGTCCAAAATAGTGACAATACCCAGTGCATCGCTCTTCTTCACAAGCTCGCAAACATAGTGTATCCACTCTGGAGTGTTTTGCACGTTCAGCTGAATATATCGTTCTCCCTCCAGCTCTGTGTTTATCTGTTTGATCTGGGGGTATTCCGCGAGATCCGGCAGGTCAAAACATGGTGGGGGTAATTGAGCGATCTATAATTAGCAATTCAAAAGCTAGGTCTTACCTTTGTAAACTCGACACTTTCCACGGACTCCAAGTCCATGCCAGTTTACTATATAAATCTATTAATTTTTGAAGTGGCGGTGGAGGCACGGCTAAAAGTATTTGAAAACAGTCAAACACAGATAGGTGAACATTGGCACCAGCAGGTTGTCGTTCATTGTGGTGCACCCTTCCACCATCGCCGAAAGCATTGCTGAGCATATAATGTTGTTAAAGGAGAAATCGTTTTGGCCTAACAGCTTGAACAGAACCAGGCCTCCTGCGGTAGCTGCTACGAACGCAACAGATCCTTCAACCGTTTTCTTGGTCCCTGGCCAGCAATTGGCTCCTATCCGTTTTCCCAGAAGCGACGCGAACGAGTCACCAAGTCCAACAGTGACCAGACCTGCAATGGCTTCCGGAGCCTCGGGGTCGAACCAGATCGGCAGCGCAACGCCCAGCACCAGGAAGAGGTATGACGACACGACTTTGCCCTTTAAGTCCTTTTCATCCAGGAAATCAGTAAACTTCTGCTGGAAAAAGCTGCCGAATGGAGGAATCCGCAACACTCTTTGCAATTCCACCAGCAACAACAGGCCAAATAGTCCGATCAATGCCAGAGAAGCCATCTGCGGATCAACGAGCAGCGGGTATGACAAAGCTGCAAACAAGACGAAATGCCACACTTTTCTGCGCACGTCCAATGGAAACACCGGCGCAATAATGAACAGAGAAGGCAGGACAATGAAAAGTCCACAGAGCCAGAGCTGGAAGATGAACCATTTAGACTCTGTTTCCTGAACGTATTTTTGCACCCACAAAAGAGGATTCTCCTTGAGCACCGGTGTCAGAAAGTATATTGAGAGATGCACTCCTATGCCATAGAATGCCGCCTGCAAGATCGCAAGAACAGCCCAGTTGCGGTCGGTGTTTTCGTACACCAGGTAAATTGCGTAGCAGACTGCGGTGGCCGCGGAAAATGAAACCATGAGTTTTTGGAGGATCTGAAGGTGCACAGGGGATTGCGCGTTGATGAACATGATCAAAGCGACGGCGAGAGTTCCCAGAATGTTTCTTTCGCTTTTGGAGAACGACGTAGGAGCCACGTACTCCAACAGGGACGTAACAGTTACGTGCCACACCGGCCCAGCGAGGACAAGGACAAACGGCAAAGAGTCGCTATTTTCGTGTGATGTAAGCAGCTGAATTTCCAGGAGCACAGCGACTCCAATTTTCACCAGCTCCTGCAAATCAGACACCATCGCGACAGAGCCTGCAACAAGAACCAGATTTCTTGGGCTTCGCATGAGAGAAATGGCAAGTGGAATAAAGACGGCATAGATGAGTTCCAGTTCCGGCAGCTGCGGAGCATTTTGGCCTGTGACTTTATATTTCTTCCAGAGGTGGTGGAAGACGACGGCCACTTGACAGACAACACACAACAATGTGAAGATAGAGTCGTACAAATACTGCACATTGAAAGAATCGCCTTTCGACTTGTCGTTGAACAAGACATATATCACGTTTGCCACAAAGAGAAGTACAAACCACTGAATCCAGTCTGCTATCGAGGCCTGTCTATCAACAAGCTCGAAAACATATTGAGCTATACCGATTGATTGTAGCAGGCCATCAGAAGTAGTAGGCGCTGGAGAAACTGGATCCTCTTCCTCAACGAGAGGCTCAGCTTTCTTTATTTGTGATCTCGTGGACCGCCTTGTGGCCTGTTTTCTAGGGCCCATAGCTAAAACTGAAAGATGAAAAATTAATTTGAATTAAGTCTTTATTTTGTAGGTCTGCTACCAAATATATTTGATCCGACTCTGACAGAGCTCGAACCTTGTCTGAGAGCCTCTTCGAAATCGTTACTCATTCCCATGCTCAGCTCCAATTTTCTTCCGAGCTCGGCCTCTAGCTTTTTGCTAACTTCCACAAGGGTTTTGAAATCCTGGTTTTCGTCGCTCGATATCGATTGCACAATCGACCCAATGGTCATCAAGCCTTCGAGATTGAGCTTCGGACACTCGCTGACGATGATTTTTGCCAATTGCAAACAGTCTTCTGGAGCTATTCCAGACTTCTGCTCCTCGCCAGAGGTGTTCACTTGGATGTAGACGTTGATAATCGGTTTTCCCGACTGCTCACGCACATCGTTCAACTTGCGCGCTTTTTTCTCGGTATCAATCGTTTCCACAGCGTACAGGTTATCTATGTTCTTCGCAAGGTCCTTGGTTTTGTTCGTTTGCAATCCGCCAATGAAATGCCATTGAATATCCTTTGGCAGCACCTTGGCTTTCTCTAAAAGCTCTTGGACGTAGTTCTCACCAAAATGTCTGTATCCGGCGTCGTACAGTGCTTTGATATCGCTAGCCGGCTTGAACTTCGACACACACACTAGTCGAGCCTTATCGTTCAGCTCCTTGACCCTCTGGGCAATCTTATTGGCATTCGAGACTAGTTCGGCGCCTCTCTCGGATGTGTAGTCCAAACTCATGGATGGAAAATGCTTAAGTCTAATAAACACTCGGGACCTTATCAAAGTGAACATTTTTTTCTAGTAAAAACCACGCTAAAATGATATATTTTAGATGTTATCTAACAGATCTGTCAACGTGCCCACCAAAATGTCCGCCAGGCCAGAGACGGTGCACCGCAGAGTAATGCGCAGCACGCGAGCATCTTGAGGGTTTGTCTCGATCCGCATCAAGCATCCTGCTCCACCTGCTGCCATGCTCAATATACCCGTGCACACGATATTGTGCATGTTGTAGTCGATGTTCTTGAGCAGATTGAATCCAAAAAGCTGCATGGTCCGGCTCAGAATCACCGTCTGCATCGGCGACGAGAGCCGAATCACCTTTTGGCACTCTCCACCAGGCAAACTGCTGACCTGACTCCATCTGGTAAAGAATGACTCCTTGGACAGAGGCGTACCTCTGACCATGATCTTCCCAACCACGGCTGGAAGTCGTAGCTTGTATTGGCACAGAGTCCCGCACACAAACGATATATTGATGCTCGGTACCTCTCTGTCCAGGTACGGTTTCCGTACGGTGACGTCGAAGATCTGGACCGATTTCGAATTGGCGGTGATGGTGGATTCTGGATGTTTGATGATTTTAACCACATAGCCCGGGTCCTCGGTATTGATCAAGTTAGCAGCCACCTCGCTTGTAAGCCCGGTGATCGTACCGGGCGACTTGTTGGAATAAGAAAGCTCATAGTGCAGCTGAGCGTGATTTCTTCTAAGTCTGAATAAAATTTTGAACAGCGAGTCCTCGTAGAAGATACCCTGGTCGTAATGCAAGAGACGGTAGTATCCCTCTTTCCAGTTGGGGCTGAATGCTGGAAGATGGTCGACAGATGGGTTTGCAGTGGAATTGTACGAGAAGTGCGAGTCCGAGAAGTGCGACATAGACCGTGACGAGTCGTCGGTGTCTGGCCGGCTTATACTGGCAGCAGCGGTGTTGAGCGATGGCGACATAAGCGAATTGGTGTTCTTCCGGCTTCTCGGGCGAGGCGGAGCCGGTTTCTTGGGCGATTTGGGTCTTTCTAGCGACGACGTCGAGCGCGCAGCATACGGCAGACTCAGCTGGAAGCTCTGTTGCAGCTGCTGAACGTTCCCCAATCTGGAGACCAAAGGCGAGATTTTGGACTGGAACGGAGGCATGTCCACCACCACGAGATTCAACAACGAGCTGTCTGGCAGAGCGACCAGCTTGGCGTACTCCAGACACCGCTGCTGGATTTCCGCGCTGAAAGAGTTGGATTCCTGTTCGTACAATTCCAAAATTCGGGGTCTAAGCTGCGGCTCGTGGACGTAGAACTTCAAGAAACTCGAGAGCAGAACACATCTGGCCATGACAGTGGTCTGGAAGTAGCAATTGTAGAGCAGCTCAAACTGCTGCACAAGCGGAACATCCAGCTGTATACCAAACTCGCCGAGTAAGAATGCTGCCAGCTTCACCATAGACTCTGGATAAGTACCGGATTTGAGGGCATTGTAGGAGAGGCGGCACGCGGGGGCCTGAATGGAGTCATTGTTGACGACGATCTGGATCAGCCTCTGGCGCACCTCTTCGTCGAGATAGTTTCCTGCCACGGAGATCAGCTTCATCATGGTGGTGACATACCAGGTAGCGTTTGTGGCATATTTCTCGGCGAGCACGGCGATCTTGACGGCAACCTCGGACTTCATGGCGAAGTCAGTCACAGAAAGGTAATCCAGAAGCTGTCGGCACATTTGCTCGACCGTGTCCGAGTTGCAAATAATATATATTAGATCCAGCGATAGTCTTCTCACAGAAACGTCTTTGTCGCGAAGCAGGGAGAAAATCTGCTCTATGTGCTTGTTGATAGTCACCAAAACGGGCCCGTCGTTTCTTGCCGCGAGCTTTGCCAGAGCGGCAAGACTCAGGTAGCGCGTGTTTGTTTCAGCGGACTGCAACAGCTGGCAGAGCGCATCGGCTGCGATTGTCGATTGGTCGGGCGACGGGTCCACGTGTGCGGCCAGCGACACGGCGCCCAGTAGGACGAAATCCCTCGTGTGCCGTGCCTCGGCAGACATCAGCGGGGCCTGCGATATGGCTGTGGAAATGGCCCGCTGGATCACAGTCTTCACGGTGTGCATATTGGCCTGGTCGAGGGGCATTGCGTCGACGTTCGGGACCAGCGTCTCGAGCAGCTGGAACAGCTTGACAGTCAGCCACGGTGCAGGGATGCCGTGGTACATGTGCGAGGCGGGACATTCGGCATCGACAACGATCTTGTGCAATTTTTCAAGGGCTAGCGTGGTGCAGCTGGTGCAGAGGTCCAGGTCCAGTTTGGCGATATATTGGATCAGCGAAACGGCAGCGATGCTGAGTCCAAAATCAGAGTCGTTGATCAGCGGTGCAACGCGGGAAACCAAGCCCGAGTGTCTGGTGACTAGGAGGGGATCGATTTTGAGCAGCTGCAGCAGCGTCAGAACGGCTTTTTTGCGGACCAAACTGGATGAAACGGGCGACCTTATCAAATTGAAAACCTCGTCCTCAAAAGCCCTGCTGTACATGTCTGAGTCCGCCACAGAAGAGAGAAATTGGAGCGCAAGACAAACAAAGTCCTCCTTCTGATGGGCGAGATCGTTGTGAATAGTCTCAAATATCGCGTCAACGGCCTCTGTGCGCGTCTGGTAGAACAGCGACAGGGCTAGATACCCAATGGATTTTTCAGAGTACACTTTTGACCCGGCAAGGGCCATTGCCTCGCTCAGGCCAAACGTGAGCTCGTGGCCCATAAGATAGATATACAGCAGCTTGCAGATGTACTTCTTGCGATGATAGCCTGACAGGTTGGGCTGCTGGAACTGCTTCTGAATGTGCACGAGCTCAGATTGGACGCGTCTGTCCTCCTGCTCCTGTTCCTTGGAGTTTCGGATGTCCGTGATGAATTGGACAAGACCCTTCATTTGCGACATGATTACAATAAATTTATGTCTCGATTTTTTTTAATATTGAACTAAACTATAGGTTGGCATTGTCTACATATTTTCTAAGATCGGCTTGAGAGCCAGATTTCGGAACAAGGGTCTCAGAACCCGCTCGGGTCATTGGCCGCGGCATCGTCTGGTCGTCGTATGCAAATCTGGAAGACGTTGGAGAGAACGACCTCGCACCAGGAGAAACCTTACGGACCTGTTCGGCTAGCGTTCCGCTAGGCTTGTAAGTCTTTTTGTAGTTGATGTCCACAGGGTTGAACATTGCAATTGAGTCTCTGATCTGGTGAGGCGAAGGCTGCGACGAATTCGTCTGGCTTGGCCCCCATTGCGTGTTTTCAATAGGACTGAAGTTCTGCTGCATCACCGCTGGAGACTGGCCCTTCTTGCCGGTGTATTTGCGTTGCTTTTCGAACTGTGTGAAGGTCTCCAAAGTAGAGTTTCGGTTGTTTAGTTCGTGGGGCGATGGAAGGTTTTCCAGCTTCTGTTTGACTGGATAGTGCTGGGGTTTTCTCTGTTGTGCAGCCATCTGCCGGTAGTAATGCGCCTGCGACTGTTGCTGGTTCAGAATGTTCTGGATATGCTGGTGAGGATAGAATGGGTGGCCTTGCTGTTGCACTGGGACGGCTCCGTTGTCCAAGTAGACAGATGACGCGTAACTTGCACGATGATCGTTTATAGAAGTGTCCAATGTCAGCTCCGGTCTGCCATTACCATTAGCGTATTCGAAATCCGTCTCTTCGCCCTGTTGTTGTGCGGAGACGTCATTTTCCTGGCTTGGCTCGCTTGCATATTCCGGCTGATGTGATGAATCTTGCTCCTCGTTTTGCGGCAGCTGCGGCAAAGGTGGCATGTCTTGGTCTTCGAAAAACATGTGGTTTGACTTTTTCGACTTCAGAGAGTTCTCTCTTGAGAAATAAACTTTGTAGACAGACTTCATTCTGTTGATCTGTTCCTCCTCTTCAGGGGAAATCGGTATATGTTCTGCTACGAGAACTTCGTTCAAATCGGGAACCTCCGCAGTTTCAGCTTCTGGAAGAGCTTTACTTACCGGAGAGCTGGATACCATCTCGTTCTCTGGCACATTTGTATGCTCCTCCAATGGCACAATTTCTGGAACGTAATCGGATGCAAATTGATCGGGATCCTCATGATCTGGCTCAATGTCCTGAGGCTGAACGTTTGCATCTTGATTGCAACTGTGACGATGAGCCACAGAAGCGTCTGTGTCGTCGAACGAGTACTTGTGACTATCGTCAGCATCATAGGACATCCGGTGCCCTGGATCGGTTGTCTCGTAGAACTTATCATCGTCAGATTCCTCTGGGTCACCAGGTGGACCAGAAGTCGGCGGGGAAAAAGTATTATCGGGTTGAGAGTACACTGTTGAGGACTTCTGAGGAGTTTCAGGAGACTTGTCGGAGCTATGTGGCCCAAGAGTTCTGCCCAAGTCCTCAGTGGATCTCTCAAAACCAGTGAGATCTCCAGAGTTTTCTGAAAACAAGGACCTCCTCGAATGATTATTAGAGCTGAACCGAGCACTCTCTGGCACCTTGTAACCCGGATAAACGCCCCCAAGCTGTCTAGAAAGCTGATCCAGGGAATGCTTGGAGGTGGAGTCGTCGACACGCGGCAAAACAAAGGACTCCACGTGACCACGGGGGGTTCCCAGCATGTTATCTGTTCCGAGACTTAATTGAGACGTGTTATAATAAGATCCTGCCTTATTATTGGAGCTCTGGTCCTTTTCGTCAAGTACTGCTTGTGGATAACGAGCGTTAGACGCATCGAATGGGTTTTCGCTCGCGTTTCTGGCTGCGAATATTTCCTCCTTGGTTGGATAGTCCGGTAACACTGTGTTGTCCCCATAAAAGTCGGGATCATTGTCGTCAAGAGCCTCCTTCTTATTACGTTTCCAGGCTCTCCAGATGAAAAACGCAACCACCATTGCCACCACGGCGACGGGTATCACCACCGCGAGCACAATACTCGTGGAATTCAAGTCGTCGCTGGTTTGGCAATACTGCGTCCCCTTTGAGCATTTGTCCTTTTTGACAAGCATTATATTCGTTGTCTATCACGTAAACTCAGCGAAGGTTGGCTAATATATGAATGAAATGAGAGACATAAACAGATCGGACTGTTTAGAATGTATTTGGAAGAGATATTCACGCTTTTTTTACGTGAAATTAAATGCTAGCTATCGACAAAAAAACAAATACGGATCTAATTTCATAACATCAACACGATCCACAAAAATTTTCATTCCAAATCTGGCAGGGGTTATGTAATTCTGTCGAATGTGTTCGAATACGAGATCCCACCACCACGGAGAAGGGCCGTATGAATCCAGACAGAGTAAAACGTGTAGCTAAGATGACTGTACTGCATCATCAAGCACTAGTGAAAGCACTAAAATGACTTGTCTCAATGCAGCTTTTAAGAGGTTTAGTTTGCGTATATACGGGTTACGGGTTCCCAAGATCTCTAAAGAGTATCAATCGGGAATGAGTTCCAAAAATTCGAGTAATGCCTTTTCAAGTAAAGACAGATCCCGGATGGCTCTGGTAAAAGGCAAGAGCCATGTTCGAAGAATCTGATCTTCAGGCGTTCACTAAGAAAAAAAAAAATAGCTCAAGTTTTCGACTTTTATACCAAGTTCACAGAGGCCGGGTAATCAATCCCAAGCGGCAAGGTTTGGTAGCTGGCTGAGTGAATGACTGCTGAAGGTGTCAAGAAGCTCACAGATTCGTGATCTGTGCTACATTGTATGACAATCCATCTGATTATCAATTTTCTGGTGTCCTGGAAATAGTGAAAGGGGCTTTAGAGTCTCAATAATTTCTGCTAGGTTTTGTTCCTGGAATTAGGAAGAATGGACAATGAATTCCATCTAAGTGAATTCAAAAGCATCAAAAAGCTTGGATCGGGCCGCTTTGGTAAGGTGCTACTGGTTGCCACATCCAGGGACCACCATATCTCGGATTTAGCCAGTGTAAATGGAGAGTTTTACTATGCAATAAAGATAGTAGGTAACACGAAACTGGACAAACCGATTCTGAATTTGTCCAATGTGTCCAACATCAACCGAGTAAAGAACGAGGTTCGCATAATTAAGCTACTGCGCGGTTTTCAGCATCCCAACATTCTTCAATCATACAGCATAATCAGCCACTCTTCCAATAATCGAATATATTTTGTTAGCGAGTACTGTTCCATTGGAGAGCTGAATCGCACAAATTTTGCAACATATCCGACCACAAGGGATAAGATGGAGAACATACAGACCAAGCTCCGAGACGTGGTCAATGGGCTGGAATTCCTCCACTTGCAGAATATCATACACAGGGACATTAAACCATCCAATTTACTAGTTGATCATCACGGCAGGGTCAAGATCTCAGACTTCGGAACATGCTATAAACTCACAGGAAACGAGCTAGAAGACAATTTTGAGGTGTTCAAGAAGATCGTGGGGACGCCGTTGTTTATAGCTCCGGAAATCTGCGAAAACGAAAACACAAAGGAGCAGACTACAGGCAAATCTGGCTTCTCGCTCTTCAAGTTTAAAAAAGAAAAAGAGTCTGATCCGGGGTACAAGATTGATGTCTGGTCCCTGGGAATCACTTTGTTTTATCTCTTCTTCGAGACTTTCCCTTTCTACAATGAAAACGAGTTTAAATTGTTTCATGACGTGGTAGAAAATGACATTGTATTCCCGCCGTTCGCAGAGTGCTACACGCTGAAAAGGCTTACAGATGCCAACTATGGCTACGATTACAACTCAAAGCTGGTGTCGTACTTCAAGTCTCTTGTTGAACTGCTGCGCAAAATGTTGGAAAAGAGGCCCGAGAACCGGGTCGCATTGAGAGCCGTCAAAACACACAAGCTGCTGAAGTATTTTGCTGACTCAAAAACTCACCACGCATACCTCAAACTCAACGACACGGTGCTCAAGAGCTCCGGCAGCTCGGGCCACCTATTACGCAATTCACGCTCGGGAGACCTCCTTAGCGATTTCGACGAGGTGGCAGACACGTCGCGTTTCAAAGGATTTTCCAAGCTGTTGAATCTTTCCGGCTCTGCGACGCCTGAATCCGACCTGTCTGAAGCCTCAGTCATAAACAACTCTGCTGTCTCGCTGCCTATCAACACAAAACACCGCCATCTTCAGAACGCCAACGAACACCAAATTAATAAGCCTGTTGCTCCGTTCGTTGCTCCACAGGCCGCCAAAAATAGAAATTCTGTTAACACCATCAACTCATTACCCACAAAGCTTACCGAGGTGGTCGCGCCCGACCTCCATAGCCCGCTGCTCGCGCAACCAACTGTTGCTCCGCCAAAAATTTACTCGACAAGCTCTGCGGCCTCCACAGGCTCGAGCACAACATCGTTGAGCAAGCTCAAAGTCAGCAATAGAGTCAACTTCAAGGACGTGCTCGGCGAAAACTATAACTCGCGCAAAATGTACACGATGGACCAATTTCTAAGTAGGGATTAATAAAGCATGGTGCATAGTTTATATTCATGCATAGGTTCTACAAAAAACGAATTCTCGTAGCGAGCTCAGACAATCAAGTGAGAGCCGCGGTACTGGAACTTAGAACCAGTTTGGCCAAAAGCGTCCACTGTCTTCTGTCTAGCAGGGAAGTCCTCCAGCGACTTGGCATAAGTGGCAACAGAATGCGCAATGAGCTGGGTGTTGACCACAAATGCGTCGTAGGCAAGGTTGCTAAGGTTGTCACACAGACTGTGATAGCAAGGGTCGAGAACCTCACCATTGAAAGCATTCTTTTTCTCAGCACCCGCAGCAATTCCTCCACCTGGGATCCCATTTTCAATGAAGCCAACATAGTCGGATCTGCCGTCGAAGGGAATGAGAACATAATCTAGTCCCTTCGACTCGTAGTAGTCAATGTAGAGATTTTTCAGCTCCTCAGATCCAACTGGGTTCACAGCGTTGGAAGCGTTGTAGACTTCGTACTCGTAATTTGGAGATGCCATCATATCGTAATCCATGAAAAGTCTGATTTTGAAGTTTTCTTCCGGAGAAAGTGTCTCTGCATAGTAGTTGGAGCCAAGAAGACCTTCCTCTTCAGCAGCCCACCATGCGAATCTGACCTTGTTGTTGACCTTGAAGTTGGACAGTTGCTTGGCAACCTCTAACAACGAAATTGTACCAGACCCGTCGTCGTTGATACCTGGGCCAGCAGCAACGCTGTCAGAATGAGCACCAAGCATAACAACGTTGTCTGGATCACCCTCAATAGTCTCTGCAATGACGTTCAGGGTGTAGATTTCTCCAACAAATGAGTCAACCATAACGGAAGCGTTTAAAGAGGTGTTGTGCAAAAGAGAAGCATACTTTTCACCCTCTAGCTTCGAGATGCCAACAGTAGGAGCAACAACAGCTCCTTTAGGAGGAACACCTAAAGTTCCTCTGATGCTGCCCTCCTCGTTATTGTAAATGATGGCGGCCTTGGCACCAAGATTGCCGGCGTTCTGGGATTTCTGGCCAAATGGACACACACCTCTTTGGACTAGAACAATGGAACCTTCGGTGTCCTCTGGGAAATCCGAAAGGTCGCATCCATTGTTGGAGACAAGAACCAGCGGGCCGCTCACATAATCCTTGTTTGGAGTAGGTGGGCTCATATCCATCTCGGTGAGCGAGTCTGGCTTAGTCCCGTTGATAAAGGCTCCCATGCTGTAAATCTCACTCATATAAGCGGGGAATTTTTGAACGGAGACGTTGTAATATCCGCCAAGTTTGTGGATTTCCTTCTTGATGTAGTCAATTGTTTTCCAGTGGCCCTTGGAGCCAATGACTCTTGTTGGATGTCCAAATTGAGCCACAGAGTGCTCAGCAATTTTGAAAAGGTCCTCGGCTCTGCTTCTCAAGGCATCTTCGGTAATGAGTCCCTGCAATGTCTCAGAGTCGACTTCGGGCAAAAAGTCTTGCTCGTGAGGGTCCAGGTTGAGGACTTGTTGCTCAGTTCCAACAAGCGGCATGGCAGATGCCACAGAAGCCGAAATCCCGGCTAAAACCAACGCGGACAATTTCATAGCAAATAAGTAAAAACGAATGTAACTTCCGAAAGAGAGATTGCAACTGGACAGCTAAACGAATCGCTTTCCAAGGGCAAATAGGTCTTTTTTGAAACTATTTTATTATCAAAAAAGTCAGTCATACGCCCATTCAGATAAGAAAATGTGGCTCTTTGACATCCTTACACCGTCTCGATACTTAAACTAGTAGCACTGCGTTCACGACTCCGTCTCTGTCTGGTTCGTTGGTGATTTGAGCGTACTTACCCCAGACGACCTTACCTCCAGCGGTCACCATTCCCATTTCAGACACGTTGACTTCGATGATGGTTCCCTTGGTGAGCACACCGAGGGTGGTGTACATCGGCGACTGAGGATTCTTCTTGACGGACAGGATAGGCAGCAAGACCGTCACCTTCAGCTCTGGATGCGTCACATTGGCCTTTTTCTGCCTCAATGCGGATGGGCGAATGATTCTCTCCAGTTTCACTGGTCTTCTAGTAAATCCTTCACCAACAAATGTGTGCTTGGTGATCATTCTCTTCCACGATTTTGACTTGGACTTTCCTGTCTTCACCACCTTGAACATCTCTTCTTCACTGATACCGCGCACTTTCGGTAATGGAACAGAAAACTTGTCTGCTTTCTCCATTCTCTTCTGTTTAAGCGAGGAAGTAATGGCCTTTGCTGTGGTCTGTTGCTGTCTGTCTAACAAATATGTAGGTAATGCTTCTCCATCGTCCTCCTTTGGTTTCTTTGGACCCTTAACTTTGCTCTCCTCGTGGGCCTTGATCTTCTTACGCATGGCCACTTTCTCAGAGTAACGCTTCTTGGCGAATTGCTTTCCTTTCCATCCCTTCAAGGTCTGGGCATTTTCGGCAACCTTGTGAAGCTCTCTTGCTTCTCTCTTTCTTTTGCGCTCTTCATAATCCAGCCGTCTTCCGTGCTGCTTAATATGCTGCTCAATATACTCGTTCTGAGGCATTTGGAATAATGTTTATCAAAGATAAATTTGATCTTAAAATTTTTCTTACGGCAGTGCATAAAATTTTAGATCTGAAAAATACTTATCCCATGTCTGTGGAACAGCTGCTTAAATCGATCACGGAGTCAATAGAGCTGACGTCGTCCTCGTTGGACAACGTGGTGGCGTATTTGGAGGACTCGGAGAAAGTTCCAGAGCTTGTGCAGTCGCTTGCTAAAGAGTCAGAGTCTACTCAGGAAATAGAAGGGGTCTCCTTGCTTTCTCTGAAGAATAATAGCATGCTATCATACATCAATAATCTTTTGGTCATTCTTGGTTCGCGCATAAGCCTGATGAAAGATGGAGACACAGAGATGTTTGATAATGCCGTCAAGAATAGCATAGTCCAACGAGTCGCGCTAGACAGGGGTGTCAAGCCTTTAGAAAAGAAACTTAATTATCAGCTCGACAAATTGGTGAGTGCATACCAGCGTCGAGAAAAAGAGCAAAATGACGCTAGCGAAAAAGTGCAGGAAATGGTGAATAACAACGCCAGCGAGGACAGCGAGAATAGTGAGGATGAGGACGAAGGGCTGAATTACAGGCCAGACGCTTCTGCGTTCATGAAAAAAGACTCAAAGCAAGAAACCTCAGAGAAAGACGAGGACGATGGGAAGTACCGTCCACCGAAAATTGCTGCCGCTTTGCCCCCACAGACGTTCTCCGAATCCGACACTACGCAGAAACGCCGCCGAAACCTGCAATCCATGGACGAGTATTTGGAAGAGCTTAGCGAAGCTCCTGCTGTGGAGACTTCCATTGGCTCTACGATTGTTGACAAGGGACGAGACATGAAGACCAGGCGCCAACTGGAAAAAGAGGCCGAAATCCAGCGTTACGAAGAAGAGAATTTCACACGTCTTCCTGCTTCGCAACTGAAAATGTCTGCAAAGGAAAAGCGCAAGAAGAAACAAAACGAATTCTTCGGAGAAGACTGGAGTATGTTTGATAATTCCAGGGACGTGACGACCGAGAAGAAGCGCAAGAGACTCAGTGCATGGGAGCGTGCAAAGCGTAGAAAGGATTAGGGTAAATTCTAAATCTCTTGTTCATACAAAAAAATACACCATATTTCAAAGTAGTCGCAAACCGTCTCGAGTCATAAGCCATGTATCATAAAAATCTTTCGGCGTCATTAGGGCGCACGCGTTGCAAATCGATAGGAGGCAACAGTTGAGAGGTGCTCTCTAGTTTCTTGTCCGCATCGTTGAGGATGCCCATAACCTTGTTGTGGATGCGCTTACCAAAGGAGGCGTGCCGAACCATTGGTAGCATTGGCTTGATGGCGAGTGCGAATCTCACTTTGTTCTCTGGCGAGGAATTGTCCATGGCGGTCTGCACAACGTAGTTTCCGAACTGGTCTTTGACTAGGACTCCGAGAACCTGAGACTGCAAAAGAGCGTCCACCAAAGGGTTGAAGCCGTGGTCGAACTTGATCTTGAGACACTTCTCAACCACGTTTGAGGAAAATTTCTGTGTGGAAAGATCGCAAATGAAGGGCACCATGATCATCACGAGCTCAGAGTTCAGAGACGGGATATCCAGCGAAATCAGAAACTGGACCACGTAGTTGCCAAATTGGTCCTGCATCAGCTGGTACGAGTTCGCGACGATCTCAGAGCCCAGCTGCAGAACCTGCTGGTGGTTGCACCTGTTCAGCAGCTTCTGCAGAACGCAGCAGCCATGCTTATGGGTGGAGATCTTGACTATGTTGTTACAGATGGAGTCGATGATGAACTGCAGGTCGTCATTCTGAAACTTGGCGATGCACTTTTGGACCACATGATTACCGTTCAGGTCCTGGATTAGGCTGACAACGTGCGGAGTCAGACAGTTCTGCAAAAGGCGGTAATGGCCAGTGGTCGAAAGACAGTCAATGAGCTTCTGGCAAGCGCGAGTGCCGTGCTGATTTCTGCAGATGGTATGAATAAACGGGGCAATATTGGTGAGAATCAGGTTGAGCTCTTCAGCGCTCGCGTTGAGGATGATCTTCTGTATGAGATAGTTGCCAAACGGGTCCATCATAAGCTCTATTGAGTGCTGGTGGACCTCTCTGAAGATCAACGGGTAGTTTTTCCCGAAATCCTCGTCAATCTTCTTTTGCAAAAAACGACAGCCAAACTGGTCTTTCGACAAGGCAAGGACGTCCGTGGAGTCGTCCAGCACCGTCGGATAAGAAGATACGCTCTTGCGAGAGCTCTGTTGCGGGACAGCCTGTGATGGTGAGATGGTCAAATTCTGGAATTGTTTCTCAAACGAAGGCACGCTGACGGGGCCTTGCAATGACATGAAGCGGTTTCTGGCAAACTTTTGCTGTTGCGCAGGCTCGTCTGGAGTCGGGACCTGGTTGGGATCTATGCTAGCAGGAAGCCCCAAACTGTCAAGCTCGGGGATGTGGTAAGCAGCGCCCAGCGCATTGGTGCTAGAAGACCCCCATGGAGAATAGAGTTTGAAATTTGGGGGCTGATTCCAAATGGTGTTGGAAAAAGAGCTTTTCCGGGACTGTGATTCTATAGCGCCAGGCTGTTGGGTGAAGTAGTCCGGAGGAGTGAGCGGTTCTGCGGTGGCATTTGCCGCGCCGACATATATATCTGAGATCGTAGTACTGCTTCCACCGACACCGTGGGTCAGAGAGCCAGGGGTCGGGTTCAAGATGGAAGAATTGAGAGAGGAGAGCGAGTTGTGATGGTGATGGGTGTAGTGCGTGTAATTGTCTGCTCCTTCGGGAGACATAAAAACTTGCGCCGTAGGGGTGGACATCAGGCCAGGAGATAGCCGAGGCATCTGACTGGCGTCCTTTAGGTTTTTGGAAAACTCGCTCAGAGAGAGGGTAGATGTCTTTTCGCGTGGAGCGGTGGACTTGTCGTAATCGAATTGCTTTCGGAGTCAGCGCACAAATAATATAATACTTACCATTATGTGAGCGCCAGGGGATGTGATGGATCAGAGATGCGAATTATACTGTACTTGTAGCAACTAATGGGCCGTTCTAAAAAAGGAAGAGATCAATTAATGTTTCATTGGACTTTTAAGTCGTTTACCACTCTGTTCTCGCCTGCACGCCTCGCCTAAAAAGAAAATTCCTGTTCCCAGTAGCCGGTTTGCACGGGTGAGTTAAAATTATTACGGATCTTCTTGATCTCAAATTATTGTTGCAGGGAGGAGTGGATTTATGCACATCCGTGCACCGCGTGACCAGTTCCCGTACGACCTCAAACATGGTCTTGGGATGGCTGCTGCATATGCATGATTGGGCTAGATTTTCGTATGTTGGGTACAGCAATCCTTGAGGAAGGAGGCAGTGCAGGTGCTTGTCGTTTCCGTGATTAGATAAGTGAAGCGAATCCACCTAATTTAGTCGCGAAGAATAAAAAAAAAGAAAAAAGAACATGTGACGCGTCGACCGACCGACCCCACGATCGGAAATACCACCGCGTCGATAGTCGCTTTAATGCCTCCAATTTTTGAAAACCCCCTTTTAAACAGCTGAACCTCAACCTGTACTATTATCCATAAATCATGGCCTCCGTATTTTTGGGAGTCTATGTCGCTCTGTACGACTACCAGGCCCAGAACGACGAGGAGCTTTCCATCCAGGAAAACGATCTTCTTTACCTTCTCGAAAAGTCCGATATAGATGACTGGTGGAAAGTGAAAAAGAGAGTCGTCGACGCAGACGTCGAAGAACCCTCGGGACTGGTTCCCAGTACCTACATCGAGCCGGCGAAGGTGATAGGCCATGCCAGAGCCCTGTACGACTATGACAAACAGACAGAGGAGGAACTCACCTTCACCGAAGGCGCCCAATTCGACGTTTACGATACCTCTGATCAAAACTGGACTCTTGTTGGCTTGAATGGTCAGCAATTTGGATTTGTGCCTGCTAATTACATAGAGATGGGGCAGACTCAACAGCCTGCCTTACAAGCGCCACAACTGTCTTCCTATGGATCCAGTACCGCTCTGAGAAATTTCCCTCCTCCTCCGCAGAGAGCCGACGTGCGTGAGGAAAGAGCTCCATCGATCGCATCTCCTGCACCACAGATGCCTACTCGGCCGAATCTGGCCGACTCTGTGCGTTCTCCAGACGAGGAAGCGCCTCCTCCGATGCCTTCCAGACCAAGAAGCAGCACCGTTAATTCCAGAAGAAGCGTGGTTTCCGACACGTATGCCGAGTCACGCGACTCTGATGGTGTGCCAGCCACTCAGGACAACGATGCATTTGTGAAGGACGACTTCTTCACCTGGACGGTGTACGAGATTGACGGCAGGAAGAAAAAGAAGGCCACATTTGCCATTGGCAACTCGTCGATTTTCATCACTCCGAGCGGGTCGTCGGATTCCAGAGATTGGAGCATCAACGATTTGCTCAGTTACAGCCACGAGAAGAAGCATGTGTTCCTAGACTTCAAGAACCCGACTGCTTCTTATGAGTTGCATGCTGGAACCAAAGATTCTGCAGAGGCTATTGTGTCGATCTTGGGAGATCTCAAAGGCATGGCCTCGATGAATGTCCTAAAGGACGTCAAGGAGGCTTCAATTCCCAACACGAAGAAACAGGGGAAGATCATTTACGACTTCGAGGCCGCCTCTCCAGACGAGCTCACCTGTTTTGAGGGCGATACCGTCAACATCATTAACGACAAAAAGAGCAAGGACTGGTGGATGGTGCAGAACGTCGAAACCGGAGAACAAGGGGTTGTCCCTTCAAACTACGTCAAGGTTATCGGCCCAAGCTCTGGATCCGCTGCGGCCGCCGGCCTGAGGTCGTTGTTCTCCAGGAAAGGCTCTTCCTCGTCGCTGAGTCCGAAAAAGAAACGTGTCGAGAAGGAGAAGAAAAAGGAGGCCGAAAGAGAGTTGGCTATCGAAAGAGAGGAGCTGGAGAGACAGAGACGTCGCCAGCAGCGCAAAGAGAGGGAGCTCAGGGACCGTTCTGAAAGAGAGAGAATCAGAAAAGCCGACGAAAGGGAAAGAGAAAAAAGAGCCAAATCCAGCTCCAAGCACAAGGACTCGTCAAAGCCCAACCCCTACCGTGTTCGTACGTGGATCGACAGATCTGGCTCTTTCAAAGTCGAGGCCGAGTTTCTCGGATGTTCTGATGGGAAGATCCATTTGCATAAAGTGAACGGTGTCAAGATCGCTGTTGCTGCTCAGAAGTTATCTGTGGAGGACTTGGAGTTTGTGGAGAGGATTACCGGCATGTCCCTGGAGTCTTACAAGGACAAAAAGCAGTCGCCTCCTCAGCGTTCGGAGCCTGCTCCAGCTGTTGTTGCGGCTCCAGAAAAACCAAAGAGCTCTGCTATACCGTTCAACGAGAAATTGTATGAATTTTGGTTCGACTTCTTTGTCACTTGTGGAGTCGACGCAAACGTTTGTGACAAGTATGCCAGAAACTTTACCACAGAGCAGATGGACGAGGCTATCATGGCAGACATCGATACTCCTTTGATGAGAACACTTGGATTGAAAGAGGGAGATATTTTGAGAGTCAACAAGTATCTGGATAGCAGGTTCAATCGCAAGCCAGAGCCTATCTCGACCCAGCCAACTAACGGCGGCCTCTTCAGTACCAATGACGGCTCGTTAAAGACCAACAAGGCCAACGCATCGTCGGACTCGGTGAACGGCCAAAATCTGAAGCAGCAGTTCGAAGACGACGCCTGGTCCTTGAAGCCGGCTGCTAAGACTGGTGAGTCCAGGCCAGTGACACCACAGCTCACTGGATCGATCCAGGATCTAGTGAATATCAAGCCAATGGAGCCAACCAAGAGTGGCCTTGTCGAGTCTTCAGCTTCAGCTCCTGCGCCTCAAAAGCCTACATCGACGGGATCGGCCAGTACCCTTCCAGCTGTTACCCCTCAGAAGACTTCGGGCACGCTGAATCCGCAATTGACAGCCATGCAGACCGGTGCCCTGATGGCAATGCCTACCGGTTTCATGCCTATCACCATGGTTCCTATGCTTACAGGCCAAGCCACCGGCTTGATACCTTTGCAGCCAACAGGAAAGATCATGCCGGCTACCACTTTTGCTCAAAGGACCGGAGGCACCATGCCAGCCACTACCTTTGCTCAGAAGACAGGTGGCTTCATGCCTGTGACCACATTTGGCTCTTTTGCTCAGCCTCAGCCTACGGGAGGCTTAGTGCCTCTGCAGCCAACGGGTCTGGTGATCAACAAGACAGGAGGAATGCAAAGAACTGGAGGCAATCTGGTGCCTTTGCAGACCAGCTTCCCAGCAATGCAGGCTACCATGAAAACAGGTGGCTTGATGGGACAACCTCTTGGCACGTTTGGACAGCAGACTGGCCTGCAAGGCGGAGTGATGGGACAGCAGACTGGATTCCAAAATGGTGGTTTCGGCCAGCCAACCGGCTTCCAATCCGGGTATCAGCCAGGTTTCCAGCCAAGCATCCAGCCAAACTTTCAACCGAACTTCCAAACAGGTCTCCAAACAGGAGCACAGACAGGATTACAAAATGGACTAACGGGTCAGCGTACCGGCTTTGTTCCTCAGAGCCAGTTCGGTATGAACCAGCTCAGCAATATGTTTGCGCAAACGTCGCTCGGTGGTCCAACGGGTGTAAATAACATGAACGGCATGAGTACCGGCTTCAACACCATGTCGAACCCGGCCTCGAGCTTCAATACGGGTCTGAATATGAATGGCATGAACCAGTTCCCACCGACCAGCTTTAATTCTTCGTTCAACGAGCCTTTAACTTCGCAGCCAACTGGACTGGGCTTTGGTAATGCTCCATCCACATCTTTTGGGCTCCAAAGTCAACCTACCGGCAAGAGAGCTAATCTGGCTAATGCTACCGCAGATAATCCGTTCGGATTTTAGGAGTTCTATAAGTACAATTAGTCAATTCGTATACACTTCAAAGCCGAAATAAATAGAGAAAACTCAAGCTGGTGGATAATTAGAAGGGTCATTGCTTGACTGAGGCGGCCGCCGCAGCAGCAGCCACGGCCGCGGCCGTTGCCTCAGACTCATCGGTCATTCCTTCGTCTTTCGACTGCATGTCATTTCCTTCTGTAAGGAACTCGATAGGCTCTCCGTTGGCGTTGAACAGGTGATTAGGAAGCGCTCCGTAAAGCCAGAAAAGACCTTTGTTTTTCTTGATCCGGTAGTTTTCCAGAAGTCGAACCACATCTTCTTCCGTGACGCCTGGGTTCCGTTTTGCCTCACTTTCAATGAATTCAATAACCTTCTTTCTTCTCTGAGCACTTTTGGCAATCCTTCCGCGTCTCCATCTGGTACCGTACCTTCTTTCGAGCGATTTCAAGGGTTCCTGATTTCTGTAGCCTATATTCCACTCCTCCCACAGGTCCTGCACCGATTTTGCTCTAGAATTGAGGTCGACCTCGGGCAAGTTGGCGTCGTTCGAGTACGACTTTCCCGAATGGTCCAACTCGTCATCTGGCAGGGACTCTGACATGGTCTTTTGTTTCTTGACGGCTCCAAGAGAATCCTGCTCTAATCCGTGTTTCGGAAGACCATTTTGGGCCTGCTGTGCGACTTGGAACATCATCAGTCTTGCGTCGATATCTTTGGCAGAAATCTTTGAATCTCCTCCATTCTGCTGCTGGTTGGACTCGTACGTGTCTGAGAGCGTGGCAGCCAGAGTTGCAATGGAACCAGCCTTATTTCTCAGTTCTGCCAAAGAGTTCGAAATGGAGTCGAATGAGGTGGCAATCGATTCCGACAAATCTTTGAGCTGGGTCAAGAAAAGTGTATTGAGGTGTTCCGACGTGTTAGGCACGTTGGCCTGAGCTATCCTTTCGTCTTGATTCGACATTATTTGTTTATGTTTTCAGTAGTCCCGTCGATAGTCGAATTGAAAGAAATAATACCAGTTGTTGGTAGCGTGTTGAAACAAGTTTGTTTGCGACTTCTTTGCAAGCTACAACGATGATGACAAACAGCTGAAGCGGTAGTCCGAAGGTTTCGCTAAAAACAAAAGCCGAAAGATATGCTGACGACACCGACAAGTGAGTAAAAATGACAAAGGGGGAGAACGTCCGACGCGACGATTGGACGACTGGACGATTTTCATTGGACGAAATTCCGCAAAAGAAAAGCGGGGGGCAAAGTTGCAGGAGAGCAAAAAAGGGGGATGCGAAGCCGTGGAACGAAACGAGCCTGTGAAGGGCACTTACGGAAGCCATACAGAGAGCTATAATACTGATATTCGGAGTCTTCGGGCTACGACAGAGGTATCAACTGCAATTATTCATTTCTACTTTTCATTGGCCTAAAAGATTAAGGTTTGAGTTCACGCTGCATCATAGCTTGCCGATGGACCCCACCCCGCCACACAACTATTTCCATAACCCACGCACGGGTGCTTTGTGTAAGACATTGAGAAGCGTTAAATGCTGCTCGAAAAAGCTTCGTTTTCCAGCCATAAAAATCAGCCACACACAGCCACAAACGCGTTTATTGAGCACCCCAAACAAAAACAATACTTATGGATTGGTTCAGGAAAAAGAACGACGAGGACTCGTTGGAGCTTCGAAAGTCCCAGGCGGCGAACGCAAAAGTGAAGCTAACAGATATGCTGTACAATGGCGGCAAGCTTCAACCTGATGAGACTGTCTTTTCCAGCGAGGGAGAAAAGAAAGCAGGAGAGTTCAGCGCGGAGCTCAATCGCCAACTCAAAGAGAAGGAGGAGCGGATTTTGCGAAATAAGCGAATCAGAAGCAGGGAAGAGCCGCTGAAAGAGAACATCGATGCCCGTCCAAAGCTCGAGGTAGAGAAGGTCGAATTGCAGGAGCTTAGGCGCCGAGTGAGCAAGCTAGAAGGGTTGTTAGAGGACGAGCGGCTCCGTCGGGGGCTTCTGGAACGCAAGCTAGGGGAGGAAAGAAGAGAGCTGGAGGTACAAAGAGACGAGCTTGAAAGACGCAAGCAGGATTTCAGTGCACACGAACAGCAGCAGGAGTCGCGCATCGAGAGGCTCCAACGCAGATACGAGGAGATAATACAAGAAAGCGAGTCCTGGAAAACCGAGAAGAAAAAGCTGGAAGCGAAACTCGACGCGAAAAACAGAGAATACAGACAGCTGGAGCAGAAATTAAGAGACCAGCGGGTTTTGCAGCGCAAGACAGAAAAGCTGGAAGCCGTGATTGAACAGCAGGAAATGGAGATCAAAAGGTTGAAAGGTATGCTCAGAACCAAAGACGACGAGTGCGAGGACTTGCTGGTGAAAAACAGACAGCTGACGAGGAAAGTCCACAACTTGCAGAGCAACAATCCGCCTGCGAGAAAAGAGGAACCAGTATTGGAAGCGACTTTAGACACAGAGCTGCTACACAAGCTTTCCTTGAGCGAGATAATCAGGGATGCAGGGAAACAGCGCCAGCCGTCCGAGGTCAAGGAAACGGACCACGGCCTTTCTGAGAGCCCTTCATTATGGGCTCGGTCACCATCTACAACAACCCTGTTCCACTCCAAGCCAGCGGAAAACACGGACTATCTGCTAAACTTGTAATGTACATTAGACATACAAAAATATAGGAGCGTTACCCGGCCCCCTAGAAAGTATGGGGTCATATATATGCGAGACGTAACACCTTATATACTTGTGTTGTCTGTCTATGTCGATAGTACGGTATAACGACAAGCTTTTGAGCGTTGTTCACCATAATAAGTCGCTGAACTCAGTTGTGATATACAACTCTGAGACAGAGAACCTGGAGCTAGTCAAGCTGGATCACGAGGAATCTAATGGTTCTCATGGCAGAAGGCGTCGGTCTGTTCCGTCCCAATTCGAATTTGTTTGTCCTGACTGCGGCTACCAGTGCAACATCAATCCTCCCTCTTCGAACGAGTCCCCTCGAAGGTCGTCAGGGTCCGATTTTTTGCGAAACGATTATTTCAGGCTCCTGGCTCGAGCAGATTCTGGAAACGAATCCAACAAAGAGCTGATCTCTACATTAATTCGCCAGGCGCATCCTGCTGATATAGACCAGATACCCGTGGAGCTGATCAACCAGGGCTATTTCAAGAAATTTTTCTCTGTTTTGGGAGACCTAGGGAACGGGTCTAACGGCAAAGTGCTAAAGGTCGAGCATAAACTTTTCAATCTGCAATTGGGGGTATTTGCCTTGAAAAAGATAGCTATTGGCAATCATTTCGGTAACTTGGTTCGCATCTTGAACGAGGTCAAGTTTCTTTACAGTCTCACAGAGTCATCCAATACCACTAATGCCAACATTATAAAATACAATCACGTGTGGCTCGAGGTCGATCAGATCAGCAGCTTCGGACCGCAGGTTCCTGTTGTGTTTATCTTATTCGAGTACTGTGATGGGGGTACGCTTGAGCAGTTTATAGAGAACCTTTTGCAGCCTAAATTCGACATCAAGCTGGAGAAAATGCGTCGTCGCATGAAGAAAAGGGGAATAACGGGAGCGGGCACAGACCGGCGGTACCTGAACAATTTTGAAATCTACAAAATCTTCAAAGATGTCTTGAATGGATTGCATCACTTGCATGAACAGAAGACCCTTCATAGAGACCTCAAACCGTCAAACTGTTTGTTTAAGACGAGCTTTCCAGACGACTACAAGCCGATCGACTCGGTTGATGACCTGGGACAGATCCCAAATCTTGTGGTCAGCGATTTCGGCGAGTCCATCATGGAGAACTCCAAAAGAAATTCCACCGGATGCACAGGTACACTAGAGTTCTGTGCTCCAGAATTGTTTGAGGAGGTCGACCCTGGACAGCTACACGATTTTTCTTACTACTCAGATGTTTACTCACTAGGAATGATACTATATTACATATGTTTTGGAAAGCTGCCATTCAAGTCTTCTGATCAAAACGCGATTCGTGAAGAAATCGTGAGTTGCAATCTGTTTGAAGACATTGACAAGTTGCGCAAAGATGGGTTGCTGCCAGATTATTTGCGCTTGATAAGACTCATGTGCGACCCTGATGCCAAAAAACGGCCAACCTGCGAGCAGGTGATGTCAGAGATGGAACAGATCCACGATAAGCTTGCCAGGCAAAGCTACAAGAAGTTTGCTCTGGCAAGAGCGTTGTGGCAGACAGGCCTGAACATAGCTCAGATTCTGCTCAACATCCGGCTGTGTCCATATCCGGCGCTAAACAATCTCCAGTTCGTGTTGGTAGGGGTGCTGATTTCACAGAAGAACGTGCGGTATCTGACGTGGCTCGAAATCGCACTCACAATGCTGTTTCTCGCTCTCAGCATTGGCAGCTACTGGACTGGTTTTTTTTCAAGCTCAGATCAATGATTCCATTGTTGTCTGCCGAGAATTCGTGAAACAGCTTATCGTCAACACTGTCAACCACATACTCAAAAAGCTCTATCAAGCCAATATTCTCCTTTGCACTCACCTTGAAATATTTGCAGATCTCGGGGTTAACATTGAGAAACTGGCGTATTTCGTCTTCGAAAGCACATTCTCCACTCACAAGATCACATTTGTTGCCCACAAGGACAAGCTTGAGAGAGGAGTTGTTGTCGCTCTTGTAAGTTTCCAACTCTTTTATCCAGTATTCAGCCTTCCTGAAACTATCTATACTAGTCATATCAAACACAATAAATGCCATATTTGAGTTTCTGTAGTATAGCGGTGTGAGATTGTGAAACCTCTCCTGTCCAGCGGTATCCCAAATCTGCAAATTGACCATCTTGTCGCCATTGTCTTTGCTGACCTTTTTGGACACAAAAGCGGCACCAACAGTGGACGCCTTTGTATCGTCAAACGTGCCATTTTGTACGCGTTGTATTATTGATGATTTTCCCACAGAGGACTCCCCAAGCAGCACCAACTTGAAATCAGCACTGAGTCGCGGGCTCACGACATCAAAGTCCATATGAGGAATAACGGTGGTCATTTTATAGATAAGATTTTTATCTGCCGGTAAAATTACATAATCCACGAGGATTTATTTAGGGGAAAGAAAAGGGAATAATCAATATCTGACCACAGTGACATGGCTCCATTTTGTAAATTCTCCTTGGACCTTAAACCGTCTGAAGGGCTTGGGTTTATTGAATTGGGCAGGTCTCTTTATCAGATATCCTCGTTACTTCGCAAACATGGTATGCACAACGACATTCGCTTTATCTATGCCAACGAATCGAAAACTACAGTTCTTCAGCTGACCAAGCTAAACATCAATCTCGTGTTTGATGCCTGCAGCCATGTCTTGCTGCTTATCGAAATAAACCAGGTAGGCAGTTACGGCGTCGAGTACAAATATAAAGGCGAATCCATGTCCTCCTTCCACTTCAAACACATCTACAACAAGATATTCGGTCCGACGTATCCGGGTACCAAGGACGAAGCATCAAAGAGCTACAGACTCTCGTATCCAGGAATTGCTTTTCTGTTCAATATCGAGGGCGTAGCTCTGAATCAGGGCAGCGACGACCTGATTAGGACCCTAAACAACAATAAAGATGATATCAATTGCTACTCGATCACTATTTTCAAGGGAGATAGCTGGCTCGAGGGTGCTCAGAAAATAAGGGATGTTATTGAAGATACTAATATGACTAGCAAAATCCGTCAGTTATCTGACCTATTCCCATCAGCTAATGGTTCACAAAAGGCCATGGGCTACGCTTCGATTGATTTGCAAGCGAGACCGTGCGTATCAATCCCTGAATACTCCCAAATTGCTCTTGTTGTTGGAGTTTCCACTATGCAGGAGGTGACGTCCAAACTTGGGCCTCCAGACGACACCCTACTGAAATACAGAGAGATCACCAGTTACGGTTCTAAGAGTATCAAGATATACAAAATCCATAATTACTTCCGGTACGGATTGGATTTGATTTATGTGCTTGACGAAACCAAGAATGGGTCAAGTATTCTCGCAAAGATCACTATACATTGCAATATCGAGAACTCGCTGGAATTTTTGAAATATGAGAAACTTAATTTCAAAATCGAATCCTTGACCTCAACGGAGACAGTATACAGCCATCAGTCATTTGACGAAATCCAAAAGCTCTTGCCCCGAGAATTAAAGAATAAGTTTGTTTTTTTGAACAGGAAAGAGTATGAGATCAACTCTTTCAGCATAAACTCTGATAACGCATTTGAAGTTATTGATTACGAGGACAATTTTGACAGCAGTACATCCGTAGAGGACGAAAGTACGTCCAGCGCGAACGCAGAAGAAAACGAAGAGTACAAGAACTGGGGACTAACAAAGCTTTTTGGGTACGGCAGGTGCTTATTCGAAATTCTTATTGACGGCAACAGGATCAGTTCGGTCACAATAGTTTAATTTAATTTGTTCTTCACATCATCATTAGTATATATCATTATTTATAAGTCATATAAAATCCCTAATTAAATCCCAATCCTTCCAACTTAGTATGAGTAACCGATATAAGAATCGATCGCGACGTTTCTATTAAATAAGGTGATTTCGGGAACTTCAATGTCCGTTTTGATATTTGGCATCTGCTGGAAAATCTGAGAGTAGTTGTAATTAAGCCTAATATCTTTGTAAATGTAGTTCTTGAAGTTTGCCAAGGAAATGAAGTAAGGGGCGCACAGTTTCCAAAGTTTGAAGTAGATATCAATCCTCGAGTTTGGATCACTGAAAGTGTACAACTGTTGAGAATTGATGGTAGCGTCTCTCAGTGCGATCCAATCTGCATGAGCAATATACTTCATTCCAGTGGAGGCATTCAAACTGAGTAACTGTCTGAATAGTATTAAAATCTGGTCAGCACCAATGTCAACCGTACCGCATGCTTTCAGACAACATCTGAAGAAGACATTCGTTTTTGAAAAGTTGTTATCTTGTGCCACTTTGAAAATGTATTCCAAAGTGCGAGCATTGCGCCAGATAGTGCTCTTGGAAAGCAGCACATTGATGAAAGGCTCGTCAATCGGTCTGATTGCAGTGTAGTCAGCAATGAGCTGTTGCAGCTCCAAAAAAACCGGCTCTGAAAACTCCGGATTTTTCGCAAAAAATATTGATAAGAACGAGTCATTCAAAGAAGATGAAACAGACGAGTTTGAAGTCTTCTTTGTTTCATAGTCCTTCCATGTCGTCAGCCAGATACGTTTGACTTTCTCAAAGTCCTGGGTGACTTCCCAAGTGTTGGCAAGATACTTCTTGACAAAATTCAACTGGAGAGGCGTCAAATAAGGCATGCTCTCATTGACGGCATCTTTGAAGAACACATCTGCAGTGTCAATATCCTTGCTGAAGCCAATGAAGGACAAGTGCGCCATGGTCATGTAGCTCTTCACATTGATAGGAGGATCAATACCTTTGGAAATGAACCTCGAATAGACGTCAGAGGATAGCTGTTGAAAGACATCCAGCGCATCTTGAGTGCGTCCCTTGAATAGACACACCCTGATCATGCCCACTTGCAACTCGTTGTGCAGTTTTTCATTGCGGCCTTTGCTTGCCTTAATTTTCTCGTACATGCTCCAAACCTCCTCAAAATTAAAGTCTCCGCTCTCAACCAAAAATGGAAAAATCGAGCCCAAGACAGGCTCGGAGGTGAACAAATGATAAAGCTTTGGGTTGCTCTTGCCAGTCTCCCAGATATGAACAGCCTCAAAGGTGAAGCCCAGATCCTTGTAAGCCTTGAAAAGATGGGTCAGTCCGTGAGCATTCAGAGTGATGGAGCCGTCGAGTAAGTTATAAGACACCTCTCGAATGGCACATGTAAGAAGGTAGTGAATATTTTTAATTGGATTCGTGGAATCCTTGTCCAAGTTTTTCTTGAGCTTTGACAGTTCTAGCCTATGGATTCTCAATCCGTTCCTGAGCAATGAGACAAACTCGCCCATTCTCTTTTCGTCTAGCTCCCCGGTCTGGACAAGGGACCGGTACAAGGGAATGATTTTTTTAACGGCTGCCCAAAAATTGTCAACCCCCCCGCTTATCCGGCCGGTAGCCAGATCGTAAGTAGAGTTCTGCAACAAGCATTGGTCAAATGCAAGTAAATCTCGATGGGTGTTGGAGTCTTCTGGGGTATATGAACGCCAATTGTTATTAGAAATTTCATGGGGTGCCACGGTGTAGTTTCCCACGTTTCTCTGTTGGTGTGGAATAACAGTGGAATTGTATTTCTTGGAGCTAAAAGGCTGACCCGAGCCCTGTTGTTCCACAAGACTATTCAATAGTCTTGTCTGAGGTGATGGCTGATGCTGTAGGGCTTTGGTCGACACCCTTTGTCCCTGCTTGAGGGAATTTGAGGTGAGCGATCTGAACATGTTACTGAAAATAAGATGCAGAAGATTTGATGTCGTATTTATTTGCCCCCAGATCACGCTATAATTTTTTTAAATACCTCGTATATCGGAAATTACTGGCTCGAGGTGTCTGCGCCCGAAAAATCACGATCTTCATTTTTGCGAATACGTCAGCCTCTACCGCCTTTTCTCTTTACTTTGTAGCCGCGCTTGGCCCCATTCTGACCAAATGAGTCAAAATGAAAATTAAACCCGAATGGTTCCCCCTGAAAAAAGGCGCCGCCGCCTGCATTAGGAGGTCGAAAATGTTGACCTGCAAAGCCCGGCCCATGGTGACCACCTGATTGCTGGTCGTATTGTTGTTTCGATTCCGCATCCGAGAGGATCTCGTAGGCATTGTTGATCTCAGCCACCTTCTGCTCGATTTCCTCCTGCGAAAGATTGGAATTCTTCATTTTATCCGGGTGGTTTTGCTTCATTTTCTCTCTGTATGCTTTTCTAATTTCGGCATCATCAGCAGTTTTCGAGACTCCCAACACTTTATAAGGATCCATGCCGTCCGGTGCTCTTTGTGGAGGCGGCTGTTGGTTCTGCTGATATTGTTGATAATGCTGGTATTGTCTTTGTTGTTGCTGCTGCTGCTGCTGCCTGGCTCTCTGCCTCTGCTCGTTCTCTCTGAACTTGAGCAGCTGTTCGTTTCTTTGTTTCCATAACGAGCTCTGTTTGAAACCGCCACGCATGGCATCCAACTTCTGCTTCGCCTCGGCATACTTTTTTTTGCGCAGCAGCTTGTCCACTTCTCCAAACTGCTCCGGCAGAATCTCGTCCTTGTAATCTAACTTATTCTTGTATGGCTTTCCCGTGCGGGTACAGGACTCCTTAGCCATACGAGCAAGCTCGTGGAGGAACGGCGAGTGGTCCAGACTCTCCTGTTTCGAAAATCCAAACCGTTCGAGGGCTTTCACAGCCAACTCTACCAGGACGTCCAAATTGGTAGGGTGTTTGGAAAGATCTACACCAAGCAGACTCTCCCGGCCGCGCACCTTAATCTTACCAAATATGAGCTCATGCAACTGTCTCCATACATCATCCGATGGTTCTAATTCCTCCAAACGCTTGAAATCTCCCTCGTCTAAATATAGGTATGAGTAGTAAATGGAGACCTGCTCATACAAATCGAGAAGTTTGCTCATCTTGACCGTCATCTTAGTCCGTTCGCGGCATTCCTTATAGTCATTGTCGTATTTAAGACACGTTTTCAACACTTTGGAGCAGCTGCCGATGTCCACGGCCTTGCCAAAAAATTGTAAGTCAAAAAGGTCGACATAGTTTTCTAGAGCCCTATCGTTGTTCACAAGTACGCCGTACTGGTCGGCTAGAAGCTGAACCTTTTGCGGAAAATCTAGCTTGGAATTTCTCAAACAGTCAGTAATTATGGCTCGCACCCTCATGTTCAATGGGGAGATGTTGATGAGCTCCTGTGCTTTTTCTATGCATTCTGTGTATTTCTTCTTGTTGTATAGTGTCACCACGGCCTGTTCCAATTGCTTATATTCATCCACATTGATTCCTCGCGCTTGTGCCTCATCGTACTCACCCATCTCGATACATAGCTCTCGCAGTCGGTCTAAACACCCCTGGTGACTCGGATTGATATCGAGACAGTATTCGAAATCCTGCAAAGCCAATTTGTCTCGCTTGAGTGAAAAATTGACTAGGCCATGCTTATACAACACATTGGATATAGTAGGATCTAGGGGATCCGTTTTTCGAAGATCGTTCAAAATGGCATCATATTCTTGAAGAATTTGAAGCGAGGCGCCTTCAGTCAAAAATCGCTGATCAGCCTCCTCTAGCGAGCCGCCCAGCACCAAGGATAACAAACATGCAACACTGAACACACACGGTGACCTCATGTATAATATAAGTTAAGACGCTTTTTCTTTGATATTTTTCGTATTATTTTTCTTTTACATTCTATTATACAATCTACCAGTCTCCTGCGTATCGGGTGAACTTAGATGGAAGGCTCACCATAGACCGATTGCTGCGGCTCCTCACCGGCTCTGCATTGGTCCGGTGTCCGAAATGAAAGCTTCTAACGGACCTGCCCGAAAGTCTCATATCAGAAGGATCTCTCCTGAGCAGCCGCAGATAGTAAGCAGATGCCAAACCGGCCGCACACACCACGAAAACAATAAATCCTATAATACCGCCAAACCAGTGATAATTCTCGACATCCTGTCCCGGAACCCTGACGTTCATCCCGAAAAGACCCGTCACCAAGTTCAAAGGCACAAGAATGGTACCCAACAAAGTCACCTTCGAGAGCAGCTCGGTGACCTTATTGTTAGAGTAGAAAGACTCGACCTGCAGCTGAGCCAAATAATTGGAGTGAGAGCGGCTGAAAATCTTCTCGTAGGACAACAGCGATTGGAACATAGTAATGATATGGTCCTGAATATCACCCAAGAATAAAGCAATGTCTCCACGGGGCTGTGCTGCATTCTGCGATGTCAAGGCTTCATCCTGGCACCTCTTAGCAAACATCTTGATGACGTCGGCTTTGCCCTGCAACAACCTCATCAGTGTCATGACCTTGCGTCTACTCTCTCCAATTTTGAAAAGCATGGTTCCAAACTCGCTTTCACGGGACAGGAACACAGAGTCCTCAATAGCGTCTGCCTCGTACTCGATAGCGTGGATCACAGGAGCAAATCCATCGGTGATGTCATCGATCAAGGCATAGCAGAGCCAGTCGGCGCTCACATTGACGTAATCTTTCAATTGTCTCACTCTTCTTCTGACGTTGGCCGGGTGAGATATTGGAGAGAAATGGAAAGTGAGGATACCGTTGCGAAACACAACGATATACACATTGATAGGCTCGAGGAAATCCTCACTTTCGCTGTCGGTCTCAAATGTGTGGAAACAGACAAAATAGTAATTCTTGAACAGCTCCACTTTCTCACGAGTCTCCTGCATCCGGATATCTTCTGCTGTCAAAGGATGAATACCAAAAGCTTTGGCCAACATTTTCATCTCATTGTCAGTTGGACAAACGCAGTCGAGCCACCAAATAGCCTCCTCCTGCTGAAACAGGCTCTGAAAGGGAGTTCCAGGAGGAACCAAAGATGGAATATCTGGGGCGTGAATGGTTTCCTCATCCTCGGAAGAGAAAAAGCTAAATCTATCCGGAGGAGCAGACTCCTTGGAAGGGAATTGCTTTTCAAAAGTGACACCGTTGCCGTCGCTGTCACTGCTGTCAGTGACCGCGTACGTGTCCTTGCTTCCCGAAGAGTCCTTTTCATCTGAACGTGGAGTGTATTTAAGTGCTGCGGTGCTGAATTTTTGAGAACCAGTAGCCCTGGACGCGTAGCTGTCCTGTCTAAGATCCTCTTCTCTCTTCATGAAAATCTCATTTTCCTCCCTCTGTTCTTTGATGAATTCCTCAATTTCGTCGAAGTCAATGCCACGGATACGAATGTGTTCCGGAACCATTGGAAAACACACATCTTCCTCTGTCTCTTGTGAGTCATTGGAGGCATGCGAGTCTCTGTCGCTGTCATTGTCGCTGTCCTTTTCCTTGATGTTGCTGTTACTAGGACGTCTTTTGGATCTGTCGCTTTTGGTACTGGCCTTAGAAATTGTACGGGCAAGGTTGCTATTGGAAGTGATGGTGATGTTTTTGTCCGTATTAGGGCGCCCTGCCGGTAATAAAATACCCCCGGAGAAAGATTCCTCGCGAGGCTTGATAAACGATTTGACCTGCTCACCAAAAGAGCGCGAACGGGTAGACCGCCTGCGTTGCTGGACCGGAGGCATTTGAGAAGGGATCTTAATGGCAAAGTCATCTTCATCATCGTCGATGGCCACCATCCTGTCTCTCAATTCACTAGAGTCAAGCAGCTGGTCTGGCTTTCTTGCCACAGGCTCGTTCAGTCCTGGTCTTTCCACAACGCTAGAGCGATGTGACGCAAAGCGGGTAGGCCGCGAGCCCTCCGCTTGGTAATGTTTGGAATCTTGTTTGACAGGAAGAGTCATGTTCTGATGCCTGTGATCGTTCAGACGTGAATCGCCACTAATGCTGGAATGCATGGACGCAACATCCTTTGAAGAAGTCGCAGACATCGCTGGAGAACGGGATCTAGAAGAACCGCGGTCAGACATGTTGTAATATTATTCTTGATACGACTAAGTTATCGAGGCTCTTTTGTTGTCATGCAGTGTAAGCTTATCACCCGGAAATTCACAGTTGAATATTTTGTATTTGCTGGCGGTCTTGGCCACTAGCTGTCAATGCTCATCTATTACTTAGTGCTGAATATATTTTTAAAATTTTTTTCTAGACAGCGCACGTGGAAGAGAATGGCAGGTGCTACAACAGGAAAATTTCATATCGTGATTTTTTCTTTCTAGTACAAATCCTGACTGTTCTTGATAGTGCATCCAGGCAAATTTTTGCGCTCAACAAGCTTTCCAATGGTGTAGACGGTCTCTCCAGCCTCCTTAAGAACTTTGGTGACCTCCTCGACATTCTCAGGTTTCACAATGGCCACCATACCAATACCCATGTTTAGAGTCTTCAAAATATCGTTGATTGGTACTCCTCCTGTCTTTCCCAGCCATGTGAAAATCTCAGGGACAGTCCAAGTGGACATGTCCACTTCTGCACTCAAATTGTCGGGAAGTGCTCTTGGAATGTTCTCAACAAGTCCTCCTCCAGTGATGTGAGCAAGTCCAAGAATCAGAGCCCTTCTGGTAGCACGAAGCAGCTGCTTGACGTAGATTCTGGTTGGAATTAGAACTTCCTCGCCGATCGTCGACTTCGGGTTCCATGGTGCAGGATCTGTATATTTATAGTCGGTAGTCTCGATGATCTTTCTAATCAACGAGAACCCGTTCGAGTGCACGCCGTCAGAGGCAAGACCAAGAAGCACGTCGCCGGCTTTCATTTCGTCCTTTTTTGGCAAGATATCGCCTTTCAGAACCGCGCCAACGGCAGTGCCGTTGGTGTCGTAGTGACCAGGAGCGTACATCCCTGGCATCTCACTGGTCTCACCGCCGACAAGAGCACAGCCCGACAATTTGCAACCATTGGCAACACCTTCCACAAAATCGGCAGCAACTTTGATATCCAGATGAGCAGTTGCAAAGTAGTCCAGGAACATCAGTGGCTCAGCACCCTGAACAACCAGGTCGTTGACATTCATGGCCACGAGGTCGATACCAACGGTATTGTGGATACCCATGATCTGGGCGACTCTAAGCTTGGTTCCAACACCGTCTGTAGCGGCCACAAGAAGAGTGTTGTTGATGTCTGTGTATCCAGCCCTCTGCAGATCGAACAGACCTCCAAACCCACCAATTTCCGAGTCCGCACCTGGTCTCTTCGTGGATTTGACGCTCTTTTTGATTTTCTCCACCAGTTGGTTTCCAGCATCGACAGAAACACCTGCATCCTCGTACGTTATCGAGACCTTGTTTTTTGGCTTTTCTCTGAACGCACGGTGAGCAATATCCGTTCGGTTGTATTTGTCCTTGAATGAGATATGGTCGACACCGATGTAAGCCTTCTTGACAGCTTCTTCCAAAGTGTCGGCGATTGCGGTGGCAGCAATCACACGACCACCGGCAGTGACAACCTTACCGTTTTCTTCCTTGGTACCAGCATGGAAAATGAACGTGTTCTCTGGCAATGGCTCCTTGACGGTGATCTCGTCTCCCTTTCTGTAAGACTCTGGATATCCGCCAGCAGCAACAACAACGGTAGTGCTGTACTTGTCCGTGTGGACCTGGAAGTCGACGCTATCGAGACGATGTTCAACAGTGGCCAACATCAGCTCCAGAAGGTCAGACTTTAGTAACGGCAGCACAGTCTGGGTCTCCGGGTCTCCGAACCGCACATTATATTCAAGGACTTTTGGTTCACCATCAGGAGTCACCATGATACCAACAAACAAACATCCAACCATTGGGTAGCCGTCTTTTCTCATTCCATCGATTGTTGGTTTCAAGATACTGTTTCTGATCTTCTCCAGCAACGATGGGGTGCCAATAGGGGCGGGCGAGTAAGCACCCATTCCTCCAGTATTCAGACCAGTATCCCCGTTGCCAATACGTTTGTGGTCTTGGGCAGGAGGAAGATCGACAAAGGAGTAGCCGTCGCTAATACATAGAATAGACAGCTCATCTCCCTCGAGAAACTCCTCAATAACAACCTCGTCACCGGCAGAACCAAACTGTCTGTTGACCATAATTTCTTTGATGGCTTCGTAAGCTTCCTCTTTGTTAGCTGGGATCAAAACACCTTTGCCAGCAGCGATTCCTGATGCCTTAATAACTAAATTATGGTTGGAATTGGCAATATATTGTTTGGCAGCCTCGCAATCGGTGAAGTTCTCGTATCTGGCAGTAGGGATGTTGTGCCTCTTCATAAAGTCTTTGGAAAATGTCTTGGATCCTTCCATTCTGGCAGCTTTGGCACTAGGACCGAAAACTGGAATACCAGCTTTCTGGAACCATGTAGTGATGCCGTCAACCAGTGGCTGCTCTGGACCAGGTATAGCAAGACCAACGTCTTGTTTGGTGGCAAAGTCAACCAATGAACTGAAATCAGAAGGGGAGGATCCGATAGGGACAGAGGTGACATTATCAAGTTTTGAAAAGCCACCATTTCCCGGCGCGACAAAGATATGTTTGACCCATGGCGATTGGACCAGCTTCCACACCAGTGCGTGCTCACGGCCTCCGTTACCCACGACAAGGACGTTAATTTTTTCCATCACAGCAGTGTAGCTAGCTAGCTAATTAAAAATTTACCGACTAATTAATTTAATCTTGATTTTTTGACTTCTCCAGATTATCGATGCAAAAAAATTATTTTTTACAATGCTTACATCCTCATTGTGCGAATGACAGAGCCTGAAGGCTGCTTTGGTTGCACTTTTGTTCTTCTGAGATTCCCCCGAGAACCTGCTTTGCTCGATCGGCGCAGTCCACCTCTCGATCCGCCTCTCGCCCCACCCCTGCGATACGAACGGCCTCCTCGTTGACTCGAGCTCTTGCTCCGTGAAGCAGTACTTGGTTTGCGTGTAGTATTTTGGCTTTCTGGGTAAAACAGCTGAGAAAGCTGATTGACCACTTTGTGGTCCTGCTGAGACGGGAGCGACGACGATACAACTTCCAGCTCAGGGCTCTTTGAGCCCATCAACGCTTCGCGTTCTTGCTTCAAGGCCCGTAGAACGCGCTCAAACTTCTGGAAGTACTGTGTTTGGCTCTTCTCCATGCCGTCAAGCCTATCGTATTCTATTTTCGTAACTGGCAATTTCATGGCCATGTCTTTCAATGTGGTATCAGATGCCATAGTCGAGTCCCTTGAATGGTTTAGGTGCGTAGAGCACAGCGACCGGTGCTCCCGCAGCTTCAAGTAGCATTTGTTGATGTGGTCGGCCAACTTGGGATCCACCTGCTTCATAGACCTTTTACTGGAATTTGGTGGCCCGACAGAGAAAAACTTACTTGCAGCAAGGAACTGGGGAGCCGTGTTTTCTTTATTGGCTGTCCTAGACAGTGACGGCGTCTCCAATTGAGGAGTCTTGCTTCTGGTGAACGGTATCACTACTTTCTTTCCGCGGTAGAGCACTGCGCTAGCTTTGGGTCCAAGAACGAGATAGTTTGTGGCAAACCCAGCAGCATTCATCACAGACTTCTCTTCGAGGAATCCTTCTCTCAAAAGATGAAAGAACAACCGCTCGATCTCCATCTTTGGTAATTCCCGGCCATTTCCATGGTACTCATTAAGATGTAGGCCCAAGTTGACAATTTTGGCTGTTTTTGATCCTCTGAAAACGTCCTGACATTGGATCACAGTCAGATTTTCTCCATTAAGAGTCTTGACGAGATTGATCACATCTTTGGCAAACACCGTCATGTCGCGGTTTTCAACCTCAAAGTTCTCGCCGTTAATGCAATTGTCACATTGCTTGTGGCAATCTCTGCGGTTAAAATTCTCGTTGAAATATTGCAACACCTGTTGACGACGACAATCAGTGGTGTTCTCACAGTACTGCGTCACCTGGCGTAATTTGTTCACATGCTGTTCCTTGTTGAACCGGTCAAGCTCTTTGTCGCGCATAATCATTCCCTGTAAAGTACGCGCATCTCTCATACTGTAGAACATAATGCAGTCGGAATGCTTGCCGTCTCTTCCTGCTCTTCCAGTTTCCTGATAATATCCTTCAAGATTACGAGGAAGAGTAAGGTGAATGACAAACCGGACATCGGGCTTATCGATTCCCATACCAAACGCAATGGTAGCACAGATGACCTGGATCTCGTTGCTCTGCCAGCCCAGCTGGACTCTTTGACGGTCGTCCTGAGTCATTCCTGCGTGGTAGAAGTCGCACTTGATACCATAGTCGGCAAGCCGTGATGCCGTTTGCTCACACGAGTTCTTCGAGTGGCAGTAGATAATTCCTGTCATATTTTTGTATTTGCGGTTGATCAGCTGTGCGATCTCTTCCACCACGGTCTTCTTCTTTGGCAACACTTCGTAGTATAAGTTGGACCTGTTAAAACTCTGCTTGAAGAACTTCGGATGTTTCAGGTTGAGGTTGTGGATGATGTCCATCCGGACATGCTCGTTTGCAGTTGCCGTGAGGGCCATCATGGGAATATCAGGATACTCGGTCTTAAAATAGCTCAGAGCTTTGTAATCAGGGCGGAAATCATGGCCCCAGGAGGAAACACAGTGAGCCTCGTCCACAACGACTCGTGCCAGCATCTTTTTCCTGTATAGTGTGGCGATAGCATTTCTCACCATTCCGCTGGCACTGATCATTTCGGGAGATAGATAGACTAGGTCGAGAAACCCGTTAACGAAAAGGTCAAACGTCTGTTTCCTTTGCGAAGCGGACGATTTTGAGTTGATCATTGCTGCTTTGATTTGGTTCTGTAGTAGATGATGCACTTGGTCTTGCATGAGGGATATCAAAGGCGAGATAACGATGGTCGTACCGCTCGTGCTTCCGGACTTTACGAGGGCGGGCAATTGGTAGCAGAGGGATTTTCCTCCACCTGTCGGCATCAAAACAAAAACATCCTCCCCGCTAAGTGTCGCATTAATGGCCTCCAGCTGGTTTTCTCGAAAAGATGGCAGCTTGAAAGTATTTCTCAGCACAGAGTACACTTCTGTAGTCCACTCAAACTTGCCCATAAACTTTTTGTATGCATCCGGATTCACATTTGTTAGCTCTTCAATGTCGGAGTCGGAGTGTTGCGAGACTTGCTGCTGTGGTTCGGCCCTCTTCGACTGTTCGTTGCGTCTGTCAAAAATCTCATTTTCCGCGTCGCTGTCCCAGAATTGCTCGTCCTCTAGGTCTATAACGTCAAGCTCTCGCTCCTCGTTCAGCTGTGTAAAATAGTCGTTCCCTGTTTCTTCCTCTGAAAACTCGTCCGGCGGCGAGTCCAGAAGAATTGCGTTATCCTGCACGATTTCCATATGTTCAATGCCCTCCTCGACGTCTTCTATCTCTGGCGAGTCCGGAACATCGCCAAGCTCTGTATTTTCAATATCCTCTATATCATCCTCTTTGTAGGACTCATCGTCGCCGGAAATATAGTCGTTCACAATGAACTGGTCAAGCTCTGCCTTTTCCTGCGTTGAGATCACCTCAGGCTCGTCACTGTCGCAATTAAATGAATCTTCAATATCCAGCTGCGAGTTACGCCGCTCCTCGCGCTCAGAAGCGGAAGTAAGTGGTACTGGGGGGACCTTAAACGAAGGACTCGGAAACGTGGACTGATGGGTGGCATTTATGGTTGAGGGTGTCTGATTGATTTCCTCCTCCCGCGTAGGAATAAACTGTGTCGTAGTTTTTGCTGTATATGCTGTGCTGGTGAAAGGCATGACCGTGGTATCTATTTCTGAGCTGATGTCACCGTCAAGCCTTTTGCCTATTTTATTCATGCAAAAATGCTGTATCTGGAGCCGGGTTTGATTACAGACTGCCTGTGATTGCTGAATGTCATGTGCCAACTGGCCTCGTCTGCGCCGCTTGTCGTCTTCACTGATAGATGTCGACTCGTCAACGGATATATTCTGACGCAGAAGAGACGATAACGAGTCCATCTGCGCCATCAACGAAAACTGTAGCCTGATGAGTTCTCGCGCGTCTGAGTTCATGAGGTTGACATTCTCAACCATCTTCGAGAGTTCAGCAAATGCCAAATGCCCGTCCTCCCGCGGTACGCTTTTGGTTGTGGAGTTGCTGGAATGGCGATTGGCTAATATCGCTTCTATTTCGTCGTCGTCAGAAAATTCGTCATCATCATTTATTCGCGGTCTTTTGCTGAACGAGCTGCCTGCAGCCTCGTTTGCCCTTTTGCGAGCCGCAGCGACCCGTTCGTTAGTCAAATCGATCAGACCCACACTATTTTGCGAGGATCCCAGACTCCTTTGACGCACAGAGTCAGCCTTGCGTGCCATAATTCCGCTCATTTCATGGAGTGTTTCCGGGGTAACCGTACTTGCGCGCACCAGAACTCTCGACTGGGTCGCATTGTTGATCCGTGGAGGGAGTGCCACCGATTCACGGGCAACATCCGGAGCAGCAGACTTTCTGATGTGCTCCTGCAGTTGATCCGGAGTCAGCGAGGGAAATTGGATTGTAGGAGGAATCTGCGGCCTCGTTTCCGACAACCATTTCAAATGGTCTGTGATGTTGAGGAGCATCAAATAATTTTATTTAATTCTACGCGTTGTTTATATCGAAGCATTTTTTTATTGAATATTACATAAGCCAGCAATAAGCTTACAGTAAAGACCACGCTCTGCAAACACAGCCAATCCTTTGGCAGTGCTCGTAGAGCGTCAGAAGCCAAACAGTGTAAGGGCAACGACACAACGCCAGTCGACAAGTCAGATAAATCTGAACCTGTCAGGTTGGCAATCAATTCCAAAAAGTGAAAGTAACAATAAAACCCTCATGGCGAGGGAATTCCAGTTGTTACACTGAAAAGAACAGATACTACACTTGATCTAAGCCAAAAGGCAAAGAGATCTTGAAGAAAAAATTTTGGGCCGGGATGCTCCAATTTATACCGTGGCAAAAAAAAGCAAAAAAAAAAAAGACGTACCGGGTAACTTGTTTACTTTTCAGCCCGCCCGCCCGCAAAATCTGTATTGTAAGCGAGATCTAAACAAAATAGCACAATTTTTGCAGAAGCCCAGTTTTTGGTAATTTCAAGCCTTGTTTTTTGTCTGGGACCCGATCTGGTGTTTTCCGCAGCTCAACATTGAGTGAACACCATTTTATCATGTTCAAGGCTTTCTACCCCAGGAGGAGGCTGTTGGGTGTGCTTGTGTGCTTTTTGTTTGTTTTCTTCGTCTTTTTACCCGCAACTCATTCAGCACCTGTTGGGCCCGTCATCTCCGACTCAAATAATAATGTGGAACCCATCCGAAGGCAGCAACCGCATGGTTATGTGAGGCCAAGAGTGACAAATGCAAACGGAGAACCCAATGCCATCAGAGAGAATTCCAACGAGGATTCTCTCAACAAACTTTTGAACTCGCAGCTAAACAAGGCAATGTTACAAACGCGACCAAGAAACAACGAAGACACGGCCCCGCGTACTTTGGACAATGAAAAACTCTCGATAGAGACTAGAGCGATAATAAAATCCGAGATCTATGTGGATCAGATCTCTGCTCCCACAGTGACCCCAACCCCAACGGCTGTGGTAGAAAAGCCAAAAGAGCATGCAGCTCGACAGAAGCCTCTTACAGGTAATGACTTGGTGTCGAAGGGCTCATCTCTGAATCTGGTGGCTAGTGATCTGAATATCGCCAGGCCCATAAAAGACATTACGCTGGATTTCAGCGCCGATGAATATCCCGTCCACGCCCAGTTGCTACGGAAATATGGCAAGGATTTTGAGAGTGGGTCGCTGGATTACAAGTGTGAAAAGTACTTTGACGAACTGTACTCATTGGACTCTGATTGGAGCGTTTCTCCTCACAAGCAGAAATACGACGACGATCAGCTAGCGCAGATGGTCCATCGCACAAAGCACCTGACAACTTACGGTCACTGCTTTCTCAACCATAGTGACGAAAACAGGATCCGGTCTTACAGAAAGCTGATTGAATCAGGACACCGTGACATCGATTTGCGCGTGTTCCCTTACCTGAGCCGGCAAATGCCTGTCTTTGTTAGATGGACTGGTGAGCAGGTTCTGGAGCCCCCAAAAATGACCAGCTACCTGGACGGCGCTTCAAACGACCCGGATCTCTCGCAACTTAGCAAATCAAAGCTGCAAGTGACGGACGAATCAGGACCAACTTTGGCAAACGAATACCCCTTTTTCCTGCACTACAAGAATCTGGTCAACGGGAAAGGCGTTGTGATATCGTGCTCGGATAAATTCTTGAACGACACGCTAGCGCTGATCCGCAATTTGCGCGCTCTGGGAACAAAATTGCCAGTGCAAATAGTACACCGTGGCGACCTGTCGCTCGACTCTCAATGGGCACTCGTTCGCGAGGCGAGAAAAACCGACATATATTATCCTCAAGAACAGTTTATGCGGCTCAGACAGTTGGGTCACGAGGATTTCGATGCAACGTTCCCGAAACTGGAGCTCTGGTTCGTGGATGTGTCGCGCGCGCTGACTCCTCAGTACGCCTCTGAGTTTCCCAATTTTTACAACAAGCTTCTGGCGTACCTGTTCAACTCGTTTGACGACGTGGTGCTGCTGGATTGCGACGTTGTGTTGTTCCGCAAGCCTGAGCAGCTATTCCTGCTCTCGCAGTACAAGCGCTCGCAAAGCGTATTTTTCAAGGACAGAAGCCTCAACCTCAAGGTCAACCATGGGTTCATTGACTTTCTCAAACGCTTGTTGCCAACGGCCACTGATAGCTCCTTTTTTGGCATCAACAGGGCCTCGTACAAGACTCTAGGAACACGCTATTTTGTTTTGGAGTACGGACATTACATGGAGTCCGGTGTGGTAGCCATCAAGCGGACAAGGTACTGGCAGGGCCTTTTCGTGACGCTCTATCTGAGTCTCATAAAGCCAATTCACGAGAACGTGTGGGGAGACAAGGAGTTGTTCTGGCTTGGCCAATCTGTGGCGGGCAACGAGGAATACCTGTTCAATGACTACTGGTCTGCAGCGATCGGCACGCTGACAGATCCCGGAAAAAGGGCGCCGTATAAATCCCAGGAGCTTTGTTCAACGCACCCAGGACACATATCATCCGACGACGATCGACTATTGTGGATCAATTCGGGAATCCTCACATGCAGGAAAACTGAGACTTTTGAGAATGATTTCGACGTGTACAACGCAACGCTAGGATTCGAGACCAAACAAGAGCTGCACGAATATTACAGGTCTCCTTTAAGGATTGAGCACGCAATCGTTCCTCCAGACGCCATGTACTGGGTGGACAGCTTCGACACGCCACGGGAGCCAAGACAGGGCTACATCAAGCAGTACAACTGTGCGGCCTACCTATGGTGTGCCTATGACAAGATCGGTGGTTCGGAGTTCCCTGAGCACCAGGGGAAGGTTTTTAGGTTTGAAACGGCAGACACTTTGCTGTTTGACTACGTGGGCAAGGTCTATTTGGGTGCAGCATAGGACCAGAATGGGATTCGGCATTGTTTTCGCCGTTTGAGGTGACCGGGAAACGGCTAGAGGATCGGCATGCATAAGCAAAATAATAGTAACTCTACCGCTCCAACTAAAAAGGGACAGATCGTCGCAATACTCCTGCGAGGCTTAGTCGTCTTTGGGCGTTGTTCGAAAAGTCCACGTTAATGATTACCTAAGCAGCAGACAATGCTATTGTCTGTTAAAAAGACTAGGCTTGTTAGTACAAGGATCTCTTGGGTCCTATGAATGTATATTCCCCTTCCAAACGAATTTCTCGTTTAGGCAATGTATCCAGGGAGCAATTGAGGCGCGTTTAGACGGCCAGACCAAAAATGGATAATTTGGCCATGTTGCACGGCGGCAATTGTGGCAGCTATTTCATAGCCCGCCTTGAAGGCAACGCACTAACGATTACCATGGCCCTGATGCCATTCTTGCCTTTAATCGTACAAGTTCGCTGCATTGCCAATTTTACAGCTAGTTGACTTTTCGGCCAAAAATATGCGGGATCTGAGTCTGAGACGTGCGCCGTGCATAATTAAAGTTTAGCCAGACAATAAAATCCAAGCTCTTATCTATTACTTTGCACTAAACAGCAACTAGCTGCATGGTACCTTAAGTGCAGGAATGCAAATCCTAACGTTTGAACTCTTGGTTGTTTTGCTCTTGGACAATCCGTAGTGCCTTTCGGTCCACACTGAGACTATAAAAAGCCTCAGATTTCCGTAGTATCGGTATCCGTATGAAGATTCAATACCTGGCCGCCTCTCTTCTGTCTCTCGCTGCTACCGTCTGGGCACATGATTCTCCTCATGGAGGCCCTCATGGGGGCCCTCAATGGCCTCCCCACCCAGGGTACCACCACAATACTACCTTGAGTACGCACAGCAAGCCTGTGTCTAGCCACTTGCCAAAGCCTTCACCAACTGCGGGCGGCTCCTTCAATGATACCCATATCAGCTTCAAGCTTTCTGTCCCCTGCTCACTCGGCTCTGCCAGTCTGGACTGGTTCAGCGATATTTCCGACACCAACTACTACGGCTACCACTTCTTACCGGACCAGTTCAAGGGATACCACGAACAGGACGGCAACTTCTCGGACATCGAAATTGATATCGACGGATCAGGCCCTACAAGATTGGAGGTGATTATCAGCGAGAAATGCAAGAGTCCCGATGACGTCATCCATGTGGAGATCGATGCTACAATCGTTCAATCGAAGCCGGGTTTCGTTGGATACTTCTTCCTCTACACTGAGGACGAGTCTGGAGGCCACGAAAAAATCTCCACCCACCTTATCACCGGAGTGGCCACTGCTGCCACGCAGACCCCAACGGTGCCACCGCCATCTTATACCCACCCTCCAAAGCCTACAGAGTCTCCTAGCCACGACGACCATAAACTGCCACCAGGCATCAAGTACACGCCGGTGCCAACTCCAACCTATAAGCCACACTTCAAGGAGCACCATTAATGTGTCCGATGAACGAATTGCCAGAGGTAACTTCTTCACCACTCTAGACTCCGTACTTATGAACCTACGAGAGGCCAGATCGACGACTCGTGATGTTGCGCATGATTTCGTGCCAGCATATTTTGTTTAGTTATAGACCTTATCGACCTTATCCGAATAGCCCGTAGACGAGTCCGACTCGCTGCCAGAGTCGCTCGAGTACTCCGAAACCGACTCCTGTTCGCTCGAGTCCGGCTCGTAGTCAGCAGGCTCTCCGTCAAACACCCGCACATACTCGACGCGTTCGCCGCACCGCAAACACTGCCACGGGTCCCCGTCCTCCAGCTTGGCCATCAGACACACATAGCAATAGACGTGGCCGCAGCTCGTCTCAAACGGGTTTGTGATCAGGTGCTCGTCTATCGACGCGTCGGTCACGCCAGCACGGGTGGTGTTTTGATAGCATATTGCGCAGCACCGTTCAGGAAGGAACCGGTAAATGGTCTCCTTTTCATCCTTTGTGTGGTCCGTCTGGAGCAGCCGCACAACCGACTTGGACAGGCTGGACATTGAGAGCATAGGCATAATGAATACGAGAAATTCGGTCAGCGTGTTCCACACCAGCTGTCTGTCCTGGAACTCGTACGAGATGGTCTCCGGGTTCGACGCGAACGAGACCTGGGTGGACACGAGCGGCTTGTACCTGATGCGGAGAATTCTATTGACAAGGTTGGGGTATTGTCCGTGGATCAGGAAAGCAAGAAAGTTGGCAAGCGAGAGGCCGGCGTACCATTTCTGCAGCGTTGGCAGAACTCTCTGCAATTTGGCCATAAGTCTGTGCAAAATCTGACGCAATTTGGTACGATCTTCCTCATCGTCATCGTCTAGACTGTACACATGCGACTCCAGTTTTTTGTACAGATATGACAGAATTAGATACGATAAGAGGGCGGTCTTCTTGAGTCTGGAGAGCTCGGACTTGGTGTTTCTGCGTCGATCGCCTCCGTCTGACATCACCAAGTTCTGAAGCAGTAAGCCGTAGCTGCTGTTTTTGTTCCATATTGTCACTTTGAAGACAAGCAGTTCCAAGGCCAGTCGGAGCTCGTCAGAGTATCTGGAGTTGAGAAGCTGGAAAAAACGCGGCAGTTTCGGGTTCGATATGGCCTCATTCAGTTGCTTCGACAGGATTTCAAATATCTCGTTGTCGAGCAGCTTCGCGTCCACCTGAAGAACCCTGTTTGGAGGGTTCACCAAAGGAAACATGGAGATTACTGATTAGGCTATAGGATTATTTTTCTTCTTCGCGACGATCGACCGCGACGATTCGCCGTGCGTCAGGCGGAGAATAATATTCCGCTGTCAAACTTTAAACCCTCAATCAAGGATCGTGGTATTCCTGCAATTCGGGCTATGAACAGTGTCTGATAAATTACTAATTTCGAAAACTACGCCAGCAACGACTTATCTCCTCAAAGACCGAGGGAAAAAGCAAACACGCTTAGTTGTCAATAGATAGTATGTCCGTTAAGACCAAGAAACGCAAGTACTCAAAAGAGGGCTGTGTGGAATGCAAACGACGCAAGATCAAGGTGAGTGTGCGGCTTATATGTTACTAATGCCAGTGTGACGAGGCCAAGCCCATTTGTTGGCACTGCAAACGGCTCGACAAAATCTGTGTCTATCAGCCTTCTAGGTCGTCGAGGCTCAAAGACATGTCTTCCACCAACGTTTCGCCCATGGGATACAATCCCGCGCCCTATCCCCTGCCCGTCTATGTTCCGCCAGGCCATGCCCAGGAAATCTTTCTGAATCGGGTGGGGCCTCCATTACTAGGAGTTCACGAATACATACACGCTTCGCCATCGACAACCGCCCTACCGTACACCTCAGAATCCTCTGGACTAAATGACGATTCTCAGTCCCCGGCGGGCAGCTTCCCCGTGCAGTCCTTGGGAGCATCAGTGAACAATTTGGCGCACAGTCTCAACGACTTGCTGGAGAGTAAGATCGACGAGATTGGCGTTCCGAACGATGAAAGTGAAATGAAGAGCATGTTCCGGATGTTTGAGCGCACAGAATACCAAGGTCCAGAGTCCTCCACGTCCTTGGACTCGGCCAACAGCTGGGAGATCCCTGACTTCCTTACCAAACGTATATCAATAGACTCTCTGCAAATTCCCGAAGAACACAGAAAATACCTCGAGCTGTTTGACCACGATTACGCCCGAGTGATCATGCCCCTTCAGCCCTTGCCCCACTACAACCCGGCACGCGAAATTCTCCTAACATACGCGAACAAAAATAATTATCTCATGGCCGCCATCTTATCGTGCGGTGCTCTGCAGAGTTTCCGCAAAACGCAGGATGCGCAAGACGAGAAAGATTACTGCTCATACCTGTCAACGTGTCTACAACTATTGTCCACTGTTCTGGCTGACCAGAACAAGATCAGCGCCAATGTCGAGCCCATGTTGCTCACCATCCTCTTGCTCACGTCGTACACGGCGATGTCTCTTGTGCAGAAGTGGAGACCACATCTTTGTGGTGCAAAGGATTTGCTCTCGACATACGCCCCATTTAGCGAGGACCCGCGTCTTCGCCAGCGGAATTCGTATGTCGTGGCATTCTGCCGCAACTGGTACCTGTCGATAGAAAATATTGCCGGTCTCACTGCTCCGCTGGGTGGAGTGCTCAAGAACGACAGAGAGCTCGATCTCGCCATGTACGACCTTCCATACACTCGAGCTTATTGGGAAAGCATGATGTGCTGCCGCCGAGACGGTTTCAATTATCTTTACGGCTACACCAATACGCTTGGAGTGTCGCTTCAAAAATTGATCAAGTCGATAAAAATTGTGCGCAGCAAGAAAAACTCGCCTTCAGAGTCACCCAGCCTTTCGGCCTTTACAATATTCGAGCTTACAGCCGACTTTCACAGAGAAGCCCAGTTCGAGATCATCAGCAAAACGGGAATTGTGCCCAGAACTCACTTTATGCATCCTGATAACAACCTTGCCCCACCATTGGGGTTTGAACCGCTCTCACCAGAAGCAATCGAAAAAGTCGATTATCCTGATGGCACCTACGACTATATTTCATGGTATGACGTGTGTCATCAGTCCTTTGTGATCACTGCGTTCCTAATTATTACCTCTGATTTGGGCCGGATCCCTAAAAAACACCCGATAATTCAGGAGCTGGTCCAGCGTGCATTGCATCTTCTCCGTTTCTTAGATTCTGAAAAGATGATGAGAAATTATTGTATCCTCATTGTCCAGGTGGCCGTATTCCATGTTGGCCTCAACTGCGTGTACGACCGCGACCGCGAGTTTGTGACTCGCTACTTCACCCAAATGAACAAACTGCACACGGCCTCGGCCTCCATCACACTCAAAAGACTCAGACGGAACTGGGAGCACTACGATAAAATGCATGACGGCGACACGGGGGCTCTTGCTTTTGAGCCGGACCTCGCAGACGACGACGACTACGAGGACGTGATGAATTACTAGGCTGGCGTCGATCGGCCCCTATCGGCGCAAATATTAAAAATTAAAATATTTAGCAGATTTTTCTTTGTATAGAGAGACTCAATATGATTTCCCAGGATGCTAAACGGCGAAAGACGGATTCTGGCAGGTATTCGTTATTCCTCATAAACTTGCCGCTTGAGCTCATCCGTTACATGCAGCTGTCTCGCCAGGACCTTATCAACATATCGCTTTTGGACAGCTCCCACAGAGCAAAGTTTTATCCTCTTGTTTACGAAAGGGCAAAACTGACATGGCGAGACTTCAAGTCTTTTGATGAGAGCTTTAAATCCAAAGATCTCGTTCGCGCGATCCGCATTTTCAGCGATCTCAAAGACCGAAAATCTACCACCTACGGCGAATGGAACATATCGCTCAAGGGTATATTGGAGGAGTCTCCCAACCTCAAGGAGCTAGTGATTGAAGTTATGTCGTCAGCTCGTTGTTTGAAGTACCAGGATAAGTTCGATACCGATTTGAGCGACAAGATCGAGAAGCTTAAACTGATCAGTCACTCCGGAGCGCCCAACGATGAGTCCCTATTTGAATTGACTCAGCTGCAGAGGTTCCACAACATCAAGCAACTCACTCTCAACGGGTTTCTTCTTGCCAAGGACCAATACTTTTATCCCAAATTTAAGTCTGACTTTAGCGACCTCAAAGAACGGAGCAGGGATGGTCGTCTCGTGTTTTTGAATGATCTGACCCTGATCAACTGCAAATGGGACCATCCATACAGTCTTAGTGACGTCTTTTCGCCTGTCTACCCTTTGCCGAATCCGCTTCTCAAATTGGAAAGCAACGAGTTCACGTCACCGGAACGTCTTTCTCTTTTCTATAGCAAGGAGTCGTCTTCCTTTGTTGCTGCCGAACGGTTCAGATCTTTTATTGATAATGACGCAAACGAGCTCTTCCTTTTCGAGACACGTTTCTACTACAATTTAAAGCACCTTTCGATTGTGGTGTTGAGCGAAGATTACAACGACAACAAATACAACTACTACTACCCATGGCTTAACTGGCTTAATCTGAAAAAAATATTTCAGACACAGAATGAAGAAACGCACGAGATTGAGAATAAATCGATTTTGACCAACCTCGAGTCGCTCACACTTGTTGGATGGAGGATGGCTACTCTGAGCGAATTACGCAAGGTGTTTGGAGTTGGGAAAGAGCTCAAATATAACATGAAGCATTTGGCTTTGTACCTGGTCAGACCAGTTCCACAATTTCAAGAAGTTAGCGAGAAAGAGAAGCTGGAACTGCGCAAAGTGGAAGAACAACTAGAAATGATTTTCAACAGCGGGCAAAATAAGCACAAATGCAGTTTTGAGGTTGGCTACGTGGAAGATTGTTTTGCTGACGAGAGATACGTAAAAGAGTATACGAAAAATAATGAATAATGAAGACAATCAAGTACGGAAACGACACCCCCCACATTCGTCCCGCGTTCCAAAAAGCGGGTCATGGAGTTTTTTTCCCCAGAAGCGAAAGTATTTAACCTCGCGGCCGTTTTGTCATCTCGTGCAATTTTATTGGCCAGCCGACAGGGTGCGTCAGGATAAGATCACGCGCATGAGGGGATGACCTGTAACGGGTTCCGAGTCGCATAGGTGCTTGTCTTCGAAATACGGTAGTATATAGCTTGAAACAACGGTTGGGCGCCACTTTCCAGCCCTCGCAGTTCAGACACCCGAGGCCTATCGGTTTGGAGACCGGATATAGGCCATATCGGCTCTCTCCACCAACTATTCATGGGTGCTATTTTTTCGTAAAGTTTTATTGTTTGCACACCCCCTGCCGGAAAGATTGAAAATGGGTCCAAGAAATTCTGAAAACCGGAAATAACATCGACTGTATATATAAACATTTTCTCTCCAAATTTCCCTTCAGCTTTGTAACCATTCTTTTTTATCATGTCTGCCATTCTTAAGCAAAGAGTCCGCTACGCTCCATATCTCAAGAAGCTTAGAACCGCTGAAGAGTGTATTCCTCTATTCCAGCACGGCCAGTATCTCGGATGGTCGGGTTTCACCGGAGTGGGAGCCCCTAAGGTCGTTCCTCAAGCTCTTGTGGATCACGTTGAAAAGAACAATTTGCAGGGCAAATTGGCCTTCAATTTGTTTGTGGGCGCCTCTGCTGGTCCAGAAGAATCGCAATGGGCTCAAAATGACATGATCTTGAGACGTGCGCCTCACCAGGTCGGTAAACCGATCGCCGCTGCGATCAACTCCAACAAAACCCAATTCTTCGATAAGCACTTGTCCATGTTCCCTCAGGACCTCACTTACGGTTACTATACCATGAACAAGGCTAACGATCTTCTGGATTACACCATCATCGAGGCAACTGCCATCACTGAGGATGGTGCCATTGTGCCAGGTCCAGCCGTCGGAGCCTCTCCCGAGATGCTGAGCTGCTCCGACAAGATCATCATCGAAGTCAACACCGCCACGCCATCCTTCGAGGGATTGCACGACATTGACATGCCAGAACACCCTCCTTTCAGAAAACCATACCCATACACCTCTGTTGACCACAAGAACGGTTTGCACGCCATTCCGGTCGATCCATCCAGAGTCGTGGCCGTCGTGGAGTCCACCACTCCAGACAGGGTTCCAGACCCAGCACCTTCCGATGAGACGTCACGCAGGATCGCCAGTCATCTGATCGAATTCTTTGAGCATGAGGTCAATGCCGGTAGAATGCCAGATAACTTGCACCCATTGCAGTCCGGTATCGGTAACGTTGCCAATGCCATCATCGGGGGACTGGCAGACTCCTCGTTCAAAAACCTGACCGTTTGGACTGAGGTTTTGCAGGACTCGTTTTTGCCATTCTTCGAGACTGGCGCCATGGATTATGCCACTGCCACCTCCATTAGACTGTCCAAGGACGGATTCAAAAAGTTCTTCGACAACTGGGACCTCTTCTCGAAGAAACTGTGTCTCAGATCGCAGGTTGTGTCGAACTCTCCAGAACTGATCAGAAGACTCGGTGTCATTGCTATGAACACACCAGTCGAGGTGGACATCTACGCGCACGCCAACTCGACCAACGTTAACGGATCGAGAATGCTGAACGGACTGGGAGGCTCTGCTGACTTCCTGAGAAATGCCAAGCTGTCGATCATGCACACCCCAGCAGCCAGACCTACTAAGACCGACCCTACCGGTATCTCGTGTGTTGTTCCATTTGCTTCACACATTGACCAGACCGAGCACGACTTGGACGTGATTGTGACCGATTTCGGTCTTGCCGACCTCAGAGGATGTTCTCCAAAGGAGAGGGTCAGCAAGATCATCAACCAGTGCGCCCACCCAGACTACAGAGCACAGTTGCAAGACTACTACGACAGAGCCCTGTTCTACTGCGAGAAAAAGAAGACGATGCACGAGCCACACATTTTGAAGGACGCTTTCAAGATGCACATCAATCTGCAAGAAAATGGCACCATGAAGTTAGACAACTGGGACATTAAGTTTTAGAGCTGTTGTCGCGAGCTGGTATTTAGAATAAATTCATGTAAAGCGTATTCTCCAATCATAAAAAAGTTGTATCCGACAGTAATCCTTACACCTGCTTTGCACCGAGTTTTCAGCGTTGACAAAAAAACGTTTCCCCAACAACCTCACCATGTCTGTGGAAGAACTGAAAGAGTCGGTCGAGAAGCTCGAGAACAGAATCAGAGCCTTGGAGTCCAAGGCCGGTCTGACCACCAAGTTACCAGCCGCCCTGAGAATGGTCCTCATCGGACCACCGGGAGCAGGAAAGGGTACCCAGGCACCAAACCTCAAAGAGAAATTCTGTGCCTGCCACCTGGCCACTGGTGACATGCTGCGTTCGCAGGTCGCCCAGAAGACTCCATTGGGATTGGAGGCCAAGAAGATCATGGACCAGGGTAAGCTTGTGTCCGACGAGATCATGGTCAACATGATCAAGGATGAGCTGGCCAACAACCAGGAGTGCAAGAACGGCTTCATTCTGGATGGCTTCCCTAGAACCATTCCTCAGGCCGAGAAGCTGGACCAGATGTTGACTGAGAACAAGACTCCGTTGCAAAAGGCCATTGAGCTCAAGATTGACGACGAGCTGCTTGTTGCCAGAATCACCGGTAGACTTGTTCACCCTGCCTCGGGAAGATCCTACCACAAGATCTTCAACCCTCCGAAGGAGGCCATGAAGGACGATGTCACTGGTGAACCATTGATCCAGAGATCCGACGACAACGTCGATGCCTTGAAGAAGAGACTGGTCACCTACCACGAGCAAACCGAGCCAATTGTCGAGTACTACAAGAAAGCCGGTATCTGGTCCGGCATCGACGCCTCGCAACCGCCAAAGACCGTCTGGGCTGACATCCTGAAATGTCTGGGTCAGTAAAGTTGCCCGTAATTTGGCAGAGTGTAAAAACAAGTTGTCTATATAAAAATACAACCTCTCTTTTGCAATGTCTTTTATATTCAAGTCGCCGCTCGATATAGAGCTTCGTCTTGACGGAGAGGACTCGCGCGAGACGGTAGAACAGAAGGGCATCAAGGGTCGCAAGGAGAAACTGCCATTGTACAAGGACGGCGAGACCGTTAAGGGCCAGGTGACCATACGAACCAGAGACAACAAGAGGGTGGAACACACAGGAATCAAGATCCAGCTTCTAGGCACGATAGAGACCAACAACGACGGCCTAGTGACCGACAATTTCCTTTCAATGGCGCACGAGCTCGCCAGTCCCGGCGAACTCAGACATCCAGAGACGTTTCCGTTCGAGTTTAGAAATGTCGAGAAACAGTACGAAAGCTACCGCGGCATAAATGTGCGTCTGCGGTACTACCTCAAGGTGACTGTTTCGCGCAAGTCGGCAGACGTGATCAGAGAAAAAGAGCTGTGGGTGTACCAGTACCAGGACCCGCAGAGCGAAGGCTCCGAGAGTTTAGTGCCTACAAGCTCGGTGAAAATGGATGTGGGGATTGAGGATTGTCTGCACATTGAGTTTGAGTACTCCAAGAACAAATACTCGCTAAAAGACGTGATTGTGGGAAGAATATACTTTTTGCTGGTGCGACTCAAAATCAAGCACATGGAGCTGTCGCTCATACGAAGAGAGTCGTGCGGAGCGCCGCCGAACCAGCTGAACGAGAGCGAGACCGTTGTCAAGTTTGAAATCATGGACGGAGCCCCTGTCAGAGGAGAGACGATTCCAATAAGACTGTTCTTAGGCGGATTCGACCTGACACCGACGTACAGAGACGTCAATAAGAAATTCTCTACAAGGACGTTTCTCAGCCTAGTCCTGATAGACGAGGATGCTCGTCGGTACTTTAAACAGAGCGAGATCATACTGTATAGGGAAAAGAACGAATAACTTCCAATGGCCAAGGCTGTGCACAAGTTGAATTATTTTTCCTTAGTATTTACTAACGGCTGTGTAAAAAAGATCTTGACATGTTTAGTTTTGCGTGTGTGGAAAGGTCCACAGCCATTCCCGTCCACTCTGACAAAATTGATCTGCCCGCGTCTGTGCTGGAAACTCTTGTGAAGCAGCACGATCCATTGCCGCATCCCCTGACGTTTCGACTTGCCACCGCCACCAATGTGTGCTACGCCGGTGTTCGTGAATTCAGTGCTCCAGAAGACATGGTACTTGTTTCTGGCGATTTGTTTGGGGTCTTGAAAGGGGAGAGTGGAGGCCCGGTTCAGGCAGAGCTGATTGAGCTGCCGAAAGCCACCGATCTGAGTATCAAACCGCTAAAATTCTACAAAAACATTTTGGACTGGAAATGGTTTTTGGAGGCAAAGCTCACGAAATATTATTGTGCGCTCACACGAGGGCAGACTCTGCATCTAGAAGACGAGTTTGGCTCGTACGAGCTTCTGATTGACAGGCTTGAACCGGCGCCTACCGTTTGCATCATAGACACAGATATCAATCTGGACATTGTTCCTCTGAACGACGAAATGGCCCGGCAATTTTTGCACAGAGAGACTATCGACGCTATTCGCGTCAACGAAAATGCACAGACCGATAAGCTGCTCAAGCTCGAGCTAGAAGATCACGAGCGTGTGCTTATCACTGCCGATACCGACTTTGTCGTTTCCAACATGTCCAATGTAAGCGACCATTCTTTTATATGGCATACATTGAACGGCGACAACAAGATAGTGCTACAGAATACGTTTCCATACTGCGAAAAGACACTGTATCTGCTGCCCTTCGCGCCCACGCTGGTCCAGCTATCGGCGTACTCGACTGAAACAGCCAATCCCGTTTCCTCAGCCAATGTGTGCAGTAACTGTGGAGCCACGGTAGCTGCTGCCTCAAAGATAATGCACGAGAATTTCTGTCTGCGCAACAATGTCAAGTGTCCGCGTGGATGCGGCAAGGTGTTCCTCAGAACCGTGCCTGATAATCATTGGCACTGCTGCGGAGCGTACGGAGACGACGAGACATCTCTCAAGAGACACCAAAAATACTATCACGATCCCGTGCCATTGGAGTGCTCCCGATGCTCCCAGACGGTCTCGACCAAATTAGTGGATCACTGTGTGCATCTTGCTACGAGCTGTCCTTATACGTTGCATGAGTGTAGATTTTGTCATTTAATGGTGCCCAAGATGGAAGCATCTACAGATGCCCTAATTTCTGGGATGTCGCAGCACGAGCTCGAATGCGGATCGAAAACTACAGAATGTCCAAGATGCAAGCGAAACGTCAGACTTAGAGATTTGGAGTCGCACATGCAACTACACGAGCTCAACAGGGTGGCGAAGCCCAAACCTGTGATCTGCTCAAATGTCAATTGCATCCGAGAAGCAGCTACTTCAAACGAGCTGAGATTATGTGAATTTTGTTTTGGGCCACTATATTCACCTATTAATGATCCAACAGGCCAGAAATTGCGCAGCCGTATCGAACGACGATACATTCTGCAACTAAACTCTGGCTGCGGAAGCACGTGGTGCAAAAATAAAGAGTGCAAATCTAGCGGGATGGCGTCCTTCAAAAATATCGGCGACATCCTAAACCACATTAAAACACAGTTGATGAACTCGTCGGTATTCTATTTCTGCGTCGATCTAGCTACTACCAAAAAATCGATGATGGTCTCGCTGCTGTTGGATGAACACGAATATGATAGAGCGTGGATCTGCAAAGCGGTCCAAGCAAGAGACAACCTTGAAGACGTAAGGTCCTGGCTGAGTAATAATGCAGTGAGAATCGACGAGGTGTGAGCTCACTTAAATAGCTTGGTAATAGAAACGGCACCTTCCTCGTTCTTATTCATGACCTTGGCGACGGCAAGCTCAAAGTCTTCCTGTGTAACATGTATTCTTCTTTCCCTTAATGCGTACATTCCGGCTTCTGTGCAAACTCCCTTGATCTCAGCACCAGAGCAGCCGTTCATCTTCTCGGCGATCTTCATCAGATCGATTCCTCTTGTCAGGTTCATCGATCTCGAGTGGATTTTGAGAATATCTGTTCTAGCGTTCAATGTTGGTGGTGGAAATTCAATCTTTCTGTCAATTCTTCCTGGTCTCAGAAGGGCAGGGTCCAGGATGTCCAATCTGTTGGTAGCCATGATGATCTTGATGTCCTTCGACGACTCAAAGCCATCCAGCTGGTTCAACAGCTCCAACATGGTCCTTTGCACTTCAGAGTCGCCTCCACCCGATGAACTTTCCACTCTCGAGGATCCAATGGAGTCGATCTCATCCATGAAAATAATGGAAGGAGCGTGTTCCCTGGCCATCACAAACAACTCTCTAACCATTCTTGATCCCTCACCAATGTACTTCTGGACCAGCTCCGATCCTGACACTCTGATGAATTTACAATCTGTGTGGTGAGCCACCGCTCTGGCCAGTAACGTTTTTCCTGTTCCCGGTGGTCCGTACAAAATCACACCCTTTGGCTGAGCAATACCCAAACTCTCGAAAAGCTCTGGGTGCTTCACCGGAAGCTCAATCACCTCCTTGATTTCTTTGATCTGCTTGTCAAGACCACCAACCATGTCGTACGTGGAGTCTGGCACTTTTTCAACCATCATAAGCGAGACCAATGGGTCCACTTTGTTGGGCAAGATCTGGTGCAATTCATATGTGTCGCTTCTAAGACAGACCCGCAAACTTGGGGTGATCTTCTTGATATCGATGTCATTCGCCACATTCACCACATACTTTCCCTCTGGGTGAACTTTCACTAGGACCTTCTTTTTCCCCATAACCTTCACAACCTCCCCCACATAAGAACCTGGCTCTTGTAGAAGCTTCAACTCGTCCTTGAGTGCCCTGACTTTGGCATTCAATGCATTTCTCTGTGCCTCCAGTCTTCTCAGATTTTGCGTCTTATCGTTGACCTGGATTTCGAAATCCTGTATCTTCTGTTTGAAGAATGGTTTGATGCCTGCTTCGTGTGACGCTGCGGTCGCCATTTTGCAATTGATTGTTAGTTCGAAAAGAAGCTTTCTTTAGAGTCGTTGATTTTATTTTGGTGGCGAATGGAAAACTAACAATCGGTGTAAAGGTGCAGCTGGTGCCCTTTGCTGATAAAATTACATGCTTCTCCGTTCGTGGCTCTCAGGTCTCGTGTTCACAGGCCTCGCGGCATGCTTCCAATCGTATTGCAAATGCGATTGCGAGGTGAACTACGAGATCCTCGAGCTCGACATCGCTCACGGCTGTAGTCAGTGCACAGTGCAATATTGTCTGGACCAGAAAATTGACATGTGCAGAGATCCAGAGAACCGCGAATTGATGACGGCGTACTGTTTCCGTAAGTACAGAGAACTAGACCCACAAAGCTAACCACGCAGAACGGGAATCTTACAAAGACATGATTATTATCTACGGATTCTGCTTGATTGTATTGGCATTGCTGGGAAGCATGGCAGCAAAAATGCTGATTGGCAAAATTGGGTCACGATGAGCGTATAACTCGCGCACGCTGAGCAGATCTAGACGCAGTGCTTCCTCCGATAGATACGGCTCTGCTGAACGCTAAAATCGTGGATCAACGATGACTTTCCGGGTAACGGTGAAAATTTATTGAAAGCGAACAAAACCAAAAAAAATCTTTCTCTTGTAAAAAAGGTAATTGTACCAATATATATCTTATTTTAGGTATATATATCAGGAACTTCCTACTCGTAGTTCCTTAGAAACGTGTTTGCTCACGTGGAGTCCGTTCGGTACCTTTTTTTTCTATCGGGATCAATACTCCTTTGGGAATTTTTCATCAACCCATTGACAATTTGATCATGTCGAATCCAAATAGCGTTCCTCCCACAGGGAATACGCATCACCATTACAACTCCAATTACCACAAGAACAGGAGAAACAATGGCAGCTATAGCAATTACAACCCGTCCCATCCTCAGCCTCCGTACTATCAACAGCAAGGTTGGACAGGATATATGACCCAGCCATATCAGGCGGCCGCACCTGGTTATGCTTATAGTTACTACGCGCCACCTCCACAAGGAGTTCCAGGGGGACCTTACTATGCACCTCCGCCACCGGGTGCTATTGCCATTAGCCCTACGTTGCCGAGCTCTGCGACTCACACCCCGGTGTCAAAACCCGTCAACCTGAGTATCAAAAATAAGAACGGTGAGGCTGTCCAATTCAATAAAGGCCACTCCAAAACTGCATCTTTGTCATCTTCTTCGTCATCCTCCACGCCTGTTCTGTCCAAAGTTAACGCCTCACTGCCTGCTGTTCCGCCGTCAGCTAGTTCGACTGCGTCTGTGCCGATGTCACCAGGCAAACCAGATGTCGCACCAGCAAAGCCAGCCCAGCCGGAGGTGAAGAAGGCAAACGAGGAATTCAAGGCCAAGTTCATGGAGCAACTCAGGCTCAAAAACTCCAAAGCTAGTTCAGAGAAAAAGGAGGAAAAGCCGCAACCTATTAAAGAAGTCGAAAAAGAAGTAAAACCTGACGCAGCCTCTGAAATAAAGGAAGCACCTAAGGAGTCGCCCAAAGAATTCTCCAAGGAAGCCCCAAAACCGGTCGAGAAACCTGCAGATCCTAAAGAAGAGCAAAAGGAGCCTGCTAAGCCTGTCGTGCCAACTGCACCTGTTGAGCAACAAAAGGAGGAGGTCAAGGAGATCGAGAAGACCGAGAAGATTGAGGAGACCAAGGAAATTGAGGATAGTCAACCAGAATCCAAGCAAGCTGAAAAGTCCGAGGAGCCACAGGCTGCCCCAGAATCTTTCGCTGAGTCAACTCAGGCTAAGCCTGTTGCAGCAAGCACTCCCTCTGTGGATGAGCCAAAAGAAGAGGCACAACCTTTATCCGTGAAGGAAGCACAAATAGATGCTGCTCCCGAACAAACAGAAGGCCCAGAGTCTTCTGCTGTTGCAGACAGCCCAAATGATACCAAGGATGAGACAACCGAGGCAGTGGAAGCTGAATCTCCAGGTATAGACAAGACATTCGATATGACCCGCTTTTTCGCTCAAATTTCGAAAGCTACTCCAATCAAGGACATCTACGCTTTCCCCTACAAAGAGGGACAAGAGAAGCCGGATCCAAGATTGCAAAATGCTTCTAAAAATAAGTACAGTCCGCCATTCTTGCTTCAATTCCAGCCGATCTGTCAGTTCCCTGTTGATGACGAGTGGGATGCCAAAGTGCGGTCCATCATTGACTTGGTTGGTGCCAAGAAAGAGTCACGCGATCGCGGATTTTCTAGATCTGGAAGTCAGTTTGGAAGAGGCGGTCCAGGCTCGTCTAATGCTATGCCAAGAAGTGCCACCCTTAGAGGTGAGTTCGGATCCAGAAACGGTTCAAGAGGCGGTTCTAAAAAGAAGATGGGTCTTGGGTCTCGTGAAAAGAGTCAAAGACAGGGATCCAAAAAGCCTAGAAGATTGGATGATGATAGGGATAACAGAGACGAGGAGACCGAGGCTGCTAAGCAGGCTGCTGAGGTCAAGCCGTTGGAAAAGTCTGCTAATAGATGGGTTCCAAGATCGCTCAGGAACAAAGAGAAGGAGGTTCGTTATGCTCCAGATGGTGTCACTGTGATATTAGAAGAAGAAGATGTGGAGGCCAAGGTCAAATCGCACTTGAACAAGTTGACTTTGGATAACTTTGACACTATTTCCGCCGAAATCATCAAGATCGCCAACCAAGCGCAATGGGAAGACGATGTCAAGACATTGAAGCAAGTCATTGAGCTCACCTTTGCCAAGGCTTGTGATGAGCACTTGTGGTCTTCTGTTTACGCAAAGCTGTGTTTGACGCTCTGTACCGATATTTCTGAGGAAGTGGAAGATAAATCTCAGCCTAGACCAGAACAAGTTCCGAAGCGTGTCTACTCCTCTGGATTGGTTCGGAAGTTGCTGTTGTCCAGATGTCAAGCAGAATACGAAAAGGGCTGGTCTGATAAGTTGCCAACTAACGAGGACGGTACTCCATTAGAGCCTGAGATGATGTCCGATGAATACTATAAGTTGGCAGCCGCCAAGAGAAGAGGGTTGGGACTTGTTAGATTCATTGGTGAGCTGTACTACCTGAACCTGCTTTCGGAGAAAATTATCATCAAGTGTCTTGTTGATCAGCTTTCTGACTCCGACTCTCCAAGCGAGGACACTTTGGAGACTTTGACACAATTGTTAACGACAACTGGTGCCAAGCTTGACTCCAGCAATAGAGGCCCATTGGACTTTGCATTTGAGAAAATCAACCACATCATTAATCACTGCCAGCTGTCATCTAGAATCAAGTTCAAGCTTATGGATCTTTGTGACTTGAGAGCAAGTAGATGGGCAGATGCCAAGTCAAATGCCGGGCCAAAGACTATCGCTGAGATTCACCAAGAGGCCGAGGCTAAGCGTTTGCAAGAGGAAAGAGATGCCATCAGAAGGCGTAAAGCTGATCCAAGATCTGGCTCTTCGAGATCCAACAGCTCGAGATCCAATTCGAAATGGGGAAACAGCAATCAGATTTCTTCTAATGACATATCAAAAGTTGGTGTTGTGAGGAACTCGTCGGAAAGATCTCTCGGACCTTTCAACAAGCAGAAAAGCAAGCTGTCCTCCTCCAAACTAAGTCAGCAGCAATTTACCACGGTACCGTCTGCTGGATCCGGTAACTCTTCTGGCGCCTCAAGCGGACAGAAAGGTGCGGGCACTCCTCCTGACGAGCCAAGAGAGGCATCCAGGAATATCTTTGCTGCTTTAGGCGACCATGAAGACGAAGACAGTGATAGAGAAGCAGAAAACCACGAACCAGAACCAGAGCATGAAGAGGCTGATTCCTCCTCCGCACAACAAGAAGGTGTTTCTGCTGCTGCAGAGACGAAGTCACAAGCCTGAACCCCAGAAACGAGAGCGAGCGTAGGCGCTTAGCTTTACGTCAACTTTTTTCATTTCAGCGAGACTTCTATGGTTCGCGTTTGTAATGTCGGCATCTTTAACGACCACTAGTCACACATATTATTGTACAATCAAATTATGCTCAGAAGCAACAGTAAGTTATATTTATAAACCTTTAGTGTTGGCTTTCAACCATGAGCTGGACAAACTCGTCTGCCGGGTTGCTGCCAAATTTAGCTGTGTCGATGTTGAAAAGAACCTTTTTGATGGACACATTGATTGTCTCACTGCCGAACGCAGCCTTCAGCTTGTAGATGATATCTTTTCTTTCTTCGGAGTCTTTTCCAAAAGATGCCAATTCCATAACAGAATACAGCTCCTGGAGATTGGTGAGATTGTTGACAAGAATCTCGTCATTGAAACAGTTGAGCACGTCGAGACTCTTGAGCAATTCGTGATTGGAAGAAGTGGCCAACACAATGAGTCTGTGGCCTTCTGGAGGCGATTTTTTCAGTCTAGACATTAGGGCTCTCAGGATCACAGAGGAGAATCTAGGCCCAATGGGCACAAAGTCAATCAGCGCCTCAATGTCGTCAACAATCAGCACATTCAATGGCGACTTGTACGCGTCTCTAAATGTGTTATCGATGAACTGAACCTTGGCAGATTCGGACATGCCGATCATCTCGTCAGCAGTGATGATTCTAATAAAGGGGAACTTCGAATTGAGCCCCAGGTAGGAAGCCAGCGCAGTCTTACCCGATCCTGGAGGACCGTACAGCAACAGGGAAGAGAAGTTGAAGTTTTCAGAACTCTGCGTTTGCTCTAAGGCCCTTTGGACACGGTGGATGATATGGTCGATTTTAGGAGAATATTTGAGAATGCCTCCCTTGACGCAATCGTGGAGATCTTCCTCGTGGACACCAAAAGCAGGCTTAACCTCATCCAAAGCGCTCAAGAAACAGCTCATATCCAGAACGGTGTTTTCGAGGTCGCCGGTAATCTCTCCCACAGTGCCCACCTTGATGTGCTGATTTAAAGCAAAAGAGGTAGCCGACTTGATCAGACCTTCGAGTTCTGCTCCAGAGAAGTTCTTGGTCAGCTCCGCAAGTTTCTCCAGGTCAACATCTTTGCCCAAAGACCCGTTCTCCTTCATTTTCTTGGTCTTAATCTCCAAGATCTGTTTTCTGCCCGCGGCGTCCGGCAGATGGATCTCTACCTGAACCTCGAATCTACCTGGTCTGAGCAGCGCTTCGTCAATCAAATCTTTTCTGTTGGTCATACCAATGACCAGGATGTTGTTGAGTTGGTCCACACCGTCCATCTTAGCAAGCAGCTGGTTCACCACATTGTCGGCCACTCCGGTGCCGTCTCCGCGCGAACCACGTTGCTTGAACACAGAGTCCAGTTCGTCAAAAATGATGATGTGCAAAGACGAGCCGTCGCCTTTTTGTTTGTACTCGGCCTCTGCGTCTTTGAACAGGTTTCTGATGTTCTCCTCAGAGGAACCGACATATTTCGACAATATCTCTGGACCGTTAACAATCTTCGGCTCCTTAGCGTTCAGCATCTTCCCAATTTGACGTGCAATCAAAGTTTTACCTGTACCTGGAGGACCGTACAGCAACATGCCCTTCACGTGCTGAATTCCCAGCTTTTCGATCAAGCCGGGAGGGAATATACGCGAAGCAAAGGCTCTGCGAAAAATCGAAGTAAATTCCTTGTCGAGACCTCCAATGCCCATGTCCTCAAACTTGAAGTCTGGCCGAATGATAGCGTCAGAGTTGGGGCGCGTGCTGGAGGCCTTCAGATTGACCAGTCCGTCAGACCCTTTGAAGAAATTCACTTTGGTCTGTTTCACACAGATACCCTTATTCATTATGTCTGTCGAGGTGGGCACATCCTGCAGCTGGACCTCTCCCAAATCGATGACTTGCGAGGAGAGGATCTTGACCTCGAAATAGTTGCCTTTGAACTCGAATAGAAGGATCTGCGATGGCTGGAGAATCTGAGTGTCGAACCGGTGCACGAACGTTTCGCTCATCTCGTCGGGGTCGAATTGTATGTTGTTTGCGCGGTTTCTATTCCAAAAGTTGATCTCCACATTCAATGTGCCCAAATAGGCCCCCTTCTTGCCGTTGGATTGAAACAGGTCGTACGGTGCCACTGCTATCGTTTGGTCAGTGGACCAGGACCCCCAGAACCTTTGGTTCCCGCTGAGTCCTATGGTTCCGGGCATGCATTTGGTGGTGGCGACGCAACTGAACACGAATTTGCCGTCGCAGATCACGTAGCTACCGTCCTGGAAGTCCTGTGGAGACACGGCGACACAATTGGACTTGGCAATCTCGTTGTCTGGCGAGTTCTTGACCACGAGGCTACGCGCAGAAGGCGCAGCGTGTCTTCTAAAGGGCAGTTTTTCCATTCTGCTAAAGGACACAATATTATTTAAATATAATACAAATGTTAGTAGATTAAGTTTTTTTGGTGCAGAGATGGAAAAATGAGCTTTTAGTCGAGAATATGTTCTTCTCTAGTACAAACCATTCTATAGTATTAGCGTTGCTGGAACATCTGTCCAAACTGAGAGGCCATTCCCCCAGATTGCTGGTACTCAGTCATGACGCTTTCCAAGAGCGTCAGAGCGCACAACAAGCCAGTCAGCGCTCCGACAGCCAGGCCTCCAGAGAGTCCAAGGGCCTCGACACTGCACACAACCACCGACACAATCAGTGCGCCCGTGGTGGAAGCCACCGGAATGATTTTTCCAAGCTCTTTTCCGACAGCTGTGTCTCTATGACCGATGAGAGTGATGTCCTGCTCCTTGAATTGTTTGGCAATGTCTCTACCGGAGGAGCCTGAGATGTTGCTCCACATTTTAGAGAAAGCCGTCGACACCACAATGACAAACAGGGAGAACGTGACCGGCCTGACAACATAGTGTAGTGGCGAGGCGCCCTTAGGAGAGGCAGACACAAAGTAGAGCAGGCCCGAGGTCAGATTGTACGTAGAGGAGTCGAACTCGTCCAATTTCCAGCTGCCGATGTATTGCACGTACGGCACGGTATTGAAGATTCTGGTGAGAGCGAACCCGATAATGTTGAGGTTGTACAGCACGGCGTAGGTGAACAGTAGAGGCAGTGCTCCGCAGTAAAGCAGCTTGATCGGGTACACAGAGGCCATGGACCTGACTTTAGCGGACTTGATAGGCACCTCAACTCTGAAGTTGCCAAAGTACACACCCGCAGCCAGGGCGGCGAGGGTGACGTAAATTTGGGTCAGGTTGGCCAGGTTGTCTCTAGTGAATGCATCGTAGATGGCCAGACCAAAAGGCTTGTTTTTGATGTTTCTAATCAATTGGATCAAGGCACCGTGGGACTCAAAGCCTCTGGCGGTGAGGGTAGTGGTGAATCCAAGGAACGAGGTGACGAACTGGGTGGACGACGAAACAGTGATGATTGCCAGAATTCCCGGGCCGAAACCGTAACCCTTATCCAGAAGCTCCACCAGAAGGGCCGTGATGAGCGCCATGAACGTCAGCTGGACAATGTAGGTCAGCTTGCTCCAAATAGGCAAGGTTGCTTGCGAGGTGAATTGGTCGACGGGGTCAAAGTAGCCGGCAAACGAGAGCAAGACGGCGTAGACCAGGGCGATCAACACCGCGGTCAGTTTTTGCCAGGACTGGAAAAGCTCTCTATCGGATCTGGATTCGAAGTTGATTTTGATGACTTTGAAGCCCGCAAGAATCTGCCACAGGAAACCGGCCGTGACGACGGGCAACAGCCCGAACTCCAGCGCCGTTCCGGCCTGGGACGCAAATGGGACCCGCAGCCAGCCAAAGGGGTCGGCTATGCGGTCCTGCGCCACGTTACTCAGTGGAAGGCCGGCAAGCAAGTACACAGCGACCGAGGCGATGGTGTAAACGATTTTCTCATCGAACTCGATTTTCTGGTAAGGATACTCGACTTCCGGCAGAAGCGAGACAAAAGGTTTAGCAAGGTCCAATAAACGGACTGTGGTTAGTCAATTTTGCATGCCCACGTTAAACTTACTGCCACTCATTATTAAGTTGTCCAATTTGTTTCGGATGCTTAATTTTTCAACGAGGGAAAAAAAGTTGGAGTCGATCGTCGCTACTGAAAACATGGAATCCGATCAGATTAATATTGACGCACAGATAGATTACGATGCCGCTATTCGGTATTGGAGCGGGGTGGAGCCCTCTGTGGACGGCGTGCTGGGCGGTTTTGGAGAGTCCACGAGCGTGCCGAAGGCCGACGTGGTCGGTTCTATGACCTTCATCCGCAAACTGAAGTCGCGCTTCTCGACAGAGCCCGGGAAGATCAGCTATGGACTGGATTTTGGTGCAGGCATTGGACGAGTCACAAGAGACTTCCTGCACAAGGTCTGCGAGAAGGTGGACCTGCTGGAGCCTGTGAAACCATTTGTCGACCAGATGTACAGAGAGCTGGCTCCGCTGGCAGAACAGGGTAAGATTGGCGAGATCTACCAGATCTCGATGCAGGACTGGGTCCCACAGGAGCACGGCAAGTACTCTCTTCTGTGGTGCCAGTGGTGCTGCGGCCATCTGCCAGACGATGCGTTCCTCGTTTGGCTTGGTCGGTGCAAGGATGCGCTGCAAGAGGACGGACTACTGGTAATCAAAGAGAACAACGTTAACGGGGATGAGGACGTGTACGACCCGGAGGACTCGAGCAAGACGCGCTCCGACAAGAATTTCCGGCTGCTGTTCGAAAAGGCCGGCTGGAAGCTGATAGCTACGGATCTACAGAAAGGAGTGCCTAAAGAGCTGTATCCGATCAGAATGTATGCATTAAAGAAATAAATACAGAGACTAGTAGTTAGTAAATCTGCTCTCAGATAGGGGTGAAAGACTTTTGATGGAAAGTTTTTATCTTCATGCTATTCAGTTGAACTATGCATTCATAAGTCATCATTAAGCGATTTACTTACCTTCTTCTCGCTGGAAAAGTGAAAAATATTTTTGAAAAAAAATAATTTCGCAGGGTATATTTATACACGGTACTGGAATTTATTCATGAATGTTCCTCTGGAGCACGGGAATATTCTGAAGCACAAAAACGACCTAATCCGGTCCAGTGTGGCGAGCGTAAAACGTATCCACATTTACGAGTTTGACAATGCTTTATTTCGCTCGCCATTGCCTAATGCACACTTATTTAATGCTGAGTCCATAGATCTCATGACCAAAAACCCAGACCCGCTTTCGAAATTCAACTGGTTTTCCAGCGTACGCGTATTAAAGGAGGTGGGGAAAACGCGGGTGGACGAAGTTTCACTCAATACAGAAGGACTTTGGAACGACATACTTCGACAACTGATTATAGAGTCGAACGCAGACAAAAACACACTCACGATACTCTCGGTCACACGCATTCCCGAACTGTTCACGAGCATGATCTTGCGACTTCTGAAAACGGCTCAGCTCGATGATTGTTTTGACTGTATTTTGATGAACGAGGATCCCAATTTCCTCGATCTGATTGTTTCTGCTACCACGCCTCTGTGCCACGAGCTAGAGGATATAACCTTTTACGCGGCCACTAAACAGCTGCATGTGGACGGTATTGGCTGCCTGAACATCGCGGTGCCGTTTGAGTCCTCCTACCTGCTGCCGCAGCTCGAGGTAGCCATTGTCCAGGAGATGCTGCTTGGAGAGCCTTTCGAGCTGCGTCGCAGTATTTTTTCGTCCTACTACATGCTCAGCCCAGAGTCGCGCCAACAGCTCCTGCGGAGGACCGTTACGGAAGATTTCATACCCCTAGAGGACCGTCCGGGGTTGTCTTTTGAAGGCGAGGGAGTGCTTATAGGAAAGAACCAGCTGTCTCAGAGCAAGTTGGACGAGCTTGGGGGTATATCCAAGCCTGTCATTATTGGTGCTGTCAGTCTGGGTAGCGTCAAAGGCCGCATTTATGCCATGAGGGTGATCATTAACGACGAGAACGCACAGACGTATTTGCAGCCACCAGTCATTGTGATTGCGCGAAAACCAGATGTGCTGCTTAAGGAGGTAGAGGACATTGACAACTGGCAAACGACTCGCGAGCTATTCAGTTTGGATGCCCGAATCGAGTACAAGCAGATATTCAAGATCCAGAGCGAGAAAAAATAGAATGTATTATAGTACGCGAAAAATAAATAAATAATCCTAGTTATCGATATGGGTCGCGGCGATCGCATACTGGATAGAGCGTGGGCCCGGTTCACTGACTCCGATCGGATAGCAATAACCGACACGGGCGCATTGATTGAGGAGATCGAACAGATTTGGGGACGGGCGCTTCTATCCCCGGACTACAAGGCATTCTGGATTGACACGATCCTCGAGCATCCCAGCAGAAGTCTAACCAAGCACGAGTTTTTGGTGCTATTTAAGATGCTTTTTGAGGTCGATTTCGAAGATTTATTTGATACAGACACAGATCTCACGAGGCGAACGGACACGAGAACAATAAATCGGAAGGCACCTGTGGCATTGTCCCTGGTGGAGCAGAAACAGAAGCTGTTCCAGAAAATTAGCATACTGAAAGGCACGTTAAACGCGCAGCGCAAGCGGTCGGTCAACGAAGACCGCACAATGGAATTGCAATTGAATAGACGACTCGTGGACTGCTACGAGACATTAATCCAGGTTTACGAGCAGCTAGCTGCCCAGCCCGCGGACTCGGCGCTGGTGCTCGCGGTGAGGCGCCAAGACGAGCTGCTAGCGCGTTTTCAGCGGAAACTGAATCGCACGGCCAAAATCAAACTATGGCGGTCTTATCTGACGCTGCTGGTGGCTGGACTGCTGGCATTTTGCGTTGTTTCGTACGTTATGGGGCTCGTCGCTGACCTCCCGGCGACCGAAGACGATAACATAGCACCGGCAGGCTATCGACGGCTGCCGAACAGGTTTTTCGACTCGCTGAACCCGATTGACAGGCTTTTCTATAGCGGCCTGGAATGGCTTGGATATGTGTAATCAATACTCCCAAGTCTTGCAATCGACGCACGTGTCGTCGCGGCTGGGCTCGGGCGACTGTCCAGTGACGAGTTTGCCTCCATGTTTGTTTGGTTTGTCTATGTGACTGAGCTTAAGCTCGGGATAAAGATGATCTCTGATGCGTTGCTTGAGGAGCTTGGAGTCTGGGAACCCATCCTCCTGTTTCCTGTCCCAGATTACGACCCAATCCGCGTTCTCGTCTCTTTTCACCGCCACTTGAAACGTCCCGGCAACCAGCGAAGGAGACAGCATGGCGCAGTTCACTGTTAGCGTGGTTTCATTCTCGTCGATGGCCTTCGAGGAGAATGTCTGCAGAATCTCCTGTTGGTACCATGCGGCACGGAGCATCCACTTGCACCTAACACAATAGGAAATGTTGACTGCCGGATACGCAATGGACATTGTGCTAACTTACAAAAAATAAATAGGCTATTTTTTTTTGCGGGGCCCTGGCTCAGAAAATTGTGCGCGCGAAAGTGCGGGTGATAATCAGCAAATATATATACCAACTTTGCACAGACACACAGTCAGCCATGGTTTGCGACACGATAACATATCATCCGACTCTCACAAAACTGATCAATTTCCTCGAGACAAACAATGGCCGTGACAAGCTGCTCAGAACGCTGCAATACGTGACGAAGTTGCTGGCTTATTATCTCCTCAGGACAGGCTCCAGCGTGAACAGCTACTATCTGGTGAGAAGACTGCAGGAGTTGTTTACTCTCAGCAGAAAGCCGTTGAGAGCCCTGAAGCCGCTGAAACACCTCAAGGCGCTCTCGTTGACCGTCGACAACGAGCTCGGCGACGGGTACACAAAGCTGTTTGAGAGCGTCAAACAGGCCAGCTACTCGCTGTACTACGGGTTCGACACTGTGCACTGGCTCAAATTGTTGGGACTGCTGCGGAACAGAGACGGCAAACTGCTCGTGAAGATCGAGCAAGTGTGTAGCTTCTTCTGGCTCGTGGCTCTGGTTTCGGGCCTTCTGCAAAACGTCAGACAACTCAGAGTGTCGTATTTGAGAAAACAGGAGCTGCTCAAAGAGCTGGCCTCGGGCGATGATCAGGATCCGCTGGACAAGAGAGGCAACCTGGAGAAACAGAAAGAGACCCTCGACGCCCAAAATACCCAGCTCCACAGAGCAAAGAGAGACCTCGTGATCCATGCTCTCAACAGCCTGGTGGCCATCAACGGCCTCAGCCAGAAACGTGTCAACAATGGTGTTGCGGGTGGAGCTGGCGTGATCACTAGTGTTCTGCAGCTCCAGGACCTGTGGAACGCCACCGGCACGGCCGAATCTTCTGTGATATGATTTAACGCGAAATGACTTCTTTTAATGATTGATATATTTACAGTTCGATCTTGATTTTGCGACGCGCGTTCTTCTTGTCCTTTAGCTTGCGCTTCGCCTGTACTCGCGCCTCCTTCTCCTTTTTGCGCAAATCCTCCCACCGCTCCAGCGTCGCCTCGTCGGTCTCCTTCCTTGGCTCTCCACACCTCTGCACCGCGCTCACAAATTTCTCCAAGCACTCCATCACATTCTTCTGTCTGTATCTGGTGGAGTCGCTCATAATGAGCACGTCGCCCGCGTTTGTAAAGTAAGGAAATCGTTTGGACTCTGGACAACTTCTGTCGCTGTAATTGGCCATCAGCTGGTCAAAAATAGCTGGATCGACCCAGGTTCCCCGAGCACTCTGCCACCCCTTCGCAGAAAGACGAAGAACGGCCTTCGACTCGGTCCTATTCACATGCTGGCCACCGGGTCCGGACGACCGTGCGTACGTTATGTTGAAATGCTTCAGCATACTCGAATCGGCTCTTAGCGGAGGCCAGCTACCTCGGCTGTAAAACCGCACAAACCTCGCAAACATTTGAAAAATATTTAGCGGCTGTGCATCTTGTCAGTGGTAGAAAAAAAATTATTGAAAAAATGAAGGAAGGGGTCGACAGGGAATTGAACCCTGGACCTCCTGCTCCCAAAGCAGGAATCATACCACTAGACTACCGACCCGTTCACGTTACGTCAGGTGTAACACGGCTACCTATCGTGTTTACAGACTAGCTGCAGCTCAATAGGTGTACCTTGCCAACTTAATCTCGGCCTTTACAATCTCTCTGGGCCTTTTGTAGGCTTTACATCTCCGAACAATTACGGTGATGCAATAACATACTTTCATGCATACTCTTTATGTAGTTCTTATAGGTTAGCATCGAGCACGTCATTCAGTACCACCATTGATACTGTCTCTCAGCCAATACCGTCCATTCGGTCTCTTCCACCGAGCCAATATGAAGCACAATGTTGCTCTAGTGTAAGCATAATGCATGGCTATTCATCACTCCAACTTAAATAACACCTTCAAGTTCTCATACATGAGATAGCTGATTGAAACCGCAGGAGCCACCTTAGCCAGATTTGGAACCAGGCCCTTGAAAAGTCCAGGAACACCTTCCCGGGTTACCGTCTGCTTGAACACGTCGAAGAAGCCATCGTAAGTGTAAGGATGCGCGAATGTTCCCTGAGCCTGCAATCTCGTTCGGAGGAGGTTGATTGGGTACACCATGGTGGCTCCAAAGGTGCCGCTAACTGCACCCAGAGTGAGCACCAGGTAGTTCGGGAGTACCACGTCGTCGACAGAACAGTGCTGTTTTTCGGCTGTTTTTTTCATGTACCATTTTTTCACAGTGGAGAAAGTTCCGAGGTCTAAAGCCGCGTATGGGAACATTCCACCTAGTCCCAGCGGTAGTCCTCTGTAGAATATCCTCACTCCCCCTTCTTTGAACATGTCTTTGGCGGTCTTCACAAGTAGCTTGTTACCCTTTTCTTTTGAGTCCAAAGATGCGCATTGGATTCGATATTTGAGCGTGTCTATTGGATAAACGGTTATCTGTGCAATAACTCCACCAACACCCCCGGACACGAAAGTTGACACTTTCGAAAGCTTCGACACGTCATCTACTCCCTCGACACCGCACAGAAACTTCTTGGTGGCCTCAAACGACCCGAATTTCATCGCGCTCTCGGGGAACACTTTGAGGACGTTGAGTCCATTTCCAACATAAAATGCACGAAGTCCACCCTGTTTGTACAATGTTTTTGCGGCGCGGACCAGTGGCGACTGTATCTTCTTCTTGGGCACCGGATGATGCACTTTCTCCTGAATTTTGCTTTGCAATTCTTGTCTGTTGTTTAAGAGCGTCGACGCCAGGTCGGTTCTGGCAATCAGGAACACCTTGACTCGATCGAATGGCGCCGTGCAGGTTCTGGAAACAACACCGGAAAGCCCTCCCGCAAGAAAATATCCTACGCTCTTGAGGACGTCGTCGCTGACGGTGACGTCTCCTTCAGAGGAGATATTCTCCATCTCATCGTTGAGGAATTTGAAGGCTGTGCGGACCCGCGATCCTTCCAGCCGCGGAATGAGCAGCAGCCCGTCACGAAACATCTCGAACGTGACAAACCCGCGGTCTTCGAAGTCTAGTTTTCTGAAAAAGGTGTCAACCTCAGATGGAGTGGGTTTTAAACCCAGCTTGAACAAGTACGACTCCACATCCTTCTTTGTGACCTTGCCGTCGTGGTCACGGTCGACGTTCTCAAAACCTTTGGCCAATTGGGCCTCTGCCTGGATGAGGTACTGGTTAAACTTGTCAAAGCTGATCCAATCACTAGCTGCTTCTTGGCCAGCAAGAGACTTGTAGATCTGAGAGATTGCGAAATGCGAGTCCTTGAGCGGATGGTCGGTAAATTGCAGCGCTCGCTCAAAGTCCTCGAGCGTGAACTTCCCGTTATTTTTTGTATCGATCTCGTCAAACAGCTTCTTGTGGCGCTGCAGCCGCTCTGTCAGGCTTTCTTCAGGCATGAACAAAACAAGTCTGGGAAGTTATTTTTTTCTTTGGTATTTCGACGCGTCGAAAAACTTCGTTATTTTTCTTCCACTTTTCTCTTCCAATGTCGGTCAACATATTTGGCGACCAAGTCACTGAAGAGCGTGCTGAGAACGCGCGTCTGTCGTCATTCGTGGGCGCGATTGCCGTTGGCGACCTTGTGAAGACCACGCTGGGCCCTAAAGGAATGGACAAGCTGCTGCAATCCTCCTCTTCGGGCGACTCGATGGTCACCAACGACGGAGCCACGATCCTCAAAGCTATCCCTTTCGACAACCCTGCTGCCAAGGTGCTTGTCAATATTGCCAAAGTTCAGGACGACGAGGTTGGAGACGGAACCACGTCGGTGACCGTGTTTGGCTCTGAGCTTCTACGGGAGGCGGAAAAACTCGTTGATCAGAAGATCCACCCACAGACCATCATTGAGGGCTACAGAATTGCCTGCCGCGCAGCACTGGCCGAGCTGGAGAGCCTAGCTGTCAACAACGTTGACAACGAGACCAAATTCAGAGAAGACCTGATCAACATCGCCAAGACTACACTTTCGTCCAAGATTCTGTCCCAGGACAAAGAGTACTTTGCCAAACTGGCTGTGGACGCTATTCTAAGACTGCGTGGCTCGACAAACCTCGATCGAATTCAGATCATCAAGAAGGCGGGCGGCAAGTTGTCAGACTCGTTCCTGGACGAAGGATTTATTCTGGACAAAAGAATCGGCGTTGGCCAACCAAAAACGCTCAAGAACGCGAAAATCCTGATTGCAAATACCTCCATGGATACGGACAAGGTCAAAATTTTTGGTGCAAAGTTCAAGGTGGACGCCACTAGCAAGCTCGCGGAGCTGGAGCGTGCCGAAAAGGAAAAAATGAAGGCCAAGGTGGAAAAAATTCAGAAATTTGGTATCAATTGTTTTGTGAACAGACAGCTGATCTACGACTGGCCAGAACAGCTGTTGAGCGATGCCGGAATCACCACTATAGAACACGCAGATTTCGAGGGTGTCGAAAGACTGGCCCTTGTCACCGGCGGCGAGGTTGCGTCCACTTTTGACAACCCAGAGAAGGTCAAGCTCGGCTACTGCGACTCGATCGAGGAAGTTATCATTGGAGAAGACATCATGACCAAGTTTTCTGGCGTGGCTGCAGGTCAGGCTTGCACCATTGTGCTTCGAGGAGCCACCGAGCAGGTTATCGACGAGGCAGACAGATCTTTGCACGACGCCCTGTCGGTGCTTTCTCAAACTACCAGAGAAACAAGGACTGTTTTGGGCGGAGGCTGCTCAGAGATGAACATGGCTCGTGCCGTGGAACAGGCCGCTCAGAAGGAGAGCGGCAAGAAGTCGCTTGCCATTGAGGCCTATGCCCGTGCTCTGAGACAGCTGCCAACCATTCTTTGCGACAACGCTGGGTACGACTCGAGCGAACTGGTTTCGAGATTGCGCTCATCCATATACAGTGGAATGAGCAGCTCGGGATTGAATCTAAACGAGGGAACAGTTGACGACATGAGACGGTTGGGTGTCTTGGAGAGCTACAAGCTGAAGAGAGCCGTGGTGTCGTCTGCTTCTGAGGCGGCCGAGGTGCTGTTACGTGTGGACAACATCATCCGTGCCAAGCCTAGAACGGCGGACCGCGGAATGCACTAGTGATACATAGCTGGAATACCATAATTGAGAGAGCTGTAGAGAGTGAAAGGCTGGAACTGAGTTTTTTTGTGAAGGTCCGACCTTCCAGGGCTGCTCAAGGTCTGCTGGTTAGTTCAGTTACACAAGAAATGGGTCGGTAGTCTAGTGGTATGATTCCTGCTTTGGGAGCAGGAGGTCCAGGGTTCAATTCCCTGTCGACCCCTTCTTTCCTTTTTTTAAATTATTCTTTTTGTAAAGACCCCGGTTGCAACATGTTCACTAGTTGTGCTGATGGCACCAACGTCAAAAGCTACTTGCTTCTCTACTGCACTGCTAAGGAGAACGTTCTTTAAATCAGCTGCCTTCCCTACGCATACGTCGCCTGGCAGCATTTATTTATTCCTTTAATTTAATAATCTCTCGAATTTAGTTTAATAAATTTTATTCAGTGCTTATCTAGTAAACCTCCAGAACATATCTGCCATCCTCCTTCAATTCCTCGACCTCCTTGGCGCTGTCGATCTGCACACCCTTCTTGGCCGCGTCTGCCTCCAGAATGTCCTGCAGACAGGCAGTGATGTCTGGCACAGGCCAGGTAGGACCACACAGGTAGAAGTGGCCCTTCTTGGAAATCATCAGGTCGGTCAGCTCCTCTAAGTTCTCTCTGATCTTGTCCTGGATGTACACCTTCTTCGGCTGGTCTCTAGAAAAGGCTGCTCCGATGTAGGTCATGATACCGGAGTTCAAATAGGCCTCCCAGTACTCACCATACAGATACTCCTGTCTCTTGTGTCTGGACCCAAGGTACAGGTAAATCTCGCCAATCTCGTGGGCCTGGGTCTGCTGGAAGTATCTCTCCTCCACAAACGCCTTGAACGGAGCCAAACCCGTGCCCAGACCCGCCATGATGATTGGCTGGGTGGTCAATGGTGGCAACTTCATGATCGACGTCTTGACAGACACCACGAGCTCCTCGCCGATGCGCAGGTCACTCAGGTACTTCGAGCACTGGCCGTATCTGGTTCTGCCCTTCTTGTCCTTCCAGTCGACCACAACGACCAGCAAGTGCACCTCGTTCGGATGCAGCTTCTGAGATGACGCGATCGAGTACTCTCTTCTTTTCAGGGCTGGAATCAGCTGCACAAGCTCCTCGGCCGAAGGTCTCGCGCTCGGGAACAGCTCGAAAATGTCCACGTAACTGTAGAACTCTTCCTCCTGGTAGGTCTTGAGCAGCTCTGCACCGTCTGCACCGCCAAGTTTTGTGAGGGTGGCCTTTTCATCGGCGTTGGTAGCATACTCTGCGAGCGACTCGTAGAACCGTTTTGGCGGCTTTCCGAGCACGTCTAGGTTCTCGATGAGCGCCTGTCGGACGGTACGCACCTCAAAAACGGTCTCGTCCTCCTTGGAGGCCACCTCGACCAGGGCGTCTGGCTCCAGACCGTACATCTGTATGAACTGGTCCACGATCTCCGGGCTGTTTCTGCCGTGGATGCCGAGCGCCTCTCCGATGTTGTACTTGAGACCGGTGCCGCTCACGTCGAATTCGATGTGGAAAATGTTCCGGTCGTAATCGGTTGGTGTCAGCCGTTTGTTCTCCTTCACCTTGACCACAAAGTTCTGCACCGGCAGGTCTGGCCGCAATGCCTTAGACACGCCGTATGCCTCCTTGAACATCAGCTTGCGCACCAGCTCCGAGCGTGGTTCGACCTTGACGCCCGTGGTGTCCACAAATTTCTCTCTAGGATTAGGCTCGAACGAGGTCTCGACAAGGTCGACAAACTTAGTCTCTTGCTCGTCTTCTTCGCCGACCTCCTTGACGGCGACCTCTAAAACGTGCTGCTCGACCTTCTCTACCAGCTCGGCAATCACCGACGCCAGCAGCTCGGCCTCACTGCCGAAGGCCTGCAAAATCTTGGTCACAATAGCTCCCGTGTCCAGCTCCGGGTATGCGAGCTTCCAGAACGCGACCTGGATCGCAATTGACGCCGTGCGGCCCTTGGTGGCCTCCTGCTCGCCCACGGTGTTGAGGTCGATCACCTTGAGAGTGCGCTGTTCAGCCAGCAGCCGCGCCTTGAATTTCGACGACAGCGTCTTCTCGACAAACTTGACCTCGTCAAACTTCTGTTCCGGCCCGTTCACCACAAGCAACGAGCCCGTTTTTTTGAGACTCTTGAGCACGTCGACCTCGTTCAAGATCTGTGCGTCCTCAACAACAAGGACGTCGAGCAAATCGCTCGAGACGGAGCCGGTACGGATGTCCGCGGAAAATACACCAGAGTTGACCGTGTTGTCAAACTTCGGCCGGTACTGGATGTCCATGTCGGGCACCAACGAGAGCGCGTGGGTGATTTTGGAAGGCACGTCCACGAACGGCGAGTTGTCTGCGGTCAAGAACCGGAAATGGGAGCCTGCCTCTGCCGCTGACGCAGCCAGCCGTTCGAACTCTGCCACCGTCTCCTCGACAACCTTCAAAAAGCGCTGCTTCACGTAGAGAGCAGCCTGAACGTCGAGCTTGAGCAGGTTGACGCCGTGGTACTTCTCGCCAATGACAACGACCTGCTTCGTGCTAGCTGGGACCAGGTCGACAAACTTGGCCACCTCGAACGGCAGCGCCGTTCTCACGTGCACGAACGCCACGTTCAGCCGCTTCAGCAGGGCGGTCTCCTTCGAGCCGTACGCCACGTAGACGGTCTCGGCGCCCTGGGGACCGTGGTATTCGAATGGAGCGTAGCTGGTACCCAAGACCTCGTTAAGCACAGAGAGCGCGAACGACAGCTTCGAAACCGCCGGCAGCAGCTGGATCTTGCCGTTCAGCTTCTCGTACAGCTCGTCTGCAACGGCCCGGATCCGCTCGTTCGAAAGCGAGCCCGAGATCGTCTGGTTGGTCTTGAGGAAGCTCAGACCGTCAAACAGATGGACCGTAGTGATCTTGAGCTTGGCCAGAGCGTTGGTCAAAATGGCAAAGTGCTGGGCTTCGACCGCGTCCAGCGAGTGCAAAACTGGCAGCTTCAAATTCTTCGCAACGGACAGGACCTTGGAGTACTGCGAAACCAGCTGGCCGCTCTTAAAGTCGTACTCCAAGCTGGCAACGTTCAACGACAGAGCCAGATTATGGTGGTTTTGGTTCTGCTGCAGCAAAACGGGCTCCATGTACTCCAGCCCAGAGCTCGGAACAATCACAGACACAGGCTGGCCGTCAATACTCTCGTTCAGATAGCCCAGAATGAGGTTTCCGCAGCCAGATCTCACCTCCAAGTTGTACAGATGAGGGACATTGTTGTTGAGGTTTTTTCTGTTCAGCTTGTTCCACAAGCCCAGCAGCGAGCGCCTGTCTGGGACGTCGTGGTGGCCCAGCAGATCGTAGCTGAAAATCTTGTCGTTCAACAAGTAGACGGCTGATAACAGAACGTTAAAGGGGGACGTCAAAACACGGCCCTTGAGCTCATAGGGGTCGAGCGGAAGCCCAAAAGGGGAGCTGATCGTCGCCGACGAAAGAGCCACGGACGTTGAGATGGACGGTTCTCCTTCGGAAATCGATGGCATACTCTATCTTGAAGACTAATAATTCCCCATATATTTTTTTTTTCAAACACCGATTGTTGAAAATTCACGTGACCTCATACGAGCCTACAAACTCAACCACCCCCCAAGCCCGCGTTCGAGCCGTTGTTTCTTCCACGTGAGAAGCTCCTGCTTCTCCAGCAGCTCCTCGCTCTTCTCGCCGCTCTGCAGGCTGCCCTCTACGAAATACAGCTCGTCCTTGTAGTTCTCCAGCAGCTCCTGCGGGTCCGCCAGTTTCCGCTCAATCTCGGTCAGACCCGTCTTGACACTCCATATCTGCGACAATTTTGCCGTTCCCAGCTTGTATGTGTACGGTGCCTTTATCTCCGGCTCCTTGTCGAGGTGTTCGTCCAATTTGCGCTTCTTGTTGTTCGAAAGCGCTTCCAGATCCGCCAGATTTTCATGGTTGAACTGCTTAAGTTTCAGTGCCCTCCATCTGATCTCCGTGTTGTCGACAACATGTTTCAAAATGCGGTGGAACGCAGGGAAGTAGCTCGCGTAGTGTCGCTCTATCTCCGTGAGCACCTCGACCAACTGGCTCTTGACGCTGTCGTTGGCCAGCATCGCGTCAAACTCCGGCTTGCGAAACTTCTTATACTTGGCATTGATGTCGCCAAGCACTTTCGTCCATTTGGCGTCTGTGAGGTCGTAGATGAACGAGACCATCACGTAGATCTGGAATATCACCGCCCAGCGCCGGCTGGGCTGTCTGAGCTGGACACCAAACTCATCAGCGTTCAGCAGCCAGTCGCATTCGTACTCCTTTGCCGCAAAACTGTCCACCAGCTGGCTGTGTTCCTCTGCTGTCAGCTCGTGCATGCTCCCGAGCTTCGGAGCAGGCTCCTGCGCGTCCATTTCCTTGATAGTCTTGACGAGTTTTTTGCAGTTGTCTATCAGCGGCAGCCCTGTCTTGGAATACCTGCCTCCTCTGTGAGCGTTGAGCTCTTCCACTAGTCTCTTGAAGTCTGTAGTGAAATACAACGCCAGAACCATGTACTCCTGAAAGGCATCGTTTGTGCGACGAGCCGGGTTCCTGTTGGCGTTCGACGGCCACTTGCGCGACTTGGAGAACTCTAGGTATGTTTTATTAAAGTCGTTCAGCTTCCAGTCGCTAGTCAGCAGCAATTTGTCGTTGATGTCAAAGGCGTTGGTGATAAAGACCATAAGCTGGGCAGCAAATATATCGTGTGACTCCAGTTGTCCAAGCAGTCTCGGGAGCAGAACGTTGCCGATCTGCAGCAGCGTTGAGCCTGGCTTAGCCTTGCCAACTAACGTATTATGGAGAGTCAGTTTGAGCCGTCTGTCGACGGACCCGTGCGAGAAAAAAACCGGGCCAAACGTATCCACAACGAAATCGGTAGGACTCAGCAGCATGATCGAGTTCAGGGTCTGCATGGGCACGGGGTTCAGGCCAGAGTACTTCACAAATGACAGGTAGATTGAGGAATCTAGAAGGAGAAGTGTCTGTGCCAGAAACAGCGCTGGTTCTTTAGGGCCTCCCCCCTCTGACTCCTCCACTTGCAAAAGACTTTTGGTGAAGATCCCATTGAACAGTAAGATCTTGTCCACCGTAAGAGTGTCTATGTCTAGTGTGCTGAACACGGCATCCAGTGCGGCTGTGAGATCAGAATTTTCGTAGTACAGACTCTCCGCCATTTCATTAGGATCGAGCCTGCCAGCGAATGCCAGAATGGCCTCTTCCAGACCACTCGCGTACTGCTCAACAAGGGCGTCCATGCAATAAATTACAAAATAAAAAAATCGCGTCGACCGACGCCAAAATATTCGTCTACTTTTCATGTCATCAACCTACCTATGCTAAAATCCACAGCAAAATAATGCATATGACTATCAGACCGGCGATGATTAGCGAATCGCGCTTTCTACGCGTGTTGATCTTGGAAAGCAGCACTTTCAGCCCCGGCATCGTGCTCAGTGACCGCTGAAGCCGGTTGCCGACACTGCTCAAAACATTGCGCTGTCTGAGGATCTCGTCTCTAGTCTCGAACACCTGGCTCAGTAGGGTATCCATGGCGCTGTGCTGCTGGTTCAGCCGCAGCCGCTCGTTTAGCATGTATCCGTCCTCACTGCCCGAACCACCGGAACTATCCACGCGTCTTTGGTGGTCCTCTATGTCTGTGCGAACGAACGAGAGTAAGTTTATCTTATCACGTTCCTGTTTGATTGTAGACTTGATTCGGTTGAAATCGATTGTGTATTGGCTCAGGTTCTCCCTGTGACGCGCCAGTTGCTGCATTTTCGACGCCGAAATGGTGTTGTTGAGCGATTGCGAGTCCACCACCCGGTTCAGCTCCTTGACCAACGACGAGAGATTAGTGAATGTGTCGTTGATTTTGCGCTCGAGCTGTTCCTCCTCAGCACTCGTCTCGGGCCCCGGCGCAGACGCAAACGAGCTGTAGCTCGCCAGAAGACCAGCCAACTGGTTTTCCACGCCAACAATCTGCGTTCGTGTTTGGTTGAAAGAAGATGCCATGCTTGAGCGAGTAAAAAAATCAGCAACTATTTATTTATCTCGGCCAATCATATCAGCACCGACGAATAGAAATCCCACCAAAATACAAGCGCTTCCAGGCCCTGCAAGGCAGCGTCCTCTAGCAGCTGGGCGCTCTGACACGGATGCAGCTGGTAGAACGGCTTACCCAGCACCGGATGGTCCACCAGCGTGATCGCAGTGTCGACGCGTCGATCGACGCTTAGTGAACCGTCGCGGGTGACGAGCTTGTCTATCAAAGACTGGTCGAACACAAGACTGCGGGCCTCGATGCCGTCGCATATTTGCAGCTGCCACGTGCGGAACGTCAGTAAGGGCGCCGCATATGTCTGGTGGAAGAATACGACGATCTCCAGCTGTATGTCTTCTCGAGACGCGAGAGCAAAGATCAGCGACTGCAGTTAGTAGGGCCATTGCGTGGCCGCATCTAGAACCTCCGTGTAACGTACCTTGCCGTCTAATCGTTCAGTGCGTACATTTGCACATTTGTGGCGGATGTGATGCGCTAATTGCGAGACGTTGTCCTCGAATACGTTCTCTTTCATATAAATATTTATTATAGATATTTCAATCAAATGCTAATTGTTTCTTGATCTCGGCGATCGCCTTACCCGGATTCAGACCCTTAGGACAGGTACGCGAACAGTTCATGATGGTGTGGCATCTGTACAACGACATGGAGTTCTGCAGCATCTCCTTTCTGCTCTTGGTGGCCTCGTCTCTCGAATCCACAAGCCATCTGTAGGCCTGCATCAGCACGGCAGGTCCAAGGTATTCTTGCTGGTTCCACCAGTAGGAAGGACACGAGGTACTGCAACAAGCACACAGAATACACTCGTACAATCCATCCAACTTCTTTCTGTCCTCCTCGCTTTGCAGGTTCTCCTTGCCATCGGCTGGCTTATTTTTGGTCTGCAGGTATGGCTGGATCGATTTGTACTGTTTGTAGAAATGCGTGAGGTCCGGCACCAGGTCTCTCACGATGTACATGTGTGGAAGTGGATATATTTTGGTCTCCTTGGAGGTGTCCTGGTCGATTTTGCACAGACAGGCCAACGTGTTCTGGCCGCCAATGTTCATGGCACATGAGCCACAAATTCCTTCTCTGCAACTTCTTCTGAAAGTGAGCGTGGCATCCTGCTCGTTCTTGATTTTGATGATGGCGTCCAACACCATCGGACCACACTGGTTCAGATCAATCTTGTACTCTTGCATGTATGGCTTCTTATCTGGGGCGTCTGGAGACCATCTGTAGATCTTGAATGTCTTCAGTCTTTGGGCAGTAGCCTGGGTGGCCATGCCACGGGAACGAATTATCGATTTAAACATGACGAAGAAAAAGCTGGGGATATGGTCACTTTTATTCTTATTTATTACAAAAAACTATTTGTTGATTGGCTGTGAATTTCAGTGTTCGCGCGACCGGAAGCGATTGCGGAAGGCCCCGACGGAAAAAAACCTTGCTGATCCGACGACCGCGCACCCGTACACGGGCAACAATTTTAAATGTGTCTCTGAAACGTTTTAACCCCGCGTACTTTTGCTCCCGAGCAGTTTTACCGAGGGGTGCCGAAACATCCTTTTTCCGAATCATAAATCGTAACGCGCGTTCAAGATCCCTATACACATAACTCATATACACTCGACTATACTTTGACGTAAGCTCATCAAATTGCGCGCAGCCTCGATCTTCGCTCTGTCAGCATGCTCAACGTGCTGCACACGAACATGACCAGCCTCCTCGTCGCTGTCGTAATCAGACTCGCTTTCGCTCGAACAGCTCGAGAGAGAGGGAACATCGTCTTCCTCGTCGGAGTCCACGCATTCCGTCGTTATCGTCACCGTCGACCCGTTCAGCTCGTGGTTCATGTACAATGAGCTGTCCTCGTCGTCGCTCACTTCGTAGTAGTCGTAGTCTTCGTCAGAGTCGCTATCGCTGTCGTCATAAAAGTCGTCGTCGTCTTGTTGAGGGTTCGTGAGTTTGGGCTTCACAGGCTCCACCAATTGCACGTGCTTCTCGCTTGCGATGTTGTCGAAAGACACTTTACGGCCTTTACTTTCTTCTGCAGCGTTCAGCTTGTCGATCAAGTTGTCCAGGAGGTTGGCCTGGCACACGAGTCTATGAAGGTTGATGTCATTCTTGACGGCTTCTTTGGTGAGCTTGGCCTTCACTTTGGAGGCCAGATAGTAGGTGTCTGCCTTGCTGGCGTAGTCGAGAGGATAGCTTTGAGTCATGGTGCCGACCAGGAAGGGAATGCTGGATCTTTTATACTTGCGACTTAGTAATTTAATACCGGCTAAATCCCGTTCTGCTTGCGCTATATTCGGGATCGGAGCTAAAAAAATTTATAAGCACGCGCGAACCGAACCGAGAGAAAATTACTAGATGGCTTCGGACGGCTCGGGTTCTGGCATCACCGGAGCGCCTACCTCGCGCCATTAAAGCTTTCACGTCTCCGATGTCCATACGAGGGCTTGTGGAAACCGAGAGAGCTATCCCATGTACCGCAAGCTTGTCACTTTAACTCCGGTGACAATTAGTCACTATAACCATCATATTACTTGCTTACATATGCTCCGCGCATCTAGAAAAAAAATAAATTACTAATGCCTAACTCCGTGTCATATCTTCTCACCAGACAGCCGCGTCCCACTTCTTTAGCTCCTCCGCTTGATTTAAAACGTCTTTCTGACACTTCTTCCGCATGTAGAATATTGGACAGTCCTTGTTGGAACACAAAACCTCCTGGTGTAGCGAGCCTTGGCACCGCTGGCACTCGGTCCAGAGCCGACTGAACTTGGTCTCCAAATTGTTCATTTTGGCCAACTCGCGTCCATACAGCTCTCCCGCCATGCCCTGACAATTTCGGCACAGAGCCTCGCCCTCGGGAATAGGCGACTTGCAGTTTTTGCAAGTGTTGCTCTTGCGAGCAAACTTCATCAACCCCCCCGTCTTTGCGGCGCTCACCGCAACCGCCCGTGTGTGCGAGCCGTGTAGCAATTCCTTGGTGCGGCGCTCGCCCAGAATCGGCTCAAAAATCCGCGTCAGCGGGTTTGCTAGCTGGTTCTCCAAATAGTACTTGGTGTCGATCGGCAGCGAGTTTTCTAGCACGTACAACGGATCCTCGCTTTTCTCGTAATTCTTATCTCCGGCCGTTTTGATGATGACGTAAGCCACACGGTCGCCGAGAGTGGGGGCCGAACCCGCGTCTCTCTTGCGCATCCGCTCCGCGAGTTCCACGTGCGGCTGCTTGGCAGCGTAGTCCTGACGTGACAGAGCCTTACTGATGACCAGCTGCGACAGGTCGACGCGGTTCTGGAGCAGGTCCGCGATGGTCTTCTTGACAAACTGCTCTGCAGCTTCCACGTCTCGCTCCTCCAGAATCAGCTCCAGCACCCGCGTGATCACGTTCTGCACCAGTCGGCAGTTGTCCCGACGCACCGTCTCGATACCCTTGGTGTCCATCTTGTCGAACTTGCGCGGGTTGGTCCAGAACAGCCCCGCGTACCGTTTTTTATTGATAAGCAGGTACGGGAAGTACACTTTCTCGAACTCCAGCTTGATGGGGTGCTTGAACTTGGTCGAGACGTACGCTGCCGCCTCCTCGCCGAGCCGCATACACGTCTCCATGTCGCTGTGGCCGAACTTGACCATCACCGAGTCGGTGTCACCGTAGATGACCTGTGCGTCGTACTCGTAGCCGTTTTCGATGCTGTAGTGGCGCTGGACCTCTGCTTTGGTCTGTTCGATCATGACACGGCCAAACGCCGTCACGGACGACGAGATGGCCAGACAGGGCAGTTTTCCAATTGTCGCGCCCGTAAACCCGTACACCGAGTTGGCCGAGATTTTCAGTGCGAGCTGCCGTCCGTTCAGCACCTGTTTCTTGAACGGGTCGGTCTCCTTTTTCAGGTCCTGCTTGGCCTTTTTCCGTGCCGCGAGCAGTTCCTGCAAGATGGTTGGCAGAATGCCCTTCCGCAGGTGCGGGTGCACAAACATGTCGCCGTTGGGCGTCACAATGTAATCCTCGTCCTGCTTCAGGCCCAGCCGCTCGACTGTCTGCTTGTTGAGCAGCGTCGTGTAGCACAGGTTGTGCGCCATCATGATCGACGGGTACAGAGAGGCGAAGTCGAGCGTCGCGATCGGCACGTCGTAGTAGCCGCGCACAGGCTCGATCACGGTGGCTCCCTCGTACTCCTCGTTCACACCCTCCGACTTGATGTTGGGGATCACAATGTCCAGGTCCAGACACTTGCGGAACAGCTGCGAGATGACCTTGATCTGCTGGCCGCGCGAGAGAAGGAAACTAAATGGCACACCGGTCACCCTGGCCATCTCTGTGTAGTTGACCAGGCACATGAGTTTCTCGGCGAGTCGCAACGGCAGGTACGCGTCTTTCAGGCAGTACACTGCCAGCCGTCTTCTGGTCTCCTGGTTGCCGTTCTGGAGGTCTGTGATGATCGAGTGCTGCACGTCTTCCTTCTGTTCGTTAAGAAAATGCGCCGACACCGCGTTCAGCGTGTATGAGCGCAGCTTGTACTCACGCTGGATAAATTGGAGCAGGTCCAGCTGCATGCGGCCCTCAATGTTGACCACCTTGTTCTCGCGGCTGCCGTACGCGCGCGAGCTGAAAAATGTGTCTTTGATCTCCTGCTTGCTATTCTTCAGACGCGCAAAGTACGGGAAGTCGTGGACACCAAGCGCCCTAGCCCTGTTGATCAGGTACGGGAAGTCGAAGTTGGCGATGTTGTACCCAATGATGACGTCCGGATCCACCTTGACGATGAACTCCTTCCACTTGAGCAGCATTTCCTCCTCGGACTCGTACGAAAACGTCTCCGACCCGACGATCGGCGCACACGACTTGACCGTGAATACGTTGCGCACAAACGGCACCGGGTCGCCCGCCTTGGCCACCACGTTCGCGATCTGGATCACCGGGTCGTGTTCCGCCTCAGGGAAAATGCCCTTGCGGCCCGCACACTCGATGTCAAACGACAGGATCCGCAACGGAGCCATGTTCAGGTACTTGCCCTCCGAGGGGTGGGACACAAGGTCCTTGTAGTGGATCGTGAACTCCAATTGGCACGTAGAAACAACCTTTGCCGGCGGAACTGGCGTGTAAGTGCCCGCCGGCGCCCGCAGCCAGCCCATACCTGTGATGCGACAATCTACCATCATCCGCAGCAAAAACTGGATATTGTCAAACGTCATCGACCCAGTGGGCGGAAACAAGCCCTTGTACTCGATCTCGCCGCGCTCAAACGCCGACCGCACCTTGCCAATGTGTTTGATGCCGTCCACCACCACTTTCAGAAACGGCAGCTTTGTGTTATTGTTGTAGCCCCAGATGCTTTCCTTCAGCGCAATCTCCAGCCCTTGCACGCCCTGGTAGTTTGTGCGCAGATACTTGTGAAAATCGCCCAGATCGTCCTGCGTCAGGCCCTTCGGCACAGGCACGTAGAAATAGTGCCGGAACCCTACAACGTTGCACAGCACCGAGTACCCTTCCTCGGTGACCCCGAAAAACCGCACTGCGGCCTCGTCGTTGATCAGCGTCTCCTCGGCGTCCAGCTGCTGGAAGTCCACGTCGTACGTGGCCGGATCGTACCCCACCACCGCGGGACGGTCCCATCTCTGTCTGTCGCTCTGGACGCTGGCCTCCGACTCCTTCTTGGACATTGACACAAGCTCTTTCTCGAACGTGCTCGCCTCGTTCTCAAACTGACCCCCCGTCAGCTTGTTGTGCAGCTTCTGGCGGTCGAACTTGCCGTGCACCGGCAAATGGTACCCGTGGGGGGTGATCGACTGATTTGCCGTCGGCAGCGAGTGCGCCGTGGCCGTGCCCACGCCGTCGTCGACAGAAATGTCCAGGTGCTGGCGCTTGTTCGGCCCGTCCAGACGCGCGTCGCCCGCGTGTTTCGTCGTAGTTGCACTCATGATCCGAAATACGCTGATCCTAAAACGCGTCTCAAAAAAAATTAGGGATAATATTTCTGAAATAATTCGGGGTCGTGCAGGCCCCAGCTTTCTTATCCAAAGGCAAAATACCTGTTCTTGTACATGAACACCAACTTCACTGGATCGACCAGAAAGCGCCAGGTCAACCTCGGCAACAGGAGCCTGTTTGCAAAGAACAAACAGTCTTTTTTGCAGACCACCCAGCTCGAGCGCCAGCGCCGCGAGAGGGCTCGCACAGAGGCACAGGCCGCAACCACGATCCAGTCGTTTGCACGCACGTATCTCGACCTCCAGCGGGCGCGACGCGAGCTGGGCGCCCATTGGGACGGCACCAGGGTGGCAGAGTTCTGTTTCTTTTGGCCTGAGCTCGCCGGAACCCACGATCACAGCTATCTCGACAGGCTCGAGCACATTGTCCAGACCCAACAGCTGTCTGCCTCCACGGCCTCGAAAACCGTTCGGACGCTGATCGAGACAATTCCGCGGTCGGCAAACACTGAAATTGCTAAAAAGTCCCTGCAATTGGTTCGGATGCTCGCCCAGAAGTACCCTGTGTCCGCCGACTGGAACCCGCTGGTGAAATATTTGCTTACCGTCTACACCAGGGACCCGCTGTTTCTGGCGACCGTCTTTGAGCTCTCGAGGTATGCCAGCGAGGGCATTCTGCGGTTTCTCACCGCTCCACAGCCGGAATTTGTGGGCTTCGCCTTGTCGCACAACTACGCTCTTTTGCGACAATCGATCGAGCTGCAATTTGAGTGGATATGCGCCCACAGACCGCTGTTTGAAAACCTCACAGATACAGAGAAATTCGACTACCTGGTGAACGTGGTCACCATTTTATCGCATAGCTCCATCGCCATTACCAAGCCGTCACTCGAAGCGTTCTCCATCATCATAGGCGGAATCTCGGCCAAACTGCAGTTCGAGGACGAACCAAGCGGCCAAGCGATATCTGTTTCGCCCGAGGCACGCAAACAGATCGAAAAACTCTACGCCTCAGACTTCACCAGGTCGGTGATCAGACAGTGCGAGATACTGCATGTCGAAACAGACCTGTTTGTCTCCTTCTTCTTCGCATTGCTCCATCTGGTGTCCTCCAAAGGCAGCGTAAACCAGCTGCTGAAAAACGACCTGCTGGTGAACCTTATAGTGGCATCGTCCTCCATGGACTTTATGAACCAGTTTTTCCTAAACCTCAGCAATGAACACTTATTCGCTCAGGTTTTCGTTTTGGCCGAGGAGAGAACACATCTGTCCAACGATAGCGAATTTAGACAAACCTTGTTGGACCCGCAGAAAGAGTTGTGGTGGAAAACACTATTTCTTTTGGAGGAACTCTACGGCTACTTGCTCTGCGTGTCCAACGATGCCGATTTATTCAACCAGGGAAGACTCGACAAGAACAACTATCTCTACTTTGTGAAGTTCCTTCGCTCATTTTCTCTTTTCTATGTGCTGGGACGACGCATTGTGCAATATGCGGATCTTTCAGTGTCGGAGGCCAAAATACTTGCATTCTACAAAAACATCGGCCTCACAACCCTGAAACTCCTGAAGCAGATTTACCTCCGCGACCTTCGAATGAACCTCACAGACGAAAATTTCTGGTTGCTCAAAGACCCTGTGTTTTCGATGCGCAACGTTTCCAAGCTGGTTCCATTGCTCGAGATGGAAGATGACGAAGATGAGGCTGGAGACGAAGACGGGGAGCTGTCGCTTCCGGCAGGAGTTTTGCAGGCCTCCAATACGCAGTTGCAGGACAATCTGCTGATCCTCATGTACCTCCCGTTCATGATTCCTTTCGACACTCGAGCGGAGCTGTTCCGACAGCTGATTGAAAAAGATAAGTCTCAGATCACAGGAATATTCAGCCCAAAGATACAAGGTGTTGTTTCGCGAGAAAACGTTCTTTTTGATGCGTTTGAGCAGTTTGGAGAGTTGCGTGGCCAACAGTTCAAGCTGCCTTTATCGGTTGAGTTTATCAACCAGTTTGGAGAAAAAGAGGCAGGCATTGATGGAGGCGGACTCACAAAAGAGTTGCTCACCAGCATTGTGGATAGCGCATTTTACGTTTCAAGCTCTAATGCGGACAAGAACGGAGGGATGAGGTTTTTCAATGCAACGTCCAACTTCCAGCTTTACCCCAACCCTGACTATTTTTTAAAGTTGAAGCTACAGCAGCAAAATCCTTCCTATGACTTCAGCTCCGAAGAGAAAGCGTTCCATCTACAGATGCTCAGGTTTCTCGGAATGGTGATTGGCAAGTGCCTCTACGAGAATGTGCTGACAGATATTCAGTTTGCACCGTTTTTCCTCAGTCGATGGACTAACACACCCTCGTTCCAACAGAAAGTTTCGTTTGACGATCTCAAGATTTATGACAGCGAGCTGCATGGAAATCTCTCCAAACTGCTAAAATTATCCGAGCATGAAATTGACGAGCTGGACTTGAACTTCACTATCAGTGAAAAGTTGCAAGATTCCTCAGAGGTGGTCACCATTGACTTGCTTCCTGGCGGACGAAAAATGAAGGTGAGCCAGCAAAACAAGCTCCAGTACGTTTACTGCGTGGCCAAGTTTAAGATGGACCAGTCGATCGCAATCCAGTCGAAATACTTTATAGAAGGACTGTCCCAGATCATCAAGCCCAAGTGGCTCTTGTTCTTCAATGCTTACGAGCTGGCCAAACTTATTTCTGGCGGAGAGAAAGAGATCGATATCGACGATTTGCGGCGCAACACCGCTCTGGGTGGCTACTCAATGCGGGACCAGACCATTGTGGACCTCTTTGAGCTCCTTGAAGAATTTGACAACAACATGCGGTCCAAATTCCTCAAGTTTGTCACCTCCAGCTCGCGCGAACCACTGCTGGGCTTCAAAGAGCTCAATCCGAAATTCGGAATCCGCAACTCGGGAACAGACATTTCAAGACTGCCTACGGCGTCCACGTGCGTGAATCTGCTCAAGCTGCCCGACTACAGAAACAAACGACTACTGAAGGAAAAACTACTCTATTCCATCAACTCGCACGCAGGTTTTGATCTTTCCTAAATTAGACATTGTAGCATAAGTAAACAATACAACCTATGACATGGCAGCGTCAATCTCCTCTTCTGAAAGCTCTCTGATCTTCTGTTCGCCCTGCACGGGCTCTGAGCCGTTTTTGTGGTGGATGTCGGTCTTGACGAACCCGTTTTTCAGGTGCTTGGCAAAATTCGACCCGCGAGCGTTCTGATTCTTCGAAATCTCCTTGAGCTGGTTCATGTTGTGTATGCATTTGGAGATTGTCTGAAGCAGGAGCGACGGCTTGAGAGGCTTCGACAAGTACTCGTCCATCTGTGCCTTCAAACAGCGCTCGCGGTCTCCCAGCATCGCGTGAGCGGTCAGCGCCACAATCGGCGTGCGGAAAGCCATCGAGTCCACGTATTTCTTTTTCTCCCATTCTCTGATCTTGGCCGTTGCCTCGAAGCCTCCCATGATCGGCATCTGGACATCCATCAGTATAACGTCGTAGTGGTTTTTCTTCACGGCTTCCACAGCTTCTTGACCGTTCTCAACAACCTCGACGCGGTGGCCGTGGTTTTCCAAGATCTTGACGGCGAGTTTCTGGTTCACGAGATTATCCTCTGCCAGCAGAATCTTGTAAGAGGCGGAGCCATCGCTGTTAGGAGGTGCTGCACGGCTCTCCAGTGCAGGTTTGAGGATCGATGCCAGGTCGGTGACCGAACATGGCGTGTTTCCATATGAGCTGATACCAAGGTCCAGACAAACTCTCATATTCAGCGCTGGAATCGATGGATGCAGAAGAACCAGAGGAACGTATTTGATTTCAGGGAGCAGCCGCAATCTTCTGCCTGTTTCTATAGAATCGATGATGATCGTGTCATAGGAGAGTGGGTCGTTGATCTTGACCTCGTCAACATCGTGCACCACGACCGGCTCGAGCTTGAGCAGCTTGATGTTCTCCTTGATCTCCTCGATGGCCTGCCCGTCGTGGTCGCAAGCAACAAACAAGACCTGGTGGTTTCTGAACGGATAGAGTATTTCCAGTTGTCTGGACAGATCCACCTTGGCTGGCGAAACAAGAATGGTGAAGTAGAAATTGGAGCCTTCTCCGTAATTCGACGTGACCCAGATCTCACCGCCCATCAGATGAATGAGCTGTTTGGAAATGGAAAGTCCCAAACCAGTACCACCGAACTTACGTGTCGTGGAGCCGTCTGCCTGGCAGAACGTATCAAAGATCACACCGAGCTTGTCCTTTTCAATGCCGATACCGGTGTCGCTCACGCAAAACTCCAACAGCAGCTTGTCCGTGTTGTTAATCACCCGCGACGTCTTCTTGACGCTAACGGTCACCTTTCCGCGGCTCGTAAATTTAATGGCATTACCAGTCAGGTTCAAAATCACCTGCCTCAGCCTGAACGAGTCTCCAACAAGATTGTCCGGGAACGAGTTGTCCACCTTGTAGATCAGTTCGAGCTGCTTCTCGATCGCTTTGACGGCCAGCGTCTTGAGCGCGCCGAAAACAGTGCCTCTGAGCGAAAAGTCGATCTCCTCGATCGTCATTCTGTTGGCCTCGATCTTAGAAATGTCCAAAATGTCGTCAATAATTGTCAGCAGCGAGTTGGCCAGATTGTGCACAATCGAGAGCATTTCGCGCTGGTATTGCGTCAGCTGCGTCTCGAGCGTCAACTGCGTCATACCGATAATACCGTTCATCGGCGTACGGATCTCGTGCGACGTGTTGGCCAAAAACTCCGATTTAGCGCGGTTCGCAAGCTCGGCCGCTTCTCTGGCAGCAGTATTTCTCTGAATCGACTCTCTCAGATTCAGCACCATCTGGTTGATCTTGGTCTTCAGGGCGTCCATCTCTCCAGACGCCTCCACAGTGATGAATCGCGTGAAGTCGCCGTCGGTAGCTGCTGCTGTGATCTGCGCAAACGCTCTCACCTGGGTCGTCAAGTTGGCAGCCATGATGTTCACGTTCGTGGTGATCTCTTTCCAGAGCCCGTCCACATCGTTCACCTCGGCCTGCACACCGAGCTTACCATCAATTCCCACATCCTTGGCAACACGGGTCACCTCCTTGGCGAAAACCTGCAACGAGTCCACCATCTTGTTGATCGTGCTTTTCAGCTGCAGAATCTCTCCCTGGGCCTCGACCTTGATCTTCTGCGACAAGTCTCCGTGCGCAACGGCAGTCGTCACCGTTGCAATCGATCTCACCTGGTTCGTCAAATTATTGGCCATCACATTGACCTTCTCGGTGACCTCCTTCCATGCTCCGTCGACGTCGGTGACATTGGCCTGGCCTCCCAGGATACCTTTCGTTCCGACCTCAGTGGCGAGCGTTCTGACCTCCTCGACGAAAGTCCGCAACCGATCCACCATCTTGTTAATTGTGATCTTGAGCTCCAAAATTTCTCCCTTACAGTCTGCCGTCACTTTGGTCGAGAGATCACCCTTCGCAACGGCAGTCGTCACGTTCGCGATGTTTCTGACCTGTGTGGTCAAATTAAGAGCCATGGCGTTCACGTTGTCGGTCAGCTCCAGCCAGATACCAGAAACGTTTTCGATCCGGGCCTGTCCTCCCAGACGGCCCTCCACACCTGTCTCTCTGGCGACCCGCGTGACCTCAAAAGCAAACTTACGCAGCTGGTCCACCATCTTGTTCACTGTGTTCTGCAGCTGCAAAATCTCTCCCTGGGCGTAAACGTTGGTTTTGCGCGACAAGTCTCCCGCAGCGACAGCAGACGTCACCTCCGATATCTCTCTGACCTGGTTAGTGAGATTCAGCGCCATCGCGTTCACGTTGTCGATCAGGGAACGCCACACGCCACTCGCCTGGATCTCGTGGGTTTTCACCTGGCCACCAAGTTTTCCGTTAGCCACCTCGGTGGCCAGATTCGTCACTTCGTGCGCGAACGTTTGCAGCTGGTCCATCATAGTGTTGATGGTGATCTTGACCTTCAGAATCTCTGGATCGCTCTCAAGCTCGTGGACCTGGACCTTCTTCGACAGATCGCCCCTGGCCACCGAGTTGAGGACCGTGCCTAGCTCGCCTAAGGCGGTCTGGAATGCCTCGTTCTTGGTCTTAAGGCGGCAGTTTTCCTCCTGCTGTTTCTTCACGTGCGCGAGCAGATCTTCGCGCAGCTGTGGCCCATACTGTCCAAACAGCACTGGATCCGACAATACAGTTATAATGTCGGACATTAAGATGGTGTGTTGAGAGTCTTTGTTTTGAATATGAATTTAAAACTTTAATCTTTTTGCCATTGCGCCGCTGAGGTAATCAGTATAAGATTGCAGTATCCAAAAATAAAATATTGTAGTACCACAATGGATTTCGAGACAAAACAGCTCTACGGCGGTGCCATCACCACACAAATCCCAGCCGGCTTGGTCGACGCGTCGACACTGAGACAGATCCCCGATACGCAGGAGGTGTTTGTGGCCGGGCCAGACACCAAGCTTGTTGGCCCGGAGGACGCCATCATCTTTGATCTCCTGGAGCCGGTTGACGTCGCCGACAATGCAGCTGCCGAGTACCATTTCCAGGAACTGGCAAAGCTCAATGGCGCCGAGAGCGCCAAAATCTTGGAAGCGACAGAAATTGTGTGTCCGAATTTTGCCCAGGACCCTGCCTACGTCCTGGTTGGCTCGCAGGAGGCAAAGAAATGGGGGAGGGACCAAACGGAATTGGTAGTTTTACTCGGACTTATCCGGCTCCAAAAAGTGCAGACCGACCTGCTGATTACGTATAACCTCCCGGGTAGCGATTTCGGTCCCCGGATTCCTGCCGCAAAACAAGTGATTCAGCATATCCTGGAGTCACTTCAGGTGCAAGACTGGTCGCTATTTGGCTGAGGTGCGAGGTGTGATGGTTTACCTGGAGTCGCCATTTTTTTCCGTTAGACCTTCTCCGATGCCCCGCGAAATAATCTGGGGAGACGGTAGCTGACAATATAAAGGGTTTGGCAATTTCACCAATGTTGCATCGTACCTATCCAAGATGAGTGCTTCTGCGAATTCCAACAAAAGGCCCAAGAACACTGCTATCGATCTCATTGCTGGAGGAACGGCGGGCCTGTTCGAGGCTCTCTGCTGTCATCCTCTCGATACCATCAAAGTGCGTATGCAGCTGTTCAAGAAAAGCATTGGACTAAAGTCCGCAAAGCCCCCGGGTCTTTTCAAGACAGGTGTGAACATCGTGCACAACGAGGGCTTCTTTGCTCTGTACAGAGGTCTGGGAGCCGTTTGCATAGGTATCGTGCCGAAAATGGCCATCCGTTTTTCGTCCTACGAGTTCTACAAGTCGCTCTTTATCAACAAGGAAACCGGCCAGGTCGCCACGTCCTCCAACTTCATCAGTGGTGTGATGGCGGGCGTCACGGAAGCTGTGCTTGTTGTCAACCCTATGGAGGTGGTCAAGATCAGATTGCAGGCCCAGCACAACTCTCTCAAGGATCCTTTGCAAGTGCCTAAGTATCGCTCTGCTCCGCAGGCTGCCCTAATGATTGTCCGCGAGGAAGGCCTGAAAACGCTCTACAGAGGTGTGTCTTTAACTGCTGCTCGGCAGGCTATCAACCAGGGTGCCAACTTCACCACATACTCGTTCCTCAAATCGTTTTTGCAGGACTATCAGAACGCCGAGGTCTTGCCTTCCTACCAAACAGCCGTGATAGGATTCACCTCCGGAGCCATTGGACCCCTCTGCAACAATCCATTGGACACGATCAAAACAAGAATGCAAAAGGAAACGGGACATTCGAACGAGTCCAATTTCGCCCGCGGTGTGCGTATCGGAGCCAACCTGTTCAAGGAGAGCGGTGTGAAGGCATTCTATAAAGGAATTCTTCCTAGAGTCATGCGTGTTGCCTCAGGACAGTGTGTTGTCTTCCCCGTCTACGAGTTCTTTAAGGGCTTTTTGTACGACGTGAGCGGCATTTCGGGCAAACAGAAACTGAAGGATTAGATGTGTACAGTACATATGTAATACCTAAAATTGTCATGAGCAAAGAATTGTAGCTGAATTTAAGAAAAGTGCATTTTTAAGTAACGTAGAAGTGAGCTTAGATGAAATTCAGCATTCGAGTTTCCAGTCTGCTCCAATCAGTGCAAGCCTACTGTCTACTATCTATAACTCCGATCTTGATGTATTAATACTGTATGCTTAGTCAAACAAACCGAAGCCCATGTCGTCATCCTCTTCCTCCTCAGCCTCTTCCTCCTTCTCCTCAGCAGCAGCAGCCTCAGAGCCAGCAGCAGCAGCACCGGCGGCAGCAGGAGCAGCAGCAGGAGCGGCAGCAGCCATAGCAAAGAGCTTCTCCTTCAAATTTTGTCCCTCGAGAGCCTTGGCGAACACCTCAGTCCAGATGTTGTCAACGGAAGCACCAGCAGCGGTGATCAAAGATTGCAGGTTGGCAGAAGAGATCTCCAACTCAGCATCAGCCAAGATGAGAGCAGCGTAAGAAACCAAAGCGTCAGACATAGTTGTAGTTGGTTAAAATGGAGGTTTTAATTTTTTTTGTCGATGAAAAAAACTGTGACTGTGAAAAATCATTGTCGTCGCGTCTATCGACGCAAGAAAGCATTACTCTTCTATATACAGGGGGACCTATGATGGAACACTCAAACAAAGCTCTGCAGCTTTTCGAGCCAGTCAATGTACATATTGTTTTCCTTCCAGGTGGCATAAGCAACCAAAAGCTCGCCAAGCTCCTCGTCCACTCCTCTCTCTCTCAGCAAGTCGTAGAACATGTCCTGCATTTCCAGAGAGAGGTTCTCAAACAATGGTCCGCTGTAGAGGAGGTCCTTCTGGTCGACACTGTTGCTGGAGTAGTCAAGAGCCAGGTCGACACTGTCGAAAGTTCTGACTCCATTGATAATGAAGTGGTATTCGTCTGGGCTCAGATCCAAGTCAAACTGCAAAGCCTTACCGTTCTTCTCCAGAACAACAGAAAGATCCGCAGTCTCAGTCATTCCCGCAGAAAAGACCTCGCTCTGCTCCTCCTCGCTGCCAATTTCCTCATTGATCTGCTTATTGGCGTGGGTAGCAAAGGTGATCTTCTGGATATCAAACAGAACATGGACCTTTTCATCGTTCCACTCCTTGATCATGTGGGAGAAAGCGTGTTCCTTTGGCTCAATGGCCTTGATATTCTCGTTCTTCATGTAAGCCACAAAGCTTGGATCCAGATCAAAGGCGTCATTCTTCTCGTAGTCCAGCTCCTGTTGGACAAGGGTCTTCGCATCCGGTGCGTTCATCCTAGACACACTGGTCGAGAATTGAGCCATTCTTGGCACTAAGACCAAAGGTCTGGCAGAACTTCTGGTGAAAGAGAGCTTGGTAACGGCAGGAACAGCTTTAATTGCTTGACGGAACATCATGGTTTAAAAATTAATTTTTTTTCTTTGCCATTATATATATCTATCTATACGTAAACTTCAGAATTCTGCCAATTTCCAACGGGCCCATGTAATATGCTATTCAATATTGTAGCGACTCTCTTAGATACTCCTGGACAAAGATCGCACTGCGTTTAAATCGTCTTTCGGAGTACTTGTCGAAGATCGCCTTGTGGTTGTTTTTGTAGTCAATGCAATTGTCAATAAGCACATCGGCCAATGGCTTCAGTTGTGCTTCCGAGTAACCACTGTAGAAAACGTGTTCCTCGGTCCATTTGCCGTGGTGCAACATCTTGCGGGCAAGATAGTGCGCTCCTGCCGCTAGCCAGCTGGGAGGAGACGCCACAAACCTCGGATCCATGATGGTAATCTCTAGAAAGTATTTGGCCAGTGTTCTGGTCTCGCTGTCGTAGTCGTCAGCTTTAGAGGTACGTCTAAGGAACGACATAGGTCCCGGGTAGCCCATCTCAAACTGGAGCTCGTTGATCATAAACCTCTCTGCCTTAAGCAGCTCCTCGATGGTATAGTCGTTCGAGACCATGTACGCCATCTGTTGCACAGAAGGGCAGTTGATCTCCTCATATTTTGCAGCAATGAATAAAGCAATGGCTCCACATAGCTGGAACCGCGAAAGCGAAATGGCCCGTTTCGAAAGAAACCGGTCGATCAGATTAACAGCGAGAAATAATGTCTCTGGTAGTAAGTTGAAACGAGCGTGCACTTGGACGATCCAGTTCATCAGGGTGGCTCTGTTCTCCCACGTGATCTCTGACTGGATATCAGGCACGTAGTGAGAGTATGGAGCGTACTTCATCTCCAGATCGCGCATGTAGTTGAAAATTTCAGGGCCATATTCAGCCACCATGGACACGTCCCATGTGTCCTCGTCTCTCGGGTCTGGGTCTTCGCGGAAAAACTTCCTCACCACAGCTGTGAGCTCGGCTTCAATACTGGCATCCCATCTGGGTGACATGGGCTCCACTTTCTCCTCCAACACTTGGAACCCCTCGTCTTCTTCGCCTTCATCATCTGTCGAGTTTTGCTGTTGCTGCTTCACCTCCTCGTCTTCCAGAACCATGTCGTCCTCAGTTTCGTCATCGTACTCGTCCACCGTAGAGACGCCGTCTGTTTTGATTGACTCTCTCTTGAACTGAGCTTCTTTGGTGGACAAAGAACGCACCTGTTTGTTCACCTCACTGCTGGAAACAACCCTGAGTGCCCTTCGAGGACCGGTCGAGCTCTTTTTGGGTTTGACCATATTCTCATTCTCGTTTGAACCCAGTGAGCGAACTAGCAACCCCATTTTGATCGGTATAACGAATGACTGTAGCTAAAATATAATGAGGGCTGATCAGAATTTGCGATGTATCAAATGAGTGTATATGTGAGGGAATGTAATTAGCAAGTTTATAGCGAGTGAAATTATCTACTGCACGAGCAGTCAGAAAGGGCAGAAATGCAATGGCCTTGGATACAGACCGCAAAAACAGATGGCTAAATTCTTGAAAAACTGGTATGTTTACATTATCTAGGGGGCTGTCAGAAACAAAACGGGTCACCAGGAATGTAAACAAATACCACGGTTTTAATTAGTCTGAAACGAGCGGCACAATAGGGGTCTGCGCGTTGATATAGACTCGTAGTGTGATGTGAGGTGCATTGGGAAGGCTTTGGACCGGCAACGCCATCCTACGGTGCTGGGCCACGCAAAAAAAAGGGAAAACGCGTGGATTGCAAACAGGTAAAAAAATTATTGAACGACCTCGGTGAGGATCGAACTCACGATCTTGCGATTAACAGTCGCATGCCTTAAACCAGCTTGGCCACGAAGTCTTATTCGGCTTCTTTTTTATTGTGCTTCGATATACCCCACCAAACAACGCTCTCGGTATTTTCTAGCCAATCTAATTTTCGTGAACTGAAAACTTTCCAGCACGAACAACATGGTCCTGGATTCTGTGCCTTTTTCGTATCAGCTAGATGATATAAACAGCACGATCGCGTTGGCGGCTAAGTATCAGTCCGAACAGGCTAGACTGGGCTCCCAAAGGCACAAGATACAGAGAAACAGGCAGACCCAGCAGATGATCAACTACGCTCCGTCGCAGGGGTACAGCAGGACAAGACACGCTCCACAAGGTTTCCAGCCCTTGTTCGAAAAAACGAATCCGCTCATGGGGTCTTCGACGACCCCATCGCCGGTTTCGGGGTCCAACTCTGATTTTTCGTTCATGTCGCTGGCTGATCAGCAACTCGTGCAGCTTGGCCCGATGGCCCCTCCGCTCGCTCATTCAAGTACCGTCTCCTCTGTCTCGTCGGGAAAAGATCAGGCGTCGTCACCAATGAGGGCCGGGTCGACGGGTTCCACAATATCGTCGGGGTCAGCTAATTCTCCGTGGAACACCTCGTTGTTGGATTTAAACACAAAAACTAGCATTCCTTTCAGTTCAACATGGTCACAGGTTTGGTAAGGTACGGTAGAAGGAAGGTTTTAGGATGTACGGATAAGAAGTAATGGAATTGTACAATTATGAAAAAAATGTTAGGCATTTAGCTGCCACGCCGGTATGCCTCTTTTGGACTCTTTGTGCTCGTCTCCCGCCACGCTCGACGTCGTTGAGCTTCCCCCGTTGTTGGCAGAAAGCTGCCAAGCTGGGATCGAGCGCTCGAGGTCTTTTTCGTTGGCTGTGCGCTGCTCGTACTGCGCAATACCGTCGGCGTTCACGTCTTTATCCTTTTCCCTAGACAACACGTCTCTGAGCGACGGAATAGACGTCGTAGGCGGGATATTCAAGTTGATCTTGGCTTTTGTCTCTGCAGCAGGCGATTGCATAGACGTCGACTCGCTCGGAGGCGTGCTCAGCTGCGGAGCCGCGGCGAAGCCAGAGGTCTTAATGTCGAACTTGATGTCCTGCAACTGTTTCTCCATGGCCGACAGCTCGGCGTTGAGCGTGGCTTTCTGACTGTCGAGGGTTTTAAGTAGTGTGGTCTTGATGTTTTCGATCTCGAGCTTGAGATACTTGAGCGTCTCCTCGTTGTTGAGGTTCTTTTCGTTGGTTTTGTTGATAATCTCGTCAACTTCCTGCAGTGTTTCGTCGATCTTTTTGGACTTGGCCTCTTGCTTCTGGTAAAACTCTTTCTGGTCGGCCTCGAACTTCTCCAGTAAGCTAGCGACACGCTGGAACTCGTGGTCGATCGCAGCCTTGTCCTGCTCCAGCTGCGACTTTGACGGTGGCAGAATTTTCGGAACAACGTACCGTTTCACAATCTGGTACACCCCGTACGAGATTCCTGCCGTTGCTGTTGCCATGATGAAGTAGTCCTTCCAGTCACGTTCAGGCAGTGGAGGTGCGCTAGGGTAGTAATCAGGCAGCGGCGGGCGAGGCGGCACAACTGGCTGCTGTGCTGGCGGTGCTTGGACCGTGCCGGTGCGGGCTTTTTGTAACGCCTCCTCGATCTCCTGCTGGGTAAGACCTTTAGATTCGAGGAATTCGACCTTTTTGGCAAGGGGCGAGTCTGCAATGCTCTGGTCCAAAAGGAACTCAACTGCGCTAGCTACCAGCTCTGCACGGTTGGTCGCTGCTGGCTGTTGGGACATAGTGAGGAAGAATAGGAGACAACAAAGTGGGGGTCGGCAAAAATTACTGATTTGCAGTCGCAGGAATAAAATTACAAAAAGCCGATCGACGGGTCGGACAAGAGAAGTGGCTGCGAGCAGCACTGGAAAACCGGGTTTGGGCTGTTAAGGGCAACTTCTAAGCGCAGCAGCGCCTCAGATACAGCAGAGCAGCCCCCCCACATCCTTCCATGCCCCCCAGGCCGCCATAAATAAATCCCGTTTTACGGCCCTTTTCGTTCAATGAAAACGAATCACGAATCAACCAGCACGAGAGAAAAATTTAAATCGAGCAACACCAACACACAAACTAAGCGTCAGGTGGCAAATAATTCCAGTGGAGCTTTTTAAAACTTATTTGTTAGTGCGCCATCGCCGATTGTCATGAATACCAGCGACGAGCACACCGAGACAGGACCTCCATCCGCGTCCAACGGCCATAGTCGCGTAAGTACCGCTGCTGTGCGCCCTGCTGACCGCCAGATGTCGATTTCTGCGATGCTCTCGTCGCCCAGCAGCGGTCAGCCGAGCACAGAGCCCGTTGCAGCAGACGGGACCGTGCCCTCGTGCACGGAGCTTATGCACTCTTTCGAACGGCGTGTGCGGGCTTTGGTGAAACTGGACGCACTTTCCACCAACGAAATCAACCAGGTGCAGCTCCTGGAGAACGAGCTGAAGCTGCTTAGGGCCCAGGACGGCATCTATGTGGACCCGGGACTGATCGAAGATCTCAAGACCAAGGTTCTGGAGCTCGATCCCAAGATCTACGACAAACTGACCCGGCGCAACAAGCTAGTCGAGCAAGAGTCGGAGGATTTGCGCGACCTCAAAACTGACCAGCTCAAGCTACTTGCCGACGTGCAACGCGAGGAGCAGAATAAGCTTCAGAAGAGCACTGACCGAGCCAAGCCGCATGAAGAAACGGCCAGCCAGCCGCTTATGAATATTGCGCCGAAAAAGGTCGACGAGCTCCTGGTGGAGGAGCCGGCCGAGCCGGCCGAGTCGCTGAGCGACGTTGCGGACACGAATGGCGACGGCCGTCGCAAGCGGAAGCGCAAGACCAGGATCGACCCGTCCAAGCTTCTGGACGAGGAGCAGGACGAGACTAAGACTAAAAAGCGGAAAAAGAGGACCGACGACGACACGGCTGCGAACGTGAACAGCGTGGCTGGCTCGGACGACCTGGACATGGACGACGAGGACGGTAGGGGCTCTAAGGGCAGCGTGTCTGTGAAAGAGCAGAAAGCCATCGACAAACAGTACGACAATGTGTACATCTCGATCTGGAAAGACCTGGCTCGAAAAGACGGCTCGAAGGCGTACAGGATGTACTACCAGATGGTGCAGGCCAAGCAGATGAACCTGAAGAAGACGTCGATGCTGGCGGCCCGAGAGTCGCGCAAATGGGTTGGCAAGGCCACGCGGTCTCAGAAAGACCTGATGACCAAGGCCAGGCGGTCAATGAGGGAAATGCTCAACTTCTGGAAGAAGCACGAGCGCGAAGAGAGAAACATGCGCACACGGGCAGAGCAGGAGGCCGTGGCGAAGGCCAAGAAGGAGGAAGAAGAGCGAGAGGCGCGGCGGCAGTCACGAAAGCTCAATTTCCTCATCAACCAGACAGAGCTGTACTCGCATTTCATCGGCAAGAAAATCAAGACTGATGAGGTCGAAGGCGAGATGGGCGACAAGTCGCTGCTTGCTGGAGCCAAGCCTGAGGACACGGGATTGGACGGCGTGGACCTGGCGGCTGCCAAGCGCGATTTGAGCGAGATAGACTTTGAGTCGCACAGCGACGAAGTTCTGCAGAAGACGGCTGCCGCCAACGCGCATTCTGCGCTTCTTGCGGCGCAACAGCGCGCCAAGGAGTTCAATGGCGAGGCCTCAGAGCCCGATAACGAGGGCGAGATGAACTTCCAGAACCCAAGCAGTATCGGCGACATGAACCTCTCGCAGCCAAAGCTGCTCAACTGCACTTTGAAAGAGTACCAAATGAAGGGACTGAATTGGCTGGCCAATTTGTACGAGCAGGGCATTAACGGCATCCTGGCCGATGAGATGGGTCTGGGAAAAACCGTGCAGAGTATATCTGTGCTTGCGTATCTTGCCGAGACGCACAATATCTGGGGGCCGTTTCTTGTGGTGACGCCTGCATCGACGCTGCACAACTGGCAGCAGGAGATCACTAAGTTTGTGCCCGATTTCAAGGTGCTGCCGTACTGGGGCAGTGCGAAGGACAGGAAAGTGCTGCGGAAGTTCTGGGACAGAAAGAGCATTGTCTACCACAAAGACTCGCCGTTCCACGTGGTGGTGACGTCGTACCAGCTGGTGGTGGCAGACGTGCAGTATTTCCAGAAGATGAAGTGGCAGTACATGATTCTGGACGAGGCGCAGGCCATCAAGTCGTCGAACACGTCGAGATGGAAGTCTCTGCTGAGTTTCCAGTGCCGAAACCGGCTGCTGCTGACGGGAACGCCGATCCAGAACTCGATGCAGGAGCTGTGGGCGCTGTTGCACTTCATCATGCCGTCGCTGTTCGACTCGCACGACGAGTTCAGCGAGTGGTTCTCCAAGGACATCGAGGCACACGCACAGTCGAACACGCAGCTGAACGAGCAGCAGCTGCGGCGCCTGCACGTGATCCTGAAGCCGTTCATGCTGCGGCGGATCAAGAAGAACGTCCAGAGCGAGCTCGGCGACAAGATCGAGATCGACGTGTTCTGCGACCTCACCAACAGACAGAAGAAGCTGTATCGGATGCTGCGGTCGCAGATCAACATCATGGACCTGATAGACAGCAACAAGAAGATCAACAGCAGCAACGACGACGAGGCCCAGGGAGACTCGCTGATGAACGTGGTGATGCAGTTCCGCAAGGTGTGCAACCACCCGGACCTGTTTGAGCGAGCCGACACCAAGTCCTCGTTCAGTATGAGCAGGTTTGCCGAGACCACGTCTTTGACAAGCGAGATCAACGAGAATTTGCTGGAGCTCAACTACACGACGCGCAACCAGATAGAGTACAAGCTGCCAAAGCTGTTGCTGGAAGATCTGCTTTCTCCGCAGTACGAGAAATCTCTGGCCGACAAGGCCAACGTGCTGGAGAAGCTGAGCATATGGAATCCAGAAAACTTGCACGAGAGCGACAATTTTGCATTTTTGCGTTTCATCAACGAGACCCCATCTGGGGCACGGCGCGCAGCATACAAAAACGTTGTGCAGAACGCCATTGACCTGCGCTCGTACACGGGCGTTTCTAAACACGACCGTGCCGAGCTGCTCAGGGAGATATACGACGGACAGGTGCCTGTCCACAGCATGTTTTACATCCGCAAGCAGCACAAGGAGCTCACGACGGTGCCCGACAAGGTGTACAAGGACATGTATTTGAATGTGGCCCGTTTGGGAGCGTTCCCTGCTGCGTCTGCTCCGCCGATTGAGATCTCGTGTTCAAAGCAGAGGTTCAACTTCATCAAGAAGGACGCGCTATACGATCCGGTTGTTCGACAGGCGATGGGCCCGCTCAGTCTCAACGTCCAATGGGACCTGATGCAGCGCAAGGTGCCGTTGGAGTTGTGGCCGAAGGCAGAGATGTACGTGGAGCCGCTCAACGCTAGAAACGGGTTCTCGTCGATCAGACTGCCCTCGATGAACCGATTCGTGATCGAGTCGGGCAAGCTCGCGAAGCTGGACGAGATGCTGGTGGACCTGAAGAAGAACGGCCACAAGTGTCTGATCTACTTCCAGATGACCAAGATGATGGATCTGATGGAGGAGTTCCTCACGTATCGCCAGTACAAGTACATCCGGCTGGACGGGTCGTCGAAACTGAGCGACCGTCGAGATCTGGTCCACGAC